ACATTCTGCTCTCTCCAAAATACTGGTCCGAGGTGACCGTCAAGCTTGCCTTTTTCGAGCGGTTCTTGGTGGCTGCGGACTTCAGCACGAGCAACGTGCTGGGATACTGTTTGAATGCGCTCGAGGTGCTAGGTGTTGCGCTGGAGTGGAAGTCTGCGGAGTGGATCGTCTCGAACCTGGAGTATTTGCAGAAACTGCTTGAAAAATGTATCCGTTCCGACAACCACGATATCCAGGAGGCGTTGCAGAAGGTTCTGAATCTGATTCTGAGCGCAATCAACACGCAGGTGCCGGCCACCGAGGAGGAGCAGCCGGAAGAGGTGACGAACTTCCTTGCCTTTTTGACCAACGTGATCTCAGAAGACCTGAACAGCATGAACTCTGTCGCGGCGGGCGTGACTCTGTCGTGGACGCTGGCGCAGTACAAGCCGGACGCGCAGAACGCCCAGATTCCGCTGATCATGCGCACACTAAGCAAGCTCGTGAAGGACCACATAGCCATAGCGAGCCAGAACAGACAGTTCAGCAACTCGGCCGAACAGAGCGCGTACCAGACGGACTACGAGGCCAAGATGACGACGAAGCTGCTGAAGAAAATCCTGGACTTTTCGAGCATGCGCATTTCTGTGCTTGGCGACCAGCGGCGCATCTTCTTGTCGCTGCTGGTGCAGCTGATCGACCGGTCCGTCGACAAGGACCTTTTGATGCGCATCATCAACATTGCGCGCGGCTGGGTGTTTGCAAAGAACGAGCTCTTCCCGACTACCAAGGAAAACGCAGGTATACTGTCGAAGATGATGGTATTTGAGATGAAGGGCGACCCAGAGCTCGCAAGAGCGTTCTACCAGATCATCATCGACATCTTCAACGACCCGGCACTTGCCGGCACCGAGCTGACCGTGCGCATGGAGCATCCGTTCCTCGTGGGCACAAAACTCTCCGACACGGGCGTGCGTCGCGAGCTGATGAGCATCTTGGACCGCTCGCTCGAAAAGGACCTCGACAAACGGCTCTTCTACATTGTTCGCGAGCAAAACTGGGAGTACCTCGCGGAGTACCCGTGGCTGAACCAGGCCGCGCAGCTGCTCTACGGCAGCTTTGACTTTGACCATGTTCTGAAGTACACGGACAACGAGTACAAATTGGCTGCTCTGGGCGACATCGACGAGGCGCTGCCGAAACGCAGCGCACAGGAGCCCGCTCCCCGCGAGCCGATCACCGCGTTTGTCAGCAGACACAGGGACTTCCTCAGCGCTCACGTGCGCGTGCGTGCACGTGACGTGCTGGAGCCGCTGATGGACATCTCGTACCAGAGCCCCGAGACGATCCACAACTCGTGGTGCACGCTGTTCCCGATCGCGTACGGCGCGATCGACCACCGCAACAAGGCGGACTTCTTGCACTCGTTTGTGACGCTGCTGTCGAAGGACTACCACGTGCGGCAGCAGGACGGCAAGCCGAACGTGATCCACACGATGTTGGAGGCCGCGGGCAAGTGTGCGGACCTGCAGCTGCCACCACACCTGGTCAAGTACCTGGGGCTGAACTACGACGCATGGTACTCTGGAGTGCGCATCATGGAGCAGATCGAGACCAACCCGGTCACCGAGAACCAGAAAATCAAAGAGACAAACCGCGACGCGCTCGTCGAGATGTACTCGAACCTGCAGGAAGACGACATGTTCTACGGGATGTGGCGGCGCCGGGCGAAGTACTTTGAGACCAACTCGGCGCTGTCGTACGAGCAGATCGGGCTCTGGGACAAGGCGTTGCAGCTGTACGAGAACGCGCAGATCAAGGCGCGCAGCGGCGTGCTGCCGTACAGCGAGAGCGAGTATGCGCTGTGGGAGGACAACTGGATCCTGTGCGCGGAAAAGCTGCAGCACTGGGACATTCTTACGGAGCTGGCGAAACACGAAGGGTTCACGGACCTGCTGCTCGAGTGCGGCTGGCGCGTGGCCGACTGGATCTCCGACAGAGAGCCGCTCGAGCAGAGCGTCAAGACGGTGATGGACGTGCCGACGCCGCGCCGGCAGATGTTCCAGACGTTCCTGTGTCTGCAGGGCTACGCGCACAGCAAGGAGACGATCCAGAACGTGACGCGGTACTGCGACGAGGGCATCCAGCTGGCGCTGCGCAAGTGGCACTCCCTGCCGACGCGGATCACCGGCGCACACATCTCGCTGCTGCACATCTTCCAGCAGTACGTCGAGTTCATGGAGGCGAGCCAGGTGTACCGCAGCCTCGCCACGACGACGGCGCAGAACCTGGACGTGAAGAGCCAGGAGCTCAAGCGCGTGCTGCAGGCGTGGCGCGAGCGCCTGCCCAACATCTGGGACGACATCAACATCTGGAACGACCTGGTCACGTGGCGCCAGCACGCGTTCAACGTGATCAACAAGGTGTACATGCCTCTGATTCCTGCGCTGCAGCAGAACAACAGCAGCAACAACTCGTACGCGTTCCGCGGCTACCACGAGATCGCGTGGGTCATCAACCGGTTTGCGCACGTCGCCAGAAAGCACAACATGCCCGAGGTGTGCATCAACCAGCTGACCAAGATCTACACGCTGCCCAACATCGAGATCCAGGAGGCGTTCCTCAAGCTGCGCGAGCAGGCCAAGTGCCACTACCAGAACCCAGCCGAGCTCAGCACCGGCCTGGACGTGATCAGCAACACCAACCTCGTGTACTTTGCCGCGCAGCAGAAGGCCGAGTTCATCACGCTCAAGGGCATGTTTTTGGCCAAGCTGAACTCGCCCGACGAGGCGAACCAGGCGTTTGCCACGGCCGTCCAGCTCGACCTCAACCTGCCCAAGGCGTGGGCCGAGTGGGGCTTCTTCAACGACGCCCGGTTCAAAGAGAGCAACGACATCGCGTACGCCAAACACGCCATCAGCTGCTACCTGCAGGCGGCCGGGCTGTACAAGAACAACAAGGCGCGCCGGCTGCTGTGCCGCATCCTGTGGCTGATCAGTCTGGACGACGCCAGCGGCACGCTCGCCGAGACGTTCGAGTCGCACCAGGGCGAGATGCCCGTGTGGCACTGGATCACGTTCATTCCGCAGCTGCTCACGTCGCTGTCGCACCGCGAGGCACGGCTGGCGCGTCACGTGCTCATCCGCATCGCCAAGTCGTATCCGCAGGCGCTGCACTTCCAGCTGCGCACCACCAAGGAGGACTTTGCCGTGTTGCAGCGGCAGATGACGCAGCGGCCGGACTCGAACGGCGACAACGCGCCAACGAGCCCCGAGGCGCTGGCACAGCACCCGACGGGCGCCACGCCCGCGGGCAGCTCGTCGCCGGCGCCAGGGTCGGCGCCGGGGGCCAACTCGCAGCCGTGGCAGCATGTTGAGGAGATTATGGGCATCCTGAAGACCGCGTACCCGCTGCTGGCCCTGTCGCTCGAGTCGCTCGTTGACCAGATCAGCCAGCGGTTCAAGAGCAGCCACGACGACGACGCGTACCGGCTCGTGGTGGCCCTGTACAACGACGGCGTGCAGTACTTCAACCGGCTTTCGAACCCGAAGGAGGACGCCAGGCTGCCGCCTGCCACAGAGGCCAACATCATCCGGTTCGCAGACACCGTGCTGCCAAAACATATCCGCGAGGAGTTCGACGTGGACATCATCAAGAGCAAGCCGAACCTCGAGACGTACATCAGCAAGCTGCGCAAGTGGAAGGACTGTCTGGAGGAGAAGCTGGACCGCAGTTTCGGCAAGATGAACATGGAGCGCGTGTGTCCGCACCTGAGCCAGTTCCACCACCAGAAGTTCGAGGACATCGAGATTCCGGGCCAGTACCTGCTCAACAAGGAGACCAACAACCACTTTGTTAAGATCGAGCGCTTCTTGCCGACGCTGGAGCTGATCCGCGGCCCGACAGCGTGCTACAAGCGCATCACGATCCGCGGCCACGACGGCAGCCTGCACTCGTTCGCGGTGCAGTTCCCGGCCGCGAGACACTGCCGCCGCGAGGAGCGTATTTTCCAGCTGTTCCGCATCTTCAACGACGCGCTCTCGAAAAACGTGCAGGCCAGACGGCGCAACATCGAGCTCACGCTGCCCGTGGCGATCCCGCTCAGCCCGCACATCCGCATCATGAGCGACAGCGAGGACTACGTCAACATGCTGAGCATCTACGAGGACTACTGTCGCCAGAACGGGCTCAACAAGGACGAGCCGTTTGCGTACACGATCGAGAAGCTGCACGCTGCGTACGACCCGCGGCTGCCGAAGCCAGACATCCTGAGCGTCAAGACAGAGATCCTGGCCGCGATCCAGTCGACGCTCGTGCCCAGCACCGTCATGAAGGACTACTTCCTCAGGCACTACACGCGGTTCGAGGAGTTCTGGCTCTTCCGCAAACAGTTCACGTCGCAGTACGCCTCGTTCATCTTCATGACGTACATGCTGTGCATCAACTCCCGCCAGCCGCAGAAGATCCACATCAACCAGAGCTCGGGCCGCGTGTGGACGTCCGAGATGCTGCCGTACAAGGTGGCGAGCGGCAAGACGCACTCGAACGCGTTCGCCAACAGCACGCTCGACGTGTCTGCGCAGCGCGCGGCGCCGCTCTTCTGCTCGCTCGAGATGGTGCCCTTCCGGCTCACGCCCAACGTGCAGAAGCTGATCGGCGAGGCCGGCATGGAGGGCATTCTGTCGGCGCACATCATGATCATCGCGCAGTGTCTCAGCGACCCGGAGTACGAGATGGAGCACTTTCTGAATCTTTTCGTGCGCGACGAGGTGGTTGCCTGGTTCACACAGCAGCACAGGCCCTCTGCGGGCGACCCGCACCTGCGCGAGATCGTCAGGGTCAACGTCAACTTTGTCACCAAGCGTGTGGCGCAGCTCAGCCACATGGAGGGCCAGGGCATCGCGTCGCAGTTCATCCTCAACCTCATTGCGCACGCCGTCAACCCGCGCAACCTCGCCAGCACAGACACCCTGTGGATGGCATACATGTAACATTGCAAAATATACTGGTATTAGATCTACTTAGCCGTGCCGCGGTGCGTCTTGATGCAGCGCTCGTAGAAGTCGTCCGGCAGATTGTCCCTGGCCCATTCGTGCTCGCTCTCGCGCTCGATGCGGTGCAGGTACCGGATAAGTCTGTTTCTCGTGATGACAAAGTTCACGAGGCTCATCATGAACCCAAACACCGTCAGGCTCAGACTCACCACCTGGAACACCTTGATCATGCTGGTGACGTCGATTTTCTTGGTGCGCCGCGAGACGTAGTCGTAGTCGACCAGCAGCACCTGCTCGGTCTGGAAGATCCGCACCGTGGACCACACCGACAGCGCCAGCGCCACCGCCTGGATGCACACGCACACCACAAACCCCTGGCACGCGCGCACCTCCTTGCGCAGGCTCTCGAACGGGTTCTCGAGGTTCTCCTCCATGGTGCTGGCTATGAGGATCGGGAAGAAGTACGACGCGAAGATGTTGTACAGCAGCGACACGCTGTAGATGGCGGGTCTGTTTTCGACCTCAAAGTACACGAACCCGGCGTAGCTGAGCCCCAGCTGCGCCATCATGAACGCTATGTAGATGAGCATCGAGGAGAACATCTTGGGGTCCGAGAATATGGCGTCCCAGTTGGCCACCTCGTTGATCCGCGCAGGGCGGATATCGGCAGGACGGCCGTGCGCCTCCAGAAGCAGCCGGAACGTGGATATGTTGTTGCGGGAGGCCATGGTAGCTGGTGGTAGCCAGAATAAAAATTAATTATTTTTTCAGGAAGCGCTCAAAACGGCAGAGCACAGACTGCGACAGGTGCACCCCCTCGCGCACCCACACCCCGTACGAGCCCATCATGTTGGCCATCAGGATGTCTGTGAACAGACGGTCGCCCACGACGGCGATCTCGTGCGGCGCCACGCCGCGCTGCTCGAACCAGGCCACGATCTCGGGCCAGCACCCGGGCTTCTTGGTGGAGTGTCGCAGCACAGGCACGCCGGTGTTTTTTTCGAGCCGTTGCGCCTGGCCGTCGAGGTCATCGTTGGTGCCTGCCGAATTGCTCACGATGAGCAGTCGTCCGGGATACTCCTTTTTCAGTGAGCTCCAGCGCTCCTCGTACGCGGGCCATACTCTGTCGTCGTGGTCTCTGGCAATGCAGTTGTCTTTGTCCAGAACCATACCTCTTATGTGGGGGAGGCTCTGTGGAAGGTGCTGGAACGTGGGGACGATCAGCTGCGGGTTCACGAGCGCCGGGTTGGCGACGATCTTCCAGAAGTGCAGCGTCGCACTCAAATTTAGCATGGAAAAAAATAAAAAAAAAAAAAGTCTGAAAAGTATCCGTCCATGTCCTGTATAGTGTGCACGAACCCGATCAAGATCAGGGCCGTCACACCCTGCAAGCACGACACGTGCCACGTGTGCGCGTTCAGGACCCGTGCGCTGTACCACAAGAAGCAGTGTCTGGTGTGTCGTACCGAGAACGACAGAGTGCTGTTTGCCGACTCCGACAGCCAGACAGTCGCGGTTTCTGACGACAAGTACGCCATCGACTTCACGTCGCAGGACGCCAAGAAACAGACGCTCGACCTGCTGCTCAACAGGTGTCCCAAGTGCAGCACTGTCTTCGGCACTTTCAAGCAGCTCAGCGAGCACGTTCGCACGCAGCACGACAGAGTTTTCTGCAATATCTGCGTGAATCAGAAAAACCAGTTTGTGTGCGAGCTCAAGCTGTACAACTCGCGCCAGCTGCACCAGCACCAGGTCAAGGGCGACCAGAACGGGTTCAAGGGCCACCCGCAGTGCCGGTTCTGCACCGGCAAGCGATTCTACAGCGACGACGAGCTGTTTGTGCACATGCGTGATAAGCACGAGAAGTGCCACATTTGCGACCAGATCGACGCCACCAAACCGCAGTATTTCCGCAACTACGACCATCTCGCGTCGCACTTCCACGACGCGCACTTCGTCTGCAACGTGCAGTCCTGTCTGGACCAGAAGTTTGTCGTGTTCCGCGACGAGCTGGACCTGCGCGCGCACCAGATCAAGGAGCACGGCTCCATTCTGGGCGGCGACCGCAAGCTGCCGGCGTTCGGCGGCAAGCTGACGATCGAGAGAAAGAAGCAGGACGAGCCCAAGGACAGCTACGAGACCAAGAAGCTGCGGCTCGACGAGCGAGCTAGACATTACTTGAACTATAACCAGGCCAAGGTCGACGAGTTCCAGAAGCTGGTGGGCGAGTTCGGCAAGAACGGCAACGAGCGCGCGGTGCTTGCGAAACTGCGCCAGCTGTTTGTGCACAGCTCGGCCGAAGATCTTGGTCTGCTGCTGCTGGAGCTCAAGGAGCTGTTCCCGAAAAATTCGGCCCCACATAAATTTCTCGAGACAGAGCTCAAAAGCCATAATCGCGAAAAATTGCTCGACCAGCAATTCCCGGCGCTCAGCACGGCGCCGGCGTCGCGGCCCGTGGGCCCGTGGGGCCAGAACCAGCCCGCGACAGGGCTGCGCAAGGCGCCGCCACCGAAATCGAAGCCCGTCGTCAATAGAGGCACCTCGTCAAACGTGCGGCTGACGTATCTCAACAACTCGCATCCCAAGCCCCCAGCTCCGGCGCTGGACGAGCAGCTGTTCCCGAAACTGCCCAGTGTTCAGAAACCCAAGCCACCAAGAGTCAACCCGGTCACCACCTCGATCGGGCAGTGGGGCCAGGGTCTGCCGGAACGACGCGAGGAGTCCGACCTCGAGATTAGAAAGGGCAAGAAGGGCAAGCAGGTGCTGTTCCGAATGGGCGTTAATAGAAACTAATGTGCCCCCAATGCATTGTTCATAGACAGTTATCGTAGAGGTAGCAGCTGCGACTCTCTCATTTTGGCCCGGCACAGCGGACACTCCTGGCGCTCCTTGACCCAGTCCAGTACGCACTTCCAGCAGAACACGTGGCCGCACTCGCCGCACGACGGGTCTTTCATCGGCGACAGACACAGCATGCACGTGCGCGAAGCCTCAGGCAGGTACGGGAGCACAGTCGGGTCTGTCAGGTCCACGACGTCGCTCGTCTGGTCTCTGAACCTGTAGATCAGGTCGCCGGTGTCCTGCACGGTCTCAGTGGACCCCCACAGCTTCCGCACGTTTGCCACGTTCTTGAAGACCGTCTGGAAGATGATCAGCAGTCCCAGCAACTCGTAGTTGCCTCGCGCTCCCTGCTGATTTTTCTCCACTCGGTAGCCAAACGCATACCGCAGGCCAAAGAGTCTCTTCGCAAACTGGTAGTATTTGCCTGTGAAGTAGAAAAGCGCTAGATGCAGGTTCATGAGATCCATCACGTTCATATAGCTGACGCCAGAAACCCACTGCGCTAGCCGACTTTGCTGTGATTTTAATTTTTGTAGTAACTGGCGAACAGCATAGGGGAAGAGCACATACGCCACGACGAAACCAAAACGCGAGGCAAACTTCGGGATCTTGCGGCCGTCGCGGCTTACATACACCAGATCGACGTACTCCTCGCCCAGCGTCTTGGAGCCCACCAACGTTGTGAGACACAGATAAAGGGCCGTTGCCAGAGTTCGCAGCTCCTCTGGGTATTTGTGCACAAAGTGAGAGCCCTTGATGGCCTTCACAAGGTCAGAGAGCTGGCCGTGCAGCCGAGACTCGAAATACGAGTCCTTTTGGTTCGCCCGCACAATTGCTGGAGCATTGGCAAAAGACAAAAGCTTAAACATTAGGAGGAATAATTATTTAGCCTAGACAAACGCAAATAGTGGCCAGTTTGTGTTTAGTGATTTTATTCAAAGCGTACATCGAAAAATTGCAATAACCTACGTAGTCGGTCTCCAGATTCCCACCTCGACGTCCCAGCCGCTGAACGTCTTGAACACGCGCGTCTTCTTGGTCCACCGCTTGCACGGTCTTCCTGAGCGATCCAGCTCGCCTGAAAGGCCGCTTGCCCGCGCCTTGCTCCCCGTAGGCGTTTCTGCTCGGCTAGGCGTGTCCTCCACCACGGGAGACGAGGGCACACCCGGTTTTTTCAGCGGCTTGATGATGATCCGCCTCTTTTTATCGTTTTCGTCTGTTCCTTCAATTCGCACGGGCGACGCCACAGCCTCGTCCTCGTGTTTCACCTTCGGCTTTGGTTTGCGCTTCGTGCGCAACAGCTCGGTAGGAAGATCTGGAAACTGTGCCAGCGCCGTCGACGAGAGTTGCAGCTTGACCAGCTTGGACATTCGAATTAGAGAAATTAAATTTTTACGTCAGCGCAGATAAATAGTGCTCGTTTATTAAAATGTCTATGAGCCAGTCTTCGGTCATATACCGAAATCGCCCTTCATGAGAGCATTGCGGGCCTGTGTTTTGTTTGTGTTCAGATTCTTGTTCTTGTGGCGAGGCGCGAGGCCCACAGGAGCCGGGGCATAGTGGCCGCCACCATAAGCCGGCACTGGTGCGTAGCCTTGAGGAGGAACAGGAGCAGCAGCGTAGCCATTCGGCGGAGGATAGCCACCGTAGGGTGCACCGTGTGGAACAGCATAGCCACCTGGTGGAGGCGCCGGATATGCACGATATTTGGGGTATTGTGGGTAGTAGTTCATAGGCATTGGTTGCACTGCCTGCATGGGAGGAGGCATTCTGCCGCGTTGTTCCAGACTTGGAGAGCCGTATGGAGACTGTGCCACGTGTTCAGGTGACGGCGACGAGCTCTGGCCATAGCGCAGCGGAGACGACGAGCGAGACCGCGGAGCCGACGATGCGTAGGCAGGATGAGGAGCGTTGATGCCGTAGCCCATAGAAGGAGCGCCGTGGTGAGAATATCGCTGCATAGCCTGGTTTGGAACAGACGGCCTGGCGGTCTGCACTGGGGCGTGTGTCTGAACAGGAGGTGACAGTGGCGTGCGTTTCTCAGGTGAAGATTCCGCTGAAACTGCTGGCTCTTCGTCATCTTTCAGGACATCCATCAGCTCAGACTCCAAACTCTCAATATCATCGAAGATCTTGGAGTTGCGTTTCTGCTGCTGCATCTTTGGCGGCTCAAAGCTGGACACGGAGACTGACGCCGGCGACGAAGCTGCCATCGGTGCCAAAGAAGGAGAAATTGAGGTAGCAGACACGGTCGCTTCTGGGGAAAGATTCACAGAGGTGGGTGCCAATGTCTGGTGTGAGAAGGAGCCCGGAACAACTTTCTGCTTTACCGGAGGTAGAGGTTTCTGGTTGAACGACGAGGGAGGGTTTTGCAAAACATTAGCAGGCTGTTCTTTGTGATATGTCTGCTGCGGCTGTGGAGCAAAATAGTCGTGCTGAGGTGGTGGGAGTCTGTTGTTAGTGCGCGCGGCCTTGTTTTCGGGCAGACTAGTTGGAGGTGGCAGCAAATATCCTACACTGTCAACCTCGTGTGATTGTTCGCTGATTGGTCTCATTGGGGGCGGTTTTTTGTCGTCTTTCACGGGTGATGGAGTCTGCACTGCAGTGTAGTAAGAACTGCCGCTATTGGCTTTGACGCCACGCTCATTTGGAGGGTTGGGAGAGCCGTTCTCCTTCCCATCAGGGGTACTTGGGAAGTCTTTTTCTGGCACAGGAGGAGGCGGCAACGGGCTTGTTTGATATGGTTTGGAAGGAAGAGGCTCAGACATCTTATTGGTGATATCGTTCAGGTCTTTGCTCTCCGACACAACCCTCGTTCTGTTGGCTACCTTCATCTTTTCGACCTCCTTCTCGGCCTCCCGGATCTTGTCTTGTAAATCTTTAAGCTTCTCCCGTTTGAGCTCTATCTCAATATCATAACCATCCCTCTCGATGTCCTGCTCTTCCACAATGACCCATTTCTTAAAGCCTTCTGCAAGCTCAACCTCCATGATGTATGTTTTACCAAACATCTTCTTTTTGGCACTAGTTTCCTCGCTACCCAGAGAAGCCAGCCATGTCCATATGAAGTAGTCGTCTATAGTAGCCCTCGAGACGGTAGCTGTGAAGTAATCGGCGTCGCGCAGCTCGACGGGCTTGGGAGAGGTCATATCTGCCGACCAACCCGGAATAAGCTTGTAAGCCAGCTTGCTGCCCTCCGTGCCATCGCTGATCATGTCTTCGTCGTATATGCACATATTGTCCAAAAGACGGCTTCCCTCACTTGAGAGCTTGCTTATAAGCCCGTCCACATCTTTGAACAGCCGCTTGAGTAGCAGGTAGTCTTCTCTTGTGTAGAATACGGTCGGGTCGTTGAATTTCAGGGTTTTGGAGACTCTCACCAGCAATTCAGCCGGATTCTTCGACGGATTGTTCACCTTGATGGTGACCATAGGTACCTCCTGGAGAAATCGCGAGGACGAGCTGGATGTGGTTGTTGCCGGTGGAGGATAGGGTGTACTTTTCAGAATATGTTGTAATGACTTGGGCAGCTTTTCGATCTGGCCCTTTGGCGGCATCGAGTTCAAAAAGGAAAGCAGCAAATGGAAGGTGGCATCGCCTGCAGGGATCCACTCGTACATGCCTCTCTCAAAACTTGGAGACTCGCTCTGTTTGTTTTTCACAGGATGGAACGCCCACAGACCACACAGTCTGGCCACCTTCTTCGCACTAAGCATGTTGTGCTTCGAGTTGAGGATCAGTGCAACGATGAGGTCAAAAAAATCGTAGACGATCGACGCATGCGCGCCCGACGAAAGACAGCTCGGCATAAATTCCAAAAACGCACGCTTGGGGAAGCCTGCCTCCTCGTCAAGCGTGACGAATTTGGTGTATGTCTTCCAGCCAATCACGCAATTTCCCGGGAGCCGACACCAGAAAAACTTGAGCGCGCTGATCAGCACGTAGGGACTCACTTGCTTGACTTCTGCGCGGATTATTTCTGGATCTGCCACTTTTCCGTTGTCGAATATGTCATTGAGGAAAGACTTGAGGGCCGGCTCATGTTGCTGGGGCCTGAAGGGCAGCAGCAGATACGGTGTTTTTGTTCCTTTGCGCTTGATCTCGGATGTGATGATGTGGATCGCATCTTTCACGTCTTTCCTCTGAAATTCGACGTCATACTTGTCGCCAGCGAGGCCGAACCGGTACTGTGTTTTCGGTTTGTAGTCTGCTGCGGTCACTCTGTCCAGGTCTGCACTGTAGATAAACGAGCCGATCTCTTCGGGCTCGGCCATTTTAAAGGCAGGCAGGCTGGGAAGTGGTTTGGCCATGGGAAGAAAGAAAACAAGGAAAAAAATGGTAAACAAAAATAGAAAGTGGTAAAAGATCAAGGGGACAGCAGCAGGGGGCCAGAGAGATTTTAGGAGGAGTTTGGGGGTCGGGCATACAAAAGACACCAAGCGAACAACACCGGAAAGTAAAAGGCCTCGCTCCTGGTCGCTCTCGGGCCTCCCTCGTTGGTCGATGTCAACCTGTTCCAGTCCGGTCGTACCGTCGTTATTTGGACGATCGACGCACAGAAAAACTTAGACCTCAATGATTTTGGCTGATTCGGAGATCGACACACTCAAGGCGACCAAGACCATTGGCATCATCGGCCTCGGCGACATGGGCCTCCTGTACGCGCGGCGGTTCAGCCAGGCCGGCTGGAACGTGTGCGGCTGCGACAGAGAGGAGAACTACGACAAGTTCAGCGCCGAGCCGTTCGAGGTGCTAAAAAACGGGCATCTGGTCTCGCGCAAAAGCGACGTGGTCATCTACAGCGTGGAGGCCGAGAACATCGCCAAAGTCGTCAGGATGTACGCGCCGTCCACCAAGGTCGGCGCCGTCGTGGGCGGCCAGACCTCGTGCAAACAGGCCGAGATCCGGGCGTTTGAAGAGTACCTGCCCGAAGACCTGGATATCGTGTCGATGCACTCGTTGCACGGACCGAACGTCGACACCACGGGCCAGCCGCTGGTGTTGATCAACTATCGCGCAAGCGACGCGAGCTTCAACCTGGTCGAGTCGCTGCTGTCGTGTCTGAACTCCAAACACGTCTACCTGAGCTACCAGGAACACGACAGAATCACGGCCGACACGCAGGCCGTGACCCACGCAGCGTTTCTCAGCATGGGAGTCGCCTGGCACAACAACAACCAGTATCCCTGGGAGACTCCGAAGTGGCTTGGCGGAATAGAGAACGCCAAGATCAACATCAGTCTCAGAATCTACAGCAACAAGTACCACGTCTACGCCGGCCTCGCAATTACAAACCCTTCGGCCCACGAGCAGATCCTGCAGTATGCCAACTCGTGCACGGAGCTGTTTTCGCTCATGATCCAGAACAAGGGCGAAGAGCTGCGGCGCAGAGTGTTTGCTGCCAAACAGGCCGTTTTCGGCAAGCTACCTAAGGACCACACTCTGTTGCTCGACGACAACCTGCTGCAGCAGTACTCGCTGAGCAAGATCCCGCCAGAGGGCAAGCACCCCAACTCGCACCTCTCGCTTCTGGCAATCGTGGACAGCTGGAGCTGTCTGGGCATTGTGCCGTACGACCACATTATCTGCTCAACTCCGCTGTTTCGGATCTTCCTTGGCGTGACAGAGTATCTGTTTTGCACGCCCGGCCTTCTGGAGGAGTGTCTAGAGGACGGTCTGAGCAAGACCTCGTTCCGCCAGGACGATTTGAATTTTGTCATTGCCGCACGCGAATGGTCGAGCATCGTTTCTTTCGGAAGCTACGAGCTGTACAAGGACAGGTTTGTGAAGACCCAGAATTTCTTCATGCCGATGATCGGCGAGGCTAACAAGACAGGCAACGAGATGATCAAGACGATTCTCCAGCGAGTGGCGGAGCGTGAGGGCGGCCCTGTCGCGGGCCAAAAATAATATGCACGGTACTAGTAGTGTCGAGACGATGCCGGTCTGTCGATCTCTGGGAGACGGCAGACGGTGTAGGCTTGGAGCTGGACGCAATGCCACAACAGCCTGGAGAGCCCGGGGACAAGGACGCCAGCAGAGCCCGGATTGGCGTTATTTCCGGATTCGGCGAGAAGCGGTGATTTGGCCACAAACTCGAGCTTTAAATATTTTTATATTAATATAAAGGCAAAACCATGGGAAACGTCTTCAGCGGCATTTTTGGGCGACTCTGGGGAGTGAACAAGGAGATCCGCATTCTGATTCTCGGCCTGGACGGCGCGGGCAAGACCACGATTCTGTACAAGCTGCAAATGGGCGAGGTGGTGAAGACCAAGCCCACGATCGGATTCAACGTCGAGACACTCACATATAAAAACATATCGATCAACATGTGGGATCTGGGCGGGCAGACGTCGATCCGTCCGTACTGGCGATGCTACTACGCCAACACCGCAGCCGTGATCTTTGTTGTCGACTCCACGGACAAGGAGCGTATAGAGGTGGCCAAAAAGGAACTACACATGATGCTGAAGGAGGACGAGCTCACAGACAGCGCATTGCTCGTGTTTGCCAACAAGCAGGACCAGCCGGGCGCCTTGGCGGCGGCCGAGGTGTCGAAGGCATTGGGACTGGTGGATCTGAAGGACCGCAGTTGGAGCATCGTTGCGTCCAGTGCCATCAAGGGCGAGGGACTGTCCGAGGGCCTTGATTGGCTCATCGACGTGATTAAAGAGGAGCAGATGTAAAGTGTATAGTTAGTTGCTACGGCGAAAAATAAAAATAAATATTATTTATTTGCCATGTTCCGCCTAGTGCTGCCAATTGTGCACAAACGCGGCATCCGGCTGGCCCTCGGAGCCGGGGCCGGCGCGCTGACCGTGTACTGGTGCCAGAACTCGCTCCTGAACGACGCAAGGGTGTCCAGGGGCCTGTACAAGAACCCTCTAGTTTTGAGCAACAAGAACCAGCTGGTGGTAGACCCTCAGCAGCCCACGTACGAGATGGGGCTCTATGTGGCGTCGCAAAAGGAGCTGGAAAAGGAGTCCAACGAGATCCGGCGCGAGCAGAAGAGCCGCAAATACACCGGCTGGTTCTACTACATCAAGTACTGGCTGCTGGATTACGTCTGGGAACCGGTGATCACTGTCACGCGGTTTGTGGAGCTCACGTCGCTGTTCATACCCATGTTTGCGACGTATCCGATAGTATTCTTTGGCAAACGCAACAAGGAGGGCGACACATCGGGAGCGTTGCTGTGGTATCGGTTGGTTCGTCATCTGGCAGAGCTTGCCGGGGCTTCCTTCATCAAGCTTGGCCAGTGGGCCGCCTCGCGTACAGACATCTTTTCCAAGGGTCTGTGCGAGGAGCTGGCCCAATTGCACTCCAACGCAAAGTCGCACTCGTTCCGCCACACCAGACAGATTATCGAGAGCACCTTTGGCGGAAACAAGCTGGAGGACGTGTTTGACGAGTTCGATCCCGTGCCCATTGGCTGTGGAGCCATTGCGCAGGTGTACAAGGCGAAGCTGAACAAGAAGTTTGCCGAGGACGACCACGAGCAGTACGTTGCTGTCAAGGTTGTGCATCCGAACATTGAGGTCAAGATCGAGCGAGATCTGCGTCTCATGCGATTTTTCGCGAACGCAATAGACGTCATTCCCACGATGGAGTGGCTCTCTTTACCGCAGGAGGTGGAGCAGTTCTCTATCCTGATGAAAATGCAGCTGGACCTCAGAATCGAGGGCCACAACCTGCTCAAGTTCAAGGAGAAATTCCCGGGCGACGAGATCCGGTTCCCTAAGCCGTTCATGAACATTAGCTCGCGAAAAGTGCTCGTCGAAGAGGAAATCAAAGGTCTTTCGATGACAAAGATACTCAATCTTACAAAAGGAGGCAAGCACATCTCTAAAGAGGTCAGCGACAGCATGATAGACGCGTTCCTCAAGATGCTCATTCTAGACAACTTTATCCACGCCGACTTGCACCCGGGCAACATATTTGTTCGCTTTGTGCAGCGGGATAGAAAGACGCGCAAGACGACCTCGGACGAGCTGGAAACAGACGAGCTGATGGCTCGTCTACGAAAGATCAACAAGGCGTCCGAACTGATGGCCGAGCTCGAAAAACTGGACAAACAGGACTACCACCCTCAAATCTGTCTGATAGATGCAGGACTGGTGACGGAGCTTGACGACACCGACAGATACAACTTTATTTCGCTGTTTAACGCGCTGTCGCAATTCGACGGCTACGAAGCGGGCACACTGATGATAGAGCGCTCAAAGACACCAGGATCGGCCATTGACACGGAAGTGTTCAAGATGAAGGTAGAGAGACTCGTTAATAGAGTCAAACAGCGGACATTCACACTGGGATCGATATCAATTGGAGACTTGCTAGACCAAATGCTCGGCATGGTGCGCTCGCACCACGTCCGCATGGACGGAGACTTCATCACGGTGATAGTAGCAATACTGCTCATGGAAGGTATCGGACGCCAGCTGGACCCGGACCTTGACCTTTTTGCCAGGTGCGTATTTGCATGGAATGTGGGGTTCCCCACATACTGAATGAATACTAACAAGGCATAGATCGTTACCAATTTTGCGGAAACTCAGCTTCCAGGATGGTAAACTAATACTACAGAACAGCGACAAGCTGCACATGCTCAAGATCTGGATGACGCTCGAGGCCAGACAGCTTGTCAACGCATCCGTGCACGACGTAAGTACCCACCTCTCCCTCTCTACTAACAGCCCAGGTTTACCGTCTTGTCAAGAGCGACGGCCTCTGTCCGGATTACTAGAATTTGGTAGCAAAGAAGAAAAACACATGCGGTGTAAGGTGTATATACTGTAGGCGGCCGGTGCGAGGCGTGCCGCTGCTCACGTGGATAAGAGTCGTACAAATCCCAGGTACGCCAGGGAATTATAGTTGTTTAGATTTCATCGTTAGTGCGACATGAAGTTTGGAAAGACGTTCCTGGGCCACCAGGTCCCGGAATGGCAACACTCGTATATGAATTACAAGGCCCTGAAAAAACAGATCAAGGCCATTTCCCAGCAGCAGTTAGAGCTCTTGGCAAAAGACCCCGAGGCCGACACTTTGAACGACCCTGACATTCGGGCAGAGCTGGCATCTTTTTTCTTCAACCTAGACAGAAATATAGAAAAAGTGGACGACTTCTACAACAAGCAGTACAGCGAGTACGAAAGGCGTCTCAAGAAAATAACAAGTGTTCTGGCGCCGTCACAGCTGCAGTTCAATGACGACGAGGAGGCGGACGAGGTGATCGGCATCATGCTCGAGCTGCGGAACTGTTTCCGTAACCTGAAGTGGTTCGGAGAGCTCAACAGACGCGGCTTTAGGAAGATCCTCAAAAAGCTCGATAAGAAAGTCGGCACCAACCGTCAGGAAGTCTACTTGAGTGCTCGTATTTATCCGCTGCCTTTCTCGAACGAGTCGGACATCATCCGCAACTTGAATCAGATCAATCTGTACCTGAACCAGCTACTTCCCTCTAACGAAACCAACAGAAACCCTATTCCGATCGACATGTACAATGAAACGGCTGTGCAGCAGGCGAACAAGAACATCAACTCTTCTGCTGCGTCGTCGATCTCCAATATCGACATGAACATAATCAGCTCGTCGTCGTCGTCTCTTCTGCCGCCGGCTAGCATCTACAACGGAGGCGCCAAGCCCTTCAAGCCTACTCCGATGGACAACTATCTCGAGCACATCCAGAGAGATGACCCCGAGAGCTTGAGCCACGCTCTGATCAAGGACTTTATGTCTCCTGTTCTTGCTCCTTTGAAGCTGCTCATCTCTTTGCTCAACAAGGCCACCTTGAATCTCAGCTATAAGTGCATTGACGCGCTTTTGGAGATTATCCCCATTCTGTCTGATTCTTCCGACATTAGCGGCAGAAACTTCATCCACCACCACGTCATCGCGTTGGGAAAACAGTACGTCAAGAAGAAAGAGCAGCAGGTCGAGGACCAGACCATTCCGGTGGCCCACACGCCTGCGGATATTAATTTTAGACTTGTGTCCACTTTTGGCCCTGACGGAATAAACTCGAACGACTCTTCGCAAGGTTTGTTGTACATCTTTGAGCACCTTCCTGCACACTTGAAATTTGCCATTTTGCAAAAAGACACGTACAAACGGACTCCGCTCCACTACGCGGCCCAGTACGGCCTCAAAGAGGTGACCCATATTATTCTTGAGTTCCTGAAAAAATGGGGACTCTACAACGAGAACATCTCGTTGGACGACAAGCACGTGTGGGGAGACTCTGAGCTGCTGACGCCTCTGCATCTTTCGATCCTCGGCACCCACCCAAGGACCACAGCGGTGTTGATCGATGCCATGAACGAAAAGGTCGCCTTGACATGTCCTGAGCTGCTTCTGATAGCTACGCGGCTGGACACTCCGGATATTATTGAGTCGCTGCTCAGATGCAAGGGAGCCAGTATTGACTATGCGGACCCAGACACCAAGGAAACAGCGCTCTACATCGCTGCAAAGTTGGACCTCAAGAAATCTGTCGAGTTCCTGCTTTCCAGGGGAGCCAACACGGAGCTGGGCGAGGCCACGTTCGGATGGACGCCTGTTTTCGTTGCGGCTGCTGAAGGATACAAAGACGTGATCCAGCTGCTGATCGATCACGGGGCCAAGTTCGATCTGCAGGACCTCAGTGGCTGGACGCCGCGAGAACACGCTTGTTTGAGAGGCCATCTGGACATTGCTCGGATTCTCACTCCAAAAGACTACGATCCATATAAGCTGCTGGAGTCCAAACCTATTTCGCCGGTGCTGTCCCCTCAAACCAAGCCGTACAACATGAGCGAGCTGGCCAGCAGTCTGGACAGAATTTCCGACAGCAACAACGAGCACAACGTCCTCAAGCACTTGAGACAACAGCGGTCTGCGTCGCCAAACGCCCGGCCAGTCAAGTCCTTTGGTCATCAGTACCTGAAACCCAACGAGTCGTTGATTCTAATCACCCTGGGCACGACTGACTTGAGAGACAAGACGCCTGCGATCGACTTGAAACGAGTGCCGTTGTCCAAAGCCCACAGCACAGAGCTCGACACTGCGCTGTCGATCGTCATCAACGCCAAGAGCCTGGACCAGCCGTCGGTTCTCCTGGACTTGCCGTTAGACGACAACCACGGCGGCGCCAGCGACCCGATCAGCTTCAAATGCGTCGACAGGGACCCTCTGGACACGGTGATTTTCTTTGACATTGTGCCTACCTACCAGTCGGTGGAGGAAAATCGGGAGAAGAAGATTCTTGGCCGTGCAGCTGCTCTCTTGAGGTCTGCATACACCAAGGTGGGTCCGAACCTGCGGTCGTTGTCGAACTCGATCAGTCTGCCGATCCTGGAGAGCGACACGTTGGAGGTGCTTGGCACCATCAAGTTCGAGATCATGCTGATCACGCCGTTCAGACATCCCAAGATGGTGCTCGACAGACCAGAAACGTACTGGAAGTCTTTAGTTTCGTCACGGGTCATTGGCCACCGTGGAAACGGAATGAACAGCCGCGACCGCAAGTCGCTGCAGCTCGGAGAGAACACTGTCGAGTCGTTCATTGCGGCAGCGTCGCTGGGAGCGTCGTACGTCGAATTCGACGTTCAGCTCACCAAGGACCACGTCCCCGTCGTGTACCACGACTTCTTGGTCGCCGAGTCCGGCATGGACGTTCCTATGCACGCGCTGACGCTCGAGCAGTTCCTCGGACTCAACAACACCGACTCCAACAAGCAGAACGGCATCAAGGAGAGCAGAGACGACTACTACCTCTACAAGAAGTCACGTGGCCGGGCCGCGTCGTTCGAGCCGCGTACGTCTGTTCCAAAGGAGAAGGACAGCGACGACTTCTCGCCCGAGAACGAGCGGATGAAGCTCACCAAGACGTGGAAGCTCAAGCAGTACAAGGGAAACTCGCGCGGGTCGTCGATTGCGTCCTCGTTCGTGACGCTGGTGGAGCTGTTCAAGAAAGTGCCGAAAAACGTCGGCTTCAACATCGAGTGCAAGTATCCGATGCTGGACGAGGCGGAGCACGAGGACATGGGCCAGATCGCGATCGACCTGAACCACTACGTCGATACAGTGCTGAAAGTGGTGTACGAAAACGCGGACGGAAGAGATATCATTTTCTCGTCGTTCCACCCAGACGTGTGTGTGCTGCTCTCTTTGAAACAACCATCGATCCCGATCTTGTACCTCACCGAGGCGGGAACACAGCCAATGGCCGACGTGCGCGCCAGCTCGCTGCAGAGCGCCATCAGATTCGCCCGCAAATGGAACCTGCTGGGAATCGTGTCTGCTGCCGACACCATTGTGATGTGTCCTAGACTGGCCTCCGTGGTGAAGGCGAGCGGGCTGGTGTGCGTGACGTATGGCGCAGCAAATAATGACCCTGAAAACGCCAAGCTGGAGATGGCGGCAGGTGTGGATGCCGTCATCGTCGACAGCGTCCTTGCCGTGCGGAAGGAGCTGACAAAGAGACACGAAACGAGGACGTGAGATTGCTGAGTGGCTAAGCTCCGCCGCACATGCTCTGATGTGGTGTGAGGTGTGCACACCCTCGCGCCACGAAATAGCAACCATTGCATATATATAGTGCTAGGGTGTGCAGAACATAAAGATTAAATGTCTTCTACAATTCTTGCTTCCGGCATCCCATTGGGGGTCTCAGACTCCGAGGTGGAGGAGTTTTTCAATTTCTGTGGCAAGACCAGGACGATTGCCACCGTCGACAAGAACGAAAAGACCAAGACGGTCAAGGTGGAGTTTGTGAATGCGAGTGCTGTTTCCACGGCACTGTTGCTGAACGGCGCCGAGCTGGGCGGCGGCAGCATCAAGGTCATTGGCGAGGGCCTGGCCAAGCAGCCTGTCGTGCCGACGAGTGAGGTGAGGCCGGCTGACGTGAGCGTCCCCGCCAGTGGCGACATTCCGCAGGAAGATAAGCCCAAGACGACTATTCTGGCGGAGTACCTGTCGCAAGGGTATGCCATTTCGGACGGGCTTGTGCAGAAGGCGGTCGAGTTTGACCAGAAGAACGGCATCTCGTCGAACTTCAAGCAGTTTCTGTCGAATTTGGACGCCAAGTACCATATCCACGACAAGAACCAGCAGCTGCTGAACCAGGCCAACTCGCAGCTGGGTCTGGACAGCAAGATTGCGATTGGCCGCACGAAGCTCGACAGCTACTTCGACAAGTTCAAGAACGACAAGCTGGGCTCGAGAATCCACAAGTTCTACACGGAGGTGGCCAGCGATGCGAAGCAGGTGCACGAGGAAGCCAAGCGGCTTGCGGAGCTGAAGAAGGCCGGCCACGAGTCCAACATCACGCCGGACTCCACCACTGCCCAGCTGGCGGCCCAGGTCCCGCTCGAAGAGAGTAAATAAGAGATTAAGTAATGGTACGAACATTCCCTTTTTGGTAACATGTCCTAATCGAGCAACCCTATTTGGGGTAGCGAAATTTCAAGTGCAGCATTTATTGCTAAGAAATACTAAGACAACTAATCAATGGCATCCGCAGAAATCGCAGACCTGTTGACGCCGTCGCCCTCGAAGTCGACCAAGACCGGCGTCGTGACCCAATTGAAGCGTGTGGCCAGCGCGTCCAAGGACAATATCTGGGTTTCTCCGTTCCGTCCTAAGGGAAGGAGCCCACGAGCAGCATCCAAGCAGGACAAGACGAAGGAAAATGAGACGGTGGCGGAGCCGGCCTCAGAGCAGAAATCTGACGCCGAGTCCGAGACACGGGCGGAAAAGCAGGAAGAAGCCGTGGAGGCAGACAATGCCCAAAAGCCACAGACAGAGACGACACAAGGTGGGTCTGCAGAACCCGAGACCGAGCCTGTTGCAGACACTGCGTCCGAGGAGGCCCTTCAGGAGCCGAGCGGCGACGTGGTGGAGGACGAGGAGCCCATCGAGCCCATCGGCGAGACTGAGCCGCTTGCTGCGCCCGTCGACGAGGTCGAGGCCACCTTCGACAAGCCCAAGATGCTCAATCGGTACAAGGAGAACAAGCTTCTTGCGTCGCAGGCACTGAACAACACACAGGTGCAGAATATGGACCGGGTGCTGAATCTCGGTGCTGGCCTGAAGCTGACGGAGGCCCAGATCTACGAAATTGCTAAAAAGAGAGTTGCTCCTGTTTTGAAGCAGGTGGACGAGCAGGTGCAGGAGAACCTCAAACGGGACGAGCTTCGTGCTGTGGAGGAAGAGGAGAAGTTTGTCAAGAAGGACGAGTCGAAGCTCGCCAAGGAGCTCAAGAAATACACTGCTTCCATCGAGAAGGAGAACGCTGCCATTGTGGCCTCGTTTGCCAAGCCGATGAAGAAACTCGACGACGACATGGCCGCCAGCAAGAAGGCGTACGAGCAGTACATTGCCGACGTGAAGGCCAAGATCGAGCAGGACGCCGTCGACTACGAGGAGGCCGAGAAACAGGCAGCCGAGAAGCACGTGACCGACAAGGAGGAGCTGCACAAACGGGCCGAGCAGCGCAAGCAGGAGCTGACAGAGGCGCTGGCGCACGCCAAGGAGCAGCAGGAGGTCGAGACTCAAAAGGAGAAGGAAGTGCGCGCTTTGGGCGAGGAGTACAAGCAGAAGGCGGACGAGGCAGAGAGCCAGCTGAGCGAGAAGGAGAAGGAGCTTGAGGACAAAATTGCTCTTCTGGAGGGGCATGTTTCGTCGAAATACGAGAAACAGGGTGTCATTGCGGGCGCCACGAGAAAGAAGCTCGAGGCGGAGCGCAAGGTTGCGATTATTGGTGCTCAGCACGCGCAGGCCAAGGGCAATGTCGACAAATTGCAGGAGCACGTCAATTTGATCCAGAGCCACGTGGACCAACACAAGGCCAAGAAGGAGTATCTGAGCACCGAGGGCCAGAAACAGCTGGACGAGAAGCGCAGTGCAGCAGAAAAGGCAGTGGAGGACTGGGAGCTTGAGAAACAGCAGATGAGAACCGAGGAGGCCAGAAGGCAGGAGCGGTTGCGCATTGAGGCCGAGGCCGAGCGCAAGCGGCTGGCCGAGGAGGAGGAGAGAAGAAAGGAGGAGGAGCAGAAGCAGAAGGAAGCTGAAGCGCTTGCTGCCAAGCAGAAGGAGCAGGAGGAGAAGGAGGAGAAGGAGAAGGAAGAGCAGGAGAAACAGCGGAGTGCCATCGGCGTTGGTGTTGGTGCCGCTGCAGGCGTTGCCGGTGCCGAGGTTCTGTCCGACGCTGGGAGCAAGAGCGTTTCTGGCATCACGGGTCCTCAGCTCGGAGATGTTTCAGCTCAGAAATCAGTTGATCCCAGACCTGCTTCGGGAGCAGAAATTCCTGCCTCCACTCAGCCAAAGGAGAGTGCTGCTTTCAGTGCTGAGAAAGTTCCTGAAGTTGTTGCCGGTGACAATCTGAACAACACCGTGACAGACTCCCCTAAGGAAGTTTCCAAAAACGTTTCGAAGGACCTTGCTGACGACGTGTCCAAAGATGTCTCCAAAGATGTCTCCAAGGGCGACGTCAAGGACGCTTCTGTGGATGCCGCTGTTGCCGAACCCGCTGGCGTCGCTGGCTCGCCACCGTCCACTGAGTCCAGCAAAAAAAGCAAATCCAAGGTCCCCTCTGAGGTGATCACCACGGTGACCGCCACGGGAGCCGCCGCCGACATCGCCGCTGCCGCCATTGACGCTGCCGGCATTGACGCCGTCACAGAGCAACTCGAAAAAGGCGCTGACGTGGCCGACATCGCCAAGCTCGCAGAAACGAAAGGACCCGTCGAGCCTATCCAAGAGGAGCCAGAAGCCAAGAACGGCACCACAATTGCGTCTGCCTCGACTCCGAGCGCCGTTGTGGCCCCAGTTGCTGTCTCTGCCGCTAGCTCTCCCAGCACCCCTAAAAAGGCGGACTCGCTGGAGCAGACGAAGACCCCTGAGTCCAAGACAAAATCAAAGTCGAGAGCCAACTCGTTGACCAAGAAGCTGTTCCCGCTGTCAAGAAGCAGCAGCAAGAAACGCGAGGCGCAGAAACAGGAGCCTAAACAGGAGCCGAAACAGGAGCCTGCAACCAGCAAGACCCCGGAGCCAGCAAGGACCGTTCCGCCAGTCGCATACAAGTCGCTGGACCCTGCTGCCTCCAAAGAGTCTCCTCCGGTGACGGATCATGGCGACGGTGACATCGACTCGATCGACGTCCGGTCGCAAGCCAAGCCGGTGTTCACAGAGGTGGTCGACAACGACGACTACCAGGAGGTGGTCACTTATGAGACGATCGACTCGGCCGAGTACGAGAAAAACAAGCACGATCCAAACTACATGAAGGTGCCTGCGAACGAGTAAGTGTATAGTCGTGTAAGAATCTGACATTGTATTTCTGTGGTAGCACATCTATTTGTAGGCAAAGCCTTTCTTCTCGAAAGACCACGAGTCGTCTCTGATTCTTCCTCTCAGAACTGGAATTTCGGAACCTGGAACGTACACGTCCTCGAACAGGATGTCCATCTTGGCCTCAGGTGGTGGGGAAATCTCGGCCTCCTTGACTTGTTCGTCGACGTATTTTCTGGCAGACTTGTCAAAGGCCTTGATTTCGTCCTCGGTAGCAATGCCGAACTCCAAAAGATGGGCCTTGAGGCCAGAAATAGGATCGTTTCTCGATCTCATGTTCTGCACCTCCTCTCTGGTTCTGTAGGTGGTACCAGGGTCCGACATGGAGTGTCCTCCGTATCTGTAGGTCTCGTATTCCAGCACCAGTGGTCCGTTACCGGAAACACACCAGTCCTTGGCGAACTTGGAGGCCTGGTACACGGCAAGGATGTCCATACCGTTAACCTTCAGACCAGGAATGTATTGACCTCTCTTGTAGTACTCGACCATGGCAGACGATCTCGAAGCAGACGTACCCATACCGTACTTGTTGTTCTCACAGGCAAAGATGCATGGGAGGTTCCACAGCTTGGCCATGTTGAAGGACTCGAACACCTGACCTTGGTTGGCAGCACCATCACCGTACAAAGTGAAGGTGCAATTTGGCTTGTCTCTGTACTGGTGGGCAAAGGCAAGACCTGCTCCCAATGGCACCTGGGCTCCCACAATACCGTTTCCTCCGTAGAATCCTGGAGCGTACATGTGCATCGATCCTCCCTTACCGTACGAGACTCCACATCTCTTTCCCATAAGCTCTCCAAGAACAGCCTTCACAGGAGCACCTCTCATGTAGGTGAAGCCGTGACATCTGTACGAGGTGATCACGTCGTCATTGCCGTCAATGGCATTTTCAATGCCCACAGCAATGGCCTCTTGTCCAACAGAAAGATGGCAGAAACCTCTGATTTTCTTGGCCTTGTAGAGAGCGTCGGCAGCCATTTCCATTCTTCTGATAATGACCATGTCTTTGTACATCTGGAGCAGAGTGCTCTTTTCGGTTTCGAAGCTCAATTCTGGTGCGTCCAACTCGTAAGTCTCGAACGAGGTTTCTGGCAAATCGATTCTCACGATGTCGGACTCTGTGGCCAGCGTTCTGGCCAGTCTGGGAGAGACGCGGACCGGAGCTCTCTTGGATAAAAATCTCAGCATTGAACTAATATGAAGAGAAGTGCTAAAAGATAAGGTGGTTGTTATCCCCTCTAATAAAAAATTCTTGAGCCGTGAGGTTTCGGAAAGCAAATTTCCAGCGTCCCCTGCCGACGGTCGGGGGAAAAAAAATGGGAGTCGCGACAGAGAAGTTTGTTGTGCTTATATAATTGTATAAAAATAAATGCAAAAAAATATATCAGATACATACATGTCTTCGAATTCCCAATACAAGTACGACGAGATGTCCAATAAGGTCCTACGGGCCAATCGACGATTGATGGACGAGAGAGGCGAATCACCGGTGTCGACCACTCCCCAGAGCGTTGTTGGTAAGATCAGCATTAAGGAGATGGGCTCTCGAGTGGAAAGGGAGATAAAGGAAGCTCCTGTACCAGTGGCAAAGAAAAAGAAAAAGATCAACCGTTCCATGAGGACGCTTCTTGACGCCTCTGTTGAGGAGCTCACTTATGTGCCTACCACTGAAAAGTCACAGCAAATATACGAGAATCTGCTAGTTTGGTGTTCAGAACAATTGGATAGCGACGTTCCAGGGGACATTGTCCAGTCGATGGCCGACATTATTCTAGAAATTCTGAAAAATGGGCGACTAACAGATTTGCAGCGAAAAGACACTATCGAAGAGACCATGGGCAAGAAGCTTGAAGACGAGGTTTTCCAAAAAGTTCTCGAATTGAGTAAGGAGATTGATGATTGGAAACGTCTGGATGGCGACGAAGCGGGGGGAGTTGTTATTGATGAGGAAGACGAAGATGCAGCGGAAGAGCAAGACGAAGACGAAGATGAAGACGAAGATGAAGAACCTGCTGAAGCTCAAGAAGTTAAAGATGATGTTCTTTTGCTTACGGCTGATGGTTCTGCAGAGACTGACGAGCTTGATATCAGGTCCATCGACAAATACTGGCTTACACGACTTCTTGCTCAAGAGTTCAAGGATTATGATTCCTACAGACACACAGAGCTTTCGCAAAGCATCAATGAACTGCTCACCAAGTTTGCCGAGAAGGAACTCGATATGCGCAAATTCGAGTCCAGTCTTCTCCAGCTGTTTGATTATGACTCGAATGACACCGTGCGAAAGATCACAAAGCATCCGTTGGAGATATATTTTGCAATCAAGCTTTCCCAAGCGTCAGAGGCAGAAAAATCACAAATATTTGACACCATGATATCGAGAGGATTGGAATATTTGGTCAACCAGTACAAGGGTATCAGGAAACACAGCGACGAAGAATCATCAACGAAACGACAGAAGTTGACTGAAACGGAAAAGAAAGAGGTCAAAAAGCAAGTGCCCAGATATGTTGATATCGAGAGCTTGGTATTCGAGCAGGGCTCGCATCTTATGACAAATACCAAATTCCAGCTTCCTCAAGGATCTTTCAAACGCGCTCGCAAAAGCTGGGAGGAAATCCATATACCGCCTCCCAAAAAACCAGAGTTCAAGGCGGACGAGAAACTCGTTGACATTGTCGAGCTGCCGGAATGGGCACAGACGGCATTTCCTTCGAACGAAACCAAAACTCTTAATAGAATACAGTCCAAAGTTTATCCTGCAGCCTTTCACGACGATACGAACATACTAATGTGTGCTCCTACCGGAGCAGGTAAGACCAATGTTGCGATGTTGACAATCTTGCGAGCAATTTCCAAGTATATGAGTGACGATGAAACTATACGTTTGAATGACTTCAAGATTGTGTATATTGCCCCTTTAAAAGCTTTGGTCCAAGAACAAGTGCGCGAATTCCAAAGAAGATTGAGTCAGTTCAATATCACTGTAAACGAACTGACAGGTGACTCAAATCTCACTAAGCACCAAATCGCCACCACTCAGATTTTGGTCACGACTCCTGAGAAATGGGATGTGATTACGAGAAAAATGAACGATGCGTCTTATGTTCGACTAGTCAGGCTGATCATTCTCGACGAAATCCATCTGTTGCATGATATAAGAGGACCCGTTCTAGAAAGTATTGTGGCCAGAACTCTCAAATACGCGGATGACAACAATGAGGAACCGGTGAGGCTGGTTGGACTATCAGCTACGTTGCCGAACTATGCTGATGTTGCCAGATTTTTGCGAGTGGAACAAAAAGGATTGTTCTACTTTGACGCAACCTACCGTCCATGTCCGCTGGCCCAGCAGTTTGTTGGCATTACGGAGAAAAAGTCACTGAAGCGCTTTCAGGCAATGTACGAGGTGTGCTACGATAAAGTTGTGGAAAACCTTTCCAATGGACACCAGGTGATCATTTTTGTTCATTCGAGGAAAGAGACGGAGAAAACAGCTAAATGGATCGTGGACAAGCTGATTGAAACAGAGAGAGTGGCAGACTTGATCAAGTTTACGCCTGGGGTCCAGGAGATTCTGAGAACTGAGGCGCAAGAAGCAGCTAGCGAGGGCCTCCAAAATGTGCTTCCTATGGGTTTCGGAATCCATCACGCTGGAATGAACAAAAAGGATAGGTCCACAACCGAGGACCTTTTCGCCCAAGGCTATTTGAAAGTGCTGGTTTCCACGGCAACTTTGGCGTGGGGTGTTAACTTACCTGCGCACACGGTCATTATCAAAGGCACGAATGTTTACTCTCCTGAGAAAGGTACGTGGGTTGAGCTTTCACCTCAGGATATTCTTCAAATGCTAGGAAGAGCTGGTAGACCAAGATACGATACTCATGGTGAGGGTATTATCATCACCAACCAGGACGAGGTGAAGTATTACCTCGCGATATTGAACCAGCAGCTGCCAATTGAATCCCAACTGGTCTCGAAGCTTGTGGACAACCTCAACGCCGAAATAGTGCTGGGAACTGTTCAGTCGTTAGAGGACTGCATAAAATGGCTGGGTTACACCTATCTGTATGTCCGCATGTCGCACTCACGCAGTCTATACCATGTTGGGATGGAGTATGAAAATGACACAGATTTAGTCGAAAGAAGGCGCGACTTGGCGTACTCTGCTCTTCTGCTGCTCATGAAAAACGGGTTGATAAAGTACAGCTTCCAAAAAGACCAAATAACGGCCACTGACATGGGCCGCATCGCATCGCATTACTACATTTCTTACAGAAGCATTCGCAATTACTCGAAACACCTAAATCCGGATATGAACGAGACCGATTTATTCAGAATGTTCGCCAGCAGTGAGGAGTTTAAATACATTCCAGTCCGACAGGAAGAAAAGATGGAAATCAAGAAGCTGATGGAGAGAGCCCCGATTCCGGTGAGCGAATCAAATGAAGACCCACTAGCGAAGATTAGTATTCTCCTTCAGGCCTATATTTCACAACTTCGACTGGAAGGCTTTGCTTTGATGGCAGACATGATTTATGTGGTCCAATCTGCTGGGCGTCTATTTCGGGCCATGTTGGAAATGGCGCTAAAGAAGGGCTGGCCCCGGCTTGCAGTTCTCTTGATTGACTTGTGCAAAATCATTGAAAGACGTTTGTGGCTGACGAACTCGCCGTTCCGACAGTTCTCTAGGGCCCCATTTGAGATCATACAAACTACCGAGCGGTCTATGACTCCGTGGAAATACTATTTGCGTCTTTCTGACGAGTTCGAGGTTGCCCAGGCTCTAAAGTCCGAGCGCTTTGGACGCATAGGGTTTGAGCTGCTTCAAAAATTCCCCAAGTTGAAAATGTCTTGCCAAGCCCAGCCAATCACTCCGTCATTGCTGAAGGTGGAGGCAGAAATCATTCCTTCGTGGAAATGGGACTATGACATTCACGGGTGGAGCGAGCAGTTCATTCTTCTTGTAGAAGACTGTGATTCAGAGAAACTTCTTTACTCCACCACGCTCATTGTGCAAAGCAAGTATATCGACCAGCCACATCTGGTTGATTTTACTGTGCCATTTATCGATTCATCGCAGCCAAACTATTTTGTGTCTTTGATTAGCGATCGTTGGCTTCACTGCGACACCAAGGTGCCAATCATGCTGAGCAACCTCAAAGTGCCAAAAATATTCCCTGCACCTACACCCCTCTTGGATTTTGATTTCATTGAGACCAGCGAGGTTGGAGAGTTTAGCAAGATTTTCAACTTTGAGACCTTCAACAGAGTCCAATCCCAGGTTTTCGATACTGTATTTAATACCTCAGAAAGTACACTGTGTTTTTGCTCCAAAGGTTGTGGAAAGACGACAATTGCAGAGATTGCGTTGCTGAGCCATTGGAATGAAGAAAAAGGTCGGGCTGTTTATCTTGCCCCTGAGCAGTATCAAATTGATCAGCTTCTAAAACGCTGGAAAAAAGTGTTAGGTCCACTATTTGGGGGCAAAGAGATTAACAAGTTGACGGGCGAGTTAAGTGCGGACTTGAAATTACTCGGAGGCTCACATTTAATTTTGGCAACTCCCGAACAGTTTGATTTGATCTCCAGGCGTTGGCAGCAAAGAAAGAATGTACAATCCATAGAGCTCGTTATTGCAGATGACTGCCATGCAATTGGTTTTGATCCAATCTATGAGCTTGTCCTGAGCCGTCTTAGGTTTATCGTCATCAATTTGAAGAAAGACATTCGGGTTGTCGCACTAGGGTCCTCTCTAGCGAATTCAAGAGACGTTGCTGATTGGCTTGGTGTTTCCAAACAGTGCAACTTTAATTTTGACTCAAAAGAAAGAGAGTATCCTCTCGAAGTGAAATTCCAAGCGTACCAGCTGACACACCATCCATCCATGGTTTTAGCAATGATTCGACCAGCATACAATGCAATCAGAGATCTTGACGAGGAAAGATGTATTTTGTTTGTACCAACGAGAAGCCACTGCGTCGATATATCTAAAGAACTGGTCAGATTGATGACGAAAGACGATGCGAATTGGCTGAGAACAGATTTGGAGAGTATTGAGAAGTATCTGGATCGGGTGCAAGATTCCTCTTTGAAAGAAGTTCTCAAGTACGGCATTGGCTTTTACTACACAGGGATGGCAAACACTGATCGAAGTCTCGTTGAGAAATTATACTCTGTCGGTGCCTTGACATGTTTGATGGCGACCAAAGAGACCTGTTATTGGTCTCCTGCTGCAGAGTTTGTCGTTGTTTTGAGTACGCAGACCTATGAAGGAAAAGAACACAGGTACATTGATTACCCAATTAACGATATACTCGAAATGGTGGGCCTTTCGAGAAACCAGAAAGCCACTTCAAAGGCTTTGATTCTCACAAATGAAGAGAAAGTCGACTATTACAAAAAATTCCTTGGCGAGTCGCTGCCAATTGAAAGTCAGCTGGCATATCACATCCACGATGCATTTGTGAACGATATCAGCACCCAGCTGATCAGAAATCGACAGGATTGTGTTGATTGGATCACGTACTCCTACTTCTACAGAAGATTACAGAGCAACCCCAGCTATTATGGCCTGAAGGATACGAGCGAGGATGGTATCTCAGAATATTTATCAGAGCTTGTTGAAAGCACACTGAACGATTTGGTGGAAGCCAAGATTATAGAGCTTGATATTGATGAAGACGTGGAAGAAGAAGAGGAGCTTGGAGATGAAATTAAACCTTTGAATGGCTGCATGATATCTGCATATTACAATGTCTCGTTTGTGACTATGCAAACATTCTCACTGTCTCTCAACAACAAAACCAATTTGCGGGGACTTTTAGAAGTCGTTGCCTCTGCTCATGAATTTGACGATATCCCTATTCGAAACCATGAAGACGAATTCTTAGGAAAGCTTTACAACCGACTTCCGTTGAGAAGCGCAAGCATCAGAAACTTCGAGTCTCCATCATTCAAATGTTTCATCCTGATCCAGGCTCACCTTTCGAGAGTCAATCTGCCCCCAGACTTGGCAGGAGATCTGAATAATATCTTATTGAAACTGGTGAATTTGTTATACGCAGCTGTTGATGTTTTTTCAAGTGAGGGTTTCCTGAACGCTATGTCTGCCATGGATCTGACGCAGATGGTCGTCCAAGCCATGTGGGCCAATGACAACCCGTTGAAACAGATTCCTTACTTCAGCGATGAAATCCTGAAAGAATGTGAGGCAAAGAAGATTGAAACTGTGTATGACATCATGGCATTGGAGGACGAGGACAGAGACGAGCTTCTTAAAACACTAACTGAGAAACAACTTGGAAGTGTTGCCGAATTTGTTAACAAGTATCCAAACCTGGAACTATCATACGAATTGGATCTCAAAGAACCAATCAAAGCGAATGAGCCTAAGGAAATTGTGGTGAACATTGAACGAGACGAGGAACTAGAAGAACTGGACGCCGTTTGTCCTCGGTTTCCATACAAAAAGATGGAAAATTGGTGGATTGTCATTGGGGAACACAAGAGGAAAGAATTATACGCTATCAAGAAGCTTACGATTTCCAAGGAGTCTCAGCAGGTGCGTCTAAACTTTACGATACCGGATGCTGGAGAGCATAAGCTCGGTATATGGTGTGTCTGCGACTCTTACATTGACACAGACAAACAGATCGAGTTTGATGTGAAGGTGGACTAATATTATACCTAGTGGTCTGAATCGATTAATTCGAAGCATGGTATGACCACACAAGTGGCCACATTTCAATCGAAGCAAGTACTGGCATCTACGAACAGTGCACAGTGATTATTCACCATTTTATACATAGACCATAAATCATGGTTGCACCCATACAAGGCCCCTAATATATGATAAGGGAGCATATGAGACTAAGAATATACACACTTTAGTCTATGGTGGTGTTCAAATAATCATTACTTCAGAGCTCACATCTACCTAGTCAATTACTACCAGCCTAGCCGTGTGGGTAAAAAGTACTTGACTGCCCAGCATTCAACCTCCTCATAATAATAGTCCTTAAATTTCTGCATAATTTCATAAAATTCTATTTTTTCAAAACCACCTTGTAAGTGGACACCTCGAAGCTCCTGGAAACTACCTCAAACGCATCATCCTTAACCACAATCTCCTCCTTCTCCTCCTCGAGCAGGTTCGTCTTAAACACCTTGTCGACCGCATAATTGACCTTGACCGTGGCTCTGGCCCTGCCACCAAGGGCTTCGTACATACGCAGCACAATAGTTTTCTGACCAGCGTACTTCTTCGGAAGGTTTCTGTAAATATGGCCTGAATCCATACCGGAATCGTCCTCTCCACGCTTGACGTTCGACAGGATCAGATTTTCGTCTCCAGCTAACGAAACAATGCTGTTGCCAAAGTCTCCGACGTGGCTAGTGCGTTCATTGAACTCCCAGCCCGCACGCACGGTCTCCACTCCCAGGGGGCCGCTGTGCGGCAGGATCGCGTAGTTGAACGCGTGCGAGCCCATGTCAGCGTTGCCGTCCGGGTACTTTGGCGCACGCAGCAGCGACAGCGTCATGGTGTTGCCGTGGACGTTGGCACCGTACTTGTTGTTGTTAAGAATCGACACGCCGTAGTTGAAGTCCGAGTAGTCCACGAACTTGTGGCAGCAGCATTCGAACTTGGCGATGTCCCACGTCGTGTTGAAGTGCGTTGGGCGCTTTGTGATGCCAAACTGCGTCTCGTAGCTAGCAAAATCGTTGTACACTGAAACAGGGACTTGCACCTTGAGGAACTTGTACGTTTCGTGCCAGTCTGCGTGGCACTCGAACCTGAGCATCGTCTTGTCAGTCAATGACTGCAGCGCGTCCAGCGAGATCACCGTTGTGATCCGACTGTCTGGCGAGATCTCGTGCTCCACCTTGAGCGAGGACACCAGCGGGCCCGTCTCAAGCACTTCCACCTTGGTGGCCTTGAGGAGGTGGAATTTCTCCCAGGAAAACAGCTCTGTGTCCCACGCAGGAAAGCTAAGCGGCGTGTCGGAGTACAGCACGTAGCGCACGCCGCCGATCTTGGGGGAGCTATCGAGCACCTCGCGGCGGTGCACCAGGTCGTACAGACTCGTCACCACGCCGTCGGTGCTGATGGTGGCACGCAGCCGTCCATTCTCCATCACGTAGACGCCGTCTCGATGCATAATCTTGGACCGGTACTTGACTGCCTTCGACGACTCGACCGGCACTAGAACGCCATTTTTCGACGACACCGCGGTGTAGCCTTTCTGCATCCAGCTGCTGCCCGTTCTCACGACGCCAGCGCGGTCCCAGCCAAACGTGTTGAGAATATACTTGCCCGGCTTGAACAGTTTTTTGATCTCGGTGAGCATCTCGAGCTCTATACGCTGCACACGCTCAAGCATCGGCCACACGTCGTCGCGGTACACTTTTTCAATGCACGAGCCGGGCAGCACGTCGTGGAACTGGCACAGCAGGATGTCCTGCCACAGACGGTCGATTTTGCGGTGCGGATATGCGTAATCCAACTCCAACGAGGCCTTGGTAGCCAAGTACTCGAGATCGCGCATCAGCAGCTCGACGGTGCGCATCAGATGCTTGACGCGGGCCTGCGACGTGTACGTGCCCCGGTGGAACTCCAAATACAGCTCGCCGCGCCAGGCTGGCAGTTTTTCGCCGTTCGCGGTGTCGCTGCGCAGCCTGTCGAAAAAGTCCGTCACAGTGACACCGACATGCACCGTTGGCATTTCGCCGGCCGCGTTCTCCGCAAGGCCTCTAATTCGCCGCAATCTCTCGAGCATCGACGCGTTTGGCCCGCCGCCGCCGTCGCCCTTGCCGTACAACAGCAGACCTTTCTGGTCGTTGTACAGGTTCTTGTGGCCCGAGACCGACCGTTTCACGTCCCCGAAGTTCGCGTCTGCAGTGTACGTATTGGCAGGCGGCATGTGGACAAGCACCTGCGACGCGTCGATGCCGACCCAGTTGAACGTGTTTTCTGGAAACTGGTTGATGTTGTTCCACGAGAGCTTCTGCGTCAAGAAGTTGGGCATTTCGGCCAGCCGGCACAGCTGTGGGATCTGACTCGAGTACCCGAACGAGTCCGGCAGCCAGTAGATGTTGCTCTTGACGCCGAACAGGTCCTCGAACCAGCGCTGGCCCAGCAAAAACTGTCTTGCCAGGCCCTCGCCGCTGGGCAGGTTGGTGTCGTTTTCCACCCAGCTGCCACCGAGCGGGATGAAACGGCCCTGCGCCACGTACTCCTTGACTTTGGCAAACAGGTCGGGATAGTATTTTCTCAGCCACTTGAAGTGCTGCGCAGCAGACGCGGCAAACACGTACTCCGGATATTTGTCGATCAGACGCAGCTGCGTGGACCAGCTGCGCGCAATTTTCGTCTTGGACGTGGCGAAGTCCCACAGCCACGCGGTGTCGATGTGGCAGTTGCCAATGGCGTACACGGCGTTGTACTTACTCATTTTTCCCTCGTACACTTTTTCCGAGTCCACATCGGGGCCCAGATACTCTCTGGCCACCTCGCGACACCGCAGAATGCTTTGTGGATCGTCGCTGTCAAAGACGTCCATGATCCGGTTGCAAACCTCGCGCGCCTTGTGTTTTGGCGCACCCTGTAGCTCCCGCGCAGCGTCACTGATCATCCAGAAGTCGTAGTACAGGGCGCGCGCAGCCAGGTTAGGGACAACAAGGTCGGCATCGCGCAGCTCGTAGCTGTCCTGCGTGCTGCCAAACATGCCGTTGCAGCCAATCTCGATGTAGAACGTGGTCTCTGCGCTCCGCCACGCTGCCGGAAGCTCGAACTCCACGCGCTCGCCGCCGCCCGTGAGACCTTGCAGAGGCAGGCCGTGGGCATCAAAAACAAGCGCCTCGCCACCAGAGTCCCACTTCAGAGCAACAAGCTCCTCCTTGGACCACGCAGCAGGGACCTTAATTTTGACCTCGAACCAATGGGACGACCAGGCCGGGCCAAAGCGGTCGCCCTTGTGGCACGGTTTGAACTCGTCTAGTTTCACCGGAATAACGTCCCTGAACAGCGGCTTCGAAAGACCCGGAGACGCCCAGGTTCTTAGCTCAATGTAGCCCTCGGAACCTTCTTTGTAGCCGTTGTCGAGGCGCGCCTTGGTGTAGAACTTTGGGAGCATAAGACCAGAATACTGGCCGCCCTCGTCGATGAACTGGCGCAGCCGGTTCTCATAGATGGAGTCGATGGGCTTAAATTGCGCCCCAACGTTCAACTGCGGATACTCGGATTCCATACTAAAAGTAGTTTAATTAAGTTGTTGCTTATTTGGCTTCCCCAGACATGGGATTAGCACAGCCAAGTATTTAACAAAAAATATTAAACTATACAAAATACTTGTTACGTCATATACTTAAACGGCATAGCAAGAGACTGGTATCAAAAACGAAATGTTAACACAACATTTTGGAGAAAGCAAAAAATCATCACGCAATCTAGTAGAACTTGACAACGGCAGAGCCCTTGGTGACAGTGACGGTGCATCCGTCGGTACTGTCCCCGCTAAAGCTACCGTCGATGTACGAGCAGTCACCGTTGATGGTGGAGCCGTCGGTAGCCTCGATCTTGACGTTGTAGTTTGGTGCATCCTTGTTGTTAGGGTTTGGAATCAGCGACAGGTAGGTGTTACCGTTGGTGTAGCCAGCACCAATAACCAAAGGAGCCCAGTTACCAACGCCAGACGAAGAGTCACCCCAGACACATCCGTCCTCGATCGAGACACCGGCGTTGTTCACGTAGTATTGAGCAGAAGTTTTGCCTCCTTGCCAGTGGTAGTAGTTGTCCTCGTCAACGACGCTCAATGGAGCCTTTCCACCAGCCTCCAACAAAGTTGGAACGACCATGTTCTCGGAACCTGGGTAGTCGGTTCTGCAGAGAGCGATATCCTGGTCGACGCTGGACTCGACGTATCCACTGTCCTGACCCCACTCACACAGGTAGTTGGAGTCAGAGTTTGACTTGTAGAGGTATCCGTTTTTACAGTAGAGACCACCGATCGACTTTCCATCGGATGGCTGAGTGGATGGGTACTGGGTCTTGGACATACCGGCCTGACAAGCGTAAGAGCAGTAGTAGCCGTCCTCACAAGAAGAGGAGGTGGAACCGTCCTCTTTCATGATCGAGGCCCATCCACCGAATCCGAGCCAGTCAACGGCAACAACACCCTGACCAGATGGGAAGTCGGAACACTTGATGGTACCATCCTCAAACTCCTCGGTTGGGCCCGAAAAGTCGCTGAGGTCACCGCTGATCGAGGAGGAGCCAGAGCTCGAGCTCGAAGTGGTGCTAGCCTCAGAAGAAGAGGAGCTAGAGGTGGTTTTAGACGTGGAAGTAGCAGAAGTGGAGGTAGCAGAAGAAGACTCGGAGCTGTCCGTGGTTGGAACGGCAGCCTGGACGTTCAAAGTGGACAACTGGCCGTTCGAGTCAACAACAACGGTGTGGGTCACGTAGACAACAGCAGCCTCTCTCTTGTGGTGGTGGTGCTCATGGGCCATAGGAGCAGCAAATGAGGAGGAAATAAGGGCCATAGAGGCCAAAACAGCAGAAACCTTCATTTTAGTTAAAAGAATGACAGTAGTTGAGTAGTAAGGAACGACTTAGTCAAGAGACAGGATCAACTAGCTAATAAATGAATGTATCGGTTCAAGACAAATCTTGAAACAGATGGGGAATCGAGGATTTATAAGGTGGGAATCGGGAATCAATGCAGCTGCCTGATCCGGAGGCGGATGCGTCTGATGTATAGGGAAAAAAAACAAAAACACACGGTAGCAAGCTTTTTTCTTTTGTGGAGCGACCTGGTATGCTAAGCCTGGTTGGCGAGGCTTACAAAATGAACGGGGCGAGAATAACGTTTGAAGAGACACACTGTTGTACAAGTCTACAGTCCTTGGAGACTCGGTGTCGTCTACCGTGCCGGTGAAAAATTTTACCTCTATTTCCTCGTCGCCCCTGTCGACATAGGTCTAGAACGATAAATTACGTGCACGACACATCAGAGTACATTGTATCTGGCGTCGAAATCAATTGTCCCATGCATGATCGAATTGTAAGCGATAAAATTTTCTTAGTTTTCCTTTCTAGGAATTATTGAAGAGTAAATAAAGATCGTAAAAGGTAAAAAGAAACGCAGCACATCTTTGCACAGGAGCTATTTACGTGTAGCTTGGCTGTACCTCCTCTCCTGTTACAATGCACAGCCTCGCTATCTTATTACTGCGTAAAGAGTTGTCAGTGCGTCAATATATCACACCATCGTATAGTCAAGGCCATTAGCTTTCGTCTCCTGTGGGAACCAAAAGTAGCAAAAGGCACGTAGGTCACGTTGCAGTGTGACTGGTATGAAATTCTTTATTTGTGATGGCTCAGCTAGCACTCTCCATTTTCAATTCAAGGCGGGGACTGCTACGTATATGCCCTGCCCGAGCTATCTAATTGCACTATGAGTTTATAAACTTTGTCACAAATCATAGTTTTATGAATTTGGTTCCTTCGGTACTCTCGTGCTATACAATAAAATTTTTGGATCTATGCTGACGACCCAAGTAATGAGAGGGAAACTCAGCGATTTTCAGAGGTACCCCAATAAATTGTTAGATGCTGACACTATCAAGCAATTATCAGACAGCTTGAAGCAGAAACATCAAGGGCATCATACAGATTGAGTATGCAACACCCCGAACGACGTATCGCATTTTCTATGCCACCATCGGTCGTACTTTGAGGAATTGACGATTGGGCTTTTTGGTTATACCTCTTCACGGATCCAAGATTGAGTTTTTCTAGCTTTTTATCTCGCGAGATATGGAACTTATTGTCTCGGCCAGAAATTTTGGATCCTGTAGCTCAAAGATCCGCAGCGCACTACAGGATTATGGAAGTTGCTTCCACAAACACGTACAATTATTCCTCTACTAGGATGCCTCCGACAACACCAGTCGGTCTCTTGACGCGGTATTGCTTGGCCCTGTTTATGACTCGCTCCTTCATCAACTAACTGTAAAAGACAGTGGACCATGTCACAGCTCCAAATATTAACAGCTGATCAACCTCGGAGCATCAGTCTTGGACGCGCTTTTTTTTTGCAACGCCTGTGATGGTATATCCCGTCACTAACCCTAATTTCGTGTCAGACGTACTAGATCTGTTTGACTGTCAACACTCATCACTCATTGGTCATGACAGAAGGTAGCACTTAATATGGGGAGATCGTCACTGATGGGTCGGAGGTGTGAATAAATGTATATACACCTCGCGCCAGTGAAAAAGTACAGTGCATCCGCGACTTCAGACAGGTATATTTATTTATTTACCGGTAGCGCATGGAATCAAAACTACTGAGTGTTCCCTTTCGGAAGACAGATCGTGTGAATTTATACACGTGTCTGAAAGGGGTCATTGACTCTGAATTCTACCAGTCATCTTCGAACTTTGATAAGAACCTGCAGGAGATTGACCAGTTGCGCAAGGCGGCGGAGGACCCTTCCTGTTCGCTGGAATCGATCGCTCTTCTGAAACGCTACTATGTTCAGCTCGCATCCTTGCAGCTTAAATTTCCCGAAGACTCGATTGAGTCGCCGTGGTATGGCACTCTGGGAGTTCGTGTGGACGGCCCCTTTACCTATAGATCGATAACCTACGAGCGAGCAAACGTGCTTTACCAAATAGCAGCAGCGTATTCTCTTCTGGCACTGAATGTTGACGATAAGCACAGTCTGGATGGAATCAAGCAGTCGTGTATTTATTTTCAGCACTCTGCCGGCTACTTCGAGCTTTTGCGAACTCAAATCATACCACAGCTGACAAATGTACCGCTCGAGCTGCGATCGGAGGTTCTCGAGACATTACAGCTACTGATGCTTGCGCAGGCACAGGAGAAATTTTGGTTCTTTGCCCTGAAAAGCGACCTGAAACACACAGTGATCTCAAAGCTATCTGCCCAAGTGTCGCAATTCTACGCCGATTCGCTTGTACTGGCAAAGAAAACTGTTTGTTTCAAAAAAGACTGGATTGAGCACATACAAATCAAGGCTTTGCATTTTAAGGCTGCGGCATACTACCGGAGCTCAATACACTGTGGGGAACAGGAAAAATACGGAGAAGAAATAGCGTATTTACGCGACGCTAAGCAAGTTTTCAACACGAAATTGCCGAAAGTAGACGGCGAGCTAGCTCTCGAAGACTTCAAGATGCTTCGCCAGACAATTCATGATAGACTGCGGAAAGCTGAACGAGAAAACGATTTGATATATCTACAGGACATACCAAAAGTGGAGGCTCTCACCAAGGTTTCTATGGTGAAAAGTATTCTGCCCGAGGACTTGACAGACTTGCATAAGGCCATCAACAGCAGTGAATACGGGAGACCGCTGTTTGAAGAGCTGGTGCCTTACAGCGTGATCCAGGTCGCAATGTCCTACAAAGAACGTGTGGAAAATTATTTTGTGGTCAATTTCAAGGAACCCCTGGAGCAACTCAACAAAAAGATCGATGCACTGATCAGCGAGACGGGAGTGACTGCTCAAATAGAAACGATCCTGAAGCCGCAAAGCATACCTAATTGGGTGTGGGAAAATAAAGAGAAGCTGGAACAAATGAGGTGGCAGAGCACTTTGAGAGAGCTAGAAGCAGAGCTGCGCGAGGTGCGGCGCGATGCGCGGCCTCAGTTGGACAAACTCTGGGAAGAAGTGCGGGTAGCGCGGGAGAACGACCAGCAGCAGCGCAGATTGCACGGTTCGAGGTGGCAAGTCCCAGATTTCGACGAGTCTGGGGCTGAGTGCTACGAAGTGCTAAATAAGTTGGAGACATATTTGGACCAGTCGACCAAGGGTGACCGCATTATCTTTCAGCAGATCAAGGACCTCAAGCCTTATCTACAGGTGTACGAGTCGGCGGAGAGTTTGGAGGAATTCATTCCCAAAAGCCAGATACTGGACCTGAACCCGGATTTTAAAGAGGTGGTGTTCAAGTTGGATGACAAGGTGAAACAACTGAAAAACCTGAAAAACGAGCGTTATGAGTTCCTGGAGAACCTGAGGGTCAAGATGAATGAGAACCAGATCCTGATGCAGGTGACAGAACAGTACAAAAAACTCGTCTCGCAAAATATCGTTGTGGATGAGAACTCCATGCAGTTTATTTTAGATGAGAATTTGCGGAAGTTTGACGCAGAGCTCGGATTTCTGACAAGTACAGCCACCATTCAAGATAGCGACATAGCGCTGATATACGACCTTTACGATATTTTCAAGTCAGCGAAAAAACAACTGCAGGGAGGCAAGGAGCGCGAGACAGCTTTACGCGTGTTGCAGGACACAATGAATGGCTACTTAGAGGTGGTGGACAACCTGAAGCAAGGCATTCACTTCTACCAGGACTACATGGAGAATCTGGCCACGGCTGGGCAGAAAGTTTGCGACTTCCTCAACAACCGACGGTTACTGGTGAGTAATCTTTGAATTCATGCAAAGACCACTATCTTTTACCCTAAACAGTGTTTTTCCGTGTGCGAAACAATCGCGCCGCGCGCAATCCGCAAATAAATTTGACGAGGAAATATATTCGTAAAACCATGCCTATAGCCGTGGCCCCGATTTTTACTTTCCTTTGATTTACAGAGCATGGCTTCGAATCACGTATCCGAGATCAAGGATGCAGAGTGTGCTGCCGACGACCATCAAGTAAGAGATCCTAATGCGCGTCCTGAAGTTTTCAAGTCCACTTTCCAAGAGGTACTTTGCGTGATTGTCGTTTGCTTTGCAGTGGCAACAAGCTCGATTCCGGAAGGCAGTTTCCAAACAAGCCTTACGGATCTAGCCGACAGCTTTGAAGTCAACGGAGGCCAGTTGGTGTGGAGCGTTTCCTCGATTGTGCTCTCGAGCGGAAGCTTTCTGCTAATCGGTGGTAAGCTGACCGACTGTTTCGGCCGACGTCGTGTGATGCTTTTTTGCTTTACCGGCTTCACGCTAGCATCGCTGGTTGCAGGGTTCATGAAGAATTTCATTGGTCTTGTCATCCTCAGGGCCGTTGAGGGGCTGTTTTTTGCGCCTCTGATCCCTGCAGGCGCCGGTCTCATAGGGTCGTTGTACAAAGAGTCGCGACGGCGGAACGTTGCGTTTGCCGTCTTCTCCAGTGGTGGTGCCATTGGATACATAGCTGGACTTCTGATCGGAGGCGTTTCTGTGACCGCGTTCAGCTGGAGGGCAGTTCAATTTTTTACTGCTATATTTTTTGGGGCAGTGACTATGGTGGCATATTTTGTGGTCCCCAAAGACAAACCATTAGACAGGACAACGGTCAAGCAGACTTTATTGAACCTGGATTATCTCGGGTCGATTTTGATTCTTTCTGCATTTGCGCTCATCTCATTTTCGCTGACACAAGTCGACGCGGCACAACGTAGATGGCACACCCCCTACATCTACTCTCTTTTAATCGTTGGAATATTTTTACTGGGAGTTTTCGTCCTGGTAGAGCTGTACGTGGCGCGCGACCCGATCATGCCAATGCAGCTCTGGAAAAACAACAATTTTGTGCTTTCCATGGTGGTGGCATCGCTAACGTGGGTCACGTTTATCGGGTGTCTGGGCTACTACCCCATGCTTTATTTTCAGGACGTAAAAAATTGGGGAGCCCTGCACACGGCACTTGCGGCCATGCCGATGGGGGTGAGTGGCATCTTCACAAACCTGTTTGTTGCGATGTCCTTCCATGTCATATCTGGGAAGCTGATGCTCATAGGCGGCAATCTCTGCATTCTCGGTGCTAGTATTATCTGGGCTACCATGGACTACCATAGAAATTACTGGCTGGGCCCGTTCTGGGGCTACACTCTGTCTGCAGTTGCGTGCGACATTACCTACAACGTCTGTACCATGGTGACGATATCATCCGTCGAGGTGAAAGACCAGGGCGCGGCGGCAGGGGTGTTCAACACAATTCTTCAGCTAGTCACCGTGGTGGGGCTCAGTTTAGGCTCTGTTCTAATTTCGGCCCGAGATCCCTACTACGGGAAGCCGGAGCAAAATTTACATCCGGGGCTATTGTTCTACGGCATACGAAACGTTTTTTATCTGGCGATCGGGTTCAGCGCGGCAGCGCTGATCATCTCGTTCTTCGTCAACGTGGGCACTTCAGGCAGCGGCAAAGGTTTGAACGAAGCGGAGCCCTGCCAAGAGCGCTAGTGTCCGGCTATAGACGGTTCGGGAAGAAAATTTGCGTTCGGTAACTTTTTCCCCCTGCTGCATAATAATCCACCTGAAACAGAAATTTCTACTCCCGAACTGTAGTGTTAAGTCCGCGACACCGATTAGTTCGGATTTAGCTATTGTTTTTCTGAATTGCTGCTAATCGGCACTAGGTGTATGCCGCTTTATGCCGTCAGTTTTGCACTCGTTTGTTTATTTCTCGCATTAGTAATTCTTTTTTTCTCGCAGACATATAAGGCTCAGCACAGACGAGAGAAATACGACTTTAGCTGTTTTGTTATTATGAGTACTTCACGTGCGCACTCTATGAGCTCGTCGTATAATACTTCAGAGTCGTTTCACACCGCAGAGCCGACGAGCGAGCACGATGGCTCGTCTCAAGCGGAGAAATTGCCTGGAGATAACACCATCTCCCAGGACTCGGAGGTCAAGTCCAGTGCCTCGACCCTGGAACACGACCCGCTCAGCCATGATGGGTACGCTGCCCACCCTGCCAAGTACGAGCCTCAGGCAGTCAATGAGGACAGTTTTCCTCCTGACTTAGAACCTAATTCTCGTAGAGAGTCGATTACAGAAGTTTCCAGGGAGTTGTCTAGAGTGCTCACAAATGCCAAGTCTATCGAGGACAGAATAAAGAAACAGGAAGAGGCAGGTGTGCCTATTCCTCCTATGGGTGGGGGGAAGGATTATCCACCTATGCTGCCCGACAAGGATCCTTATTTGGTCGCTTTCGACGGTGAAAACGATCCTTTCCATCCACACAACTGGCCATTAATTACAAAAGTCATTCAGTGTGCAATCATTGGTGCAGACACGTTCTGTATTGCGTTTGGCTCGGCCATTTTCTCCGAAGGAGTCCCAGAAATCGCTAAACAGTACCACGTGGCTCAAGTTGTGGCCACGCTGGGTCTCACGCTGTACGTTCTAGGTTTTGCAACAGGCCCTGTTATTTGGGCTCCGCTGTCCGAGTTGTACGGTAGAAGGCCTGTGATGGTTCTTTCGTCGGTTGCGTTTGCTTCATTCAATTTCGCAGTCGCATGTTCCGACAGACTGGAGTCGATTTTGATCTGCAGATTCTTCGCCGGCTGTTTGGGAGCAGCACCGATGGTGGTTGCCCCGGCCGGCTTCGCAGACATGTTTGGCAACCGGACGAGAGGTACCGTGATGGTGGTGTTTTCGATGGCTGTGTTTGTGGGCCCATTGCTGGCACCGTTCATCGGAGGTTTCACCGTGGCGAACACAAAGCTTGGCTGGAGATGGACCGCATTCCTCACAGGTATCCTGGCATCAGCGAACATGGTTGTGATCGTCCTGTTCCAAAGAGAAACACACCATCCGATCTTGCTGGTCCAGAAAGCCAGGGAAATCAAAAGACGTACTGGTAATTGGGGCATTCATGCTCCCCACGACGAGTTTCAACTCACGATTAGAGAAATTGTCGAAAACAACCTTACCAGACCGCTCAAGATGCTTTTCACGGAGCCAATCATTCTTTTCATCAGTCTGTACAATGCCTTCATCTACGGCATGTTGTACCTGTTTCTGACAGCATACCCATTTGTCTTCCAGAAAGGATACAACATGGCTCCTGGTGTTGCCGAATTGCCGTATTTTGGAATGGTGATTGGCGAGATTCTGGGAGGCTGTTTTTGTATCTACCGCGAAAAAGGCTACGTGCGCGCTCTGGAAGCTAATAACGGAAAGATCGTTCCAGAAGCTAGACTCCCAACCATCATCTGGGGCGGTGTGGCCTTTCCTATTGGTATTCTGTGGTTTACCTGGACAGGTAACTACCACAACGATATCCATTGGATGGTGCCAACCGTTTCTGGTCTCTTCACCGGTTTCGGTCTGATGGGAATCTTTGTCCCTAGTATGAACTATATCATCGATAGCTACCTGGTTTTTGCCGCCTCTGCCATGGCTGCTAACACATTCCTGAGATCCTCGTTTGGTGCTGTCTTCCCGCTATTTGCTTCCTTCATGTTCCAGAACATGCACACCAACTGGGCAGGTCTTCTCCTTGGACTTTTCTCCATACTTCTGATTGCCTGCCCTATTCTTTTCGTCATATACGGAAAGAGGCTCAGACAGAGGTCCAAGTATGCATTTGATCTCTAATTGGAGATCATCCTCGTTATTATACGGCAGCATTGTTAATAATTGCGAAACTAAACTTATTTTAGCGTAAATAACTGTATACCCAACCGCGACCCTACAACATCTTCATGCTAACTTCGCTCACATTGCTGTCGCTGCGCTCTCTTTGCTCCCCTCCAAATTCGGGGGAGCATGGCGAAACTCCCTTGATGACAAATGGTGCACTCACAGAGTTTGACAAATCCAGGTATTTGTTCTGTGTCGGTCCTGTGCTAAGGGGCAGGAACTCCTCAAACTTGACGTCCTGGCTTTCATTTAAAGAAGAATTAACGCTTTTCATTAGTTCGACGGCTTCCATAGTTAAAATATTCTATAGCAGATGTGTGAATCATCTTGTGGATTAGCCCCGGACTTTATATAGCATGGGGTGTGTCACGCATGCGAGGCAAATTTTGAGGTCATGCTTCCCTGGAGGCGAGCAAAATACGTCATTTGTTGGATTGGAGTGTAGGTGTGCGGATTCTGGTGTGTGGTGTCTTTGTTTCTGTATTCATAATATTTTTTCCAATTTTCAGCTTGTAATTAATGAAGAAAGACGATATCGAGGAGCAGAAAATCCAAGCAATTGTGCTCACAGACTCGTTCCAGACGCGGTTCATGCCGCTGACGGCTATTCGACCCCGGTGTCTATTGCCGCTGGCAAATGTCCCGTTGATCGAATATACCCTGGAGTTCTTGGCCCAGGCCAACGTCTCGGAGGTCTATCTAATGTGTTGTTCGCATGCAGACCAGGTCCAGCAATACATCGATGACTCCAAGTGGGTGCATCCGTCGTCGCCGTTTACTAAAATTCAGACCATCATGTCGCTAGAGTCGAGAAGTGTTGGAGACGCCATGAGAGACGTAGATTCCAGAGGCCTGATCACAGGAGACTTCGTTCTCGTTTCCGGCGACGTCGTGACCAATTTGGATCTCAGTAAGGTTTTGGCAACTCACAAACAACGAAAAGCCGCCGACAGAGACTACATTGCCACCATGGTTCTCAAGCAGGCGTCTGAGCTGCACAGAGCGAGATCTCATATCGAGCCTGCATGTTTTATTCTCGAAAAGGGAACAGACAAGTGTCTGTATTACCAAGACATTCCGCCAGTTAACGGCCAGAAAACGTCGGTGAATATCGATCCTGAGATTTTGCAAGATGTGGCCGAGTTCGATATCAGAAACGATCTCATTGACTGTCACGTTGATATATGCACTCCCCAAGTGCCAACTATTTTCCAGGAGAATTTCGACTATCAGGCGTTGCGGTCAGACTTTGTCAAGGGAGTGTTGTCCAGTGATCTGTTGAAGAAGCACATTTATGCATATGTCACCGGAGACGAGTACGCTGCGCGGGTCGAGAGCTGGCAGACTTACGACGGCATTTCGCAAGACGTTCTAGAGAGATGGTGTTATCCTATTGTTCCTGAGCGCAACATCATTGACGATCAAACCTACACGTATGAAAGCAAGCATATTTATAAAGAGCAAAACATCAGACTCTCTCAGTCCTGCAAAATCCAGTCCAGAGTTGTTATAGGCAACGACACATTCATTGGCGACGGGTCCAAAGTTCAGGCCTCTGTAATTGGCCGCCATTGTCGAATTGGCAATAACGTGCTTGTGGAAAACTCGTATATCTGGGAAGGCGCGGTGATCGGGGACGGTTCGGTGATCAGACACTCGATAGTTGCCGCCGATGCTGTTGTTGGGGCCAATTCCATATTGAACCCAGGAGCCGTGATAGGTTTTGGAGTCCGAATCGACGACAATGTCGAGATTCCGCACGATACAAAAATCGTCAAGGAGAAAATACGCAAGATGGACGACAGTCTGTCGCTTTCAGAGGAGGAAGACGAGGAGGAGGAGAGCGATGCCAGTATCGTTGGTCCAAACGGGATCGGCCGTTTGTACAGGGAGGACGTCCACGAAGACGGCCAATATGGAGGCATGATTTACCAGATGGCCCAGCTGAGCGTTTCTGATACTTCGTTGGCTTCAACCACGGTGGCACACCAACACCGTCGCAAGAAACGCACACAAAGCACAACATCCGCGTACTTGTCGGAAGAAGAAGACGAACAGTTCGATAAAGAGGCCATTGCCACCGTTGAGCGGGCCATGGAGTTTAACCACGACATCGACACGGCTCTTCTGGAGCTCAACACGTTGAGAATGAGTATGAACGTGACTTACCACGAGGTCCGTGTGGCCACCAGCACAGCCCTGGTGAAGCGGGTTGACCATTTCATAGAAACGCAGACTTTAGGAGCAAAAGAGGCAGTCGAGAAGATCTTCCGCAAATGGTCATCGTTGTTCGATAGACAGGTGTTTGACAATGAGGACCAGCTGGACCTGCTCATCATTCTCCAAACTTTGTGCTCGCAGCTCGATGCATCGTATAACTCGGTCGTGCTGCTGTGGATCCTCGTTGTTTTATACGACGAGGAAATCATTGAAGAGGAAAACATTTACAAATGGTGGCACAGCGAAAAGAGTAAGGAAATCGGTGCCCGAGACAGAGTGGAAAAATGGATCGAGTGGTTGCAGGAGGCTGAGAGTGAGGAAGAATGAGCTACGACCAGTTAGACGCGTCGGACGGCTTCAGTAAATTCTGTATTGCACCGTCGCAAAAAAGCTACATGCAGTTTATTTGCTTTTTTCTGCTTTTCTTTTCAATCACCATCGGTTTTTCTGTTCCTAACTTTTATCCTTAATTTTTTTTTTTATCGTTACCCTACCCCCCTTCAAATTGTAACAGATACACTGTGAAAACATCTCTTTTGGCTGGACCAACTTAATTCAAAATGATGACAATAAAATGTGTCGTGGTGGGAGACGGAGCAGTCGGTAAGACGTGTCTGCTTATCTCCTACACCACCAACAAATTTCCAGAAGATTACGTCCCGACCGTCTTCGACAACTACGCCGTGACGGTCATGATTGGAGACGAGCCATACACCGTGGGGTTGTTTGATACAGCAGGCCAAGAAGATTACGATAGATTGAGACCACTCTCGTATCCTCAAACCGACGTGTTTCTGATCTGTTTCTCTGTGGTTGTGCCTTCGTCGTTCGATAACGTGAGAGAAAAATGGTTCCCTGAAGTCAGCCACCACGCTCCACAAGTTCCGTGTCTGATCGTTGGTACGCAGATCGATCTTCGTAAGGACCCTACAGCGCTCTCCAACCTCATGAGACAAGGCCAGAAGCCTATCACGCCACAGCAGGGCGAGAAGCTTGCGAAAGACCTGAAAGCCGTCAAGTACGTCGAATGCTCTGCCTTGAGCCAGGAGGGGCTCAAGAATGTTTTTGATGAGGCAATCGTGGCCGCCCTTGAGCCTCCGGTCATCAAGAAGGCCAAGAAGTGCACCATTCTATGACCATTATATGTAGAGTTACCCGGACTATAAGTATCATTTGTCAATGTTAGTGAAAAAAACAAACCTTTTCTTTCTCTATAGTAAATCAATGTTCTCTGCTGCGCGTTCAGACACCCTATTTTTGGGCGGAGAGAAAGTCAGCGGCGATGATGTCCGCAACCAGAACGTGCTGGCTACCCAGGCCGTTGCCAATGTTGTGAAATCGTCCTTGGGTCCGGTCGGACTGGACAAAATGCTGGTCGACGACATCGGTGATGTCACCGTCACCAACGATGGCGCCACCATCCTGTCACTTCTAGATGTTCAGCATCCGGCAGGCAAGATTCTGGTTGAGCTCGCTCACCAGCAGGACCGCGAGGTGGGAGACGGAACCACCTCTGTGGTGATTATTGCCTCCGAACTTTTGAAGAGGGCTAACGAGTTGGTCAAGAATAAAATTCACCCAACCACTGTGATCACAGGCTACCGTCTTGCGTTGAGAGAATCTACTCGATTCATTAATGAGATGCTCTCTCAGCCGGTCGACTCGCTAGGAAAAGAGACTCTTGTCAACATTGCAAAGACCTCCATGTCTTCCAAGATCATTGGATCCGACTCCGACTTTTTCAGCCAAATGGTGGTTGACGCCCTTTTGGCGGTGAAGACCACCAACAGCAAGGGAGAAACTAAGTACCCAGTCAAGGCAGTGAATATCCTCAAGGCACATGGAAGATCTGCCACTGAATCTGTGTTGGTGAACGGTTACGCGCTCAATTGTACGGTGGGATCCCAGGCCATGGTGAAACGCGTCACTGATGCACGTATTGCCGTTCTGGATATTAATTTGCAAAAAGCAAGAATGGCCATGGGAGTTCAAATCAACATCGACGACCCAGAGCAACTGGAGGAGATCCGCAAAAGAGAATACGGAATTGTTCTCGAACGTGTCCGCAAGATCATCGACGCAGGCGCAAACGTTGTTCTGACCACGAAGGGTATTGACGACCTGTGCCTGAAGGAATTCGTTGAGGCCAAGGTGATGGCCGTGAGACGTTGTAAGAAGGAGGACTTGAGAAGAATTGCCCGTGCCACGGGAGCCACCCTTATCAGCAGTATGTCCAACTTGGAGGGAGACGAGGTCTTCGAAAGCACTTACCTAGGACAGGCCGAGGAGGTTGTTCAAGAGCGTTTCAGTGACGATGAGTGTATCCTGATCAAAGGCACAAAGACTCACTCTTCTTCGTCGATCGTTCTGAGAGGCCCTAACGATTACACTTTGGACGAGATGGAACGTTCGATACATGATTCCCTTTCGGTGGTAAAGCGGACTTTGGAAAGTGGTCATGTGGTGCCCGGCGGTGGAGCTGTCGAGTGTGCACTGAACATATACCTGGAGAATTTCGCCACCACTGTCGGATCCCGTGAGCAACTGGCCATTGCCGAATTTGCAGCTGCTCTGCTCGTCATTCCAAAGACGTTAGCTGTGAATGCTGCCAAAGACGCCTCGGACCTCATTGCCAAACTGCGCTCCTACCACGCTGCATCGCAGCAAGTTTCTCACATAGATACCAAGCGCAAGAACTACAAAAACTACGGTCTGGACCTCGTGAGAGGAAAGGTGGTCAATTCAGTCAGCCACGGTGTTTTGGAGCCTACCGTGTCCAAGATCAAATCTCTCAAGTCGGCGCTGGAGGCATGCATCGCCATCCTGCGTATAGACACGATGATTAACGTGGATCCAGACCCTCCAAAGGAGACTCACGACCATTAATAGTGATCGAATACTGATTAGACAACAGCAAAAATGTAGCAATAGCCTGTATGATTTTGGCCACTCAGCCACGCATCTCCGTTTCCGAACAAAAGTCCGCGGCCACCGTTGGATTTAACGTTTTTCCTCTCGGCAGTGCTTCTCCCTGTGTCGCGTTTTCTTAGCTAAGCAGAACTAAAATATTTTACGACCTAAACGAATGAAGGAAGAATCCCCGGATGAGTCCCGTGTGCCTAAACGTCCAGGTGGAAAGCGCAAATTCCACAAGAAAAGTCGCAAAGGATGTGCTACATGTAAAAAAAGACGTGTGAAGTGCGATGAGACCCGTCCAGTGTGCGGCAACTGCGATCGCATGGGAATCCAGTGCATTTACAATACACCTGCTCCCGCCGTGCAGGCTACACAGGATATCCTGACAAGCGAGCATATGTCAAACTCAACAGGTCCTTCTCCCATCCAGGAACAAAAACAAAGCACACTCAAACCTCCTGAAATTGTGCAAGAGCCAAACTTGTCCCCAAACATGATCACGCAACCGCCTCCCACTCAAACCCTGGCCTATGATACACACCAAACGCTCAACATGCTCGATTTACGACTCATGTATCACTACACCACCAAAGTCTGGCCCACAATCACAGAGGCCGGAATATCAGACTCCAAAATATGGTCAGAGGAAATCCCGATGCTCGCTTTCAAATACCCTTTCCTTATGCATTCAGTTCTTGCTTTCAGTGCCACCCATCTCTCCCGAACAGAGCGCGGCCTAGACCAGTGCGTTACGGGACACCGTGCAGACGCGTTGGGACTGCTACGTGAGGCAGTGCTCGAAATGTCGCCCGAGAACACAGACGCCCTGGTGGCAGCCGCTTTGATTCTGATTATGGACTCTCTCGCCAACGCGTCTCTGCCAACGTCGACCTCTCTCAAATCTCTTCCGCCGTCGGCATGGATATTCCATGTTAAGGGAGCGGCAACCATATTGACGGCAGTGTGGCCCCTGAGCGAAAAATCAAGATTCTACAAGTTTATTTCGGTCGACCTTGGCGACCTGGGGGAAATCGGTTACGACTTGATTTCTGGAGAACTATCAACAGACACAGCAAAGGCTGACATGCTAAAAATGAAATACTCCTCTATTCAGTGCTTTGACGAAGAGATCCGGGACATGTTCCCTATCCCACTCCACTCGCCGTATCTGCCCACACTGGCTTATATGGCAAAGCTTCACATGGAACGGAACAAGAAGGATTTTATCTTGAGAGTGTTTGCCTTTCCTGCCCTTCTGGATAAGCGATTTCTCGGACTGCTCATTAGTTGTGACCTCTCCGCAATGAGGATAATGCGATGCTATTACAAGCTGCTTCGCAATTTCACCGACGAAATGAAGGACAAGGTCTGGTTTTTGGAAGGTGTGTCTTCTGTTCTTCCGGTGGATGTTGAAGAATACTCGGGAGGTGGTGGAATGCATATGATGCTGGATTTCCTTGGTGGTCCATCCACAGCAGAAGACGACGGAATTCTCAATGCTGTGCCCAGCATCGTTCAATCGCGACTTCTGGATACAAACAATCTACCCAGCTCTTCAATAACTGAAAGCTTGGGCTTAGACGAAACATCGGGGCTGGAGGATGATACCACGTTCATCGATGTGAACTAGATTTTCGTTCGAGCAATCCCATCAGGGTCTCTGTTGACTCCCAATTCTAATAGCTTGGCAAACGCTGAAGCAAAGTCTCTCATAAATAACTCGGAATCTCTTGCATATACTTCAACCCAGTATTTGAATGTTGGATTCTTGATCAGCTCTATATCTGTGATCAGCATCATCAAACTGTGATCGGAGTTGTAATACTGTGGCATTCCGGTCAAAGGGACTTTCTCAAAATTCCACGTATCTTCCAATAGCACTCTGAAGAACTCATTGTCGAACTTAACCGGATTGGAAGTCCAACTGCCATCGAATCCACTAAACTTCACGTGGCATCCGCCCAACGTGTGGCCACCTCCAATCAACGCAACAAGCTCCTGGTCATTGAAGCCAAGACGTTGAGTGAACACCTCATGAAGATGCTCGGTATCTTTTGTAGCCACAGGGAGTCTTCCCATTGGAGGCACCTTATTAGAGTCTGGACAGTCTGTTCTTCCCGGCTTCCACTCAATCTTTGGTCCTCCCATGGCTTCAATAGCAACCACTCCTCCTAATGTATAAAGATCAGCAAAAGATATCCAAGGATATTTCTCGTGAATTTGATCTAGATACGATTTTGCAGTGTGCAGTCCTGTATTTCCGGGATCATTGAATTCTTGGGCAAATCTCATTGTACCTCCATTACATCCACCGGTACCTGACTCGCGGTCGAAATGGGCACAACAATGCCAAGTGAATCTAACAATGTTGGGACCAATAGACCCGTCGTCATAATCTGGTTTTGGAAGACAGTCTCTGATCGCTTGTCTGACCAGCTCGTAATTTCCGTAAGTGGGATCCTGAGGTTTATTTTTTCGCCTAATTCTGATCTTATAGAAAAAAGACGAGTTAGAGTCTGAAGACTTGATTGGTCTGTCCTCAATGACCTGTTGCTCTTTTGGTACGGGAGTTGGGGATGGTGGAGGCGCTTCTGCTGGTTGATCAAAAAGTTTGGTTATTGACGGTGATTTAATTGGCACAGTTTGGGACACCAGATGACCTGAGTCATGTGTCTGTCTCACCGACTCAGAGCTAAGGATGTACGATTTCGGTGTGAAATCCGACTTGACTCGTGGTGCAATCACACGACTTGAGTCTCTGATAGCATCGCTATTGGGGAATCTAGACTCTCTCTCAAGCAATTGGCCGTCCTTGTCCGCTGAAGGAGTAGAGTTGGAATGAGGGTCAAATAAATAAGAGCCTGTTTTTTTAGGCACAAAGGGAAGTTTTCTGAGTGTGCAAATGGGGGCGTGAATGACATATCTTTCGTAATAGTATGCTGTTCTTCTCCACGTGATACCTGGTATAGCTTGCAACGCAGGAGATTCGAACCAAGCCTTGACATCCTCTGCTACAGGTCTTGTTTCATTGTACGTCCTGACCACGTTAAAGCGTTTTTTCTGCTCCCAGGACTCCCTGAAAGTCAGATCATCTTCTCTGGCCCCATTAATCATCAAAATCATGTTGTAGTGGTACAAAATAAAAAGTTTGATATATGAAAGAGCATTCAGGGTATTGTAATGTGCAAACTGCAGAATCACTCTCAGAAACACATAGGGAACCAAGAGGACCCGTCCAAGCGTTGAGACAGAGCGTGCAAAGCTGGTGTATGTGCCTGCAATTCTGTCCATAACGAAGTGGGAAAAACTATATCCTTCTTTTTCAGACGCCGAATATACCCTTATTTTGTTGCATCCATACACCGCTTAATTCAGTTGAACATAATTACCTGGGAACACTCCAGTCACACCATTAAGAGACCCGGTCCACCAATCATTTTGGTTTTCGGACCTTTGCAAGATTGTAATGACCTGTCCGGCACTAAAGGACAAGTCTCCCTCTGCTTGCGCTGTGTAGTCGTACAGCGCGGTGCAAGTTTCTGCTGCTGGTGCAGCAGCAGCCGGAGCAGCAGGAACCACGGGCGAAGACGCAGAAGTGTAAGAATTGGGGGATGAGTAACCATAGGAAGCAGTCTGGGGAGCGCCATATGGCGTCTTTTTGTCCTCTGGGTAGCCGTACGTCGACGTGGTGGTAGGTGGTGTTTGGCCGTAAGTTTGGCCATAAGCTGGCGCAGGCGAGGTCTGACCATACGGTGGAGGCGAAGTTTGGCCGTAAGCAGTGAGAGGGGAGGATTGGCCGTAAGCGGATCCACTACCGTAGGATGAAGTCGGAGATGAAGGGTCAGTGTGCTGTCCCGAGGCGTATCTTCTCTTGGTGGCCTCGAGCTTGGCCTTTGCGTGTCCGATCTTAAAGTGTGTTAGCCCAATGGCTTCAGCTCTTTCCTCCACATCGCCTCTCTTGTTCGTGAATTGTTCCAAGATATCCGAGTTCAGGTCGAAGTATGGGATCTTCATTTCCTCCATTCTGGAGGACAGCGTGTAGAAAACGTTCAGCTGCATGTAGTACAAGCTCACAAACAAGGGTTTGATAAATTCGCCCTCCAATTGGAAGAGAATAGGCAGCTCGGTCTTCAACATCTCGTTGTAGTAGTCGAACTCTTGCTGCGCAATGGCAACGTCACTCTCGTACTTGTACACTTTCTCTTCCATCTTCTCGTTTTTCTCGGCCTTCAACTGGGCTTTCTTCAACGAGTTCTGGTGTCTGTCCAAATCAAGCTGCTTATGGTTTCTCTTTGTTGCCATTTTCCGGATAGCTTGGATGATGCGCAACAGCTCGTTAGCCGGACCGACAATTCTGGACTCAATGAGCTCCAGGTCTGGTTTGAGCGTCTCTTTGAGCTCCTGCAAAACATCTCTGTATTGGACACAAGCCTCAATACCTTCAGGATTGCCTTCTGGAATGGTAGAGTTAGGGTCCGACACCTTGCCGCTAATCGGTTTGAAGATTTCTTCAATCGACTTTGAAAACCCAAGCTGCCTATCCAGCATGTCATTGACCGCTTTGTGGTACCGCTTCGACTCCTCGCTCAAGCGTTTCGTCATATCCTCTAACTCTTTGAACCTTCTCTCAGCGTCCTGGTAGACGGGGTCGTTGGTGGTCTCCCCCATGTTGAACTTTTGCCGCAGGTTCTGGGGAGCCCGCACAATGGCTTTCTGGAATCCTTTCAAACTCATTGTACGGATGGTATAGTAGATGAAATTGATATGTTTTTATCTAGATTGATGAGAAAAAGCTGACGGACCAAGCCCGCATTTGCAAAGCTTCATCTCTACACCGAGCCGATCGACGCCGCCAACATAAAATAGAAATCTAAAAATATATGCTAATTTCGCTGTTCTTGCTTCTCGGACCGTGTAGTGACAAATATAAGCCCATTGAAAGCACATTCTTGTACTCAAACTGAACATTGTGGTGAATTTGGATGCATTTGCGAAAATAACTCATCACTATACTGAAAAAGCTTCGAGAACAGATCTACAGTACACGGTTTCGAGCACAACAGAAAACTAATGTCAGAACCCTCGTCTCCAAGCAAGAACTCGTTAACCGGCTGGTGGAAACACATCAAGAAGGGCGAGTCGGAGCTGGGCTCGCCTCCGCCTCTTCCAATGAACGGTCAAAATCACAGCTCCGCGTCAGGGTTTTCTGCGGAGTCTAAGTCTATCTCGTCTCCCACTCCGCAATACCGCGCGAATTCACCGTCTTTGCTTGCACCTCTTGCTTCACCGACGAGGCCCTTTCTGGGTTACAAGTCACGCTCGTCTCATAACGTGAGACCGCTGTCACCGTTTCAGGACAACGGCTCGCAAGAAAAACTAAAACAACACCGAGATTCTTTTATTCAACAGCGACAAATGGATTACATCGGCGACTCGTCGATATTTGGATGCCCCATCGAGGAATCCATCAAGGTTGCTGAGGCCAAAATATACATCAGCAGCGACCGTAACGGACTGATACGCTACGGCCGGATTCCTAGAGTGGTGGCACTATGTGGATCGTTTTTGAAGAAGAACGGACTTGAGGTTGAAGGAATATTCAGAGTCGCGGGCTCTACCAAAAGAATCAAGCAACTGCAATTGATATTCTCGTCCCCGCCTACTTACGGCTCCAAAATTGATTGGGATGGATATACAGTTCATGACGCTGCGTCGTTGTTTAGAAGATTCCTCGGCTCGCTTCCAGAGCCGCTTATACCGCTATCCATGTATGACAAATTCAGGGAGCCTCTTCGATCTCGTCCCAATATCGTCCGATTCCTCAAAGAGAAGGAGAAAAAGATGGGCGACTTCAGCGGGCTGTCCTCGGGCAAAGAGGAGCAGAAACAAGAACAGGAGCAGCTCACCGACGACGAGCTAAAGCTTCGCAAAAAGACCAAAAAGGAAAAGATAAAGAAAGAACGCAAAGAGGCGCTGAAAGACTACGCGAGACTAATAGAACAGCTGCCTGAGTTGCAACGACAGCTGTTATTCTACATCTTGGACCTCCTGGCCATTTTCAACGCCCATTGCGACAAAAACCTCATGCCTGCCAAGAATCTGGCTGCCATTTTTCAACCCTCGGTCTTGTCTCACTCAGATCACGATATGTCGCCCGAAGAATACGCTCTTTCGTCGCTGGTTATTGAATTCATGATCGAATACTCGTATAAAATCTTGCCAGCTGCTCAAAAAGTTGCCAAAAAAGATTCTGCGCTAAATTCCACTGCTTCCTCCACAACAAACGAGCAAACAAGCTCCAAGGTTTCCGCCCCAACAACGCTGCTACCTCCGCCAACCACAAAGTTCACCAGAAAACATAGCAAGAGTTTATCCTCTGTCCAGTCTCCGTCCGATATGCTTCGCGTGAACAACGGTAAGTCCAAGCTAGAACATACCCAAACGAATACCACAGACGAGGTCGACTCGGCAGTGGACTCGGCAGTGGACTCGGACGACGAGACCCGCCCGCTTGCTCAAAGGCTTTCCGTTTCGTCGATTGGATCTCAGAAAATGCGTCCCTCGTTCTCATCAACATCAAAAACATCACCATCCGAAGTCAAGGCAGAGAGTCCGCTCAAGTCTGAGGTTTCATTTCCTAAAATGGAGCTCAAGCCTCCAGTCCTTAAAATTGGCGCGTACGAGTCCGTCCCGCTTTCTTCCTCGACAAGTCAGATGGGAACAACGATCAAACTGCCAAACCACCCAGGCTCTCCGAAGAACCTACCATCGTCGATCGACGACAACTTGAGCTCCGTCCAGGACCCGATAGATGACGAACGGGAAACGAGGTGGGAGGAGGATCCAAATGGCGCTAATGGAGAAAAACTTTCCTGGTTCAAAAGATTACGATCGAGGTCTACTTCCAAGTCCAGAAAATAAAGCTAGGAATCTAATTAGTGACTAATTGTAAATTACAGTTCTATGACTTCGACTTCGTCCGCCGTATATTTCCTCTTCTTTGCTGGGCCCATGTCGTCCTCAGCTTTACGTTTAGGACCGTCTAGCCCATTAATGTCACCCTCCATAATGAGATCGTCTCCCTCTATGATAAGATCGTCTTCCTCATCTTCTTCCTCCTTCTTTTCTTCTGGTACCACCTTCGCTGGAACCTCTAGCTCTGGCAGTTCCAACTTATCGCCTTTGTCCACCAATAGCTCCAAGGAGTCTAGCTCATCATCAGCATCACTTATAAACAACACATTGCCGTAAGAGCAGACTTTATCGAGTTTTATTTCCAGGTTATCGTCAAAGTCGTAATCATAAAGCAGTCGCGTTCCTTCTGCAATCCCAATGTCATCCGAGTATCCGTATTTGTCAATGATCGCCTTGCGCAGCCCATCAACTGTGTACTTTGAAAGGTCTATCGAGATTATGCCTCTAGTAACAGAACATGCTGGACACTTGGGGTTTTTGGGAGCCAACCCCGATGTGTTCACAAACCTGGAAGGTTGATTTGAGTCGTACACCATTTTCGACTTGGACACCTTTTCTTGCATCGTCGCGTGGAAAGCATGGGTTGAAGAAAGCGCACTGAATCCAGCCATGATGGCGTTGGTGGTGGCCACCGCAGGAATGATGTTTCCTGCTATTTGTTTGATCTCGAACTTTGTTTTCATTGGAATGTGAAAGATATACGACCGTAAGTTGGCGGCAGAAACCACAAAGTCCAAAGTGTCTTCGTCGTCCTTGTCAAATTCGACAGGACCCTGCTTGAGTCTCTGAGCGATTTTGCTGGTAGAGTTGATAAAAAGCGCAAGATTCTCCTCCACTGTCCAAAGCTTCTGTCCGTCGAGACTTTTGATTTTGACTGGCTCGCAATTCAAAGGCTCTGGTTTCTCCCTCGTTTTCCAAAGAGTTTCAATCCGCAAGAGTCTCTCTATGTCCTCTTCAAAGATTTTCTCAACAATTTTAGACACAAAGCCCTTATCTCCCGGAGCAGCTTCGTTTACCAGAGCTTTCAGATCCAGCAATTCATTGGACTCTTTTAGTAATGCCTCTATTTCGGCTTTGTTATCGCTCTCAATGTCCTGTGGCTTTAGCTTATCCTGGTCGGAAACATCGTCTCCAAAAAGCTGTGGAAACAGGAAGTTTTTCGCCCAGGTGATGCAATGAATTGGCTTGGAAGGCGTCGAACGAATAGTGCACACAGGAAACGTTTTAGGTTGCTCCTTCGGAATGCACGCAAAGCACTCTGTCTCGTAGGGGTAGATGGGTTGAACTTGGCCTTTCAATCCCGATGTACCACTCTCAATGAGTGGGATTTTCGTGAACAGGGCAATTTTGTTGACGTAGAATCTTGCCTCCAAATTGTCTAGCGCATTGAAGATGATGTCGAATTGCGTAAAAAAGCTCAACGGAAACATATTTGTGTCCATGATATTTCCGTGATGCGCAACCAGTTTGCTGGCATGGTTGAAGTGACCAACAGCCTGCTGTGCAGTCATGGCCTTGGATTTTTTGATGTCTTTCTGGCGGAACAGGAACTGTCTGTTGAGGTTGGACAGGTCGATTGTGTCAAGGTCCAAGATGTGAATTTCGCCGTAGTTCATCAGAAGAAGGTCCTTGAGCAATTCGCAGCCAATTCCGCCGGCACCAACCATCAGCACCTTTGACTGGCGAAACTGGTCTGTCTGGCTGCCAAAGATTTTCCTCAAATGAGAGTCATACATGACGGGCGCCCTTTTGTGGTTTTGAAAAATATACTTCTATTGATTTTTGCTATTTATTATTCTGTACAACGATGGATAAGTACTCGGTTATTTTGCCAACGTACAACGAGCGCAAAAACTTGCCAATTATCACATACCTCATTGCAAAGCACTTTGAGAAGGCTGGCTTGAACTGGGAAGTGATCATTGTCGACGACGCGTCTCCGGATGGCACACAGGATGTGGCTAAACAGTTGATCAATGTGTACGGTGCAGACCACATCCAACTTAGAGCACGTGCTGGAAAGTTGGGACTGGGAACCGCATACATTCACGGACTGCAGTACGCCACCGGCAACTTTGTGATCATCATGGACGCCGACTTCTCGCACCACCCTTCGGCCATCCCTGAATTCATAAAGAAACAGAAAGAAGGAGATTACGATATTGTCACGGGAACACGTTATGCAGGCGACGGAGGCGTCTACGGTTGGGACTTGAAAAGAAAACTTATCAGCCGTGGAGCCAACTTTCTGGCTACTGTGGTTCTTCGACCACATGTCTCGGATTTAACAGGTTCGTTCAGATTATACAAAAAGGATGTGCTGGCTAAAATTATCGGCGCAACAAAGTCTAAAGGTTATGTTTTCCAGATGGAGATGATGGTGAGAGCCAGAGCAATGGGATTCAGCATTGCTGAGGTGCCTATCTCGTTCGTCGATAGACTGTACGGAGAGTCCAAGCTTGGAGGAGATGAGATCATTGGTTATTTGAAAGGTGTGTGGAATCTGTTCACCAGCGTTTAGAACCCGCTGCACCGAGTTTCTTTATGTGTAGTTTGACACTTCAAGGAGCAAACCCGTGCACTACATTGTATACACGAGCTGAAGCTGACGTTGCCGCAAATGGTGCAGAGCTTTTTGACCATCACGTGTCCTGGCTTGATCTCGAGTCCATTGAATGCGCGCATCTCGGCCTTGTCTAATTCGTCCACGTAATTAGACCAGTTCTTCTTCGAGTTGAGTATCCTCTTAACTGCTACCGACGGTGTAGAGGTGCGTTTTCCAGCTGGTGGTCCGAGGTTCTTTGGTATCTCCATCTTGTGGATCTCGCTGAAGTTCTCTCTGTCAAGCTCTTCGAATCGTCGGTTGGCTTTCTTGAGTTCGATGGCACTATGGCGTTCCGATTCTTCGTTCTCCTCCTCCCCATCTTGATCAAAGTTCTGCTGTTCAATGGCGTTCTGCAAGGCGGCGATGTTATAGTTGATTCGTTTGCGCTTGTTGGGTGCTCTTGCGGCCGAGCTGGGCGTCGATGCCGTTCGTGCAGTCGCCTTCTGTCGTACAACTTCCTCAATAAAATGCATTTTGGCGAATATTTAAATAACGAAAATAATTAAACACAGCCTGATATAGACATGATATCCTTGAATTTATTCATGATCTATTTCGAGCTACAAAGCGTGAGGATTCGTTGGTGCAACTTGAGAGCGACATTTTCCACAGACAAGTAGTCACAGGCTATGGCACGACGCAAATATACCACTTGACCAGAAACTGGCAAAGGCTCGTCGCCTTTCAATGTGGCATATATCTTGTTGGTTGTGTCCTGAAGCCACTTCTTAGCAGTGTCATCATATTGGTCAAACTGAAGAGGCTCAATGCTAATGACAAATAAAGACTTGTCCAGCGACAGCTTGTCGGTTCTGTGGCGCAGTTGTATCGTCACTGCAAAACAAACTCTTTCAGTCTTGACTTTCTTCTCTAACTTGCGTTCGAGATATTTGTAGTATGTGATTTTGAACATTTCGAAATCAAACATGTTCAGTTCAAAGCCGCTCTCGGGAGTCATCCTAAGCTGCTGAGAGTTGCTGTTCTGTTCCAAAAAGCGCCTGTAGAACTCTTCGCTGTCCATTGACAATTTCACAAGGAGCTTGTAAAATGGTAAGGTCAATTTGAGATATCTGACCAGTAGTTTGATCTTTTGGAAATCAAAATCACTGACCATGTCGTTCAGGTATTTAGAGCAAAGCCTGTGCGGATTATCTTTTGGAAGCTCGATAGATATCGAGTCTTGTGTTTCATTTAATAGAATTAGCGTGATCATCTCTTCAGGATTGGAACCATATTGGAAGGAGACCTTTGTGAGGGAAATGTCAATCACCTTAAGCGACTCGTCGTGGCTAATTATATGCAAGAGCGATAACAAACTGAAGAATTTGTTGAGTACCAGGAGCGAGTCGCTCATGATGGAAATGTCCGTTGTCGCTAAAGGATTAAAGAAACTAGCTGTGGATTCGTGATTAAGTTTCTCGAACAAATTAATCTGTGAGTGGATCTTGAAGATCGATGTTTCTGGGTTCAGCTCTATTGAGTTGTTCTTTTCGTCGTTGAAGGATATAGACGATAATTTGAGCTCACTTTGCAGCTTGCCAAAAATCATGATTTCCAGCTCGCTGTTTTTGATATTCATGGTGAGCACTAGGGAGTCGCGGCAGTTCGGAATGTTGAATAAGGACTTGTTGTCTAGAATCACTGTAGCGCTGTCTCCCTTTCGCATGGAGTCCAAATCGAGCCCGAAGTTTTTCTTGGTGAACTGTCTGACCTTTTCGTCCACTTTGTCCACGGTCTTGAGCTTGCAGCCCTGGTTTTCCAGTTCTTTGACAACCAGATTGCAAAGCAGCATGGATGTGGTCTTCTTTGCAAGCGTGACAAACGATGGATAGCTGTATTCGCTTTCCGTGCCCCCTATGATCATAGGTTCACACCAAGAAATCGACCACTGACCTGCAGACGACTTGATTCTGGAACACCACCACTGAACCTTGGACGAGAATCCCGAAACCCCAACCGTAAGGAACCACCCGCTTGGCCATTTCTTGCGCCGATAAAACTTGAGGGCAAATAGCTGTTCTGCAAAAGTGCGGTCTTTTAGATGATCATAGTCAATATTGAGTTTTGTATATTCCGCGGTGGAAAGCCTGACAACATCCACGCAGATCCAGCCGGTGGCCATTAGCATTGACCCCAACTCGCTTAGGTGTGTTTCCAATCGCAGAACAAGCAGCTTGAGTGCGGTCTCGCGAGTGTCTGCGTTGATCTGAGCCGCAACTCTTGCCATTATAGGGGTAGGATTTTGGAAGAAACCATCTCCCGAAAGAGCATCAATTCCATACACGGCTGACTTCATGGAACTCAATGTCAGCAGCAATTGCGAATCCTTGTGCAGGGATACAAATTTGTCCGCCATTTCGATTTTGTCAGCAACTTCCTGTTGGACTTCTTTGATGTGTAGTTCGATGTGTTTTTGAATGATGTCTCTGATTAGGTGCTCGATAGTTATTGATCCGTCTTCGTTCTCAAGTCTGAAATCATGGTCCGTGCACAAACGTCCTTCACGGATCCAACGGAATCCCAGCAGATTATTCTTGAGTTTTCCTATCTCTATTGTAGACTTCACAGACCGTCTTTTCAGCCAATATGTGACAACGACAAAACATTTTTCCGCGTTGTATATATGAGTCAAGTGCCCTTTCCACATGCCCATGCGCAGGCGGATTAGCTGGCGATGAAGGTAGTACAGTTTGCAGGTGATGGCATAATTGTGGAAAATATTGTACAATCCAGTGAGTCCGTTTTTGCTCAGCTCGATGTTGGCCACCTTCTCCAAGTGTGCAAACGTCATATATGGGAGAGCTGTCACCTGTGGAATCAGCTTGTTGTCTCTCGACTGAAACTCTAGTTTGAAGTCAACCAAGAAAAACCCCGACTGATCATAGGTATTGGCTATTGAAACACAACATTGAAACAAATTAGGGATGCGAAACTTGACACGGCCATCTTTAATCTCGTAGTTGTAAAAGGGTTTGGGGAGATTGTCTTCAAGGGCCATTTTGGCAGAAAGCTCAACATCGAGCGTCTTTAAGGTATGAAGTATCAGCTTGGGATCAACTTTCTTTTGTGGTCCATAATTATGGGTCGGGAGTTGTGGTCTTCCCTTGATAAGAACCTCGAGCGCGGTCTCAAGGTCCGGATTCGGGAGCTTTGCAGAGACCAGCGACTGCTTGATCCCTCCAATTTGCATCAGGGCATTTGTGATGCTTTGGTTCTGTTCCCGAAGCCACACGAAAAGGTCGATCAGCTTTTCAACGCTCTGAGAATTTCGAGCCCATTTGCTCAGCACGTACAATCTCACAAAGTTCTCTCGAATACTCACCAGAATATCGAGGAAGTTGCGCTTCTTGATACTATCAGGTTGGGTCGTATTTTCCAGTGTTTTAAGATATTCGCTCAGCTGTTTATAGCTGTGAACAGCGTATCGTTGCAATACAACTCCAAGCGGAGTCATATTGGCCGCCACATGGGGAATTGGCGGAACATCAGCGTCTGACATGGTGCGCAGTTGGGGAAAACACTTTTTCTCTGAGTATGAGTTTCTTGCCTTTCTTGTGGCTGGTGTACATTTTTTCAGCGTGGCTTGATCAACAAAAAAGTAAATAGAACAAGATTATATCTATCGTTTATAAGTTCCCCGTGATTCAGTGTAAAGTCGCACGATCCAGCCTTTACGATGTCTGAGTCCACCAATAATGGCCCGGACCTTGATTTCAAGGTGCCATTAGCTAGGGAGTTTGTCGATATCAATAATATGCCCTCTCCAGAAGATATTGCTCAGACTCCTTCTATTGATTCGGTCACGGACTCGGAATCAGCCGACAGCAGAGGAGCCAGCTTGCCGCGCAACCAGCCGCTAGGTGGCCCACTACATATGAAGAAACTCAGAGAACCAGGAAGCACTCCCACGGAGCACAATGACAGGATTGCTTCGGATGTACGTATCGATGATAGACGGAATCTTTCCCTGAACATTGAGCCCGTGCAAAGAATCGTTTCGGTGCCTCTGCGACCGCCAGAGCTGCAGCAGACAGCGTACAACCTTCAGAGCACCGATTCGATAAACGAGGAGATGGAATATGGTAAAGATGTGATTGCTACGTTTTGCACGCTTGAAACGGCAACTCATGTAAAACAGCACTGGCATTGCACGAAAGAGATCGGCCGCGGCACATTCAGCACAGTCTACATTGATCGATCGCAGACGGTAGCGGTCAAAGTTTCCACCATTCCTTCGCATGATCTGGACACCAGGCTTCGGATCCAAAGCTCGTTGGTGCGAGAATTATCGCTCTTGCAATCTATCAATCACCCAAACATCGTCAAGCTTCTGGGCTCAAACTCGAGATTAGACAAAAACCAAGTGGTCATGGCAATGCCGTACTATTCCGGAGGAGATCTGTTCACACTACTAGTTACTCTGGGACAGGATTTTAATTATTACCACAAAAAATTGGTTTTCAGAAATATTGTGAGCGCTGTCAAGTGTCTTCATGACATGAACATCTGCCATAGGGACATCAAGCTCGAAAACATATTGCTCGCTCCAACTCCGGACGAGTTTAGAAACACATCAGCTGTTGAACTGGACATCAAATATGAGCATTCAGTAGCCGTGCTATCTGATTTTGGTTTGTCAAAGAAAATAGATCCCGAACAGCCTCTTCTGACCACGCGGTGTGGCTCTGAAGACTACGTTTCTCCTGAACTACTTCTAGGACTGGCCTACGATGGCAAGCAGAACGATTGTTGGTCTTTGGGAGTGCTATTATACGCAATGCTGGAAAACAGACTGCCTTTTGATCCGCTTCCCAACAGCACTGGACGGGGCAGACGCTCAGCAAAACCCGCCCATCGTATAGCAACTCTGACGTGGGGGTGGTATCACTACAGAGAGCATAACATGGATCAGCAAGGAAACGACTGGGGGCCTGCCAAACGCGTTGTTGAGATGCTGCTTGTCAAAAGAGATGAAAGGGCAGATATTAACACTGTTTATGAGAGCGAATGGTGCAGCTGGCAAGCCTCCGATTGATGTCCTGTTGTTTTCCGATCAACTCGAACATGATGTTGTATTTTGTGTCAAACAATTTCTTCAGAGCATCGTCAGGAACATATTTGACAACTTTAAACTTTGCATCTTTCGCCGCACATCCGCCAAGTATCGAGCATCCGCGAGCGCCAATAAGCTTCGAGTCTAATTCCATAGGAAGAAGGATATTCATATCGTCTAAAATAAATGCCAGTAGCTCCATGAGTCTTGCGTTTTTGGCCTGAGACCCACACACTTGCAACGTCTTGAGATGGAACCCTGATTTGCGGAAACAGTCAACGATCATTCTTGTAGATAGAGCGAGGTACTCCAAGATTGAAAGGTAGCAGCACACCAGATCTCTTGTGTCTTGACGCAATGATCCTCCGATTATCACGGACGAGAGAGTTGAGTCGTTAAATGGCGTTCTGTTTCCCAAATAGTCACCGATGTACACTCTTTTTTCTATCAGCTGCCAGGCAGAGCTCAATCCTTCGTTCGCCACGAAAGAGCTCACCAGCTTTTCGAGTTGCTGAAACATATTTGAGGACTTGTCCAGATTTTTTGCTGCTGGGTGATTTTCAAACAGAGACTCAAAAAGGATACCCGAACAGCTTAGCCCTCCCTCATAAAACCAAAACGTTTCTGTCAAATGGAATGGTCCCCAAATTCCTGGTGGAGGATCTTTCGGGGCCCTGGAAACGGTCAAGTAGCATGTGGACGTTCCTGCTACCATTACCAAGTTTTCTTCTGGATTTATGTCGCTGCTTTGAAGAGCAAAAAAAGAAGCATAGCAGTCTATGACTCCAGAGCAGACCACAGCAGACTTGGCGTCCCATCTCTCAGCCAATTCGGGCGAAAGCTTGGAAATAGGGGTACCAGCGAACGGTATTCCTGGATATGGGATGTTTTCGACTCTGCCGATCTGCGACTCGTTGAGATGGATATCCAGTTCGCGAAGACAGTCGATTGAAAATCCCTTCAGTGATCCGTCTATACCTATATTTTCTGTGCTGTATTTTTGTACATTCAGCGCCTCCCCAGCAAGCTTCCACTCGAACCAGTCATGAAGATCAAAAATACGGGGCTCGGAAAAGGCCGATCTGAGATACTCCTTGACTTTGGGTAAGGCCATCTCAGCTATTATCGACCCTCCAAGACGTTGCAGGATACCAGGGTAGCGGGTTTCCATCTTGCTGTTGATAGAATCTGTTTCTCCTCTGTGATCCATCCAAAGAATTATGTGGCTGTTATCATTGTCTTCGACCACCAACGAGCAGGTCGCACCGCAACATATTGATTTCAAAGCTCCTTCCTCTTTGGACCTTGCTGTTTGCAAGCTTTCATCAATAGCAGTTAACAATTTAGACCAGAGCTGGGACGAGTCTTGCGTGATAATTCGACTGTCAGACGGATGGTAATAGACATCGATCGCTTGCTCGGATCCGCCTAGCACAACCCCCTGGTCGTTTAAAACGGACGTCCGCAAAGAGCTTGTGCCAATGTCAATGCCCAAGTACCAGGACGACACAGCTGACTTAGGCATTTTTTACAGGTTTGAGGTGTGTGATCTTTAAATTTATAATAGTATTCAAGTTCTATTTAAAACAATCCGTAATCTCCAAGCAAAGTCAATCTATTACATAAAAAAGAACGTTTGTAAACTCATGTCAAAAATGGAAACTTCTCATTAAACGTTTCTTGGTCAAGCATCTCAAATTTGAACCATTCGATAAGACTCAAAAAGACCTTGGAATGGAAGCACACCGGCTCCTCGATCTCATCCAACGAGTTGATGGTTTCGGAAGCAGGTAGCGGGTCGACAATAGTGAGGTCGTTGGATCTGGAGCTCGAGGTGGCCAGCGGACTCAAACCCTGGTACTTCTTCTCCATCTCGTAAGTCAAAAGCGGTTTGAACGATTTCTCGATAGGAAGCACAGCACACAGCCAAATTCTGGTCTTGTAGATTTTGAACAGCTCCTTGATTAGTCCTCTAAAGTCTAGTCTTCGAAGGCAATAGTAGTATATTATCAGTTTTTTCTTGTCGAACTGGAACTCGACGTTCTTGATAATTAGGTCCAAGTTCAAGGACTGGACGTAATTCAGACAAATGCGGTATGCCATTAACTCATCATTATATTTGGACGTCAATTGGGTAAGTTCGTGAGGTTTAGCGAATCTTAGAATTTGTTTGTTTGGTAAAGTGATAAAGTTCTCATCTTCGTTAATAATCGAGCGTTGAGTGTTCGCGTTGTGTAGGTGGTTCTGATTGGTCTGATTGTTCTGCGGTTTGTTATTGGGTGGTCCCTGAGACGAGTTGGCGTTGCCGAACTCAAGTGACTTCAGATGCAGCTTCTTTTTGAGATAGTTGAACAGCAGGGCGAACCGGAAATCGATCTGTGGTTGTAGAACCATCACCAGATCTTTTCCACGGTCCCCTTCAATGATAATCAGGTCCTTGGGTGTCAACTTCAGGTTGGAAGTTTTTGGCAACGAGATAATGTCCAGTTTTCCGTTTTTGTTGATGATCATCGAGTAGTTTTTGGAGGCCTTTTGCGGCGAGCCTGCAAGATCCTCATTCTGCGTGAGCAGATAGTCCAGTAACTTGCTCACTCGGATCTGAAGAAGTCCCGGTGTCTCGGTAAGCGAGGTACCCAGCAAAACATTCAGCTGGTGGACGATTCTCATTGAAACGTCAAAGTCGCCAAAGTACTTGGCGTCCCTGAGAAACTCAGCTTTCAGCTCTGGAGACGTGACAATGGAGTTGGAGACTTTCTCGAGGAGCAACCCGTTGTCAAGCGTGACAAGAGACTCCTGTGGCTGGACCTGCGGAAGAAACGAGTTCAGAGGGGGTAAGAAGGACGCTGAAAAATCGAAGCTGTGGGTTCTCGAGTGATCCACATCGAAGAATCTGGAGGAGGCAGTGTACGGTGGAGCCTGCGCAAAAGCTGGCGGAAGATCCAGCTTGTTATGGGTCGTGTAGTATAGTTCTGCGGTGTAGCTTGGTCTTCTCGAGGAAATGTTCGACACACCGCCCTGGAGCTCCACTGGTAGAGCGAAGGCACTGGGGTTGCTGAAAATCGAGTCCCTAGATGCGCTCGACACCGAGGAGTGTGGTGAACTGTTTTGATTCGCCTGATCTCTCAGGTAACCCAGCTTGGATGACAGCACGTCATAGAAAGGATCTGGGTCCACGAATTTCTCTTGGCGTGGTGCAAACTCCGGAGCAATGGTGTACTGCTCCAAGAAATTGTTGAAAGACGCCATTATGGAGAATGAATAATCGGACAACCCCACTGGAAATAAAAAATGGAGTTTACGGCTGCTTTAAATATCCGAGCAAAAATTGAGGGGCATCATCATACTTCGCGACCCCAAAATCCGGGGTTGTCGTGTGGGGCAAAATAAATTCATCAAGTGGATGTATTAGGCTACAGTTTACGGATATTCTGTATACAGCCATCTGTAACATCGCCCAGAGTTCACCGTTGCTGCCTCCAGGGGCAGCGAGTAGGGTTTCACCAACATGCGCACCGGCCTGCGCACCAGGGCTGCCAATTTTTTTGCGGTTTCGGCTTCCGCCGCTGTCATGTCTAGTAGCGGGTATGTAAATGTGATGCCTGCGAACCGGAAAAGATCGTACCCTTCCACTCTGATTCGCAACGTTGCGGTCGAGCCCACCTCCTGCACCAGCACGTCGATTGCTTTTGTCATTATTGTGTTGTCGGGGAAGCTTTTGTAGATGAGATCGGCCGTGCGTGTCTCCAGCCGCATTATGTGCACATAGATGAAATATGCTCCCGTGTAGTCGGCCAGGGGTATTTGGGAGACGGGGAAAGTCACGTTTGGCCTGTCCCTGACACGGCCGCTCTGCTTGACGGTGTACACCTTTTTGCCCAATTTCTTGGGGGGTGCATCGTCGTCAGAGCTTTCCATGTCGCTGAGAAAACCTGTATCTGAGTACTGCTCAGGTGACGTGTGGCGGTGCTGTGCCTGTGGCGGTGAACATGTGATACCAGTAGCTGACTTGCCGAGGTCGCTAACCACCTGTTTGATCTTAGGGTTGGACTCGAAATACGCACTGCATTGTGTCTTCCAGTCGCGGAAGATCTCTTGTGCCAAGGCATGGTTATTTTCTTTTGGGTCGTATATCGTCTCTGCTGCCGGATTGTTTCCGGCCTCGAGAACGCTCACCGGCCAGATCTGGCTGTAGTAGTTGTCAGAAAAACCGGGATCCGCTATCAGGTCAATGCGGTCGGTCCACATCTTCGATCTCAGCCGCAACGAGATCACGGTCGCGTGTTGATAGAGCGGATAAAACGACGCGATCCTGTTACCGAACCATTTGGCGTTCACCGTGTCGCCGAAAATGCGCTTTAAATAGGTAACTGACTCGGGATAAAATGCCACGTCAATGATACTGTCGGCGTGTTCAGGATCGTCGAACAAGGGCGGGTCGCAGCAGGCATAGTTCATCTCAGATTGGGCGACAAATGGATTTCGAGAGAAGTCCGTCATGTGCACCACAATTGGCTTGGTCGGCTTATCGCGGGTCGTGATGCCCACCACGAGCCCCATAATTCGTTTCCTGGTGAACGTGGTGTTGGGAAGGTCCCGTACACGCAAGATATCGACGGATTTCTGCGACATGGTAGATACTAAATTATTCACGGGAGTTTCGACGCGTCGCTTACGTATTTTTTTATTTCACTATCCTGTTGAAAGGTAAATATACATTCTAATGCAATCCAAACACAAAGTCACAGCCGATCATTAACGTGTACGAGTTGAGCGTAAGAGAGTTGTTTCTCTGTCTATAAAACCAATTTCTTAGGTTGCTCCCAAGGGTTGGACTGGTCAGTGAAGTGACCATACGAGGCAGTCTTGAAGTAGATTGGTCTAGCCAAATCAAGCTCCTTGACCAAGACACCTGGTCTCAGATCGAAGTTCTTGTTCACGATGGCAACCAGCTCCTCCGAGGAAAGCTTGGAGGTTCCGTACGTGTCAATGTAGATTGAAAGAGGCTCGGCCACACCGATAGCGTAGGAGAACTGAACCAAACATCTTCTGGCAAGACCGGCGGTGACCAAAGACTTGGCAACCCATCTAGCAGCGTAAGCAGCAGATCTGTCGACCTTGGAGAAGTCCTTTCCGGAGAAGGCACCACCACCGTGGGCGCCCCATCCACCGTAGGTGTCGACAATGATCTTTCTACCGGTCAGACCAGCGTCTCCGTGAGGACCACCAATGACGAATCTACCAGAAGGTTGAATGTGGTAGATGGTCTTGTCGTCCAGCAGGTGCGAAGGAATGACCTTATGAACAATGTGTTTCTTGATCTCGGATCTGAGGTCCTCAGTGGAAATCTCGTCAGCGTGCTGAGCGGATATAACGACGGTGTCAACTCTCAACGGCACAACAGCGCCGCCGTCGTGCTTGTATTCGATAGTGACCTGGGTCTTGGTGTCGGGTCTCAACCATGGGAGAGCACCGGATCTTCTGGCGTCAGCAAGAGCGGCGTTCAGCTTGTGGGCCAACAGGATGGTCAAAGGCAGCTTCTCGTCGGTCTCATCGGTGGCGTAGCCGAACATGATACCCTGATCACCGGCGCCGAGCTCCTCCAAGGCCTTGTCGTAGTGCAGACCTTGAGCAATGTCTGGGGATTGTTGCTCAATAGCCACCAGAACATTACAGGTCTTGTAGTCGAACCCTTTGTCAGAGTCATCGTATCCGATGTGCTTGATGGTGTCTCTGATGATTTTTTGGTAGTCGAGGTTGGCCTTGGTGGTGATTTCACCAAACACCATGATCATACCGGTCTTGGAGGCAGTTTCACAAGCGACCTTGGAAAGGGGGTCTGCAGTCAAGCAGGCGTCCAAAATGGCATCAGAAACCTGATCGCAGATTTTGTCAGGGTGACCCTCGCCGACAGACTCAGAACTGGAGGTTAGCGCACCAACTCAGCACGACGATACTCACGTAAAGAAGAAGTGTCCAGACATGTTGTATTGACTCGTAAATCTTAATTAGGAAAATTTTTCAATATTTATACACTGAAGAAATAATGCGCATGCGCAAAAAGATCCAACAAAAACAGGCACATGGGAGCTTCCGAATTTTGGTCCTGAGACAATCACAAAAACCGCAAGTGCGCGAATGGGCGATCGAGCTTGCAACCACATCAATGCATGCTAAATATCTGCATTTCCCAGCTGTTTTCGTGCTCGTTTAACAAGTGTGGCTCCTCTGATTAGATAATCCCACCATGCCCCATGTGATTTATCTCTTTGCCGGCTTCTTCCAAAAGTACTGCTTGTGCGTCTTTCTGCAGCTACGCAAATGCGAAGCAGAGCCCTTCAGCTCCTCCACGAGCTGGACCCGCGACTTGTCCTGGTCCTTTTCCGGGTCGTAGTAGTACTCCTCGTCCAGCGGCTTGCCAGCCGCATCTTTACCAACGCGGTAGATTACGCCGATACAGTCCACGTAATATATTAGTAAGCCGCGAAGCTGCTGCTTACTCAAGCCGAGGTCCTGCACAGCCTTGAGGCCCATCAGAACCTGCAGCGGTGTTTGCAGCAGTCTTGAGTAGGCCAGGTGGTTGACCAGGATGTTAGCAAGATGCGGCAGTTGGGACTGCAATGGCTCCAGCAAAATGCCGGCCTCCTCCTTGGAGATTTGGTGTTCGGTGTCCTTCTTTTTTCTTGGAGAGCTGTGGTTCTTGCTTCTTGCGCGTGCTTTGGTGGCCGTGACTGGATCTGGCGATTGTTCTGGTGTGTACGCGGGAGAAACGGCGTTTGGCTCTTTTCTGGCAACAGGCGGGATGTTCTCCTTGTTTTCTTGCGTAGTCTGGACGGCTTCCACAGGGTTTTGAGTCTCATGCTGCACCGGCTCCGGAGTCTGCTCTAATTCCTCTTCAGCCTCGTCCTCTGTCAACTCGTCCTCTGTCTCGACCAGAATCAGCTCGCCACGAATATCCAAAATGAGTCCTGGAAGCATTGGCAAAAAAACGGTCTCGCCCTTCAGTATGTAGAGATTGGTCACCGAGGCCTCCTGGGACAAGATACGGGAGCTTTTAGGCGCAACCGTGCTGCTCGTGACCTCGAACGCGTCGTCCTTCTTTACGACGTCCACGCGTCCTGGAACCGTGACATTCACGCCGTTCCAGCCAATGCAGTGAAGCTTGAGGGTGTGAGTCTCGGGAACGTAGTGGACAGAGCAATGGGTACGCGAAACCAGTTTGTTATGGGGGTTTAGCACGCATTGGTTCGACCGGGACGACCGTCCGATACTAATTTGGCGCCCTGTCAATGGCACCTTGAGCCTGCGCACCCGCGACATCGGGGAAACGATCTCAACTTTGCGCGGTGGCAGCTCGAAGGCGACCTTGCGTGCTTTTTCAGACTCTTCCTCGTAGCCAAGCGACGAAGATGGGTTAGGAGTAGGGTAGTCCTTGGCCAAGGACAGGGGCTCGGACGCGGATGCAGCCGTTTTGGCACGCAACGGACTGTTCTCCCCGCGAACTGGTGACGATGGTAAATACATGGTGGATAAGTTTTACTCAGCAGAGCGTGTTTCTAAATAAACAGTCGACACATCGCGCTTTGGCTTTGTCGACGGTCGACAGTTGGCACGGGCAGAGTAAAAAATAAAAACGTAACGGTCGCGAAGCGGTCTCGGCTCCCACGTGATTTTGACAGTCACACACAAATTTCAGCAGGTTCACGTGATTGCGATTAGTTGAAAAATTTTGTCTGAGCTTTCTTAAAACTTACACACATTCGCAATGGGAAGTATGTATAGCCACTCAGTGATTTACTAACAAGTTTAGAGGGTACTCCATCGTTCGGTAAGAAACACAACAAGTCGCACACTCTGTGTAACAGATGCGGTAAGAGATCCTTCCACGTCCAAAAGAAAACATGTGCCTCTTGCGGTTACCCAGCTGCTAAGATGAGATCCCACAACTGGGCTTTGAAAGCTAAGAGAAGAAGAACCACCGGAACCGGAAGAATGGCCTACCTCAAGCATGTGTCGAGAAGATTCAAGAACGGTTTCCAGACTCAAAATTAGAAGGTGAATATATGAAGATTAATTAACTTTACTCCAACATAATATCGTCGTCCGGGATGTCATAGTTGATGCTATAGTGCAGCGCGTCAGCTTCGTCTCCCGTAATGCACTGGCCAATCACATCGCGCGCCATGTCGATCGTCCAGTCGTCGTAGTTGATCTCCACCCCGTTCGGTGAGGTGGAAACGGTGGGCACGTGACCTTGCTCACGCCATTGCCGTATCGTTTCCAAAGCCAGCGGCTTCAGGCTGTCTGCAGAGATCCGTAACAGGGCTATAACGAGCTCGCGTAGCGTGGTTCCCGGCAGATCGGATATTGCTACCTGTCCCGATGACAGCAGTACGAAATGCACGAGCCTCATAATTAAAGAAATTAGTTGCAATCTGCAGCCAACTGTGTTTGCACGCGGCGCTCTATAAATCAGCTCCTGCTCGAAACCAAGCTGTGTCACCATTGACGAGACAAAACTTGTGATGATTTCTTTCTTGATTGAGCTGGCTGCTCGCTGGGAGAAATAAGCTTCAAAAAGCTGCAATATACGGATCCGAAGTTTCAAGACCGCTGTTTCGTGCCTGATTCTGTGGCCCATGCTCGAGCTCATTTGGAGTATCTGTCTGTATTCATCCCATGAGTGCGGTACGGGTTTGGGCGAAGCATGATTAGGAACCAAAATATCTAGTAGGAGAGCATGTGCATTGCTCCCAATGTTTCGATTTAGGCTGTATATGCACATATCTTGCTCCAGCCCCTGCGTTATAAAGATAATAAGGTTTGTGAGGATATCTGTGGATTCTTTGTTGAGTGTGTGCTTTTTTGATTTTGAGTTGTCTGTGTAAGCAAATCTATCTTTGGTAATTGAGCTAGCTAGAATCTCCACCAGATTGAAAACGAAACCAATTGGTGTCTTCAGTGACAGGCAATGCAGTGATAATGACTTTGGGAAGAGCAACCAGTACTCTTTAAGTGTCGGGTTGTTTGGCGTATCAACATATGCTGAAAGCTTGCTTAGCGTTTCCATGATATCCATCAAGTAAACTGTGATAAATACATCGAGGACTTTTTTGTGCATACTCTTCTGGAGGACATCAAGCTTGAGGTCTGTCGATGCCGAGTTGGCTGTGGTTATGACGTCCATGTTTTCGTTCGACAGGTATGGCTGGTCCTGTTTGAGTACTGTGGTAAAGTTTTGTAGCAAGTGGTTTACGCTTTTCATTGAGTCTTGGATCAGTTGAGAACTCACTGCTTTGGGTCTATAATTTAAACTGAAGTGAATGAGCGATAGCAAGAAAGGAGCCGCAAAAAGATTGTCTCGGTCAAGTGATTTCACAACATAGTCAAGCAAAATTTCGACAAAACTACTCAGCAGCATATCGATTCTGTTTTTGTTCTCAAATCGGATCAGATAGTCGACAATTGCAGTTTTGATGCTTTCTCGTTCTTTTGATATGTGGAAATCCCTGTTCTGATAATCGAACGCCGATTGTATATTCGACAAATAGCTTAGTGTTGTGCAATTCATTCCCGGAATGACGTGTGATGAGACGGCTTCTATAAACGAGTTCTTTTCGTCCTGGAATATCGAAACTTGATTAATTATGGCAACTGTTTGAGGGCCCTCTTCTGTCATGGTGCTGGTATCCTTGTTACCTGCTGATCGCACAGACACATCGGAGATGGACATCTCTATTGACTCGTCCTGCAGCCGACGCTTCTTCGTGGCCGGGATGTACTTGGCTGCCAGATTTTTATTTTCAGACGTAAGAAACTCGTTGTCTTCCTTCACCTTATTAACGCTGTCCATGAGCTCATTGATGCGGTTTTCTCGTTCACTCAGTAACACATGATAATGTTGTTTTAGCCTCCTGCTTTCCTGCTCAAACTTGTCGCTGATCTTTTGTAGCTGGGCACGGAGTATCGCGTTTTCGCCCCTTAAAACAAACGGATCTGTGCTGGGCTCGGCAGGCACCTGGGCCGCTACCGAAGGCCCGCGTGACTGGGACCGTGCTGAATAAAGCTGGTCGAAGTCCACGTCGTCGTCGTCAAAAGAATCTGACGAGTCGAAGGACATATCAACACTGCTAGATTAAATCAGTATTTTTGTTCTTGACAATAGATGCACGACCGGGTGAAAAAAAAAAAAAATTCTATATTTTATTCAGCTAGTTCCCAATGACGGAAGGTAATAAGAACTCTGAGGCGACAAGACCAGATACGAAGACCGAGACGGCTGTCCCTCCAGCTTCCCTGGTGCCAGTTCAACCTACTCCACTTTCTTCGAAAGATAAGAATACACAGCGACTAGTAGTCGTCTTGTCGCAGGCTTGTCTGGAAACACACAAGATCAGCACAGGCGGCGGACCAGGAAGCGACAAGTACGCCCTGCTGAACTGTGACGACCACCAGGGACTGCTCCGGAAAATGGGAAGAGACATTTCTGGAGCCAGACCAGATATCACTCACCAGTGTCTGCTAACACTTCTTGATTCGCCGATCAACAAAGCTGGTAAGCTGCAAGTGTACATCCAGACAGCCAAGGGTGTTCTCATAGAAGTGAACCCTTCGGTGCGAATCCCAAGAACCTTCAAGCGGTTTTCAGGACTTATGGTGCAGCTATTGCACAAGCTGTCCATCAGATCTGTCAACTCCGAGGAAAAACTGCTCAAGGTGATCAAAAACCCAATCACAGACCATCTACCAACAAAGTGTCGCAAGATTACGCTCTCGTATGATGCTCCGGTTGTGAGGGTGCAGGACTACATCAAGAAATTGGAGCCAGACGAAAGCATCTGTGTTTTCGTGGGAGCCATGGCTCGCGGAAAGGACAATTTTGCGGACGAGTACGTGGACGACAAGATCGGTCTGTCGGAGTATCCGCTATCTGCATCCGTTGCATGCAGCAAGTTCTGTCACGGCGCAGAAGATGCCTGGGGCATTTTTTGATGATGTAATCTGTGAGCGATGTTTTTTCCTGCGCGCGGGCCAGGGTAGCAGCTACGCGCCGGCCACAAGTATAAAAAGAGAGCACTAATAGTTTGCTATCTTCTTGGTCTTCTTGAAGCTATTGCTCTGCTTTTCCTTGCAAAATGCCAGTTTTCGAATCGCCTGCCGTTTACGTCCAGAGCTCGCTCACGACGTTGGCTACCTACTTTATCTCTCATGCTTATTTGAGAGAGCTTTTGGACGTCCATATAACGGATGCCAACTTTCTTCCTCTTTCTGCGCCCAACAGGGCTTTCTACATTAGAAGAGACAACGACAGAAGACAAGTTCTTGTCAATGTCTTCAACGAGAACGGCGAGAAGGTGTACATTTTCCAAAGAGAAAGTGCCTTAAATCCTACCTGGTCTCTGCGCACTCTTCCCTCGTACAGAGAGATTGCGACAATCCGTTGTGGCTTTTTCTTGAAATCGCTTGACTTCCACAACAAGCCAGGACTGCAGCACAGAGTGATCAATAGCGAGTCTGGCTTGAGCGGTAGACTGAGAACGTTCTACCTGAACGACGGCCACAAGTACGGATGGACCAGAAACTCCAAGTTTTTGGAGAAGTTCACCAACCCGGGAGGCAACGACGAGGAAGTCAGAGAGAGAGTCGCCAAGGTGAGACTCATGAGACAGAGAAAGTTCGACTACGAGCTGACTTTGGACGACACCAAAGTGGACCCGGAAGTCGCCATGGCTACCGCGTTTGTGGCCATGATGACCTTCTGGGGTTTGGGTGACATCACCGAGACCGTGGGTCCTACTCTTTTGGTGAAGAGTAAGGAGGAGAGCGCGCCGGCTGCTCCAGCCGTCGTGGAATCTCCAAAAGTCGACGCCGTCAGATCAGGACCAAACATCACCTTGGTCATGGACGCCGACAACGACGCGGACTTGATAATCGAAAAAGCATAGATATACTTTTACAATACAGGGTCGGGGACAGCCTTCTTATCTATCCATCTGCAAGTAACCCACTTGTAAATTGCATGACTTGTGTCATAATCTTGCTATCTCGGGATTTTCGTCTGCACAAGCGCGCGGTGCACCGCACAAATTCCTGGATTTTCGTCCGGGGTATATATATATCGATCCGCCTGGTGCACTTTCTCAACTACGTTCTATCCATGTGCTCGACTGCCATTTGCCCTCTATGCCAGAGAAAATCGTGGACGGGATGTGGCTCTCACGTCTCCGAGGTTATGAGTAACACCAACAGAGAGCTCTGGTGCACCTGCAGACACGCCGTCGAGGACGGCGACCCGCGGTTCCCTCCCAGAGCAGGCACCGGGTCTGCGCGCAAGAGCGTCTCCTCAGAAAGCTCGGGCCCCAGGGACTAGTGATTCCTGCTGGCTCATCTCGTGACATGTCGTGGTTTATAAGCTTAGTAAGAAAATATACGTTTCTGACTAATTGAACGGGTGCGGCTCGCTGATTTATAAATACTCTCTAATCTCTGCCAGTCACGCTGACCAACATGCTCCCCGTGTACTTCATCTCCCATGGAGGACCCACGTTTGCAGACAGAGGCCATGCCGGCTCAGAGGCGGGTGCCTGGGACACCGTCCGCCAGCTCGGTCCACAAATCGTGAGCTCCAAACCAGATTACGTCATATGCGTATCGGCTCATTGGGAGACGGCCAATGACGTTCTGGTGTCCAGCATCGAGGGCGAGAACCCGTTGGTTTACGACTTCTACAACTTTCCGCGCAAATACTACGAAACCAAGTTCCACACGCTAGGCTCGCCTGCCTTTGCCAAGGAAATTGTCCAGACACTCCGAGATAAGGGAATCCCTGCCGCAGTCGATTCGCGCGGCCTGGATCATGGAGTCTGGACACCCCTTAGAGTCGCGTTCGGAAATCCGGACGTCCAGGACACCAAACGGCTGGATTTGGAAACTCCGTTGATCCAGGTATCTTTGCCTCCTTCTCCGAAAATAATTGACAGCTACCGGCTCGGAGAAGCCCTTTCTGATCTGCGCGCAAAAAACGTCGCCATTGTTTGTTCTGGGATGTCTGTGCATAACCTTCAGGACATGCGCAGGGCCATGAGCAGCACAGACGAGCCGCTGCCCTACGTCAAACCTTTCAACTCCTGGCTCACAAACACCCTTACACAGGACAATAGCCTATCTGGTCTGCAGAAGCTGGAGACAGATCCCCAGCTGAACAGGTTGTACCGTGCTGCCCACCCCACTCCTGAGCATTTTCTACCGCTTGCGGTGGCTCTTGGTGCTGCGAGAGCAGGCAAGTGCGAGGTTCTCCATACGGCGGCCACCTATTCGCTGGGCTGGAATATTTATAAGTTTATCTAGGCAAGGTATTTTTCCGAGGCTGTGCAGTTTTCAACTCGTTTGAAGAGTGTAGCAGGAATAGGCAGTATATATAGTTTGTGCCAGGCAGGGTCCAGAAGGACCCATGGACGCGTATCTGAGAGCGGTCAACAACTCAAACTACCGGAGGCCTTTTCTCGATTTTCGGGAGAGGCTGTCGCAGGTCTGGCTGAACAAGTACACAGTCGTGACGGTCCTGATGCTCTTCAAGCTTCTGCTTTTCCGGATCTCGCTCAGTGCGTCCCTCGAGCAGGCCAAAAAACAGACCTATGGCGTGTGTTCCAATGCTGAGACCTACGCCTCTTCGGTGACCAGCGTTCCTCATTACATCTCTAAAAGCGCAAACGTGATGATAGCCAAGGGGCTGAGCGAGGCCAACAAGGGCTTTATGGAGGTCTTGGACATGGTTTTGACCGGATCAAAGGGGCTAATCATGTTTGCCATTGAGATGACCATAGGAACTTATGTTTGTGTACTCACAGCAACAGTGGATGCCACTGCGGAGGTCGCTTTGAACGCTACCGAGAGCGTCATTTCTCTGGCCAACGACACGATCAAGTCGTTTGCCGAGGAGCTGCAAGACGGACTGGACGGCGTCTCAAAGGTTGTTAATGCTTTAGTCAAGACCTACGAGGAGGTGAAAGATATATTTGACGGGGACGACGACTCGGACGTGAGCAGCAGTATGAATAAGGTCAATCTCACTATTTCGTCGCTCAAAAATTGGCAGATCCCAGGCTCGATCAACACCAAATTGGAAAGTCTGTCCAAGAGCCTGCCAGATTTTGACGACGTGATGAATTACACCGAAGGCCTTGTAAGTGAACCGTTTGACTATATGAAGGAAAAGGTTTCTTCGCGACTTGACCTCGAATTCGACGCCGAAGAGCTGCTAGTTCCGGACAAAAAAACCATGTCGTTTTGCGCCAGCTCCGGAATAGACGAGTTTTACCAAGACCTGGCTGACCTGCTGCGGAGGGCATCAAGCATCATGTTCATTGTGCTCGTCCTCGCAGCTCTAGGATTCATTGCGTTTGAGATATATATGGAGAAAAGGCAGTGGGACCGCATCCGGGACATCGGGACCAACTTCCACCAAATAGAAGCAACCACAGCAACCAAGCACAAACACGAGCTTGCAGCGGAGCTTGTCGACATGTCACGCAATCGATACACTTTCCTAATTGGGCAAAAACTGGGGAAGTTATTTTTCGGGCCGAGTGTCACACGACTCAACACCGTGCGGTGGGTAGTGACCTACGTTTCCAGCGACCGCATGTTGCCAGTATTGCTGCTTGCGCTCGCTGGAATTACGACTTTCATACTACAGCTGATTTTGCTCGGTCAGCTTGCGGGAAAAGATACTACAGCTCTTGACTCAAGTTTCAAGTCTATCGGGGCGCAGATACGCTCCAACGTGAACGAATCTCTTGTCGAGTGGGCAAATGACACAAACCTCTACATTTCCGATCAGGAATCTTCAATAAATGATGACGTCCTGGGCTGGATACACAACAGCACGGGCTCCCTCAACACGACTCTGGGAGACTTTGTTGACGAGATGAACGACAAGATTTCTGATGTTTTTGGCAACACCCCTTTGTACCCATATGTGAGCGGCATTGTTGGGTGCACCGTGACGCGAAAAATCCAGAAAGTCGAGAAAGCGCTTTCTTGGGTCCACAACCACTCGCAGGTGTCGTTTCCGCGGATCGACCCGGCGGACTTCGACTTGACCGATTCCAAGGACTCAGGTTCTATTGACCAGTATCTGGATGATACCAAGTCGACGTTGGCAAAAACTAGAGATAAGTTGGTGGAAAAGTACAAGTCCTCGCTGAGAATCGAGCTGTACATATGTCTGGTGCTATTGGGAATATGGCTCTTGTCCCTGGTGGCTGCTTTGTTCATGGCCTGGCTACTGCCTCCTAAAAAAGACACAACAGAAAGCATCAATACATTCGAAACCACGCAAACTTGGCAGAACACAACGCAATCAGGATCACTGCTCGCTGAGCCCGAGAAACTGAAATTCAGAGACGTTGATCCTGGCTCTCACGACTTTTTCGCAGGCCCTGGCAATATAAATCAAACACTACAGCAGCTGCTGAATCGACTGCGCTACAGCGGAAAACGAGAATCGATTACCAGTCTGGACTCGTTTGAGACTGTCGTCACGTTCCAGCCAGACCATGGACCTCACCATCTAGAAGACTCTTATACTTCATTTGCAGACCCAACCATAGAAACTGCCCGGCGCTGGACTCCCTAATTCTGTACATTAATGCATTTGATACAAACCGCTACTCTTTTCTCTTCTTCTTCTTCGATTCCCCGTCGTCGTCGCTCTTGCGCTTCTTCTCCTTTTTCTCCTTGTCTTTCTTTTCCTTCTTTTCCTTCTTCTCTTTCTTGCTCTTTTCCAAAAGTTTGTTCTCTCTCACCTCCTCCTCAGGAGCAACATAGTCTTTAGCTCTCTCCTGCTCTTTCAATTCCTTCATTTCTTCCTGCTTCTCGCGCTTCTCTTGCAACTCCTTGGCCTTCTTCTCTTTCTTACCAAGGAAATACTCACCAGACTCGATCTGCAAATCGATCTTACGAGGAGTCTGCACAGGTGGGAATGGAGTGTACTCTTTTTTCTCTCTGACCTTCTTAGGCTTCTTACGCGCAACATTCCGCTTCTTGAAGTTGGGCAGGAACCTCGACCAGTCCTCTTCGGCAAGCTCCGGTCTTTTGGCCAACTCTCTTTTAATCATCAGCTCTTTGATGTGGTAAATTGGATGGATGTTGTGCATACAGTCCTCGATGACTCTTCTCAGCGTCTTCAGTCCCTTGTGTGGGCCCATCACAGCCACAGTGTTACCTTGAACAAGCATATAACACCCAGTCAAGAGCTCCAAAGCCTTGAGGGTGTTTCCGTTCGGACCAATCAGTCTCTGTCTTCTTTTGATAAACCGCTCCTTGTTGGCCACAATGTTGCCAATTTTGATGATCTCGCACGCAGTGTCGTCCTGCAATATCTTGACAGCTTGCGGGAATGGAACAGACCGCGCAAGAAGCTTGATCAGGTCTCTAGCGTTTAGAATCGCTGCTGGATCGTACGTTTTTCTTGTCGTTTTAACTGTCATCGACCCTTCAATCAGATCCAATGTGCAGGCGATGTGGTGTTTGTTAAGGGCCTTGGTCACGTCTCCCCATATCTGTCTAAGATATTCTTCTCTATATTTTGGGAACAGGGTCATGAAAGATGACTCTTCAAGAAAAGGCGATCCTGATGCATTGTCCTCCGGCTTGAACTCCGGGATCACCCATTTGTCGATGTCTGGTGTGTCCCAGGGCTTATCTTTGTTGTATGTGGAAGGCATTTGTGGCGATACAAGATACGAAAAAAATTTACAAAAAATTTACAAAAAAATAAAAAAAAAAAACTAAAAAAATACTGTGCACAGGCATGAAAAACAAGAGCACCAGAATATCAAAGAAACGAACTAAGCGAGCGCCTTCCAAAAGGGCCCGGGCGATGGTCGAGAAGCTTAACAGTGAGACGCAAACCGTAGAGGAGATATTGAAGGGCGCAGAGCCCAAAAAGGACAAGGGAGTGTTTGCCGACTTGCAGACGGACCACAAACTCGACCAGCAAACAAAGACCCAGAAATCCAGAGAAAACGCCGACCTTGAGCGCCAGCTGGACCTGCTCAGTGGCATCACGATCGAGGCCACGTCGCATAAGCCAGGAACCCAGTCTAAATAACCAGCATTAATGTCACTGCTACGATTATGTCAGCTGAAATTTTGACGGCCGTAGAAATATTTCTGTAAACTTTTCCTGCGCTATTGTTTTGCATTGTCCAAATTTGTGTGTTTTTATTTACCTTTAATCTGACGAGTCACCATGACTGCGCGGATGGACCAGCTTATCCACAAACTGAGTGTTCTCACCGCCCGGTCTGAGGAGACTATGCAAGTCAACGCTGAGCTGTCTCGAACCCTGCACTGTGTCCAGGCAGATCTGGTAGCCAACGAAAACAAGATCCGAGAACTGAGTTCCAAGATCGACTCTTCTACTGCATATTTGGAAAACCTGACGTCTCTTACACTACGAACACAGCTTCTAGAATCCCAAACTCTGCGCGACGAGGACAACGGTTTGAGCTGGAAAGTTACTGAGACCACCATCGAGAACCTACAAAGAGAATACCAGTACCTCAATGGACAGCTTGATAAAGACAATCACTATGAGAGCGATGTGGAGAACGATACCACCGATCCGAGCGAGTCCAACGAAACATCGCTATTTTCTGGACATGACAATTCAGACACCACTTTGGTCTCTCCCCGGATCACCATGAACGCTACTGATCTTGAATCCAAACCGCCCATGGCGCCAATAGAGCCGATCCTGGACGAACCAAATACAAACTGGACACCAGAACAGCAGTTCTTGCCCGTGCAAGGGTTTGACGCTCCCTTTTTGGACGTCATTTCTGAGGCCGACGAGAAAGAGCCACAGGAGTGCAAATCAGCAGATAGTTTGGAGGACATTGATCTCGAGTTTAATAATTGTTCAGACCACGAGCAGATTCTGGAACTGATCGCGAGCGACGACGAGAGCATGGCCAGCAGCACAGATATTATTGACTGGTATCGCAACGAGCCGCAGTGTGCTCCTATTCAGATCGGCGCAGGACGACCGGTGGTGGCCGACGAGATGACAGACATTGTTAGCGAAATGTCGTTCCGGCCGCGATCGACGCTGGACGTTTTACACACTCTGGTACAGAACAGACAGGCGCGAAAGCCAATAACGCAGAAGAACTGGCTCGCAAATTTGATACCTAATAGCTCGCAGGTAACGAGCGAGACAGGCCGGCTGATAGGTCAGCCGGCCGCCCACGTGTTCCCGCGTGAGAATGCTCGAAGCGGGGCTCATTCTACCATGATAATCAACAGAAAGGGCCGGATCATACGACACGGGTCTGGCCCCGGGCTGGGCGACGTTCTCAGCACCAGGGTCAGCCACGGTGCGCTCCGGGACGCTCTGAGAAGCAATCTGGAGGATTTTAGTAGACACTAGATAAGATAGACCTAATTGCATGGCATTTATTTTCACTATGTTTTCCACTCGCCGCCCTTTACTTTGAGCTGTCGTTTATACAGCGTCTGCTCGATGCGGGCCTCCTTGGGCTTGAGCAGACGCGGGGCCTTTGTCAGGAACGTGACGGCTCCACGGCCGTCTCCAACGGGCTTGGAGCTCGTCGTCACGTTGACTTCGTGCACTTTTCGTTCATTTTTCAGTGAGCTCGTCCGGAAGCTCGAGGTGATGGACTTTCTCGCGAGAATGCCAAAGTCCTCGTCCTCGTCCTCGTCGCGGACCTCCACCCGCCGCGTCTCTGTCCGCTCAGCCAGCACCACAGAGCTTTCGCGCATCTGCTTGATTTCCTCGTACCCGTCGTCGTCTATGTATATTGCGTCCTGGGGCTTGTCCTCGTCCTCCAGGAACGAGATCATCGACCGGACCTGCTCCCTTGTGATTTTCCGCCTTTTCGGCATCACCAGATTCTCCTCCTCTTCGTCGTCCTCGTCCGCAATGTCTTCCTCTGCAGGCTCCTCCGGCTCCTCTTCGAATTGGTAGTGGCTTTCCTCGGTCTCCATGATGGTGTCGAAAAACGCTTTGCGGTTGCTATCCTTAGCAAGCTCCTTGACGTCCTTGCTCTGCATCATCTGCTGCCGCTGCTGCTCCAGACGACGCCGGTTGTAGTACTCAAGGATCTGCTGGTCCTCGTCGTCGCTCAGCTCCAGCTCGTATGCACCGTCGCGTGCGCGGCGCTTCCTGAACGCCCCGGTCTTGATGTCCCTGTATATCTTTTTCACCATCTCGTCGTCCGCGGCCACCTCGTTCTTTAGCAGGGCCTGGCGGATCGCGTCGCTGTTTACGTCTATCGTGGCGTCGTTCAGCATTTTCTCATCCTCGCTGTTCTCCTCGTCAGATATCTCGCCGTCACGGCCCCCCATTCCCTGCCACTCGTCCTCCGACTCCTCGGCCTCGTTCTCCATAATCTGATTCAGGCCCTTGCTGCGCAGCTCCCGCTCGCGTTTCCTTCGTTTCTGCTCAGCAAGTCGTTTGGCTTCGCGAACGGCTTCCCGAACAGTGTCCGACTCGTCATCTTGTGTGTCTGGCAGGAAATTTTGACTCTCGAGTATTGTTTTCGGCACATCAGGCTCGTCAACAGGCAACATGCCCAGCTGGAAATTCTCGGTAACAACAACGCTCTCGTCATGGCGTTCTGTCGTCTCGCTGATGCTCGTGTTCATTGTCTCGTCGGCAACGTCGCCCAGACGTTTCATCACATCCAAAGAGCTCATACCGTCGTACTTCTTGGGTAAAGTCTGGTCAAACGCATCAGACAGCGACATAGGCCCAAACGGTTTTGAGCCGACCTCCTGGGTCTGCAACTCAAAGGTGATCGACGGCGACTTTGGTGGATCCGCGGCCTGTACAGCCTCCTGAGAGTCTTCCTGCTCTTCCTGCTCTTCCTGCTCTTCCTGTTCTTCCTGTTCTTCCTCATTCTCTTCATTATCCTCAGTGTCTTCGTTTTCCTCCCCCTCATCTTCCTCCTCCTCCCCGTCGTAGTCCAAATCGCTCTCGTCCTCACTAATCTCACCTCTTAGTAGTCTCTCCCTCTCGCGCTTCCGCCGCTCAGCGGCACTCCTTTCCCGCTCTCTCAGCCGTTTGTTGCGCTCAATCTCGTTCTGCATCATCTTCATGATCTCGTCCTCCTTTTCCTCCACCACGACTTCTACATGTTTTCGGCCCAACGCCTGCATCTGACGCCGCTTTTCCTCTTTGATCAACTTCTTCAGCGTGACCGGAGGAGGACGCTCTTTTCTGCAAAGTTTGCGACGAACCTCGAAAACGCTTTTCTTGGATGCTCCAAACTTGACTTGCGCAAGGTCGTCGTCGGAGTCAGAGTCGAGCTCCACCATTTCTCCTTTCTGCAGCTCGGCCACCTCGGTCGGAATATCCGCCTTGGGCGACGTCTGGGGAGTGTCTCTGGCGGCCTGGGAGAAAGTGTCCTCATCTGACTCCATGAACTCCTCAACCAGCTTCTGCGGATCAAATTTCGACGCGTTCTGCTTCGTCACTGTAAAGGCAGATTTTTTTATCAGCTCATTCTGCTTCACCACCTCAACGAGCGGATTGATGGGCTTCTTCCGCTTTTCACGCACTGCAACAGGCACAGAAATCTCCTTCTTCTGTTCCTCAAGCTCTCTTCGGCGCCGCTTCTCGTTGATTCGGGCTTGGATCTTGTCCTGCACGCTTAGTTTGTCGTAGCCTGGTATTGCAGCAATGATATCATCCTCAGGGTTGATCTGACGGTCTGGAACAAACTCCTGCGTATCTTCGTGCTCCTCGGCCTCGTCGCTGTCGGCACGCAAGATTTCATCCACCTGCTGAGTGGTGGGCACCTCGGTAGCGGGCTTCTCAAGTATGAGAGTATGCTGTATTTTTTCGCGTTCCTCGGGTTCGCTTTCAGGTGCGGCTTCATCTTCACTGTCATTAGCTTGCTCGGTATGCTCCTCCTTTTCACCATTTAGTCGCTTCATCACCGCTCCAATAAAGCCGGAGTCAATACCCAGCAGCCCAAAACTGCTGGTTTTCTCCTGCTCAATCACCTGCGTGGACTGTGAAACTTCCTGCGTGGCATCTTGAAAAATACTGAACTGCGTAAAGTCAGTTTCCTTGTCAGACGCCTTGAAAGTCCTGCGCACAGTGGGCAGGTCGCTCAATTCTTCAAGGAGATCCATAACGCGACGCGCTTTCAAAACGAGGGTAAAAAAAATATTTCATCTGACGGAAAATCACAGCTGTCGACGGTCGACAACGTGTCGCCTATCTTTGTCTGCGTTATTTTCTCTCGCCAAGCAGAAGAACAGTGTTGCAACATATGCCCAGCAAATAGAACAATTGGCGTTGAATATAGGTCATCATATTCGGACTCGCTGTCCGACTGTCACTAACTTTGGCATCAGGCTAGTCAGCTACTCGTGACCATTTCTGAGCTTTTCGTTGGGATATTTTCTTGCACGTGCGAAAATTTGGTACATTCAATAAGTAGATAGATACGCATAATAAATACCAGAAGCTTCCTGAGAAAATCGAGTCCAAAATTTCTCCATGACATATTTAGTCGATCTTCCTCGAGTCCTCAAAAAGGAGATTACCTTGGGAAGAACACAGTCCAATTTGGACGAGGATATCATCCAGCCTTCGGTGTCTCCGGGCAAGGTGGCATACATACCTGAGGAGGCCCTGAAACCGTCAGGGGAGACCAAATCTTACTGGCCAATTTTCACTGCCGGTGCTGGACTCTTCTCTGATGGCTACGTGAACAACTCCGTTGGTACAGCCACCACCTGTCTGAAGATGATTTACGGTACCGAGGCGTTTACCAAGTCGAACGCCATGAACAACGTCTCCTCCATCGCGTTTGTGGGAACAGTTGTTGGTCAGCTATCTTTTGGAGTCTTTTCTGATTACGTCAGTAGAAAAGCAGGTATGCTTATCTCTTCTGCAGGTCTTATTTTTTTCGCAATTCTGTCCGCTGGCTCGTGGGGTGTCGGAACAGAAGCCAAATATGGCGGGAACCCAGGAGGCCTCTTCTCGGCCCTGACATGTTATAGATTTTTCCTTGGTATTTTTATCGGTGCGGAGTACCCAACAGGATCGGCAGCTTGTGCCGAGGCTTCTGCACTCTTGCCAGCAGGACATAGAAACAGATGGTTCGCCTGGTTCACGAACTTCATGATCGACTTTGGCTACGTCGTGTCTGCCTTTGTGCCAATGGTTTGTTTGTGGATTTTCAAGCCAGACAACCTGCAGCCTGTCTGGAGAATTACGCTAGGCCTTGGTGCTATTCCTCCTCTGTCTCTGTTTTTACTTAGATTGAAGTTCAAGGAAAACCAGCAGTTCCAGAAAACCAACTTCAAACATGTTCGGGTTCCTTGGCTCCTCATTCTGAAGTATTACTGGTTCAGACTTTTGATTGTCATGGTGATCTGGTGGATCTACGATTTCTCGGCATATGCGTTCGGAATCTACTCCTCCACCATTTTCTCACTTATCATTCCAGACGGCGATCTCTACAAGACGTTCGGCTGGAACGTGGTGTTCAATCTGTTCTACATTCCAGGCGCCTTCCTGGGTGCCATTGTGGCGGATTACCTTGGCCCAAGACTCACGTTGGTTATTGGTGTTTTCTGCCAAGCTATCATTGGTTTTGCCATGGCAGGCTCTTTGAGCACCCTGAAAGAACACATTGCTGGCTTTGTTGTCGTGTACGGTATATTTATGACTTTCGGAGAGTTTGGTCCAGGTGACCAGATCGGTCTGCTTGCCTCCAAAACGTGTGCTACTCCTGTGCGTGGAGTCTACTATTCTATCGCTGCTGCATTTGGAAAAATCGGTGCTTTCTGCGGAACCTGGGCGTTCCCAAGTTTCCAGGCTAACTACAGTGGAGACATGGGACTCAAGGCTCCGTTCTATCTGGCGTCTGCGCTGGCCATCGTCGCTGGTTTGTTAGCTCTTTTCCTGCTTCCACCTGTTGACCAAGAAGCCATGCAAAGAGAAGATGTCAATTTCCTGAGATATCTCCAGGAGAACGGCTTTGATATTTCTCAGCTTGGTGGAGGCCGGCTTGGTGAGGTTATCAAGAGCTTTGAGACTGTGCATGAGGAGATCGACAATCCCAAGGTTTCTGAGTGATCGGAGAAAAATTAATTAGTACGTATCGACCGAATGGAAAACCCTAATAGTAAGACTCCTCAGGGCTCATCCGCTTAACACCATATCTTTCAACAAGCCCCGGATGGAACACGGTCATAATCAGCGCTGTGATGGCAGCCATGAGCGAGTCAAGGATTCCCACGTATATTGGGTGCGTGAACAGCTTGCCCGTACTTCCTTCTGCCTGAAGAGCAACACGGTAGCAGCAACGCACCACCATGAGGACCATACCCAATGTGATGGCCGCTGGAAAACTGTTGTAATATAGAGTTTGTCCTGCTGGACAGAAGTCTCTGTGGTTACTTCTCCAGGAGAAAAGCCAGTTGGCTGAGAAAGCGATCAGAAGCGCCAATTGAATAACAGTTCCTGCAATAGCCAGATCTTTTCCTGTCTGGTAGTGGGAGCCCCCGTTTGGCTCAATTGCGACTCCTGCCGAGTATAAGGCAATAGAGGCAATGTTGATGCCGAGCACCACTCTCAGAAGTCCCGGAGACGTTCTGCCAATGTTGGTAGCACGCTGTTTCAGCACTCTTGCGGCGGCAACATAGAGTCCTGCTATCATTAGAGAAGCACCTGCATTAAGGCCAACAGAGTCCATGATAATTGCGGTGGTCTTGTTACTTGACTTGGAAATCATGATACGGCCAATGTAGCCGACAATTTCGCCGGCCATTGCAAGACACCAAGCGTATCCAAAATGGACCAAATGAGTGTAGGAGAGCAAAAACAGGTGTGCTGCCAGAAGGAGCCCAAAGTAAGCTGTAAGGAAGCAGTTTGAGCCGAGATTGATATGTTCAATTAGGTATGCGTAACCAGAGGACATTGAGAAGAGAATGAGCGTCCATCTTGGATTCTCGGTGTTTATATAGGAGGGAAACCACGAGAAGAGCTGACTAGGTTTCTGAAAAACTAAACAATGGCGCGCAGTGTTATTTACGCCGCACCATTGAAAAACAATAGATCTGAGGTGCCTGGTAAGGCTTGGGAGGCTTGGCAAGAAATGAAAAGCTGACGCAAGTACCGGGGTGATTTCCAGAATAAGGTAATCCATCGCTATACACGGCTATAACTCCATCTCGTACACCTTCTGGTCACCCTTTTTGTCTCTTCCAATCACAGCCCTGAGGCTGTGGTCGACTTTGACGACCACACCTCTTCCGTATGCGGTTCCTGGGTGCAGGACAGACAGCAGGATGAACGCAAGCGTCATCATTGCTGACTCGAGCGGGAAGAAGTATTCCTCGTGGGTGGCGAGCTTGCTGTCGAAGCCATCAACCAGCTCAGCGATTCTATAGATGGACCGAATGTAGATAAAAATCACTGCTGCGCTCACTGCATACGGGAAAAGTCTGAAAGCTTTCCGGGCCCGAATCCCGCGAAATTTAGGCTCAAGTCCGCTCTCCCCGTTTTTGCGGACCTCACGATGCCACAGGAACCAAAAGGCGTACCAGCACACTTGGAAGAAGGTCATCGAGACCACTTGGAACACCAAGCCCGCAATCAGTAACGCTTTGCCCTGTTTCCAGTTCTTGGAGTCGTTGGCAACGGTGACTCCACCGCCTGCAGCCTGCAGAAGAATAGAAATAATGTCTGACCCAATAAAAACATAGGTGTACTGGCTAGGTTTGAACAGAGACAGGGCAGGGTTCACGATGATGGTGATTTGGGCCAGCAGATAGTAGATCCCGGCCATGATGAAACAAGGCGCAATGGTGAGCCCGGTCAGCTGCATCACATAGAGACTGAAAGAGTCCATGTTGGCGTGCAGCAGAGCTCTGGCAAGGTATCCAAGCAATTCCAGAACTAGACCACAAGACCACGAAATGCCAAACCACCGTTGTTTGGTGTAGAACCCGTAGAACAAGTGGAAGCCCAGGAAGATACACATGAACACGAAGAACACGGCGTTTCCAGCGATAGAAGGTTTTCTACCTGTAAAGTACTGAGAGTCCAAAATGATGGACTCAATGGACGCGGTGGCAGAAAGGGCCTGCGAGCTCGCAGAGGAGCGCACCGAGTCGTCGGTGGCGGTCGCCATGACTGCCAAGTTAGAGTAATACACCAGCTCTGCGCTGACTCTTGCCAGTGTTCTGACCGCGTCCTTGTCGTAAGAGTTGGAGGCGTACGCTGTCTGAGCGGAAACGAGTGCGGTTTCGAGAGATCCATGGATAGAGGTGAGCTGGCTGTAGCCCAGGGTGTTGGAGATGGTGGACGACATGGCTACCACGCAAACAGGTTGCAGATTATATAGGTGTGAGGAAAAGGCTTAGACATTTTAAAAATACTTGCATTATCGTCCATAAATAGATATGCGCAGGGTCTACGGACAAACAATGCAGCTACGGGTGGCTGTACAACTCACGCCAAGGTAATGGGGCGTATTCAAACAGGGAGATCCGCTTAGTTGAAGAGCCTCTAAGCTGGTGTGAGTCCGCTATATAACCAGGCCCGCGGCCCCCATCCGTTGAGAAAAAAATTTCATCCACCTTCAGCATGTGTATGCTCCAAGAGACGGAGCATAATAACGGCTACGCCCCTTTTGTTGTGTTTTGGATAGATTTGTGCGAGTGCGGACATTTACTTCGGGATGATTACCGTTTTGAGCTGCTAATGCGAACTCTTCCGTTGACCGACCAGGCAAAGATCCTTCGAAAAAGAGGCGCGTCAGACAAGATCGCGTCCTTGATCGGGGCTTTGCTGGTGCGCTACGTGTTGCTGGAGAAAAACGTGTCTGCCAAATCATGGCACTCTCTCGCTTTTCAGACAGGAGACCTCGGCAAGCCGTACGTTGAAAACTCAAAATTTAAGTTTAATCATTCCGACGAAAAACACATAGTGGCTGTGGCGATCGACTTCCAGGGTGTGTCAGAAGTTGGGATCGATCTCGCAAACCCTGAGGACGTCGGAGACTCGCGCGAGTTTCTGACCCATTTCGGACCAATCTTCACCAACTTGGAGCTTGAACAGATCGACGCGACGATAAGTGATCTTCCTCAAGCGTCCCAACAACAGCATCTCTCGCTTTATTGGGCTCTGAAAGAAAGCTACTCAAAATTCAAAGGGGTTGGTCTCCACGGCAACCTGCAGAAATACGAGTTCATAAACGTCTCTCCGCCAACACCCTTGCCGCAGCAAATTCCCGTCGCCCACCAGCAGGCAGTCTACAAATTGCTGCCCCATAATACAATCTGCAGCGTGGTGTCCTCTCGCACCAGCGTCCCGGACTTTGTAAGGGTCGACGGAGCCGATATGATTGATTACGTAACGAATATGCACTAGATCGCCCCGCGATTTTCCTAACATAATGCATTTAAATTCTGTGCCAATTCTGCCACGATTTTAGCATTGCTGGATTGCTGAGTATCCTTACCCAACACAATATAAAATGCTCAGAAATCTCTTTCGCCCTGTACAGGCCAATTTTTTGGGATACGGATTAAGAAGAATGTCTACTATCAAAGTTGGTGATCAATTGCCTGCAGCAACGCTGTACGAAAAAGGCCCCGACGACAAGGTTGACATCTTGAAGGAACTGAAGGGCAAACAGGCCCTCATTGTCGGAGTTCCCGGCGCCTTCTCGGGCCCTTGCTCGGAAGTCCACATTCCTGGCTATCTCAACAAGCTGCCAGACTTCATCTCCAAGGGATACAGAGACCTCGTGGTGATCAGTGTCAACGACCCATTTGTGGTGAGTGCCTGGCGCAGCAGCTTCGGACTGAAGCCTGAGTCGCCAAACGTCTCGTTCTTTGCGGACTCGAAGGCAGAGTTTGTCAAGGCATTGGGCCTGGACTTTGACGCCACCGAGGTCTTCGGCAACGTTCGTTCAAAACGGTTTTGTTTGGCCGTCGACGATAACAAAGTGGTTGCCGAATTTGTGGAGCCCGAAAACACCCCTGTCGACGTCACTGCCGCCGACAAGGTGTTCAAACAACTTCCCGGACTCGAATAAGTAAGCACATAGCGTTCTTATGGCATATCCGATTTGGTGGAGTCTGTAGAAATAGTAGAGTCATCGTCTTGAGTCTCGCTCGTATCGTCCGGACTCGGGTCGCGGACAACCACCTTTCGCTTTCGCTTGCGCGGTGACACCTGTTCGATCTCTTGCTGGTATCTGTCTTTATGCTCTTCGTTATAATCAAACCTCACTGGAGCGTCGGGTCGCTGCCAATTGATAAGATTCTCTTTTTTGATGCTTTCGAACGGCTCAAACTCAGGTACCCCGTTTTGCTCTCGCAACAGCCGTTTTTTCTCGTTGAACATCGGAATTACAACCTTTGCGATCTGATCCTGGACGCGTTGGCTAGCAGCAGCGTGCTGCTCGTTGATTTTTTGGCACTCGTCGAAATCCCGTTGCATTTGCTCGTTTTTCTGCATCAGCTGTCTTATTCGTCGCCTGAGCACCAGTTCCTGTTCGTACTTGATGGCAATGTCATCTCCTAGATTGAAGAAATCACCATCTGCCAAACTGCACTCTATCTCAAACAATATTCGACTAGGCACCCCTCCAAAGTCTTTGGTCACTGCAAGCTTCTTGCTGTTCTCTGTGTCCAGCACCTTGAATTCGTAGTCCAAATCGAACTCGCCTTGTAAAAACATCTCCTTCAGCCATTGGAGCCAAACCGTCTTCTTCACACCCTGTAAAATTCCTGACGGCTCCCTCGTGCTGCTATCGAAATTGCCCCGATATGTCTCTTGTCCTTCATTGCATACGAACGTAACTGTAAACTGCAACGACTCCAAAGTGCATGTCTCATCAACGGTCTCTCCGTTTAAGAAACGTAAAGCAGCATCATCCGGTGGTTCCAGTATCGCTTCTGTTTCCATATCCGATTCAACCAATGTGTAGCACTTTTGGCCGGCATAATTGGCAAAAAAAGTCCGCGAGCTCATATCTTGCTGGCTCTGGTACTTCGCTTTCTAGATAAAAGTCCAGGCTTTTTAATTGTGACCCTGAATTGCAAGTTGATCTATATAGCTCTGAACAATTTATTTAGTAGCCCTATTTACACCAATTATTAATTTTTTTTGCAATTAACTAAAAATGGTACGTTCACCCCATCTTGCGTTCGGCCCACGCTAACGTCCAGGAACACCCAAGCTTTACCCTAGGAGGTCTTTGTCTCATTGGCGGAGCCATGGGCTTTGCCAGAAAGAGATCAATGCCAAGTCTCATCGCTGGTGTGTCGATGTCCGCGCTGTACTTCACTGCTGGTTATCTGCTCAAGAACAACATGGAGTACGGAATTCATACTGCACTAGCCACTTCGGCCGTCTTGTGCGGAGCCGGCATTAGCAGATCGCTGAAGGCCGGATTCAAGCCGGTCCCCGCTTCGCTGACCGTCTTAGGAGCCGTTTCTTCGGCATACTATGCCTATAAATACACCCAGTTTTACATGTGAATAGTACGCACGAAGTTTTGAGCGTCCAGTCTTTGTTTTACGTAGTCACATTGAGCCGCATCGCGCTGCCTGTAGGCGTTCTTCTCGCCACGAAGTGTCGTGCTCATCGCTGCCCTAGTCGTGAACATCCTTGCACGGAATAATACTTATTCCATCAGATGCCGTTGTTGTTTCCACGGCGATACGGCCGTTTGGAGCGACAATTGGGCTCGGGGACCACCGCCAGGGTATATCTTTATGTCCACAAGGACGACCAGTTTGCCGTAAAGAAGATTGCAAGGCGCGAAAGAGAGTCTAAAAAAGACTATTTAAGCCGAGTAAGTAAAGAAGTCCATCTGCACCGATCTCTTCCCAAACACCATAATCTCGTTGACTATGTCGATTTCTTTGTCACAAGAGGCAAGCCGTACTATGTGATGGAATATCTGCCTGGTGGCCTTAGCATTTCTCAGAAAGTACCGAATGTCGAATATCAACTCTGTCTTTTCAAACAGTTGGCCATGGCGGTGTTGTATCTACAAGAGCAAAATGTCAGCCATCGAGATCTCAAGCTGGCCAACTGCAGACTTACAAGTGAGGGTGTTTTGAAGCTTATCGACTTTGGCTCGTCCATACACGGCAACGAGGGCGTCGGGGTGGCCGGAAGCAAAGGAATGGTGGCACCCGAAGTATTGCGCGATATCCGCTACGATTCCTTCAAGTCTGATGTCTGGTCCTTGGGTGTGGTTTTCGTGGAGCTTCTTGGACACCGAACGAGATGGAAAGAGGCCGTCTGGTACGATAAGGCCTTTGAACTATATAGCAGAAGTCAAAGTGTTGACGATGTGTCGGACGATCTCGCCAACTTCCAGCACATTGTGCTCCCGATGCTGAAAATCGACCCCTTGCGACGCATCACCATGTCCGAGCTGGTGAAGCTTCCTGCAATCGTGGAGGTCGATCAATGTCGTCCTGGTAATATTATTCACAGCCACTTATCGGGTCCCTGACAAGCCACATCGGCACCTCCACTGCCATTTTTTTGCTGTTATTTTCTGATCCATCTACTCATGACAACAAACACTGACGCTCCGTCTCCTCTGCAAGAGCCGGCAATTGCCGAGATTCTTGCCTCCGACTCTGCCCTGGACCTGCTTTTGGCAAGACTCAAGCAATCCGTCAAGGCGTGCGACGAGTTTGCCAACTATCTGAAACGGAAACAGAACTATGAAGAAAATTACGCTCGGGACGTTAAGCGGGCTGTCACAAGTTGCAGATCGTCCATCAAATCCAACACATCCGTCTCCAAAGGCTCGTTTGTTGAGTCGCTGGACAAAGTAATATCATTCGACGACAGAATACTCCTGGACGTGCGGTCCCCATACTCCAAGGCTTTGGAGAAAATGCAGGACGAGTTGGCGTCTGTGTCTGCGACGTTCGTGCGGCTGCGGAAACAGCTGAAGGAGGAAGGTCACAAGCGCGAAAAGGAGGTCCAGGATGCCATAAGCCAGGCGGAAAAATCAAAAAATAGGTACTTCTCGCTCTGCACCGACTTGGAAAGGCTGAGGCAGTCGGACCAATCCCAGAAAAAAATAACGCTCCAAGGCCGGAAGACAGGCTCGCAACAGGAGGAGGAGCTGGTGCGAAAAATCAACGCTGCCGACCAGGACTATAATGCCAAGGCCAACGCGTCCCAGAAGCTGAAAAACGAGCTGGTGAATACACATAGACCGAGACTTTCCAAGAAGCTCCAGGATCTCATCTTGGAGCTGGATACGGCTTTGCAGCTGCAATTGCAGAAATATGCTGCTTATAATGAATCCTTGGTTGTCGGGCTGGGGAACCAGGTGGCTCCACTGGGAGCCAATCACTCTTCTATGGCAACTGTCGCTGCATCGGTCAACCCGGAGCAAAATCTCTATAACTATTTGAAAGGCTCCAGAGTCGAGCAAAAACAGTCCTTTGTGCCTGTCGAGTACAAGAAACACCCCCTATTCAAGTCCGACCCTACGCCTCAATTCCGCGTTCCAGCAGCACCCGCTGTGTCTAATAATGTTTCCAGATTGGATCCACCCTCAGCTACTACGAATAAGACCGTCACGCCGCCTGTCGGGTCTCCATCCTTCATGCCTGTTCCAGAGCCGCCAAATTCTTCGTCAGTGAACTACCCAACGCTGGACCCTACGCGCTCTCCGGCATTGTCTGCCTCGCCGGCTCCCGCAGGCCTAGCAGGACCGCGTCCTATCAGCACAGAAATGCGAAACAATTCCTCCTCCATCGCAAATCCAGCCGCTCCTGCCTACTCAGGACTACTGTTTGGACAGCCAATCGAAAGCCTGCCTCACGACGAGGAGATGGTTCCGTTGTTTGTTAAGAAGTGTATCAACCTGATTGAGACTTACGGCTCCAACTCTGAGGGTATCTATCGATCCAGTCCGAACAAACTCAAGCTGGAGGAAATCAAGTACGCAATCGACCAGGACCCTTCAGATTTGAGTATCTTGGATCCTCCAGATCCCTCCAATGTGTCTGACGACTACGTTTATATGATAGCGTCGCTTCTCAAAGTGTTTTTTGCAGATTTACCCGACCCATTGTTGACAAAGGAGCAAAGCGGCAACTTTTTCAAAGCCGGCCAGATCGAGGACGCTGTGACGATGCATGTTCAGCTCCATCGGATTGTGTTTGAGCTTCCGGACGCTAATTACTTTACCCTTCGTGACTTGCTCTTCCATTTTATTCACCTCAGCCAAATTCCAAGAGTGCGAATGAGCGTGAAAAATTTGAGTATAGTCTGGTTCAACAACCTGCTTGTGAACGAATATACCTCTCGCGACGAGCTCGCTGTGCAGCAGCGAGTCGTTGAAGAACTCATAAATGCTGCTCCCGAAATTTTCAATCCTAAGGAAAATTGAATCCATGTTACGTGTACCAACCAGGTTAGATATCAGGATAATGTCTATATATTGTAATTGTATTTTTACTCTTTTTAACGTCTATGAAGGAGTGGGGAGAGGGAGTGATCTCCGCGTCTGAATTCCCCAAAATCCTGCAGTTTGGCTTTGGTGAAAGCCGCAAACGCAGCTATGAAGCGGACTCGCCAGTCGATCAAGTGGACGTCACAGATGGTCATAAGAAAGATATTATCACAAAGCTTGACAAGGCAATCGATGTGATTCTGATGGGTCGTTCGCCATACGATCTTCCCGGCTCTTTGTCTTTGCTTCAGTCGATCTGCATGTTTGTCTACATGGACAAATCTTGGGTCTCTAGCATATATGATCGCATCACCAACGTTTTTGACACACACATGCTACCCCTGATTGAAAAAGCCATAGGGTCTGACCATCCTCTTGCAGGCTGTTGCAGCATGTACACAATGTGGCGACAACGTCTTCGAGAACTTCACATGCTTTTGATTATGCCAGATGAGTCTACAACGTTACGGCTGCCAAGCGGAAAAAAGATCAAGTTCATACCGTTTGGACTTGATCTCTTTGCGTCTAGAGTGCTAAACTCCAACAAGCCCAAGGACTACATGGTGAGATTAGCGGATCCATCTGAAAACAGGCTGCGATCGATAGTGCTTCTTGCTATTAAAGACATGATGTACAGCCTTGTGAGTCCGACGCCTGAGTCCGAGCAATTGAAGGAGATGGTGGCCGAGATCCACAATATCCAGCTCGAGCTTCATGGCGAAAGCAAACTCCATCTTTTCGAGGTGATGAAACAAGCCACGCATCAGAATTTCGCCAGCATTAGGGATCAGCTTCTACTGACCCCAGAGTCGTATCTTCCCAAAGCAATTGAGTACCAGAATATCATCCCCTTATATGTGGATATATTCAAGCCGTTCTTGCCTCCTGACTTCGTCTCCAACGACCTGCTTGAAACATTGCTAGGAACTTCTGTGCTTGCAGCCAATCCGCAAGCAGTACATGCCTGTTTTGGGTTTGACTGGAATATCCAAGTTTCAGCCATGTTGATTCAGCTCTACGCTGACGAGGAAAAATCCTGGCTTCTTTCTGCCATCGAGGAATACAACATCAAACTATATCGCAGTTACATAAGTCAGCACTTGAAGGATAAAGGTCTTATAGCGGATATATTTCGCTTGTATCAGAGGCTTTCTTCCAATGCAATACAGACCTTTGGCAGAGAGAATTCCATTCCAAAGAATATTTTCGTGAATGCCATCCAGCAAATCCCAAATGGGCCCGTGCACGTTTGCGACCATCTCTTGAAATATATCGAAACAATATTGGGAAAGCCCTCGTTGCAGGATCTGGACAATAAATCTCGGTCTGGTCGACGACTCTCCGACTTGGATCCACAGGACTCCATCACGACAATTCTGATATTGATTCCATCAAGCAGACGATACTTCTTTGACAAATATCAAATTCAAGTCTCTCGGAGATTGCTGAGAGGCCAGTCCTTTTTCATCAATAGAGAGCTTAAATTGGAGTGGCTAGAGCTCGAAAGAGAGCTTTTGAAGAAGCTCAAAGATATGTGTGGCCGCGAGTACACCGATCAGTTGGATTCCATGGTGGAATCCGTTGGGCTTTCGGAGCTGGATATACCTGACTTTCTTGATGTGCACAAACACTCTACACTTGGCTCTGTTGATATGGATATCTGCTGTGTCGATGCTCATTGCTGGCCTCGTGTTCCTGAGAATCAACCTCTGATAATTCCCTCTCAATTGCAACCATTGTTGCATGAATACGAGACATTTTACCGTTCGCAGCACAAATCGCGAAAACTCCAATGGAAATATCACTTCCATAGAGTCACTCTAGATGTACAGTTTGACGAAACAAAACCTAGAAAACAAACCATTGAGTGTTCTCTATACCAGGCTGCAATTATTCTAGCTTTTGAAGACCATTCTTCCCTGTCGTTTGATCAGATCAAGTCCAAGACGGGAATGAGTAACAAGTTCATGACACAAAATTTGAACATAATGTCAAGCTCCAAATTCCCTATACTAGTGCAAAATACCGACTATCGAATAAACGAGAGCTTTAAATGTTCTAGGAAAACTCTCAGGCTACCGATCCAGTTAGTTGAAAGCACAACTACTATCGAGCCGCGGTCGTCTGACGAGCCATCAAGAGGCTGGATCTCTTCAAAGATAGAAGCCTTTGTTGTGCGCACTTTAAAGGCGGAGCAAACGATAGCCCATGACAGACTGCTGCTGCAAGTGCTGGACCACATGAAACAGCAGCAACTATACGAAAGAGACGTTGTTGCTCTTGTAAAAAGTGTTATCGAGAAGCTTATCAATGAAGACTATGTTGCAAGGGAGGCAGACGATTATGTGTATGTTCCATAAATAAAAAAGATGCATTTTAAATATCAATAGGACTCGATCGTCTGTTAGGTCTCTTTAACTTAAGTATGACTTGCAGAGACGAAAGACGACACCTAACAAAATACAAAAAAATCATGCTGGTGGACGCCCTGAAGGAGGAAGACAATACGATACACCGTTAGCTTTTCAACCGGCATGTATACCAGCTGCTGAGAAACTTAGCAACAGAAAGGCGTAAATGGTTTAGTGGTAAAATTCGTCGTTGCCATCGACGAGCCCCCGGTTCGATTCCGGGTTTACGCATTTTTTATCAATTTTTTGTATATTTTTTTTGATCTACATGCTGGTTGATCTGGATGATGATTTGGGCAATGCGATTGCTCAAGCAGTTGTCGACGAGTATCGACGACCCTCTAAGCTAGAAAATAAGACGTTGCACCAATTTCGAAATGCAAGGCCAAAAGAGACAGAAACGACTGTTCTAGCGGGCTTGGTCAAGATAGAGTCTAATAGTCGCCCCATTGACCAAGCCAAGCGACAGAAAGTTGCCGAAAAACCCCAGCTAGATGTATTGGCAGTCTGTACAGGAATGAAAGTCACGCCTGCCGCGAAATTAGAGCACAGTCAAGGGAGATTGGTTCACGATTCACATGCAGAGATTTTATGTTTGAGATTATTCAACTGGCTGGTGTTGCAAGAAATGAAAGCTATAAGGGAAAACAGTGGCTCCGAACTGCTTATCCGAGGGCATAGTACTGAACAATATAGATTCAAAAACAACTCGCAGTTTGCTTTGTACATTAGTGAAATTCCCTGTGGAGATGCTTCCACAGAGAATTTACGAGACTCAGTTGCAGATCAGACAGATTGGCACAATTTAGAGGAAACTGAGGGCACATTGAGGGGTCGCAATGGCCTGAATAGACTGGGAAGTGTGCGGACGAAACCTGGAAGAAAAGATTCTCCGATCTCTTACTCTAAATCTTGCTCCGACAAGCTGTGTCTCAAACAGTTCACCTCTATGCTCAGCAGTCTCGTCTACGATTTGGTGGATGAGCCACCTTACTTGACATTTTTAGTGCTGCCGAAACAGAAAATCAATAAAGCTGCAATAGAACGTTGTTTCCGCGATCGAATAAAGATGTCACGAGAGCTCTCTTCATATTATCATCCACTCACAGTTTTGGCTACAGACCTGCCAAGCCCGTTTGCTGGCAGCACGCCGTCGAATCTATCGATACTCTATTGTCCGCCTCGGTCGTATTTACAGGTGCTGAATAAGGGAGTCAGAAACGGATGTCCAGCGAAGAAAAGTGTCCAATACCAACACCAGAGCGACGTTTCAAGGCAAAAACTGGCTGAATTAGCAACAAAGCTCACGCCTCACCAGTTTCAGGACTACCACGAGCTGAAGAGACGCGCAAGTGTAAGCGCACGCAAGAAACTAGCGCGTGAGGCTATGGGACACTGGGGTAAAAGCAGCGAGGACAACTTCGCTCTCAATCACGTATGAAAACAAACTCCGTTTGCGAGTCAGGATCTCCAAACCGCAGAACATCTTTATGGAGAACCTCGACGTAACGATTTGGAGGCAGCTCGTGGTCTTTTATGAAGGTTCCATTGGTGGAATCGAGGTCGATTATATAAGCAACGATTTCAGAGTTCTTGGTTCTAAACTGGAGAACGGCGTGGTTGGCCGACACAAGATCGTCTGCAACGACGATGTCGTTAGTCTGGGGGTCCTTGCCTATTGTGTAGTATGATTTCGAGTTTATCAATGGAATCTTCTGTCCATTGGGCGACGACTCGTCGAACTTGTATAGGAAGAACCTGGTGTCAGAATCGGATGACGGAGCCACAGCGTCCTTTGGCGGCACATAGTCTGTCCCTTGGCTTGATTTGAGCATTTTGGTAAGGTAGCCAGAAGGCTCCATCACCACCGGAATGGGCTTGACTGAAGGATCACTCATGAAAGAAAAAGTAGGCCGATCGACGCAAAAATATTTAGGTGCGGAGAAATATATCTTCAACCATGTCCTATCCAGTCTACTATAAAGAGCCGATTAGGGTAAGTGGAAATGAAACTGGCGCACTAACAGCTAGTGGCTGAGATACTACGCCCACAACCGGCCTCATTTGTTTTTCGCAGGGTGCATAGCAGTCTTGGGACCAGCTATGCTTGTGACAATCACCCCCTTACGGCGAAAGTTTCTGTACGACGACCTTGCTCCTCTTCCATTAGACGGCTATCCTATCCCCAAGGGCCCACGCAAGAAGGTAACTGGCTACGACGACTGAAAAGTCGTTTCTTTATTTATTTATTAAATCTATTTACATATCACCACTTATACTGCCCACTGTCACCAATCAGCTTGGTCTTTGTGATATTGTTCCAGACTGGACGTTTGAGCAGTTTCTGCTCCTCCTCGTACTTTAATCTGTTCAGCGTCTGTTTTGACTTGAGCAAGAAGCGCACGCTGACGTAGCGGTGCAATATAATACCAGACCGTCCACGGCCCTTGAACTCTGGCCGTTTCTGCCACTGTCCATCGGTGTGGACCCAGGATTCTGCCACATACAGATCGTTGGGGTTGTATCCCATTCTCTTGGCGTCGTCAACACCGCGCTCAAGCAGCTCTCCAAGTGGTCTGGCCACTTTCTTCTGCATGAAATGGAGCTGGGTGATGGCCTTTTTCAGAGGCATATTTTTCAGAGCACGCAGCACGATGTTGGTCTTCTTGACCGAAGACTTGATTCTGTACGATGCCAGGTAGACAGAAGGCTCAAGAGCCTCCATTTCCTGCCTGGTGAGACTCAACTTGTACTCGGCCCCATCGAGCTTCATAATCTGGTTGTTGATGAAAAAGCCGTTCTTCTGGACGTTCATGTTGTAAAGTTCGCGCTTGAGCGGAGAGATCAGAGACTCGACAGCGAGAAAGGGAGAAGGATGCAAATAAGCCTGGAGTTTGGCGTCTTGTGCCGGGCTTGTGATTTTTGCAGCGGGCTCGTTCTCGACAGGTTGCGGAGTGGCCGGCGCAGAACTGACCTCATTAAATAGTGAGCCGCTGGAGTTGAATCTCAGACCGGCCCCAAGCCGGAGCGGATTCAATATACGCGGGCTGGCCAAACGGAACATCTCGAACGATTGAAACAAAAAACCAATATTCGAAAATATTTTAGCCCACACCACACACCGGAGATATTAATAAGGGGAGCAACATTACATACGAGGATTATCTGGAGTTGAAACACATTGTTAGCTGGCAAATCTCTTTTTACGCTGAATACAGGCCACAACGTGTTTATCTGGCTCTGTTGTTTGAAAGTGACAGATAGTATATGATCAGTCATAACCCGCAGCGGTCGATATAGTCTTCAAGACGATCGACTCATTTGCTTATCTTAATTAAAGGTTAATTGTTTCCTCCTCATGGGTCTAGTCTACGCTCAACATTTTAGGACATCAAACCCTACAGACGGCTCTGCGCCGGCATCCCGCAATTCGTCCGTGTCATCCAAGTCGTCCCGGTCCGCCATTTCGTCCCTTTATTCACCCAAATCCTCAGTCTCCTCCGGCTCAAGCAGCTCGCCACCCCAAGCGTCTCAGAATTACCCTTCTACCCGAATTTTGCGCTGCAGACAGTGCCATAACCACATATGTCTCAGCTCTCTGATAATTTCGGACAACTTCAACGGGAGCCTAGGACCTGCGTACTTCGTTTCCAAGGTACTCAATGTCAAGCTTGCCAAGGCCAGGGAGTTCAAGAGAATGAAGACCGGACGCTACGAGGTCAAGGTGATTGACTGTAAGCAGTGCGATTGCTCGATTGGGTGGAAATACCTATACAGCGAGGAGGACAAGGAGAAATATAAAGAGGGCCGCTTCGTGGTGGAGAGAGCTTTGCTGGAGGAAGTTGAAATGTAGTTATGATTTACGATGCTAGAAAGCAGGCTGGGTAAGGTTGGACAGAGTGAGGTATGGTTTTTACGGTAGCAAGAATTTGCGCATGTTGCTAAGATGATCTGTAGCTATGGTATCGAGGTAAAACTAATCGGGCTCTACAGTTTCGCTGGCCGAGCTTCCGCTTAAAGTGCTGTCTTCGCTGCTGTCAATGTCTGACCACCACGTCTGGGGCCTCAGCCGGCCATCGCGCAGGGCAAAAGAGCCCAGTGTGTCTCCAACGTCCTGGACCCCGGTCTCCCTGAATCTGGTCAGGTTCTGGATGTGGGAGTCGTAGCGTTTCGGGGTGGTGTTGGTGCCTATCCGCTGTTCGTGCTGATGCTCAAGACTCTCTTGAGAGTTCTCGTGAAGCACGTCGATAAGACGCTCGCGCGGCGTGGCTTCCGAGGCAGCAACGGCTCTTTTTCGTGGCGGAGGCGGAAGAGGAGCCGTCTGATTTTCGTGAACGTCGCTAACAGCAATATTCGGCACCGTCTCCCAGACGTCTTCTCCGCCAAAAGCTTGTTTTTTCTTTTTCCTATGGTACAGAGAGAGTACCACAAAGCCCATGGCCAAAAGGAACCCGATTGCCACACCTACCCCAATACCTGCCTTTGCTCCCGTGGAGAGGCCGGAATGGTGGGCGGAAGCACGATAGATGCCCAGAAGCTTGTTGAAAGAGCTGGAGTCCGTTGTAATGATTGCGCTCGATATCGAAAAGGAAGATGTAGGGGTGAACGTGGCTTGCGTAGTGAGGTGGACATTAGTCGTGAACGTGGTGTCTGAATCAGTGACCACAAACAACTGCGTGTAGTCGTAGGTGGTCACTTCGAGTTCCTGGAATGTACTCGTGGCCGAGCTTCTCGAGATTCTGGAAACACTCGTATAGGTGGTGTCATCATATGAGGCAACGGACACAGATACCGAGTTCGGCATCCTTGATGCCATTATTTTTGAGTAAGAAGAGTAGCCTGTTGTTGTATGTCGTAACGAGTGTGTGGCTGCGGGTCTTGTAGAACTGGTTGACTCTTGGGTGAGCTCATGGCTAGAGTGTACTGTCTTGGAGCCGATAGCGCTTGTAGTGGAGTTCGTGTACAGCTGACTAGCAGCTGTAGAGTACAAGCGCCGCTTCCGGTCTATAAACTTCACCATCAACAGCTTAAATGCACCCTGAAGAGACTAAAAAGTGAATTTCCCCCCTGTGATTGCAAGCTTTGAAAGCGGTGGGAGGTGTGACTTAGGGTGGTACAGCCAGATTTGATTTTTTTTCTTTAATTCTCTCGATAGCGTCAGATCTGCAGCAACCACCTAAAATTAGAATTTAATCGCTTGGCAGACACCGGCCCTGATTCCAAAATTAAACCGAAATCTGTCATGTCGCGCGCGGCCAACGGCTCGTAAAATGACAGCAAATTCACTCCACACTGCAGCAGCTCCGACAACGCCTCCAATTGCTGGCCCGCCGTCGCCTCGTTGATTCTATCTATGCTCTTCAGACTCCTTAGATCCCGTACAACATCTTTCAGGTCCGCCGTCGGTGGCAGCGAGGAAGAGCCAAACTTGGTTTTCAGCTGCTTGTGGGCTTGTAATGCCAGTGCTAAGGCAGAGTCCACCAGCATGTTGAGACTCCAGTCGATTTCCTGCCGTCTTTTTGCCTTGATCACCTTCAGCAAACACACAGACAATTCATAAAGAGCCATGCCTAGTGAAACTTTGTAGTCAAGATGCTGTTCCAGCGCACTCTCTATATCGATGGTCATCACGGTGAACCGCAAGTTGGTCACAGGATCACCAGTTGTGTTTGCTTTCAGGAGCGACATGATTTTGTACACTGGCCAGCTGTGGTGAGGTACCAGCTCCATGTTTTTGTAAACCAGGGTGGCAAGAGCTGTTCGCTCTTCTGCTTCCAGCTGTGCGAACGAGGTTGCGATGCTGTGCATGATCTGGGCTCCGATTTCCGCCTCGGGACAGTAGACATTTTGAAGTCCCTTCATTAAATCCAAATAGGCAGTCTTCTCTAGTTCTGTCCCGTTCACCATCTTTCCATCCAACCTGTCAGTTTCCCACTCCATTCCCCCTGTTAGAGTGTTGCTAGGAAACCACAAATCATACTCCAGGGTGCATGTGCTGCAACCACATTCGAAAAAAAAGCTATTTTGCAACTGCTGCTTCCTCTCAATCTTGGGCGTAAACACCGGGCAATAACTGACCAGTAGCTCCTCGCCTGGATGTAGCCTTTTCAGCGCCTTCAGAACTGCTCTGCGTCCTTTCCAGACTAAAATGGTGTTTGGCTGGCACGAATGGTTAATCAGCGAAAAGAACGGGTCAAACATAATACCAATGGGCTCATCGTAGGAATTCTGCAAAACAGTGGAGTTCACAAAAACGACAAAACACAGCTTGATCAGGCCTCGGAGGTGGCAGCCGAAGAACTTGAGAAATCCCAGCGAATAGGCCTCTGTTACCTCGAATAGAGATTGTTGACTTGGGGTCAAGTTGCCAAACTCCTGGCGTTTTTTGGCCTGTAGGTAAACCTCGTGGTGGGATGTGAGATCCTGGCATTGTCCGACCAAGGTCTCATCACTGCCGAGCGTGATAATGAGCCTCAAAATAAGGCGCTCAACACAGGATATTCTGTGCCTCTCTTCAGATTCAAAGCTGCTCAAATACAAACACTCAATCTCGTGAACTGCCAAATCCGCATCAACACACTGCTCGCAGCAGTACTTGACAAACCCATCGCACCCGCCACACTCAAACCCCATTTTCGATACGCTCAGACTCTTCAAACAGTGTGCACACAGGTTGTCTTTACTGTCAGCACTTTCCGAGCTCTGATTGGTCTCAGCCACCTCAAGCTTTGGAAGGAAGTCGTATATAATGCCCCCAGCGTCGCACGGTTGCTCAATGATTATACCACGCTCAGCATTTCCTCTCTCGCAGGGATTATTAATAGTCAAGTGTTTGGGCAAATAGCCATAATGTTGAGAAATCGGGTTAGTGGATTGTTCCGAAACTCTCTTGATGGCACTTTTAATCCTGCTGTACTCCACTGATTGCTTGAATATATTCGGATCTTCCATTTGTGAAGATTGGTATCACGCCAGGAGATCCTTTTTTTTTTGGCCCTTTTTTAACCTATTTCAAAAAATTGATTTCTATATGGATTACAAACTAGTGCTATCATTACTCAAGCACGTTTGATGCAAACTGGCCTGGAACAATAATGCAAGGATATAACAACTTTATAAGAAATGTTCCACACCTTCCCGGCCGTTGCCGGAACTCTAAAATCTCGTTAAATTGCGAGTAAGATGCAGACTCGCTGCCAGATCTTACTCTCTCGGACTCTCATAATCAGCAACAAGCTTGGTGTAGCCGCCAAGCTCGGCAAGGAAAATAAAAAACTCATTGAGCCAGCAACTCAGCCCCCACCAGACAACAATATGGTTGCGGTTGTCCAGAGTCAGCTGTCTCATTATCGAGTCAACCAACTGATTGCTTATCAACAAAAAAGTTTGTGGGCTCACATCGAGGAACTTTTCGGGAATCCTGGATATCCTGGTGCTCAAAGTCTGAATGATGATGTCTTTAGTCTCCTGGCCATGAAGGGTGAGTGTAGAAACCTCGCGGAAAAGATTGGTGATATCGTGTTGCAAGACATCTGTAATCTCTTCCAGCTTTTGACATCTAATCTCTCGTTTGACAATTTCCCTAACGTCCAGCGCTTCCCAGTCCTGTAGTAATTCTAGCACAACCGATGGCTGGCAAAGATTTCTGGCACAGTTGTGACCTGCCAGAATTACCCTAGTCAGCCGAGAGGTCATTTTCACAAAAGTCTCAGCTGCGGGAAGCTTGGCCTGGACAAGCTCATCGGGTAGCACCATATCCCTAACATACTTCACAAAATAAGTATTCACGTTCGTCATCTGAACGCAAACATGCTCAGGCACACTTTGAAATATCATTCTGGACAGCAGTCTGATACATGCTATGTATAGCGCGTTGTCGCATCTCAAGATCCACGAAATCACATGGGGAGAAGACAGAAGACTTTTTGCACGGATGGACAAGCCTAGAAAATCTGAAGACATGCTCTCGAACAGTGTTTTAATTTTCATGAACCGAATACAATGCAAAACCTTGCGGCAGTGGGCACCATAGTAATCCTCAATCTCCTTCAGTTCCTTCTGCTCACCAGGGTCAAAAAGATGCAAAATACTGTTGAGGCCGCTGATGCCAAGATCCGGTTCCTCAATGCTCATCCTGTTGAAAAAGTTATCCTCCAAACTAAGATCAAAATGAATATCAGCAGACGGTTCGCTTGTTTGAGCAGCTGCCGGAGACCCAATAGTGGGAGTCGTTGACGTGGTCGACGCCAAAGACTCAACTTCATCAGAGTCTCCTACCAGCTTTATGCCGCAGTAATGGTATCTGCTGGAACCCCTGATCCCCAGCCTCCGGGTCTTGATGCCTGGAAAGAGCGCTTTGACCAGCTTCCCAAAAGACGCATTCACCACAGGCTGCACCCCGTGCTGCTGGCACAGCTGCACATACTGGTTAAAAATCCTGTTCCTTGGGCATACGGCAGACTCCTTGATCTGTACACGTCTCATCAGAAAAACCATAGCCAGGATCTGGTGCTGTCTTTTTTTGTGTGCTTCAGCCTGACGATTATCTCTGGAATGTTTCGAGCTCGATCCAACAATGTGGGCGAGGTTCGTCTCGGCCACCTTCACGGAATGGGCCAATTCATCGAAAGGAGTCTGGATATTTTTTTTGGCTATTTCGATCAGATTTGTGTCGCAGATCTCGCCGAAAAAACTGTGATCTGATTTAGCCGGCTTTGCTTTTGACTGGATCGAGTCGGCGGACGACTGCGAGACGTACGACCCCAAATATGGGGTGCCGAAAAACGCACTGGAAGAAGATGACACAGGTTTCGAACTGTTGGCCGAATAAGCAGGAGAAGTGTATCTGGTGGCCTCTTCCGGGTGAGGGTCTTTGGAAAATTTTGGGAGCTGCAGGTTTGGGACTGCAGAAAATCCTACATTCCCCCAATGTGGCGCCATTGAGTAGCGCTGAGGAAGGCCCGGAAGTGCAAATAAGAATGGATGCGAGATATGCATTGGTCCATTGAAGGAATAGATCTGGTGCTGGGCCGCAGAACTAAGCTTGGCGTAGTCTGTAGGTAAGCCCAAGTGTGCATTTCGTGCCGATCCCAGGTCCTGCTGGGTGTCGGCATGTGACTGGGGCCTTGTGGGAGAGATCTGATGCTGAATGTATGGTAATTCCATGTCAAGTGTGTGCGGGATCTGGCTGTCTAGATTTTGAGGCAACAAGATTTGAGCGACAAGGGGGAAAATGCAATCGAAATGTAAGGCGGGATAGAAACGAACAAGCCAAAAGCCTCCAATTGGACTGTAAGTACAAACACGGACCTGGATCTGGACGGTTGTAGTGCGAGTAGCGCCCCAAAGAAAGCGTAGATCAACAGCCCTGAGGATGAAAGGAGCAGTACAAGCGCCACGGGGTGTCGGGTTGTGCAAAAAAAGCCGCTGGAGCAATCAGAAGTGTTGCGCCTTGGAAACAGAGTTAGACCTCAATATGAACCCGCTGTCGCTATGAGGAGAAAATATTGTTTGTGCAACACACTTGGGAACAAAAGTCTCCTTCTCTATCTTGAAGAAAGGTCGTGTGCAAATCTTTTTATGGTAGCTAGAAGTGAATAACCCAATTTAAGGTTGCGCTGGTGTTTTATCTATACTGTTTTTCTACGTTGGGGGCCATGGGTTGGCCGTCTATCTCCAAGGAGCCGATCCGGCGCCTTTTCCACCCGTTCTCGCTCGCAGACACATGGTATTGCTCCGCAAAGTCCGGGTATCTGTGCTGACCCAGAAAGGCTTTCGCAGCTTCCGAGGACTCGCGAGCGTCTGAGTTTGTAGGAGTGTACCAATCCGGGCCAATGCTGTGCTGTGGGGTGTGAATTTGGGCCTCGGCTGGTACTTCGTCTGGTTCGTTGCTGAGCTCTCTTTTCACGAGCTCAACGATGTCTTCGTCCTTAAAGTGCTCGTTTTCCACCTCCTCGTCCTGCGGGAAAAGCAGCTCCTCCAGATCGATGTCTCTTCCGGTCTTTTGGAGACATTTCATCGAGAAGGACTTTGATATCAGGCCACGGACTCGGTACAGATTGAGCAGATGGAAAAGCTCGTTTTCCTTCCTGCTGTCGTTGCAAACAACGTCCGGGTCTGCTACCAGTCGCGGGACGAGCTGGCTGCGATGGAAGCTCGAGATTGTGTACGAGTGCTGTCTGATGGTGCCTATGGCCGTGCTAATGGCGTTGATGATGTCCAGCTTGGGGACGGTCTGGGCGAATTTCGACAAAATAATCGACTTGACCAGCATTTTGAATATTCTTTTGAGCCCAAAGTCCAGCGGACGGTACGTGTATTTTGGGTCAGCGATGTTGGGCGAGAAGTAGACAAGTCTGATGTTCCGGAACGCGGCTCTGGGAATGATGTGCGAATGAAGAGTGTCCAGCAGAATCACCGCCTCGGCGTCCAGCAGCGTGTCGATGTGAAGCATATATTTGTAAAATATTTCTGTGGTCAGAAGCCCGTTTTTGTGGTAGAACACGTTGGGGCTGGAGAAGCCCTTGGTGGCGGGAGTGTTTGAGACAACGAGCGGCTCGAAGATCCGAGTTCCGTCTGAGTTGGCAATAAACGACACAATGACTCGCGAGCAGGGCTCATGTTTGTGCGGTATCTCGCCAGACAAGAACGACAGTCTGCTGTTGAAACTGACCTCGTCGATCTCAAACACCTGGCCCGGACTGTAGGGCTCCAGCAGCGCTCGAAGCCGGTCCTGTTCCTCGTCCAAAGTTCTCCATCGAAACAATTCCGGGTCGTCGTAAAAGTCCTTGGCCAGCTCCCGTTTCACAGCGTTCTTTTTTTTAAAATGGTGCAGCCAGCCGTTCGACTTGGGCGGCATCTTGTCGCTGCCCGAGTCTTTGAGTCCGTGCCACAGGTTGTAGAAATCTGACCACTTGGAAATCAGATTTTTCTCGCTCAAGGGCCGATCTTCCAGACAGGACTGGGCATACAGTATCTCCAAACACCGATTGATCTCCGGGTCTTTCAGCTTTGGCCGTGTTTTGAACACCTTGCTGTTGTTCAGAGTGAGGTTCTGGTACACCTCGCGCAGCTGCGGCTCGCTCAGAACCCATCGGTTGAGCGTGCTCTTGGTGATTGCAAATTCGCCCAGGTTCCTGAAATAGTTCACGGTGTGTTGCTGGCTCTTCTTGTTGCTCTGGTGGTGCCAGTCCAGGACCCGTATTTTCTGCTCGAGCGTCGCCCGCGGGAGTTTCCACTTTGCGGGCGGCGGACTGGCGGACGAGTCGAGCGCCCCTCGCCGCCCGTACGGCACGAACGAGAACTGGCTCATCTGCTGCGGAGCAGAGCCCGGCTGCTGGGGCGGCACGTGGGACGAAACGTATGCTGGCGGCGTCTCCGACGAGTACGGCGACTCGGGCAGCGCGTGGGCGGGATACATGGCCGCATAGGGCTCGGGATAGTTCGAGCGCAACAGATCATGCTCGGTTTGCTCCTGTTTCTGCGGCAGACTACCTGGAGACGGACAGTCCATCGCCGATCAGATGCAAAAATAGAGAGCGCTCAGTACAGAGAAATGGACGGTCCAATGCGCTTGTGTGCAGCAGAGGTCTCTTGTGCGGGAAGTGCGAGATCTCGATATATCTTAAGGTTTAGGTTTACTCAGCAGGAACGAAAATTTAAGCGGCGCACAGCCAAGATTATTTCCCCTTGGGGCGGAGCAGCAAGCTATGTGTCGAAAAGGTCCTTGAAAAAGTCCTCAAAGTTGTCGAAGGCGGCCACGTCGGGCAGCCGCAGCTCTGCGTGGCTGGACAGAGCGTACGACTCGGCCGGGCTGTAAAGCTGTTCGGCCACCTGCTGGGGCAGATCGGCCACCGACAGCGTCTCGCTATTCTGGGACGAGTTCCGCGCTTTCGGGGTCTGCGAGTGCGTCTCGTTGGCGATGTCGACGAGCTTGCGCACGATCTTGGCGATGGTGTCTGTGGCGTCGTTCATTTTCTCGCCCACCTTGTTGAGATGCCAGTAAATCTTGGAAATTAGATTCAGCGACATCCGGCGCTCGTCGGCGCCCATTGTGTCGAGATAGTCGCACAGAGTGATGCACGCGTACACCACGAGGTTGAGCTGAAACGACGGCGAGCCCTTGACGAGGTTGTTGGACAGCAGCAGGAACCGGTTGAGCGTCTCGAACGAGTACTGGCACGCCGTGCTGTAGCAGACGCGCAGCTCGGGCCCGCTGGCGTCCGGTCTCCCGACGAGTTTCCGGGCCAGCATGATGTGCGCGAAATTGTACGCAGAGGTGAGCATTTGCGAGACGTCTTTCTGGATGATTTTGGACCATTTCTGCTTCCATTCCTGCTGCTCAGGGAAGCACAGCAGTTCGCCGTCTATATAGTAGCTGAGCGGCGAGCTGGCGAGTCCGCGCGACAGCCCCAGGTACAGCTCGATCTCGGCGACCTTGATGGCGTCGCCGAGCGTGGCTTTCGGGAACTTCAGCGTGAGCTCGAACAGGTCGTAGTAGGTGGACGTGAGCATGATGGGTCTGGCGTAGCCGATCGAATTCTGGAAATGGCACGAGCACATGGAGTTGAAGATGCGCAGATGGAACAGGTCGACCTCGTTGAAGATGCCCATGCCGACGCGGCGACTGATATTTTTGAAGTCGATGGAAATTATGAGATGTTTGAGTCCGATGCTCGACAGCAGCCAGCTGTCGAATTCGGACTGCTTGGGCTTGCGCGCGATGTTGTACAGCGAAATGTACAGTATGGCCTCTATATCGTGATCGCTGAGCGGCTCAGTGACGAGAGCGACGCCCAGCAGCTTGGTGGCCAGCATGTACAGCTGCTGCTGCTCCTGGACGTATTTATAGTTTTCGTCAAAACACATGGCCAAGATGACAAACACGCACGTGATAAACGGGTGTTCGAGCACGTACTTGCGGTCAATGGACGTGATGCCGCCTGGGATGATCCAGAAATGCGAGATCTCCAGAAAGCTGCGCGAGAGCTCGAGACACAGCCGCTCGTTGTCGAAGTAGAACCGCAGAAACTCGTCGCAGATGCGCTTGAACGGGTCGCGGCGGCTGGCCCTGTTGAACAGCTTGGAGTCGATCTGCTTGATGACGTTCAGCGGCGCGAGCGCGTCGTGGTTGGCCAGCAGCTCGTTCTCGTGGGCCACAGAAAAGTCCAGCTGGTTGCCGGAGCCCAGAGACTGCTTTACCAGGTCCAGCAGCGACGTGAGCTTGCTGTCGAACGACTCGACGGCCTGCTCGACGCGGCGCAGGCGCGAGTCAGCGGGCTCCGAGGGTGCGGGCTCCGATTCGTGCCGAATGGGACGGGAGCTGTTTTCGACGAGCGAGCAGTCCAGCCGCAGTCGCAGACACCGCTTGCAGCTGCCCTGGCCGGCGTCGTAGTCGCACTTCGTCTTGAGCTTGCGACAGCTCTCGCAGCTGAAGATGCGGCGTTTCTTCTTGCTCGGTCGCGCGATCTCGGCGTCGATCTCGCTCAACAGCGAGTCGTTGACGGTGGTCTTGGCAGCGATCGCAAACGAGCCGAAACTCTGGGATTTGGGCCGGCGGAACACGCCAGGGCTGTCGGGGCTCGCGTCGGAGCGCGGCGAGGTGTCGACCGCGCACTCGGCGGCGCCGTCCTCGTTTTTCAGGCCCTTATCAGTCATAAAGAGGAAAAAAAAAAGATTACAAAATTCCACGAGTGCGATTTTTCGCGCAGCCACGCCGTCCGGGGAAATTCTGCTTTACAATCAAATGAAACGTATTTAGAGCTGCATAGCAAGCCACGAGACGCCAAAGCCGAGCAGCACGGCCGCAAAGCCGACGCCCGACGACGCGGAGGCCGAGGACCCGCTCCGGGCCAGCGTCTTTCTCGCGTGGTCGCCGTCGGAAACGCCGCTGTTGACGCCAGGGGTGCCCGTCGTGATGTCGCCAGACTCGTCCACAAGCAGCACCTCGGTGGACCGCGACGCGCCGGAGCCGCACTCGATCTTCCCGCCGCGCACCACGCCGCTGACCTCCTCTTTCATCCACTTGTTGCAATCGAACTGCGTCGACGTCGACTTGATGATGGCGCTGCCCTTGACCACCTTGAGCTGTTTGAAGCCGCTCGCGTCGATGTTGCCCTGGAACTCGATCGCACCGCCGATCGCGCGCAGGACAGGGAAAAAGTCGATCCTGGTGATCTGGTCGTTGTCGATGATCATCAGCCCGCCGCCGACCTCGGCCAGCGACGGGAACTCGACGGTGCGCACCTGCTTGTTGTTGATCACGCTGAGCGTCATGCCCGTGGACTTCAGCTTTGGCAGCTTGAGCTCGCCGAACCTGTTGTTGATGAACTGCGCAGAGTTCTCCACCACCTGCAGGTTCTCCAGGTTCAGGCTACTGGTGTCCTTGATGGTGATGGTGTTGGCCCAGGTGAGGTCCGAGAGCGACACCTGCAGGTTTCTGGCGTTGGCAGCAATCAGCAGAGTGTCGGTGATCTCCTTGACAGAGGAGTCGATGCGCTCCAGGAACCGGTTGTTGTTGATATTGAGCGTCTTGAGCGACTCGACGTTGAAGCCGGAGAAGCCCGTGAGCGAGGTGTCGCTCATCACGACAGAGTTGATTTTCTTGATGCCCTTGTCGAGGTTGACGGCGCTCAGAATAGGAAGCACCTTCCACTGGATCGTGTCGATGCTTTCCAGCTTGGGCAGCGAAATGGAAGTCAGCGAGGTCAACGTGTCGAGGGAAAACGTGCCGTCGATCGTGGCGAGCTCGACACCCTCGATTCTCAGCAGACTGCTCGCGTTGGCCACGCTCAAGGAGCCCTTGATGTGCGAGATGGAGCCGAGGTCCAGACTGTCGGAGTCGTAGCCCTTGATGATGATGTTGCCGGAGATGATCTGGCAGTCGTGGAGGTCTCTCATGTCGCCGGCCGCGTTGATGTGGTAGTTCTGCTTGAAGCATTTCGGCTGGATCTCTGTGTGCTCTGTGTCGTTGGAGTCGTCGGCAGCGTGGACGAGCCTGCCGGAGCAGCAGCCTGCCAGCGCGCCGAGGACGGAGAGAACGACGGCGGGTTTCATGGTAAGAAGGAGGAGAGGGAGAAGAGAGAGAGATACGGAGCGTCAGAGCGCCAGATGCCACGGCGGCTACCGTGTGCTTACGTAACTGTCTGAAGTCTAAAATAGCCGCATGACGAACTCGAACGCGGCAAGCGCCGCAGCGTTGGCCGGGAAGCTGCGCAGGATGCTGGGCGCGAACCCGCGCGTGAACCCGCGCAGGCCGCGCTCGGCGTACACGTGTTTCACCGCGTCGAAATACCGCCTGTATCTTGGGTTTTTCACCTCGTCAATCATGATCACGTTTTTCACCACGTCGGCCGGGTACGCCGTGATCCAGAAGCACGTCGCGCTCAGGCCGCCGGCCCAGAAGTTGACCGCCGCCGTGCTCAGCCCGGTGTTCTGCGTGAGCCACGTTGTGATCAGCTCGTACGACCCCCACCAGACAATGAAGTTGGTGCGGAAAATCATGGTCGGCACGAGGCCCTTGTACAGCGTGCGGAGGCCGTCGTGTCTGACCAGTTTGACCAGACAGTCGATCGGCCCGGTGAACTGCCTGGTTTTCGCGTCGTATTGGACCTGCAGCCGCGCCTTCAGCTGTTCTATCGGCGCAGCCACAAAGGACACGGTGAGTCCAGATCCGAGGCCGGCCAGACAGCAGCCTGCAAGGGGCAGTTTTTTCTCTGTTGGGTACAGGTTGTCCTTGACGAGCCGGCGGTACAGGGTGAGCGAGCCGAGCATGACGGAGTCCATGAGCACCCAGCCCACGAGCGGCGGCGTGAAGCCCTTGTAGAGTCCCCTAACTCCTTCGTAGCGCAGAGTTTTCAGCGTGCAGTCGATGGGGCCTTTGAAGCGGCCCTCGGAGGTCTGGAGACGCACTTTGACGGAGTCGAACGGGTGGCCGACCGCGTTCTTCATGACGCCCGAGAACACGCCCGCGATGAACCCGGCGTACCGCGGCGGGTGGCTCGTGTCTGTGGACATGGTGAAAAATAGCTGAAATTTTTAGGCTTTGCACAGCCGTAGATACAGAATAGAGATAATGTGGCTAATAATAATATTTAATATTTCTTTCTATAGGATGGTCTCGCCGAGCGCGCATCGCGCAATGGACAGCCCCGCGTTGACGGTGTCGACGATGTGAGTTTCGGTGGAGGCAAGCGCAGGGTTGACCTCGACGATGTCGAGCCCGGCAAGGTTGCCTGTGGCGGCGATCTCCTCCACGAGGAACAGCCCCTCTCTCAGCGAGAGTCCACCGCGCACGGGGGTGCCTGTGGCGGCCACGTACAGCGGGTCGATCGCGTCGACGTCGTAGCTCACGTGCACAGGCTTGTTGCCCGACGGGTTGACTCTCTGCAGCGCCATCTCCACCACCTTGTTGATGCCGTACTTGTCGACGTGGTACATGGAGTAGGCGGCGATTCCGAGCTCTTTGAGCAGCTTTTTCTCGCCCGGGTCCACGTCGCGCAGCCCGATGTATGCGATCTGGCCCGGTCTGACCTTGTGCTTGACCTGCTTGATCCAGTCAAAGTGCGGCGGCCACGAGTCTTCCTCCAGCCCCATCGCGAACGCCACGGGACACCCGTGCAAGTTGCCCGACGGGGTCGTGGACGGGGTGTTGATGTCTGCGTGGGCGTCGATCCATAAGATGCCGCCGTCCGGGTGCGCGTTCGCAAACGCCAAGATCGTGGCCATGCCGATCGAGTGGTCGCCGCCCACGGTCACCGGCAGCGTCTTGTTTTTGTGCGCCGCGGTGGCCGCGTCGAAAATCAGCCGGCAACAGTCGCTCACCATCTTGGGTCTCTTGCAGTTGCCGTAAACGTCGCTAGGGTCGGCCTTGAGCGTGGCGAGGTCGAACCTGGCTAACGGGTCGTCCACGGTGGCGGTCCAGCCGAGCTCAGCAATGTCCCTGAGCAGACCAAACTCTTCTAACTTCTCCGGGCCGTCCTCGACACCGCCCTTTCCTTGGCCGCCGCTGAAAGGCGCCTTGATAACGGTCACTTGGCGCGCGCTCACAAACTTGTACTCCAGATCGCTCATTTCGTGTTTGTGCGGTGCAAACCGACGTGCGGGTCCCGCGCTTTATATGTCGAGCCGGCCACTATCACCTGCCGTTTGGAGAAACACCGCCGGATTGTGAACTTTTTTTTTAACGGCAGGATATAGCGAAAAATACAAATATTATATTTTATTTTAAAACTCCAGATTCTCCTTCTCCTCGGCCCGGCCCCGCTTGTGCCGCACCTCCTCGCTCACCAGACGGTTCACAAACCTGTTGAACAGCTCCACGCTGTGGCGCAGCCCCGTCTTCTGCCACTCTGTCTCGCCGCTGCCCACCAGCACGCCCAAGTTCGGCGTGTCTGCAAACGGATCGAACTCCTTCTCGGACGGGTCGAACGGCACACACACGTTTCCCGTGCCTGGATGGACGCAGAACGGCGATTTCAGCAGATGGTTCATCTGCCGCGACACCTCCACGTCCAGCCGCGGATACATCGTGGCGAAGATGGTCTCCTTTTTCCAGTCCTGTAAATCAAACGACCGCACCTTGAGCTGCTGGTAGAACGCGTCCACGTCGAGCCACTTCTCCGCGCTCGTCCGGCCCGGCACGTCCTTCCAGTGTCTCATCAGCGCGCTCGACAGCTTGTAGTCCGGCACCGTCCGCGCCAGAGCCTCTGCTCTGTCCGGCAGGCTCCACGGGTCCTGCTCCCTTAAAATCACCTCCACGAACTCGTCGCGCAAAACTTCAAACGCCCGCTCCACATGCGGATGGTACGGCTTCTTCAAATTCAAAGTCTTCTTCGACTTGACGCTCAAAACGTCCAGATACTCCACTATGGCTCGCCGTCTCGTCTCGTCCAGAATCCGCGCCCGGTAGTCGCTCACCCAGCAGTGGACACCTCTTCTTCCCGAAAAAACCCAGATCAGGTGCTCAAACCCAAAGTCGTCCTGCAGCGCACGGTGCACAATCTTCACTGCCAGAGTGATAAACCGCCAGCACCTGGGACAGATGTCTGTGCCCGAGCAGCAGGTCCGCACGTCGTCGTAGTCGGTCAAATCGATATCCAGCACTAGTTCCTTGGCGACCGGCTTCATTAGGGCCTTTGACACGCTCTTACGCATCCGCGGCTCCACAGGGTACACGGCTCCGACCTCAAACCGCGTCGGCTGGGCCTTGACCACAGACTGCTTGAACTCGGAGGCCGAATGGAACGAGTTGTACCGCTGGTACGCGCCCGATTTGTACTCAAACGCAAACTCGCGCATCGTGAAGTCGGTCTGCGCGGCCTGCGAGTGGTTCAGCCACAGATAGATGGACTTGAAGGGCAGAAAGTGCTCGTAGTAGTACGCCATGTCTGCGGACGAGGGCTTGTAGTTCTTCCGCGAGACTTCGTCGCCTGGCGGGGACGCATCGGCGTTCACCTGGGACGACGGCAGCGGCGACGAGGCCGGCGGCGAAGACGAGTTCTCAAGAATGGGCATAGCAGACGCGTTACACGAAATTGGATCGCAGAAAAAAATTGAAAGATCTGTACGCTTAGCTAAGCAAGAGTCTGAATCAGTGTCTATAAAATAAAACATTCACGAATAAATCTTGTACACGAAGAAGGTCGAGGCGAGCAGCCCGATCGCGCCACAAGAAACGCCGAGAATCAGGTCCATGATCGTTGCGTACACCAGGTAGATGATTGGCGACACAATGTCCACGACCTTCATCCGGAAGATAAGGTAGTAGACAGAGTAGCCCATGAGGTAGATGAAGATCGAGCCGGCGCTCGTCACAAACGCCTTCCATTGCCAGTTGTAGTAGTCGCCAGAGTTCAGGCGCAGGTAGGTGGAAATTATGCTGATCTCTATCACCACCACGTACAGCAGGAACGCCGTGAACGACAGGAAACCGTACATGTAGTAGAAAGACAGTTTTTCCACCCATAGCGACTTGAACAGGAACACCAGCTCAACGAAAATGATTCCAAAGGGGAACAGGCCAAACAGTGGGAGCGAGAACTTGAGTTTGTTATAGAAAGGCTGTTTCGGTATGGCCCTCTTGGCCTCTGTGTATCTCTCAGCCACCCTTGGCTTGTTTTTGATAAGCAGGCGAAGCAGGTCAAGTCTGTTGGAGACGAAGCCTCCGAACAGAGAAATAGGTATCTGCAAAAGAACATAGATGAATATTAATGCCATAATAGTGCCAAAGGGCAGAGCCAACGAGGAGTCCTTGGCCCAAATGATGAAATTCAAAATGAAGAGAATGATGAGGACTAATGCTGTGAACAAACTGCCCGAGAGGAAGGAGACCGTTCTCCAGGAGGCAACCTGCTTGTGTGTGAAGGTCTTGTAGATTTGGACGCCTGCAAAACCAGAGAAAAAGCCTGCAATCACGAACGTGGCTAGGGCACTTGTCAGGATGGTGTTGTTGGGGCCAGATATTCCGGCAGTGCACAAGATGCAAACTCCAAACATGGTCAGAGACAGCTGCACGCCTGAGCCCCCAAGGATACTGAGAATCACAGGCATGCTTGGTTGCACAAAGACCTCGCTAGCCAAAGCTCTCCAGCCCGACTTGGGTCCGTCTCTGGTCTCAGGCAACGATCCGACTAGCGAGTCAAGTTTCTCTGTGAATGTGTCTCTTCTGGTCTTGAAGTCGCTGTTCAGTGTTCTGAAGAATACAACAGACACCGCCAGCGAGAGCAGAGATACCACCAGTAGCGAGTTGACCAGTGCAAACCAGTGCATCTTGCTGTCGTTGGCCGCTCCGCCCGGCGTTCTGTACATTTTCCATCTGTTTTCGTAGGTGACATCCACCTCTTCTCTCCAGTATACCGAGTACGTGAACGGCACGACGAGCCTGTCTTTGGCTCCCGGGACGATGGCGAAGTTGGCGTAGTCCCGGGACGCTCCCGGGCAATGGTAGTCAGAGACCGATTTAGGATACACCTCGAACCCAACTATGGTCTTCTTGTCCGGGTTGCCGTTCTCCTTGTGCCATCTCACCACGATCATCACGTGGTTGTGGAGGTAGCTGACGCCGTTCTGCACAAACCCTAGCGGGAACCCGGCCACGTAGTATTTTTCAGCGTTCTGTTTGCCTGTCTTGGGCTTGATGAAGGTGGTGGCGCCCGGCAGACCGTCGATCCGCCACTCCACCATGTACTCGTTTTTGATCAGCTCGTCTGCGCGCTTGATCGCGTTCTGTGTGATCACCCGGTCGCACAATCGCGCACACGGCTCGTCCTGGCCGAAGGTGAGGTGGTAGTCGGATTGCCAGATCCGGTCTCCGTTCAGCACCTCGCCCAAGGACAGATGCACTGGCCGCGCATTCTGCGTTGGCGGACACACAAACGGGAGCTTGTAGTAGGCGTATGGCAGCTGCGTGTTTTCCGACTCCACTGTGTTGACGAGGAGCTCCACCTTGTCTCCGTCTTTGTAGTAGTCTCTGCCCCAGGGCAGTCTCCAAGACGGTTTCTCGATCCTGAGGGCCGAGCATAGCGCGGGCCAGAGCAGTAGCGCTGTGATTGCAAGCCAGGTTGTGTTTGTAGCCATTAAAGCGGAATATTAATCTCAAGCGAAAGACACCACGACGATACACGACTGCTCAATATCAGGCTGGCTTGAACTAGTAAGCTAAGAAACGTATAAACAGGCTCTCAATCTGCTTGATTGGCCTGCGATTTGCAACTTTGTGTCGGTATGGGAAAGAGGGCTTAAAAATACAAACAAAACTTCGAAGTTCCATCTTTACACCGAGTGATGGGGCAAAAGGAGGGAAGATGATTCCAAAGAAAAAAAAAACATACATCTTTGCACCAACTTAACCATGCTGTCACAAGGAGACCAGATATTGGACCAGCTGCGCCAGTACGACGTGCGTAAGAACCTGCAGCGCACGCAGTCGGAGCTCGTCGGCGAGTTTGCGGACGACGAGCTTGCCGGAAACATGGGGCGCGCCAAAATCGACGACCTCCAGCAGATGACCCGTCGCCACGCTTACACAGCGCTCAAGATCAAGGACGACCGGCCCCGGTACGTGCCGCCGATCAACTTTGCCACGGTCGAGTCGGATTTGTACCGGTCGGGCCATCCGCAGCCCTCCAACTTTGAGTTCCTGGACACTTTGAATCTGAAGACGATTGTTTACATTGGGGACAAGACGGACAACTACGACTACTACAAGTGGATAGCTGGCCACGCGGGGGACAGGACGATCAGTTTCCGGTTTTTCAAGGTGAAGCCGCCGTCGACGTTCGGGACGTCGCACATGTTCAACGACGAGGTGGCCTTGAACACGGTGCTGAACCTCGTGGCCAACAGGGAGAACTACCCGATTCTGATCCACTCGAACAAGGGGAAACATAGGGTGGGGGTCCTTGTGGGGTTGATCCGGAAATTTCTGCAAGGGTGGAGTCTGAGCGGCACTTTTGACGAGTACGCCAAGTTTGCGCGCGAAAAGGGCGAGGGCGACCTCGAGTTCATCGAGACGTTCAAGCCCATCATCAAGATCGACCCGGAGCGCAAGCCCGAGTTTGTGCGGTGCGACTAGAGAAAACATCCATTGCTAAGTCTACGAACTGCTGCTATCCTCTTTCTTCTTCTCTGCGGGCTGGTCGGAGAGCGACTCCTGGGCCATCTCGCGCACGAGCTCGCCGTTGACCGGGGTCAGCTTGCTGAGGTTGAGGTCGAAGAAGTTGCGTCTGACCTCGACGTAGTCGTAAGCAAACTCGCCGATCTGGTCCTCGTCCATTCCGTTCTGCTCGCCCTCCTCGCTCGCGCGCATCTTGAGCCCAGGAACGCGGTTGAGCACAAAGCAGATAATCGCCGTCACCGCCACGCAGTACCCAGCCACGGCCCCCACGTAAGCCAGCTGCTTGTACATCTGCTTCCAGTTCTGGTTGTACCAGCCGCCCGGATGGTCGGTGTATCCGTCGTATCCAATCACCTCCGACGACGCGAAGAAGGCGTTACCGACAATCAGCCCCAGCACGCCCGCAACACCGTGCTCGGCCATCACATCGAGACTGTCGTCCACTTTAAGCCACACCTTGAGCTTGGTCGAGTAGTTGCACACCACTCCGGTGACCACCCCCAAAACCACCGACGCCCACAGTGGGATGCAGCCCGACGACGGTGTTGCAGCCACGAGACCGGATATGATACCAGAACACAGCCCCACCGTCGAGAAGTGGTGGTTGATCCGGAAATCCAGCAGACACCAGGTAATTCCTCCAAACGCAGCGCACAAGTTGGAGTTCATGATGGCGTATATCGACTTGTACGAAGGCTTGATGCACGTGAGCCCGTTGAAGCCCAGCCATCCGAACCACAGCATCGCCGTGCCGATGGTGATCAGCGACACGTTGTGCGGTCTGTAATTGACCATCAAATGCTGCCTTCTCTCGCCGAGGAAGTAGGAGACCACAAAACCGCCGAATCCGGACAGTATCTCGACAGGACCGCCACCGGCGTAGTCCAGCACCCCCCAGTCCAAAGCCCAGCCGTCAGGACCCCAGACCCAGTACGCCACGGGACAGTAAACGAGAGTGAGCCAGAAAAACGAGAAAACCATGGCCGGAAGCACGCGGCCGCGCTCGCAGACGGACCCCAGCAGAATGCAGATAGTGATGGTGGAAAACATGCCCTGGAAGTTGGCAAAGGCCATCTCTGGGTACCCTTTCTCGTCGTCTCCGAGGGTGGTCAAAACGCCGAGGTTCTGGTATCCGAAGTTGTGCAAGTTGCCAATGAATTTGTTGCTGGCAGACGCAGAGAACGCTAGCGAGTATCCCCAGAAATACCACTGGAATTGGGCAATGCAAATGGCTGCGAAGGTGATAAATATCATGTGCAAAGCCGATTTTCTCCTGGCAAGCCCAGAGTACAGGTAGGCCAGACCGAAGCACATGACAAGCACGAGACAGGTGCCCGTAATGAGGGTGATCACAGTGGCACCGTCGTACAGATTGGCGTCTTCCCAAACCGCTCGAGGAAGTAGTTGAAGCATCGAGAAATGAGAGAAATTTGGAAACACTAAAAATTTTTGGCCGCTGGGACAACAATAGCCGCACAAGAGGGACTGATAAAACGGGTGTGCATGGCAGAGCTCGGAAACTGGGAATGGATGAAGAGCTCCGACACACACGGGTATAAACACAGGGCTGCAACAGCACTGCCACCAGCGCTTGGTGCTCCCCTGGGAGGACTAGGGACCCTTTACTCGTCGTTTCCTCGAGAGTCGTGCCGCATATATCTGGTGAAAAAGAAACGAGATTACGCAAGTGTAACAATCGCTGGTGCGAGGAGTCTTAATGCGTTTTTACCGAGAGCATGACCTGGATCACGTGAACAGAACACCTCGGAAAAAGTAAAACAGAGCGAGAACATCATCCCTGCACCGGCTCTGTGGAGGATTCGGGACTGGGGGTGGGGGGTACGAAAAACAAAAAACAAAAAAATGTTGGATACACGTGACCAGCGTGCATGTGCGAGAATCCTGCCCCCAGCCGGCCAACCAAATTGAATCGTGGCGGGGAGACCGTGGAACCACTAATTAGGGCAAACCCAATAATTATTTGTTTTCGCTAATTTCCCAACTTTTATTAAAAATGGCTCCTCCAGCATTCTCCGACATTGCTAAACCAACCAACGACGTCCTCGGCAAGGACTTCTACCACTACACTCCTGTTGCCCTGGACCTGAAGACCGTGGCTCCTAACGGTGTCACCTTCAGCACCAAGGGTAACGTTTCTGGTGGTAAGACCTCGGCCGCATTGGAGGGTAAATATGCCGACAAGAGCACTGGTCTGACATTGACCCAGGGCTGGAACACTGCCAATGCCTTGGACACCAAAATTGAGCTTGCAGACGCTCTTTCTCCAGGCCTTAAGTCCGAGCTGGTCACCAGCGCCGTGCCAGGCGGAAACAGATCGGTCAAGCTGAACCTGTACTTTGCGCAGCAGTCCATCAACGCCCGTGCGTTTGTCGACCTGCTCAAGGGCCCAGTCTTCAACGGTGACCTGACTGTTGGCCAGGACGGCTTCACCACCGGTGCCTCTCTGTCGTACGACGTCAAGTCCGCCACTTTGACCGGCTACTCGGCCGCCGTCGGCTACAAGGCCCCATCCTACGCCGTTTCCCTGACTGCAGCCAACAACCTGTCCGTGTTTGCTGCCGGCTACTACCACAAGGTGTCTCCAGTCCTTGAGGTCGGAACGAAGGGTACCTTTGACTCCAAGTCCGCTGCCGGCTCCAACCCTGTTGCCATCGAGGTGGCCACCAAGTACAGCCTCGACCAGACCTCTTTCGTCAAAGCCAAGATCACCGACTCCGGTCTGCTGGCCTTGGCCTACTCGCAGGACCTCAGACCAGGCGTCAAGCTCGGCCTCGGAGGTGCCTTCGATACTCTCAAGCTTGGTGAGTCTGCTCACAAGCTCGGATTGTCCTTGTCTTTCTCTGCTTAAATAGATTCAATGACATCGTCGTTACATCTCTACACCAACCAGCCAATGGAAAATCACTTGTAATTTTCACATCTCCAAAAACCGCGCCAATCCACGAGCATGTCTTCTGTCCAGACGAAGACGCAGCCCAGACAGCCGTGGGCGGCGGCGATCGCTGCGAAGCCGCCACCCCGCACGGCCAGACCGCCGCCAAAGACACAGGCCGCCGCGTACGTCCCCGTCAACAACTTCAACGGCGAGCAACTGCAGACCGCCCTGGCCGCCAAGTTCAAGCAGATAGAGGCGCAGGTGGGCCCCGGCGGCGTCTACCGCGGGTCGCCCGCATGGACGACGAAAAACAAGAAGCGCAGGGGCCTCGACGTGCTGGCCGAGCTCTCCAAGAGCATCGAGCACTAGCTCTGCCCGATTGGGCCTTTTTTCTCTTGTGTATTACGTAATCACAACAACAACATCGGCCTCAGAAATAGGCGCCCCGCCTGACGCGTAGCGGTAGTGGTGTTTGAGCAGAGCTTCCCGTTTCCGGCACACGATCGCCAGCCTGTCCCGATTGTCTGGTCCAGGGGCCTGCGCCGGTCAAGGCTCGTTTCACCCGGGTTACCCTTTTGGCGTATCGGTGCAAGGCCCAGAGGCCCTGCTGGTGCAGAATATTAATCTATGCCCTTCAGAATTGGCACCGAATTTACGAGCCGTGCATTTATATTGCGGTCGGTGTTTCAGAAGGTCCACGGATTCGGAAACACGCGCCACACTAAGCACCGTCCCAAGCGAGCACGCGCCCCATTCGAAACACGCGCTGCTCAAACACGGACGCCCCATTGCTTGCTTCAGACAAAATGTTCTGTGGCTGCCCCATACAGGAAGCGTCCTACGTAGATCTGTGCCAAAATCCCCTGCACGCCATTGTGCTTTTCTGTGACGTTATTAGATCGTATCTTCTGTACAGGAAAATTGTAGCCAGCTGCGACCTGTAAATTTTCTTTTTTTTTTCCCTCTTTGTTTTCCCGGTTATAGCCAGAGAGAGGAAACTTTATTTACTAAATTGCTCTTCCGTCTTTTCCTCAGTCGCTCGTTTCCACTCCCCACGCTTATGGCCCATCCATGAGCTCACCCCCATCTCCCACAGGCCCGCAGAACGGCCTCCAGCCGCCGCCCAGACGCGGCCACCGGCACCGTCGTTCCGCAGCTATCTCTGGCGACTTTGACGTCCAGGAGTTTGGACTGTTGCCCCCCATGATGTCCAAGTCTGTCCCCGGACCTGCCTCGTGCTCGCTCGCCGCCTCGTCCTGCGGCTCTCCCGTGAAAAGCCCGCTTGTCCAGCTCGCAGCCGAGGACTCCACGCTGTCCGGAAGACAAAAAATTTTGCTCACCTCGACGCCGGCGTCCACGCACGAGGACGCCCGCACGCGGTATTTCATCACCGAGGACACCAAGTTCGAGAGCGGCTCGAGCGTGCCGCGCGCAATGATCGACCTCGATGACGTGTTCATGGGCTCTCGCGCGCCCGCCAGGAAGAGCAGCAGAACCATGTCTGCTCCCGAGCTGGAGAGCTTCCACATACCCAAGCATTCGCTGCTATGCTCGCCAAAGAAGAACGACGTCGCCATCGCAGAGGAGATCACAGAGGAGGACTTTGAGGACCCGGAACAGCTGCTAACCAAGATCTCCACCCAGAACTCGGAGCTCTCGTCAGCCCACTCTGGCAAGGGCACGCCGCTGCCGGCAGGAGTGCTGCTCAACGACAACTGCTCGTCCAACTCGCTCAACTCGCTGAGTTCCAGTAACTCGCTGCACAAAAACTTGGCAAACACCAACACGCCCAGCGTCTCCAGCCTGCGTGGCAAGGTCAGATACCAGTCCTACTACAACTCGCAGCAGAAAATCAATACCCAGGCCGCGTCCACGCCTTCAAGCGCGGCAACGGCAGACTCCGACAGGTTTGGCCGTAAGCCGTGTCTGATGGCGCCTTCGTCGTCCTCGTCTCCATCCTCAGCCTTCCGCGGCGTGTCCAAGTCGCGCTCGCCGATCCGCAACCTCAGATACCAGACCCCACCCCAGAAAAACCCGTTCCAGTTCGAGCCCATCGCCTACGAGATCCCCAAGTCGTTCCACAGAGACCACGGCTACACCGCCTCCATGTCCAACCCGAGCGCTGCCAAGCTGGACGAGCCCGTGGCAGAGCCCAAGATGGAGGCCCACAAGCGGTCGAACTCTCTGTTCAGCACTCTGTCGTCCAAGTTCCACCACCGGCGCAAATCGTCGCTGCTGTCCACGAGGTCCTCGTCGCACAAGGCCTCCATTATCGAGAAGACCACAGACGAGGTTTTCGGGCTCCACGAATACGCGCACGCCAACGACTCGACCCTGCTTTTCGACGATCAAACCTTAACGGAAGACGTCATTGGCGAGCCCGGCCCGATGATCGAGGTGGTCGAGCCCAAGCCCAAACCGGCGCTGGCCCGGCTCTCGAAAAACGGGCCGCTCAAGAAACACTCCAAGAGCCGAAGCACGAGCTTTATCAATTTTTCTAGTTACGATTCTAAAAGAAGCGGAGCCACCGGGGCCAGTCGTTTTTTCAGTTGGATGATCAAGTCCAACCGGGGCGAGCGAGCCGCAGATAATTAATGGCACTCCTATCAGCATTATACACACTTTATATGATTGTAATTCAAATTGTTATAAGTACTGTTTCTGCATCGCCGCGATCTGTTCCTCTGTTCTGGCCTCCTCGGCCTCGTCCTTGCTTAGCCGGTAAACGCCGATGATCCAGCTGACCAGGCTCACGAGCCGCCCCACCAGCTTCGGCAGCCGTATTCTCGAATACACAAGCGTCAGGTCCAGAACCAGCTCGTTTGCGTAGCCAACCAGCTCCACATACGTCCGGAACTTCTCTGTGTACAGAAAAACGAGCTTTTCGCGTTCCTGCGACGCGGCCTCGGGCAGCAGCACGTTCTTGTCGTTGCGCGAAAGCATCTCCGCCTCCAGCTCCACTATTCGGATCAGTTTGTTGAGCTTGATCAGCTTGACTATGAGGTTTTTGAGGTTTATCAAAATGATAATAAAGTACACCTTGGACAGGTTTTTGAGGAGCGCCTCCACTCCGCGGAACTTGGACGCAAACCGCGATTTGCTCAAAACATTCTGGAACATTGTAAAGTTGTCGAAAAGCGAAACCAGCGACTCAAGGTTGGCCAGCAACCCTGTTTCGAAACTGTTGTACTTTTCCTGCCACGAGCGTTCTGAGCGACATTGAAGAGCGAAAAGCGGCCCTGGCACAGCGCCGCTGTTTGATCGGCTGCGCTGATTGGGCGAATAGAGCGTGGGGCTGCTGGAAAGCGAGCTTGTAGAGCTCCTGCGTCGTAGTTTGGCGTTTTTGGCCACCAGAAGCCCGAGAAAAGCGAGCTTCGATAGCCGTTCGCTGCCAGCGGGCGGTACGCGGTCGCGGTCGGACTCCAGCTTCAGCAGCAGCTGTCGCAGCTTGGGGCCGTAGTGCAAATTAGACATAGACTAACTAGTTATTATATTTTTACTGATTAATCGCACGAGCCATTCTTAAAGTGGTCGTGCGCCACCCACGGCCGCAGAGGATAAAACGTGTTCCAGCGGGGCAAATTTTTCTGTTTGGGATTGTACTGTTGTTCTTCCTAAGAGTAATTTGTATTTGTACCTATGTCTGTCGAAGAATTTGAAACGATATTAAAAGAGTTACCGGGACTAAAAGCTCCAGGAGTGTCTGGGTCGAGAATCAAGAAACTAAAAGAAATATTCCTCAACAACGTGTCCGAAGAGTCCAAACTTGTGTCTAAGCTGTATTCGTGTTGTAAAGCCACGCCTGCCACACACAAATTGGGCGCATTGTACGTTGTCGACGCGATTGTGAGAGGGCTGATCGACCAGATCTCCAAGTCAGATACTACAGAGATCACTGAGTCTTCTCCAGAAGGAACAGCCAACTCTGCCGTGTTCAAGATCCAGTCGCTGATCGAGAACCTGGTGGACGACGCCGTGCCCGTTTCCAACGATGATATCAAGGAGAAGATCGGTAAACTTGTAGAAATCTGGGACAAGGGAGACACTTTTGACAAGAAAATAATTTCATCCATCAAAGATAAGTATTTCCGTACCACCACTCCTCCAGGCACTCCTCCTAAGAAAAGGGTCAAGTTTGCTGTCGAACCAACTGTCGAGCCTCCTGCTGCGTCAGCCTCGTCGTCGTCGTCGTCCAAAGACCCGACCTCTGTGCTGCAAGCTCTGGCCAACCTCGCAAAGAAGACCCCTTCTCCCGCTTCCGGCTCTGGTTCGGCCAAAATGGTCTCTCCGCCACCTCCTCCTGCTGCGCAGCCTGTCTCCAACGGGACGGCCGCCGCGCCGGCCGCCTCGGCGCCTTCCAGCTCCGACCCAAATGCCATTTTCCAGCTGCTGCAGAGCATGAACAAGATTTCTGGAGCACAGCCTAATTACCAGCAACAGCAGCAGTACGGCCTTCCGCCACAGCCGCCGGTCTCTGCCAACCAAAACAGACAGAATTATAGAGAAAGAGACTCGAACCCGCTCGGAAGAAGGCCGCGGTCGCGCTCGCCAAAGAGAGAGTCCAAGCCGGCCGGCGACCACGAGCGCAATATCCCAGGAACTCCGCACTACCGCGAGCGCAAGCCGTTCATCGACCCGTCCATCCCACAGGGCTACATCAAGGTTTACTCGCGGACCATTTTCATTGGCGGTGTGCCGCACTCCATGGACGAGAGGACGCTGATGCAGCAGCTCAGACCGTATGCAGAGGTGCAGAGCGTGATCCTGAACAGCGAGAGAAAACACGCGTTTGTCAAGGTGTACTCGAGACAGGAGGCCGAGTCGGTCATCCAGGCGTTCTCCGTGAGCCACCATCCGTCGGGACTACGTGCCAGATGGGGAGTTGGCTTTGGGCCAAGAGACTGCTGCGACTACCAGGCGGGAGTGAGCACGATTCCGATCAGCAGGCTGACCGACGCAGACAAAAAATGGATAGTCACTGCCGAGTGGGGAGGAACGGGCGGCATGCCGCTGCAGTCGGGGCTGTTTATCGAGGAGCCGGACATCGAGGTGGGCACCGGCGTGTCGTCGAAGTCGATCTCCAAGAAAATGCCTACAAACTCCACTCAGAACGGACCAAAGTCGGACGGTATGCCGATTGTGGGGGCCAGTCCGCCAGCCGGTTTCCAGAGCTCGCCTCCTACGGGGTACCCTATGATGTCGAACCCGGGCAACATTCCTATCAACATGGGGATGCCCAACGGGATGCCTGCGGGAATGCCCAACATGGGTATGCCAAACATGGGTGGCATGCCTAACATGGCGCAGCCGGGCGTGGACCAGAACGCCATGCTTGCGCAGATGATGGCTGCGATGCAGCAGATGCAGCAGCAGGGCGGACAGCAGGCCGACATGGGCGCCATGTTCCAGAACCTGGCCAACATGATGAGAAGGTAGGTAGAGGTAATTAATTTTACTACTTTTTCTATATTTTTCAGAGTTTAAATAATTTCTCTATTTTTTCTATATTTTTCAGGTTTTAATCAATTTCACTGTTTTATCTATATTTTCAAATTTTAACTAATTTTTCATCTTTCTGTCATGGGCCGCGGACCAAGCATTTTGCGGTTTGACGCCTTTTCCAAGACCGTCGACGACGCGCGCGTCAAGACGACGTCGGGCGGGATCCTGACACTCGTGTGCATTCTCACGACGCTGCTGCTGCTGGTCAACGAGTACACGGAATACTCGCGCATCGTGACCCGGCCCGAGCTTGTGGTGGACCGCGACCGCAACAAGAAGCTCGAGATCAACCTCGACATCAGCTTCCAGAACATGCCGTGCGACCTGCTCACGCTGGACATCATGGACCAGTCCGGGGACATGCAATTGGACCTGCTGTCGTCTGGGTTCAGCAAGATCCGTCTCGACAGGCAGGGCAACGAGATCGGGCAAGAGAACATGCGCGTGAACCAGGAGTTTGCGCTCACGTCGTCGGACCCGGCGTACTGCGGCTCGTGCTACGGCGCGGCGGACCAGTCGCGCAACGACGAGCTGCCGCAGGACCAGAAAGTTTGCTGCAACTCGTGCGAGTCGGTCAAGCAGGCGTACGCGCGCAACGCGTGGAAGTTCTACGACGGCAAGGACATCGAGCAGTGCGAAAAGGAGGGCTACGTAGACCGGATCAACGCGCGGCTGGACGAAGGGTGCCGGGTGCGCGGGACAGCCGAGATTGCGCGGATCGGGGGCAACCTGCACTTTGCGCCGGGCAGCTCGATGAACTTCAACGAAAAGCACGTGCACGACCTGTCGTTGTACGACAAGCACTCGGGCAAGTTCAACTTTGACCACACGATCAACCACTTCTCGTTCGGCCTGGACGACCACAGCGTCGCCGACTACAAGACAACGCACCCGCTGGACGCGACGGGCCACAAAGACGGTCAGAAGTACCACGTGTACTCGTACTTCCTCAAGGTGGTGAACACGCGGTACGAGTTTCTGGACGGACGCAAGGTGGAGACGAACCAGTTTTCTGCGACACAGCACGACCGGCCGTTCCGGGGCGGCCGCGACGAGGACCACCCGAACACGATCCACGCGCAGGGCGGGCTGCCGGGGGTGTTTTTCCACTTTGAGATCAGCCCGCTGAAGATCATCAACCGCGAGCAGTACAACAAGACGTGGAGCGCGTTTGCGCTGGGGGCGTGTGCGGTGGTCTCGGGCGTGCTGACGGTGTTCACGCTGCTGGACCGGACGATCTGGGCGGCCAACCGTATGCTCAAGGACAAGAAAGATACGTAGAAAAGAAAGAAAAAAAAAGATTATTTTAGCTAATCTGAGATCCGTTTCTGTAAAATATTTTCAAATAAATTCGTCGCGTCGAATTCCACCATGTCTCTTCCCACCCGCACGAGCTCCACAACGTCGATGCCCTCGGCGTCGCGCACGCCGTCGGGCCCCATCGCGTCGCAGTCGCTCATCATGAACAAGCGCGCCGCCCACAAGGACTCGCTCTACTACATCGCCCTGCGTCTTCTCGACAGGCTGGCCAAGGTGCCGGGAATGGCCCCCTATCTCGAGCTGGCGTACTCGGTGGCCGAGGACTGCGCCGAGCAGCAGGCGTACGCGCTCAGCAGCCGCAGCAACCAGCGCCGCTCCAGCTCGCACGCCCGCTCGTCGGACTCGCTGCTCAGCTACTGGGACAGCACACTGTTCACGTTCAGCGCAGGCATTCTCCCCGCGCAAACGAGCCACGACCCGGTCACGCCGCTGCTCAAGCTGTTCCAGCAGGGTGCGCCGCTGTGTCTGATCTTCAACTGTCTGAGCCCGGAAAACAAGATCGAGCTGGTGCTGTCGGACGACATCAAGGTGTGCAAGATGAGCGTGTACAAATTTCTGAGTGCGTGCAAACAGCACCTCAACATCCGCGACGACGAGCTGTTCTCCATCACGAGCGTGTTTTCGGATGACACCAACCACCTGCTGCAGGTGATTGCGGCGGTGAACCTGGTGCTGGACTTCGAGCCCAAGTTCGACGCCGCGGCCGTGCCCGACCAGGTGCACGTGGACGACGCGCGGTCGCGCGTGGTGCGCGAGATCGTCGAGACCGAGCGCAAGTACGTGCAGGACCTGGAGATCCTGCACCAGTTCCGCGCAGAGCTGATCAGAGCGGAGCTCATTTCGAGCGAGAACATCAACCTGCTGTTCCCCAACTTGCCCGAGATTGTGGACTTCCAGCGCCGGTTTCTGGTGGGGCTCGAGTGCAACGCGGCGGTGCCGGGCAAGTACCAGCGCATCGGGTCGGTGTTCCTGCACCCGGGCGCACAGGGGTTCCGCATCTACGAGCCCTGGTCGCTGTACCAGACCACGGCCGTGGACTTTGTGAACCGCGAGGCGGCGAATCTGCAGCGCTCGTCGTCGCTCATCAACAGCCCCTACGAGCTGCAGAGCTTTCTGATCAAGCCCGTGCAGCGGCTGTGCAAGTACCCGTTGCTGCTGCAGGAGCTCGTCCGTCTGACGGACCCGTCGTGGCCCAACTACTCGGAGCTGCATCTCGCTCTGCTGAGCTCCAAAGAGGTCGCCAACAAGATCAACGAGTCGCAGCGAAAGTCGGAGAACATCCAGCTCACCAAGGAGCTGCACGACCGCGTCGTCGACTGGAAGGGCTACTCGCTCGCGAACGCGGGCGAGCTGCTGCACGCGAACCAGGTCACCGTCAAGGACCTGCTCACGGACGGCCACTCGTCCGAAAAAGAGGTGCACTGCTACCTTTTCGAGAAGATGGTGTTTTTTTTCAAGGAGGCCGGCCACAAGAACCGGCTCGCGCAGAAACTCAAGGCCAGCTCGGGGCCCGCGGTGCAGAACCCGCCGCTCTCGCTCAGCGGGATCGTCTACATCAACAAGATCTACAGGTGCACGCCGTCCGATAGCTCCAAACACTTTGGTAGCACCGGCCATTTTCTCACGCTCAGATGGCGCGGCAGCCGCGACACCGGCGGCTGCGTGATCCGGTTCCGGCTCGAGGAGCAGCTCGCGCAGTGGGAGACCGCCATCAGACGGCTGTCCAGCGAGGACGACTACTTTGCGCGGCGCTCGAGCTCGCCGTCGCACTCCGAAGAGCTCTCGAACCGCGTGTCCGCGCAGACGCGCTCGTCGTCCACGTCGTCGGACCACTCGTCGTACTTCTTCCCGAAGCCGCGCACCGTGAGCTCCTCCACGGCCACCACGGCGCCGCACCCGGCAGCAGACAAGAAGCTGCGGTCCGTGTCGTCGCCGGTGACGAGCAGCGACCGCACGGCGCCGCTCCATCCGGCGTTTGCGGCGCTGTCGCTGTCGCAGCCGCAAAAAGTGCACATCAAGCTGATCTACAACACGTCCGCGGTGCATCTGTCGGTGAACGCGAACGTGGCGTTTTCCGAGCTCGTCGACACGCTCGTGTACAAGCTGAACCACTCGTTCGGGTCGTCTGCGGACGGCGACCGCACGTTCGCCGCCGACAACTCCAAGTTCCGGTACAGAGACGAGGACGGTGAGTTTGTGCGGTTCCAGAGCCACGCCGACTGGCAGATGGCCAAGGAGATGCTGGACGAGATCGAGGACGAGGAGGAGCGGATCCTCAACATCGCCGTGCAGCGGGCGGGCGTGTAGCAAATATATGGTCGGCTATTCCAGACTGGTGTAGATTATATCCGCGGAGGCTCTGATTGGACGAGATCTGAGTCAGTGAAAAATAAATTAAATAAATAAAATTAAAAAAAAAAAAACTAATTTATTTCAATGCTCCTCAGGCTTGCGCGTGTCAGGCCGCTGTGCCGAAGACACGCTGTGCGGACCCTTGGCGGCGTCCTTGCCCGTCCGCGTATCAGAGCGCCGCTGCGCCGTCTCCACACGTCCGCGCCCGTTCGCAGCTCGTCCGAAATCAGGCTCGACGAGATGGACCCAGAGCTCCAGGAAATGCTCACCGAAGAACGGGCCGTCGACACCGTGGACGTGTGCATAGTCGGCTGCGGCCCGGCAGGACTGGCCACGGCCATCAGACTCAAACAGCTCGACCAGGACGGCGACCTGCGCGTGGTGGTGCTCGAAAAGGCCCCCGACGTCGGGTCGCACATCTTGTCCGGGGCGATCCTGGAACCCCGGGCGTTGCGCGAGCTGTTTCCGGAGAGCGAGTACTACGACGCAGACGGCGCAGGGATCCCGCTGCCGCCGGATCTGGTGAGTTTGGTGACACAAGACCACATGAAGCTGCTGTTCAAGAACGGGCCCGCCGTGCCGCTGCCCGAGCCGCCGCAGATGGTCAACAAGAACAGAAACTACATTGCGTCGCTGTCGGAGGTGGTCAAGTACCTCGCGGAGCAGGCCGAGGCCGTCGGCGTCGAGATATATCCCAACACAGCCGTGAGCGAGCTGGTGTACGATAGCAAAGGTCACGTGAAAGGCGTGGCCACCAAGGACATGGGCGTGTCGAAGAACGGCACGCCGTCGGACGCGTTTGAGCGCGGCATGGAGTTCCACGCGCGCATGACGGTGCTGGCCGAAGGGTGCCACGGCTCGCTGTCGAAACAGGCCATCAAGAAGTTCGGGTTGCGCGCCGGTTGCAGCCCGCAGACGTACGGCCTGGGCATCAAGGAGGTGTGGGAGGTGAAGCCGGAGAACTTCAAGAAGGGCTACGTCGCGCACACGCTGGGGTACCCGCTGGACAAGGACACCTACGGCGGCGGGTTCCAGTACCATTTTGGCGACGGCCTGGTGACCGTGGGGCTGGTTGTGGGTCTGGACTATAAAAACCCGTGGATCTCGCCGTACCAGGAGTTCCAGAAGATGAAGCACCATCCGTTCTATAGAAAGGTGCTGGAGGGCGGTAAGTGCATCTCGTACGGCGCGCGTGCGCTGAACGAGGGCGGCTACCAGTCTGTGCCGAAGCTGCACTTCCCCGGCGGCGTTCTGGTGGGCGCGAGCGCCGGGTTCATGAACGTGCCGAAAATCAAAGGCTCGCACACGGCAATGAAGTCGGGCATGCTGGCGGCAGAAAGCATGTACGACGCGGTTGTGGCGCTGAAACGGCGGCAGGGCGACGTGGAGGAAGGCGAGGTGCTGCCCGAGTGGGACGCGCTGGATCTGGAGCAGTACCAGGCCGCGTACGACCGGTCGTGGGTGCGCGAGGAGCTGTACGAGGTGCGCAACATCCGGCCTTCTTTCAGCTCGAAACTCGGTATGTGGGGGGGCATGTGCATGTCGGGGCTGATTGCGATGATCACGCGAGGCCGGGAGCCGTTCACGCTGACGCACAAGCACACGGACGCCGAGCTCGTGGAGGACGCGGGCAAGCACGCCAAGATCGAGTATCCAAAGCCCGACGGCGAGATCTCGTTCGACATCCTCACGTCGGTCTCGCGCACGGGCACGTACCACCAGGAGAACGAGCAGTGCCATCTGCGCGTGCCCGAGCAGGACATGGCGAAACACACGGCCAAGGCGTACCCGAAATACCAGGGCATCGAGCAGAGATTTTGCCCGGCCGGCGTGTACGAGTACTTGCCCGACGAAAAGTCGCCCGAAGGTGTCGTTTTCCAGATCAACTCGCAGAACTGCATCCATTGCAAGACCTGCGACATCAAGGTCCCCACGCAGGACATCGACTGGACCGTGCCAGAAGGCGGCGACGGACCCAAGTACCAGATGACCTAGGCGGGTTGTAAATACTGCACTACACGAATATATTACCATAATTTAGTCTCTGCCCATGGCCTTGTCCCACGTAGGCTTGGTCTGCTCCAGCCAGAACTCGAATCTGTCGCGGGCGCTGGATAGCGAGTCAAGGGCCGGTCTCACATCAAGGAAAAACGTGGGCATGCCGTCCTCGTCCTCAGGACCCCCATAGTAGTCGATCACATACCGCACTTTCTGCCAGCCGCCCTGGCCGTCCCCACGCAGCACCGTCCAGTCGTGTCTGTCAAACGGTGGCTCCGTGGCGTATTTTTCCGGGAACAGCCTGCCCATGATCTGGTAGAACCGCGCACGAGGGCTCAAATCGTGCGGCCGGCCAGTGAACTTCAGCAGCCGCGGCTCCTGCCTCGTCTGCTCTGTGTGGGGTTTCTCCCACTTAAGAATCTCGCTCCACGCACCTTCGTTCAGGAAATTGTGGATGTTCACCATGCTCTCCACAGCGTCCTCCGGCACGTCTCCCTTGCCCTTGCGGATCATGGCGTTGAACATCTGCTGTGGCGATGGGTACTCCCACACGCCCTGGTCCGGCACGTCTCCCCGCGGAATCGACGACAGCGTTCTCTCGGTCGGCAGGTCGATCTTCTGGCCGGGAACCTTGTCGGTAGGGAGCACGTACGGCATGTTGTTAAGCGGGTTGATGTCCAGGGTCTCTGCTCCGTCGTTGTGCACCACCGGACATGCGGCGAGTTTCGTGTGGTCCACGGGACACTTTGCTGCTCCCGTAGCAGGCCGGGAAACCGGTTTCTGTGTTGCGTCTGCCCAAAACCAGCCCATTAAAGTGTGAATGATAATTATTAATTTATTTTATTTTTTTTTTTTATATTTTTTTAATGGAAGAGCTGCTAGCCAGACACAAAAAAGAGACGCGCGACCTGGTGGCCGCCACGACGGGAATGCGCAAACAGGCAACCAAGTCGACGCGCAAGGAGGTCTTGCGGCGGATCGCGCAGATGGAACAGGACCTGAAGGACAGACACGAGCGAGAGTTGCGGGAGCTGGCTGGAGAGGCCCCGGAGGCAGAGGAGATTACGCCCGAGCAGCTGCTGGCACAGATGAGTTTGGGCTCAGAAAAGGCTGCTGAACCTGCTGAAAAAGAGCCTGTAGCGAAGACAGAGCCAAAGAAAAAGCGCAATAGACAAAAAGAGCGGCTAGCCAAGAGAGAGGCCGAATTCAAAAAATTACAGCAAGAGGCCGAAAACGAAGCCAGTGTACAGCCGAACCTGAAAGAGCTGGAGCTCAAGAACATTGCCGACCTGTGCACCGCGGCCAGACTGGTGCAGCACAACATCACGCCCGACGGACACTGTCTATTTGCGTCGATCGCAGACCAGCTACAGCAGCGACACAGTATCACCATGACGGTCCAGGAGTTGCGCACACGTGCGGCCAACCAGATACGAAGCGACCCGGACACGTTTGCGCCGTTCCTGTTTGACGAGGACAAGATGGAGGTGCGCAACGTGGAGGAGTATACCGACAAGCTGGAAAACACCATTATGTGGGGGGGCGATCTCGAGATCCTGGCTCTTGCGAGAGAGTTCGACTGTCCGATCAGCGTGATGATGAGCGGACGGGCGCCGCTGCGCGTTAACGAGAACGGCCAGCAGCCAGAGCTCAAGCTCGTGTACTACCAGCACGTCTTTGGGCTCGGAGAGCACTACAACTCGCTAAGAGACATGGTCTAGTGTATATACAGTAATTAGCGTTTTGCCGCCGCAGCGTTGATGCGCAAAATGTCGCCATCCTCGACAACGTAGTTCTTGCCCACGCGAGCGATCTTGCCCGCCGAGCGCAGCGATTTCTCGTTCAGCGGCGCCGGCAGCTGCTCCACGTCGCGGTACTTGATCACCTCTGCGTTGATGAAGGTGCGCTCAAAATCCGAGTGGATCACTCCTGCCGCCTGCGGACACAGCGTTCCCTCGCGGATGGTCCACTGGCGCGCCTCTATGGGGCCGCACGTGTAGAAACTAATCAGATGCAACGCCTGGCGCATCTGCTCCACGATCTCGGGGATTGCTGAGCGGCCACCAGTGTTCACGGCGTTTGCCTCGTGCTCTGCGGAAAATAGAATCACTGGCGACTCAGGTGCGTTGTTGCGCACCCACTCCTGCACCTGTGACAGAAACTCGTTCTTGCCGCGCAAAAAATCTTGCTTGCTGCTGTTGAGCAAAAAAACCGTCGGTTTGGCGGTGAGTAGCGTGTAGCTGTTGAGCGCCTCGATCTGGTCGGCTGTCCAGTCTGGCTTGTCCAAAATGCGCCGGCCGTCCATCAGATGGTCGTACGCAATGGCCAGCGTCTCCTGGTGGGCCTCCCAGCGGGCGACCTCGTCTGCTGGCCGGTTTCGTTTGTTTTTCAGCAGCTTTGCTATGCGGTCGAGCGAATTCTCTATGAACTCCATATCTTTCAGGAGCAACTCGTCCTGGACAATGGTGAGGTCGCGCGCAGGGTCGACGTCGCCCTCTACGTGGGTGATCTCGTCGTCTCGGAACCCGCGCACCACCTGGAAAATGCCGTCCACCGCTCGTATATCGGACAGAAAAGCATTTCCGAGCCCTTTATTGTCAGAGGCGCCTTTGATAAGGCCCGCAATGTCGTAGATCCTCAGCACCGAGGCGATACTCTTCTGGGAAAGGTAGAGTTCTGCAAGCCTGTCCAGTTTGGGAGAATGCACGGTTACGATAGCTTCCTCGGGTTTTATGGTCGCGAACGGGTAATTTGCAGGGTTGCCCAGCTTGCTCCTTGTGATGGCCTGGAAAAACGTGGACTTGCCGACGTTGGCCAGCCCGACGATGCCGCTGGACAGGTTGTTGCCGGGACGGCCAAACAGGGGTCTGGTGAGAGCTTTGGACGCCATGGCGAGATCGGCAGGCGGTGGTGAATTTTTCGCATCGCGCGGACACCATAAGTGTCGGGTGCGAGGTGTGCCCACCATGGCCTCTGCGAGCGGAAACCACTCGCTCCACAGGGGCCTGGTAAATGGAGATCCACAGCCGGGACACGGCGCTGAGCCCAGTCGCGCGAGAGGCAGGTGGAATTGGGCTTTGTAGGTGCATTTGCGAGGCGAGCGGTGCAGACGCGGCAGCACTACATGGCCAAAAAATCGGCTGTCTTTTTCATGTGGGTGAAGCTTTACTATTGCCGGAAAAAAAAAAAAAAAACCAGCTACTAGCTCTCAAACGCACGATAGCCACCATGTGCGTGGCGATTACCACAATCAGTAATGTAGATTAAAGGAGTCTAAAAAAAGTCACGTGGACCAGAACTACTGGCAGCGCCTTCTTTTGGCACTGCGCTCGTCCAGGTCCAGCGGCACTTCAACCGGAGTAACTTGGCTGGCGCCCGCGGCAGACGAAACCGGCGTCGTGCCGGGCGTGGGGAGACAGGCGGTGTCGATGTGCAGCGACCGCAGCGCCGTGAGCGACTGCGACCTCGCATGAGAATGACGGTGGTGCTGGTGGATGGGGGATGCTATTGGCGAGATAGGCAGGTTTGGATACAGCACGAGCTCCTGGACCGGCGACGCGTGGTGCGGCGAGTAGCTCACGTACTGCTGGTCCAAACCTCTGGCCTTGTGGAGCACCTGGGTGGCCAGGTTCGTTAGGTGGGTGATGATCCGGTTGCCAGAATTGAAGTACTTGGCCCTCACGGAAGACGGCACCGCGAGCACCTGGTGGAGCAAACCGTGCTGCAGCTCGCCCAGCTTGTCGGCGGTGCCCGTGAGAGCAGCGTTGGTCAGCATGATGGATGCTGCCGCGATAGAACTAGGAGAATACGAATAGAATAGGGTTCTGTCGAAGTGTGCGAGCTCGCACAGGAAGATGGCTCCCTCCGTTCTTTCTTTCAGGTTGGGCTGTGAGCTGCTTGTGTAGAAGTTGACAAAGTAGTCTGCCGATGGCATGGACAAGTCCCATTTGAGCGCCGACAGAATGTCCATCTCGAGCCTGAGGAAGTCTGTCTTCCTGTCGAGGTCGTAGCCTGCGCGCTTGATCAGCGCGTTGACGAGCTTGCCCTTGGGCTTGTTTTCGTTGAACTTGAACGCAATCCAGAGACAGCAGTAGCCAACAAGCTTGTAGTTTTTTTCCAGCACGAGGGCCTTGGACAGGTATCTGTCGAGCACGTTGACGGCGAGAGAGAAGGTGGCGTAGGACCAGGAGAGCTTTACCACCACGTCGAAGATGGAGTTGAGCAGGGCGAGCCTGTTGGGCTGGAACTGGGGCTGGAGAGGCAGCGGGCTGGGCCTCTGCCTGAAGAGGTGGTCTAGATGGATGAAATGGCTGTGGATGTCATTTCTGTATTCCTGAATAAGATGATCGTGGGAGCTGATTTCCAGAGGAGGGCCAGCGGCAAGATGGGATGTCATGAACGATGCTTCAAAAGAGCGGATGCGTAAAGATGCTAATAAATAGAATGCAATTGAGGAGTAGTGATGCAGTTGTATGAGTTAGAATTGAGTGTCCATAAGGTGTGTGTGAGAAGCAAAGTCCAAGATGTTCAGAGAGCAAGGGAGGAGGGTGCTTATATATATATGGTTGGGCCCACAGGTAATTTCTTTTTGGGATGGCCGTAACGTAGCATGGTTTGAATAAATGTGGCCTATTCATTGTCCATGGTTTTTTGGAGACCGGAAATGCATCGTAACACTACAGTTCCCAAAGGACGGTTTCGGCCATTTCGTGAACCTTAATTTTTTTTGGTTGGCTGGCAAATGGTGCGACTTCCTCATTGGGGCAAAAGTCCACCACTGGAGAGCGGAAATCATTTTTAGAAGCCGCTCGTTGCAATTTTCCATACAGTTTGGCTCACCCGATCCCGATCTGTCGATCCTCTGTACTAGGACCTAGAATATGCGGAGTAAGCCGTCTAAATTTTAACTTTAAATTGGATTTTCATCAGATTACCTATAATGGCATTCTCCTAATTTTGCGGGTGAAAACTGCATCAATAGCAAACGCTAGGCCGTCCCAATGTACGAGGTGCCAGTAATCTCTGGCACCTCGCCGTCGGTCTGTGCACGGCTCCGCTTCATTGCTTGCATGATCCCCTGCTCCAAGCTGCTGCTGCTAATCTAGCTCGGCCCCCGAATGGCCCCATCGCCCGTCAAGTGTCTCTATCTCTGCTGGCAAAATCTAACAATACCATTTTTTCAGACCCAGAGCGACCGGAAAAAAATGCAATGCACTTATCGCCTCTATTTTGTTGAAAACAATTGGCCTTACCAGACTGTTAGAATTGTAGACGTTTTCGATCTCAGCCTCCGCGAGCTTATCGGCCGGACCTTGGCCAGCCCAATTCAGTTGGAGCAGCTCAAACTCCTCTCTAAATATAGGTACCCCAATTTCCAGCTACTGGCGCGATTTCGTGCCACCACAACTCAAATCCGCTGGCGTGCCTTCGTTTTCCCATGAAATACACGGCACTCCAGTAGCAACAATCGCGCCATTCACAAAATTTGATCTGTGTAGCCTCCAAAAAAGTAATGCGATGACTTGTTTTTTTGGATCGGTTTGAAATTTTTCCAAACTCCTTTTCAAGGCTTTGACAATGAAGAGGCTCCGAGGTGCCGAACATCCACAGAGAACTTTGAGGAAAAGTAACGCTACACATGAGGTCGACACCATAGACGCTACAGAGGCCACTCCCGCTGCGTTTGAGTCGCGCTACATCTTGAAACGTCAGCCGTGTTTGATCCAAGGCTTGGTGGCCGGGTTTGATCTGGAATCGTTCCGTCTTGATAATCTGGCAAATTTTTTACAATGTGACGATTTTTTGCAGGTGGAGCGCAAGTCCAACGGTGGTTACGGCACCGGAGAAAATAGGATCCGCTTAAAACTTGCAGACTTGGTGGAGAGGCTGAAAAATGGCGATCACTCTTTGTATTTAACTACCCAGTATGACGAAGACGATTGTGTGTCGGACGACGAGTCTGACGGCGAATTTCCGCAAACGGGAATTGCCCCTGTCCCGACCGATACGGATTCAGAACTGGGCTCGGTTGATCTCGACAATTTCCACGACGACTTTGACGATGACGGCGACAATTCCGACGACGGGGAATTTTCCGCCAATGCAGATGAAACGTCTCTTGACACTGCTCGTGCCCGTGTGCAAGAGTTTCTGCAAAAACCGCTTACCAACTTACACCGCACGTGGACCATGGACCTGCTGCGGCCGGGCTTACTCGCCGGCCTGGTGCCACAGCAAATAAACCTATGGATGGGCCGTGCAGACCCAGATTCCCGGCTGCTCTTCGACGAGTCAAAGCCGCTGCTGGGCCTAGGCAGATCGCTCCCCTCTCCAGGCGCCTCGTCGTCGGGTCTTCACCACGACCACGCCGACAACTTGTACATACTGGTATCGGGGAGAAAAAGATTCACCTTGTTCCCGCCCACAGACGCTCCCAGCCTGTACACTGTCGGCGACATTGAAACAATCTACCCGTCCGGAGTCATTGACTACACGCGCAACGAAAACGCGCCGTTCTGGAAGCACGTGCGCGAGGACGGTGCGCTGGTTGAGCAGGTCGCCCTGTGGCGACTGGAGCGAGAGTCGCTCGACGAGGAGGAAAGAAAACGACTCGAGGCTGTCGCAGAAGGCGAATCCGGCGTGCACGAAGAAAAAGCCCGCCACGGAAAGACGAAAAGAGACCCTCCTTCCTTCTCCAGAATACCTCCTGCCCTGCTGCATCTGGACGATGTGCAGGACGCCGAACAACGGGCAAAAATGCAACGCCTTATAGACACGGAGTTCCCGCGGCTGAAACAGTGCAAGCCACTACAGGTGACAATAGAACCCGGCCAAATGTTGTATTTGCCGGCAGGGTGGTTCCACGAGGTGTCGTCCTTTGGCAGCGGCGACGAGCAAATCCACATTGCGGTGAATTACTGGTTTGCGCCGCCGGCGAATCGCTCACCACCCCTGTACGCCGACAGCTACTGGACTGAGGATTTTGACGAAACGAGCAAGTGTCTTCGTGTGCTGCACAGCCTGGACCGATAAGAACGCGCTTGCCCAATTGGGAAATGTTGTGGTTGCGAGATGCGCCTCTGATAAGCGAGGGGTAAATACACATTGATGCAGCATTTAGCGTGACGCGTGGGGAGGATTCCGGGGTGGCAGGAAAAACCCGGAGAACAAAAAAAAAATCAGCGAGGCGCGGAGTCCCAGTCACGTGACCTTCGAGAGAGTCGGGCAAAAACCCTTTTTTGCAAAATCTCCACTACCGACTCTGTTTTTTGGGTGCACAGCCCGGAACTTGTAGGAGCTATGTCCTGCCAAACGGGCCCATTGGCACGCGGTGAGTCTTCTGGCCGCCATTGGAGGTAGCAATTAGCGCCTCCCAGGACGGCGTGCCTCTTTGGCGCCCTGGCGGGCCTTTTTCCGCGCTCCCATTTATCAGCTCCCGCGCCTTATCTAAAAATCAGGCCCTACCTGAAAAATTTTTCACGTAATTAATATAGATATTGATACATCAGAGACAGGTCGACCCTTCTTTGTGACGCAAAAAGCGAGTCTATTCAAATAAGAACAAGTGTATGTGTTGAGCAGCGCGCCGGTGTCCGTGATACTAATCTCCTAGTGATCCTTCGCTTTTTCTTATTTGATATCTTATCAGAGCGAGATATTTATTAGCTTAAATATCCCCAAAGTGTACGCCACGAGCTTGCGAATCTAACAGAGTTAAACTGGAACCCGAGTCCTGTGCGCATGCGCTGGATTTTGACGGATATCTCTCTATTCTAAGCCTGGCGAGTTGTGTTATCGTATTATTCACGTTACTAGCTGATCATCCCCAGCTTTTAGCGCTCCTGTGTGTGATTATTCCCCGGTTATCATGAGTACGACGGCCATGGACCATGTTTCAGACCATGATTCCCAGACCCCGGACTCTCCTTTGAGCCCGAGCGAAAGAAGCTCGACTCCCTCTTCCATCACTTCGTCTGCTGCCACCAGTGTCGCCGACACCGGCGACCTGGCCAAGCCGGTGGCGGCCCCTTCTCCGTCCAAATCCAGGAAGGAGGAGCGGCACAAGAAGTACAACAAGACCGCCAGCCGCACGGTCGCCGCTGCAAGCGGCATCTCCACCACGGTCCCTCTGTCTGGCGAGCGGCCACGGCCAACGCCGCACTCCACGCTGGACGACGACGTGCTCTTTGCCATCTTCGAGATCCTGTTCGACCACGACTCCAAGGCCGAGGGCATGACCGTCAAGCAGATCTGTGACATCCTGGTCGAAAAACACCCCGAGATGGCCAAACTGTCCTCGAAAACATCGAATCTGGTCTCGGCCAAGCTCAACGCCTATGTCAAGCGCGTCGAAAAGGGCGAAAAAGCCATCATGTACTCTCTGTCCAGAGACTGGGCCGACGCGTCGCCCAAGAGAATGGTGTACGTCTACCGCGGACTGCTCGCCAAGGACTACCACCTCTACGTCCAGCAGTACCTCGAGAGCCAGAAGGCGCTGGAGCACACGTCGGTGGTGTCAGGTGTGGTTGCCGACCTCGACGCAAAAGACCTGAAAAAGTACAAGAAGGCCGCTCTTGCGGCCGCCCAGGCCCAGACGCAGCACGCTGTGCACTCGCAGGATCTTGGCGACAAACGGTCGCCGTTCCTGGACGCGTCGCTGGACCTCAGGCTCGCGAACCTGGCGGTGCCGTACGCGGTGGCCCCCGTCACGGCGTCGCTGGTCACTGCGGTCGAGGACGCCAATCCCAAGACGCGGTATCCCAGGGCCAAGTCCGTGTCGGTGTTTTCGAGGTCCTCGCCGGATTCCGACGACGACGTTGACGACTACGAGACGCTGCGTTCTGCGGACGACGACGATGACGACGACGACGCAGACAGTCTCGTGTCTGCCGGCTACCACAGGCGCGGCTCCGTCATTGTCAGAGACAAGGTCCCGTCGTCGGTCGGCAAACGGTCGAAGTCCATGAGTTTCATCAACTCGAAAAAGCCAAGAACCGTGCATCTCACGGCCGCGGCTGCCACGCCTCGGATCCCCAAAAACGCCTCCCTCGTGAACAGCCCCACCGCGGCCGCGGCCGTGGCTGCTCTGCGAGCAGCAGCTATGAGCTTCAGCCCGCAGTGCGAGTCTGTCAACACCATCACAAACTCGATCCTGGCAGACACCACCGTGGAGCCGTCGATCAGCATGAAGTGGCTGGAGACGGTGCGCTCTGGGTTCCTGACGCAGGAAATCGGCGCTCCGGAGGACATTTCGTTGGCAGAGCTCGATACGTTGTTCACGTGATATTCTTCTATCTTTTTGCTTTATAGGTATGTGCGGTAATGGTTAACGTTTGATGGGTGTATTGTGGCGTAACTCGTGCTGCTGCTCCGGCTGCTGGTCCAGCTGCTCGTAGTCCTTGTCCCAGATTTTTTTCACCCCGATTTTTTCCAGATGCTGCCACCATTCGATGTCTGCCGGGTCCAGGTCTGGCTCGCACCACACAAACCCTTCTCCCGAGCTCACCCAGTACTGGCGCAGCATAATCTCCTGTTCCGGCTCGTTCACCACAAACCCCATCTTGTGGATACGCTCCACCACCGGCCGGCTCGCAAAACCCTCTCTGCCGTTGATTTCCGCGTCGCACTCCAGCACCATCGCGCACATCTTCATCTGGTCCACCTTCTTGTACCACGTTGCCGGCAGCGTGCCCTTCTCGAACCGCAACGCTCCGTTCTCCTGGCCCTTCGTCGAGAACGCCATCATCGCCATGAACCCTGCGTTCGCCAGAAACGTGCCAACAGCACCGTACAGCCCGTACACCACGTTGGACTGGAAAAACCCAGGCAGAAGAAACTTGAACGAAAGGTCCATCGCCCCAATCGTGCCGCCGATGCCCGCAAAGAACTTGATCACCATCCGCCGCCACTTGACGCTCTTGAACTCGTAGTATCTGGGGAACCCTGTAGTGAGCTCTATCACGTCCAATGCCTCCTGGAACTTTGCGTCATATAGCAAGTTGCGCAGGGGAATCATTGCTGTCTCCACCTTGAGCACCTTGTTGGTGTTTTTCATATAGTAGCACGTCAAAGCGAACTTGATACTGGCGACATGGGGCTTTAGTTTCAGAAAGTCCGTCAGCAATGCCTGGCTGTAGTCGACTTTCTCGGCTAAAAAAACTTTCTGCATCAGCGCATTGGACTTGACAATTAGCTCGTCCTCAAGCACGTTTGTTTTCTTGGTTTCATGGACGGAATCCTGGAATAGCTTGCACAATCTGAGGATTTCAAAGGCTGTGGCAGGCGGCACTTTGGAGCCATTGGACCCGGCGAAGCTCGTGATATCGTTGTGGACAAGTTTCTCAAGAATGCTCAGTCGCTGGGTGAGCTGACGCTGCGTGGACTGGCGCCGGATCAGAAGAAAGGGGGATCTAAACATGGTTAACAAAATGCCATGTTTTCCCCACCTCTAATCTTTGTGGTGCAAAGATGCCAAAAAATAGTAAAAAAATTTAAAAAAATTTGATTTTTTTTATTTTATCAGTATGGCCGCTCCTACCGCTGTTAAAAAAGAGATTTCCGAGCCAGCCGAGGCTCCTAAACAGGTGGAAAATATAGAAGAAGACACAGATACAATACTTATTGACGCCGACGCGCCAGAAACAGAAGACAAGCCCTCCAAAACGCCCGAAGCTGGCCTCGTCCTGGACGAGTCGGGAAAACCCAAGTTCCAGTCACAGGCCGCGTCCAACATGAAGGTCAAGCTAGAGTCGCGGAAGGTGGCCGTGCCCCCACACAGAATGTCGCCGCTCAAGAACGCATGGCCCAAAATATATCCTCCGCTGGTGGATCATCTCAAGCTGCAGGTGCGGATGAACCTGAAAACCAAGAACGTGGAACTGCGTACGTGTTCCAAGACCACAGACCCGGGAGCTCTCCAGAAAGGAGCCGATTTCATCAAAGCGTTCACCCTGGGATTCGACATAGACGACGCCATCGCACTTCTGCGACTCGACGACCTTTACATCGAGTCGTTCGAAATCAAGGACGTCAAGACGCTCCAGGGCGACCATCTGTCGCGTGCGATCGGCCGTATTGCCGGAAAGGACGGCAAGACCAAGTTTGCGATCGAGAACGCGACACGGACGCGGATTGTGCTGGCAGACTCGAAGATCCACATTCTGGGCGGGTTCACGCACATCAGAATGGCGCGGGAGGCGGTGATGAGCCTGATTCTGGGCAGTCCGCCGGGCAAGGTGTACGGGAACCTGCGTACGGTGGCCTCGAGACTCAAGGAGCGGTACTGAGGTGTACGGGTGTGTAGTTTATTTTTTTCCTCCTAATGCATAGCGGCGTGTACGGGTGTCGATCCCCATGGTGTAGTAACTTGCATACGAAAAGTTTTTTATCGCGTGCGCTAGGGTGTACACTCGTGTGAGGATATTCAGGTTGCGGTGGTCTAAAAATAGGCGGGGCGGTATCCGCAGGCTAGGCGTGGAGCGAGCGCGCAGTGCGGCACTACCACGAAAAGATCAGCTCATCTTATCGCTGCGGAATTCGGGCTCCACCTACATTCCCGTGTTGGTATTGCATCTGCAGGGATCGAGGATCAGGCCGAATTGAGATCGCCGCCTCTAAATTCGCGACACAAGCCGAATTAATCACCTTATGCGCGTTGGTCGTGAGCACTGCATTGGGTAGGTACTCTGAGGGTTCTATTGTGCTGCTATTGTCTGCCGTCCGCAGAGAAAAAATTTCTATCCCAAGACGGCGCCCGGTGACCTAAGCAGCTGGCTTTTTGGAATATACGCACACGACTGCTTATTTCACCTTATATACAATAATTTATCCTTTTTTTTTGTAGGCAACCATGGCACAAGGAGACGAGGAACTGTTTATACAGGGCCCTTCCATGGCCGCAGAAGAGGAGCCGCGCGCCGGCGTCCTGCTCAGGGTCTGGCTCGCGTTTGCGGCGCCCTTCTCGTTTGTCCTGAACAAGTTCATTCGCTTACTACCATACTCAAACAACCGCAAGATGTCCGTGTTCACCATCTACATCGGTCTCATGCTGGTGTTCATAGTGCCCACGATCTTCTACATGGACGAGAGCATTTTTCTGCTGTCCAAGAACAAGTACGAGGTCGACTCAGAGACCTCTTTCCGCAAGCTCCAAAAATCGCACACCAACAATTTGGCCTATGTGATACTGCCTGCTGACAGACACACGGGGCCGCCCACGCCCAGCCAGTCGCTTTTCGACCAGCGCGTGGCCGCCGCCGCGTGGCTCAGCCACCTCAAACAGCATCTGAGGGACAACAACGGCGTGCTGGACCCGGACTTCCAGCTGCCGTTCTCGTGGGCCGAGTGGGTCGACCTCGAGTCCAAGCTTGTTCTTGACAAGCGCCATCTGCATCTGTGGAAGAGCTACCACCCAGACATGCAGAACCGCACGTTTTCGGACCTCACCTGCGCCGACTTCAGGCTGCTCTACGCCGACAAGGACGAGGTTCTGCAGGCGTGCACCGACATCAGCCACGAGGAGCGCGCCCAGTACCCGTGGTACCCGTTCTCGTTCAAAATCACCGAGCGCACGGGCTCTGACCTCGCCGAGGCCGGCCGGATCCTCTTTGGCGCGTCGTACATGCTCATGACGGCGCCGCCGCCCGCTCGCGTGCACTTCCTCGGGGCCGGGCTCAACAAGTCGTCCGTCGTGCTGCTGACAGAGCGCGACCCGGTCTCGCACACGCCGATCGTCAGCAACCGGTCCAGAGACATCTACTCGATCGGCGCCGACCTTGTCCACAACGAGGCCCGTCTGCGCGGCGTTTCTGTCGACAGAGTGCACAAGGACGGCGTGCGCATCGACAGGATGGTCAGCGAGCTGTCCGCTCTGTTCAACTACGACACGTCCGCGCAGACCATCTACAGCGAGGACGAGCTTGTGTTCGACAAGTCGTACTTCCTCAAGCTGGACGAGCAGGTCAACGTCATGACCAGCATCGAGATGACCAAGGAGGACTTCGTGTACGAGCACGAGGACATCATGAACAGCATGAAGCAGCGGATCGAGAAGCAGCTCGAGGCGGCACCAGACACCAACGTCGACTCGCTGTTCGACCACCTGCTGCTGAAGAACATCGAGCGGGAAATGGACCTGTTCGAGACGAACGGCCGCCACATGCCGTACTTGCGCGAGGCGTACGTGAACAACACGCATCTGGGCGCACATTTCGACTGGCGCTTCTTCAACGGCATCGACCACCCGCAAGAATACCGCAAGGCCATCATCCACCGGATCGGCCGCGCGTGGCTGCGGTTCTGCTACCAGTCGGGCTTCCGCACGTTTGTGGCGTACGGCTCGATGCTCGGCTGGATCCGAAACGGGCTCACGCTGCCCTGGGACGAGGACATCGACGTGATCGTGTCGGTGGACTCGCTGTACAAGATCGCCAGAAACCACAACCAGACGCTGATCGTCGACGTTTCGTCCGAGGACAACTACGCGGCCGGCATCGGCTCGTACCTGCTGGACATCGGCCCGTCGTTCTACTCGCGTGTGCGCGGCTTCGGCGCCAACGCCATCGACGGCAGGATGATCGATACCATGTCCGGGGTTTACGTGGACATCACCGCCATTGCGTGGACGCCGGACTATTTCTCGCAACACAACATCGACGACGTCGTCCGCACGCTCGTGGACCCGGAGTACAAAAGCAAGGTCGACAAGCTCGAGGACAAGGACTCGTACCGCGAGCAGATCGACAACAAGGCCAGAGACATGCAGCAAAACCACGAGATCTACCACTGTCGCAACGACAACGTGTTCCGGCTCGACGAGCTCACGCCGATGGTGCCCACGTACTTCGAAGGTGTCCGGACCCACGTCCCACACAAGTTCAAGCAAATCCTCGACAGAAAGTATCCGACAGCGTTGCAACGGACCACAGAACCAGAAAACCAGCCGTTCCGCACGTACAAGAAAAATCTGCGTCTCTGGGTGGACGACGCGCAATGTCCGGGAGACGACAACGAGGGCTCGTTGTGCCGCGATGAGGACGTGCTAGAGGAGTACGCCCACACCAAGGAGTACACGGCCCGCCACGTCGAGCTCCTAAAACACATCTACGACAATGCGCTCAGGATCGAGGACGAGACCGTGCCGATGCGGTACGACCAGTTCATCGTCAGGTACGCGCAGTGGCTCAATGCCCGGCTGGAGTAGCGTATAGACTAATAAGGTGGAGGGGGTGTAAAATGTAATTAAAAGATTCTCTAATTATTTCGGCTCATGGTGTAGAGGTGGAAAAATTTTTGTCAGATATGTTTCGCAAGGTGACGAGAGTGCAGCTGTCGCAGCTGTTGCGTCGCTGGCAGAGTACGCACGCGGCCGAAACGGCCCGGCCTCGCTCGGGCAACTCTCTGATGAGCCTTGTGCACGACGACACCGCCACGCTGTCGCAGTTCTTCGAGCGGGTCGAGCGCTCCGTCTCGAAGCTATCCGACACCCGCCTCGACAGAACGCTGCCGCTGGGCCATCTTCTGATGACCAAGCTGCAGACGCTGAACAAGGACAACACCGTGGTCAACGACTCTGTGCTGTTCAGCCGGTTTGTGGACATTCTCGGCGAAAACAAGCTCCTGCACGTTTCGCACGCCGACCGTGCTGTGCGCCGGCTTCTGGTGGAGTCCAAGTACGACAAGGCGTTGGATCTGTGGCAGCGTTTGCTGGAGAAGCTGAAGGAGGTGCCCGACGGCTTCAAGGAGACCCGGGACGCCAGGTTCACGTCGGAGGCCGTTTTCCGCATGACAGGCGTTGTTGCGTACGTGCTCAAGACTTTGGGCGACAATGCGGCCCCGGACGCCGCTGTGCTCGACTCGGTGGCCGGCGGCGTCAAGCTGAGCCCGCGGCTCGTGGACATCGTGCTGCAGCCGCTGGAACTGGACGATGCTACCACGGAGAAGGTGAAGAGAGCGATCAACGGCCATTTTTTCAAGCCGGACCCCAACAGTCCAGCGCTGCTGAACGCGGCGTTTGTGGCCGCCACAGAGGGCAAATTCGACCGCGTGGAGCTGACCGTCCGCAAGCTGTACACGGCCAGGGAAAAGAGCCAGGAACCGTTTTCGGAGCACACCTATGCCAGGCTCATGGAGCTGTGCGCCATGACGGGCAAGTACCAGCAGGCGCAGCAGCTGTGGGCGGAGCTGACCAACGCGGGCGTCAAGCCGACCGTCCAGACGTGGAACCAGCTGCTCAACGTGCACGCCAAGTCGGACGCGCCGCAGAAACTGCTCAGAATCGAGAGCGTGTACAAGCTGCTTAGGGAGAGCGTCCAGCCGAACGCACAGACCGTGGGCATCATGATTTACGGGTATCTGGGCTGCCGGGAGCTGAAGAAGGCGCTGGACTTCTACCGGGCGCAGAAAGACACCGCGTCGGCGCAGGAGGTGTGGGATATCAGAAACACGCTGCTGCGCGGCCTTGTGCAGAACGACTACGTTGCCGAGGCAGAGAAGTTCTACAACGTGTTCCGCGCAGAGGCCAGCGCGCAGAACGTGGCGTTCGAGCCGGACATCCGGTTCTACAACTCGCTGTTGCGGCATCTGTTTGCCAAAGACGACGTCGACAAGGCGCTGGCTACCATGGACGAGATCCTCGCCTCGGACACCCTTGCACCAGACGTCGCCACGTACACGACGATCATCGACGTGCTGGGCATGAAGGCGAGCCGGACGGGCGTGCCGGTGGAGCTGGAGATCCAGAAGCTGATCGACGCGATGATGTCCAGCAAGATCAAGCCGAGCGTGCGCACCACGGGCGCTCTGGTCAAGATGCTTGCTGCCAAGCCGGAGACGATCGCGATCGCGGAGCAGCTGGTGGAGCAGCTGAGGAAGGACAAGCTCAGGGTCTCTGACGTTATTTACAGCACCATGGTCGGTGCCGAGAGCAGCCAGGGGAACGTTTCCAAGGCTTTGGAGTATTTCTACGCAGCGTTGGAGGCCGGTGTGCCGCTGACGACGCAGTTCTACAACTCGATCTTCCGGGGCTTCAGCATCAGTCCGGACGTGCGCGGACTGCGCCGCTTTTTCGAGTTTGTGCAGCTGAACGCGACCCAGAAACCAAACTTCTACACTTTCTACTACATGCTGCGTGCGGCCGCTGTTCAGGACGACCACGTCCTGGCGCAGTATGTGATCGACGAGCTGGCCGAGGCTGAGTTGCAGGACCTCGGCACGCGGCTGCCGCAGATGCTCGAGCGGTACAAGAAGGCAGGGCTGGACGTTCCGGCCCATCTGCTCGAGCCTCCCGCAGAGCACTAGTCTGTATATAGGTGTGGGGGGTAGATAAAAAATTCAATATATATTTTATTTTATGCTTCCTAGATTTCTGATCGTGCTTGCCGCGGCGGCGGCGGCGCTGACGCTCGACGAGACTGCGACGTACCAGTTGGTGGCTGAGAACGGGCACACGTCCCCCACCGAGATCGCAGAGCTGTTCTACGCCGGCCGGTGGAGACTGGCCCCGAAACAGGCCCTAGTCGACGACGAGTACTGCGTGTCGTTAGTCGGCGACGGGCGGCCGCTCGCGCCGTGTTTCAACACGAAAAGACTCCGTTTTCCGCTCCGCGACACGCTCGCCATCGAGCTCGCGAACGGCTCTGTCGCCGCGCTGTCGCTGCTCGAGACGGCCTCCGAGACCCCGGCCGTCCGGCTCGTGGCCGCGCACACAGTGCCGCCCCCACGCGAAGACGCTCCGCACCCCCACGCAGCCGCGCCCGTCGCAGAAAAATCGTTTGTCCAGAAATACTGGATGTACATTGTGCCGCCGCTAATAATTCTCATGATCATGTCTCCCCAATAGGCTTCCAAACTGTTATCTCTAGGACTCCGTTATTCATGTTTTTGCTGCTGCCGCTGCTGCTGGCCGCCAGCGCTCTGGCGCGCGGCATCTCCAGCCCCGAGGGAGCCACCTGTCTCTACATAGCCAACAACTCCACCAACTTCCGCTTCGACTGCAAGGACGACGACCTCGCGTACAGGTGCCGGTGCCGGTGTCCGGCGTTTTTGGGCTCTGTGCTGCTGTGCATCGAAAAGTTCAGCAGCGACTCCGCGACGCTCACCAGGGCCTACGACTACATGCTCGACGTTTGCGAGAACCAGGCCCTGGTCAAGTACAACTTCACCGACTTCGTCAGGCAGACCGAGAACGCCTCCGCGCACTACCTTGACCACTCTGCCACGGCGAACCTGACCGTGCTGCACCACCCCATCATGTTCAACGACGCGATGTACAACACCGCGTACCAGAGCGTCGCCGCGCTGCTGCACCACCGCCAGCTCGCCACCACGTACGGCCACGCGCTGCTCGCGTACTGGGGGTGCGTCTTTGCGTGGGCGTTTTTCTTCAACATCTGCCGATGGTGCTTCCCGTACATTTTTTCGAGCGTCTGCAACCACAAGCTTGCGAAGTGGACGCGCCGCCATTTTATCTCGTCGCTCGTGGTGTCGCCGCCGAGCCCGGCCTGGCAGCCACGCGCGCCGCGGCTCGCGCGGCTCCAGAACACCGCCCGCGCCCTGCTGCAACGCCTGCCCGTCAGAATCCACGTCCTCACCATCTCCGCGTACATCCTGCTGGTGGCCGTGCTGTGCTGCGTCAACTACCGCACCGTCGTGCCCAACAGCGTGTTCAAGTGCCCCAGGGGCCAGCGCTGGGTCAACATCGCCGACCGCACCGGCATCCTCGCCGTCACGCAGCTGCCGCTCTGTTTCCTGTTTGCTGCGCGCAACAACCCGCTGCTCGTCCTGACCGGCGCGTCCTACAGAGAGTTCCAGATGTACCACCGCTGGCTCTCGCGCGTGGTGTTTGTGCTGATCGTGCTGCACACGGCGTTCTACCTGCTCTACGTGGACACCCGCGGCGACTACATTGCGCGGTGGGGGCTCACGAAATGGCGCTGTGCCAACGCCGCGTTCTCGGCCGTCACGCTCGCCACGTTCGCGGCGTTCTTCCGCGCGCCCTTCTACGAGTGGTTCAAGATGTCGCACAAGCTGCTTGTCGTGGTGTTTGTCGTTGGCGTGTGGTACCACTGTCTCACGCTGGGCTGGATAGAGTATGTGGCGGTGTCGTTCGGTATCTGGGCCGCAGAGTACGCGCTGCGCCTCGGCAAGGTGCTCGTCAGCGGCGGCGTGCTCATGGGCCGGTGCAAAGTGCTGTTCGAGACCGTTCGGGACGCAGACGGGTACAAACAGGTCCCGCACGCGATCCGCGTCGAAATCAACCACTCCGGCTGGTGGAGAACGTTCCCCGGCGCGTACTGCTGGATCTACTTTCTGCGCGCCGACATGTTCTGGCAGGCACACCCGTTCACAATCGTCTCGTCTGCGGCAGAGGAGAATTTCAACCAGCTCGTGCTGATTATCCGTGTCAAACAGGGGCTCACAAAAACCCTGGCAGAATACATAGCCACCAGGCCCAACCACGAGGCGCACGTGCCGCTGCTGGTCGAAGGGCCGTACGGCTCGACGATCCCGTTCAAGGCGTACGAGCACGCCGTTTTCGTCGCCGGCGGCGTCGGCATGACCGTCGTCTACACCCTGGCGCTGTATCTGGCACAGACGTACAGGGCCCAAATTTTGCGCGGCCAGAAAGTCAGCACGGACAAGTCCATCGGCATTGTGTGGATGGCGCCCAACTTCGAGTCGCTCGTGAGCTTCAGGCGCGAGATCGAGAGCATCCAGCGGTTTGAGGGCCTCGTGGAGCTGCAGGTGTTCATCACGAGAGACCTGGTGGAGCCGGAGCTGAAGAGGGTGGCCGACGAGGCGGCCAAGGCAGAGGGGGATTGGCCTGCGAACGAGGCGTTTGGCGCCGGCAAGCTGGCACTCGCTGAGAAGGTGGACTTTTTGCGGCGACTGGTGCGCGACGAGGTGTGCTACGTGAGCCTCAATCTGGAGCAGAAGCCAGACCTGCGTCGCGAGCTGGGCAGCTACATTGCGGGTCTGCGCGGGCCGACGGCGGTGATTGCGTGCGGGCCGGCGTCGATGAACGCGGCCGTGCGCCACTCGACGGTCGAGAGCCTGCGCGGCGACGAGAACGTGGACTACTTTGAGGAGGAGCTGCTGTGGTGAGCGCGTGGTGCACGGGTGCGGAAAATAAATAACGAAAAACGAAAATGACAAACTTATTTGTACAGTATGAGCGAGGGTAAGTGTTTGTGCGTCCGTTGCTGACAATTAGACGTTCTGCGACAGAAGTGCGTCGACCTGAAGGTCAAGATCGACGAGCTGGAGTTCGAGAACGAGGCCACGGCGGTGGCTGTTTCGCGGGCCAAGCAGGCCGTCGAGCGGCTCCGATACGAGTACGCGCTGCTGCTGGAGGCGCTGGGCCGCAAGGCGGACGAGGTGAGCATTCCGAACGTCGGCCAGCTCACGGCAGACGACCTGGACGGCGACGAGATCGACAGTCTGCGGCTGGCAGACATCACCCATCTGCTGACCAAGACTCCGTTCTCGCTTGCCAAGAACGGGTTCAGCGCCTCGGTGGGCAGCCTGGTGGCGAAGAAAAAGCGCGGAGCCAACACGCTCAAGAAGCAGCGGCTCAAGGACCCCACGATCCCGAAACGGCCCACCAACGCGTACCTGATTTTCTGCGAGATGGAGAAAGAGCGGGTGAAGAAGCAGATCGAGTCCAAAGACCCTGGCGTGCCGTCGGACCTGTCCAAGGCGATGACCGAGGCGTGGCGCAACCTGGACGACGTCTCCAGAAAGCCGTACTACGAGCTGTACGAGCAGGACCGGCTGCGGTACCAGCGGGAGATCAAGGAGTACAACTCGAAGCAGAAGAACGGCAAGGCGGGCGATCTCAAAAAAGACCTCGACGAGCCCGAGCACGACGACGAGGTGACCGAGATGGACGTGAACGACGACGACGACGACGAGGTCGACGAGGACGACGACGAGCTGGACTCCATGGCGCTGAACGAGGACGACGAGGTCAGCTTCAAGGAGGAGCGGATGTAGATAAGATGGATGCAGTTACTAGTGTTTTACTTACATTTTTTTCCTCTTTGGACGGTACAGTCCGTTTTCGTCCTTCTGGTGCTTTCTCTTTTCTCTGGTGCGCGCGTGCTTCTTGAGCTTCCGCTTGGCCGCCGCAGCAGGGTTGTTGAGAGACAGCTGTGCGCGTTTGGTCTTTCTCTCCTGGCGCCGCTCGCTGATGGCTTTCTTCGTAGCCGAGTACAGCAGGTTGTACTCGCTCACGCCGACTTTCTGTGCCACCAGCTCCAGACACTTGAGAGCCATCGCCGGCAGCGTGTTCTCGTCCGTGTCCTCGACGGCCGGCTCCTGCTCCGAGATCACCACCAGCGGGTCCAGCGGCTGCCGGATCACGTGACCCACCGTCTCCCGGTCGAGGAAGCTCACCAGGAACACGCAGTACTGGACCATGGCCTTTTTCGTGACCAGCAGGTCTTTTGGCGGCGCGGTCTCGTTCCGCAGCACCGCGCACGCCCTGGCGAGCGCCCACTCCAGCGCGCTTTGCTCCGTCTGCTCTCCGTCCGCCGGCACGTACCGTGTGTTATTCTGCGCCCAGATCTTGGACACCTGCACCAGGTTCTTTGCCACCTCCGTGGCCAGGCTCTGTGCCACGCCGGGCGCGCTGAGCTGTCTGAACGACCGGTACGCGATTGTCTGCAGCGTCTGGTCGCTCAGAGCCGCGCCGTTCTGGACGTACTGTCCAACGAGCCGCGCCGAGGCCAGCCGGATCCACGAGTGCGGATACAGCAGACAGTCCACGACGGCGGCCCATGTCGGCGCGTACTTTTCGCCGTAGACGTCCGCCTTCTCCGACAGCTTCTCGAACACCACCAGCGACGAGTACACGAGCTCCCACGACATGCCGGACTCGCTGCTCCTTGCGCTGGCTGCGAGCACGTGATTGATTTTCGCCAGCGCCGTCTCGTTCAGAGCAGCGTTTTCCAGCCCGACTGCGTCCACGTACAGCTTGTACACGTGCAGGCCGCACCGCGCGAGCAGCTCGTTCTTCCTGTTGTCGATCCACGCGGCCACGCATTTCTCCGCGAACGCCAGGTCGTCCATGCGGCCCAGCATCGCCAGCAGCACCTCCGACGCCATCTCGCGGCACGACGGCGCCTCGTCGGTGACCGAGACGTTGGCGAGCGCAATGAAGAACGACGCAGACACCACCGCGAGCACGTCCCTGCCCGCCTTGCGCACAATCAGATGCAGCAGCTCCATGACGCTCTGGCGGCCGCTCTGTGCGGGATACTCCAGGTTGCCCAGCAGCATCTTGAACTGCTTTTCGAGCCGGCCCCGGCTCTGGTCGTACTCCATCAGAAACGTGTAGTAGACGCTTCTGGCGGTCTGGCGGATCTCGCCGGACGTGCTCGTGATCATGATCCGCGACACCGTCTCGAGCACGTCGTACATCTCGGGCAGCATCACGTGCTTTGCGATGAGCGCTCTGACGAAGCCAAACGCCACGCCCTGCCGCATCGGCTCGTCCAGATCCGGCTCGATCTTCTTCAGAAGGTAGCTGAGGGCGGTGTCCTTGAGCTGTAGGCCGTCCTTGTTTCTGATCACCGCGCTCAGAAACTTGAGCGCGCTCTGGCACAGGTCGCTGTTGGTGCTGGGCAGGTCCTTGACAATTCTCAGCGTGGCCCGTGCGCACGCCGTGAACTGCGCGTTCACGTCCTCGGCAAAGTCCAGCCGCGACAGCTGCGTCAGCACCTTGAGCGCCGCCAACACCACGCCCTCGTCGCCCGACGACAGACTCGTCTCCAGCAGCGGCACGAAATCCGCCAGGTTGCCCGCCGTGAACAGCTGCGGGTGCTTCGAAACCACCGCATGCAGCAGGTCGAACGCAAACTTCTGCAGCACCTTGGAGTACAGCGAGTACTCCATCTGCGTCCGCAGCGGCTTTGCGTCCAGCTTGACCAGGAAATGGTCCTCTGTCTCGCTGAACCGCTTGGCCCGGGTCTCTTCTTGTTCCAAAGACTGGCTGTAAATCTCGTGGCACAGCAAAATGGCGCTCGTCGAGCCTGCCTCCGTATTTTTTTGCAACCCAATGGAAACCCGCCGCAGCAGCTCGTCCAGCCGCTTCTGCGTCCGGAACGCCAGCTTCTCGCGCAAAAGCATCTTGATCGGGCCCAGGATCTGCGGGAAGTTCTGCAGAAGCATCTTGCTAGCCAGCAGCTCGCCCGTGTCGTAGCTCTTGTTGTGCTTGATCTCCTTCATCTTCTTGTTGTACCCCTCGGCCTCCTTCTCCTCGCTCGCGGCGCCGAAAATGTCGTTCATCACCGTGTCGATCACGTACCCGGCACACTCATCCAGATCGCCCTGAGACAGAACGCCGTCCATCACCACCAAAAGATAGTGGATCGTGAAACTGAGAATATGGATCTGCGGGCCCCTGGTCAGCGCCGTCTTCAGCTCCTGCATGATGAACTTCAAGTACGGCGACCCAAGACCAACGGCTATGCGGCCCAGATGCTTTCTCACCGCGTCTCTCAGCTCCTCAGACCGCGCACGCAGAATCTGACAGATGCTCGTCAAAATGCCCGGCAGCTCTGCCTCGACCCGCACCGCCGAACAGCACATCACCAGCGACACCAGCGCCTCCGAAAGAGCCACCCGCTGCACCACCGTCTCCTCGTCGCGCTTCGTCAACACCTTCTTCACCGGTGGAATCAGCACCTCCACCACAATGTCGTCCAGCTTCTCCGGAGCAGGAAAGTCCTTGGCCCCGCGCCGCTGCAGCTCCCGCATCGCACTGGCCACCGCAGTCACCACCTGCACGCTGTCGCGCAGCTCCTCGTGCTTCTCCTTCTGCAACGCGCCCGTCATCGTCGCCACATACCTGCTCAGGATCGCCCTGTACTGGTTCCAGCTGACGTAAGCGGCAAGCTTGGCTACGGTGGCCACCGTGTCGTTGGCGAGGTTCCTGTACTTTTCGTCGTCCCAGAACGCGAACCGCTCGATCATCGGCAGCAGATAGTGTGCGATGGAAGAGTCGGCGAGCTGCTGTGCCGTCTCGCCCAGCCGCCGCACGGCTCTCTGTCTGCGGTGCACCTGTGGATGCATGATATTTCTGAAGAAGTTGGCCTCTTCGTCGCCGCCGTGCAGCAGCGCCTTCATGTCGGGGAATTCGTCTGTTTTCTCGACGACGTGCGCCAAGACGTTGATGTATTCCTGGCGCACGAGCTCGTTTTTGCGGCGCAGACCGGGACGCACCACCGGCAGCACGATTTCGTGCAGAATCTCTGCAAACGACTCGGAAACATCGATAAACCGGCACAAGGTGTTGGACGCAGACGAGCGCATCGCCGAGTCCGTCTCGTCATTGATGTGGAACAGCGCCGTGTTGATCAGCGGCAGCCACTCGGAGCCGGAAAACGAGTCGTACAGTTCTCTGTCGATTTTTCTGTAGCATTCGAGCCGCTGCTCGTAGTCTGGCTCGCGGATCCGTTTTTCGGCGTACGCGTTGAGCGCGGCCACGACGTGCGACACGCGCTCGAGCTCGCTGTACTTCGCACCAAGCGTCAGGTACACCTGGCAAATGGCTGTGCGCATTTCGCGCTCCTCGTGAATTTTCAGCAGCGGAGCCATGCTTTTGTACAGCGGCATTATTTCCGTCACCGAGCATGACAGGTTTCTGGCCACCAGGCCCAGAACGCTCACGATCTCTGTTCTAGTGGCCATGTCGATCTGCGCGGCCGGTTTGTCCAGCACCATCACGAGAGAGTCGACCAAGAACTTGCTGCTCTCGCTGGCCGTGATCAAATCGCGTTGCACCAGATTGTGCAGAATCTTGACACACAGCCCGTTGACCTCTCTGCTCTCGGAGTTGGCAAACAGCGCCACGAGCGAGTTGAGGTACTCCGAGATGATCAGAATCAGCACCTCGACGTGCTGCTCGCTGCTGTCGCTGCTGCTGAGCAGTTTCAGCACAAACTGCAGCACGGCCCTCTGCACGGCCTCCTTGGCTTTCTCGTGCTTCAGGACGCCCATCAGCGCCTTCACGGGCGCCATCCTCTCGTAGAGGAGGAAAAAATGCAGGTTTGGCTGCGGCCACAGCGCCGTCATGAGCCGCATCAGCGACGACGGCTGCTGCAAATTCTCGTCTGCGAAATTGGCCATTTTCTGGTGCACCAAGTTGTAGTAGATGTCGTTGCCGTACGGCGTCCAGTCGAAAGAGTCGCCCAGATAGTCCGTCACATCGTACAGCAATTTGAACCCGAGCTGTCGGTTATTTCTGGCGGCCTTGTCGGTTATATCGTCGGCAGAACCAATGGCTTTTTCCGACACACTGAGCGAAAAAACGAGCGGGTCAAGCAATATCGAGAGACACTCGCTGCGCGTGCGTCCGATCGACGACAGCAGGTCAGACACCATGTTCAAGAATCCGCTGGCCGTCCTGATCAGCCGGAAACTCAGCTCCTGCGACCGCATCTCGTTCAGCTTCTCAAACGACAGAGACAAAAACTGCTTCATGTGCTCGTCGCTCAGATTCGACAGCGCCTTGATGGCAGCCGTCCGGCGGCCCTGTTTCGTGCCGCTTGTCCTCAACGTCTGTGCGCGGCCAAACAGAATTCGCAATATTAGCGGCATGATGGTATCTCTGTCCTGCTCCTGAATAACTGTTTTTTCCTCGTTCTGGAGCAGATTAATAACCTCGTCTCTGAAAAGCATGTCGTCCAGCAAGCTGTTCAGGTTGTCTCTGTATCTGTTGTAGACTGGATTTTTCCAGTTTGCCAGAGCATTGAATGCCAGCTTCTGGGTCTGGACGGACCTGTTTGCCAACAGCCTTAGCAGAAATTTGTGCACCTGGTCAGCACCAGGCACCTTGCGCAGGTTCTGGAACTTGGCCATCACCTCCACCACGGAGTTTCTGTCCTTGACCGGCCATTTCACATTGTCCTCTTCGTCCTCAAGGACGTATGGCAAGAGCACGTCAAAATGCTGCTCGGCCAGCTTGGGCAGTCTGTGTAGCACTTTAATACACTGTTCTCGGTAAAAAGCCGTGAATTCTGTGCTTTCGTGCGCTGGCGGAACAAGACTCTCGTCAATGGCAAGATAGCGGACTGTGATGGACTCGCACTTCTCCACGTAGCCAACCAGTTTTGGGTTCAGCCCAGTCCATTGAGAAATGCCGTGCATTTCCTCCGTGTCGGCTTGTTTTGGAGAATAATCCTTTTTCAGGAACGTCTCGATCTCGGGCCACACCAACCCCTCAACGCGGCCAATAACATGGTCCATGAACTCGAGCACTCCGCTCCAGGACGGCGAAAATTTGTTGGAGAGCTGTCCGAAAAGGAACTTCACAACCACCGTGTCCAGCAGCTGGTTTTTGGGCGAGTCCGTAAACGTCTGGACAAACGATCGGTAACGGAGCTGAATTTCTCTCCCTGTCTGTAGATCGAGCGGAATTTGTTCAATCAATCGACAGGTGCTGATGGTCTCTGGAGCAGTTTCGAAAAGAAGCATAATAATGGAAAGCGTTGTTTCGCGAACAGAATGCGATGGTAGCACCAGGTTGTCCTTCAGCAGCTCTATAAGCTGGTGCTGCTGTTGTCTGAAAGGCACCGGATTCTTTTTGATGACCTCTTGCAGTCCTTCCAAAAAGACAATGTTGGTAGCTGAAGCGGGAACGCACTCGATAAGCGCAGACGAGATGTCTGGAACGTCGGATTTTGCGAGAACCTTGAGAATCAGTCCCTGTTCGTCCGCAGACGCCTTGGGAAGCTTTTGAAGCAACATCTGGCTGTCGATGGTGGCCTTGCTGTATTGCAGCATCAGCAGTCTCCAGTATAAACCGTCGTCAATGTCTGACTTGATAAATTCGTTAAATTCATGCGGAATCACCACCTCGAGAGTGACGCCCTTCTTGTTCATTCTGTCCAGAAAATAAGCAATTTCTTTATGCCTCTGTCTCCAGTTCTGGGAAATAAAGCTCGTGACATAGTTTTTGCCAAAGCTTAACGTTCTGTCTTGAGAAAGCTCCAGAGACGTCTCGACAAAGGGCAGGAAAAGCGAGTCTTTGGCTGCCATGGTGGTAAACAGGAAAACGGAGCGTTTGGACAGCTCCAGCTGGTCGGCGTTTCTTATCAAAGTGGCGTACAATTGAATGAGTCCTTCATCCTGAACAAGCTTCAAAACACCGTCGAAAAGAGCACTCCAATCGGGCACTTTTTTACCGCTCTCTGCAAACGCAAGAGTCGTGAGAATCCACACGCTGCCTGAAGTTTGGTATGTCATTTTTTCCAGAACTGTCTCATAAATTGCAGAGGCATCCGAGACGTGTGAAAGCACGTCCAATAAAACGTCCGAAAATATAGCCGTCTTCGCATCGTCCGGCTCGCAAACCTCTGTTAGCACGCTGAGAATCGACGGCCCTTTCGAATGGAGGGTTCCCTGCGAATTTTTCATCGACTCGGAAAAGATAACCACGAGAGATTTGTGGTAGACATTCACGTCCAAATCTTCGTTCATCACCGTCTCGACAAAAGAAATCAGAGCTTTGGACGTGGCCTTGCGAACCAGGAACGACATGGCCTGCGAAGCAAATCGAGCAATGTACTCTTTTTTCTCTATATTCAGCAGCGGCTGAAGCAGTCTAAACGTCGGCACAAGGTCCTTGGACAGCTCTTTGGACAGGTATTTGAATATATATGCAAGGGCATTGAAAATCCACTCCAGCGGATCGGTCTCTGTTTGTTGTGGAACAATCTGTACAAGCGTTTCCAGTGTATCGGAGTAGTATGGCATGAAATCTGTTCCCAGATCATGGCAAAATTGCGTCAGAAGCTCTAATGTTGGTTGCAACGACAGTCTATCATTGAGTAGCAGAGTGTTTTTGAGGCTCTCGAAAATGGTCTTTTGGTGATAAAGCAGCTGAGGTAAGCTCAAACACAGAGGCTCTAGCACTTCCACCAGCTCGGTAAAAGATTTGGATAGGTTGACTTCCCTCCAGTGCTCTAAAGTGGACAGGAAGTGAGATATCTCTGCCTCGTGAAATGCTTTCTTGTTTAGCTGTAAAATGGGATCTATCTGTATAGAATCGACTCGGTCCTTGAAGGAGGTGAAGGCGAACCTACGCCCCGAGTCTGTGCCCTTCTTCTTCACCATGAAAAAAATAGGATTATTTGTTCTTGGAGTGAAATATTTCTAAAAATTTTTTTAGTCGATCGACTTATCGACGAGGACGGAGTTCTACAAAATATAAAAGATTTTAGATTATCGGTTTTTTCCCTTCTCTTCCACCTAGCCAAACAAACATAATATGTCCGCTACCGAACGAACAGCGCTGTTGTCGGATAACCCTTACGGGCCAGCACCACTAGAAACAGCCCATCGACCCGCTTCCACCGGGCCCGAGACTGCGAAACCTAAAAATGTTGCCAAAGAACTGGGTCCCAATATTGTCCCTCAAAGAGCAAGTAGAACGAGTCAGAAGCTCAAGCTGCTTCCTGATCAGCTGGATTATACGTCAATTGATTCCAGCGTAGACAAGTCCTACTCTTTACAGAAAATCACCGATAGACCGGCTAGAAAAGATGCAGAGCGGTTGGGCAAAAAGCACCGTTCCTTATTACCCCGTGTTACCGCCTACTGCACAGCTGGTTCGTACAAGATGCGAGACCTCATCAGATGGCTTAAGGACCGTAAACGGATCCATGGAACGATGCCAAAGCTTTTTGACGAGTGTATATACACTCCGTTTGCATACAAAGACTGGAGAAGCAACAGTAATGGCTCAAGCAAGAGACCTGACTTCAGCGACAAGTCTTCTTTGACCACGGAGACAATTAGACTGGATGACGAGGGAGGAGAGATCGACGTGGGCAAACGTTCCACCGATGTGTTTATTTTCGAGTACGGAGTGGTGGTGCTTTGGGGATTCAGCAAACGCGAGGAGGAAGCATTTCTGGTCGATTTGGCCAAATTCGAGAACGAAAAGCTCTCGGACGAGGACGTCCAGGCTGAAGAATTTAATTACTACATTACCCACAGTTATCAGCCCAGAATCTACAATGATTTCATCACATTAAGAGACGATTCGAACTATATGCTTAAGCTGAGCATTTCCTACGCAATCTCGCAATCGGTCAAGATTTCGCTGTTTGAGGAGCTTGTCGATAACACCATCGAGGACACTCAGGATATTCCGCAGCAAATTGCGCAGACCGGTAAGGTGGAGATGAGCAGAGAGGAGATCATGAAATCCATTGGTGAGCTTTTCATTCTTCGTATCAACATCAATCTGCACGGTTCTGTGCTGGATTCGCCCGAGCTCATGTGGTCGGAGCCACAGCTAGAACCGATTTACCAGGCTACACGTGGATACATGGAAATCAACCAACGGGTGGCTCTCCTGAATCAACGTCTGGAAGTGATCAGCGATCTGTTGCAAATGCTCAAAGAGCAGCTAGGACACTCAAACGACGAGTACCTGGAATTCATCGTGATTATGCTGATTGGTGCAGAGGTGATTGTGTCGATCATCAACATTATCGTCGACATAGTGGGGCAAAGATAATGGAAGTGTATACTACGTCTTATCTGTGAATTTCTTACCGAACACTAATATACACTTGGACCCTACCTAATCTTACAGCTCCTGGGAACCCTTAGCCTTTGGCAGCTTCTTTGGAAGCAACTCGGAGTTGATATTTGGCAAGACACCACCCTGGGCAATGGTGACAGAGCCCAAAAGCTTGTTCAATTCCTCATCGTTTCTGATGGCCAGCAACAAGTGTCTTGGGACGATTCTGGTCTTCTTGTTGTCTCTGGCAGCGTTACCAGCCAACTCCAAAATTTCGGCAGCCAAGTACTCCAGGACGGCAGTCAAGTAGACTGGAGCACCGGAACCAACTCTCTGAGCGTAGTTACCCTTTCTGAGCAATCTGTGGATTCTACCAACTGGGAAGGTCAAACCAGCCTTGGAAGATCTGGAGACCGAAGCCTTATCTGCGGAACCTGCTTTACCACCTTTACCACCGGACATTTTAGTTAATTTGAAAAGATGAGACAGGATGGGGGTATTATCTTGTATTTATGTTGGGATGCGCGGTTTGGCACCTTAGTTCCATGATTTACTCCCGCGTCGTGCGTAAAACGAGGGATGCTAAATTTGTTAGGCCTAAGTTTTACTCGCGTTAGTGCGTAAATTTTGGCCCAACGCGGTCCGCTTCTTGGGAAAACAATCGTCTACAACTATATAATAACATCCCAGTCACCTAAATTGCCCTCCTAGATATTACCTTATTCTTAAAAATGGCTCCAAAAGCAGAAAAGAAACCAGCCTCCAAGGCCCCAGCCGAGAAAAAGCCAGCCGGAAAGAAGACCGCTGCCTCCTCTGATGCTAAGAAGAGAACCAAGGCCAGAAAGGAGACCTACTCCTCCTACATCTACAAGGTCTTGAAGCAAACCCACCCAGATACCGGTATTTCCCAGAAGGCCATGTCCATCATGAACTCATTCGTGAACGATATCTTCGAGAGAATCGCTTCTGAGGCTTCTAAGCTTGCTGCCTACAACAAGAAGTCCACTATTTCCGCTAGAGAGATCCAGACTGCCGTGAGATTGATCTTGCCTGGTGAATTGGCCAAGCACGCTGTTTCTGAGGGTACCAGAGCTGTCACTAAGTACACTTCTGCCACCTCTGCTTAGGTACGGTGTATTGGGTATAATTGTATATTAGGAATGAGATTTCAGATCGAATAAGCGTAACTGTTGCACTCTAGCACTGATGCTGTGTTGTTGGATGGGTTGGATGTGCCGTGCGGCCTCATCAATATGACACAACAACGAACTTGTCGCAAACTTATAATTAGTGGATAATATTAAATATAATTATCTGAAATATAAAATCAGACGCAGTTAGAAGAATGAAAAGTTAAGTACAAATATCGAATATAAGTGCTTGTTTTACCACAATTAACTCTCCACAGTGCCTCTCAGTCGTCGCCCAAACCCATCCTGCTCTACAGCTAGAAGCACCTCGCTCGTTTGCCCCCTGTAACACCTTTTCACCTACCGCACAACAACTCCCATGTCATATCTTGTTGATTACGTCAGCAGAAGACTGCCCCGTCGTAGGCTAAAATGCACAGAAAGTCAAGTGTTCAGCTGTTTCTTTGGCCGATATTTGCAGTATGGAGATAGCCATTCCTACAGTTGCCAATCCTTCTAGGGTCTCTCAGGCGGCCCTGTGTGGCATGTTTTTGGCAAAGTTCGATGTGCATACGGGATATGAACTTAAGTGGTTCCGATCACTAAATGAGTCTTTGTATCCTAGCAAAGGCTTGGAATTCAAAGCTCTGCCGTCGGGACTCCATTCTGTCGATACGGACATTATTTGTTTTGTTCACGAAAAAGGAGAGCCGAACCTGGCCAACACCAAGTCTTTATTGTATGGCATACTGGTTTTCAAGCAAAATCTATCATCGCAGAAGACAGTTGATGGAAACGTTGATCGAAACTCTGTGAAAATGTACTCGCTTGGTGTTCTGGTAGATCCGGAGCACTTGAACGAACCGTGGATGCCCAGGGTATATTCATCTTGCTGGAACTACAGAAATGAACTGAACAGGCTTGTCACAAGGTTTCTGGACTCTGGCGAGGAAAAAGATAAGTACAACAGTCTCGAACAGTTTTGGACAATTCACAGATTTAAGGGGCCCAATGACTTGAGCACGAAATTCAAAGATATCATGAAAAACGTCAATATAAATAGAAGAAAGTCTATTCAAACTCTCACCAATGATGAGCCACAGAATGCAGATAGAGGGGCTAGTTCTGAGAGTGGCATGACCACACGTACCTTAGCAGACACCTCCACAGACGGGGCCTTGCCAAAAAATGATAGTGACCTGGATCAATACAACATTGATGACGAGCACATGGTCAACTATCTTCTTCCACTGATGGAAACTCTAGGCCCTTTGGTATACCGCTTGTGGAAGCTGGCATTAACCCGTAAGAAAATCATCATTTATGCACCGCAGAACTCTCATCGTTCGATCAGCGAGCTGTCCAAAATCGTCTACTGTGTCTCACTGATATCCTCGATTCCAAAAGACTTAAAGCTCACGCTGATTAAATCCAGGGTGATCCAGCAGGAGACTTTGGAACATCTCACACCGCTATACAACGTGTGTGTTAACGATATCGGGTTTCTAAAGTCGCAAAAAAACGGTTTCATAGCCTCAACTTCTGACCAAATCATTTTGGAAAAAACAGAGCTCTACCACTATTCTTTGCAGCTGCCCGACACAGATCAAGGGGAGCCGCTTCTGGTGGCATCTGGATCGACGAAACCAATCCTCGCGACGCCGAGAGACTTCAACCGCTTCAAGCTCGTGTATGCTGCCTTTTTTGAGAACGTGGTTCGGGGAGATCTTCGCATAGACGATTTGGAGGTCAAGCTTCCTCCACATGCAAGAGCAACCACAGAGCCACTCTCGCTCCGTGAAGTTGTTTGGAAAGGATTTTCGTGGTGGGCTACCGCAGGAAGCAGCGAAAGCCCTAGGGACGAGTTTGAAGAAGAGTATGACTTGCTCGATGATGTCGACCAGACAAAAGTTGAACGGCTGGTGTCCTTGATCGGATACTTCCAGAAACTGACCACTAAGCTGTTCACGATCCTGGTCGACATAATAAATAACAGCGAATCGGACCATCTGAACGAGGGAACGAGTGAGTCTGACACGCTTGTTGATCACGCTTCTCGTGACCACAGCCTATGGATTGAGCCTCACGATCTTTACGAGATGGGTCTAGATCCTTATAGTACAACAGACCGCCAATTTGTGACGGTGCTGTGCATGGTTTGGTGGGGTAGGGAGATCAAAATCGGAGGATATTTGGGTAGCTGCTGTTGTATATGAATCAGCTTTTTTCCTGTGCCGCTTCTTTGGCTTTTCTTTGTTTGGCAACCATACGACTGAACTCTTTTTTCTTCTCCCACAGATCGAGGACGTATTGGTAGAAAAAGTCATCCTCTTTCTCGAAAGTCTTGAGAACGTCCTGAATGCCGCGTTTCAGTTCCACGTCGTTTCTCGCGAGGCGGTGCAACAATTTGATGTGATTTTCCACGGGAGAATCCTTGCGCTGTCTCATGGAGTTCAACACCACCATTAGGCTCGAACCGCTGCCGGTGAAAGTGGTTGTTGGTTGAGGAGCGGATAACAGAGGCATTTTCGTGAAGTGCTGCGACAATGCTTCCTCTATGTCGAAAATATGGTACAAGTTGGAGTATCTGTCGCGGATTTCTGGCGAGTTTGACTGGAAGCCCAGCTTGTTGATGTTGACGTTGTAGTAGCCCTTCCGGAGAACAAGCATATGCAGATTGTCGAGCTTATCGAATATTTTGGTTTTGTCGTCAAACCTCTGCACGCGCGCCAGCATCTTTGCCTGCTGGAGCTCATTGATGGCCGTGAGCGACGAGGCAAACCGTCTTTGGACAGGAAATATTCTGCGACTTAAGTTCATGATACAGATCTTAGCTAAGTGGCAAATGAAGAGTTGAACGATTGTAAATATCACACAGGGCAGCACTGCCATAAAAAAGTTTAGCTAGAAAATAATTGCGTTAGCTGATTCAGAGACAACATGCCAGGAACACTGATTTTGATCAGACATGGCCAATCGCTGTGGAACAAGGACGACCGATTTTGTGGATGGGTCGACATCAAACTCAGCGAGACGGGAAGAGAGCAAGCTCGTCACTCGGCCAAGCTGATCTTAGAGTCCGGATACGTGCAACCCGACATCTGTTTCACGTCGAGACTGTCGAGGGCCATAGAGAGTGCTAATATTATACTGGAGGAGATGAACTGCCAGTATATCGACGAGGTTAAGTCCTGGAGGCTGAACGAGCGCCATTACGGCAAGCTCCAGGGCGAGCCAAAACATCACATATTGGAGCTGTATGGCAAGGAAAAGTACCAATTTTGGCGACGCGCCTTCACGGGGTGTCCTCCAGCGGTGAACCCAGGCGACAAGTACTACTGCATCGACGACCGGCGATACGCAAAGGTGGCACAGGACGAGCTGCCCCGTGCCGAGTCGTTGCAGATGGTGACTAAGCGGCTGCTTCCCTTCTACAACGAGCACGTCGTGCCGCACCTGCAGGCCGGCGAGACGGTTCTCATGGTGACACACGGCTCCATTGTGCGCGCTCTGGTCAAGCATCTGTATGCGATCGGCGACGACGCGATCAGCTCGGTGAACATCCCCAACGGGATCCCCATGGTGATCAAGTTCAACTCGGCCATGGCGCCGGAAACTGACCACTTCGAGTTTCTCGACCCGGAAAGAGCCCGCGTCGAGGCAGAAAAGATCGCCAGACAGGGTTTCGAAAAGAGTAAATAGATGATGAAAAATTATTTTGCGATAGATCAGAAATTGTCTGTCGCGCAATCTTTCAGCTGGGTGTCATGCCAGTGTTTATACATTTATAGTCCATATGGAATTAGAGATAAAGTGCACAGAACAGCAACACACCGCGATCACGAGCGACTTCAGCCCCGACACCCTGCTTGGGATCAAGGCGGGGCCAGGATCTGGTAAGACCAGAACGATCGCGAGCAGAATTGCGTACCTGCTCAGCGCGCAGTCGCAGAGTGGGATCCGGCCAGATAATCTGCTGGTGCTCAGTCTCACGAACCGCTCGGTCAACGATCTTCGAGCGCGACTCCGTGCCGTCCTGGGGCCCATGGCTGCCCAGATCCCCGTCATGACGTTTCACTCGTTTGCAGGCAAGGTGGTCGGGTCCAAGTACACTGACTGGAACATTTTGGACGACGAAGACCTCCGCCGACTCGCCAGACTGGTTGACATGGGCCGCGGTGCGAGCTCGATGGCGGAGCTGCGATCGCACCTGCGCGACGCGCGTCGATCGACCAGCGACGTCGCTGTGGTGGCACGCATCATGGAGATGTTTGGGTCGACGCAGGTGTTCACGCACGACGACGTGCTGGAGGAGTGTTCCCGCCTGCTGCACTCGCCGCCCAAATTCGTCGACAACTACAAGGTTGTTTTCGTCGACGAGTTCCAGGATGTGTATCCGGCAGTCATGAACTTGGTGCTTCAGATCAGCAAGGGACGGCATCTGACGCTTGCCGGAGACTCCGACCAGTCGATCTACGGCTTTTTGGGAGCGTCTTTCAAGCAAAACTGGGAAAGACTGACAGAAAGACACCCAAATCCCAATATCGTGCATCTGAACCAGTCTTTCAGGTCAACGCCCGAGGTGCTGCAGTTTGCGACCGCAGTGCTGGGACACAGCACTCCCGTCCATCACAGCGTGAAGCCGCCGTGCGGACTGCCTCCTCTGCGTCTCTCTTTTGCGTCTCCGGCCGAGGAACGCGAGTTTATCTACGACGAAGTTGCACGGCTGGTGGACATCTCCGAGGGCGCCATCAAGCCTTCCGACATTGCTATTCTGAGCTACACCAACCGCGAGGTCGACTCTGTGCTGAACTACTTCAGCGAAAGGGGCCGGTTTGGACTATGCAAGCTCAACAGCAACCCTCGCTGGCTACAGAGCCCGTTGTCGTTTTTAATGCAGTATGTGCGCGTGCTGCTTGATCCGCGGGTCAATTTTCCGCTTCTTTGTTCGCTCTCGACCGTTCCCAACATCGGAGAGGCGACCCTCCGCAAGACAGTCTCGTTGGCAACCGAGCACGACGTGCCTGTCTACGAATATTTGCATGACTCTGAGTACGAAAAACCGAAAAAACTAGACATGCTACCGCATTATGTGAACTACATTGCCAAATGCAGGAGCGAATTAAACCAGAACGACCCCGACCAGATCCTGGCTACGCTGCTGAGGATGGGAAAAGAGCTGGGGTTCGACAAAGTCCTGAGCGCTGACGGATTCACCAAAGACCAGCTGCTCGAATACAGACTCCATTTCGACACGATCTACAATACTCTACAACGTGCAAAGGCACAAAAACCACCAGAACACACAGTTCTCTCATACTTTATGGAAAATTACAACAACGATACGCTGGTGACCAGCAATAGCATCAAGACCTCTAACGACAATGAAGTCAATTTTTCGACCATCCACACCGCCAAGGGCCTTGAGTTCCCCATCGTTTTCATACTTTCGGGCAACAACTACCGGCTCAACGATACCCAGCGCAGGGTTCTCTATGTGGGAATGACAAGGGCCTCATCGTTACTCTATTTCAACAAGCTCAGCAACCAGTTTGTGGATGGTCTAGACCATACACCCAGGCCCCTGTTCTCCACACGGGCTCCGAACTGGACGTCCGAGTCCGTTTCGCGGCTGCTTGCCGACTTGGGGCGCCGCCCACTCACCAAAGTGCATCAACTGGCATCTAAACTTGCGCACGCGACACTCTAATATACATTGCTATTTTTTAACTGTTTGTTGCGTCAATATGTGTTTTATTTTCGCCTCGAAAGGCCCGCTTCGAAGAAACTCGATGTCCACGTCCTCCACGCCCTCAGCAAGCTCAGCAAGCAATGGGTACATTTTCGCAGCTCCTCTGGCCAAAACCAACACCTCTGTTGGTTTTTTCAGACCTAAGACGTTCTGTAATTTCTGATGTGTATTTTTTGGTAGCTGAATCAGCTTCACATTGGCATATGCGCTCAGAACAGGGAAGTGCTGGAAAAGCAGCGGCGTCGTCATATCCAGCTTGCACACAAAGAGATAAAGAAGGGTATGATTGCTGTTCAAGTCTAGCTGTGCAGACTGGATCCGTTTCGATTGCTCTTCCAGAGCTTTCATGCAGCTATTGAACCCGTAAATCACAAATTCGCTGATAGCGGGCTTCTCCAGCCCGGAGGATTTTTTCTCTGCCGAGGACAGCCTGTTGAAAGTACCGATCTGCTCGAGGATCGAACACAGTAGATCGACCAGATCGTTCTGTAATTCGGCACTCACCGCCGGCCACAGGTTACGGCGGGAATACGGACTAGCCAGTACTGCCTTGAACACCTGTCGTTTCCTCGTCTCGACCTGTTTCAGCGAGTTGGCGGCTGGCTTGTTGGGCTTTTGCACTTTACCTTGGTTATTCATAAACGAATTATATTTTTTACATATAAAATCCATCCTTGCACCACTGACTACTCTAGTAGTCCTTTTTATGAGTCGGAGGTGGCCCTGGCGGAGGAGCATAGTTTGCTGGGGCATTCGCGCTGGAAGAATGCGAAGTATACGTGGGATATGTCTCGGTATCGGTTGGGCGAGAGTACGCCTGCTGCGGCGAGCTTATTGGCTCGGTGGCGGGAGTCTGGGCATATGGCGAGCTGGTCTGGCCTGTTGCTTGCTGGTCGAACGGGTTTGGAGCCGTCTGATTGTCTCCATTCACTGCGCTGGGTCCGCTGGGTCCGCCGGTCCCATTCGCTTTCGAGTAAGGAATGAAGTTTCCGTTATTGTCGTAGTATCCGATATCCTGGTTAGGGTTTGGCTGTTCCGTGTAGGCCGGCAACGGCACACTGTTGCCGTCCGGATTTTGATGCTGCGCCTGGTAGTAGCTTGGCGGTGCCAGGTATTGCGAGATTATGGGTGTTCTTCCCCGTCTAATTCTGCGGACATTAAGCATACAAGTGAAGATAAGAAAGATGACAATTATAGCGGCCAGAAATGCAAAGAACGCGTATCTGGATCCGTCATTGCCGTACGTCCAATATCTCCTCGCCAGGTCTAAAGACTCCGATTGTAACATGTTGTGAGAAATTGTGGAACGATGAAAGTCTTGACTTATTTATCTGCAAACTATATAATTTTGCTTCTGCTGCGAGCCGTCGCGACGCTTGCCATTTTTTTGGCATAATATTTGGGACCGACCAGTCCCCTAGCTACCTGGATTCTGGGTTGTGGCAAGGACTTGGAGCCTGGAGGGACAAAGAATCGCTACTGTAGTCTGGCAGACAGTCCTCTGAAAGCTGGATCTCGTCGTATTCCTTCATCGTCTGTGGATCGACCCGCTGCGCCACAGTAACATGGCACAGCCTGCCTCTGTGATCAAGGTAGCACCGCAGCAGCTTCAACTCCTGAATGGAATACGACGGCTTTATTCCTGGGTAGACATAGGGGTTGTCTGATAGCCGGGTCTCGTCGTACGAGGGCGGAAGGTCATTGTTGCCACTGGTCCCGAATTCCTGACTCCAGGATCTTGGAAATAATGGTAGCACCAGCCTTGAATATATCTGCACCCCCCAGAAAACAGCAAGCGTAAGAATCAAAAACAAGGTAAAACAGCACAGGATGACCACAATTACTACCCTGGAGTTGGAGGAGAACTGAGTTTCAGATTTTGTGCCAGACATACTTCTTTTGCTCCGTCAGCATAGCTTATATGCGGAATCAGAACAGACAATTCAGCTCCCCATTTTATGCATCCGTACACCAGATAAATAAACAATAGCCTAAAAACAATGTGAACCCTGAACATATCTTGCCCCAAACTTTGACATCATGGATACCAGAGTGATTACCATTTCGCCCGAATTGAGCTCCATGTAAGGTTACCCAGTGTATTGTAACTAACAGCAAGTCCGCACATCAAGGAGCGTTTACGGAACATTCTCTCGCTAGTAGAAAATGGCTTCAAAAAGGGAGAATCTATTTGTCTTGTTCTCAGGAAACAAAAGGAATCGCTGAAACGGAAAAGCGAGTCATCCCAAAGAATTCCAATCATGACCACCAGCATCACAGAGATACTTTTTCCTTCTTTGGATCCAGAGATTAATTTAAAGTTCGCTTGCTACCTCAAGGTTCTACGACTACTGTTTGACCAGATATCCTCTATGCCAAACTCCTTTGTTTCCAAGCGACAAATCTACTATCGCGACGTGACTCTGTTTAAAAAACAGGCCGTAATTAACCAGTGTATTGATGATATCGCCAGCTCCTTTGGAGTCTCTACAGAGACCTTGGGAGTAGTGGCAGCACAGAAGGGATTGATTTATGCAAATCTGCAATATTACTACAAAGACAAATTTGTCAGTCTTGAGAAAAAAGAGGGCATCACGCTCTTGCCGCTCATCTCTCTCGAGTCTCGCCACGATGACTTTCGTTTTGTATCCTCCTGTCCCGAAGAGATCATCATTGTGGAGAAGGAGTCGGTCTTTTCTAAGTTATGCAAGGAGCACGCTCACGAAAATAAGATACTTATCACTGCCAAAGGTTTCCCCGACAGACTGACAAAGAGGTTTCTATACCATTTGACACAGCATTATCCAGAGGCAAAAGTTGTGGCCCTAGTCGACAGCGATGTCTACGGATTGATGATATTGAAGGAATACAAATACACCGCCGCAATCAAGATCACTGAGTTCCCGAAGTTGCCAATCACAGTCAAGAACGAGTTTGCTAGAAAAACCACCTCAAGGCTAGATGAAGTAGGTTACATGCATCCGTGCTGGTACGTATCTCCATGTTCGAGGTTACAGTATGGTGGAACGTTTCTTTTTGACAGCGCCAATCGGCTCGGGCATTTAGATATCACCTACAGGGACTTTAACAATATGAAATCTTTTTTACGGACGCTTCTCGAATTCGAAGATGTATCGTCCGATAACGAAATGAAAAAAGTGGTGAGAGAGCTTCAGATCGGGATGTTTTTTTTTAAGAAAAGGGAAATGGATTAGAGAGGTCTTAGGTGTGCTTCGGACTTTTATGGCGAGAAAAACGGTCGGTCACGAGCCGCGCCAGATTTTGGGATCCTTTTGGGTAACTCCGCTCAAATTTTAGCGTATTTTACTCCTCTTTTCTTAAAAAGAAATGAGAACAATCACAGTTGGGTTCTGGTTTGCATCGAGAGGGGTTGACAATATTAAAAAGGCAAAGTCACCAGAATACGTTTGAGAAATTCCAACATGCTGAGTGATTTAAGCACTGGTGTTAGTTCCACAAGGACCCAGTCGACAACATCGATAGCCACTATACAAACGGCCGCCACCACTCCGGAGTTCTTCCCGAGCTTGGTAGAGAGTGAAGTGGGAAACTTATTACACGCTAACCTCTTTTCGCTCGATCAAAGGGAGGTTGCGGACGAGGATACTGAGTCTGCCACCACGGAGCTAGTGACGGACGTTTCTGAGCCGGAGCGCGAAAAATGGGTTATTTGTTTAGTTGGGCTTCCTGCAAGTGGGAAATCAACAGTGGCAGAGCACCTCGAGACATACGTGAATAGAGTGAGGCGCGCAGACTTACGCTTCAAGTCTTTCAACGCTGGAAATGTCCGAAGAAGGTATGAGAAACAGCTAACGCGCAAATTTGATTTTGATTTTACAAAAAGCGCTACACAACGTCTTCGCGAACTTTATGCGTTTGAGGCACTGAACGAGCTCACGAGCAGCCTTATACGTGATGAGATAGATGTTGGAGTGTTTGATGCTACTAATACAACGAAGGAAAGAAGAGAGAAAGTAGTACAGACCATCAGACAAACGGCTTCTGAAGCGAACGTGGTGATCAACATCGCCATTTTAGAAGTCTGCTGCTCAAACATTTCTTTGAGGAGATACAACATTGAGCGCAAAACCACTAATAAAGATTACTATGGCATGCCACGCGAGGAAGCCATCACCGATTTTCTCAAACGGGTTGAGAAGTACGAAAAAATACACGAGAAGGTTACGTTGGACGAGATCGACCAACTGGATGTCAACTATTTCATTATGTCCAACGTGGGAGAATCGTTCAGCCACAATTGCGGAAGGAAATCAAACGGAAAAAACAACGTCGGGCGCTTCGAGAGTGTGCTTTTGCAGCATATTTATGATTTTTTGCTACATTATAGATCTACCTTTGGGCAACAATATCTGTCGGAAGTTGAAAAGTTTTATAAAGATGGGTACAAACCTATCAAGCAAGCTCTTGCTACGAATGAATACACTGTACATAATGTGTGAAATGTCAAATTTTTATCTATTAGTCATTCCAGGAATATTTGGTAGAGAATTAATTCCTTGCAGGCCTGGCAATCCTGGCAAGCCTGGTAAGCCAGACAATCCAGGGAGGCCAGAAGGCGGAGGCGGGTAGAACTGTTTCTGCTCCGACTCTCTTCCGTTCTGTTCCATCGCAAACGGTTGCTTTTCTGTCCATGACTCTCCAGTGTAGGCGTTGTCTTTGAATGCAAGTGGATCGTTGGGTCTGGACCGACACCAGAAGCGCATTGATTTGTCTGCTCCCGCAGTGCACAGCACATGTCCAAGAGGGTGATATTCAAGGTCGTGAATGGCCTTGTCGTGGGCGTATGGGATTCTGTGAAGCGGAGAGGTGGTGGAAGCGGGCTGTTTTTCTCTGTTGAAAACCAAGTCTTGATTTAGTTCCTTTGCCAGGTCGTATGTGGACAACGACCCGTCGTAGCCACCAATAGTAAGCGTGGACGAGTGGATCGGATGCCAAGTAATAGAGGTCAGGTCGACGTCGTCTGTGGATTTAATAACGTTGATAGTTTTCATTAGTCTGATGTCAAATATTCGGGTGGAATGGTCTCTGGAACATGCAGCCAGCAATCTCTGGTTTCCCTTCGGCTGGAATCGCACCTTTGTCACTGTGTGTTTGAAGTCGTGGATGGTGGATATGCACTTTCCGTCCCTCGGATCCCAGAATTTCACCAAATTATCTTTGGAGCCACTGACGACCAAACCCAAATTTGGGTGCCAGTCACAGGCTTTCACGTCCCAATGGTGTCCTTTCAGAGTTCGTTCTTCCGTGGCTGTGCTGAAGTTCCATATCTTCAGGGTGAGATCGTCGGAACAGCTCACAAATTTCGAGTCGTTTGGTGAGAATACTATATCCTGGATTGCATTATCGTGGGCCTTGGGGAGAATGTTGACGTTATTGAAATTTGGTTGCCAAAACTTTATACATCCGATTTGGTCCGCGCTCAGCAGCCAGTCTCCATTGTGACTATACTGCAGAGCAAAGATAGGCGAGTCATGGGCCTGCATGATAGACTCGAAATTGAAGGTCAAGCCATTCCAGATGGTGAACTCTCCAGAATGGGACGAAACCAGCACTCTACGCGCATCTGGCGTCCATTTGAGCGCATGTATAGCATGTTTGGATTTATTTGTCGAGACGTGCACGAACTTGGTGGCTAGATCCACCACTTCTGGCTGTTCCAAATGCGGAGGCAACAGCTGGGTCAGGTAAGACATTTCGGGACGAATTTTACCCAATGGTTGACGGCCTCGGCGATTGTAGACATTTTTCTGAACCATGTATCTCCCCAGCGGAGTGAAATAGTCCACCGTGCGTCGATGCTGGAGTTTTTTCTCGCTGTCGTCCTCTTTCCTTTGGAACATGCTGAGTAAAAATCGCTATGTTTTATTTGATATTTTTTTCGGTGCAGAGATGCTCTCCCAGACTAAAGCTCGTTTCGCTTATTTTGCAAACAAGTTCCTATATTACTTTTCCCCTGATATATGGAATATCACTGTTAGGGCTTCTCTACAACGCTCTTTTACTCAGATCCATCCACATCATTCATGTCAGAACTTTTACGAGGCCCTACTCAGTCCCTTAACTCTCTCGAGCCTCTGCTCGTGGAACCTCAAAAAAACCAGAGACAGCCCCGCGGCAGCTTTGGTGCATCACAAGATATTCGCAGCATGCGCAGCATGCACCAGTACTCGTTTTCGTACGTGAAAATCGTGTTTGTGGTTGCGCTTTTTGTCACCTCGCTAATCGCGTTTGTGACTCAGACAGAAACCACCGCCTATTTATACAACGAGCTGAAATTCGGAGAACCGATCTTGCTTTTGCTCATAACACATGGGTCCTGGTGGATTTTGTGGCCTTTACAATTCACAGGTATCGCCGCATACAAGACATTCAGACGGTATTTGCGTCATAAACACGGCTACCAAGACGCCAACGGTAAGCATTGGAAAGGCCTTAGACGCGCCTTTGCCAGCTCTGTGAAGACCCAGCACAAAAACATCTTTCACAGCGCAGAGCTGACAATCAGGGCCAACCAAAAGGGGTACGAAAAGGAGTTTGGACCTCACAGTTTCCAGCGTTTCTCGCAGTTTTTCAAGAGCCAGGCTATAAAGTACATCTTCAAATCTACGTTGGCTCTTTCTGTCATCTTGAACGCGGCAGGAATTACTTGGTACATGTCTATGGGGATGTCCACGGGCTCAGACGTGACTGCCATTTACAACTGCAGCGCCTTCACCGCGTACATGTTCGCAATACCTATCTTGGGAGAAAAGTTCTCTCTCATAAAGCTGGGCTCGGTGGTGCTGGCCATTGCCGGAGTCATGGTTGTTGCATACTCGGGGAAGGACCAGGATGCCGGAAACTACCCTCATAGACTCCAGGGAGACGTCATCATTCTCATTGGTGCCATTATGTACGGCCTGTATGAGGTTCTCTACAAGAAAAAATGCTGTCCTCCGTCCAGCGAGGTCAGCGCCAGAAGACAAGCCACCTTCTCAAACTTCACCATGTGCCTCATAGGCATCAGCACCATCATCTTGGTCATTATTCCCGTCGCCATAGTACAGCTTCTGGGATTGCACAGGTTCGAGTTCCCTACCTCTGGAGCCCAGTGGTTGTACATTTTCCTATCGACCATCTCGAATCTCATCTTCAGCGTCTCATTCCTTGCGCTTATGGCGCTGACGTCGCCAGTTTTCTCCTCGGTTGCGTCTCTGGTCACGATCCTGCTCGTCGGAGTAGTCGAGTGGCTTCTCTGGGGAATTGAAATCAGTCTGCCGCAAATGTTGGGCTACCTGCTTGTGGTGGGCGGATTTGGCTTGCTTACATATGCCTCCTGGAACGAGATCAGCGAAGAGGACACCGCTGACGAGCTCATCGACACAGACACCGAGTCCGTGATGAGTACAAACTGATAGAGCACGCTTCTGTATCTACGATTATGTAATCAACAGACGTTTAAAATAAAGAGTATTTTCTGATTTTGCGTGAAATAAAAAAATTGTCATGAGTGGGCTTGTCGAGAGCACCGAAAATTTGAACATCGAGTCTGCTGAGCAGAAGATCACCCCGTGGGAGGTAGAAGGAGCCGTTGTTGATGGCCAGGCTGTGGGGATCGACTACGAAAAATTGATCAAGCAGTTCGGAACCAAGCCCATCACCAAGGAGACTTTGGAGAGATTCGAGCAGGTGACCGGCTATGAGCCTCATCACTACCTGAAAAAGGGTCTATTCTTTTCCGAGAGAGATTTTAGCAGAATCCTGGACTTGTACGAGCACGGCGAGCCGTTCTTTCTGTACACCGGGCGTGGTCCTTCGTCAGATTCGATGCATCTGGGTCACATGATTCCGTTCACGTTCACCAAGTGGCTGCAGGACGTTTTCGATGTGCCGTTGATCATCGAGCTGACTGACGACGAGAAGTTTCTATTCAAGCAGAAGCTGACCATCGAGGATGTCAAGAAGTTTGCCAAAGAGAACGCCAAGGATATCATCTCTGTGGGCTTCAAGCCGGAAAACACATTTATTTTTTCCGACCTTGAGTATATGAACTCTGCCTTCTACGAAACGGTGGTTCGTGTTTCTAGACAGATCACCACTTCGACGGCCAAGGCTGTCTTTGGATTCCAGGACTCCGACTGTATTGGTAAGCTTCATTTTGCGTCTGTCCAGATCGCCACTGCATTCCCTTCATCTTTCCCTGATGTGCTTGGACTGCCTCCGAAAACACCATGTTTAATTCCGTGCGCCATTGACCAGGATCCATACTTCAGAGTTTGCAGAGACGTGGCGGACAAGCTCAAATTTAGCAAGCCGTCTTTGGTCCATTCTCGGTTCTTCCCTGCTCTGCAAGGCCCTACCACTAAGATGAGTGCCTCGGACGAAAATAGTGCCATTTTCATGACAGACACCCCTAAGCAGATCCAAAAGAAGGTCAACAAATATGCTTTCAGTGGTGGCAAGGTGAGCATCGAGGAGCACAGAAAGTACGGTGGAAATCCAGACGTTGATGTCGCGTACCAATATCTCTCCTACTTTAACGAGGACGAAGACCTGCTTGCCAAGGTTGCTGAACAATATCGATCTGGCGAGCTTCTGTCTGGCGAAATGAAGAAGCTGTGCATAGAGACTTTGCAGAACTATGTGAAAGGATTCCAGGAAAGGCGCGCAAAGGTGGACGACGAGGTACTACAGTCGTTCATGAAGCCTCACAAGCTGGTCTTTGGAACCAAAGATAGACGGGTTCCTGCTAAGGAGAGACAGAAGAAGAAATGATAATATGTACACAGTCTATAGTCCCTGCAAATATGCGATCGAGCTATCTAGATCCTGCCTCATTTTAGCGAAGGACGTGCTGATGGAGTTGTCACTGATGTCGAGCTCTTTGAAATTATTTTTCAAGAACACCTTGACCTTTTTTCTCACATCCTCAAGTTGTTTTCTGGCCATCGATTTGTACTCTCTGTTTTCGTTGCGAAGGGTCGTCAAGATTGACTTTAAATGCCTGGTGTTTCCTTTTAGATATGCGATCTGCTTGTAAGTGTCCACCACCACGGCATGGTAGTAGTTGAACTCCGATGAAAGCATTGTATCCGGCTTTGGAGGCAGAGGAAGCGGTTCCGTGCCGTCAAAATGCTGAAATAAGACCGAGAAGCTCCACTTTTCGATGTCGTACAGCTGCACTTTGGCATGAAGCTCCAGCAACTCCTTCTTTCTTTCCTCCGTTTTGCGCGACTCAGGGTCGTAGACGAGGAGCTCTCTGAGCATCAAAAGCCGCAAGTGAGCAATAGAATAGTATGGCGGCAACTTGCTGTCCACCTCCGCAACACGCTCATGAACGCCGCAGTCCCAGAACGTTTTGAAATCTCTATTGTCGCTAATTTCTCGAGCACGAAGACTCCGCAGCACAGAGACCTGTTCATCCACGCTCTTTTGGTCGTCTTTGAGCCTGTATGTTCTGATCAGCTCCACAGCAGTAGATATTTTGGCAAAGGAAGTGATGAGCCTGTTGTAGAACTCCATAAAACCTTGAATTTTGTTCATCGCCGTGCTCTGGAACCCGCTGATTATCATGTGAGGTATCTCCCTGTGGACGTTTTGGGTGTAGAACCTGGCCACCTCCACCAAGGGGCCTGCTCCGATTGACCGTCTTGTGCCAATGAGATAGGACAGTGTGTCGTGCTGAACGAACTTGATCTTAAGAGACCTATAAAGCTCGTCTGCAGCAGGCTGGAGATTAGCAATTGTGTACAATCTGATCAGCCAGAGCTTCAAATGGAACTCGTATTTGTTTTTGACCAAAGCTTCTTCGAGAATCACAATCAACGAATAGACCAGTTCCAAGTCAAAGCTCGAGTGCTCTATCAACGCCTCGATAGCGAGAATTAGGAACTCGTAGCCAGGAAAATAATCGAACTTTTCGAGGCGGTTGAGGTGGAACTTCGTTTTGTTGTACAGCATACAGCAGTCGGTGACTAACTGTTTGTCTCTAGCATCCAGCGCCTTGAACTTCATGTAGTTGACCGCAATAATCAGCTGATCAAGTGTCGGCTCTTTCAGACTCACAATTGTATCATAGCTGCTCTTCAAAAATGCCTCGTTAGAAACGCCTTTCTTAACATACGGCTTCAGATCAGTGAAGCAGCAAAGCTTCGTCCCGTAATCATGAAAATATTGCTGAATTGCATCAGGCTCACCAAGCTCAATAGCAGCAAGTCCGGTGTTACGAGAAGAGTAGGACGCAATTAGCTCTCTGCATCTGTCAAGCTTTTTGGTTGCTTTGGCGGCTTTGATGAGCAGTTTCCATGTGTCCCAGTCGTCCTCATTGAGGCGAGTCAAGTAGTTCTGGCAAACTCTAAAAAGCTCTTCCGACTCGTCCATTTTGTCCAAAGTTTCTAAGTAAATAATCTTGAGCTCCAAGTCGTTCTCTTTGGCAAGAAAGTTCTCCATGAACCTTAAGCTATCATCCTCCCTACCAGCAAGCTGAAGCAGACGAACGTAGACATAAACGTGCTGTGCTGTTGGAAGTCCTACCTGCTCCATCAATCTGACGCCCAATTGCGGATACAGCTTTTGCACCGAAGGAGCCAAGCTACAGCAGCGACACGCGAGCATCAGACATGTTGCAGCCCAGAATTTGAATAGCTGAGTATCCACAGACTGCTTTGCCGTTGCAACGGCTCTTGTCAAAAGCATAGAAGCTTTTTGCATGCCCAAAATATCGCCTCTAGCGACACTAAAAGTGAAATACTCGTACACCAGATCCACAGAAGGGTATTTTTTGCAAACCTTGTCAAAGACATCCCGTTCGACCTCACAAAGATCATAAACGTTTGCGAGAAGTTTCAAAGCGTCCGGATCGCTTGGGAGTTTGTCCAACAGCTGGTTAGCCTTAGACTCAGCTTCGTGTCTTCTCCCCGACAGCGCCAGGATCTCGGCCTCTAGAGCATAGAAATACGAGCTATTGGGATGCTCCTTGATTTTCTTGGAAACCAGAACCAAAGCGTTGCGCAAATTCCCCGCCCGCACAGCGTTCTCAACCGCCGAATCTTTGTACATGAATATTGAGACAAATATTTTTTTGGATGATCTACTTATTTTTGGGAGCCCCGGTAAATGTGGAAAGGCGAGGCCTGGTTGTTTCCGAAAATCAGAGTCTCAGCAAGAACAGTGTTCTCCTTTCTAGTGGCAGCAAAGACGATCAACTCTGCAATATCGTCCGCATACAATGGTTCCGTGTCCTTGTAGACGGCAGCAGCTCTTTCTTTATCACCCTTGAACCGAACCAGAGAAAACTCGTCAGTGGCAACGTTACCGGGCTGGACCTCAATGACTCTGATCTTCGTGTTAATCAGCTCTTTTCTCAAGGCACTGGTGAAAAAGTTCAAAGCAGACTTGGTAGCACAGTAGATGCTTCCGCCAGGGTAAGCCTCTCTACCTGCAACAGAGCCCAACTGGATGATATCACCCTTGTTGCGCTCCTTCATCTGCCGGACAACCAATTGAGTCAGCTCGATCATTCCCAACACATTGGTCTCAAACATCTCCTTCACATCGGCAGAATCAACAGAACCAACGGGATCCAGACCCAGGGCCTTACCAGCATTGTTGACCAGGACATCAATCTGGGAGAATTCCTCGGGCAAACTTTTCAGGAACGGAGAGATCTGGTCGGTTTTCGAAACGTCCAGGGCGCCGATGAAAACTTTGATTGAAGGATACGTCTTCAAAAGCTCCTCTTTCAACGCCTTCAGCTTATCTTCTCTACGGGCAGTCAAAACCAGTTTGATGTTGCCTGCACCTGCCTCAGCGAAGTGCTTTGCAGTGCTGTATCCAATACCTGTGGATGCACCAGTGATCAGGATGTTCTTGCCAGCGAGTCTCTCTGCAATTTTACCAAACATTGTGTAATTCGTAACTTTTTCGAATAGAAACCTTATCAAATTTGCCAAATCCCCGGTTCGCGGACCTCGGATTCCTATTGGTGCAAGGGTGGAAGTTTTCCAAGAGTTTCATCTTAATCTAGCCGCTTCTGGGCATAGAAAACCATGTTTTCGTGAGAAGCCCCGATCTTGCCTGCAGAACAGTCTTGTTGCTAATGCAACCCGATAAGATGGCGTGATTCAGGAACCCCTTTAGTCCCATATTTGGCGATCCCACTCGGGGTGCCGGGACTAACCTGGCCCATATCGGCAATCAGCTGCGCCAGGCGGCCACCTACAATAGCCCCTGAGTCTGCCACGCTCTTGCTCTCGCTACTGCGCATCTCAGCTTATTCCACGTCCCATGCGAATCAGACGACGCGGACACCCGGTGGGAGCCAATGATGACATAAGCACGGAATCCTCCGAGGACCGGTAGGACGATTAGGTAGGAGGTTTATTGTTGCGCTTTCTCTTGCTTTAACTATAAATACCGCACACTTTATCGGACTGGGACCAAGATGGCTATCCTGCAATCCTCTACATACGGAAAAGACAACGTCAAGTTTCTCAAGGTCAAGAAAGACCCCTCGAACCCCAAGGTCCACGAGGTGATGGAGGCAACTGTCAAGGTTCTTTTTGTTGGAGACTTTGACGTTGCCTACACCAAGGCCGACAACGCTCCTATCGTTCCAACCGACACGATCAAAAACACGATTCTCGTTGAGGCCAAAAAGTTTGACGTGTTTCCTATCGAGGGTTTCGTTGCTCATCTTGGTCTGCACTTTATCAACAAGTACTCTCACGTCAGCGGCGTGGACATTGAGATTTTCCAGCACAGATGGACCAAGTACCCTGTCAACGGCAAAATTCACGATCACTCGTTTGTGAAGGACGGCGAGGAGCTCAGAACCGCTTCGCTGAAGTACAAACGCTCCGGAGAGTTTGTTCTCAAGTCTGGAATCAAGGACTTGACTGTTCTCAAGTCGACCGGGTCCATGTTCTACGGATTCAACCAGTGTGATTACACCACCCTCAAGCCTACCACCGACCGGATCTTGTCTACGGACGTCGACTCCGTCTGGGAGTGGGACTCCAAAAAGATCGGCTCGCTACAGAACGTCATTTCGCAAGCAAGAGCAGGTCTCTTTGATTCCGCATACAAGAGTGCCAGAGAAACCACTCTGAACCTGTTTGCACTTGAGAATTCAGCCTCTGTGCAAGCCACCATGTACAACATGTGTGAGGAAATTCTGAGGCTGGTTCCCCTGGTCAGTACCGTCTCGTACAGTCTTCCTAACAAGCACTACTTCCTGTTCGACTTTAGTTGGAAGGGTCTGGAGAACGACAACGAGTTGTTCTATCCATCTCCGCATCCAAACGGGCTAATCAAGTGCACTGTTGGCAGAGAGAAGAAGGCCAAATTCTAAGAGGTTTTGCATTCTTTATGCATGGCATATATAATACATTAATTTAAGACACAATCGCTCCAAATTAAAAAATATCTGATTTTTAAACTTTCTTGAATCTTTCCAGACTTTTTAATATTTCGCAATTGACGATGTTCGCATTCAGAATCGGAATTAGGTCCGGATTTGACAGAACCTCTCGGATGGGTTTCCGCTCAGTGCGCCTCAACTCCACGCAGATACCTGGCGAGAAGAAGCCCAAGGGAATCAAGTTGTTGATGCAGGAATACGGATACTCTGCCCTCGGAGTGTACTTTGCTTTGAGCTGTATCGACTTGCCCATCACCTTTCTGATGGTCCATTCTGCAGGAGAAGAGGCAATTAGAGAGTATCAAGACCAATTCTTAAGATGGATCGGCTGGCGAAAGGGCGATCCAGTGAATTCCGACGCAGAGACGGAGAAATCAAGCGAGTCAGGATATTCCACCTTGTGGACCGAGTTCGCCGTTGCGTACGCTATACACAAATCATTGATCTTTATCCGTCTACCAATCACCGCCGCAATTACCCCAGCAGTTGTGGGGAAGCTTAGAAAGATGGGATTCAACGTCGGAAAGATCACCAGTGCCGCTAGACAGAGCGTTGGAGAACAAGGTATTAGAAAGACTCTCACGTCTGATGGTTTGAAGAGTCTCGGCAAAAACATCAACCACGATCCTGCAGCATTGAACCCGAAATTCGGTAAGCCACCCTCGAAGGGCCAAAGATGGTTCTTTTAATTGTACATATATTAATGGCTTCAACGGAACTTGGAATAGTATTTTTCCTCCTCGAATCTTTTCGCCACCAAGTCGAGAACTTCTTTGGAGTAGACATCCTCTAGCTTCTCGCCGCCTAGAAGAACTCTGTCCTCGTGTATTTTTTGTTCCTCCTTAGTCATGATCACCACGTTTTGCAACGAGAGTGGCTCGTCTTTTTTCCATCTAGAAAGCGCTAACCTTGTCGAGTATCCGCTGATAGGCGACTTTCCACGGAACACCTCTTCCAAGATGTAGTTCACGTCACTCATAGCAATTTGTACGCGCTGATCTTTTTGCCCAAGTCTGGCCTGCTGTCCTGCCAAGCTCTGCAAGATGCCGTCGTAGACTTTAATCCGATTTTTGCCCTCAATCGGCTCCACGGGATATCCAGACACGGTGGTCACGAGATACGTCGCTATCGTCAGGCCAAACATGGCTGGCATCGTGCCCAAAACCGGTAAGATCCGCACTCGGAAATTTTGCAACGCGCTTAACTCGTCCACATGACCTTTCTCGAACTCTTCATCGGGAAGAGGGAGCAGGCTTGCTTTACGGGGGTCCGGCTTCTCACTCGAGAAGACACATGGAATGCCCTTTATGATCCCCTTCTTCTTCAATCTGCGCCTGACAGAACGAGCCAAAGGATCTTCGTCGGAAGCAGAGATATCGGCAATGTTCACTCTTGTGGAGTCACTTTTGCAAGCTGCTCCCATCGAAGAAATCACAGGCACCTTATTTTCGTAGCAGAAAGTGAGCAAATCAACCTTGGTATCGATATTGTCAATGCAGTCAACAACATAGGAAGGGTTGCCTTTCAAAATTAATGACTCGGCGTTCTCGATGGTGAAAAGAGTGTTGATGGCCTCAATCTCGCACCAAGGCGCAATCTGGAGCAAATGTCTCCGCAGACAATCCACCTTTGGCGTACCAACATCCCTTCCAATGGCAACCGCGTGTCTATTAAGGGAAGACAGGCTGACCTGATCAAAATCAATGATCCTGATTTTCGATACTCCAGATCTAACAAGGGCAGTCGCACAGTTGGATCCTACTCCACCAGCACCAACAACAACAACAAACTGGTCACGAACTTTCCGCATACCGTCGTCACCGAGGAAAGCATAGTTTCTTGCAAGCTGCTCTCTAATAAGTTCTTCGGAGAAATCTGGGATCGTGGACACAACTTCTTTGGTTGTGGGTCCCAAAACCTGGTTTTTGGACTTGGAGAAATAAAAATGTAGCGCCTCGACAATAGCGGTGGTGGCTATGGCTGTGGCAGCCGTCCAAACAACAAAGTTACAACGACTCATAGGAACTGAAAAATGTGAAAAAAATATTTATCTGATTTTTAGGCTGTGCAGAAAGCCATGTTTTGGGATGCCATTGAACCACCACAGTCATTGGGCAGTACCATGAACGATGCCCAAAACTAAGGAAAATGCAGCACTAAAATTGCCAACTAGATAGCACGTTTTCAAGCAAATGCCGGTGTTATCCAACCACTAAAGCACGGTATGTCTGTCAAAGCACCTAAATCTCCATTGTTTTGTGGGTTTGGCCGAGTGGTTAAGGCGTCACGTTTAGGCCGTGATATCGAAAGATGCAAGAGTTCGAACCTCTTAGCCCACATATTTTTTTTCTTCCCAATCACAAACTCTCCTGTGGCAGCAATAGTCCAAAAATAGCATTCGGCAATGCAGCATGTCTGGCCCTGTCGTTTAGGCCGGCCACTAGGCCTCGCAACATGCAACCTGTGGACTATCAAGCTTCCCGATACTCCAGTTACTCGATATAATATTTATTTGGTACGCAATAGAAGTTTGTAGATTTAGCCCGGCAGCCACTCCTAATTAAGGGTTTGTCATGGCTACTATTTTTTTTCTAGTGCATTTTTGAGTCAGTCTTTCAACTTACCAATATTGTTTGCTAATCTTGTGCAAATACTGGTTTGTTTTAGCTGAATAGCTCTTGTTCCAGTGCCATTGACCTACCGTATATTCCAATTCGCAATTCTTGGCTATTAGAACTAATCATATCGCAAACTACAGATTCCTTGTTTCAATAGGAAATGGGTTCCAATCACAACGTGCCGGACTTAAATCATCCGGACCACCCATCCACAACCATCCAGACGTCCGGAAATAAACCAAGAACAATCCATGTGGCTCACAGACGCTCTCCCAGCGAGCTCACTACATTGATGCGTAAGTATACAGTGCCACTTTATTACTAACTCGCCCTTCAGTGGAACAATTTAATTTGCAGCGTCAGCTTGAAATTGTTCAGGCCCAGCAACAGCAGATACTCCAGCAGCAACAGCAATTCACCCAGCAGACGAGCTACGCTCAACCCGGCTATAGCTTTCCGGGAGTGTCCGCCATGCCTCCACCTTCCAACCCCCCAAGACACAACAGGAGGGCTTCTGGAAACGTTAACCACGGCGAACAGGATCAGTTTCAAACTGTCAGAGGCCATAGAAGAGCTCAGTCATCTGTTGCCCCTGGCACCCAACAAAACTTCAGCAAACAAGATACCAGACAGCAGGCACTTGGCCACAGCAGAAGGCATTCGCTCGGGGTCTCCGAAGCTAAGCGGGCCGCCGCAGAGGCACAGGCTCAACGGTCTGGACAACCGCTAAAAAACGAGCCATCCCCTCCTTCTTTCAAATTCCCTCCAGATAACGATGACGACAACTACCAAGTGCAAGGTGGCCATTACAGGTCCAAGTCAAACGTGTCTCCTCAGAGATCCTTCCAGTTCCCTCCAAGAGACAACTCGCAAACTTTGATGCCTCCTCCAGTCAACTTTGGCCATGAAAGACGCCAGTCCGGTAATTACGGTTTTAGAACGGCTCCGTCTGACATCAACGGCAATTGGAGAAAGCAGCAACAACCGGTTCCTTCCCAACCACCAGTGTCAGGATTTGATTCTCCATTCACACCAGGGCACAGAGCAAGGTCTTCATACGGTGGGTCCATGTCTTCCCTCGCACAGTTCAACCAATCCCAGAACGGCCAGCAAAGAAAGTCTCTTTTTGCTCCTTATCTTCCTCAAAGTTCTCTTCCGGAGCTGATCAGTGAAGGAAGATTGGTCACTGGTGTTCTCAGGGTGAACAAAAAGAATAGGTCGGATGCTTATGTTTCCACAGATGGACTGCTAGATGCAGATATCTTCATTTGTGGCTCCAAAGACAGGAATAGAGCTTTGGAAGGTGACTTGGTTGCTGTTGAGCTTCTTGTCGTCGACGAGGTGTGGTCATCCAAACGGGAAAAAGAGGAAAAGAAGAGAAGAAAAGATAATTTCGTTGCATCAACAGACATTACAGACGATTTCCACAATGACGCAAGCACCAGCTACTCGTCTTCGGCATCCTCAAGCGCACCAGCAGACTCTGCTGCAACGGAGACTCCACCATCAACACAATCCTCGTCAGGTCTCAGCCGTGCGTCCGGCTCTCTGAACAGGAGAGGATCTTTGAAGCAACGGCCTACCCAGAAGAAAAACGACGATGTAGAGGTTGAAGGACAGTCCTTGCTGCTCGTGGAGGAAGAAGAAATCAGCGACGACTGCAAACCTCTATATGCTGGCCATGTGGTTGCTGTTGTGGACAGGATTCCTGGCCAACTCTTCTCCGGTACCTTGGGGCTTTTGAGACCATCTCAGGCCGCCAAGGAAAGGGATAATAAAGACAAAGACGACCAAAAACAATCTAACAATGCCAGACCAAAGATTGTCTGGTTCAAGCCTACAGACAAAAAGGTTCCTCTCATTGCTATTCCAACCGAACAAGTACCAAAAGACTTTGTTCAGAACCACGAAAAATACGCAGATCAGGTGTTTATCGCATCCATCAAAAGATGGCCAATCACATCATTGCATCCATTTGGTACACTTGTCGCACAACTGGGTCCTATGAACGACCCAGAGATCGAGATCGATTCTATTCTTAGAGATAATAACTTTCTCTGCGACGAGTATCCAGAGGATGAAGACAAATACGTTGCTGAGCTGCCGGACGTGAAGGCTGCTTTGGAAGATGAGCATAGAAGAAATTTCAAGGACGAGTATGTGATTGCCTTCACACAGACAGGTTCTTTCTGCGATCATGCTCTCCATGTCAAGGTCATTTCAGAGACCAAAATCGAATTGGGTATCCATATTGTGGACATCGCACACTTCATCAAACAGGGATCCGGCTTGGACAAACGATCAAAGAAACGGTCTCATTCTGTGTTCTTGCCCCAAAAAACTGTCCATCTCTTTCCGGGAAAAGTCAATGATCAGATCTCTTTCAAAGAAAACAAGAGCAGCTTGGCCGTTTCGGTTGTCTTTGAGATCGACTCCACCACTTTTGATATTGACGATGTTTGGATGGGGGAGTCAGTGGTGACTCCTAAGCAGAAGGTGGACTATTCTACCATGGACGAGATCATCAACAAGACTTTGACTCAGACCAGTGAAGGTATTAATGCTACTTCTGGGTACATTTCTACCCTGGCACTGATTGCTCAAGGGTTGAGAAGAAGGCGACTGAACAACCCAGAACTAAAAATAGAGCCAGTTTTGCCATTGCTAGACCAGCTTGACGACGAAAATGTGAGACTATCTTTGAATATTTTCGATAGCTACCCATCAGCAACGGTGATTGACGAAATTTTCCACAATGTCAATGCTGCCGTTGCGCAAAGGATCCATGCAATTCTAGGCGACAGAGCATTTCTTAGAAAGTACTCGATTCCAACACTTACGAAATTCGAGAACTACAACAAAAAGGCTGCTCATCTGGGTGTTAGTCTCGACACCACGAACGCTGCTTCGTTCCAGAACTCTTTGCTTGGAATTGAGGATCCGGTCAAACGGTCTGCTATTGAAACGATTTTGATAAAATCCATGCCAAGAGGAAAGTACGTCATTGCTGGCAAAACAGACGCTGACAGTCTTAATCACTATCTGTTTAATCTACCAGTTTACACGCATTTCACCGCACCCTTGAGGAGGTATTCAGACATCATTGTCCACAGACAGCTGAAGGCTGTTCTCAATGACGATGCTCATAACTACAAGGAGACTTTGGACTCGCTCAAGATGAACAGCGATTATTGTAACTTCAAGAAAGACTGTGCCAAAGCCGCCCAGGAACAGGCCATCCATTTGCTTCTTTGCCAGACAATCAATGAAATGAGTTCGGAGTCTGGCCAAATATTGACAATGGGAACCGTGATCCAAGTATATGAGTCCTCATTTGATGTCTTGCTTCCGGAATTCGGTATCGAAAAACGTGTTCACGGAGATCAACTTCCGTTGCAGAAGGCCGAGTTTGACAAAGCCGCTCGCGTGCTTGAGTTGCATTGGGAACCAGGTGTCGACTCAGCAACGTATATTCCGGACGACGAAAAGGAGCCTCTCTCATACAGATCATCAATCAAGAACAAGTACCGCTCGCCATCCAGTACTGCTGCCAAAACTCAGAGCAAGTCAGCCTTGGAGAATGGAGGCCTTCTCTCTGCTGAACTAACCAAGAAACTAGAGGATTTGAAGATAAGGCCTCCGAGGGTCACAGTTCCTACACAGAAAACCGCTGCTCAGAGACCAGCCGCAAGCAGTGCTAAGAGCGTTCCGGAAACTTCGCCAATTGGAACTTTGGAGAGAAATGCCTCTGACCCACAGACAACTCTCTCCACCGCGATGGCATCGTTGTCGACAAAGGATCCGGTTGACCAGGACCCTGCTCTCGCACCATATCTTAGCGATTGTATCACCAGAGTCGAGAACGATAGTTACATCCAAGAGATCAGAGAACTCAAACAAGTGCCTATTTTGCTGCGGTCTGAAGTGGGAATGGCCCTTCCTTGTTTGACCGTGAGAACACTGAATCCTTTTTCTGCCGTGAAGAGGGAGTAATATATTATTTCTACACTACCTTCGTTTAATGAGACCAAACCTTTTTCAGCTAGCGAATATCCAACCATGTTAATCCTTTTTGGCAGGCATGATGTTGCCAAACAGTCCTTTAGTCGTCAAGCTTCTTGATGGCGGCTGCCCGCGTCCATTTCTTTCGTATTCCACGCGGTCGTCCAATGCGTACGAGATGTCGTATTGGTTTTCTGGGTCTTCGTTTATGTTTTCGTCGACACTTCGGTCGATCAAATACCTTAGCGAGTTGAACCAAATGCTGTGGCGCTTTTGGGTTGGACAGGTGATTCTGATCGTTCTGTCGACAGAGTGAACAAGAATGCTTTTGTGATACAATCCAGGAGGCAGTGGATTGTTATCCTCGACAGACTCGACGCTGCTAATCGCCAGGGCCCGAATCTTGTTTTCAGATGGGTCACCAAGTATAGGATTGGCAGCAGACCAGTAAAGCGTAAGGCTGTAAGGATGAATCCAGAAGTATCTTTCGTGTCTGGCTTCAGAGAGAGAAGACAGCGGACCGAGCTTTCTGTAGTATTTGTAAAGATACTCTCCAATAATCGTTTGAGTAATTGCGGCAATCATCTCCTGGTTGGTGAACTTGAAAGTGCCTGTTGTCTGAACAGTAGACGTAGTGGCATGTCTAGCTAGGTTGTTCATTGAAAGTCCAGGCGATAATGGCTGTATTTGTCTGGCAGCTTCCGCAGAAAAGACACTTGGCTCGTCCTCTTCCAGAACGGTCGTGGCTGGTTTCTCCATCTCGTTAACGTCTGTCTTGTGGTTTTTGTACCAGGCGTGGCTTCTGATTAATTTATTGTAGTAGGTGGAAGGAACGACGACAATGTTGGACTCATCCACAGTCCTCGAAACTGTAGTGGCCACGAATTTGGACTCTGGGATAAGCATATATCCCTTCGATTTGCATAATTGTTTGAGATCGCTATCGAGAACGGGCTTTCGCAAGCCGCCGTGTTCGTTCTCTGGCACAAGCTTTAGCTTGAGTTCAGCAGCTTTAGCAGCAAGATCTTTTGAAGTGATAGGCCGTTTCCTCAGTGCTTCGATTTCTGATGAGCTCATGAGCTTCAGACCCAGTTTGCCTGCCGCTTGGCTCAGCTCAGCCCTCTTTGGAGCTGCTTTAGGATCGACCACGGTCACGCCCAAAGACCTGGCGGCGGCGTGAAGCGTAGGAAGATCAATCTTGCTATTTTCTTGAAGCTTCCGCAGTTTGGAAGTGTCTATGGTCTCTAAACCGTGTGCTTTGGCGAGCTCTTTGAGTTTCTGCACGTCCACTTTTTGAGGCTGTCTCTTCTGTCCAGCAGGCACAAGCATGAATCCCAGCTTAGAGGCATGCTCCTTCAACTCATCGACTTTCAGTGTACGTTCCTTGGAGCCCAATGGTTCACTTGGAGCATCGACATAGACAGTTTCACGCGAATTGGCTTGTGAAAGCTGGTCCACCTCTGCTTGTGACAAACAAAGTAGCCCGCTTTTGCTCACAACAGTCTTGGCGGTCTCGAGAGAAGGAGGGGCCTTCTTCTGCAAATCGAGCTCTTTCCTCGTGTGGTTCAACTGCTTTGTCAGTTCCTGCACTTGCTTCTCAACTGTATGCAGAGCTTTGGACTTTTCATTCAACCGCTTTTGACTATGTGCGAGTTCATCGTCCTTTTGCTTCATTTCAGATATAGGGATCACCACAAGATCGTATTTGGCTGCTTGCGACCTAGCGAAATCACTAGTTTCTGTTTCCTTGAGCTGTGCTGACAGCGTCGCCACCTGTGACTTCAACTTTGACACTTCTTGTTCAAGCTTGGAGGAGACCCTCAGTTGGTTTTCCTTTTTGTCGCTTTCGTTTTTAGCCACCAAGACAAAACCATTCTTCGCCGCAGCACTCTGCAGAAATTCGACTGTCGGCTTGTTGATCTGGTCTTGGAGCTGCTTTATCTGAGATTCCAGGTTTGCGACCTGTTGACTACGCTCGCTGACAGCGTCTTTCAACTTCATCATCTCCTGCTGCATAGTTTCATACTCCCGACTATCCAGTCCCACCAAGGAGTGTTCTTTGGCCAATTGTACAACTTGCGACTTTGAAGGATTGGTGAGTTTCTTTGCCTCTGCTGCCCCCAGGACACTCAGTCCAGCAGCAGCAGCAAGCTTGGAAACAAGTTCCTCTGAGGGATGCGCGGCACTATCTTTCAGCGACAATAGCTCCTTATGCTCCTCTAAATCGAGCAGCACGGAGTTATGCTTTTGAGCAATCTCGCGGCATTCTTCGACAGAAGGCTCAACTCTGCGCTCTTTGTACTCTTTTTCACTCACCACTTTGTAGCCAGCTTCCTGGGCTTTTTGAGCCAAGTACGAGACAGGCGGCGAGTCATAGGACGCGGAGATCTTTGCTTGTTGATCAGCAAGCGACTTGAGCTCGTTGAGAGAAGCCCCAATGTGCTGAGGGCCAGCTCGTTTCATTTGCTCCACTGGCTCCTCAAACTGAGAGCCAAGAGAGCCAATCGTTCCCAAAAGCTCATTGTAGTCTTCCTTCTTAAGGGCAACCATGCCCGACTTGTCGACTCTTTCCAGCAGCTCTACCGGGGTAAGTGATCTTTTCGAGGACACAAGAATGCTTTCATAGGAAGACTTGGACAAGACAACGAGTCCTCGTTCCGCACACCGTCTTTTCAGAGACTCGACCGTCTCTGCAGATTCGAGTGCCCTCTGCTTGCGCGGAGAAACGTTAACTCCACTGGAAGAAGATTTGGCCACAAGCAGCTCGTACTCATTGATAGACAAAGCTTTATAGCCCAGTTTGGAAAGCTTGCTGCTAAGGTATGGAAGTGTCGGGTTTTCCACGGTTTGCTGAAGAGAACGTAAAGCTGAAGCAGCAATTTCAACAGTTCCATCGGTGGCCAGCGTAGCATGACGTTTGGTTGGGCTTCCAGGCTCAGTATTACGTTTCACTGGGCTGTTCACAGGAGTGCTCACAGCTTTGATAGATTCGTTTTCCTCAGTGGTCAAGACAACCAGATTCTTTTTTCCTGCCATTTCCTTGATATAGGATATATCCGGAGAGGCTAGCTTGTCCTCTGCGGCCTTGATAGCCCCCTTGAATGCCTCGATATCTTGTTGCTGTTCCTTAACCTTTGCAAGCAGCTCTCTATGTTCCGAAGCTGGCAGAAGAGCCATATTATGGCTCTGTGCTCCACTTTGCAGCTGTTCCAGTGATGTCGCTGAAGTCTCCAGTTTTAGTTCCGCCTGCCGCAGTTTTTCCTGCACTGCATTCAACTCATTCGTTTTGGTGTTCAATGCAGCCTTTAGCTTTTCGTGCTCTTCAACAGGAAGAGTCACCAGACTCAGCTCGAAGGCTTTCCGGTTGATATATTCTGCACCTGGGTTTTCCAATTGATTCTGGAGTTGCTCGACCTCAGCATGTACAGTCTCAAGCTTATTGGCCTTCCCTTCAAGTGCTTTGAACTCCAGCAAAGGTAGAAGTGTAAGACCGGCGTTCTCCAACTTGTCCTTGTCTATCGTCTCGTAGTTGGACTTTTTCACCAAATCTTCGTACTCGCTTGTTCTTAGCGACACCATATCCAGCTCAAGACATCTTTGTTTCAGCTGCTCGATTGGAGAGTGCACATTTGTGTCATTAGGCAAAGCAACAATGTCGTATCCTGTAGAGGCTTCGATGATGGATTTGTCAGCTGTCTTGTCGCTGGATTCGGGTACGAGCTTCAGTCCATGCCTAGAAGCATAATTTTCGAGGTATTTTATCTGCGACGTTTCCATCTCATCGTATTCATCCGAGAGATTTCCCAGCTCGTCCTCAAGCACTTGCAAATTGGAATATTCCGAGTCCTTGCCTGTGGTGTTCACAGCAATGCTTTTGTCGAAATCATCCCATTCACCACTTTCGGCGACAGATTGGCGTCTAGCCGATTTCCTCGGTGATTTGTTAGCCTGCTTTCTCTGGAGCTCTTCCTTCTCCGCCCTCACTTTGGCCAGATCCTGTTTCAACTTGGCAATCGTTTTATAGGCTTTTTGTAGACTGGCAGTGTCAGACTCAGGCATGGTGTTTGGAGATATTTCACGAATCGGAGACAACGAAGGGTCGATCAGCGAAGATTCGTCGTACTTCTCCAACTCAGCGTTCTCGTCATTAGCAGGAGGCAGACTTAATCGTTTATTCTCACTCGCCGACAACTTGTGCACTTTCTGGTTCAGCTCATCGTTTTCGTCGTTCAGATCAGAGTTACGTTGTTTTAGCTCCTTTATGGTGGCATTCAATTGCGATAGCTTGGCTGTGGTCTCCTTTTCTAGCACCGATTGCTTCTCCTGATAGAGTTCAAGTTGCGTCTTCAAGTTTTCCAGCTCCACATCTCTTGAAGACTTGTCCTTGCTTGTTTTCTCGTACATCTGCTGTAACTTGACTGAGTTGTCTCGCAGGTCGCTAAGCTGTGTTTCAAGTTCCCAAATTCGATCACTGGAGTTTTCCTCCTTTTCGCTCAGTTTCTTGTTCAACACTTGCAAATTGCGTAGCTGCTGGGAGGCTTGAGTGTACTTCTCTTGAAGACCAGATAATTGTGCCCTTAATTGTGTGTTTTCATGGTTGAGACGACGCGATTCCACTAAAAGGCCGTCGCTCAAGTCACTCAGAAAGTCAACACCCGATAGTGGACGCCGTTCGGAAAGCGACTGCGCCCCGAGACCTAGACTGTCACGCTATATGGTTAGCTGGTGGAGAGCGTGATACTTACTTTCCTCCCTGTCGTAGCTGGATCCGTCTCGATCGTGCCAGCGTCGGAATTTTTCCCCAGCCGTTGCTGAAGATCTTTGAATTGAGCCTTCAGCTCGCTAGCAGATGACTTGCCTTTGGACAAGTTTTTCTTGGATGACATAGTCTCGTCTGATCCGATGTTTGTTTATAGCAAAATAGAGAATTGGATAAATAAACCTTACACCGAAAAACAGGAAGATCGATATTTGCAATGGTGAGTAGACGCATTCGAAGGACTAACAGCAGCTCAAACTGAAGAAGCTACAAAAAGAGCAGGCCAGCAAACCTGTCTCGCAGTCAGTTCCAGTGGCATATATCCGTGCTAAGAAGGATTTACAAGAGTACGAGGAGATACCTGGGATAAGCATCAAATATGACGAAGCGAATCCAATGAGAATCGACCTCGAGGTCTGCCCCAACGAAGGACTCTACCAAGGCGGAAAATTCAAGTTTGTTTGCGAGGTGCCCGAAGACTATCCTAATCGGGCTCCGGAGTTCAAATGCTTGCAAAAAATATACCATCCGAACATCGATCTGGAGGGCCATGTTTGTCTCAACATCCTACGAAATGACTGGAAACCAACGCTGACTCTGCAGCTGGTTTTCGCTGGAATTCTACATCTGTTTTTGCAGCCAAACGCCAACGATCCCCTGAATAAGGACGCCGCCAACGACCTGTCTAAATACCCTGCTCAGTTCAAAAGACATGTTCTCAACGCCATGGCGGGAGGATACGTGGGCGACGAGAAATTCGATAAAGTGGTAGACTACCCAGACAGAAGATACTTGTAAGATAAGCGGTATGTGTACGTGTTCATCGTTATATAAAGTCTCGTTAACTAAATCATGCATTTATTCCTGAATGTCGCCCGTCGAAATAAATCCATGTCCACTGACTGCGCTGCTGCCCGACACAAGCGGCGTAAACCCATTGTGGGCAGAGATGTGGTCGTTGTAAGAAGGATGAGCGTCACCGGCGTTCTTGATAATCGTCATAGAAGAGTGTTCGACAAGGCCGGCCCCGCCGTTATTGCTCACAGTCTCTTTGAACTCAGGAGTCTTGTTGAGGTCCTTTTGGTTGTACTTGTCAGCGTAGGAATACTGCGATCTGCTGAAAGAGGCGAACGACTTTGTTGGGATTGTCGTTCCCTGGAGCTTAACAAAACATCTGGAAGCGGTATTGAGGTTGAGAATACACTTTGGAGTCATCTTGCTTATCGGTACAAGGATACGTTGCGCTTTTATATCGTGAGCTGCAGGACACCAAATTGACCACGGGGATACGGGGCGTTCGCCCCCGTGCAACCGAATTTCAAAAAAGGTGTAAATTCCTGTACCCCGGACAGCATTCTTAATTAGGTAATCGTATCGGAAATACGGGGGTCCATTACAGGAACATTGTGGAATCATCGAGCAATCTAAATGGTTCATTCCCTTTTCGGTACTCGACCGGGTTATCGATAAAATATGTTTCACGCCATGCTTCCATTGTGGCTGAGTCATAGGGTCCGTAAATTTCTTCCTGTCCGGGCCATCGATAGTACCACTGATCGGCAGTTTCGTCCTCTCTTTTCCGTTTGCGCTCAGAACCCGGGGCAGTGGGCATCTTCTGCATTAGTTCTTCTCTTGACACCTCGTAAATCTCTGCAATGCCATCTTCCAGAACCTCAATTGCGCTCATTACCTGTGCAATTCGCTCTCGAACACGTTTTTCGTCCTCCGTCTGACCTTTTTTCTTTAATCTTCTTGCCTCACCATTTAGCCGTTGTAGCAATTCGACCACACTTTCCGCGGGCTCCATCAGCTCACAAAGATTTTCTATCACTTCATTCACGTTAGCAGACCGCAATCTCCGAGCCTTGTCGTCCTCGTGTTTCCGCCTCTCCTCCTGTCGTCGCAATTCGGCCGCACGAGCGTTCTTAATGTCTTCATTTTTTACATCGTCCAGCCAATCCTCGTCTTCACTTTCTTCCTTGGTCCGCACATAGTTGCCGTCTTGATCAAACACTCCTTCCTTCGTCTCTTGTTTAAGGTTGAACGCCTCAACTTTGACCTCTTGATCGTCTTCCTCCACTACGCTCTCATTAGAGTCAAGTTCCAATTCTTCGCCAAAGGCGTCCATATCCATAGTCTTTCCCCTGTCATTTTCGCTCTCTGAGTCGGACCCGTAAACATCTGCTTTGACCTGTCTCAGTCTGCGTCGTCTTTTTAGATCGGACATAAATCGAAAAAAAATATTCATCGCAATGCCCTGCGAACAAAAAGACATAGACTTCGACTCGCTGCTGAACCTTGAAAACCAGTACTACCAGGAAGGATTTCTTGAAGGGCAGCTGGAGGGCTCGAAACAACAGTTTCTGGAAGGCAAGCAAATTGGCATTCAGACCGGTTTCCAGCGTCTTCTGGTTCTCGGTCAGTATAAAGCACTAGTCGCAATATGGATCAAGCAGACACAGCAAAAAAACGATGCCGGCGCCACAACGGACGACAAGGGTAAGCCAAGACAGTACTCCAAAATCCTACAGAGTTTAACCGAGTTGCAAATGCTTATTGACACTCTCTTTGAAAATGGTCGAGCACAAGTTACGAACAGCGATTCCGATGTCGAAAAATACGATAACGTTCTCAAACGGGTTCGTACAAAAATGCGCTCTGTTTGTCCCATTTTTGGCGAAAACTACAACGACATCGAGGAGATCGCAATGAAAGTCGGAGGAACGATACAAACCGAGCAGAAAGATGAATGGTGAGATCTAATCGATTAGGAAATTTTCTATTTCAAATCCCACTTCGTCCGAGAACTTCTTGATAACGCTCCAGTTGACGTTGCATTTCCATTTGGTGCCGCCTCCGATGGTGTCGCCTAGCTTCAATTTCATGATGGATTTGAGCGTCGAAAGCGTGGCTAATTCCGATAAGAGCTCTACGTCGTTCAATAGAGGCTCGTCGCAATTCTCGTCATATATTGCATGTAAGATTGCTAGCAGCCTTTCGAGCGTGAAAGCCTGCGGCGAAAGCATCCGGGACGACAGCTGGTCGCTTGATTTAGTGCTTTTTTTCTTGGAATGACGAACTTTGCGGTTCGAGCGCGCTTCTCTCTGCTTTGAGAACAAAATTAAATCATATTTGGGGTCGTCGTAAGATGCAAGGTATGCTGCGATCAAAATGTACTTGGTCTTTTTGGGCAGGTCGCTTGACGGAATGTCAGCACTGGCCAGGTCGTCCAAAAGAGCCAGCTCGCTTTGCAACAATGACTTATTCCGCTGAAATGTGGTGAGCACGTCATTAGTGCCGTTTTGGATGCGTCCGAGCTCATTGACCGGGTTGATGAAAATCGGCCACAGCTTTGCCAGCACAGGGATCATGAGCCCAATATCTGTACCAAAATATGATGTGTAAGTGTCTAATATGATGTCAAGAAATTGTCGAGCAAAGGACCTGAACTGGAGGGGAGGTAAAGACGACGGGCCTGACTCGGTTAGCCGGTCAAGCAAGATGTCCTTGATCTGGTTGATGGAGTAGCTGGTAAATGCAATGGTAGGCAGTGCAAGAGTTTGAATATTAAGCAAGTCACTGCGGTTCACCACGTAGACAAATGTGAATAAATTCAGAGCTGGACTCTGTTCATGAGCTCTCGACAGCGCTGTGCAGAGCTCTGATGAGTTTTCATTTGGAAGCAGTCTTTCCACGCGATCAAGCACAAACACCACGGGAAGATGCCGTGCGCCATCGCACATGGTGGTGTATATGTGCTCAATCTGTTTCAGGACCTCCACAAAAGTCCCGAGTCCGTCGCACTTACTGATCATCTCTGCTGACTGCTGAACGTTCATATCGAGTAAATTGATCAAGTTGCGCAGAATCGTGTGCAAGATCGTTTTGCGCGTGAGACAGTACTCGCATTGGATTTCTGAAAACAGGATCTGCTCATTTCGTTGCAAACGTTCAAAGTATCTGCGCAGAGTGTAAGTCTTCCCTGAGGAAGAAGGACCCTCGACCAGCATTGATGGTGCCATGGGACCAAGTTCCGGGTTTGCGTATGCCGCAAGAAGGTCCAGCTGGTAGGATCGGAACCGGCAATCGACCGGTGAAATTGTTGGATCCATGTACTAAATTCTAGCTGCTCCGGTATTTAGAGCTCGTCCTAAATTAATTTCCAGAAATTAAATTTCTATTTATATTATTTAGGCAACCGTTTAAGTCAGAACACTGGAATCATTCTGGTAGCTACGCTAAAGTTAAAACCCGACAGTGAACACGATGTCCGAAAGTTCACGCTTATTGCCTCCTCCATACTTCCAGGCGGAGGAAGAGCCTCCTGAATATGAGTACACCTTTGAGAAGCCAAAGGAGCCCGTGGAGTCTGACAGTTTCGAGGAGTCGTTCAAGATTGCTTCGCCAAAATACCATGACAAGGTGTTCACCTTCATCTTCTTTGCCACACTGGTGCTGTTTGGCATCATGGCCAGCCACAGCGTAAAGAACATCAAGAACCACGAATACATCCTCGAAGTCCAGGCCGCGGCAAACCCGTCTTTGTGGCCCCTGGTGGCCTCGGCCTTTGTGGTTCCAATTGTTTGCTCGGTGGTATTACTGGTACTTGTGTGGGCCTATCCACTGTTTTTCGTCCTAGCCGGCTACTTCCTCCTTCCGCTAGTGATGTTTGGACTCGCCACCAGTCTGTTTGCAACGGGAAAACCAGGAGCCGCAGGAATAGTTCTCTTCGTGGGATTCTTTCAGATTTGGTACCTGGCCTCGATCAGAAGAAACCTAAGCTTCACTAGCTTGGTGTTCCGCATTATCATAGAGACGATGGCCGATTATCCTTCGACACTGGTGGTTTCATGCTTGAGCTCTGTTGTTTCAGGCATATGCTCTCTGATCTTCTTTGTGCTTGCCGCAGTCATCGCTTACGATCGTCTCAAACAAGACGACGCCAACTGTCCACACGAGGACGGCAACGACGTTTGTGTGTCCAACACCACCCTTGCAGTCGAGTTATTCACACTGTTCACCGGCTGTTACATATTCGAGGTTCTCGAAAACCTCACTCACGTGACCATCAGTGGAATCTACGGCTCGTGGTATTTCTTCCACCGGTCTGCAGTGAAGCCGCGGAACCCGGCCTGGGGATCGTTCAAGAGGGCCATCACGTACTCTTTTGGAAGCATCTGTTTCGGATCGATACTTGTGCCGATCACGCGCACAATCAGACAGATCATCACCTTTGGAAAGGAGAAAGTGATAAACAGACAGTACGGCCGCGACGAGGAGGAAGAAAATGGACTACTGTTCTGTGCTCTGATTTGTCTGTTTTCCATTCTCGAGTGGCTCGCAGACCAGGCAGAGTTCTGGATCAAGTGGTTCAACAAGTTCGCCTTCTCATATCTCGCGCTCTACGGAAAGGACTACCTCTCGTCATCCAAAGACACTTACGAGCTGCTGAGATTTAGAGGCCTGCTAGTTTTAGTGACAGACTGCTTGGTGGAGTCGACCTTGACGCTATACTCTATCCTGATCTCTTTGACGAGCGGTGGCGTTTTCTACCTGCTTTACAAAACGACGTCGCTATTTGATCGTCTGCCTCAGGAGTTTGTGATTCTGGCATTTATCGTGCAGCTGCTCTTGAGCTTATTCATCGCCAAGGTGACGCTCAACTCGTTCAATTCCGGCTTTATCACATTCCTGGTCGCCCTGTGCATTAATCCAGAGGTGTTTGAGCAGAATTACCACGACTACTACGTCAAGCTCACTAATTATTATCCAGAGATCAGCCATACGCTAAAAACTCCATTTCCGGACTATGTATAAATAAATATTTTTTAATGGAAAAATTCAGCGATTGGAGAGATAAGGGCACGGGGATCTCTCCGTTTATGCCCATACCGCCCGCCAACAGCTCTGTGCTTGTGAAGTACGTGATGGGTCCAATTCTGGCGCTTTTGAAGATCGTTCCATCGGCAATCTTGTGCTTGTTGTCGGCTCTCTGCTGGCCAGTTGGATTTCTCTTCAGGCCGGTTCTGAGGCTGTTGCTGCTGGTTTTGTTTAATGTCAGCGAGATCGAGTTTCTGGCTGACGGGGCCAAAAAGTCCAATACCAAAATGATTAACTCGAAACGGCCAGACAAGGGCCAATTGGTGTTTGTCAACTTTTCTTCTCCTTTGGACTGTCTTGTCCTGTACCTGGTCAGCAAATCGAACAAATGCATTTTCCTCACCGCAGACAGCAGGGGCAATCTCAGGAAACTCAATGGCCTCTTAGAAACCTTCAGCTTTGCTCTAGCCCAGCCCCAGCTCACCTCCCCGGCTGCAGACCCAGTGGACCTATCCAAATTGAAAAACAGTGTGGTATTTGTTCTAGCGGAAGGAACAACGACCAACAACAGGAGCGTTCTTGCATTTCCACCGATCGATCTATCCGCCATCTACTCCACATACAAAAACACGTTCGAGTTTAAAGCTATCAGCATAAAAATTCTACCTCCCTCATTGGTGACCACTCCCATACCCCAATCAGCAGCCTCGTATCTTTATTCTCATTTGAGCCATCTCAAGCTAGATGCGAGGTTCAAGCTCAAAAGTTTTGACCTTGGGGATTTGAAGCCAGCCACCGTCAGGGAGAAGTTGTCCAATTACGGAGCTCTGAAATTGACTGGCCCGGATCTTGACATCGCCAAAAAACTGTCCTTCATCTCCGCCTATAATAAAACCACTAGACGTGTATAATAATCTATTTAGTGAGACCTGGTTTGGGAGGCACAAACTCTCCAGACGGATATCTCAAAACCGCAGCGTTCGTGTAGTCACTTCTCCTGGTACCGCCAGCCCTGCCAACTCTCAAGTACAGTTTCTGCTCCTGCGAATGGGCGGAAGCGTACCCAAGCAGCTCCGCAAACCGGCTGTTTTCGGCAGCAAGGGCCTCCAAGCTCACAGAGCTATTCGGACCGTTGTACCACTCCATGTCGTTGATGATGAGCGAGTACCGGCTTAGTTTGTCGTGGGGCGCGATAAACTCGCCATTGATCATTATCGGATTGTCTGTTTCGCGAATATGCCAGGAAACACTGGAGTTCGAGCGCTCGTACCCCAGAAACTCCGGAGGCTTGATTTCTCCTGATGGATCCGACCGTCTCAATGATCTGTCGGTCTCCTCGATCGACGCAAGCCCCCACCGCGAGACTCCATTCACCAGCAGGCCGAGCAAGACGCCCTGGAACAAAATCGCAGTCATTCCCTTGGTGTTGGTTCCTGGAATAAGGAGCAGAGCCAGAATGTAGTGATGGATTCTGAGGTTCAGACCAGAAAGGTTTCCCAGCACCACCAGAGCTCCGATAAAGCCAAGGTACAGCTTGAAGTACATGCGGAACTTGCCGGCCTTCCACAGGTGGTACGCCTGGACAACCACGCCGACGGCGATGGTCACAACGATGCCCAGTGTCGCAAAGATCGACCCTGGCTGTGTAAGGATGTCGGTTATGGTGAGACGGTCTACTGGGAGCCTGTCGAATGTGACATTGTTGAGCATTCCGACCCAGAACAGCGGGTACCAGATCAGTGTCTTGCAGATGGGCGAGGATGGGTGACTAAGGGTTGTTTGGCAGGCAGCTTTCCAGACGACGTAGAGGATGAAGCACAATGGCAGCAGTCTCTCGAAACCGAGCGAAATGAGTGTGGCCAAAGACTCTGGGTCCTGGGCTTTCACCACAAGCGGCGGGTCAAACGTGAGAATTATCGTCCAGAATCCGCTGAGGCAAACGGTCCAAAAGGCCAGGCTTCCGTTGGCTGACATATAAATTACCGGCAGACCCAGCAGGATATTGATAAAAGCGACAAGCACTCGTGGGTCGAAGCAGTTGTGGCACTTCGGGGTCTTGACAAACTGGTAGGATGCCGGGAAAAAACTGTCAAAACCTATGGACCCGTCTTTGGCAGGAAACTTCGGCTGCGGTCCGACGAACCTGATTTTGGCACAGCCGCCAAAATAGGGCGAGACCAGGCCAGCGTGAACGGCTGCTCCACAGGGGAACGAGTCCGCCCGGTAGGGATAAGAGAGGGTGTCGTTTTCGGGAGTTTCGGTCCTGCCTCCACCGACGGTGAAACTTCGGTACTTGATATTCTGGTCTCCAACCGGGATTGAAGAGTATGTGATGGATTCCGAATCGCACAGCGCCGGACACCGCAAAACAACCTCTCTGTCGTCGAACGGAGCGCACTTTGCTCCTGCAAGCCCGCACCTCTGATTCTTGCCCTTCCATATCGACGATTCTCCACGACAAGAGATACTAATGATATCCATTGATTTGCCGGAAGACTCATCTTGATAAGTTGGCTGCTCGGTAAGATAGGACGAGAGGGCCTGCTGGAGTATCACAAGCCAGAAAGCGTAGTATAGAAGGATGAAGGGGAGCTTGATTTTCGTAGGAAAGGAGCTGGATATTCGATGCGGGAAGTTCTCGAACTGCTGGGCATATGGGCTCCTGATCTGGGGCGGATCATCCACCGGATGTGCCGGGCCGTGCCACAGACCCTTTAGGAAGGCTTTAAGCTTGGAGTTTGGGGAGCTCAGAGGACTACCGTTGCTGAGCTGTGAGAGCCGGCTCTCCTGCTCCGTGGACTCCTGCGAACTGTTGGAGCGGGATTTGACAATTCTGTGCAGCTCTATGTCATCTGATATGGCAAACTCCGAGTCTGAAGAGACCATTGGGAAAAAGACTGGGAGTTATAAAATAGAGTTGCAGAATACCGGAAGCTCTTTTTACAGGCAGGATGAAAAACTACACAGCCTTCACATTTTGGGGTAGCAAACAATGATAATGGGGGTGTGAGTAGGGAGGGCCAAACAAGAGCCTGGGGGGCCAATCTCGCTTTCCAATTTATGATCCTATAGCAGGCCATCTGCTCAGCCATTTTCAAGCGCATATTCGCCTCCTTGGCAAAGAGTGCTATGCCATATGTTTTTTCACGACTTTATTATATATGCATGACACATTAAATAATTTTCCAGTTAAAATATTTTCATTTATTTCTAATGAGTGCTGTAGCTGGATCACACAAAAATAACGAACTCCTCGAATTCGAGAGAGGCCGCTCGGCCACTCCAGCTCCTGAAGAATACGACGATGTCAGGATCGCAGGCTACGAGCCCCTGGTCTCTCCCGCTCTTCTTCAGCAGGAGGTGCCTCCAACAAAGGCGTCCCTTGCTGCGGTCATCAAGGGAAGAAAAGCGGCCAGCGCCGTGGTGAAACAGCAGGACGACCGTCTGCTGGTTGTTGTTGGACCTTGCTCTCTCCACGACCCGGTTGCCGCCATGGACTACTGCAGACGTTTGAAGAAACTGTCTGATGAGCTTTCAGGAGAACTGGTGGTGATTATGCGTGCCTACCTTGAAAAGCCTCGTACCACTGTGGGATGGAAAGGACTGATCAACGACCCAGACCTCGACACGACCTTTAACATCAACAAGGGTCTCAAGATCTCGAGAAAGCTGTTTGTGGAGCTAACCAACGAGGGTATGCCTATTGGTTCCGAGATGCTCGACACCATCTCTCCGCAATTCCTCGCCGACCTCCTGTCCTTTGGCGCTATTGGCGCCCGTACCACGGAGTCGCAGCTCCACAGAGAGCTGGCTTCCGGATTGTCCTTCCCTATCGGTTTTAAGAACGGTACTGATGGCTCTCTGGACGTGGCAATCGACGCTATCCAGGCCGCTGCATCCCCTCACCACTTCATGGGTGTCACCAAGCACGGTCTCGCTGCCATCACCACCACCAAAGGAAACGACAACTGTTTCATTATTCTGAGAGGTGGCAAGAAGGGCACCAACTACGACGAGGCATCTGTTGCCGAAGCCAAGTCGAAGCTTCCTCCAGGAGGAGTCTTGATGGTGGATTGCTCGCACGGAAACTCCAACAAGGACTACAGAAACCAGCCAAAGGTGTCGAAGGAGGTGGCGAGACAGATCGCCAAGGGTGAGGATAAGATCATCGGAGTTATGATCGAGTCTCACATCAACGAGGGCAAACAGTCGATTCCGAAGGACAAGTCCGAACTCAAATACGGCGTCTCTGTCACCGACGGCTGCGTGTCGTGGGAGACCACCGTGCAAATGCTCACGGAGCTGGCCGAGGCCGTCAAGATTCGCCGGACCCTAAAATAGATCTTGTACACGACTGTATAATTTTTCAGCCTAAAGATTTTAGTTAGTCATTTTGCAAATATCGACACAGAGCAATGGCAAGAGAGGTTGTCCACGTGATCGATCTTGAAAGCGGGAACCTGCGCTCGCTGCAGAACGCCATCGAGCACCTGGGCTATGAGGTGGAGTTCATCAGACGTCTAGAAAACGGCTCTTTGATGCATGTCCAGAAGCTGATTCTCCCTGGAGTAGGCAACTTTGGCCACTTCGTCCGCGAGCTGCGTGCGCGCGGCTTTGTGGAGCCTCTGATGGAGTACATAGACAGTGGCCGTCCACTTTTGGGGATCTGTGTTGGGCTACAGACTTTCTTCAAACGGTCAGAAGAGAGCCCAGAGGTGCAGGGCCTAGGGCTCGTGGACCTTGATTTGACCCGATTCGACGACTCAGACAAGTCCGTGCCCGAGATTGGATGGAACTGTGTCCGCGTTCTGGGCTCAGAGGATGGCTCGACGCTGTACGCCATGGATCCCGGCTCTAGGTTCTATTTTGTCCATTCTTACGCGGGAATCGTCCGCAGCGAGGATATCGACCGGTTGCAAAACGAGGGATGGACCTTGGCCGTGGCCACTTACGGATCGGAGACTTTTATTGCCGCAGTGGTGAAGAACAATATTTTTGCTACGCAGTTCCACCCAGAAAAATCAGGAATTGCAGGTCTTCGGCTGATCGAGTCGTTTTTGAAGCAGGAAAAAAACACAGCTATTGTCAACAAGGCCCTGGAAGACGTTGAGAAGACACCCACAGGTCTCACGCGTCGTGTTATTGCCTGTTTGGACGTCAGAACTAACGATAACGGCGATCTCGTTGTCACCAAGGGAGACCAGTACGATGTGCGAGAAAAAAGCGACGCTGGAGACGTGCGGAACTTGGGAAAGCCGGTGGAGATGGCCGAAAAGTACTATCGCCAAGGCGCAGACGAGGTGACGTTCCTCAACATCACCTCGTTCAGAAACTCTCCAGTGAAAGATGCTCCTATGCTTGAAGTGCTGCGGCTAGCGGCCAAGACCTGTTTTGTTCCTCTTACAGTTGGTGGAGGAATCAAGGACGTGATCGACCCAGACGGGACTCGCATACCTGCCCTGGAAGTGGCCAGTTTGTACTTCCGTGCCGGAGCAGACAAGGTCTCGATAGGTTCGGACGCAGTGAGTGCTGCCGAGAACTTCTATGCCAACGGCGGCAAGTGCACCGGCACGACGCCAATAGAGACAATTTCCAGGGCATACGGAATCCAGGCTGTTGTGATTTCCGTTGATCCAAAGAGAAAGTACGTTGCTGATCCTGCCAAGTGCAAGTACAAGTGCATTGAGACGAAAGTCCCGGGGCCTCAGGGGGAAAAATACTGCTATTATCAGGTGACATCGCAGGGAGGTCGTAAAGTCCATGAGCTGGGCGCCTATGAGCTTTGCCAGGCATGCGAAAAATTGGGAGCTGGAGAGGTGCTGCTCAACTGCATAGATAAGGATGGAACAAACTCCGGATACGATTTCGAGCTGATCAACCAGATCAAGAGTGCAGTGTCGATTCCCGTGATAGCTTCGAGCGGAGCGGGAAAGCCAGAGCACTTCGAGCAGGTTTTCAAAAATACCGCCGTCGACGCTGCTTTGGGAGCAGGCATGTTCCACCGCGGTGAATACACTGTCAAACAGGTCAAGGACTACATGAGAGAGCACGGGCTGTGCGTGCGTCTAGACGAGCACATGGAATAATCAGGAACAACCAATGATGCTTGTAAAATACATAATATGATACATCTATTCTAAAGACTTCTCGAACTCCTCTATTTTTTCTGCTCTCTTTTTGGCCTCCTCTTCTGAGAGCTTTATGCCGGCGCTGACACTGAACTGTCCGCCACAACCCACTAGCACGATGTTGTGGTCTCTGGTGGCGGTGTTGTTGATTCTGGTAGGCTTGGCAACGTCCTCGTCCAGGTTTCCAAGTCCAAGTGCATAGGTGTCTGCGAATCCCCACGAGAAGGCAATACCGTCCTCCGTGACAGCAACCGAGTGATGAGAGCCGGCAGCAACAGCCTTACATTTAGGCAGAGTGGTAAGTTTCGTGGCAACAGGCAGAGATCTCACGTTGCCGTGTTCGTCGGTGATAACACCATCTTTCGGGAGTTTCTCCTTCTCAATACCAATCTCTTTCATGTCGAATCGACCAAAAGTGTAAACGTCACCTGAAGCCGACAGGGCCAACGAATGATGCTCGCCTCCTGTCACATACACAATGTCCTTACCGGTGAGCTCTTCGATCTCGGTCGGTTTCGAAACAACAGCCCCGTCCTCGATGTCAACGTGGATGCCACACTGGCCGTACTGGTTCAGTCCCCAGCTCAACACCTTGCCATCAGTGGTTATGGCAAAGGAATGGAATTCTCCTGAGCCAATGGCTTTGACATTTTTCAGTCCAAAAGAGCGTGGCTCCAGAGATGTCATTCTAGTTCTCTCCAGAATTTTTCTTCCCAGTTGGTACTGTTGTCCGTTACCCCATGCATATACAACTCCCTTCGTGTCAAGACCCAACAAATGATCTTTTCCGGCAGCCAACTGGACAATATTCTCGAAATCAGGAATTTTCACCGGACTTCGTTGGATCTTGACGTCTTGGTTGAACCCAAGAATCCCCTCATTGCATCTAAATGTTCCCCAAGCGTAAACTTCGCCTGTCTCGTACAAGACAGCAGACAGGTTGTCGGTAGCTGCTAGCTGCACAATTTTTTTGTCCTTTGGCAAACCTTCGACAATAGCGGGTGTCGACTCCAAAGGATTCAAATCACCGTCTTCGTCTTCACTGTCGGCGTCGGCATCTCTGAGCTGCTCGGCGCCAGACTTGGCGGTATCTCTTCCCAAAACGCCCGAGTCGTTTCCTCCCCACGACCAGACCTGATTCTTGTGATCCAGGGCAAGAGTGTGCATTCCCCCCACGGCAAAATCAACAATCCCCACATCTTCTTTCTTCAACAAAGGGTTCAGTCTCGGTCTCTTGACCTCTTTGGTGCTGGCAGCTGGTCCAAGACCCAGCTCGCACATAGATCCAGAACCCCACACAAAGACATCGAGCAAATCAGTTTTAGGGGCAGGAATCGTGTTGATTGTCTTCAGTCTCGAGGCTCTCAATGCCTGGAAAGAGTGCGACGTCTTTGCCCTCTTGGCGTCAATTGGGCCTTCGGACGAGGCACGTTTGGTTCCGTTGACCTGGGTCTCGCTTGATCTTTTGAGGGCCACCATAATGAATATACAACGAGAAACTAAAAAAAAAAAAACCTGAAATCAAATGATAGTATATTTCTGCCATGGCAAATTCGTTTTCGTATTTCCTGATTAAATTTTTTTCCTAAATTTTTTTTAATATATTTTTCACTCTATCATTATGGGAAAGATCAGCACCAAGGACGCCAAAGACAAAATGCGGCACAAGCCGCTGTACAAGGATATCACAGAGACTGGTAATCTGAGAGTGGGGAAACGTTCGAAGCACGAAAAGACTGGCGAAGAGGATGCAGAGGACGATTTTGTCCTGGATGCTGCGGCTTCCAGAAAGGTCCTGAAGCTTGCTAGAGAACAGCAAGAGGAGATCGCCCTCGAGGAAAACCGTTTGCAGGTCTCAGAGAAACCGAGGTTTCAAATGATTGCGCACGAATCTGACGATTCGGACGATGACGCAGTCTACGAAGAGATGTCGGATGACGGTGAAAACGAATATTACGACGAAGAGGTTGAAGAAGTAGACGAGGAAGATGTGAAGTTGTTTGAATCATATTTCAAATCGGAAAACAATGCATTTGGCAGCTTCAATCTAGCTGACAAAGTCATGGCCAAACTACAGGAAACGCAGCAGAAGAAGACGGAACAGACAGAGAGACCACAGGACAAAGTTTTACTTCCACCAAGAGTCATAGAGGCCTATGAGAAGGTCGGACAGAGTCTACATGTGTGGAGACATGGAAAGCTGCCGAAACTTTTCAAGGTGCTTCCCAGCATCAAGAATTGGGAGGATCTGATTTTCGTGACAAACCCTGAAGCATGGACTCCTCAGGTGACGTACGAGGCTACCCGATTGTTTGTTTCTAACTTGACGGCGAGTAAAGCAGAGAGATTTGTTAATCTGGTGCTTTATCCAAAAGTCAGACAAGATATTGAGGAAAGCGACGATCATAAACTGAATTATCATCTCTATCGTTCATTAAAAAAATCATTATATAAGCCTGCCGCATTTTTCCGAGGATTCCTGTTCCCATTGATTGAAGACGGATGCACAACAAGAGAGGCAATGATCGTGGGGTCAATCTTAACCAAGTGCTCGATTCCTGTCCAACACTCCGCTGTGGCGCTCTCGTGGCTATTGCAAAAATACTTCAACCCAGCGACGACCGTGTTCATCAGAATTCTAATTGAGAAAAAGTACGCATTACCATACCAAACCATCGACGACCTGGTGTTTTATTTCATGCGCTTCCGTGTGATCACGGAAGAAACAAGAAATGACATCATACTAGACGACGACACAGAGATTGCTGAGCAGAGACGGCTCAGAGATGCGTCTCCAATGCCGCTTGTCTGGCACAAGGCGTTTTTGGCATTCGCACAACGGTACAAAAACGACATCACTGAGGATCAGCGCGATTTCCTCATGGAAGTTGTCAGACAACGGGGTCACCGCGAGATTGGACCGGAAATCAGACGTGAATTGCGCGCAGGAAAGGAAAGATCCACAGGTACCATCAAGGAGGACAAGGAGGACGACATCATGTCATTTTTTTAATCATTTTTGTCCTCATAATCCACTTTAATAAATATTGTCGAATAGATAAATTCCTCGCCTTGCTGATCGTACAAGGGAAGATGTCTGTAGCCCTGTTTCAAGTAATCGAGCTTGCACGTGTGCGTTCCAATGAGTTTTTCGGAGCCATCATTGGTGCACTTGACCAGGAAGCGCAAAAAAACGAAATCGATGTCGTTCGTGAGATACGTTGCCGAGCAGCTTTGATTCCAAACAGGATTGAACCCATTTTGGGGTACTGGAGCTGTCCTAAACACAACAGAGGGTTCTCCGAGTTTGATCAATTGCTCAACGAGAGATTTCTGGTGACTGGGGGACTCCATCTTGATGACCGTTCCCAGCTTCTCGGTCTTGGAGTTGACGTTAGCCTCCAATACCTCTGCACAATAAAATTCCAGCTCTAAGAAAGGATCAAAAAAGTCCGATTTGATGTCCTTGGGTTTGGGAAGTTGTTGTCCAGAAATGAGCTCAATGCTGACGCGCCGACTTCGCTCGAATTTCAAGCAGCCCAATGGATCGATATTCTGCAACTTCGGGTTTCTGATCCGCAGACAGGAAGGTTTGAGCACGTAACCAGAGTTGGTTCCTATATTAAATAGTGTCTCGTTGATCTGCTGTCCCACATCGTAGACCTGCCAGTTCGTTGCAACCAACTGGCACCCCAGCTCCCAGAAAAAGAAGGGATTGAAATTATTTGAACTGAAACGATAAATTGATGGATAAACTCTCATGAGAAACCTCCTGTTGTGCTTCACAATAGCAAAAAACTTAGCTTCCTCCCTGACCATTTTCACTAATGTCTTGTCACTAAAGGAAAAACAATGGTTGAACGTCTTGGACTCGGGGAGAGAGAAGTTGCGGAATTTAATTCCAATCACATAGATCCCGAGGTTGCCCAGCTCCTGAGAGACCTTGATGGTCTTTCTTTTCTTAGGAACAATTTTTGTGATTGTACTATTGTCTTCGCTAAACGAGGATAACGACGAGGACATACTTTCAGAGCTTCCTCCCTCGCCTGTGGACTTTTTCACTTTCACTAGAATTTTATGTTTCAATTGCGCGGGAGAAGGCAGCGTTTCGAAAGGCGATTTGACAGGATATTCGAGCAGCCGGTCTTGTAAAATATCCTTGAGGACCTTGGCAGCTTTCAGCTGATTCTCAGCATTGCAGCGTACCTCTAGCGATAATATAACAGGATAGGGAGACGTGATGAAAGAGTACTTCTGGATTGTCTCCACCACCAGTTGAAATTCAATGGAGCTGGAGAAAGTGCGGCCGTGAGTAACCACTGGTCCTTTTTCACCATCCCAGAGGTCTATCTCAATGCAACGACAGCCTCGTTGTAATGCCCTAATGTAACCTTCGATTGAGGCGGTTCCATTAACTTGTCTTCCTAATAAATATGTATTGTGCGATGAGGAAATAAAATACTCATTGAGCGGGTATGAGTAGTCCTCTTGGATGCTGATGTATGGCTTCGAATATGAGCTGGTGAGAAAACTTGCAAATTCGTCGTAATCGAGATACAGTTGTGATTTTGAAAAGCGATGAAATATCTGCTCTGCCTGCGAGTAGGTGATATTTTCCTTTTGTACCTCAACGAGAAAATTGCAAAATTCCTCGAAAGTCAGTTTTCCCGGCGTGACTCTGGCTTGTTGATCAAAGATGGCCCTCAGCTCCTTGCGGTCTCGAAGCAAACCGACAAACTTCTTGAAGTCCTGAAAATCCAGATATCCCTTAGCTTCTGAGTCAGCCATGCGGAAAAGATTTTCGAGATACTCCGGACTGGCGTGGACATGAAGCTTGGACACCAACTTGAGGACGCCCTCAAACGAGAGATGCTCGTTTTCGGAGTTTTTGTTGTTCCAGTGCAAGTCAGTGAACAGCTCACTGATACTGTCCATCTGCCGTTTGAAGTATACCAGGTTGCGCAACGTGGTGACAAAATTATCGTACTCATGTTTTCCGGGAGCAATCATGTGCAAGGCTTTGATATTATTTGATTTGGAGTCCTTGTAGTAGATAATTGTTATCCATAAATCTTCGTAATCAGATGACACTTTAAACTCCTCCCTGTAGTTCTTGGCCTCGACACCGGTCCTGATCGCCTTGATCTTGTCAATTTCCAGGAAAGACGAGGCCTTGTTGTTCCAGATCAAATGATTGTTGTCCAGATTTAGACGGAAACACCGTTTGATCTTCTTCTTATGAGTCACTCTTAGCATCTCAATTCCCTGGTCGATGAGCTCTCGTGGAATCGACTTCTTGTCCAATGGCGTTGTGAACGTTTCTTCCTCGTGGTACTCCAAATTAGGTTGTGTTTTGCGCTCTGTCTTTGGATCGGGCTTTGTCTCTGGATCAGTTTCATCAGAACTGGAGCGCGATATCCTTCGGACTCGGCTGAGAATACTCATCAAGCTTTTCCTGTCGTCACTGTGGTCGCTAAACGAGTCGCTGTCACTCTTTTTCCGCGGAAACCCCAACTTGTGGATGCCCTTGTGAGAGGAATCCGTAGGAGAGGAGGGCAGAGGAATGTGCGCCAGGTCTGAGTCCTGAGACTCCGGTGGCGACTTGTTGCGCAGCACCAGCAGCCGCTCAGATAGCAGCGACTTCACCGGAGCCGAGCCATTTGGCGCCGAGGACGACGAGGACAAGGGCGCACCTGTCATCTGGGGAAGAATATTCAGAGCTTAAAAGGCAATATAAATTAAAATAGGACGTGGTGTAGAGATGGCAGCGGGCCCGCGGGCCGGCGTTTCTATTTTGGGCGGCTGTTAGATTTCGTTGGCAGGCCTGGCCCACGATCAGTAAAAATAGCGCAAGGGGAATATTTGGTCGCCGTGCGGATGCGCAATGACATCATGCGAGAAATTTATTTTCAGTGGTCTGGTAAAGGAGTAAAGTTTAATATATCCGTTAAACGAAAGGCTAGGCTTGTATTAAACTTTTGTAGGGCTCTTTCTTTTTTTTCGCCTTTGAAATTATATTTAGCAAAGTGACGCATCAAATTATACTACTAGATCCCGTCCTATATATCAGAGATCGTATGAGCTACTGCTTCATATGTCTTTTCTGAGCAACACGCCGAACCACGTTTCCACGAAGGGTAAACAAACAAACGATATAGATTATTTTTCAGAATACTTGAAGTTTTCGACTCAGAATAAACAGAACCCAGCTTCAATGCCCTTGGCACCCGTGAATGAAAACCACAAACAGTCTGTCAAGGACCACCAAAAATGTGCCAATTCGATATCCTCGCTTACCTCAGACTCCACGCTCGTTGACTCCGCCAACGATGCCGTGCATCCTTCTGATGGGCGAAACCTCTCCATCGCCAGCACAGAGACCCTATTCGAGCCCTCCCAGCTGATGTCGCTCAAGATAAACGAGGAAGAGGAAGAGGAGGAGGAGGATAAGCACAAGCCACAGTCACAGCAGCCCACCCCGGTGAAGGCCAAATGCCACCGTCCAACAAAAAGCGAGGCTTTCCATATGACCAGGTTTTCTCCTGGCCAGCAAAAATTCAACTCCAAAGAGGCCTCAGCAAATACAGCAGATACGGCAGACGGACGCACATCTACAAGTGCTAACGGTTCTACAAATACAGTGCCGCCAGCACTCACGCTAAAAAAATTCCTTTCCAACACAGAGCCGGGTTCTCCGAGACCAAGCAGGTTCAAGGACTTCAAATACCCGCTACCGAAGGGAAGCTCTTTGATATCTTCTGAGGAGGCCTTTAGACACATTGAAAATTGGCGAGGCGTCGTGAGCGAAGATGGCTTACCTAATCTCTTAGTCGTTGACGTCAGACCTTTCCAAGACTATTGCAAATCGCACATTGTTGGCGCAGTCAATCTGTGCCTGCCCTCCACATTACTAAAAAGAGCCACGTTCACTTTGGACAGATGCATAGCGACCCTCACATCGGACGAAAAAGCACTGTTCCTCAACTATTTGAAAAGAGACCAGGATAATTTACCGGTCCTGATTTTTTACGATAATTCCACGGATTCGACCCAATCGGCCTCACTTTCTGTGAGCAATTTGGCTGCCAAGTTCGCCTCGTCTGCCACATGGAGCGCACCCATATACGTCCTGAAAGGCGGATTCTCCAAGTTTCAGGAACAGTATCCTTCCCATGTTGAGTCTGGCACCTCTGCTTCCAAGCCGAAAGTCATGATGATACCTAGCCCAGAGAAAGTCTCCCCACCACCCAAAGTCACCGTTACGCTTCCATCGCCGTCATCCTCCAACTCCTCCAACACAGCGTCCGCAAAGAAACCACGCTTTTCCAGCGACAAGTCCCCTATTTCTCACGGCCTTGCACACTTTATGCTCCCTGACACCGCTAGCAGGCCATTTTTCAAATCTAGACAACATGAGGAGTTTCTGACCGCCAGACCCGACATGTCAATGCATCTTTCGACTAACATTACGTCTCCCGACATGAAGATTCTTCCAACTTGGCTCAGTAACGTCATTGGTTCCGACTCAGGCGCCTCGGTCCTGTCACATAAATTCAACGAATTGCAGTCTCAGGAAGTCGAACGCCTCAACCAGGCTCTCTCCAGGCACTCTAGCGTGACGACGCCTAGCCCCGAAACCCCGTGCTTTTCAGCGGGAGTGGAGCTTGGCAGAAAGAATCGTTACAAAGATATTTTTCCTTACGAGCACGCTAGAGTCAAGATTCAAAAATATGACGTCGACGACGAGGAGCTGGACCAAGACGAGTCTTATATCAATGCCTCGTATTTGAGCTACCCTGGCTCGAAGCTGCGCTACATTGCAGCCCAGGGACCTTTGGAAGAAACTATTGGAGACTTTTGGAAAGTCATCTTTGACCAACGAGTGCCACTTATCCTGTCCCTAACTGCCCAGAAAGAGAACGAAGTTGAGAAGTGCGCCCCATACTGGCTTCCAGGCACATACTCTTCGAACGGTATATTCATCAAGGTCGACCAATTGGAGGAGATCACCGACTTCAAACTCACAGATAACTCACAGTGCGAGACTGTTGCCAGAAGATTGCGGCTGAAAATCGGCAACAAGCCAGAACACGAGGTGATCCAAATCCAGATACTCTCGTGGCCAGATTACGGAGCGCTGATAAGCTCCCATGACTTAATCTCGCTTGTGGCTTTCAAGAGATACGTTCTCTCTCGCACACAGACGGAAACAGTCCCGGTGATGGTCCACTGCTCTGCCGGGTGTGGCCGGACGGGCTGTTTCTGTACAATTGACTCGGTGATCGACGTCATGGTGAACAACCCGGAAAAAGGCAACGAGGACACCGACGTGGTGTACGAAGTCATATCGAATTTCAGATCTCAAAGGGTGTCTATGGTGCAAAACCTGAGACAGTACATTTTGATCTACGACACCATATTGATGTTCAAAAAATTGCAGTGTGGCGCAGACATCGGAGGAGATCGGTTTATCTACAATTGGAGCGCCCAAAAGTATGATATTCTCGACCATTACTTTGCCGATAAAGATGGTGAGCGCCAGTACCATAAATAGAGTAATTATATTTATTATTAGCCCAACACCAATTCGTACAAAATAACCACGACGTTGATAATAATCAGAGGGAATCGCAGCAGCGTTCTTGTGGCACCGATCAGATTCACCAGCCGTGACTTGATCGAGTCGATCGATCCGTCTACTGGCGAAGATGCGAGGTATGCGTTGTCAGCAGACGACGACGTGCTCCATCCAATCCTGTTCAGAAAACGGTCTTCGCTCAGAACTGCTATTCCGTTCACCGCAAACAGAATGACTGAGGTGTTAGACAACCGAGAAGGTGGTACTCACAATAAAATAACGTTCCCAAGCCAAACATGAGAAAGGAGAATTTGTAACGGAAAACGATATCGTCGCGTCGAAGATAAATAAAAGTAAATTTGTTTGCATCACTGTGCAAATGACGTCTGCCGTGCCGTACGAGCCCGATGATTTCGATAATAATCCCTTTGCCGAGAGCAGCATGATCATACATTCCCAGGATCAGCAGGCTGCAGGACCAAGCCAGCCAACGACTGCGTCTCCGCCGGCCAAGGACAGCCCAACGCAGCCCAAAGAACAAGACTCTCCCTTCCATCCAAAACCCTCCGACGACAATTTAAAAAGATACCTCCCCGAGCGACTGAACAGAAACTCGTTTGAGCTGAGTATCAACGTGGTGGAAATTGGCAACAACGGTGCTGAGATGGCCAAGAACCCGGTCTTTGTCCTGAATGCCTCGGTGAAGAACATTCCAGGGTTCAGGAAATCTGCCTACAAGGACGTTAGGAGATCCTACAGGGAACTCGAGGCGATCTATCGGTATCTGATATACAACAACATTGAGGTGTTTGTGCCTGCTATACCCACTATTCCAGCCCTATACAACGCTGGATCGCCCGAGTTTATGGCTACACTGCAGTCTTCGGTGCAACAATGGTTCAACAGAGTTTGCAGCAATCCAATTTTGATCCGGAACCAGGAGTTTGTGCTGTTTTTGGACCAGAACGACTTCAGTTACACGCCTTCGAAAACCAAACCCAACAACAGCTCTGTGATGGCCACAGGGCTCAAACGGCGCACACTGAAACAGTTCCAGCCGCCGTACGATGCATCACACGAGTTGGCCGCTTACAGGCCAATGATCAAAAGTATTCATGTGAACGCGCAGAGACTTGTTGAGAAACTGGACAAACTGTTGAGACTGCAGAAATCGTCCTGGCTCGTGAACTCTGATTTCTACAACAAGCTCGCAGGATTCCAGGCTCTTGAGGAAAGCCCCGAAATGGCCAAAATGTGGGCAAAGCTGAACAAAGTGATGCAGTTGTACAACGAGATGGATCTGGTGGAGGGTGTCAGTTTGACAGCGAACCTGACAGAGTTCTTTCAGTTGCTGACAGACGACTGCTATAATATCAAAGAGTCGCTGACAAACCGTCATCTGCTGATGCGCGAGCTCTTGAACGCAGAGGAAACCACGAAAAAACGCCATTCCATAATTGCAAGACTAAAGACAAAGTCCATCATCGACCCAGTCAAAGTCGACGAGGCCATCCGCGCCCTGGAGATGGCCAGCAACTACGAGAAGGAGCTCAAGTACCAAGTGAAAAGAACCACATATGAAATGCTGATTGAGTCCGAGGACTTCCTGGTGTACTTGACAGATCTGGCTAAGAAAACTTTCAAGACTCTTGCACAGCAACAAATACAACAACAGCGCAAGAAACTTCACCTTCTCAGCACAAACAAGCTGATCCACCCAACTGAATCTCTCAGCAGACTTGGCCGCGAAAACATGCTGCACAACGTGAGGAGCGAGCCTGGCTCAAAAGACTCTTCGGACCCGTGGAACTCGCGGCCGAAAAAGAAGTTCGAAACCGAACTGAGCGACCCGTTGACGGCAGAGTCGTCGCTGGGAAACGAACCTGCCGACCAGCTCGCACATCTGGACGCCAAGAGCGCGGCCAGTTTGCTGGCCAACTCGACCTTCTAGTCTCCTGGTGCACGGGTGTCAGTTTCACTTCTAAATATTATATAATCTGTAGACAATAAATGATGGTAGGAATATGTTTAAGAAGAAGATAGGGCTTTTACACAAGAAGGGAGAGAACGGGCAGCGCTCGCCGTCGCCAGAGCCTTCCCTGCGATCTTCGCTCAAGCCGCCCATTAGTCTTCCGCGGTCCCGTGGGGCTTCAGGAGTTTCCGCAGGTTTGGATTCTGTGCCGTTTTCTATAGAGGAGCTTCAAACGTACGGAGTGGCAGGCAAGGTTAAGACCGTGGCCTTTGATCCATTGCAAAGCCTGATGGCAATTGTCACAGACTACAACCATGTACACATTTTTGGACAGAGCCGAGTGAGCTGTGCTTTGACGTTGAACACCACCAGTGCCATTCGGTCTCTGCGGTTCATCAAGGGCGTGTATCTAGTGGCAGTGGACTCTTTCAAGACCATATTTGTGATTTCACTGGCTGCGAAGAAAGTGCTACACAAGATTGTTACCAGCAACCAGATCACTGCATTCGAGACAGACTACTCACTGGAATTTATATACGTTGGCTTCAACAGCGGGCTTGTGAAGGCTTTCAACATCGAAAGCGGCCTCGACACCATACTATCTTTGCGCGAACAGCAGTACAACACGTTCATATTAGAGAGCGACGTGCATGTGTCTTCGATCAAGCTGAACCCGCGAGACTTTGGCACTCTTCTAATTTCCTACACTAAAATGACCATTGAGTTCAATCTTGCGGAGAATAAAGCAGTCAAGCAGTTCGTGTACAAATTACCAAAGGGAGCACCGGGGGGAGAGAATGCAACGTACAAATATGACTCCTCTGGCTACTACATCCCGAACGTTGTTCAGTCGCTGTGGCATCCTAACGGTCTCCATGTTGTGACTATCCACGATGACAATTCGCTGGTTTTCTGGGATGCTCTTACCGGAGAACAGATACTGGCACGCTCGCCCTTTGACAGCTACATCGACTCGCCGTCGGGAGACACTCATCACGGTCCCAAAATGACCAAAATCAAAAAAGCTGCGTGGCTGTGCGAGCACGATCCAGAACGGACCTCCTTGCTGTTCTGTGGAGGAGACTCGTTTGAGACCGAGGGATACCACCAGCTTGTGCGAATGGATTTCGGCCGCATGCTCTCGTACTCGATGACAAGCTATACACAGATGGCCAAGTACTATGCGCAACCAAAACAGCAGAACATTTTCGCCATTCACGCCGCCGCCAACATTGTTGACTTTGTTCCGCTCGGAGAGGCGTCGCCCTACTATGACGGGAACCATGACCCAAAACTTATAGCGCTCACTCTGAGCGACGGGTCATTGAAGTTCATGAACTATCCTACCGGGAACCTCTCCTTCAAGGCCAGCTATTTTCCGTCCACGGTTTCGTGGCTGAATCCTAAGATCACGTTCTCGGCCTCTGCATTTATCGACAAAAGAGTCCTCAATGGCATGATCGACACCCACGGCTCTCAGAATAGCATTTTAAAGGGAGGAATTCCCGGCCGGCCAAAGTACAAGGCAGATGCCGGGTCTGTCATTGTCTCGGGCCACGAAAACGGCTACATCCGCATCTGGAACTCCTCTGAGGGAGAGCTGGATAGCTCGACTGCATTTGAGATTGACATCTCAAGAATTCTTCTGGACGACTCGCCTCAATACTCCATCTCAAAAGTGTCCTTTGCTGCCGAACAGCTTGAACTTTCGTGCAGTATGTACAACAACGACGTGCTGCTCTTTTCGTACCAACAGAACAAAAAATACCAGCCTGCTCAGGGCGACTTGAACCGGCGAATGAGCTCGCTGGAGCTCTCTTCCACCAAGGCGGAGCGACAAATAATCGATATCAGCGACCGTGCCCCAAGAGACTTGAAGAAAGGGTTCTTGCCCAAAGTGTTGGTGAAAAGCATGGGATATGGCACAGTGACGGCTCTGTGCAACAGTAATGTTGGACTCGTTGGTGTTGGCTACGAGTCCGGGCAGCTCGTGGTTGTCGACCGGAGATCGAACACTGTGATTTACAACACGCAACTGATTGACGACGGTCTCTCGCTGCCGATCGTGCCGACCTCCATTGAGTTCGCTTATGGACAACCGGGATTATTGATGATCGTGGGGACCCGGATAGGACGGCTGCTTATTTTCGAGGTCGTCTCGGGTGTACGGTTTTCTCTGCGGCTGGTGGAGCAGGTCGACTCCAACGACGCCGAGATCCTGGAGATTATCCCGATCAACTCGGAAACCGGACGTCCAAGTACGGCGTCCATCCGCCATCTGAGCTCGCCGCTACCGGCAGACAAAACGCCGCTGTCCATCATCGCAGCTTCTTCGAGCGACATACGAATCGTGAAGAACGGGTCCAAGATGGCCCACAAGACGTTTGGAAAGGGGGAATTGTCCAAAATTGGCATCACAGGCACAAAAACACAGAAAGGAAACGTTGCTTTCTGTTTGGTAGCACTGATGGGGGCAACGAAAAAAATGACTGTCTACACGATTCCATCCCTGTCTGAACTGTCCAGCATGCGCATCCCGTACCGTCTGGAAGCAAAATATACTTCACAGAGCTCTGTGCTGCCGTTGGGCGACGTTTTTCTGAGAATAAATGAGACAGAGGCGGCACTGGTGAACATTATGGGCTTGCGTCAGCCGGTCATGTCCCTGGAGACGATCAATGGCGACGACGTGTTGTTTCTGCGCAACATTTTGATACCATACCGGCCATCCACAAGCTACTTTGTCAAGGGTACCTCGTCGCTGTCGTACGCAAAACTGTACCGTCTACTTGTTGGACGAGAACGGCCAGAAAAAACAAACCATCCGGAGTATGAGCTGGCTTGGGACATATCGCCGTACAACCCGGCCAATTACAGCCTGATGGGCACAGCGAAGCCAAAATACTACGATCCGAACGCGCTCCACCAACAGCCAGGCCTGACAGATAAGCCGGTCGCGCCTATCAGCATGTCCACCGTGACCAGGAACATTTCGAGATGGAAGCAGCACGCCCAGAACCGGCTGGACGTGGCCAACAACCGCATGGAGAGCTATGTGAACGACCTGAACGATGACTTCGACAAGTTTGTGAACGAAACCAAGAACGACGCCATCAAGGGCGCCATCAACAGCAAGCTGGGGCTCTGATCTGGGCTGGTGGTGCGAGGGTTATTTTTTTTTAAATTTAATTTATGGCCAAATATTCAGAAATATACACGGTTTGACGTAAAATAAACACTACATGGAGCTCCTTCAAAACTTTATGAGCACGCCCAGCGCGAGCGAGAAGGAGGTCACCGACTCAATTGCGACGCTCGTGGACCGGCTGTCGCACGCGACGCTGCTGACCGACCGCCGGGCTGCCGTTTTGGGACTCAAATCGTTCAGCAGACAGTACCGAGAGATTGTGATTGCCAACGGTCTCAAGAGTCTTGTTGCGACTCTGCACAAGGACGTGCTGGACCTTGATATTGTCAGGGCGGTGCTTGAGACCCTTCTAATTCTGTTTATCCGAGGCGAGGACGACGAGGATCTAACAAGGAGCTGGATAAGCCAGCAGACAAGACTCAAGAACGGCAAGTATCCTTCGCCGAGTTTGGTGCTAGACAATGTGACGGACCAGTTTTCGCTGTGGATTTTTGACGAGCTGACTCAATCGGTGACGAGTTTCGATATTCTGGTGGACCTTGTCGAGGCAGACGATATTCATATCAAGCTGTACTCGTTGCAACTGCTCCAGGCGTTATGTTCGACGCGGCCGCTGCGGACCAAAGAGCTCGCCCTTAAGTCGCCGCTGGCGATCTCCAAGCTGTGTCAGGCGCTCGACGACCCCTACGAGCCGATCCGGAACGAGGCAATCCTGCTGCTGATGGGTGTCGTCAAGGACAACTTCCACATCCAGAAGCTGGTGGTGTTCGAGAACACGTTCGAGAAATTGTACCGCATAATAGAGGACGAGGGCCGACTCGAGGGCAATATCGTCGTCCAGGACTGTCTGTCGCTGATCGCGAATCTGCTAAGGTACAACGCCAGCAACCAGAAGTTTTTCATCGAGACCAACTGCATGTACAAACTCGCGGAATTTTTAGACCAGCCTCTGGCCGAGAGCGAGCTGGGGCCGTTTGTGTGGAACGAGCAACGGCTCCAGAACCTGCTCACCACGCTTGACACATGCAGACTGTTTGTGGCCGACGGAGTGGAGGCCATTGACCAGGCACAGCGAGCGCTCGTGAACTCTGACGTTTTGATGTTAATTTTGCGTCTGGTATTTTCCATCACCGTTCCCAACGTCGTCCGCGTCAACGCGCTTCTCACCACTGCAGACATCATCCGTTCCAACGCCGAGATCCAGCTACAGTTCTCCCAGATCGACGTACCGTATATGGACCCCACGCTGCCCGCTGCAGCACAGAAGATGGACGAGATCGTTCCCGTGATAGACGCACTGCTGCACTGGTGTCTTTACGCAAACTCTGTCCATCTGTTTGATCTGCGGATGGCCTCTGTGGTGGTGCTACATGCATATTTCAAGGACAACGAGGACGCCAAATACGCTTTTTTGAAAGATCAAAAATACGAGTTCAACAAGCTCAACGGCGTGCCCGACAGCGAGGACGAGCCGGACGAGGAGGATGGCGCGAACGGTCAGGCCGAGAATAATGCAAACGGCGAGAGCAGATCGCCTTCGACAACGTTCACGGGAGCCAACCTGTTTGCAACGCTCATCAACGTTGACAACGACTTGCAACTAAACCCATACAAAATCTGGTTTGCCTGTCTGATTCTCATCTATGTGTTTGAGAACTACGACGAGGGCCGCGAGCTGGCAATGTCTATCCAGATCGGCAACGCGAGCGCCAACGAGGACGTGCTAAACATCATTGAGGCCGTCGGGCAAGCGCTGTGTTCAAGCTTGCGCTTCAAGGACCCGCGTGTCCCTATCGCCTATATGATGCTACTGAGCATCTGGCTCTGGGAGAACTTTCGAGCGGTGGACCTGTTTCTGCACGACTCGTCCATTTTAGACCAGCTGCTCGCGTACCTTGTTGAGGCCAACGACGAGAATCTGCTTGCGCAGGGCATGGTGGTTGTTTTGCTGGCTATCGTTTACGAATTCACAAGGAAAAAATCACCTGTGAGCCGCCAGCAGCTGAGCTCGTTGCTGAAGAGCCGGGTCGGAGACAATGCGTTTAGTCTGAAGATCCAGCAGTTTGAGAAAAGTGAAGCATTTTCCAACTACGACGAGGAAACACTGCTGAATCCAGAGAGAGACGATACGGGGCTGCCGCAGGTGTACTTCGACCCGTTGTTTGTGCAGCTGGTGAAGGAGAACTCCCGACGCCTCCGAGGAGCCATAGGCCACGATCCGTCGTTTGAGCCTCTGGAAAAGCTCAGTTTCGACGCTTTTGAAACTGTTCAGAACGACTGTCTGTCGCTGGCTAGCGATCTGAAGACTGTTCGCAAGGAGGCGGAAGAGACGATCGAAAAACAGAAGGCCGAGATTGAGCGGCTCGTTTCTGAGTACGACGAGCTTGCAAAGACGTACGAGGCCACAAAGAGCGAGCTCGAAAAGCTTGAAAGGGACAGAGAGCTGCTGGGTACAAATTACGCCAAGAGTTCTGAGGATATAGGCAAACTTACGCAGCTCAAAAACGAGCTGGAGCAGAGTTTGGCACAGCTGACTGCGCAGCACCAGGAAGCAGCTTCTAAGGTGACTTCGCTGGAGGCAAGCAATAAACAGCTTTCTGAGAAGCTGAACGTTATTGAGCAGCAGAAGAGCAAAGCAGAGGATGGCATTAACAAGATGAGCCGTGAATTGATGCAGCTGATTAAGAACAACGAGTCACAAAGCAAAACGATAAAAGACCTGGAAAAAGAAGCACAGAAGACCACCAAGACGCACGAAAAGCTCCAGCAGCAAATAGCACAGCAGCAGGAAAAGATTTCCGGACTGGAATCCAGGATTCAGGGCTTGACTGTGGAGCTGAAGAAGGGCGACGACAACTACAACGGTCTGCGAAAGACGTACGAGGAGACGGTTGCAAAATTAGAGGCGGCAGAGCAGGAGATTGAGAGATTGCGTAGCATCCATTTGGAAGCCACTCGGAGCCTGGAGTCGATCAGGAAGGAGACGGAGGCGTCTACTGGCTCTCTAAAGAAGCAGGTTACGAGTCTGACTACACAGAAGGCCGAGTTGGAGGCATTGAACGAAGACATTCGTCGTCGATTGGAGGAATTGAGTGCAGAGAGAGAAAATATTCGAATGGAGGTGGAGGTCGAGAAAAAACGGTTACAGGATGAAAAACAGGCGCTAGAGGACGAGAAGAACGATCTTCAGAGGAACTGGGAGGAAGAAAAGCAGCGATTGGAGCAGGAGAAAGACGTTCAGGCGAAGCAGTACGAGGAAAAGCTCAAGCAACTTGAAGGCGTGTCCAAGTCTTCGGCAGTGCTTGAGGCGAGACTCGCACAGGTGACGCAGGAGAAGGAGGAGCTGGAGACGACAGTTGCGTCTCTCAAGAAGCAGCTTGGTGAGACGAGGGAGCTGAAAAACACGGCTACGGAGGAAAAGAAGTCGCTCGAGTCAACAATCTCAATGATCTCGTTGAATGTGGAGGCCAAAGACGAAGAGTGTCGTCGGCTGATGAAGGAGGCAGAGGAATTGAGAACGGAGAAGGAAAAGAAGCTGGCTGAGTTTTCAGAGCTGGAAACTAAGCTTGCTGACTATGATTCCGTCAAAAGAGAGCTTGCCTCGCATCTGAGCGATATCGAGATTTTGAAGGTCGACCTGGAGAAAGAGCAGGCCGAGAAGAAAGAGCTTGTGGCGACACACGAGAAAGAGTTGCAGAAGCTAAAGACGGAACTAAGCGGCAAGGCTGAGGAGATTGAGAGGGAGAGAGCACTTTTGGCTGGAAACTCTGACTCTGTCGTCAAGGAGTATTCTCAAAAGATCACTTCCTTAGATGAAAAGCTGAAAGAAGCAGAGAAGGAGAGGGAAGCTGAGGTTCTAACATTGGAGGAGCAGGTAAGAATATTGTCGAGTGGAAACGAAGAGTTGTCAAAGTCGCAAAATTGCAAGGAAGCAGAAGTGAAGATGTTGCAAGACAGGCTGACGAGAGTCGAGGAGACTTTGAAGCAGAGGGAGAATGAGGCCGATGCAAAGGACAGCGAGCTTAAAGACCTCAAGGATAAAATGAAGAAGCAGCTGCGCGAGCTGGTGGATCTGAAGAAGCAAGTGAAGGAAACCGAGAAGCTGAAGGCGGCTTTGTCAGAGCTGGAGGCGTATCAAGAAAAAACTCAAGATTACGACGAGTTGCAAAAGAGGCTGGTCGAATATGATGAACTGAAGAAGAAGACTGCAGACTACGAAGATCTCAAGAATAAAGTTGCCGACCACGAGAAGCTGCAGAAGAAACTGGAAGATTACGAGACGCTAAAGGCGAAGGCTTCCGAACAGGAGAAGCTACAGAAACAGGTGGTCGAATTTGAGCAGAAGCTCAAGGACGCGGAAAATAGACAGAAGGACATGGTCCCCAAAGGAGACCTTGACGACCTGATGTTGCTGATGAGCGAGCTAGACGAGAAAAACAAGCAGATGAAGCTGAAGCTCAAATCGCTAGGTGAGGAAGTGAGCGACGTTAGCGACGAGTCGGACGACGACGATGAAGACGATTAGCGTATAGAATGTACATAATATTGCGAAACAGGGTGTGGTATCTATTGAAGAGTATCCGGTTTGCAGAGGATTTTGGGGAATGCTCACAATTGGCTAGTTTGTTAGTTTGAGCTCAGTAATTGGACTTCAAAGTTGAAGAGCATGCAATGACCAGGGAGCTGTTTTGATTTTGTTTTTAGGCTGGAGTAAATCTAGAGCTCAATTTTAGAGAATGACTGGAGATCAAAAACATTGGCTTGAGGAGATGTTCATCTTTACTTGCACAATAACAATCACTCACATAGGCAATGGATTTCCGGTGATTACGCTGCTATCGATGTAAGGGTTTGCTGGCATGCTACCCTGGCAAGTGACACTTGAAATCTTTTTGCACAGCCAGCATTTCCCCGGACCCCACACTTGGAAATTCACATGCGACAGCAAAAGTATATAAGCTGCCACGCTCCGCTATGCTACTTTATGGGTGAGGTGGAGCTTAAAGATCTTGTTGTGATTATTACAGGCGCCGGCGGAGGCCTTGGAAGACAGTATGCGCTGAGCTTTGCCTCGCGCGGTGCCAAAGTCGTTGTCAACGATTTAGGGGGCACGCTTGGCGGATCGGGCACGTCCACGAAGGCTGCTGACGTTGTTGTCGACGAGATTCGCGCGGATGGCGGCACAGCCGTCGCCAACTACGACAACGTGGTGACTAATCCTGAGGGAATCGTTCGAACAGCTGTGGAAACATTCGGCACGGTGCACGTCTTGATCAACAACGCTGGAATACTGAAGGACGCCGCTTTCAAAAACATGACCGAAAATCAGTTTCTCGATGTTCTGGACGTCCACCTAAACGGAGCGTTCAAGCTCACCAAACTTTGCTGGCCGCTATTCCGGCAGCAGAAATTTGGCCGCATCATCATGACAACGTCCCCCGCCGGTCTTTACGGCAACTTTGGACAGACAAACTACTCTGCTGCCAAAATGGGGCTTGTGGGACTCGCAGAAACACTGGCCAAAGAGGGAGCAAAGTACAACATCAAGGCAAACGCCATTGCTCCGCTAGCCAAGTCCAGAATGACGGAGACTGTCATGCCACCAGACGTGCTGAAGAAACTGCTACCTGAAAAAGTGGCTCCTCTGGTTCTGTACTTGTCGTCCCGTGGTTGCAGCTGCTCCGGATGCATTTTTGAGGTGGCTGCTGGTCTGTTTGCGCAAATCAGATGGGAACGCAGTAGCGATCTCTTGCTCAAGCCAGACGAGTCATTTACACCGGAAGCCATTCTTAACAGGTTCGCAGAGGTGACAAACTTCAAGAGTGCCCAGTATCCTACTCAGCTAAATGATTACAATTCTTTGCTGGAACAGACGAAAAAGCTTCCTCCAAACGACCAGGGAAAAACGAGACTTTCTTCTTTGAAAGACAAAGTGGTCATCGTCACCGGCGCAGGTTCGGGCCTCGGAAGACACCACGCCTTATGGTTTGCCAGGTATGGCGCAAAGGTGGTGGTCAACGATTTCCAGGACCCTACGGGCGTGGTGGATGAAATTCGGAAAGCTGGCGGCACCGCAGTAGGCGCTCGGTTCGACGTCTTCAACGAGGCGGACAAGATTGTGAAGACCGCTTTGGACGCGTTTGGCACCGTCAACGTCCTCGTCAACAATGCAGGCATCCTAAGGGACCGCTCGTTCGCCAAGATGTCGCAGCAGGAGTGGGATCACGTGATCCAAATCCATCTGGTGGCCACGTTCCGACTTTGCAAACTTGTGTGGCCTATTTTCTTAGAGCAGAAAGGCGGCAGCATCATCAACACGACGTCGACCTCGGGAATCTATGGCAATTTTGGCCAAGCTAACTACTCTGCAGCCAAGGCCGCTGTTCTCTCGTTCACGCGCAGTCTTTCTTTGGAAGGTGCCAAGGCCAACATCCGGTGCAACGCGATCGCTCCGCATGCGGAGACTTCAATGACGAAAACCATCTTCAAGAGCGATGAACTTAACAAGTTCAGTGCAGACCAGGTGTCACCGTTTGTTGTTCTTCTGGCGAGCGACGAGGTGAAGGTGAGCGGTGAGCTGTATGAGGTTGGTGCGGGATGGATTGGCAATACGCGGTGGCAGCGAGCCGTGGGTGCAGTTTCCCACGACGACCATATTGCACCGGAGTTCATCGAACAGCATTGGGCCGAGATCACAGATTTCAGCAAGGGCGTGAATATGAAGAGTGCGCAGCAGTCAGCAATGGCTATTCTGGAGAGTGTTGGCGGTAAGGACGAAGACGAAGATGAGGAGGAAGATGAGGAAGAAGATGAGGGAGCGTCTGTCAAGACCGATGGATATCGCTATGATCACCGTCAGGTGATTATGTACAATTTGTCTGTTGGCTGTCACGCAGAAGAGCTCAAGTACGTGTACGAAAACGACGACGATTTCCAGGCTGTTCCGACCTTTGGCGTGATCCCGTTCTTGAATGAGGGATCAGACTCGTTTGATTTCAGCGATTTGGTGAAGAACTTCGACATGACCAAGCTTCTTCATGGAGAGCACTATTTAAAGATTGCCAAAGACATTCCAACCTCTGGAAAACTCAAAACCAAATCTTTCCCTGTTGCTGTGTTTAACAAGCACAAAAATGGTAAGAAGAACAGTTTGGTGATTGAGGGATACGAAACATACGACGAGAAGGGCGAGCTGGTATTTTACAACCAAGGGTCGTATTTCATCCGGAACAGTGAGACGGCCAGTGGAAAAGATGAAGTGTTTAGCAAGCGGTCAATTCCGTTCTTGCAGAACAGCTTTGAGGCACGCGGCCGGCCCGATGTTGAGTCCACGTACAAAACGTTTGCAGACCAGGCGGCATTGTACCGTCTGAACGGAGACTTCAACCCATTGCACATCGACCCTGTCTTTGCTCGCGGCGGGAACTTTTCAAGACCAATTCTACACGGACTGGGAACGATGGGGATCAGTGCCAAACTTCTGATAGACCATTATGGCGTGTTTGACGAGATCAAGGTGAGGTTCACCAACGTGGTGTATCCTGGTGAGCAACTCAAAGTTCTGGGCTGGAAAAGCGGCCAGACGGTGACTTTCCAGACATGGAGCGTCGACAGAAACTGCTTGGTGATTGACCGCGCCGGAATTCGACTCAAAGAAACAAGGTCCAAGCTGTGATGTATTAAGGTTTATAACGTTGCTTTATAACGGCCGCTGTCCCAAGTCTCGTTCAGATGATGGCCCAACAGCGATTGACTCAATTTAACCAGCTTGTGGTCGGAGTCGTCGTTGGTCCTTTCCACGACGGCTTTATACTGCTCCAGAGCAGAGTGTAGCTCGTCTACGTTGGACACACCGATCACTGTCTTGCCCTGTTTAGGCAGCCATTCGCGTATGGCGAACCGGGTAGCCAGCTCTGCAAGCTCAGTGTTGTGGTGTTGTTTGAGAGTCGTCGCCAAATCGGAGCAGGTCTGCTTCAATTTTGGTGAGCCAGGGTGGAAAGATCTGGTCTCCTGGGATCTTAGCAGCGACATGGACAAGATGGAGGCATTGTTCAGCAGCTGAATGCCCGTTTCCATGAACTTGCCGTACCACTGCGCCAAGAGGGTGTTTTGCAGACACATGTTGGAATAACTGAGCACCAGGTCCAATTTACCGATATTTGGCTTCGAGACACACTCAGACGCAATACGGTGGAGGAACGGAACAGGGTAGCCGGAAATACCAACGTATCTGATTAGTCCCTGTTGTTTGAGCTCCATCAGCGTTTGGAGCGCCTCGAAAATCCCGCTGTCGTCCACAAACTCCACGTCGTGCAAGTACACCACGTCCAAATAGTCGGTGTTGAGCCGCTGCAAGGACCGATAAATGGACGTTTTTACCCAGTCTGGCGAGTAGTCGAATTCATCCAGCTGGATACGGCCCACCTTGGTGCAGATGTAGTAGTTGTCGCGAGACACTTTTCCTGAGTCCATCAAATTCTTCAAAGCGTGGCCAATCAGTTCCTCCGAAGGCCCGTAGTAGGGAGACGTATCGATAGCGTTGATACCGTTTTCAAGGGCCGTGTACAGCAGGTCGCGGATGTGCATGGAGTACGGATCGTCGTTGTACTGGGTGTTGAAGGTTGCGCCGCCAAGAACCAGCGGCGAGATATCTTGGAGACGGCCAGACACCTTAGGAAGACTCATAAGAAAATTGACTAAACTTTATTTTTTTATAGGTAAAATATTATTTATCGCATATGGGTCTCAAAAGAGTTGCGCCAGAGGCCGCCGGCCCAGAATTCCAATTTGAGGTGAGTTAGCGCCATTCGGACCGTGGTTTTGCTGACAGCCAGCTTGGAAGCGAGAAAAGACGCGTGAGTGTGCGCAAGTTCAAGGGGGCCACTCTCGTTGATATCAGGGAGTACTACCAGAAAGACGGAAAATGGCTGCCTGGGTCCAAGGTAAGTGGTCAATTGTGTTTTTGAAGAGTCTAACCACAGGGAATTGCGCTTACAGAGGACCAATGGAAGGCTCTTCGCGGACTAGTTGGCGAGATCGACGACTCGATCTCGCAGCTGGAGCCAGAACAGAAAAAGTACAAGAGCGAGGAGAAAGTGGTCAACAGCGACGAGGAGCTGGCAAAGGAGCCCGAAGAGGAGCGGGAAGACGAGTCTGAGTCCGACAAGGAGCACAAAGAGGCCTAGACCCGTGTAGAGATATTGGATATATTTTAAAATGCGTTTCTGAGAAATTCTTATCTTTTTCCCGAGTATTTACTAGATTGCTATGAGCGAAATCACACCTCGGCGTTCCAGCAAAGTTTCAGAGCACGAGACGGACGCGTTTGGAGTGGTGCACAACGACGTGTCGTCCGACTCGTCGACCGGCTTCGACCCCCTGATCGACCACAGACGCCACTCGTTGGCCGCCGACTTGTCAAAGTCGCAGCGCCCGCGCAAAAGGGGTTTCAGTCTTAGTGCTCCTGTGGTGGCGTCGGATAGACCGAAAAACCGGCTCAGCACGGTGGTGGCTGCTGGCCACCCGTTTTCGCCAGGTTCAAAAGACAGGTACGGCTCGAGAGACGAGATAGGCGAGTCCAAGTTCAGGAGGTTCAAGAGCTATAACAACGCCCTCAAGCAGAACAAGTCCATTTCGGAGGGAATACAGTACAAGACGGAAAACCCGTTCGAGTCGACGCTGAAAGACCAGTCCGCGAAAGGCGTGCTCCAAGATCTGCCCGAACATGACCCTTACAACTCGAATGACGACGACGAGCGCTCAAACTCCGTCTACGGCTCGTCGAACCCGTCTTCCAGACGCTCGTCGAACGCGTCGTCTCTGGACGATGTTTGTGTTCCCGTGGAAAGCTTCGACGAAGCCGGAAAACGCAAGATGTGGCCAGACATCTCTGTGCTACAGGAGTTCGTGGACGAGGAATTGCAGGAGTTTAAGAAAATTAGCGAGGCCTCTACCTCGCTCTCCAGACAGTCGTCACCGGCGCAAGGCGAGGAGAGGATCAACTTCGAGTATCCGCTGGTCTCCAACATCGAGCCGGGCGAATCTGAGCCGTTGCTGGTGCAGGACGAAAACGAACAGGAAGCCCTCAACGGTCGTCTCCGGCCGCGGCGAGTTGTTCCCTGGAGCAACAATCGGAAAGCTCTGAACGATTTGCCCGAGCTGCGGCAGCCAAAAAGTCTCCGGTTCACGTATTTCAGAGAAGACCTCGAGAACACTATTCATGCCTCTAATATTTCAGGGCTGGTGCAAAAATACACTCTTTCGGAGTTATTTTCTCCTTCGACCCAAGAGCATAACCCACAGCCTAATGTGCCACATCCCAACATGACGTCTGTCCAATCGTCGCAGAACAGTCTGAAGCCCAAGGTCACAGGAACAAGCACACCCACGCCCTCGGTAGCAGCGGACAGCTCTTCGGCAGCAGACGTGCCTCCCTTCTGGCTTGACGTTCTCAACCCAACAGAGGAGGAGATGAAGGTTCTGTCCAAGGCGTTCAGCATCCATCCGTTGACTACAGAGGACATTTTCATGGGCGAAACCAGGGAGAAGGTGGAACTCTTCAGAGACTACTATTTGGTGTGTTTCACTTCCTTCGACGTTGTTCTTGAGCATCAGAACCGCAAAAAAGCGTTGGAGAGAGCGATGAACTCAACCGCGTTTTCTGACGACGAAAGCGTCAACAGCAAGCACCGCAAGAAAGCGTGGTATCGCCATATCATGAGCCGTCTGTTAAAGAGCAAGTCGGCTTCCAGCGACATTGACCATCAACGGGCACCCTCAATGGTCTCCAAAAGAAGAGACGGCGACAAGCGGAAGAAGAACGGCGAGCTCGAGCCGCTTAATATGTACATCATTGTGTTCAGAGACGGTGTGATCACGTTCCACCAAAAACCAACTCCACATCCGGCAAACGTTCGGCGCAGAGTCCGTTTGCTCAAGGACTATCTCTCTGTCACTTCAGACTGGATAGGATACGCTCTCATTGACGACATCACCGATGCATACGCCCCTCTGATAGAGAGCATTGAAGATGAGGTCAATGCGATTGAGGACGCCATTTTGAGGATGCAGAGTGGAATTGACTCTGACGACGAGTCTTCTGGCTCTGAAGACGAGGATGATGACAAAATCTGGCTCAAGCTCAAAAGACGAACGTCAACCGTGAACGACAAAGCGTCCATAAATTCATGGAGCTCAAAGTCTTCGCGGTCGACGTCGTCGTCTCAGGATACAAAGATTTTGAGCTGGAAACGCAAGGGAGATATGCTTCGCCGAATTGGAGACTGCCGTCGAAGAGTTATGTCGTTGCTGCGACTTTTAGGATTCAAGGCCGATGTTATCAAGGGCTTTTCCAAGAGGTGCAACGAGCAATGGGAGGTAGCTCCTCGGTCTGAAATTGGAATGTATTTGGGAGACATCCAGGACCACATCGTTACAATGGTGCAGAGTTTGAACCATTACGAAAAACTGCTGGCCCGGTCTCACTCTAACTACCTCGCCCAGATCAACATAGACATGACCAAGGTCAACAACGACATGAACGACATTCTTGGCAAAATCACCATCCTTGGTTCCATTGTGCTGCCTTTGAACGTCGTCACCGGTCTCTGGGGAATGAACTGTCTTGTTCCTGGCCAAGACTCTCCTGGCCTGACGTGGTTCTACAGCATCTGCGGCAGCATGTTTGTTTTTGCTGTCACAGCGTATCTCTACGCAAGAAAAGTCAGTGGCATAGTCTAAATTACATATCAACGAGATAGTTGCTAGGAGCAAGGCCCGACTTTCCTGTGTTGATGTTTTCCGCAAACCACCATCCGTCAGGCTGCTGGTGCAGGATCATCAGAATATCACGTTTTTTGAAGGACAGTTCCTGCTCGATGCTGGCGTTGTATGAGTACTGTGCTCGGCAGTATTTGAGCACGGGGAAGCCCTCAGAGGAGCGCGATGGCAAGTTCGCGTGGTTCACAAACTTCCCTTTCAAGGTGGTGGAGGACTTTGATTTTCTGACGGAGTTGTTCCTGCTGAAGGTGAAAGACGGTGCTCGATTATCTTTCTTTTCCTGCTTTGATTCATCGCTGGTCTGCATGGAGTCGCGGAATTTGGACATGTCGCCATTTCCACCTAGTTGAAGGTCGCTCAAGTAGGCTTCCAATGGGTTCACTGGTTTCTCTGTCTTGCCGAAAATATTAAACTTTTTCAGCCGAATAGGCTCTGTTGGTTTGTCTGACATCAGTGAGTGCAGCAGAGGGTTGGAGTATGTGGACTCCTGTTTCGAGTGTTTGAACTCGTCTTCGTGAGAACTCGAGGCGTCCGTTCCGTCAGAATACTCCGAGAAAACGTGATTAGAGCTTGGCTCAGAGGCAGTCTTGGGTCCTGTGCTCCGCAGCTGAGAGGCTTCGAGCTGAGCCTGTTCCTGAAGCTGCCTGAACGTCTCCTCGCGTCTGTCAATGAGGTCAAACTGCATCTGCTGCTCTTGGGTTGGCTTTGGAGGTGGAATCTTTTTGCGTCCCAATTGTTCGCGCTGTTGTGTGATTTTTGGAATGCTGGTGAGATCGACCGTCTGGATCCCGCCTTTTCTTTGAGGAATGTCCCCGCTGGCATAATCGATGAAGTTAACAGGTGAAGACATGGTATTGCCTGTTTTAAACTCTTCAACAAAAGATGCAATATCGGCCCGATACGAGCACTTCTCAAGGCTCAAACGGACATTTTCACAGCTTTGGTCGTCTGAAATACACGTCGAGCTCACAATATTTGCATACTCCCAAATGTTGGCCTTTAAAAATTTGATTTTCTCTTCCTCCATAGACTGCAAGTTTTCACAGGCAGAGAACCACTCGTTTTTCCACACATCCAGCATATTATTGTACTCATTAACAAGGCCACGGTATTCATCACGTGCCCCACTCATCTGCTCCATGAGTTTGTTCACCTTCATTTGTGTCCGGTAGGCTTCTGTCTCATCCATAAGAATTTGCTGTGTTTTATAATTATTGACCTTGACCCAATGAGCTTCATATTTCTTGCGGGCAAGTTCCACCTTGGACTCTAAGTGTCTCTTGTGTTTCATCAGCTTGGACAGTCCAGAATCGAGTATTTTGCCTTGATTTTTGCGATCTGTTGCATACTCACTCAGAGGTTTATACACATCGGTTGCAATCTTATTTGCCTGAGTATAATGACTGTTTCCAAGCTGTTCGGTTTCCTGAGCAAGCACATCAAGACTGCTCTTCAGACTTCCTGTTAGTTCGTGTTTTCCAAGGTCAATTTTTCGTGAAAGGGTGCACAATCGTTTGGCATACTCTTCCTCTATAGCCATTCGTTCTTTGTAGAACGAAAGCACAGAGTCTGCAGTTTTGGAGCCTCCAGTGAAGTGGCCTAGCAGGAAAGAGCAGGCAGAATCGTCGGGGGACCAGAAGTTACGCGAGTACAAGTGATCCATGAGAAGAAGAAACTGGACTCAAATTAGTTTTAAATGTATATTTACCTTTTTCCGAAAAGGAAGTTAATAATCGTTGTTTTGTTGATTACATAAATTCACCAATCGGTGTAAAGGTTTACTTCATTTTTGCAATTAACCATTACCTTAAGCTACATATAAATGTATGTGCAAGGAACTGATAGCTAACACCGTAACGTCTCATGCATCATATAACAAGTTGAACTTGGTATTTCTACACGGTACGCCTAGAGTATTGCCACAAACACTCAACGTACTTAAGCAGCAATGGTGACCTCGACATCGACACCTGGCTCAATGGTGATTTGGGTAATCTTCTTGACGGATTGAGCTGGGGCGTGCAAGTCAATGTATCTCTTGTGGATTCTCATCTCGTAAGTCTCCCAAGTCTTGGAACCCTCACCGTTTGGAGTCTTTCTGGTAGAGATTCTCAAGGTCTTAGTAGGCATTCTAACAGGACCCTTCTTGAAGAGGTTCTCTCTTTCAGCATTTTGGATGATGTTTTGGGACACCTTCTCGAGCTGCTTGACCTTGGTAGAGATCAGGGTGATTCTGATCTTGTGGATTTCTGGCTCTTCAATTATTTTCTTTTCTTCAGACATGATGGTATGAGACGTTCAAAGTTGAAAATATGGTGAAAAAAAATTATATTTTTTAAGGTGCTCGAGGGCCGGGGGAGGGACTTTTTGGGGTCACGTGATAGTCACGTGGTTAAAGTGCTATTATCTATAAATTGGTGGCTATCAGAACACAGTGCCGTCGGCAAACAACTCTATCGGTGGCCCTCCGTTGCTTCGCAGCTTTGAGGCGATGAGTCTTCCAGATTTCCACGACCCGGCCTCAATGAGCTGAGGAAGAGACAACTCATACCTGGAGCCTGTAACTCCTAATTTTTCGTTCACGAGTGGAAGAATATAATCTAGTAGACAGACAGTGCATGATCGCCATTCAACAATCAAATCGTCATCTGGTGTATACAGAGGAATGTTTGAGTCCAGATTCTTTTCGATCGAGAAGTCGATGCCTTGTTTTAGTTTCTCTTCCTTGATCTTCAAAACTCCAAAGTCAACAAATAATCCACCATTACGGTATTCTGGAAGGCCCGTCATTTGATGAGCATTTTTGATGGTGAAATGTCCGTACTTTTCTAATGGGAGAAACAGCGAGTATGTCAGCCATTGGGTGAGCTTGTGGAACGTGACAATTTTTGCTGACTCTGGAACATTTGGCCCATACAGTTTCTCTGCTTCCTTGATTTTATTTTTGAGATACCATGCGTCTCCAATACATTTACCTTCGAGCTTGATGCGTCCTTCCGTCGGCCAGATTGGCATGAGGCCTTCCATCAGACAGTTCCACAGGTCTGGAAGGTCGATGGAACCATCTTTTGACGACTGCTTCAGATAGTCGACTAGGTTTCCTGCTCTGGCATCAGCTCCAAATATGGTGCGATTTTGCACCAGAGTTTTTCCCAGTTGGTTGAGAAGCTTCAATCTTCCTTCAAACCCTGCAATCGGATTGGATTCTGACACCTGAAGGCCTTTCGAAAGCTCTTCTGCTGTTAGACGGGCTAGTTTCGATCCGTTCACAACGTAGCTTTCACCGTCACTGAACACTCCGTCGACAAACATGTGCAAAGTGGCCACAGCAATTCCCTCAGACCTGCCAATCTCATTGCCGTTCTCATTGTACCTCCATTGGTTGCCAGCACCTGCGTCGAGAAGAACACTGACAATGAACAAATCAATTAGTTTTTTACAGATCTCGTAGTCGCTTTGGCCTTTCAGCTGGTTGTCGATGAACTCAGTGAGTCTCTTCTTTCCTCCACATTCAAAATGCTGGTATCTCCCATGAACTGGAATGGTCAGTAGGGACTCGTCTGTAGGAAACGAGTCTCTGATTGTGGATATCACAAAATCCACTGCATCAGGAAGCTTGGATAAATCCACGTCGAAATTCACAAGCTGGTCGTCCAGCAGAAGCTTTCTGGTGCAGGAATTCGTCTCTCGAACGGATTGGATTGAAAGCAAGTAGTCGATCGAGGGAGCCATAAAAATATAAGTTTTTTATTCTCAGTATTTATAGATAACGAGAAAGTGGTTATCAGCCGGTGAGCGTCGGAGATAGGTTTTTGGTCGACAGCCGACAAAAAAACAAAAAAAACTAGCTTAATTAAAATATAATAATATTTTCATATCATGATTAGACAGCTGGTGCGACACTACGTCATTCCTGTTGTTGAGTTCTCTTCCGAGATTGGAAAGTTTGACCAAGATGCAATCAAAAGAGCCACGGAGAAAGGGAATAGACTGTTGAAAGCCATTCATGAGTCGCAACAGTCTGAGCACGAGTATCAAAAGAGAGCCAACATCAAGATTGAGGAGGCGCGGAGATCGGGGTACGTTCACGTGCACGGAAACACAGAGCTGCCAAAGATCCCCGACGATCCACGGTTACAGGCAGACTTGCTGAAAAGTCAGCAGCTGAAGACACATTCGTCTAGATACATTTACAATGAATACGATGATCGCGTGGTGGATAGGCTGAGAGTGCTGAAAAGAGAACGCAAACTGCCTCCTTTGCCACGTCAGAACCAGTACGAGCAATTGTGGAGCGAGCTGGAGCGGTTCGCTGCAGTGTTGGTGCTCAAAAATGAGACTCCTGCTGTGTCTCTCACCTACAAAGCTTTGGCTGATTCGTTGGAAGCAATCAACGTTATGCAAAATGCGCACCTAGACCAGTCAGTCACGGATCCAAATGACTTCACTCTGGTCACTGAGTATTTCTTTACACGCAAGATTTCATTGTTGCAGCAGAAACTGCAGCCCGTGTCTGAGCTATCCGAGCTTGACAACGTTGCCCTTGTCGGGCTGACAAACGTTGGATTCGAAGAAACCACAGATCCCTTACAGCTGTTCACCGGAAAGCTCAAGGAATCATTTTCGGTGGTGTGTTGCGCGCTGAATACACCACAGTACCCGGAGCTGACGCAGCTGGACCAGCCAGATAACAATACTAAAAAAAACCTGTACCAGTTGGCAACGCTCGGTCTCACCAAAGTGACCACTTTGCCCGATGGATGGGTGGTGCTGACTAAAGGCACGTATTAGCATAAATAAGCATTATCACTGTACATATCGATCAACGCTGCTGTCTAATATACTTGGCAATGTTCTCTGCAACGTCGCTTTTGGCGGTCTTCGATCCTTGCTCAAACGCTTTCTGGTATACCCCGTGCACGTCCTTATTTTCCTCTGTCACCTCGCCGTTTCTGTCCTCCGCAAAGGTGTACTCGCGTTGTGGCTCATTTATGTCTGGCTCGACCAGTCCGTGTTCGTATTCTTCTTCGCCGTCGTCCTCGGCATCAGAAATCGTGTCCACCGGCTCCTTTTTGCCCAGGCCGAGATCTTTCATCAAGTGCGTCAGTTGCTTCTGTTTGTTCTCTTTCTCTTTCTCTTCCTTCTCCTTGATAATCCTTTCTCTCTCTTTCTGGTAGAAGTTGTTGTACTCATCGACCTTGGCGTCCACAGCATCCAAGAACTCATCAAAACCTGCTCCCGTGTAAGCAGAGCATCCGACCACATCCAAGGTGGAATAGAATTCCTCCAGCATCAGACTCATGCTATTCACCAAAGAGGCCATGTATCCCGAACCGTTGCTGGTCTCGTCATTCAGCTCGCTGTTGTTTCTGAGGGCATCTTGGAAGGCCTCAAAGTCGGTCATCCATTCTGTAGCAAATTTGGAGTCCCTGACATCCGTCTTGTTGAACACAACTATCATCGGAAGCTTGGTCTTGTACAGAATAGAACAAGCATATAGCATGTTGGAAATGAACGTTGTTGGCGACGAGCTTCGTGGAGTATCAATGATGTATGCAATTATCGTTGGAAAAGTCGAGGCGAACGCTTCTGTGATGATGGCGCCCGACGCAGACCAAATAAAACACTCGATTTGCCCTGGAGTGTCGACAATGCAGTGTTTGTATCTGTCGGATTTCTTCTCAACAAGAGAGATGACCTGGTCGATATTGGTGGAGAACAAGTTCAAGGACGTCACAATGGCACCGTTGGGACCCAGGTTGTAATTTTCCATCACCTTCTTGTACTTCACAGAGTCTCTGATATCGATGTTGCATCCAAATGGAACCTTGAGAACAGCCGGATCGAGATTGATCACGTACGGAGCCTGTTTCTTCATATGCAGGTGTGAATTCAGCCGCTGGACAAAGGTCGTTTTGCCCGATCCGGCCATGCCAACGCAAAGAATAGTAGCTGGAGCCATGATATAATTAAAGTTTTTTTTTTTGGAATTTTTTTAAATTAAAATTTCCTCCTTGTAAATGAACGTCCAGGCCCTACACAACTGTTTCCTGGGGACCCTGCAGGCCGATCAGGGTGTCCGACAACATGCTGAGGAACAGCTTAAGCAGGCCGAGTCCATAGTTGGGTTTCTAGGCGCGTGTCTGGACATTCTGGGCTCAGACGACGTTGAACCCGTTGTCAAACAGGCATGTTCTATCTACTTCAAGAATAAAATGATCAGGAGCTGGTCGAGCTCAGAGGGAGAAATCGACGAGGGGGAAAAGCCCGGCATCCGAGACAGAATTATTCCCACGATCCTCAAGCTGGAGAGGACGTTGCGGAACCAGTTCATTCCAGTCTTGAGTGTCATGATCTCATACGATTATCCTCAGAATTGGCCTACTTTCCTAGATAACACCAAAGCGCTCTTTCTCAACACCTCAGATATTCAAGCCATGTACACAGGAGTGCTCTGTTTTTCCGAATTGACTAGAAACTATAGATGGAGGACAAATGGCAATCGTCATTTGGAACTAGACCCTATAATCAGAGACAACTTTCCAAGTTTGTTGCAAATTGGTAAGCAATTTGTTGCAAACCCAGCAGCGTTCGAGACCCATTACGAAGCTGGCGAGATTGTCAAACTGATCATCAAGTGCTACAAGTTTGTGACGTATCATGATTTACCAGAGCCTCTTCAGCAGCAGGACTTTTCACTTGAATGGATTACCTTCCATGTGGACGTGATCAACATGAATTTGCCTCCAACCGTCATGGACCTGGAAGAAGATGACCAATCGTTAAGTCCGTGGGTCAAGAGCCAAAAGTGGGCCTATGCTAACCTGTACAGACTGTTTCAGCGTTATGGATCCAAGAGTTTGTCAAGCAGATACGAATACACAGAGTTCAGAGATTTGTTTGCTCACAGCGTTGTTCCTGGCCTTTTAGAAGTCTACTTCAAACGACTGCAGGAATGGAGACATCAAAAAATATGGCTCAGCGATGCGTCGCTTTATCAAATCATTTCGTTCCTGGAACAGTGTGTGGTGCAGAAGGGATGTTTCCCGCTCCTCGAGCCACATATCAGAGAAATCATCTCAGAGGTGGCCTTTCCGCTGCTCTGTCCAACCGATGAAGTTCTTGATATGTTTGAAAACGATCCTAACGAGTACATCCATATGATCTTGGACATGTACGAAGAGACCAGCTCTCCGCAAATGGCCGTTTTGTCTTTGATCTACACTATGGTCGAGAAAAGATCCAAGGTTGCGCTGGAACCTATTCTACAGTTTGCTTATGAGAAACTAGCCTCTTTTGCCAATGTGCCAGAGACTTTGGAGATTGCCAAGCAGAAAGAGTCTGCACTGCGTATAGTGGGCCAAATCTCGAGCAAGCTGACGGCAACAAAATCGCTAGCAGACCAGGTGGAGCCGTTTGTGGCCAGCTTTGTGCTGCCAAATTTCCAGTCCCAGTTTCCATTTTTGAGGGCACGTACTTGCAATGTGTCTGCCAAGTTTGACAGTCTCAAATTCCAGAACGAAAACAACCTCACTGTCTTGTTCAATGGTGTCCTTTCGTGTTTCAAGGAGGACAGTAATTTGCCTGTCCAGCTGGAGGCAGCCTTGGCTATTCAAGCGTTCATCTCGTTTGAGCAATTCAAGGAAGCTCTGGGTTCCATCATCGTGGAGACCATGGAAAAGTTGTTGGAATTGTCCAACAAAGTGGACATTGATGCCGTTTCTGCTGTCATCCAGGAGTGTGTGGAGTGCTACTCTGCTCAATTGCAGCCGTTTGGTGCCAACCTGATGGCCAGGTTGAGCGAACAGCTCCTCCGTCTTCTCACCGAAATTAACGACTTATCGAACAGCGGGCCGGACAATTTGGACCACGATGACCTCACAGACAAACACATGGCAGCCTTGGGAGTCTTCAATACAATGGTGACTGTTCTACTTTACTTCGAAAGCTCTCAGGACATGATCGCCGGCTTGGAGCAGAGCTACGCTCCAATTATTCAGTACACGTTCGAAAAAGAGCTGGACGATTTCTATGCTGAGGCCGCAGAACTTATTGAGAACACTTTATTCCTAACCCGCGCGGTTTCTCCAGCAATGTGGTCTTTGTTCGAAAGCATGGTCACTGCCGTGATGAAGAACGACTTGGGAATGTTTCTGGACGACATTACTCCAGCACTTAAAAACTACCTGGTCTACGGCGGTGCTGTGTTCAGAGAAAACAAGCAGTATCAGGATGCCCTGGCTCAGCTTATTCTCCAGATTCTGGGCTCAGAGGATCCAGACGCCAACGAGATCTATGATGTTGCCGATCTGGGTGCCACTTTTGCGCTCACCCTCGACAAGGCCTCTGTTGAGCCTTATAGTCCGCAACTGGTGCGATCTACTCTCGGGGTGTTATCGCACAATGATACTGCACATTCTTCCGACAGTCTGAAGATCACAGTGTTGGGAGTGGTGGTTGCGGTGCTGGTGGTGCATCCGAAGGCCTGTCTGCAAGTTCTGATGGAATGCCACGCCCTGGAGTCTTTTATGATGACCTGGTTCAAGCTGGCTCCCTCGATGAAACGCGTGTTCGATCTGAAGCTGAGCGTATTGGGGCTTCTTTCCCTTTTGAGCGTGGACTACGAGGCGCTAAAACAGCTGCAGTTGGAAGAATTAGTTTCCGCTGTGGGAAGCACTCTGGCAGATCACTTTGCAAAACTACCGGCTGCCATTAACGACTTGCAAAAAAAACGTGCCGATTTCAACGCCGAAGAGCAATTCGTCGAAGATCAGTTTGCACCACCGGTGTTCAACGACGAAGCAGAGGACGCGGACGATGACGACCTTGCCGACTACGTTCTAGAAAATATGGGCCGCGATTCGGATCTGCTGCGTGTGGAAGACGAGTACGAGGAAGATCCGTTTTCGAACACGGTGCTGGACAACGTCAACGTGTTCCGGGCATTCAAAGAGAGTTTCACGCAGGTGCAAGGTGACCCGGAGAAATACACAAAACTGGTTGCACGCCTAACAAACGAAGAACTACAGACGCTACAGAATATAGTAAACATTTCACAATAGATATTTTTCAGTCAAATAATTGGGCCCTGATCGATGCACAAATGACGTAAATTGGATTGTTAAAATTTTTTTCCAAAGTTTTCTGGAAGCCATATTTCTGCGTTCCTTCCCGGGCTATCCGATTCCAACCAAATAAAAAGAGGTTAGCATAATATTATTCGTCCTTCAGTAAAATTCTTCATCGTCACCAGTCCCGTCACCATGGAACAGTCCCTCAGCTTCAAAGTCTCCCACTATTTCGAAAGAATTCATGGCTTGGTGTACTACAGTCTCCCTTTTTATCTCATGACCTCTACTGAGGCTGCCCTCACCTTTGTCACCATCTTGTTCCTATCTTTCATCTTCTCCTACGGACTCGGTGCGCTATTTTACGGCTGTGCTGCTCTAGCCCAGAAACTGGTCAGTCTCGAGGGCCTGGAGCAGGCCTTGCAAGTCGCTTCCATCAAGAACTGAATTTTGGGGGCTTGCCTAATAATAATATGACGAAAAACAATAATGATAAATGGAGCCTGGGGGGCTTTTGCATCCTAGAGTTTTGCATTGTAACATACACGGCATGTTTGCATGTTTGCATGGACAGTAAGACAATGCTTGCGAAAATGCACTCCGACCTTGATGTATATATACTATTACGATACGACACACATATGCGATTAAAGACGACTTTAGATTACAGGGCACGTTGTAACAAAGTATTCCCGTATTGGGTAAAGTGGCAGCTTGCCGGTAGCAACCGCCGCTCGTGTAGCGTCCAATAGGAGGCGGAAGCTCAAGCAAAATTTTACAACCTTGTTTTGAACTGACTAAATATTTCTCTTTTGGGCTTCTTAATATACCCCCCGGATTATGTCTCTATTCACATAACGGCAATTTTTCAGATAACGTTTTAATTACCAAATATTAATTGCCCATTTCGGAACCTCAATGGTCAGCTAATTGCTTCAGCAGCCCGATTTGACTGGCTGGAGACGACAGGTTCGTTGCATCTCAAACTGCCAAAGGTAAACACCCGACTCAGATCCATCCTGTGGTCTTCCCGCGCGGTCTATAAATACGGGCGATCTCCCCCCAAACATCATCACCATCAACAACTTCAGAATGCAAGCTTCCATGAACACTCCTCAGAGACAAGAACAGGACGACGACGCTGATTACGGATACTTTGCCTACAACAATGCTGCCTGGCACTTCACTTGCTCTATCAGCTGAAGCTTGAGGCTGCTCTGATTAATGAGTTTGCTCATTAAGGACAATTCTGCGAGTTGCTACCTAGGTGCTGAGCCTTTTTCTACTTCTTCTCTGGCCAGAGTTACTAGTCTAGATACTATTTAATCTGAGATAAATTTATATCCACGCGTTTTTTTGTATTTTTTGTATGGCCCTCGAAAGAATCCAGTTTACTGCCTCAACAAGCAATATCGTGCCCATCTACCAGCTGATCTCGTCTATATTGCCTTTTGGAGGCAGCTGTTTGCTGAACATCACGCAAAATGGGCTCTGTTTCAGCGTCGTCGACAATAATATCTGCAAAGTGTATCTCACGTTAGATAAACGACTATTCAGCAGTTTCCAATTCTACCCGATCCATGTCAAAAAAGAGCGCATATTACTTTCAGACGAAGAGGAAAGCACCACTGATGACGATGCCGAGTCTCTAGACTCAAGACAGAGCGTGTCTGTCCATCTTGATCTCAAGTCCCTGATCGAGACAATCAATATTCATATCCCGGGCGACAAAGATAATCCAGAGCTGCGCACAAAGTGTATTTTGAGCTACAAGGGCGACGGGTCGCCGTTTATACTCACCTTTGAAGACGACTTCATTATTGAGCGCTGCGAGTTGACCACGCTGTTTATCGATCCGGCCGATTTCGAGTCTGAAATCACAGACTCTCAAACGGGATCTGCCTATTTCCAGCTCGACTCGTCCAAAAAGGTTATGGAGCTCACCCTACAATCGTCCCTGGTCTACGACGCGCTCAGAGACATGAAGGATTTGAGTACCGAGGAACTGATTCTTTACTGCTCCAACATGCAGTCGGAACATCAGAGAAAACTTGTCTTGATCTCCAAGTCTGAAGATGCATCGATAGGATACTCCAAGCTTGTGTTTCCGTCAAGAAAGCCGTTTTTGAAAGACATGCAGTTGTACAAGCCGGAGCTCGTCGACGAGGAGCAGACTCACATGGTCGTCTGTTCCACAACGATCTCGTCATTCTACAACTTCAGCTATTTTGCCAAGATCCTGAGAGCGATAAAGCTATCAAAGTCCATCAAAATCCGCAAAGATCTCGCTGGCCTAACCTCTGTGTCCCTTTTGCTGGGCTCGTCCAGCTTGAATGGGTCCAACTTATCATCTAACGACGGCAAGAACCTGTTTTTTGGAACCAGCATCGAGTTCATCACGCTAGAGTCTCTTGCAAACGAAGAAGTCGAATACGAGCGCGCAAAACACGGCTACAATAACCAATTCGTGGAGCAGATGATAAGAGAGGACGAAAACGTCAAAGTTATCAAAATTGCACGGAACGGCCAGCTCACTACCATCGACGACTACTTCCAGTCGGTCATCACTCAGTCAGCAGCCCCAAGCTCCGCGGGAGAGCCAGTGGATCTGCAAATCACCAAAGAACTGGCTCAGTCTGTGCTGGGACACAGTCCGGCGCCAGAACCGGTTCCTAAGGAGACAAAAGGAAAACAGACAAAGAAACGAAAGCTCGAGGGCCGCAAGAACAACAAGTCGGACAAAGCAGACAGACTACAGACCGTTGGTGGAGCAGTTGAGATCCCGCTATTTATTTAGAGGTCTGACAAACCCAGGCTGTATGTCACGTGCATATTTTTTCAACCCCCGATTTTTTGCTAATTTTTTCAAAAACATTTTCTCTCTGTAAACTGACCAGATCTCATCTGAGGAAGAAGTTATTATTATGTCCGACGTCGAAGAACAAGTCCAAATCGAAGAAGAAGTTGTTGTTGAAGAATCCTCTTCCGTTTCCATCGAAGACTGCCTGCAAAAGGTCCTGAGAACCGCTTTGGTTCACGATGGTCTTGCCAGAGGTCTCAGAGAGGCTATCAAGGCTTTGGCTAGAGGTGAGGCTCAACTGTGTGTCTTGTGTGACTCTGTCACTGAGGCCAAGATCATTTCTCTCGTTGAGGCTCTGTGCAATGAGCCAGAGGAGAAGATTCCTTTGATTAAGGTCTCCGACGCTAAGCAACTCGGTGAGTGGGCGGGTCTTTGTGCTTTGGACAGAGACGGTAACGCCAGAAAGGTTGTTGGTGCTTCTTGTGTTGTCATCAAGAACTGGGGTGCCGACTCTGAGGAGAGAAACGTCCTTTTGGAGTACTTCTCTCAGCAGTAAATATGATGATGTACTAATTAATTGTATCGACTGCACATTACATTAAAAGTTCCTAATACACAAGAGTGGCCATCCGGTGACCTATAGTTCGAAATCCATCTCGTCTTTGAATTCGTCGTCGTCGTCCACGATCGCAGAGTCGTTTCGCGCGGCTGCTAGCGTGTCTTCCTCGTCGTCCTCAAAGTCCACGTCGAAAAAGTCGTCGTCGGAGCCAACAATTGTGCTGTACAACAGCTTGGCTTCGGTGACTATTCCGTCGTAAGAAATCTCGGCAGAAGGCATGTTCGAGTAAAGAATCTGGTAATCAACGCTGTTCTCTGTTCCTTCTTTGAAGGTCTTCTTGAAAACGTTTTCGTTCACCACCCCAAACGGCTCCACGGAAGTGTATTGAGTAAACATCAGCTTGAACAAGTACGTCAGTTTCTCTTGGGGAACAAACTCCTTGAACGATTTTCCCAGTTTGACGGAATTAATGACTGAGATGCTTCCATCTGGTCTGGAAACCACATCTTCGTCGGTCAACTCCACATCGAATCCACCGTCTTCCGATTCTCGCAATATGCTTTCCTCTAGCTTGGCCAACGCTTCTTCCAAATCGCGCCTGGCTTTTTCGCCCTTCTCGACAGTCGACAAGTACCATATGCACTGACCCTGAGGACAACATCCTGACCCCGATCCCATGATTATCACCTGCACCGGGTACACGTTGTGGGAAGGAAGCGTTTCTGGAGGGAAAACCACCACAGCAGCAGACTCTCCCTCGAAAAACCATTCCTTGCAGGATTTCTTGACAATGGTGATCAGGCGTGTCACCTCATACTTCCTTTCAGGAACGTTCTGTGCATTAGCAGGAGCCTGTGATGGAGAGCAAACCAGTCGTTCGGTGACTTTCACCTTGCTGCCATCCATAAACGTGGCGATCTTGTTGTTGCTGTCATAGGATTGCAATTGCGAGTCCAGCTTGTAAGTTGCACCTGCCACAGCAGCAGATCGACAGAATCCTTGTGAAAGTTCTCCGGGTCCTCCAAACTTGGAGTACAGCACTGGGAAAGTGCCGTACACGTCGAATGACGACAGGTACCTTCTAATTCTAGAGATACCTTCTATAGTGAGAATATTAGGCGTGGGAGACAACCCTAGTGTATAACATAGTTCGTTAATCTGCGCAGGTGTCAGCTTGTATTTTTCCTTGATGAATTCGGTGAATGGCGTTGATTTATATTGTTCCAATTCCTTGGCAATTTGAGCGGTCTCTGACTCCAAAACAAACTTCATGAATTTCATCAGCTGTCTTTTGGTTGCCAGCGACAACGACTGGTCGGTGAAGATCTCTTCCTTGGAGGAAGACATTTTTCCGAACGAGTCGTTCTCGAAAGTGTGGAAGTTGCTGATGGACTGGAACTCGAGGTATCTGTACACTCTAGACTTGATGAGCAACGAAAGTAGATCGGACTTGACAAACATGATCCGCGGAGTCAGGTCAATGCTGTAGTCTCTGCTGTTCAATTGATCGGGACGCGGGATGTAGAGGAGCGCTTTGGAAAAGCCCTGGAAGCCCGGAGTGTTGAGGTTGACATTGGCACACCAAGCCTTGATCTGCTCGATCGTGAGGGTGGACGAGGTGTCGCCGTAGTAAGGGTTGGAGTCGACGTGAAGGACGTTGGAACCCTGCCAGGCGAGCGCCGCGGCGAGAATGGACTCGACGAGCCCTGTTCCGCAAATTAGCACGTCGCACTGGTCCGGAATAGTGGGAAGCACAGGATCCTCGATTCCGGCGAGATGCGGAATCACAGAGGGCCGTCTTCCTGTTTGCACCGACGGTCTGCGCTCGGCCATCGATGGACGTCTCTCGGCCATCGATGGTTTTCTTGACGAATCAACGGTGGCGGACATTGCAGATATAAACGGGCACCTTTAACGACTAACAGAAATACGAAAAGCCGGAGTGCGCGACGACGTGAAACTGGTGACTGCTGTTGTAGAAACTTGGAGAGTTCTGGGACAAGTTGGTGCTCGAGAATAAAATAATGGGGCTTTTGTTTGCGAGAATGTCGAGTTTGTTTTTTTCTTTTACTTCTTCTCCAGGCCGAGAAAAAAGGTAAAAATTTTCGTGTGTAGGGTTGTCGCGCGAAACAGCGATTTGGGCATGAATACTTCATAAGGAAAAATTGGTGTCCGATTTGGTCGAGTTTCTGAATTCAGAGAGATAGAGGTAAATAGTGTGCATGGTGCCGCATTTTATCTATTGTTATTTTTGATATAGCAGCAATCAGACGAGTCAATCGGTGAATGAATTTCTCGCACGAGCCAGTAGCGGAGTCCACGGAATGGCCCGCATTACTGAGTTGGGTAGAAATGCTGCAGCTCCCGAAACTATTTATAAGTGTTGCAAGTAGCAACGCCAACAACCCTAGTTTTTCAATTCTCTCGTATGAAGTTCACCGCTCTGCTGTCCTTCGCTTTTGCCGGAGTGAGCTGTGCCTACTCCACGGCCTCCACGTCCTCTTTCTATCCCGTCAAGACCGCCGGCCTCAATGAGACCATCTACGACGAGCTGGAGACGTACCAGCCAAAAGTCATGATTATCAACATGTTCGACTACGAGGCCGAACCTTTCCTGGAAGAGTTTGGTCTTGTGCACAACGTGACAATCCCTGGCTTGTCGCCAATCTACCCGGAAGTCCATTGCAACCGCAATTATTCCATCTGCGAGGTCATCACCGGCGAGGGTGAAATCAATGCTGCTTCCACCATGACCGCCCTGGCCCTGAACCCGCTGTTCGACCTCGCCGAGACCTACTTCCTGATTGCCGGTATCGCAGGAATCTCTCCGGAACAAGGAACTCTCGGAGACGTGACCTTTGCTCGGTTCGCGGTCCAGATCCTGGAGTACGAGGTCGATGCTCGCCAGATGCCTTCCAACTGGACCACCGGCTACTTCTCGTACGGCACCACCAACTCCACCCAATACCCAACCGAGTGGTACGGCACTGAGATTTTCGAGGTCAACGAGGCGTTGAGAGACCGTGCTTTGGAACTGGCCCAGAAAACCGATCTTTTCAATGGAACGGCCAGAAACGCAGAGTTCAGAGCTCTTTACGACTACGCCCCAGCAAACAGAACTCCAAAAGCTATTGCCTGTGATACCCTGACTTCTGATACCTACTGGTTTGGATCAGACTTCGACGAAGCTTTCAGCAACTACACCGACCTCATCACCAACGGAACTGCCACCTACTGCACCACGCAGCAGGAGGACAATGCCACCCTGGAGGCCCTCATGAGAGCTGCGCAGTACGGTTTGGTCGACTTCAGCAGGATCGTCATCATGAGATCTGCCTCCGACTTCACCTACGCCAACTATTACGACAACGAGACCACCTACTTCTTCACCCAAGTGTCTCAGGGTGGCAGTAAGGTTGCAGTCCAGAATCTAGTGGTTGCAGGTAAGCCTTTCATCGAGGACGTCATTTCCGACTGGAAAACCTACCAGAACGGCACTGTCTACGCTCCAGACAACTACCTGGGTGATGTCTTTGGAACCTTGGAGGAAACCACCTACAGAGAGTGGGGAACTGACAGCGAGTAAGTGAAATTCATTTTCTTTCGTTTTCCGGTTTCCGGTGTTATTTTTTTGTCCTGAAAAACAATATATTTAATATATTTAATATCTCACATTTTTAAATGACAGTCCCCATTGCGCAATGGGTGGCCCACGCTCTCGCCAACTTGGCACATGCCGAGCAAGTCTGCAACGACGCAAACACGTATCTGACGTCTACGAGCGAGAAACTTCGGCGACGGGACATCAAAGTACCCAAGCTGATATACTATCTGGATGCTCTAAAACAACAGTTGCGGCTGCTAGAACTTATTCGAGACTCGCTGGTGTTGAATCTGAACGGAGTGATGGAGAGGAGGGCCTCTCTACAAAGCCAGCTGCTCAAAGACGTGGATAAACTGCATCAGACCATAGATACCCTCAAAAACACCGTTGTGGTGTTTGACGGCCAAACAACGCTGTACGAGTATATCAGCGAGTCTGGTGTGGAGGAGCTGTTCAACGGCGTGTCGCAGAACCTGAGAGACATCCAGACTCTCATTAAGGGCAACAGAACCGACGCGTTGCTGATAAGACTCACTTCTGATCTGGACCACCTCAACAACGAGCTGAACGCCCTGGACGGCAAGTTCCGAGATATGAGGTTGGTGGACAACCAGTCAAACTCAATTGACCCCGTTTCGAAGCTCCTGGAGATAAACACCGAGCTGGAGCACGACATGGTGGCTATTCTGACCAGCTTCAACAACCACTACGACCAGTGCGAAAAGGGGGAGGCGATTCTCAGGGACCCGAAAGTTCCGCAGGACGAAAAAAACGAGCTGGTCTCTGTTCTGCAGAACGACGTCGAGGAGCTTCCGGAGGTGCAAAGGTCGCTGACCAGCAATGCAGAAATAATAAAGAAAAATTGCAAGGAGGTGATGAAAATACTGGATATCTTCGAGGACTACTTCCAGCGTGTGGAAACCTACGTCCGCGACATGCAGGAGTACGGCGAGTCGAAGCTGAGGGTGCAACTCAATGAGTTTTCTGAGATCAGTACCGAGGTGAGCCGGAAATTGGAGATTGCACAAACGCACCAGGACGAGCTTGTGCAGTACAATAGCGACTTCCAGCAGTTTGTGCGGTCGTACTACTCGCTGATCCTGGAGCTGGACCGTCGCACGCGCGTGAACGAGCACATTTCGTCGGCCATCGACAGTTTCAAGAGCGCCGTCAGCAGCATAGTGGAAAAAGACTACGAGAAAAGGATGGAGTTTCTAGAGCAGCACGGCGACTTCATCCCGCAGAACCTGATCGACTCGAGCGTCATCAACAGCGGCACGCCGCAAATCAGCATCAACTTCGACCAGGAGCCGCTCCCGGCCATATCGAAGGAGGTGGTGCAACTCGCCAAAAAAATGCTAAAATAGATAAAGTGGCTATTTATGGCTATTTATAAGATTTCTCCAGGTCTGCGAAAAGCGTCTGGAGCTCGTCTATGTCCATGGTCTGCACCTTGCGGTTGTCTCGCGAGCGCACCGCAACGCTTCCGCTCTGCACCTCGCGATCGCCTACCAAAATGATGTAGTTGTAGCCCTTCTGAATGGAGTCTTTGGTCCGCAGACCAACGGTTTCGGCCCGTGCATCAACATCCACATAGTAGCTGACGTCTCGCAGAGAACAGGCAGCGTCCAGGTCCTGCTGACCGCCCAATTTTTCCTGGATCGCACGGGAATACTCCAAATGCGTCTCGTTCACAGGAATAATCACCGCCTGTCGAGGAGACAGCCAAAACGGCCATTTTCCCTCGTACTCGTCCATGAGCAGCGCCATGAACCGCTCGACAGACCCGAACACGGCCCGGTGCACCATGATCGGCGTTTCCGGTCCGGCCTCGCCCTGGTACTCGAGCTGGAACCGCTGCGGCAGCTGGAAGTCCAGCTGCACGGTGGCAGCCTGGTGTTCCTTTCCTGTGCGGTCTGTGACGAGGACGTCGATCTTGGGCCCGTAGAAAGCACCGTCCTTGTCGCGGACAGCCCAGTTTTCCGGCCCAGCGTGCCTGTCGAGCGCGTTTCGCAGCTCGCTCTCTGCCCTGTCCCATTCCTCAACCGTGCCGATATGCGTTTCCGGTCTCGTCGAAAGCATCATCCGGTACTTGTGGAACCCAAACACGGAGTAGCACAGCCGGATGAGCTGCAACGTCTTGCCGATTTCTGCGCCCACCTGCGACCTGGAGCAGAAGATGTGGCCGTCGTCCTGGTGGAACCGTCTTACTCTGGTGAGGCCCGTGAGCGCTCCGCTGGGCTCGTTCCTGTGCAGACTGGACCAGTCGGACAGTCTGACGGGGAGCTCGTGGTGGGAGCGGGCAAAACGGGCAAAGATCAAGCAGTGGCCCGGACAGTTCATCGGCTTGAGTCCGTACACCGCCTCGAGTTTGTTGGAGCTGGAGTTGCTTTCGACGCGGAACATGTCGTCGGCGTAGTTGTCCCAGTGGCCAGAGGTCTGCCAGAGATCCTTTTTGTACATCAGCGGCGAGATAACCTCGGTGAAGCCGTGCTTTTCCTGCTGGAGCTTCATGAACTGCACGAGCCTGTTGAATATTCTGGTGCCGTGCGGGAGGAAAAACACAGACCCGGGCGAGCTGGGGTCGACCATGTACAACTGCTGTTTTGTCGCGATGGCGAGGTTCGACACCGACGTCGACGACGCAGTGGACACTAATCGTCGGAACATGGTGAAAATCAGAAAAAATTTATATACAGGGCCGAAATACAGCTATGTGCTACGCTAGTCGCTCTTGGACGCCTCGGCATCCTCCTTGCGCTTCCTGGCCAGCTCGGCGCGTCTCTGGCGCTCCTTCATCTCTTCGTCGCGGCGCTCCAGCTCCTCGATCCACAGCCTTTCTCTCATGCGGGCCTTCTCGATAGCAAGCTCTTGCTCCGTCTTGCCCTCCCTGAAGGTCTTGTCAAAGTAGATGGACCCTGCCAGCAAAGCCACGATGGTCAGGCCCTGCAGCCCCACACGCCACCTGAACCACTTCTGCGCGCTCCTGGCGTTGCCTGTGCGGACGCCTTTTGCAGCCATCGCAACAGCAACACACGTCCCCAGACACCCCAGCGGCACGAGCGGCTGCTGCTTGGAGCGGTAGATGATCTTCTCGAAGGGAGTCATGCTGGCGTTAGACTGGCGGGCGAATACTTACTCTTCGAGCGGCAAGTCTGCCGACGAGGGATAGTTCTGAGAGGCCATAATAGTTAAAAATATTTATTTTGGCTTCCCAATTATTTAATTTGGCTTCCTCTATAAATACACATATATAGCCTCTCAGCTTGCCCCTACATTCTCCCCCGCCCCGTGTAGCTGTAGTCCTTCGGGCTCACCACCAGACCCTTGCCCTTGACGGCGCCCCGGTAGATCGTCTCAATGATGTCGATCAGCTCCTGCTTGTCGCCAACCATAAAGTTGAGCTTGTTGTTGTTGCCCGTGCCAAAGTCGCACATCATGTGCTTGTTGCGGTAGAAAAACATCACCGTCATCGGGTCGTACAGCTCGTACATCTCGTTGAAGTCCGGAACCTCGTCAATGTCGCACAGATACACCACGGCGAACTGGCTCACCTTGGCAGAGATGCTGTACAGCATCTCGTCCATCAGCATGCACTCGCGGTCGGCGTCGCGGCCGAAACGGATCACGACGAGCCGGTCGTCCTCCGACAAGATGGCCTGGTCGACGTGCCAGCCCGTGCGCAGATGCGGAAGAAACACACTGCCCATGAGTAAACTTCTAAGAGTGGCACACCGGAAACCAGAGGAGCCAAATTAATCTGGAAATATTTATCTGTCATTACTTCGCCTTCAAACATGTCCGGCGCCCAGGCTTACGACCCTTACAACCCGTTCAATGACGACGCGCAAAAGGAGCAGACCACGCAGCCGTCGAACCAGAACTTGCACAATCTGCAGAACACGCTCCAGGAAACGGCCGGAATCATGAGAAACAACATCGAGGCCATCAACCAGAGAGGAGAGGTGCTGGAGGACATCGACACCCGCGCCAACGACCTCAGCACAAACGCCAAACTGTTCAACAGGTCCGCGAACCAGGTCAGAAAAGACATGTGGAAAAAGAACCTCAAGCTCAAGCTGTGTCTCGCTCTCATAATTGTCATTCTCCTGGTGGTCATCATTGTGCCTATCGCCATCCATTTCAGTAATTAGACTATTTAACACGCCTCTAACACGTTACTTGTATCTACTCCGTGGCAGCCTCCTGCGCAGTGGCGTTCCGGGTCACCAGCTCGATGATCCGTTTGATCACAGGAATGTTCAGCCACGCAGGAACGTACGCCTCGACCCGGTGGAACGGACGCAGCTCCACGTCTCTGAATGGGTCGTTGAACCGGCCCTCTGGGTTCAGCGGCTCGAAGAAGTCGGTCGCGCCCTCCGACGTGTCGCTCTTAACCTTCTCTGCCAAGTACGTCGTCACCGCAGGACCGATCGGAACCTCGTAGTCGGCCACAGCATACTGCGCAATGAGCTTCTGAACCTGCACGGGCTTCAGCGAGTGGCAAATCTCGAATATTATGTCGATGTCCTCGGGCGAGTTCTTGCGCAGCTGTAGCAGTTTGGAGACCTGCAGCAGATGCGACAGGTACGTCGACCCGTCCGGAATCTGGTGGCCGTTGCACCACTCCTCCAGACGCGTCACGTTGTAGTTTAGCTGGAGACCACGCTTCCACGACAGGAAGTTCCGCCTCATGATCAGGTCGTTGAAACACACCGCGTCCACAAACTTCAACAGCTCGATCAGCACCTCGTTCATCACGCGAGGCTCGATGAAATACGCCTTCATCGCCCAGTACACGTTGTTGAAGAACGTCAGAATGTCGTCCATCTTGTACTGCTGGTTGTTCTGGAACATCTTGCTCAAAAACGGCGACGACTCCGGAGCAAGGAACCCGGGCAGGGCCTGTGCCAAAACCACAGCAGAAATGCACTTCTTCTCAAGGTCCTTCTGCAACTTCTTCATCCACATGTTGTAGATGTTGTACGACAGCGACTCGAAATCCTCTCTCACCACTGCAACCAGTTTCAGGTACTCGTCGTACTCGGAGTCGCTCATGTCTTTGCTGATGGAGTCGTTGGCCAGAATGGTGGACTGCGCATAGGCAACAAACGAGTATAGCTCGTGGGTGTTGGTCAGCCAGAAAGCGCCGTGCTTGATCACGTCGTCGTCCTTCAGTCCGCTCACAATGCTCTGTATCACGCCCAGGACTTCGCCCAGGAACGCCTCACTCTCAGAAGTGAGACCAAGACGCCACATGTCGCTCAGAATAATGATGATGATCCGGGCTGGGAAGAGAACCTCTTTGCGGGTGAGCTCAGAGGCCACCGCAGCAGACGGCAGCCTCACACCCTTCAGCAAACCGTCGACCGTTTCCTTGTGCAAGGCCTGCGAGTTGCGCAGCAGAGACCATAGCTCGCTGTTGATGGCTTCTAGATCCATATCGTCTTTATTTGAGGTCGTGGTCACGATCGACGCTGGACGAGGCTCGTAATTGCCGTTACTCTTGTGGTTCAAGCCTGGTGAGCCTGGAGCACCTCTGGCACGTGACTTGGCAAGGCCCGGAGCACCGACAGAGATCTGGTTCTGCAGCTCTAGTAGTTCCTGTTTGAGTTGCAAGATGGAACTGTTCAGATCGCCATTTTCTTTCTGTGAGTCGTCAAGTGCCTTCTGAGCAGCCTTGAGCTGTTCAACGTTCTCCTCCAGCTCTTTCTTTAGCTGTGCTTGCTGCTGCGTAAGCTCGTCGACTCTCTGGCGTGCCGCTTCGTAATCGTGCTTGTACTTCTCCAGCTCTGCATTCAGGGCACTCAAGCTTTCTGTGTGTTTCGAAACTGTAGAATCGTATTTTTGATTGAACTCTAGCTCTCTCGACTTGAACTCGGCGTGCTGTTTCTGGGAATCGGACACCTGCGACCTGAGAGCTTCAATCTCACTCATTAGTTTCGAGTTATCATCGATCTTGGACGTCAAAGACTGTGTCAGCTCTATGACCTTGTTTTCAAGACTGTATTGCACTTCCTGGAGCTTGTTCACCGACTTCGCCTCAGCTCTCAAATGTAGATACTCCTTACGAGCAACTTGGCGCCGGAAACAGCTTTGAGCAAAGACCACAGCCCACAGTGTTTTCTTGTAGTGGTTTCTGGCCGCTCTTCCTCTCAGAGCAGATTGAATCAAGGTTGCCGCATCTTTCTGTAGCGACTCTCTCAGTTTGCTTCTATAGAGATGGCCTCTGAGAATAGCTTGCAACGACACAAGCGACGTTCTGGAAGAGTTGTATCTGGACCGCACAAAGTAACCTCTAATAAGAGATTGGATCGTGATGGAAGCATCGTTCTCCATCTCCCTTCTGATTCGTTGTCGGGCCAAAAATCCTCTAGCAAGAGACTGTGTCTGCAGTAGCGATCTACGCACTTGGGAGTACTCCTTGCGCTGGTGGTGACCCTTCAAATGCTTCTGGATTGTCACGGCAGACTGTTTGATCTTGTGTGATCTGTATTTCTCCAATAAAGCAAGAATACCTGCTTTGAAAAATATCTTGGTCTTTCCTGTCTGGTATTTTCGCTCATCATCAATGGTACTTTTCAAAATCTTCTTGGTGAGCTCAATAGCTTCTTCCTCAGAGCCAGAGCCACGCAAGTAATTTTCCTTCTCGCTGGACGGTAAAAGAATTGAATAGTATCTGGCAAAATCCGGATAAGTTGCCTTGGATGGAAATCCTGCGCACGAGATCTTGATTGTCTCCAAAACACCACAGGCACGTAATTGAGACAGAACCATCAATGGGTCAAACTCCCACGCCTTCTTCTCCTCGTTAGGCTTGATACATCTAATGTAGTGAACATTAGTCGAGTTGATTGTGTTCATAAGCTCAATCAGAGACGATTTGAAGATGGAACCAAGAGTTGGTTTCTTGACGGCCTTCTTGCCAGGCTTAGCAGTAGCAGCAGCAGCAGCTTGCTCAGAAGCAAGTTTTTCGGCTTGTTTGTCGACAGTTTCTAGAACTTCGGCCAACAGACCGTTCTTTGTGGCTTTCAAAACTTCCAGCTGTCCTTCAGAAACAGTATCCCTATTTTTCTCAATGAAACCTTCCGAGTCGTAGGTGACGTCCAGAGCATAGTGGCTAACGATGAACTTGTTGTTTCCGAACCTTGGCTTCTTGAAAGATTGGTCATAAGGAGATTTTGTGAGAGATTGATACATCTTCTCAATCCATGACTGGTCGCTTCCAGATGGCAATCTCGACTCTTCGTCCAGCAACGACAATATACCGAGTCTATTCTCAATCACGTCGATACACGGCTGGTTATCGGAAAACTCAATAAATGACCACTCGATCTCCTCCTTGACGTACTCTTCTTGTTCCAGCTTAAAAACGTGTTGAGTGAACTCCTGTTGTAGCTTTTCGTTAGCATAATTGATACAGAACTGCTCGAACGAGTTCTTGTCGAAGTGTTCGAAACCATAAATATCCAAAACACCAATGAACGACTTCACTTTGCTCTGCAGTTCTGGCGGACACAAGTCGGAATTGATGTAGTCGACCAGCCAGTCGAAAAGAGACGAGTAGATATATTTAGCGACCGAGTCTCTTGCCACTGTGGCTTGCTGGTGGTTTAAGTTGGACACGATTTTCTCTGATCTGGTGGTGATTTGTTTCCTGACAATCCATTTCGCAAACCCAGCAGCGTCGATTCCAAGCAGCTCGCAGGCCTTGACGAGGTTTGGCTCGTCCGGCGACAAAATGGCGTCGTTTCTCGTTTTTGTGATCTCAATGTTTCCGATGTGCAGCAAAGCAGACAAGATCTTAAACACCTCGTGCATTCTATCCTGCGTGATACCGACGAGAGCAAGCGAATCACACGTCTCTTTGAACTCTTTCGCATCGTCAATACCAGCAATACGTGGCATTTTGCCCTGGTTCAGGTAGAAAAAGTCTTCCACAGATGAGAGCCCAAACTCCTTCTTGGAGGCCTCGTCCAGACCTTCGACCATCTGGTAGAAGATATGGTAGTTTCTCTCGGTGGCCGGCTGGAAAACCAGACGCGAGCGCTCCAGCAAGTACGTTCTGATGCTGGCGCCAATGATGACGACGTTCTGGTCAAATAGGATCTCGAGATATTTGCCGAATCTGGAGGAGTTGTCGTTTCTTGTGGTCTTGGCATTACCAAAGGCTTCCATGATCGGATTCGTGGCTAGAATCTGTTTTTCTGTGTCCGACATGTCGTGGTTGTTGTGGTCAGAGTCGACGGACGCAAGGTAACGCATGATGTACTTGGCCGACACGGTTTTTCCCGCTCCCGACTCTCCAGAGACAACGATCGACTGGTTCTGGCCGTCTGTTTTCATGCAGCGATACGCGTCTTCTGCGATCGCAAACAGGTGGGGCTCCTCCTCGCCCCTCGATTTGGACGCGTATCGCTGGATTCTGTGTGGCGAGTACAGTTCGTCGTTGCGCTGGAAAGGGTTGATGGCGATCAGCACGATACCAGAGTACGTGTAGATGCTAAACTGGGCGTATCTGAGCTTGATGGCGTTGAGCACAGACGGCTCGTTCAGATGCGACAGCTCGGTCAGGTCCTCCACGGTCTCGACCTGGTTTCTCAGCAGGGGGAGTTGTGTATTGTTTTCATTTAGGTTATCTGTCTCGATGGTGAGTTTTTTTGCGCCGTCCTCACTCACGAGATCGATCGCAAACTTGCCGTCCCTCTTGTTGACGGCCGCGACTTCGACGCCCAGCCATCCCACCTTATCGTCTGGGATCCAGCAGCGGCTAAAGGTCAGCAATACGGGTCGGGTGGATACTTACGTTCCGGGCTCAAAATGGGTCTCCATGGTGTTCTCTTGGTAGTTGCCAGAGCTCGGGGCCTTTATTCAATTTGGCAGGGCCGTTTGCGCTGGTTTTTATTAATTGGCGTACTGGCTGTTACCAACAAAGGAAAATAAATGTGTTTTAAAGTTGGCGATATTTTGATTTAAAACGCGACCGTCTGCCATTTTGCAGTACCGGTGACTAAAAATTAAATATATTCTATATTCGCTATACTATGCCTCCGCGCCCCCCGATCGTCGTCGACCGCCCCGACTTCGTGTCTGCCGGGTCGCAGCAGTCGGTGCCGTCGGTGCCGTCGCTGTACGTCACGCCCAGCAACACGAGCCACAACACGCCGCATAGAAGCATCGACCGCTCTGCCTCGCTCGTCAACATACAGGGCTCAGACCACCGACATTACCTGTCTGTGCCCAGTGTGTCCGACCAGATCTCGCCCTCCAAAGTGCTGGGCCCGACCATTTCGAAAATCGGCCGCAAACGCCGCGCCAGCGTGTGTCTGCAGGTGCGGTCTAAGTTCGAGGAGCTCGAGTCGCTCGTGGCAGACAACGTCGACAAACGGCTCGAGAGCATCGAAACAGAGAACATAAACCTGCTGAAGGAGCTGGACTTCCGCGTGCAGGACCTGGAGCTGCTGAACAGGGCTCTAGAGGAGAACCTGGACAATCTGACGGGCTTTTTGAACGTGCTGGGGGCCAAGGAGCAGGAGATCGACCAGCTGTGCACGAGCGACATATTCAACAACCTGAACGACCTCAACTCGCGGCTGGACGTGGTGAAGCGCGAACTGGGCGTCAACAAAGCGAAACTGGACAATTTCGACGCAGACCTTCGCATTGTCGAGGGACAGAAAAAAAGCGAGATCATCGCCCGCGGAGTGCACCACAACATGGTGCTTCTGGCGCTGCTGAGCGTCGTATTCCTGCTAATCCGCATATACTGAAAATCACTCTTCCAGATGGCTGTAGCAATAATCCATCTCCTGCTCGCTCAAACAGCTAATATACAGACACTTGGACAGCAGCTGCGGGTGTTTTTCGAAATTGTAGATCTTGGAGTACTCGATGTTGCGGAGCATGTTCTTGAGGATACCGCACGAGACGCGGAACTTGTCGATGTTGATCAGCTCGTACTCCTCTACGGTCGTGGTGGGCCGCTCGCTGTTGACCGTGAGGTCGCTCAAATCCAACGCCAGGAACGGGATGATGCCCTTGGACGCACGGATCTGGCGCAGCTCGGCGCGGAAGTGGGCGAAGTTGCGCTCCGGACTGCACAGGTCTTTAAGTTTCTTGAACAGCAGCAGGTCGCCCACGTCCATCGTGTTCCATGTAGACTTTAGTTTCTTGACGATCGACGAGTTCAGAGCCAGGACGATCTGGTACACGGTGGAGTAGTTCTGCATTTTGAGACAGTTGTTGGCGACGTGAATAAATCGCGATAGCGTGAGCGCACGCAGAGCAACAGACTTGCACAGCAGAATCTCCGAGATGATCCAGTTGGTGGCCAGGTTGAACCGCAGCGTGATCAGCCGCAGACCCGTCTTGGACTGCTCGTCAAACAGCAGCCGCAGCCACGAGTTGTACGGTTCCAGCGGCTTGTCCCACTTCAGGTCGACCAGCTCGTGCCAGTCGATCTCGAGGAGAAAGTCGCGCTCGATCAAGGTCAGCTGCTCGGCGATCACGTGCGACTCGTGGCCCAGGATGAACGGAACGTGCGTGCCCTTGTACATGATCTCCTCGACGGACAGTCCGGAGGGAACGGCGAGCGACTTGCTGGGCGTGTTCGACAACGATTGGAGCGTGAACTTGGAAACGTGGCTGGCGACAGAACGCCGGGCTACCGAGAAACGGTACGGCGTCGGCGCTTTTTGCTCTGTCTTGGTGGCAGCCGGCTGGATAAACAGGTCGCGGACCTTGCGTTCCAGCTTGACCTCGTCCATGCTCGAGTCTGATTCCTGCGAGTGCTCGTCGTTTAGCCCGTAAACCACCTGGGGCTGTGCTGCCGGCTGCTGTCCTCTGAGCTTGAGCAAGGCGTGGTTGACGGGGTTGTCGGTGTGTTTTTCGTCTGGAATGGCAGCGAGCTCGGCAATCGCGTTCTGGGATATGCCGGGGTACGGAAGATGGTACGACCCGGACAGTATGATGGAGGCTGTTTCTGCTTCGTACTCAAAGTCGTCCTCGTGGGGGAGGGATGTGCCGAAGAAGGGAAGCTCGTAGAGGTACAGCGTAGGCTGGGAGGAGACGTCGTCTATCTGCGGCATCTCGGGATCTATTTCTAGCGACTTCTGTTCCTCCTTCTGTTCCTCCTTCTGGTCCTGGTCCTGATCCTGTTCCCTCAGGTTCGAAAACGACAGCTTCTTTCGTAGCACATGGTGTCCGCTGGAATGTTGCGAATGACGGGATGAGAGGTCCGAGTCGTACGACAAATACGACTTGGCCGAGCTCTCGCTGGGCTGTGCTCCCTGCTCCAGGATCCGCTCAACGTCGGCCTCCATCACGGTGACGTCGGCAAACGAAGACCAGTTGATGCTCACCGACGGGGTCCGGAACGAGCCGTTTGAATGGTTGATTGCGTTCAGAATCTCGTCTGTGTCGTCCATCGTGCGCTTCTCCTTCCCCTTCGTCGGTGACTGGTCGTAAACTTCTGCGCTGAACAGCTCTGCCGAGTCACGTGCCGTGTGAGCAGGTGCGGCCTTGGGAACCGGTCGGCGCGATTGCGCGTGTTCCTGGTAGTAGCCGAACTCGGTGATCACTCTGGAGCTGAGCAGGTCGACGTTGTCGGACCCCAACAATGGAATTTCGCTCACCACTGTTTTTGCACGCGATGTGTCCGGCTTGCTGAAAAGATGGAACAGTTTCCGTGTTTTGCGCGGGCCGTGGCCGTGTTTCTGGTTCGGCTCGACCAGCTTCTTCAGCGGCGTCGTCGGCGTGATCCTGTCCACTTTGCTTTCTGTGAAAACGTCCACCTTGCCGTTCAGACAGAAACCGTTCTCCTTGTCTTCGAGGTCGATCAGCTGGCTCAGCTTGCGCACGCCCTGGATCGGCGTGGCCTTGACGTCGCCCAGAATCTCGTCGTACAGCGGCGACTGGTTCGCGAGACAGTTGAGCGACGCCTTGGGATGCAGAATCGCCGTCTCCTCGGCGTGCGCGCTGCTGCCTTCCACCACGGACAGAATCTGCGACCGGCGCACGTTCTTGTCCCGGAGCTGCTGCAGCCCCAGCGCACTCACACGCATGTTGCGGGCGTTTTCGTGCGCATTCACGGCATCGGCCAGACCGTCCACCGCGTCGCCAGTGCTCCAGTACGCGCTGCACATGCGTGCATACAGCTTCTTCAGGTCGACAATAACCTTTGTGCACAGCGAATCGGGCTCGCCGCGGAACTCGTCCCGCGTGGCGATCTCGTTGAGGGCCCCGCAGAGCAGCTGTCGCAAACGCCTGTCCTTGGCAAAATCGGGGAAATGGTTGAGCAGCCAGTGGCGCAGCATCACAAACGTGCGCACTAAGATCGCCGAGTAGAATGCCTGCCCCATCGGCAGAGCTTGTGTACCGTCCTCCGAGGGAGAAATGTTGTTGGCCCGCTTGAGGGCCCACGTGAGCCGACAAAGCAGCAGCTCGAGCAGCGGCAGCGGCTCTATAAACTCTCTGTACGACAGGAAAAAGTCGACGAGAAACTGGTAGTCGATCGATCCGGGAGACGTGAGATGGCAAACGGCAGACTCGATGGTGCCCTGGAACAGCCTGTCGTTCTGGAAATGGGCGATCTCGGACTCGCAGGGCGCCGGGAACAGCAGCGGGTGGTCGAAAAGAGGCTCATTCTCTTGGAAATTCTCCACCAACGTGGAAAACATGCTGGCAAAGGATGAGATGAGTTGACGTTATTGTTTTTATTTTGATATTTTTTATTTTGTTTATGTTTTGCGCAAACAGGACAGGGCGGGCAAAAATGGGGGGGATTACACGATCCATTACGTAACACAAAACGGCTGAATAGATTTAATGTTGCATCAGGAATTCTTACACACGTAACTAGCCTAAGTTGGCTTCTGCAGACCAATTCTCACAGCCTTCCACTGGGTGTAGTTGTCGAGGGCCTGGGCACCCATCTCACGGCCGATACCGGACTGCTTGTAGCCTCCGAATGGCACCATCTGGTGGAAGTCGTTGTAGGTGTTGATCCAGACAGAGCCGGCCTCGAGCTTGTTGGAGACGTACGTGGCGGTGTCGATCGACTTGGTGTGCACACCGGCAGCGAGTCCGTACTCGGAGTCGTTGGCCAGCTCGATCACCTCGTCGGCCGTCTTGAATGGCGTGATCACGGCGAATGGGCCGAAGATCTCCTCCTTGTATGCTCTCATGTCTGGGGTCACGTCGGCGAAGATCGTTGGCTTGACGAAGAAGCCCTTGTTGCCCAGTCTCTCACCTCCGGTGATGAGTCTGCCTCCCTCCTGGTGGGCGATGTCGACGTAGCCAAGAATCTTGTTCAATTGCATCTGCGACGTCTGGGCACCTTGGAACGTGGACAGGTCGAATGGGTCGCCCACCTTGAGCGTCTCGGCGGCAGCCTTGAACTCTCTGAGGATCTCCTCGTAGATGCCCTCCTGGACAAACACTCTGGAGCCGGCAGAGCACACCTCTCCGGAGTTGTAGAAGATTCCGGCCACAAGGGCGCTGATGGCGGTCTTGACGTCGGCGTCGTCGAAGACGATGTTGGCAGACTTTCCTCCGAGCTCCAGGGTCACCTTCTTGAGGTTCGAGTCGGCAGCAACCTTCATGATGTGTCTTCCGGTCGCGGTGGAGCCGGTGAATGCAAGCTTCTTGATCTTAGGGTGGCTGGCAATGGCGTCTCCGGTGATCTTTCCGAATCCAGACACAATGTTGACCACACCGGCCGGGATGCCGGCCTCCTTGACCAGCTGCGAGGCGTACAGAGCCGACAATGGGGTGCTCTCGGCGGTCTTCAGCACAACAGTGTTACCGGCAGCCAGAGCAGGACCGACCTTCCAGGACCACATCAGAAGAGGGAAGTTCCATGGGATGATCTGTCCACACACGCCGATCGGCTCTCTCTTGGTGTACGTGTGGTGGGTGTCGCCCGTGTCGATGTACTGGCCGGTCAGCTTGTCGGCCCAGCCGGCGCACGATCTGATGTAGTTGATCACGAGCGCCACGTCGCCGTGGGCCAGCTGCAGGGCCTTTCCGTTGTCGAGGGACTCGATGGCGGCCAGGGTGTCCTTGTGGGCCTCCAGCAGCTCGGCCAGGTTCCACAGGGCCTTGCCACGGATGGCAGGGTCGGCGGTGCTCCAGGAGCCCTTGAAGGCCTTTTCTGCGGCGTCGACGGCGTCGTCGACGTCCTCCTTTCTGGCCTCGTAAACATGGCAGATCTCCTCCTCGGTGGCAGGGTTGATCACCTCAAACGTCTTGTGCTGCTTCGAAGGAACAAACTCGTTGTTGATAAACAAACCGGTAGGCTGCTCGTAGGACTTTCCGTTAGGCAGAGTCACGGTGGTGGAGAGCGGGTAAGAAGAGTAGAATCTTAAGCTAACTCTGGCGGCTGGCTTGGCCAGCGATCTAAGAGAGGTTCTGAGCATGATGGGAAAAGAGTACTGGGGACCAATAATTGCGGGAGGCAGGGTATTTATACTGCGGCCCCTCAATTCATGCAGCTCTGCACCAGATGACCTGCTGGACGGTCCAAGGGCACTACCTCCAATGAAATTGCTCCACGGCCAGGAGCTGGACAAAGTGGGGTAGGCTGAGGCAGGGTGTGCAGAAGAGGGGGTACGATCACTCGGGCTCCGCGGTCAGCGACATGGCCGTGCCCAGCGCTACAAAGGCAGCGCCACGGCACAGGCTGCCGGAGTTTGCGCGAGGCTTGCTCCAGCCTTCTCCCAGACCGTTGCCAGCACCGTTGCCAGCACCGTTGCTGGGTCCCTTTCTTTTGCACGCTCGGAGTGACGTCAGTCGTGCGCCGCACAGAAACACCCCCGCCGGAGTACGCTCCTTACCCCACTTTGGGAAAACGTCACCCTGCCTTTCGCAACCACCTGGGTGCCAGGCTCGCCTCTGTAGTGCACATATTACCGTTTGCGGTAACCGTAGACGGCGATATACACCCCCTCCATTCCCTCCATACCCCAGTCTACACGGGGTACGTGCGATGTCTCCTCGGCAAAGAGGACTACTTGGGAGTCCCCTCTCTGGGCATCCAATAGTATTTATTACTAATATCTTGCACAACCGTCTCTCCGAGTGGAGATTTATTTCAAACCCGCTTTTTCAAATGCGCCCGGAAGCAAATCTCTAGACTCCAGCTCCTTCAGCGTCTGTTCCGTGCCAAACACCTCGCCGTTGAAGAATATCGTAGGCACCCACTTGCGGCCCGAAATTGCGGTGAACTGTTTCTCCAGCTCGGTTGCCTGGTTCGCAGGCATCTTATCCAGCTCCACCAGCGCAATTTTGTCCAACACGTTGTACTTCTTGAACACGGCTATTGCGTAGTGGCAGTCGGGACACCACGACTTGGACAGCATGAGGAACCTGTGCTGTTTGACGAGCTCTTGTGCGGAGACCATGGTAAATTAAATCAAGTGTTTTTTTGAGTGGAAATTAGCCACGCGAAACCACGTGACACTTAAAGAACCAGAAAGAAATAGCACCCACCATGCTCTCACTAATTACACCGCACTATATTCTCTATTAAATTGTCAATCATACATCAAATGCCTGCGCTCCTTCTGGCGCCTCTCGTAGCTCACCCACAGCCCGTCCAGATAGTTGATGTTCTCAAACCAGCCAATCAGCGTGCTCTCGTACGTTCGTCTCGCCAGCGCGCGCGACTCCTCGATATCCCGCACATAGCCCGCGTTCTTCTTTGTCCAGCTCTCCATCGCGTCCTTCTCGTAGAGTTTCGTGTACTCCACGGAGAACGCCTCAATGTCTTCGTGGTCTTTCAAATTAAGCGTCATCTCGGCCGCAGACTCGTCGTCCGGCTCGTCATCGTAGAAAACGTACGGATACAGCCCGTGCGTGGCCGGGTTCACACGCAGATCCAGCAGCTTGAGCGTCTTGCGGAATGCGCGCGTGTGCGGCACGAGCGACGCCAGGTCGCGGACGCTGTTGCTCAGCAGCTTGAGCTCGCGCAGGAACCGCAGGCCGGAAAGCCCCGAGAGCGAATGGATTTTGTTGAAGTTGAGATCGAGGTCCGTCAGCATCGGGAACCATTTGGCCAGGTCGGGCACCATCTCCAGGTTCATTGCAGACAGATTGAGCACCGTGATGTTGGAAAGAGAGCCTTTTGTTGGGAAAACACTGCCGCACAGGTTCAGTTTCTGTAGTTTGTAGAGGGGCGCGACAAGCACGTCGTTGCTGGCGTGCGACTGTAGATATTTCGCAGAAACCTGCACCAGCTTGTCTGGCAGGCCGGAAAGACGAGCCAGCGGGTTGCGGTCTATTTTCAGCACACGCAGCTCCGTCAGTGGCTCCAAGTCGAGCTCCCTGATGTTGTTGTAGCTCAGACACAGCCGGCGCAACGAGCCGTTGGCGCAGCGGAAACCGGCGAGCTTGTTGCGGTTCGCAGACACCGACGTGAGCGCAGACAGCGCGTCGAGGCCGCCAATCTCCGAAATGCCGTTCTCGTCCACGTCGAGGTCCTGCAACATGTCGAGGGCGGCGAAATCAACACTCCCGGAAAGGTTGTTGCCTGCCAGCTTCAGACTCTTGAGCATCTTGAGGTTCTGGAGGCCCTGCAAGGTCTCAATGGCATTGTACGACACGTCCAGCACGCTCAGATTGTACAGTTTGAGGCCACGCAGGTTTGTGAGTCGGTTGTTGCGCAGCTCAAGAACCTGTAAATTGTCGAAATTGAACATGCTCATGCTGGAAAACGCGTTGGCGCTGGCTCTGAGCACCTGGATGGATTTGGGGATGCCCTCGGTGTGCGTGAGCTCGTTTTCGCTCGCGTCGAGCACGCGCAGGTGCGGCACGAACCGGTCGAGGTCGCGCAGCTTGTCGAGCCTGCGCGCGGCCAGAGACAGCTTGTCGAGACGCAGCCAGTCCTCGGACGGGAACTGCTCGGTGATGGCGGCGACGAGCCGCGACTTGGCCTGCAGAAACGACATCTCATCGTCGAGGTCGGAGATCTCGTTGAACGCGTCGATCGACTCGCCGTCGCCGTCGCCGTCCGGGACGTACTCCTCGACAGGGACGAATCTGTTGAGCCGCTTGTCAAACACCTTCCCCTTGAACTCGTCGCCCGGAATAAACTTGATTCCCGGCCGCTCGTCGCGTTTTTTGATCTTGGGAACCGACATCGTCTTGTCGACCTCGCCCGACACGCTCAGGTCGAGCTTCTGCTTGAGCAGCTCGAGCGACGCGGTGATGTCGGGCCGCGACGGCGTCGGCGAGTCGAACACCGCCGACTCGGCCGCGTCCGTGTCCGTGTAGTCGCTCTCCTCCTGGTTCTGCGCCGGCTGCGTGCGCTGTTTCAGCTTGTTAAACAGCTCCTCAGAGTTTCGCAGTAAGAGTTGCAACGACGCGTGCGACGACGACCGCGCCGACGCAGGCGACCCGTCGGCGTCCGCCCGCGCGCCGTCCGACCCGTCGATCTTGTTCAGCATGTCCCTAAACCGCTCCGTCGTGTACGTGTCCTGCTTGCCGAACAGCTTGAGCGGCGACGACGGGATGATCGAGTGCTCTGTGCTGCGGCCAAAAGTGTCTACCGTGGGCGGATCCTGCGGCTGCGACGGCGCCGGCAAGCCCTGCAGACCGGCCCTGAACCGGCTGTCCTTGTACTTCCTCCACGCGGCCTCGTCGCCGCCCTCGCGACGCACAAGCGTGTTTGTCTCGCCCAGCGACAAATACGGGTCCTGGGAGGCGTCCTGTGTGTCCGGCCAGTGCTCGTGCTGCAGGACCTCGGGCATCCAGTCGGTGGGGGGTGGTTGGTTGTGTTCGGGCGAGGGCTCGTTGAAGTTGGAGTTGAGAATGTACTTTTTGGCCGCGGGGCGGGACGTCTGACTGCGACCTGGCTGGTCTTCTGTCTCCACGGAGTCGTCGTCGGTGTACTCCGGGTCCCTTTGCATTTGTTTACTTATTTATTTATTTTCGTGTGGCGCAGCATTCTAACCTTGCCCGCTCCTCCTGTGGCTTGGAGCAAAATCTAATTATTTGTTTACCTGATTTTTCCCTGTGAAACAGTAAACAGACCCTTGTTTGCTGCCCAAACCATGTCCCGCCACGATTATCTGAGCTCATCGCCGTCGAAGCTGTTTGACCAGCTGTTTGAGGAGGCCGGCGTGCAGCCGCCGCCGCCGCCGGCAACCGCAACGTCGCAGGTGTCCGGCACCGGCTGGACGCCCTACATCGACAAGGTGTTTATGACCAACATGGAGCGAACGCGCGCGCCGGGCTCGTCGCCGGGCAACTTCGAGACGCACGAAATGCGCACGCCCGCGCCCGACAAGACGCTCAAGCTGTCGGACTTCTTCATCGACACGCCCACCATGAACCAGTACGACCTCAATGCGCTGCTCGGGATCGAGAACGACAACAAGGAAAACCACCCGCTGTTTGCCAACATGGACACGCCGAATTTCAAGACGCCGCTGCACGAGCTCACCCACACGCCGAAGCTGCTGCAAAGCACGAGCGTGAGACGGCTGAGTGCGAGGACAACCCCGAGCAACTTCAAGACGCCTCTCAAGGAACACCACCAATCGTCGCCCTCCACGATCGTTCTAGCATCTGCACAGAAACAGCAGCCCGCCCCGCAAATGTCGCCGACGCCGGTGGCGAAGTCGCAGTTCAAGAGCGCGCCGTGCCAGCTCGTCAAGTCGGCGTCCAACATGGAGCCTGTGATCGGCATCTTCCAGGACCAGAAACCCGTGCCGCCGCCGCGGCGACGGCCAGATCCCGGCTCGGGCAAGTTCCAGATCATCTTCACAGACATGAACACGCTCAAGGGCAGCTACGGAGCTAAGAAAAACAAAAAAAGACTCGCCCGCACCACCAGCGCTGTGGAAAACCCGGGCAAGCGCAAGAAACTCGTCAAGTACAACTCCGAGTCAGCAAAGGACACTCTCTGGACCGATCAGAACAACTAAATACCTCTATCTTCTTCTTGGACCTCTTGGCTTGTGGAAAGCCTGGGCAGCAGGGACTCGCAGGGGTCCCTCGTCAGCGACGATTTCGTCTGGGTCGCCGGCTTCCACCACTTTTATAAAGTCAATGCCACCGCTTTTCAGGTCGTTCAACAGGCCCTGCTTGCTCGACGCGTACACCATGCGGTCGCGCACTTTCGATCCCGACGGACAGCAGTAGACAAAGTAGTACCCGCTGCCAAAGCGGGCAACCGTATACGTGGGGGAATGTGGGGGGATTGTGGAGGCGATGTCGCCGAGTCCTGTGGCTGTGGCTGTGCCATCGACGCGGAACTGCTCGTCCCCGCCAATGACGATCGTCACGGTCTGGCCTATGTCCAGCCCTCTGAGTTTGTCCAGCAGATCACCTTCCACACCCATTTTCAGTCCGCTCGAGCCGGCGCCCACCAGCTGCTGTTTCCGTCTCTCGATACCACCCCCACTTAGCAGCTCCATCTGCTTCACCGTAGCCAGCGACTCCTCGCTCGAGCTTAGCGGCTTGGCGCCGTCCGTGCCACGCAACGTCTCGTACGCGTCCCCACTCAGCTCGTCTTTGTCGTTAATAAACACAATTGGGTGGAAAAACTCCACCCCCAGCTGTCTAATCACTGTATTTTTCGTCGAGGCATACAGCATCTTGCTTCTCACCGGGGCGTTGTCCAGCACAAACGAGATGAATATGAATTTGTTCGAAATGTTGTCGTTCCGCACCACCAAATACACCGCCTCTTCGGCCAGTTCGGCCTGCAACAGATCAAGGTCCCGTCTCAAATCGCCAGAACCGGCGACCACGCCCTTGGGCACCACCTGCTCGTCTTCAATGGACATCAAAAATGCCCGCTCCGAGCCGGCGACATAATCCTTGAACGCGTCCACAAGCTCCACCGAGCCTTAGGTTAGTACGTGGGGGGGGGGGGGGGGGGGGGGGGCTTGCCAGCACTTACAGTTGATTCCCGACTGGTTGGACATAACGTAGATACTTTACCGTTTCTGTGCAAGGATGTTTGTTTTCTCCTGCAATTTGCACGTCACCAGACAGCACCAGGCCGAACATTCGAGACGGGCAGCTTAGGTGGTGGATTAGGTAATCGCAGTAGGCACTGCTCCCGGTGCAAATTGCCGGCCTGCTCGTAGTGCCGGCGCCGTACGTCTCCCCCCAGGTAGCGCTCACTTCCCCCGCGCCCCGTGCTATCTGCTGCAGCGCAATTGGCTGCAATTTTGGGGCCCAGAAAACAGTGTATATTTTATTCGTTTCTGCCACATATTAAAAATTTGTTCTGCTCGGCTCAATCCGCCAATGGATAAAGATCTCGGTGACTCGCCCTCCACACAGCAGCAGGGCTCGCTACTGTTCTCCCCCACCTCCCCAACCACCAGCATGGCCGTGCTCTCGCCCCCGGCCTCGCGGTACGCTTTTGAACCGTCAGCAACTACGGCCGCCATCCCCCCACTCGGCAGCGTCCATCCGGTTGACGGGTCGCCGCTGCTAGAGCCCGCCCACAACACCAGCTTCGGCTCGTCGGGCTACTTCATTGACCGGCCCGGCTCGTCCATTGGCTACGGCAATGAGAACGACGTGCCGGCCTTCGAGCCCCAGACCGAGCTTGTTTTGCAGGGATTCACCCAGGACCTGAAAACGTTCACCAATTGGGTCAAGCACCTGAACCCGGAGGAGCAGAAGACGTGCATGGACGTGTTTCTGGCGGAAATCAAGGACGAGGTGTGGCAGTATGTCAAGAGCAAGGTCAACGACACCGCCACCCGGACGCAGAACGAGCACGGAATTCTTTTTTCGCCGCCGCTTTCCAGCAACAACCTGTACCAGGCGCCGATGCGGCCTGTTTCGCCGCTGCTTGCGCTGAACTCGGAGTCGGCGACGCTGGACTCGATCCTGAGCGACGACCAGACCGCAGACCCGCTCGCACAGCCGAAACCGGTGCACCAGCTACCGTCGCAGATGCGCACGGGCAACTCGTTGTCGCACGTGATAGGCAGCGACCCAGTGATGCGGCCGCGCAGCGCGGGCCCGATGCACTCGGATTTGACGCTGACGCCGCTGAACGGGCAGTTCCAGCGCGCGTCGCAGCTGGGCGCGCAGACCAAGCAGCACCAGTCGCAGTCGACGGCGCCCCTGCTGCGCGTCTTCTCGCCGGACGTGGACCCGTCGGGCTTCCAGAGACGCACCAAGGAGTTCATGGAGCCGGCTGGCAGCGGCCAATTTGGGCTCACGTCGGCAGATTTGGGCGGCTCCAACGCCATCAAGCTGTCCAACTCGTTGAACACCATCACGCACCGCTCCAAGATCGACCACAGCAGGACCAAACAGACCAACTCGTCTGCGCCAACGTGGAGTAGCATTGTGGCCGCCTCGGACGACAGAGGCCGCGGAGCGGTGAGACGCGCGTCGCAGAACCAGTCGAGCTCGCTGCCTCCTGCACCCCGTGGCTCGTCGAAGTTCGAGACACCGGCGAAAAGCTCGATCCACTCGCCACAGCCAAAAGTGGCCGCCAAATCGCCGTCACACGCTCCCGTGCCGCCAAAATCGCCGGTGCCAAGGGACATCGCGTCCAAGTCGCTGCTCGCAGACATCCCGGCGTGGCTGAAGACGCTCAGGTTGCACAAATACACAGAAAACCTGCAGCACCTCAAGTGGCCCGAAATGATCGAGCTGAGCGACGCGCAACTCGCGGAACTGGGCGTGAGCACGGTGGGCGCCCGCAACAAGCTGCTCAAGTCATTCGCGTTTGTGAAGGAGAACTTACACGACTAATATGTCTAGTTTGCTGGTCTGGCTACCAGGAATCAATGTTACGAGGCTTTAGTAGGGGCACTCCCGTACACCATAAATTAATGTAGACCGCGGCTTCAAGGCTATGCCAAACCGTTAACTGTCTGGCGAAGCCGTTTTTCCCTGGAAAATTCCGAGCCACTAAATCCGCGCGCAAAGACTTCGAAAGCAACGGTCGGCAAGCGCCGTGACAATAAATTAGACAATAAACCCACCTCCAAGAAAAAAAAAGAAACGACACACACAGTAGCACTTGTTGGGGAGAAAAACTTGATAGCGAAAAGTACCTTGGGCCACAGTAAGCGCAATACTAGCACAACAAGACCCGCCACGCGACTTTTGGGATACTTTGAAGTTAGACCGACCATTTCTTGACTAAGCGCCTTCTCCATCAGCTTTATAACAGCAACCAACTCTGGAATCCAAAAGAGGCCAGTTTTAATGGCAAATTAGTACCCTCTTCTATAACCTTGCGCAATAACATGATCGGCGAGATTTTGGTGGTCGACCCGACCCGGTCGCCTGTGCCAGACACTGTAACCCAGCTGTTCGATCCTTCACAAACGAGATTCACTACATTCCCCAATGTCACCTCACTATGTATTTACTTATCGACATACGCAAGCTACACGTTCACAAAGGGGCCAGAAGGGCTCGAGCGCATTCCGAACGTGGACGAGGCCGAGCTCGACCACTTTGTGGGGCTCCTCATCAACACAGACAAACACAGCGATGGCAGCGAGCTAGATAGACTCTCTTTCGCCCGACAACAGAAATTGCTCAGCTACCGATTCCACCATTTGAACCTCGTGGTGGAGTGCCTGTCCCTGAGCGATGCGCATGTGGGGGTAAAACTATGTGAGCATTTTGTCCCCACATTACACAAGATCCACAACTTGATCAGGACACGATTGCTAAGGGTGCAAACGTGGGTCGGACTGACCGACTACGACAAGATACCACAGCTAAACACCATGCCCACCATGTTGCAGACCACCTTGGACATACCGACGGGGATGGAGTATATAACACTCTTGAGCTCCGATATCCGGTATATCGAGCTGCTGCAGATCCCACACGACGATGCATACTACAAAAATAAAATCGCCAATTGGGAGTTCCACGCGTTCGAGCTCACTAGCGACGAGCTGTTGTACTGCGGCTATCTCATGATTTTGCATGTTCTCAAGGACTATAAGGCAGATTTCCAGACACCCGAGTTCCATAACCGCGTGCTGCTCTTCTTCTTTTACGTTCGAGACTACTATAGACTGGGCAACCCATTCCATAACTTCCGCCACGCAATTGACGTGATGCAGGCCACAAACTATTTTCTGGAGACCATTGTGGAGTCCGCGTACGAGTTCCAGTTCGACACCCACGAGAAATTAGCGTTGTTGCTCGCCGCTGTTGGGCACGACATTGGGCACCCGGGCACCACAAACGCGTTTCTAGCGACGTACGAAACGCCGATTGCCAAGATATTCAACAATGAGTCGACATTGGAGAAATACCATTTGGCCCAGTACCTCAACATCATGAAATGCTTCTTTGTCAAGGACGACCGATGCGTGGAGATTGCCAGATGGTCGATTCTGGCGACCGACATGGCCCAGCATGACACGTACGTGGGGGAGATGGACCGGATAGCGGAGTATAAAGAGCGGCCCGAGAAGCTGAAGCTGATGTGCGCAATCATCCTCAAGAGCGCAGACATCTCGAACGTTTGCCGGCCCATAGGCGAAGGGGTCAAGTGGGGGTTGAGTCTGGGCAACGAGTTTGCCGAAATCGCGCAGCTGGAGAGCGTTCTCAAAGGCGAGGGCTCTGTCGAGCAGTCTCCCGTGCCGCAGGTGTCGCTCGCCAAAATCACGCCCGACGAGGCTGTGCGGATGGAGCCGAAGCTGGGGGCGTCACAGATGTTCTTCATCAACCGCTTTGCGCTCGACTTCTTCACGAAAGTGGTGCAGATCATCCCCCCACTCTCGTGCCTGTCTCGCGAGCTCCACAAAAATATCGATTTTTGGCAGGTGACCGGACGTACAGGAAACTGACTTGGTGACTCTGGACACGTAATTTTCGCGCAACATATATAATATATTTTAGATAATCTCTTTACTTCCCCCAACTATGATCTCTACACTGTCTCGCCAGCTGCTCAGATCCACCCCAAGATTGTTTCTGAGACACCAATCGAACGTGCTGAACCCTAAGTCGGTCGTTTCCACGCACTCTGCGGGCCCTGTGGTGCTGAAATTCACCGATCAGCACGAGTGGTTATCGCACCACCCAGACGGCACCACTTTCGTGGGCATCACCAAGTACGCCTCTGACGCATTGGGCGACACCACATACATTGAGCTACCACACGATTCCGTGGGGGAAACCGTTTCCAAAGGCGATGTGATCGGCTCCGTGGAAAGTGTCAAGTCTGCCTCTGAAGTCTACTCTCCCGTGGACGGCGAGATTGTGGAGGTGAACACTGCGCTCGAGGAAAGCCCGGAGCTGGTCAACAAGGACCCGATGGGAGACGGCTGGATTGTCAAGATGAAGGTCAGCGAGCTGGACGGCGACCTGCTTTCTGAGGAGGACTACGTCAAGTTATTGCAAGAGGAGTAGGTTATATACAATTATTCATTTATTTTGTTCTCGCTCCCACTCTGGCTCGGTCTTGGTCTTGAGCTGCAACGCGTGGACGCCCTCGTTCTGCAGCTCATGGTCAAGCACCTTGTACACCAACCGGTGGCGCGCCGGCAGTGGCACTCCTGCAAATTTGTCGCTGACGATGGTTATGCGGAAATGCGACTCTGTGGTGTTGGTAGCGCCGCGAAGACCCGCGTGGTGTGCATGTTTGTGCGAGTCGTTGGCGATGGCCAGGTGTTTGGGGGAGAACTCGCTCGTGAGCTTGCGTCTGATAGCGGTTTCTATGGGCCCTGCCATTCTAAGCATTAAAAAAGTTATCAGATAAAATATTTTCAGTTATTTAATAGTCGTTTCTAGATCCATAAGAGTCTCTGCCAGAGCCGTACGAGTCGGAACCTTTGCCGCCAAAGTCATTGTTGGATCCGTAAGTGTTGGAATTGTCTCTGCCGGAGCCGTAGGAGTCGTTTCTGTCGGATCCGAAGGAGTCAGAGCCTCTGCCAGATCCAAAGGAGTCAGAATTTCCAGAGCCGTACGAGTCGGAGTTGTTTCTGCCAGAGAAGGAACCGGAGTTATCTCTGCCAGAGCCATAGGAGTCGGAATTGTCTCTTCCAGAACCATACGAATCAGAGTTGTCTCTGCCATAAGAGTTGGAGTTGTCCCTGCCAGATCCGTACGAGTTGGAGTTATCTCTGTCAGATCCGTACGAATCAGAGTTATCTCTGCCAAATCCGGACGACTCGTTGTTGGACGAGCCGTAAGAATTCGAGTTCGAGCCATACGAGTTGTCATTGTCTCTTCCAGATTTGTAGTTATCATTGTCCCTTCCAGAAGATCCGTAGCTGTCGTCTCTGCCAGATCCGTAGGAATCGCTCGAGTCGCTGCTTCCCTTGTTTTTGTAGCTGTTGTAGGCGCTGGTGGCCTTCTCCTTGACCTCGTTTCTGAAGCTCTCGTCGCCCAATTTGTCCTTAACCTGATCGAATAATCCCATGATTGCTGATCCTCAATGGCAAAGGGGTGATCTATTTATACTGTCAGCTGAAACTCGGTCCACGGGGGTTATGAAATTTGCCCCTTGGTGGAACAATAACATAATCTGCAAAAGAATGCACATAGACAATTTGGTGAAGCGTCTTGCAACCGACCACTTGTTCTCGGTGACGCCTCAGTTTCATGTGCCAATTCTTGTGATGTAACATGTGGCGTAGCACATATATTCTATGCATGGAACTCTAGCCTGGAGGTGTGGGCTTGGTGGTCAATGGCGCCAATGCCAGGCTGACAACATGATAGACGGTCTCCGAGACCTCAGAGGGAGCTGCGCGAGCGATGCAAGGCCATTGACCGGCCAGGATTCAACCGTCCCATGACAACCCCACCCCGCCTGCTTGCATTCTGACAGCGCATCGGGTAATTGGGTTCGATCCAGCCGATTTGCCCGGTCACGTGGCGCAGGAAGAATAGCAAAAAATAAAAAAAAAGGTGTATGACCTAATAGCTTAGGTAATCACCCTCCTTCTGCACAGCCTTGTCCACCCTACACCCATTACACTCCCCAATCGGGCAACACATCAACAAAAAAACTCTCCCTCTATTTCTTCACCATCTCTTTCCATGGCCCCTTCTACTCCTGGTCACCGAACGGTGTTCAGTAACGCCAGCCCTAATCTGCTCTCCCAAAACCGCAACTCGATCTACGAGGGTAAGAAGATCATCTCGCCCAACTTTAATGTCGTCTTGTCGGACTGGTCCATGTCCAACCATGCTCGCGCAGACATGAGCCTGAAGTTCCCGAGCCAGGACAATTCTGGGTCGCCGAAGAAGCTCCGAAGAACCAACACAGCAGAGCTGCTCGACAGATTCATCCCTTCGCGCCAGACAACGTCTGGCAAGCTTTCTTTGGAAGAGGCGCTTCCTTCGCAATGCCAGCTGCCGTATGAGCACATCGAGTCGCAGACAACCCAGATCTACCAGGACACGGTGGCAGAGGCGTGCGGACTGGCGGTCGGCGAGCGGATCCTGCAATTCCAGCCGCTGCCGCCAGCAAGCAAGAAGGCATCCAAGCTGAAAAGCGGGCAGTTCAAAACAAAGGCCTCGATCTCGACCGCGGCGGCACAGGCACGGATCAAGAAGGTGCCGAGCTGCCCGGAAAAAGTGCTCGACGCGCCCGGCTTTGTCGACGACTTCTACCTCAACCTGCTGTCGTGGTCACGTGACAACATCCTGGCGATCGCGCTGGAGAACTGCGTCTACTACTGGAACGCCACGACGGGCGACGTCGATCTGGCGGCAGAGTGCGACAGCATTGTCACGTCGGTGCGGTGGTCCGAAACGGGCGGGTATCTGTCGATCGGCCTGGACTCGGGCTCTGTCGAGATCTGGGACCCGGAGGCCGGGTCGCGGCTGCGTGTCATGGCGGGCCATCAGTCGCGCGTGGCTGCGCACGCGTGGAACGAGCACATGCTCACGTCCGGGTCCCGCACGGGCCAGATTTTCCACCACGACGTGCGTTTGTCGCAGCACATCGTTTCACAGCTTAATAACCACACCGCCGAGGTGTGCGGGATCGAGTGGCGCAGAGACGGGATGCAGTTTGTTTCTGGTGGCAACGACAACGTGGTGAACATCTGGGACGCGCGCTCTAGCGTCCCGCAGTTCACCAAAACCAGCCACACGGCTGCCGTCAAGGCGTTGGCGTGGAGCCCGACTCAGACGAGCCTGCTGGCCACCGGCGGCGGGTCCACGTGTCGGCGGATCCATTTCTGGAACACCACGACGGGGGCTCGCGTCAACACGATCGAGACGAATTCGCAGGTTTCGTCGCTGCGGTGGGGGTACTCGAACGGCATCGGCACAGAGATCGCTGCCACACACGGGTTCCCCAACAACGACATTAGTATCTACAGCTACCCCTCGCTCCTAAGAACGGGGGTTGTGGCTGGTGCGCACGATTCCAGAGTTTTGCATAGCAGCCTTTCGCCGGACGGCACTACGCTGGCGACTGTGGCTGCGGACGAGAACCTCAAGTTCTGGAAGCTTTTCGACTTGCAGACTGAGGTCGCCAACACGGGCAAGGACATTGCAGTGACCACCATCAGGTAATACCATAGACCTAATTTTTCTCAGAGTAGACCTTCCGTTTTCGGAAGGTGGTAGGATCAGAAACATTTGATAACGTTTTTCTAACTATTTTCACCACCATGAAGACTCCCAAGGTCGAAATCCTGGGCTTTGCCGACTGCAAGAAGGCCGCGCGCACGCTGTACGAGTCCTTTGACAACGACGACGTGGCGCGGTACGTTTCGCGCCACCTCGAACACGATCCCGAGCTCAAAAAGAAGTGCGACTTGCTCATGTACGAAGCGTATGTGCATTCGCATATTCTGAAGGGTCTGGTTGTCGGCGTGAAGGGCGCGGACCACGAGAGCCACGACACGTTTGAGACCGTCGCTGTTTTCGCGCGCCCTGACTCCGGCGCCATCGACGACTACCTCACGCTTGTGCGGTCCGGGTTTGCCAGACTCGCCTGGCTGACGGGCGCAGAGGGCCGTCGTCGAGTGTTTGGCACCCTGTTCAAGGTGCTGCACGACAACTATGCCACCATCATGGCTGTGGACCCAGACGGCGCCAACACATGGACGCTTGTGTATCTGGGCTCGACCCCGCGCGCCCGTGGGAAGGGCAACGTTCGCGCCGTCATGGACTATGTTTTCACCAGCCACATCGACCCGGCAAATGCCACAACGTACTTGGAAAGCAGCTCGCTGAAAAACCTGCCCATCTACGCCAAGTTCGACTTTGTGCCCGTGGCCGATATCTGGCTGGGGGACAAGACGAACAAGGCCGACAGGGCTAGGATGGACGTCATGGTGAGGGGCCCGAAGGGACAGCGGTGGAAGTACGCCGACGAGATCCGCAGAAAATTCAACTACGAGCTGTCAGAGTAAAAAAGGATAAAGCGTATCCTTATATAGTCTCGCACATAATATTAAATTATTTAACACATTGGCGAAATTTTTTTATTTATGTTTCCCTCAGACGAGCACCAAAACACATACCAGCCAAAGACCATAAAGGCGCTCACAGACGAGAAAGTGTACACGTGGATCGTGGAGCTCGTATACGGGCCCAACAAGGAACAGGCCCTGCTTGAATTGGGCAAGAAACGGGAACTGTACGACGACCTGGCACTGGTGCTGTGGAACTCGTTCGGAGTCATGACAAGCCTGCTGGAAGAGATTGTCGCCGTCTACCCGCTGCTGTCGCCGCCAAACCTCAACACGCCAGCGTCGAACCGCGTCTGCAATGCGCTCGCGCTGCTGCAGTGCGTCGCCTCCCATCCCGACACCCGTACACCGTTCCTCAACGCCCAGATTCCACTTTTCCTGTACCCGTTCCTCAACACCAACTCGAAGCAGCGGCCGTTCGAGTACCTGCGGCTGACGTCGCTCGGCGTGATCGGCGCACTCGTCAAGAACGACACCAGCGAGGTGATCCAGTTCCTGCTCACCACCGAGATCATCCCGCTGTGTCTCAAGATCATGGAGTCCTCCTCGGAGCTCTCCAAGACAGTCGCCATCTTCATAGTCCAGAAGATCCTCATGGACGACGCTGGTCTCGCGTACACGTGCCAGACCTTCGACCGGTTCGAGGCTGTTTCGAACGTGCTACGGCTCATGATCGACCAGCTCGTGGCCAACCCTACTGCACGCTTACTTAAGCACGTGATTCGGTGCTACTCTCGTCTGGCAGACAACCCAGAGGCGCGTATTGCGCTCCGGGAGCGGCTTCCCGAGGCTCTGAAAACCGACGTGTTTGCGTCGCTCCTGCGCGACGACCCGGCCACCAAAACGTGTCTCTCGCAGCTTCTCATGATGATCCAATAAACACTATTTTTCTGCTTACCATATTTTTTTTTGTATTCTTTTTTTGTTTCCACGTATTTGTTTTGCCATGTCCACCCATACTTACAAAAAGTTCGAGAACATCGACTCCGGCACGCTGCCGGACAAAATGACCGTGTATCAGGAGTGTTTACAGGCGTTCAATGCCAGTCCCATCCACGCCAAGCGGTGTAGACTGTTGTTGTCTCGGCTGCTGAGACTTTTGTATGCGGGCGAGACTTTCCCCAAGACAGAGGCCACTAACCTGTTCTTTTCCACGTCCAAGCTGTTCCACCACAATGACAGCTCGCTGAGACAGCTGGTGTATCTGGCAATCAAGGAATTGTGCTCCTTGTCGGACGACATTTTGATGGCGACCGCTTCGATCATGAAGGATATCCAAGGCGGCGACATTCTGTACAAGCCGAACGCCGTGAGAACGCTGGCGCGGGTTTTGGACGGCAGCACCATCCACGCCGCCGAGAGGGCCATGAAAAACTGTGTTGTGGACAAGAACCCCAACGTTTCGTCGGCCGCGCTCGTTTCGTCGTACCACCTGTTACCTGTGGCCAAGGACGTTGTGAGAAGATGGACAAACGAGACACAGGAGGCCATCTCCTCGAACAAGGTGTTTCCGCAGACCCAGTACAACATGCACGAGCACTACGGCGCCAACAAGCTCCTCACAGCAACGTATACCTACCAGTACCACGCGTTGGGTCTACTGTACCATTTGAGAGACCACGACAAAATGGCGCTGATGAAGATGATCCAGCAGTTCAACACACAGCAGCCTTTGAAGAGCTCGCTGGCCACGGTGCAGCTGATCAGGTACGTTGGCAAGCTGATCGAGGAGGACTCCAACCTCACACAGACGCTGTGGCCGTTCTTCCCTGGCTGGCTCAAGCACAAGAGCGACATGGTCGAGTTGGAGGCTGCCAGGACGATATTGTCGCTGCCCAAATTCCTGCCGGAGCAGCAGATGCAAGCCATCAACACTTTGCAGACCTTGTTGTCGGTTCCAAGGACGGTGACGCGGTTTGCGGCCGTGAGAATCCTCAACAAAATCGCCATGAAGAGCCCGGAGAAAATCATGGTGTGCAACTTGGAGCTGGAGTCGTTGATCAACGACGCGAACAGATCTGTGTCGACCTACGCGATCACGACGCTGCTCAAGACCGGCAACTCGGAAAATGTCGACAGACTGGTGAAGACGATCAGCGGGTTCATGGACGACATCTCGGACGAGTTCAAGATTATCGTCATTGACGCCATCAAGACCCTGTCGCTCAAGTTCCCGGACAAACACAAGTCCATGCTGAACTTCCTGAACGACGTGCTGAGAGACGAGGGAGGCTTCAACTTCAAGAACGCCATCATAGAGGCGATCTTCGACATCATCAAGTTCATCCCGCAATCTAGAGAGCTCGCCTTGGAAATGCTTTGCGAGTTCATCGAGGACTGCGAGTACACGGAGCTCGCAGTTAGAGTTTTGCATCTTTTGGGAGAGGAGGGGCCAAAGACATCGAGCCCGACTCTGTATATCAGACACATTTACAACCGTGTTGTTCTGGAGAACTCGATTGTCCGGTCGTCTGCGGTTATTGCGCTGTCCAAGTTTGCTCTCATCGGCAACGACTCCATCACAAAGAGTATCCAGATTTTGCTCGAAAGGTGTCTGCAGGACGTGGACGACGAGGTCAGAGACAGAGCTGCACTATCCCTCAAACTGCTCTCTACCAAGGACATCGAGCAGGCCAAGGACTTCATCGCACCCACGTTCAAGTACTCTCTTCCGGTTCTTGAGCAGCAGCTCGCTCTCTATGTCAACAACCCAGACAAGGAACACTTTGTCCATCCGTTCGACATCAAGGCTATCCCTACAATGACCGAGGAGGAGGCCAAGGCTGCCGAGTTCAAGGAGAAGACTACGATCTACGACGAGCCGACCGCGCAAGCTCACGAATCCTCGCCCGAGGAAGAAAAAGTGCCGGACTCGACCAAGCTTGCTCTGTTGCAACAGCAGTACGCGCAGGAGCTCGGTGCCATCCCAGAGATCGCTGCCTACGGACGTCTGCTGCACTCGTCTGCGGTTGTCGAGCTCACTGAGAAGGAGACCGAGTTCGTGGTCACTGCCGTCAAACACATCTTTGAAAACCATGTTGTTATTCAGTACAACGTGCAGAACACGCTGACCGAGATCCAGCTGGAAGACGTGTCGATTGTGGCCCAGCCAGATAACGAAGACTACAGTGAGGAGTTCCTCATGCCGCTCGATGTTCTCAAAGCCGGCTCGAGCGGGTCCATCTACGTCTCTTTCACCAGACCAGAGGGCATCGTTCCGGCCGTGTTTGGCAACACCCTGTCCTACACCACCAAGGACGTCGACCCGTCGACCGGCGAGCCTGCAGAGGGCGAGGAAGGCTTCCCAGACGAGTACCAGGTCGAGGATCTCAGCATTGTGCCGGGCGACTATGTGGTTCCGGCGTTCACCGGCAACTTCACTCACGCTTGGGACGAGCTCCAAAACGAGAGTGTGGCCGTGTTCAACCTTGGCGACGCCGCCACCATGGACCTCCAGGACGTTGTTCTGAAGCTGGTCAAGACGATGTCCATGATGCCCGCTGAGTCGACGGACGTGGTGACCTCGGGCTCGAGCCACACGCTCAAACTCTACGGAAAGAGTATTGGCGGCGACAAGATTGCCGCCGTTGTGCGCCTGGCAAGCAGCTCCAAGGGCATGATGATGAAAAGTCAGGTGAGATCGAGTGACCCAGAGCTCAGCGAGCTCGTGGCCAACTACGTTGAGTAAACAATCTTTTGAAAATAGTCTAACTGAACAGCAACCAAGGGTTTTTATGTATGTACAGGTGGCCGCCTCTTTGGCAATCTAGTTGGTTTCGAATCCGTAGCCTCTCATGCATTTTTTGTATGCCTCGATGATCTCTTTGCACTTTTCAGAGTCCGAGCCGTTGGTCAGCAGACACTGGTCTCTCTGCTGTTTCTCGTCCAGGCACACGCAGCAGGGCTTTGGCTTGTCTGTTTGTTAGTCTGGAGGTATGTGCACATACTTTGTTTGGCTTGTTCCGACATAATTAGTAATTGACAAAATAAAAAAATATATTTGAATTAAATAAATTCGTTAAATAATGTTAGAAGCTGAAAAATGGCGAATTGTAGAGCCGTACGGATCCACAATTGTGTGAATTCTCCAGACCTGTTTTTTACGTACTTTCCCAGAATATGCCATGATATATCTGTAGCGATCGCTTTGATCCACCAAAGACCTCCAGCAGCGGCCGGCTCTCTGGTACCTCCGTGACACCATCTTTCCGGCTGTGCAGAAATAATTCAAACAATTATTGCTTGCCATGTCGGACAAATGCCAGCTTCTGGGCCCGTTTGCGCTTGTAATCCAGGCGTTTCTGGGCGTGCTCGCTCTCTCGTCGCTCGTGTGGAAACGCTACCGCGAGTACCCGAACCGCAGGCCCTGGAAAATATGGTTTTTCGACGTGTCCAAGCAGGTAATTGGGGCCTTTGGTATCCACATGCTGAACGTGTTCATGAGCATCCTGGGCGGCCACTCTGACAAGTGGGTGGCATCTGTACCAAATCAAACGTCGCCGTACTATTTCGCCAGCCCGCCAAACCCACCAGCCTCCCCGCCACCTCCAGAACCAGACTTTGACAATCCGTGCGACTACTACTTTCTCAACATCCTTTTCGACACAACCATCGGCATCCCGATCCTCTGGGGCCTGCTGCATGTTATCTACACCCTCGCCAGAAACGCAGGCATCGAGGGAATCGAGTCTGGCCAATACGGCAATCCACCACGATACTCGTACTATTTCAAACAGCTAGCACTATATTTCATCGGGCTCGTGTCCATGAAACTCATAATATACATCCTGCTTGTTGTGTGCCCGTTCCTGGTCCACCTGGCCTACTGGCTGCTCTCGTGGTCGGACGCCGTGCCGAATCTCCAGGTCGCCTTTGTGGTCCTCATATTCCCGCTCATCATGAACAGCTTCCAGTACTACGTCATCGACTCCATCATCCAGAGCCCCGAGTACTCGCACCAGCACGCCAAGTCGCCCGACGAGCGCCCCGAGTCAGAATAACCGATAGAGACCTGCCCCCGTCCGGCTTACGTAATATACGAAACACAGATATATAAAAAAAGCTAGATCCGAATCTGGGCACGTTTGTTTATTATGCAGCGGACCCACGATCGTTTGAAACAGGCACCGTCGGCCGATCCTCTGCTTGACGGTGAGCGCGGCAGGCTGCCGTACGCGGCAAGACGCTCGCCCCAAAGCAGCAAGGTCCGCGTGGCCCTTATCTGTCTGCTCTGTTATTCCTTCTTTGTTTCACTTATCAACTTGGGGCGGGGCCTCAAGGACGATGGCGACGCCGTCGTGACCTTTGCAAACGGCAAGAAGAACATCATCATGATGGTCACGGACGGCACAGGCCCGGCTTCTATCAACATGGCCCGCTACTTTAGACAATATAGGGACAACCTCGACATTGACGACGTGTTGACTCTGGACAGATACTTTATAGGCTCCAGTCGCACACGGAGCGAGTCTTCGCTGATCACAGACTCTGCGGCCGGCGCCACTGCGTTTTCGTGCGCTCTCAAGAGCTACAACGGTGCTATTGGGGTGGATGGCAACAAGCAGCCGTGCGGTACCATTTTAGAGGCTCTGAAGCTGAAAGGCTACAAAACGGGTCTTGTGGTGACGACGGGTATCACTGACGCCACCCCGGCCTCTTTCAACGCCCATGCCGACTACAGGTTCATGCAGTCGCTGATTGCGAACCAGCAGCTGGGATTAGACACCACGCTCGGCCCGGTCACGGATCTCATGATTGGAGGAGGCAGCTGTTTCTACTTGCCAAAGTCGCACCCACAGGGCTGTCGCGATGACGAAACAAACCTGCTGGAAAAGGCCAAGGAGATGAACTTCACTGTGGCCACGAACAAGCACGAGTTCGACCAGCTGCAGCTGGGCAACAACGCGTCTCTGCCGCTTCTGGCTTTGGTAGCATACTACAATATACCCTACGAATTAGACAGAGATGAGACAGAGTACCCAAGTCTGGAGGAGGAGGTCAGGACTGCACTGAAGCTGCTGACTGATGCCACCAGAGACTCGGACGAGGGCTTTTTCCTGCTGATTGAAGGTTCCAGAATCGACCACGCAGGCCACTCAAACGACCCGGCAGCACAGGTCCGCGAGGTGCTGGCGTACGACAAGGCGTTCAAGGCCGTCATCGACTACATCGACTCGGCAGATACTGAGACGTTCATGGTATCCACGTCGGACCACGAGACCGGCGGGCTTGCTGTGGGACGCCAGGTCGGCCCTGGATACCCTGAGTATTTATGGAAGCCAGAGGTGCTGCTGAATGCCACCAAGTCGGGCGAGTATCTGCGCAAGAAGTTTCAGAGTTTCAGGGAGCTCAACGCGGAGAAAGACAAGCTGGAACAGTTCATCAAGACGGAAATCCTGGAGAACGACCTTGGAATCGCAGACTACACCGACAAAGAGGTGTCCCGGCTGCTGGAGCATCAGGAGCAAATACACGATCTGCTCGTGGAGATGGTGTCTGTGAGGGCCGAGGTGGGCTGGTCTACCCACGGCCACACTGCCGTGGACGTGAACATCTATGCGCACAGCAACACGGAGCGCGGACGGGCCCTTTTGCGGGAGCATCTTGCCGGAAACGTCGAGAACACCGATATCGGCAAATTCTGGGAGCAGGTCACCGACTCTGACTTGAAGCACGTTACGCATCTGCTACGGGGAACCAAGCACGTTCCGACGGCCGCAGACGAGCAGGAAAGCGTGCACGCTTACGAGAAGGAGCACGGGTTTATTGACCACCGTGCAGAGGCACCAGAACAGCCATTATAAGTAAAATGCCATTTATTTATTCTGTTATCCCGTGTAGGGGTGTACTTTAAGACGGTGGCGGAGATGGGGCAAGAAGAAAAAAAAAATACACCAATTAATTGACCTTCGCCCTAAAGAACCAGGCACAGCTCCAGTTACTGCCTTTTGAAACAGTCCTCAGTCCCCTGTTGCCTGTATACATTGTATACAACGCACTTGTCCAGATCCTGGTATACTTTTGATGCCGCTGTTCAGAAAACAGGGCGCTCCCTCTGAGTCGCCCAAGGCCCAGCCCAGCGTGATGATCAATCAGGACGACTCAGATTTCTCTTTGTACCAAACAATGTCGAATTCGCCGGTGGCCGACTTTCCGCACGGTCTTCCGGGCCGGAGTCGCAGTTCTACGGTGGCCAGGTTCAAAAATCTATTCAATCCCCACGAACATCAGGCTGCAAGGATGGAACGGGCTGCTGGCTCGGGTAGTCACACAAGGAAGGCGGCGTCTCCACCCAAATCTGCTGGATCCTCCAACAGCTCGCCCAAGCTGGAATCTGCTGCGGAACACAAGCTGATTCCCAACGCTGAGCTGGTAGAATCACTCAGCAAGCTCAAGATGATGCCTCCGGTGGCAGAAAACGACCTGGACAGCGTGATAGAGAATTCCGAAAAGCCAGTGAGGCCGCCGGCCTCGATCCCCCAAAGCGGCTCCAACGCGTCGTCCTCGTCGTCGGTCACATCTCAGGCACCTGCTCGTGGCCGCTCGGGGAAATTCATGTCGAAGTTTCTTGGGAACAACTTGTCGGAGGAGTCGTTGTCGCCGCCGCTTTCTCGATCCAATTCCAACAACTCGCGCCAGCGGTCGAGTTCCGTGTCTGTGGCGAACTCTGAGAGCAGCCAACAACCATACAATCCACTCAAACACACTTCATCTGCATCTTACTCCCAAATTCACCTGAACTCCCAAAAGGAACATCTCATGAAGCTCAAGAACGGGCGTCTCAAAATAGCCCCGGACGGATCTGTCCACGAACACGACTACCTCAAGTACCGGACGCCGATCTCGAAGAACACCAAGTCGTGGTGGGGATGGACCAAGAAGAGAGAAGTCGAGGACGACGAGTTCTTGAGCATCGAAAACAGTATCAGTCTGCTGCCAGACTCATACTCACTGCAGCTGATGGAGCTCAAGAGCGACCCAAAGAACTATCGCTGGAACTACGACGATTCCGACTCGGACTCGGATTCGGACGACGACTCGGAAGAAGAGGAAGATGACGACTTTGATGACGAGGCTGACGACCAGCTCATAGAGCCGATCATCGGCAAAGACCAACTCACGCTTATGAACATGATGATGGAGAAGATAGAGAAACCAGAAAAATTCAAAGAAAAGTTGCAGACGTCAAAAAACAAGAAAATGACATTGAGCTCCAAGTACGGCCATATTGGAGGCGTGGTAGGCAGGGGCTCGTTTGGCACGGTCTGCATTTCCGCTTTGCAGAACGCCAACAACAAGAAAAAGAAGTCTCTTTTTGCCATCAAGCAGCTCAAACAGCGCCCAGGAGAGAGCCTACATCATTTCGGAAACCGTGTGACGTCCGAGTTCATGATTTCCTCGTCTCTGACGCACCAGGCCGTGATCAACGTGTACGATTTGATGGTTGACCCGGTGACAATGACGTACTCACAGGTGATGGAGTTCATGCCGTGCGGCGATCTTTTCACGCTGATAGCCATGACAAACGGTCTGGAGGTGGTTGAGTGCGACTGTTTCTTCAAGCAGATTCTCAACGCCATCACGTACCTGCATTCCGTGGGTATCTCGCACAACGATCTCAAGGTGGAAAATTTGCTGTTGACACGCAAGGGACAGCTCAAGATCATCGATTTCGGAACCTCTGCCGTGTTCAAGACGGCGTGGGAGGACAAGGTGCAGTTCTGCAAAGGCGCTTGCGGTTCCGAGCGGTACGTATCGCCGGAACAGTTTGTGCCCGAAAAAAGCTACGACCCGCGACTCGCAGACATCTGGTCGCTCGGCATTATCTATCTGGTGATGCTATACGGCACGTACGTCTGGGAGATTGCGAAACGGAGCGACGAGAGCTACGAGCATTTCCTCGAGACCAGAGCGATCTACGACTACACGGCGAAGTCGAAGTCTGCCAGCAAGCAGTTCCGACTCGTGAGAAAAGGTACCTTCAACCAGATAGAGTCGATCTCGAAGGGCCCTTGTGCCAGCTCGCGACGATACGTGCTCTACAACATACTGAACCCAGATCCCAAGTACAGAATGCGGTCGTACCAAATTTGGCAGAGCGAATGGGTCAAAAGCATTCACGTTTGCGAGGCTGGTAGGGGATACCTGTCGCAAGAGGACTATATCGACATGGCGTACAAAACCCTTAACGAGGAACAGGCTATACGAAGGAGTCCCGAAGCGTAAGGTTGTGTACATTAATAGAAACAGCGAGTTAGTTCTCTTACTTTGATATAGACACACTTTTCATTACCTACCTAAGCAAGGAAGTACTCTGGGAATTGTCTCATGTTCTCCTCCAAAGAGCCCTTAGTGGACAGGAACTTGACGTAAGCACCGTCATCCTTGACCTCGTTGTTTTGTCTCTTAGCAGCGTACTCCTCTCTGTTCAATGGAGTGAAACCCCACTTCTTGGAGATGATGATCTTTTGCTGACCTGGGAACTTGTATCTGGCTCTTCTCAGACCTTCAACAACAACGTCCTTGTTGGAGTCCTTGGTTCTGACAGAAAGCAGGACTTGTCCGATATCAACACGGGCAGCCAATCCGTGTGGCTTACCCCAGGCACCTCTCATACCTTGTTGCAGTCTATCGGCACCGGCACACGACAACATCTTGTTGATTCTCAGAACGTGGTGAGGGTGGACTCTCACTCTCATGTGGAAAGAGTCTCTTCCGGACATCTTGGTGATGTATTTGTTGGCGCAAATTCTGGCAGCTTCCAAAGCCTCGGACGAGAGCTGTTCCAACTCGTTAGAAACAAGGTGGACACATAGTGGGAAGTCGTCAACGCTAGCCTTCTTTCTACCAAGGTCGAAAATTCTGATCTTAGCGTCTGGGACACCTCTGTTGTATCTCGACTTTGGGAAAGGCTTGTTCTTACAGTATCTGTAACATCTAGCTGGTCTTCTAGCCATTCTGAGGGGTTAGCGTTTAATTGCCGAGGGCGATATACTCACTTTATAGATATTGGAGATTAGTAATTATTTCACGGTGTTAAAAATTTTATGTGGTTTAGCCCTGGTGCGGGTCACATGACAGAGGGTTGAGGAAAAAAATGATACCAGCCTTGCTTACTCGCCACAGGGCAGCTTTGCCACAGATCAAATTTTATGCAAAAAAATTATTATTTTACATATCTATAATGGGGCGGTATTCGGTCAAGAGATACAAGACGAAGCGGAGAACGAGAGACCTGGACCTCATACACAGCGACCTGTCCACTGCAGAGTCGATCCAGAGTCTCAAGCACCAGCCTCAAGACGAGACAAAGCCCGGACTGGGCCAGTACTACTGCATTCACTGTGCAAAGTACTTCCTCGATAACAAGGCCCTAGGCGCGCATTTGAAGGGCAAAGTTCACAAGAGAAGAGTCAAGGACCTGAGCAAGCTTCCGTACACCCAGCTGGAGGCCGAGGCTGCCGCAGGAACCAATCTGAACAAGTATATCGAAAAAGTGAACGAGTATCAGCAGAAAGAGCCTGCTCGTGTGGAGCTGGAAAAACAACTACTGGCCACGCAGTTGGAGGAGAATGACCAGAAAGACAGTTTAGCGCAACAGGAGCTTGCTGGAGAAATGGCTGTGGAGTAAGTCATCGAAGATCTTTGATTTGGAAGGGTAAATCTTTCAGTACCACATGGCCCGTTTTCGTTGAAGTTCGATCACATTCGACATATAGATTATCGCTCTCGTGCGGATGGAACCCCGACTGGTTGCAGTTCGTGATTACAGGGATCCCCGGAGGGTCTGTTAGTCTGAAGATTCCCAATTGGCGCTCGAATTTGGGAGAACAGACGACTGCTATAGCCTCATTAAGCATGATTTGGTAAGAGTTTTGTGTGTGTAAATCGACCGACGACAGGAAGCACGACTGTGTGGGGTGTGTATGAATCCATCCGAGCACGAACAGGTCGAGATTGTCAATGAAGTCAAACAACTTCTCCTCGTTTTTGGTATTGCATGTATTGGGAGTCGAGTCCTGCTCGGGAATGACGAGATAGTTGATGAAAAAAGCGTTTCTATTAAGTTTTCCGCACAAGATTCCGCAGGTCTCGAGTTTCTTGGACGTGTTCTTCTTGGCGATGGAGAGAAACTCGTCCACGACTTTAGGGGGCAGAAACACGGTTCTCAGCGGAGAGCCTCCCTCGGTGAAATTGACAGTTTTATGGAGTACCGTGGGGGCTGGCTCATTCTGGACAGCGGACTCTTGTTTAACGCTCTCTATTGCAAACTCGTTTGGATAAGATATCTCAAGTTTGATCTGGGAGCTATTGGCGCTGCCGGAGGAAAGCGAACGTAGTTTTGTAGCCAGACTTGCATCGAGCTCAGGATGCGGCTCGGGCGTCACCGGAGCGGTGACAGACACTGTCTTGGGCTTTGTGGCAGAAGCGCGGCTCTGGGTTACTCGTTTTTGTCTCTCCTGCTGCCTGGCGTACCTTTCGTCCAGGACTCTTCGTATGCGTTCTGCCTCGCTCATGATCTCTGGCATTTTCTTGCACAAGCTCTGGTACATCTGGTAATTGGCGGTGCCGTCCTTCTGTTGTTTCCAGCTGCGCAATTCCGGATGCTTGTAGAGCCTGTTCGCAAGCAGATCGACGAATCGCAGGTAGAGCACGTACGTCTCCGAAACGTTCCCGTCTGTGGCGTAATAGCGCGCATGTTTGAGCATCGTGGAGGCGGATCGGAGCCAGACCTTCAGAGGAATGGCGTTGGAGTACTCGTAGCTTGTGGCGATCGAATTGAGAAGTTTGGGGTTCTGTAACAGCGCAGAGTCGCCATTGGTGGAGGAAACCATGAGAGTAAATATAACCCCCGAATTACTTGATATCTATTTAATTGTAGTAGCTAAAAAACACGGCATGCCCGATCTGGGATTGGCAGATGCTTTTCGATTATTCGGACCAGCCCAGAGAAGCCAGCTCCTTGCGGACCTGGGGCTCGGTCTGGATCTTGAGCACCTGCGTGTCTTCCAGAAACTCTCCGTTTTCCTTCTTGACCTTGAGCTGTTCGATGGCACGCAATTTTTTCAGCAGGTTTCTAATTTTCTTTTCCTCGTACGAGATGACTCCGCCAATGACTCCGGCCTCGCCCTCCTGCTTCGGCGGCTCAGGCTTGTCGTCGCCCTTCTTCTTCTTCTGCTGTTGCTGTTTCTGCGGCTTGGCAGGCTCGACTGCTCCTGGAATGGTCTTTTTCGCAGGAACTGCGCCGGGAACCTGTTTTTTGCGTTGCAACGCTTCTCTCTGAGCCAGCGTTCTCACAGGCTCGGACGGCTGGTTTCTGGCGTGAGGCGGTCTGTACGCGCCGGCAGGCTTGTCAGCCGCAGACGAGATCTTAGCCCTTTTGGCCAGATACTCGACCGCAGAAACGTCTGGGATGCAGCACTCGTCCAGGCCCTTGATAGGCGGGAAGTCGCTCAGCGGCTGGAACCTCCAGTCGACACTGTACAGCTCCGGGAACTCCTTGACGTAGCACAGCGAGCCGTTCGCGTACCAGATCTTGACGCAGTTGTCGACACGCAGCCGCGGAGACGTGGTGGCCGTGAGGATGTAGCGGCCGTCTGGCGACCACTTGCAGACCGAGGTGTTGGAGGCCTTGAAGGAGGCCACCTTGGCAAACTTGTTCTGTCTATCGAGAATATCCACGTTGCCCTGCAAGTTGCCAAATCCTGCCACCAGGATGAATTTGGCGTGTGGAGAGAACAAAATGGTGTTGGACGAGTTTTGCGGCAGGGAGTGGATGGCATTTCCTCGGGCGTCGAAAAACGTCGTCTGCGACGGCATGTAGCCGTAGATCACGGCAAACTCACGGCTCGTGGGCGACCACGTGATGTCGTGGATCGGCCCCTCCTTGTCCAGAGCAATTCTCTGGTCGAACGCTCCCGAGATGCCCAATAAATACAACGTGGTCTGGCCATAGTACGACTTGTTGGACGAGTCCACGTCGGTGCTGACCAGGGCAAGGATGGACGTGCCCAGGTCGTTCCAGGTGAACTGGCACGACTCGCCGTTGAAAAATTGTTTCTGGGAAGTTGGTGTCTTGACGTTCGGCAGAGAGTACACCTGGATGTAGGACTGCTTGCCCTTGGATCCCGGCACAAACAGCGCCAGCGACGGGTTCTTGCCCGGCGACATCTTGAACGACTGGATCTGGCCAAGGTCCTTGACGTTGATCGAGTAGATGGCCTTCTGGCCCGGCTCGTGCGACTTGAAAAAGTCGATCTGGTGCATGTTGATCATCCGGCAGAAGATCGACTCGTCGCTGGTGAATTGGGCCTTCCAGCCCGACTGGCTCTTGTTCAGATACGATTGGATGGACACCCCAGCGCTGCTGGCCAGGTCCAGCTTCCAAACGGTGACGTTGTTGGCCCAGTTCCCGGACTCGTCGTCCAACTTTGTTGGTTTGGACCAGGTGGTCAAAAACGTGCCTTTCGGCGAGAACTGGAAGTCAAACACGTCTCCGACGGGGATGGTGAAAAGTACGCGTCCCGAATCCGCCTCGCAGATGGTCACACAGCTCGGCTGTGTGTATGCAAAAAGCGTTCCGTCGGGCGAGTAGGCAGAGCATCTGGTCTCCGATGAGGGCGCTTCAAAGTTCTCCACGGGCCTGAAAACCGGCTGCGCCTGTATCAATTGCACTGTTCGCGGTTGCCGACCTGGAGTTAGTGCACACCGGTGGTTTTACTTACAGTATATTTGTGGTACTTTCGACATGGAATGAAAAGTTTGAAAAAAATGGGAGAAAATCAAAAAAAAAATAATTATGGGACGAGAGAATCTATTTTGCTTGACGGTACTTAATTATCCAGTCTGGCACTGAACTCCAGCATCGCTAACCAAGTTTACTGGCGACTCTATGGACAGGATTATCGCTTTTACTCGTAGATCCACCCGTACATGGTTGGCTTGTAGTCAACAAGCTCCTCCTTCTTGAACCACAGGTTGATCTCCTTCTCGGCGTTCTCGACAGAGTCGGAACCGTGGATGATGTTTCTGCCCATGTCCAAGGCAAAGTCACCTCTGATGGTACCTGGGGCAGATTGCAGTGGGTTGGTAGCACCCAACAGGGCTCTACCCTGCTTGACAACGTCCTTGCCCTCCCAGACGGTGGCCAGAATTGGGCCGGACATCATGTAGGACAGCAGGGATGGGAAGAATGGCTTGGATTGCAGGTCGGCATAGTGCTCCCTCAGCAGAGACTCGTTGGCCAGGGTCAATTTGATACCCACAAGCTTGAAACCCTTGTTTTGGAATCTTCTCAGGATCTCTGGGAAAATGCCTCTCTGGACACCATCTGGCTTGACTGCAATGAAAGTTCTTTCGGTGGACATGTTGTGATCTGGAATAGAATGAAAAATGTGTTTCGTGGACGTGGGAAATAAATTTTCTGCCAGTGGCCGGGTAACTCCCCGTCAAGCTTTCTCGGCCGTGCGCGAGCTTTTATTTGTTTTTACATGAGTGCCACGCCGTATCGTCATGCCCAAAAGCGGTCGCCCACCACGCCGCTGACGCCCATGGTGAGAAACAACGTCCGGCGGAAGGTCGACGACGGGACTGACAGCTTGAAGAGCGTTCAGGCCGTGCTGGAGGACCCGCACGAAGCCAAAGACAGTGCGTCTGTGGCGGAGACAGCAGCGCAGACAGACGTGGAAAATGTGCCGCCCCAGCCATCTACACAGCAGGAACCTTCCAGGCCGCCCACGCAGCAGTCCTCGTCACAAAAGACGCAGCCGTCGAGACCTTCGTCTTCTGACGACTCGTCGCTCGCCCTGCTGGCAGTCTACCGCCGTGCATGGCTCAACGAACGCAAATACCTCCGCCAAAAAGAGCTCGTCAAGTTTCTGGAGCGCGAACGCGCCTGTTCATAACTATGTACACCCACGCTAATTTACCTCGTATCTTATCACCTTTATTTTTTTATTTATTTATTGATCCTCTTTATGGAGTTCGAACTAGAAATAGTGGCCGACCTCGAGACCGCCGCCGACTACGTGCGTGGCGTGCTGTGGTCAATTCTGTTCCACCGGCTGTTTGGCTGTGTCAGCGCCTCGCAAAGCAGTTTCTACGGCGTGGCCTACCCCCTGGCCAATAATCCCGAGCTTGAGGAGCTGGTCGATGCCAAGGCACAGGCGCTGGCGGACGCCTTTTCGCACGAGGCGTCCCGCTCGACGGCCGACCTCAACGACAACATGGTGCTGAAAGGCGTCATGGTTCTCAAGTTCTACGACCGCGAGGTGGAGCACCCCAACAGCAGTGTACCGAGCACACGGCCGCAGTCGCAGTCGTCGTCGGCGTCGGTGTCTCCAAACATGGCCAAATACGCGAACTGCTGGGAGAAATGGGTTCTCAAGATCAGTATCCTGATCAATAAGAATCAGATGCTTGACGTCAACGGGGCCAGCAAACTCGATCTGCACAAGCAGGATTTCGAAAACAACCTGTTTGCCATTTTGGAGCACGTCGACACGAACAAATCGCACATACCTCCGATTGCCAGCGTTGACGTGGCCCCGTTTCCCTTCAAGGTACTGTTTGCTCTAAATACACACGAGGCGCACACTTTGAACAGGGCGTTCCGCAATTTCGAGGTCTCCGACACCGAGTCCGACGAGTTCATTGACTACAGCATGGAATCGTTGCCGGATACGTTTGAACGGAACAAAAACGCATACACGGGACAGGAGATGCTCAAGACGGGCTATAAATTCATCAAAAAGCTACTGGAGTAAAAAAAAAAAGTTTAATTCGCGATTTGTTATGACCGGCGAGTTGCCGATTTTGCCCAATCCTCATCAGCATCAGCGGCTGATGAGCGATGTCTCGCGCAATCGGGCGACGGCCAAAATCGTCCAGGGCGACGAAGCAAAGGAAAAACGGCCCAAGGCGTGCACGCTGTGTCGAAGGAGCAAGGTCAAGTGCGAAAAGGATAGTAACGACGAAAGCTGCAAACGGTGCCGCGCACAGAACCTGCAATGTGTTTACGAGTACAAAATCGCAAGCTACAAGGTGGTAGGCGATGCAAGCACCAAGGAGCTGTCCAGAATCGTCAAGTCTCCTCCGAAACCCACCACCAAGCTGGCTTCCACGCAGCCTCCACCCATGCCCCATGCAAACTCAGGACGGGCAGCATCGCTGTCGCATATTTTAAACCCGCCCCAGCAGACAAACCAGCCGAAACCGGGCGCTGGCTGGCACTCGTCGGTGGAGGACCGATTGCAGGATTTTGGCAGCAAGCTGGGAAACATTCTGACCATCCTGCAAACTCCGGAGTCTCCATCACGGCCCTTGCTTCTCAAAGCTTCCTCGGAGGGTGCTCCGCGGAACGGGTCTGCCGAACCACAATCGTTAGCCGATATTCTTTCGCTCAGCGAGGCCGAGGAGCTGTTCCGGTTCTTCGACTCAAACATCTCTCCACAGCTGTTCGGGTTCAACATTTCGCAATACTCTGTCAACGAGCTGTGGACCCCCTCTCCCCTCTTGCTTGCCAGCGTGTGCGCAATCGCATCGATCCACCACCCGCTTCTCAGCCATTTGTTCCGCCAACTCGAACAACTAATCCATAAAATGAGCCAGCATCTGCTCGTGCGGGTGCCCACCACGGAGCTCGATACGTTTAACACCGTGCTTGCGCTGTGCTTCTGTGCTTTCTGGTTCCAGGAGAACCAGATGTTCACGGGAATGGCTCTCCAGCTGGCCAGCAATCTGAAGCTGAACAAACGGTCCAAAAACTCGCAGGTTTCCGACAAAAACAAGCTCAAGCTGTGGTATCTCCTGTACATCCTCGATGGCCAGCAATCGCTGGTATTTAATAGACAGCCGTTGATGAACTCGCATGACAAAACACTAAAGGAGAGCCGGCACCTGCTTCTCGAAGACGACACCGAAGAGGCTGGTCCCGAAGAAAACTATTCCAACCTGAGACTGGTTTCTCAGGTGGAGTACAACCAGGCAATCAGCAAAGTGTTTGAGGGCGACGCGTGGGATCTCATGGCGCCCGCATCGTTTGGACTTCCGTTCAAGACCAACCTCGAGCTCGACAAGTGGATGGTCCAGTGGACTGTCATGCTGTCGCCATTCAACAACGCCCCGATCTGGTCAAGCAAGAGCACGCTCATATACTACAATTTTGCCAAAATGCACATCAACTCGGCTGCAGTGAGGTCGTTGCACATGGACGGAGACGAGCTTCCGCGCTGGAAGGAGGTTGAGTCCGATCAGATTGAGAATATGGAGGAGAGTGGCCAGAAATTCCAGCAGAGAGAAATTTGCGAGGATGACGACGACGACCAGTACGAGCTGGAACTGTCTCCCCAGCAGTCGCGCATGGTATCGACGGAGATGGCTCTGTCGTCCGCAGAGACGGTCCTGAACCTTGTGCTGGGCGATACCGATATTCTGTCGGCCTTAAAGTATGCGCCTGTGCATATTCATATTATGCTCTACTATGCGGCGATGCTGGTACTGAACCCACCAGAGTATTTATCGAGCAAGGATAAGAGTTTTGAGGACACTTTGAACGCCATCGCGATAGTCAAGAAGCTGCGGTCGGTGATTCTGGGCAACCTGCCGATCGACAAGAGTTTTTCGAGTAAGCTGATTGAAGCTCTGTCTCGACTGCTTCAGGAGAGAGTGAAGAAATTGAAGGAAGATATCACGGACGAGCAGAAAGCCGAGCTGGAAAAAGTGCTTGTGAACAACGACACTACCTCATTTGCGAAAAAGAGAACGCGGCAAATCAGCGCGTGGCCCGGCTACGACCATGGCCATCCGAGCAAAAAAAGGGTGGTTGAAAAACCTGATCCCTAAATTTTTTTTGGCGCGATATTGTTTAGCATGAATAATTCCAACTTCCAGAAAGCCGTGAACGAGCTGCCTCGGCCAGACATTGACTGGTACGACGTGTCCAATGTTGTGAAGAGGGTAAGTAGGGAGCGTTTGCGACTAATCTCAGGCTCCCCAATACATCAACAAGCTAGGGTCTGGCGAAAAGATCTCTGATCCTGAGTTTGACAGGATTGTGTCTGAAATTAAGGGACTTGATAAGCAGTTTGAGACCTTTGAGTTGAGCTTGCAGAAACACCGCAACTCGATGTCGAGATTGCTGGCACACAGCATCTCCATAGGCGTCTGTTTCAGAGACATCAGCAGTCAGTCTGAGGGCGGGATCGTCAATAAACGGCAACTGTCGATGTTTGACCGCACCACGCAGTACGTGGAGCAATACAAGATGCTCCAGCCGGGGATGGAGGAGGAAACCAAGCTTTTTGAGGAACGCGTCGGCGCGCACCTGAAGAAAGTATCCAAGCAGATAAAAAACGCCAACAAGGCTATCAAGGAACGCCACTACGCGAGCATGGACTACGAGAAATACCAGCAGGAGGTCCGCAAGCTCGCCGACAAGCCGGAGCTGAGTTTGAAAGAGCACAAGCGCAAGTTTGAAGTCCAGAAAAGACTCGACGAGGCCAAGCTCAAGTACGACCTGTTGAACAACAAGCTAAAAATGGAGCTGCCCTTGTTCATGCTGATCATCAAGCAGATCATGAGCCAGGTGTTTGTGATGACCTATTTTGCTACTTTTACGATTTTTCACAACCTGTACGGCACGTGTGCGTCTCTCTCCACCGAGTTCAAGATCGACCTCGAGACGTTGCAGTACGACACTGATCTGGAGAACATGCGGCGGGCTTTCGCTGCCGCTCAGGAGCATGTCGTCGACTCGATCGAGCAGCTGTCTGTGGTGAACTTCCACCAGATCTCGCTCAACAAGCTGCAGATGAAGGTTCTCGAGACCACGGCTCCCGCAGAGACGTGCGTGGCCATGTACAACTTTGACGCTTCGCAGCCCGACGACCTGAGTTTCCGCGAGGGCGACCGCATCAAGATCCTGGACAGAAGCAACCCGGGGTGGTGGCGCGGCATGAAACTCACCGACGGCACCACAGGTATTTTCCCCTACAACTACGTGCGGCTTTTGTAACGAGAATCATTTGCTCTTTATAACTCCTGTTTATCCGGCACCACGGCCGCCTCAATGACGTCTTCTGGCGACAAGTTCGAGCGCGGGCCGTGGTACACTTTGTACTTGTAGAGATAGTAGTACACCAGGGACAGCACCCACGTTCCGCACGTGATCACCACCGTGTAGTTCATGGTATCCTTTTCGACCTCCTTGGTGGAGGGGAACATGCACAGGACGATGATGAACGCTCCCCACGCGCAGGTTGTCCATCCCACGAGGCGGGAGTAGAAGTCGCCCAGGTAGAACGCTCCAGGCTTGAACAGGAATTTTCCGTTGGTGAGTTTCAAAAAAACGGGCATGCACCACGCCAAATAGTTTCCAGCCACTCCGAGCGAGAACAGGGCGCTGGCGGCGGTGGAGCCGGCCAGGCACAGACAGCCGATGAGCCAGCCGACGAGAGACGAAAACACCACCGCTCTGATCGGCACTTTCAGCGTCCGGTGCACCACCTTGACGACGCTCGCGAACGGCAGGCCGTCGTCACGTGCAAAGGCCCAGACCTGCCGCGACAGGGCCGTCAGGATCGACGAGCCCATGAGCCACTGACAGACGGCCATGAGCGACATGAACGCGATGGCCCATCTGCGTCCGAGCGAGTCGTAGATGATCTGGGCCATCGGGAAGCCCGTTTCTGTGGCAAGCACGGCGTCGACGTCTGGGCTCATACAGGCCGTCAGACAGATGATGATGAACCAGCCCACGACGCCGCACACGCCAATCGAGGACATGATGCCGATGGGCACCCCGTAGGTGGCGTTTCTTGCCTCCTCGGACATGTGGACGCAGGAATCGAACGCGCCGATGGTCCAGACGGCCGTCATGAGCGAGAGACAGAACTGCCACCCGATGGGCCAGTCGGAGTGGTTCTGCACGGTGCCGAAGATGAACTTGCCGTCGTTGAAGCTGGAGTTGATGGAGGTTCCGATGGGCAGCGCGATCAGAAACAGCACGATGATGCCCGTGTTGCACACCATCGACGTGGTCTGCAGCCACGCGATGTGCTTCGAGCTAAAGCAGGTGCACAACGCCTGTGCAAATATGCATGCAGCAAAAACGCCGTATGTTTTTCCTGTGGTAATCTCGAAATCTCCATTTTTTGTGAGGTACACCGCAGCCAAGATTTCCTCTGCGTTTCCGTACCCGATGCTCACGAGCCCGGAGCAGAGGGCCAGCGAGTTCGACAGGCCAATGAGGTACGAGAGCGGGACCTTGATGCCTTTTGGCGCGTAGTGGTACGTCCAGAAGTAGAGCCCGCCGCTGGTTGGAATGGCCGACGCCAGCTCGCTCATGGACACGCCCACAAGGAAGATGAACACCGACGCGATCAGCCAAGACCACACAAAGCCGCTCGGCCCGGATGCGAGCCCCGTGCCCGTGACCGACGCGATCGACGGCAGCAGCCCCATGATACTGTACGCGATGCCAAACACCTGCACCGTGGAAAACGTTCTCTTGAGCTCCTGCTTGTACCCGATCTCGTGGAGCAGGTCCTCGTCGCCGTGGGCGTGCTTGGCGTCGATGGTGCGGACGGGCGACATCAGCGCGGTCGACCGCTGCGACAGCACAGACGTGATTGCGTGCGACATATCTGGGCCAGCTACATGTCCGGAATGGTGGCATATATAGCTGGGTAGTGTGACACCCGCTTAGCACAGCTATCGCGATAAGTCGCTTGATTAGTGGCTCTATATAATTATCTCGCCGCCGCGCCGCACATCTAGCCGCCGACGCACGGACGAGCGAAAACAGCACGCAAATTCCGCCGCTCTTATCAGTGGCAGCAATCGTGCAGATCACGCCCCTTTGCCCTCCATCACCATGTCCACCTTTAGCGGCTCGTCGTCGTCGTCGTCTTCGAGGTTCGACCGCGGCCCGTGGAAGTGCTTGTACTTGTAGACGAAGAAGTAGACGAACGACAAGATCCACACGCCGCAGCTGATCACCACGTTGTAGTTCATCGTGTCCTTTTCCACCGTTTTGTTCGACGGGAACATGCACAGCACCAGCACGAACGCCGTCCACAGACACGAGATCCAGCCCACGATCGGCGACAGCACCTTGCCGAGGTAGAACGCTCCGGGCCGGAACACAGAGCGGCCAGAGGTGAGTCTGAGCAGGGTCGGAGTGCTCCACGAGACGTAGTTTCCGGACACTCCGAGCGAGAAAAGAGCGTTGGCGGCCGTCGGGCCGGCAAGACACAGACAGCCGATCATCAACGCAACCACGGTAGCAAAGATGACGGCCCGGATAGGCACTCTGAGCCGTTTGTTGACTACCTTGACGATGCTCGAGAATGGCAGCCCGTTGTCTCTGGCAAACGCCCAGATCTGTCTGGAAAGCGCGGTCAGAATCGACGCCGCACACAGCCACTGGCAAACCGCCGTGAGCGACATGATACCGATGGCCCACTTTTTCCCCAGGGCGTCGTAGCAGATCTGAGCAAACGGGAAGCCGGTCTCAGTGTCGAGCACAGCAGCAACGTCCGGCTTCATGCAGGCCACCAGGCACAGCACGCACGCCCAGCCGCCAAATGCACAAACCCCGACTGCGCTGATGATACCAAGAGGAACTCCGTACGTTGCGTTCTGGGCCTCCTCGGACATGTGCACCGGAGAGTCGAATGCGCCGATCGACCAGATAGCCGCCATCCACGCAAGACAGAACTGCCAGCCGGTGCTCCAGTCCGAGTAGCTCTTGACGTGGCCGAAAATGAACTTGGCGTCTCTTCTGCCAAAGTCCGCCTGGGACGCTCCGATCGGCAGAGCCACCAAAAAGATGAACATCACCAGCGTGTTGGCGACTCCCGACACCGTCTGCAGGGTGGCCACGTTACGGCTGCTCACACAAGTTCCGATGGCAGCCACGATCACGCCCGCAGCAAAAACCGCGTACGTTCTGCCCTCTGTCACGTCGAAGTTGCCGTCTTTTTGGATCACCACGATGGCTAGGATCTCCTCGGCAAGTCCGTAGCTGACACTCACGAGTGCCGCACAGAGCGACATGGCATTCGTCATGCCGATGATGTACGAAAACAGGACCCTGAATCTCTCTGGAGCGTACACATAGGTCCAATAATAAAGTCCTCCACTGGTTGGAATAGCAGACGCTATTTGTTAGCGGATTAAAAAAAAAAAAAAGTCCAACATACCGTTTTCACTCATGGCAACAGCAATAGTTAAAATCATAATCGAGGTGACAAACCAGCCCCAGACAAAAGCCGCAGGACCACCAGCAAGCCCGATGGACGAAACAGAGGCCACGCCGGGCAAAATGCCCATAACACTGTAGGCAATACCAAAGATCTGGTAGGTCTTGAATTTCCGGTTCAGTTCCTGCTTGTATCCGATTTCCTTCAGCAGATCCTCGTCGCCGGCAGCCTGGGTCGCATCGATCACCCTCACTTGTGACTGGTGCGACTTGATAGCAGACAGCCGGGAGTGGATGGGGTTTAACGTAGACATGAGAGCAAGGTTCGAGGTCCCTTGTCCAAGCTTTTATACTCGGAAAATTTCACCTGCACACAGCTGCGTCCAAGACATTATCACTTATCTTAGCGGCAAATGGTGCCGCACTGTCTCGAGATCCGGCGACATCCGTACACCGCCGTGCCTGTCTGCGAGAGTTCCTGAGGTCGTGCACGCCTCCGATTTTCTGTGCAGCACTTCAAAAAACTCTCGTTTTAATATATTTGTACCGTTCTTTGCTAGACACACGCATTGTTTGCACACTACACGATGACTGTCGAACCTGAAGCCATTTTCCGTAAGTATACAGTTTGCGCTCTGGACTTCTAACCTCAGGCTCGGCGGAGATGTCCCTGGTTCAGCTGTATATCCCTGCCGAGATCGGCAGGACAGCTATTTATTCTCTGGGCAAGCTCGGCCTTGTTGAGTTCCGCGATCTCAACAGAAAGGTGAACGCGTTCCAGCGCTCGTTTGTCAACGAAATCAGGCGTCTGGACAACGTGGAAAGACAGTATCGCTACTTCCAGTCGGAAATGGATAACAGGGGAATAAAGCTTATTGAGTACGATTCGACTCCCGAGACGCTCACCACGAGCCAGCTGGACGAGATTGTGGAAGACGGGCAGCTTCTGGAAGACCGCATCAGCCAGCTGAGCAACGCCTCTGAAGACCTTCTCAAACAACAGGTGGACCTGAAACAGTACCAGCAAGTGTTGGCAGCCACCGACAGGTATTTCCAGCATGTCGAGACCGCCGACCTGATCGATCTGGGCGAGCCTGAGTTTTTGGAGAACGGGGGAGTTCGCGACGCCAACTTCATCACAGGGGTGATTCCCAGAGCCAAGGTCGAAGTCCTGGAGAGAATACTGTGGCGTGTTCTCCGTGGCAATCTTTTCATCACTTCGGCCGAAATAGGCCAAAGACTGTACGACATCAAAACGAAAAGCTACGTCGACAAAAACAGTTTCATTATTTTTGCGCACGGTGAGCTCATTCTGTCTCGCGTGCGCAAGATCTGCGAGTCTCTGGATGCAGACCTGTATTTTGTGGACCAGGAGGCCAAAAGAAGAGCCCAGCAAATGCGCGAGGTCAACGAGAAGCTTGCGGACGTGACGAACGTGCTGGAGTCGACAGAACTCACGCTCGAGACCGAACTGAGCGCTGTTGCTTCCGAGCTCGATCTCTGGTGGAAAGCCGTGAAGCTGGAGAAATCCGTGTACTCCGTGATGAACCTGTGCCACTACGACCAGGCCAGACGGTGTCTTATCGGAGAAGGATGGGTGCCTAGCGACGATTTCGACAAAGTGAAGAGCGTGCTGGAGGAAATCACCACCAAGTACTCTGACAGTCCCGAGGAGTCGTTCCCTATTGTCGTCAACACCGTTGAGACAACAAGGACGCCGCCAACCTACCATAAAGTCAACAAGTTCACTGCAGCGTACCAGGCGATGTGCGATGCGTACGGTGTTGCTACATATAGAGAGGTGAACCCTGGTCTGCCGACCGTGGCGACGTTCCCGTTCATGTTTGCTATCATGTTTGGTGACCTGGGACACGGGTTCATCATGTTTCTGGCTGCTCTGACGCTCGTTCTCAACGAGAGAAAAATCGCCAAGATGAAGAGAGACGAGATCTTCGACATGGCGTATTCCGGAAGATACATTCTGCTCATGATGGGCTTTTTCTCGATGTACACCGGATTCCTGTACAACGATGTGTTTTCGCTCTCGACAACGTTCTTCAAATCCGGCTGGAAGTGGCCAGAGTCCTGGAAAGAAGGAGAAACCATAGTCGGAACACAGACGGGCGTGTATCCATTCGGTCTTGACCCAGCATGGCATGGAACAGAGAACAACCTGCTCTTCACCAACTCGTACAAGATGAAACTGTCCATTCTCATGGGATTCATCCACATGACCTACTCCTACGCATTCTCCCTCGTGAACTATGTCTACTTCAAGTCCAAAATAGACATCATCGGCAACTTCGTTCCTGGGCTCTTGTTCATGCAGGGAATCTTTGGCTATCTGTCGCTGTGCATTGTCTACAAGTGGTGTGTCGACTGGATTAAGATCAACAAGCCGGCTCCAAGCTTGCTGAACATGCTGATCAACATGTTCTTGGCCCCAGGAAAAATCGACGACGAGCTGTACCCTGGCCAGTCGACTGTCCAGGTCGCTCTTTTGCTGATTGCGCTAGTTTCCGTGCCATGTCTGCTGCTCATCAAGCCGTTGCACTTCAAATTCTCAAGCTCGCACCACTACGAGAGCCTGCCTTCGGAGTCGTCAAGCAACAACCTCCTGACCAACCTGAATCTTGACGACGAGGAAGAGCACGAGGAACACACATTTGGCGACGTGATGATCCACCAGGTGATTCACACCATCGAGTTCTGCCTCAATTGCGTCTCCCACACGGCGTCGTACCTCCGTCTGTGGGCCCTTTCGCTTGCACACGCACAGCTGTCGTCCGTGCTATGGTCCATGACGATCGCCAACAGCTTTTCAGCTACAGGACTGTTGGGATCGGTGTTTGTGTTCCTCATGTTTGGCATGTGGTTTGTGCTCACGGTGGCCATTCTGGTGGTCATGGAAGGCACGTCTGCCATGCTGCACGCGCTCAGACTGCACTGGGTCGAGTCGATGTCCAAGTATTTCGAGGGCGAGGGAATTGCATACCAACCTTTCTCGTTCAAGGTGGTGCTGGATATCTAGATTAGCCACGCGGTGCACGGATGTAGATAACATATTAATAGTCTTGCTAGGAAAAAAAACAGTATCCTCACGATGGCTAACAAGAGCCGGCCCAAAAAGACAAGGGGCCAGCTGTACAAGAAATACGTATACGGGGTGAAGGAGAACGGCCCGGCCGGTGTTGGGGCAGCCACCACGCTGCAGCCAGAGGTCTTTTCCGAGGTGTGGAATGGCTATGTGTGGCCCCGGTCTCAGTTCCAGAAGGTGGATGTTCTCAAAGTGTCCGTTGCCCTGGGGCGTGGGATGGTTGTGCAAGAAGACCGCATGAAGCTGCCCTTTGAGCTCATTTTGTTGGTTTTGGAACACACAGAAAACCCGTACTGCTTGAACCATCTCCTGATCAGCCGTGCGTTCTACTACGTTTTGATGCCCAAGTTGTACTACTATCCGCGCCTCAAGTCGTCGAACTTTGCGCAGTTTGTTGACCTCGTATCCCAGCACCAGAACAAGAAACGGTTTGAGGGGCTTGTCAAGATCCTTGATCTGTCCCAGATCATACAGTCGGGGAAAAACTCGTACGTTTCGAAGCTTCTGAGACGATTCAGCGGGTCGTTGGAGGTGTTTATTGCCTCGCAAGCCAGTTTCGGGCTTTCACCGCTGATCAGCTTGCGACTCTGCCACAACCTGAAGATATTGGACCTGCGACTCGTCTCTGAGACCGTGAATCTGAGGGAGCTGTTCAACTCCATCAAGTCGGCCCCGCTGCTAGAGCAGCTCTCGTTTCCACGGTCTTCGATCTCGTGCGAGGACTACGACATGGAATGGCCGTCCAAGCTCTGGTATTTGCGGCTCCAGGGCGGCATATCCAACAAGTTCCTCACAGAGTCGCGGTTTCCGGCCTCCATCACGTCGTTGGAGTTCGCACACTGTCCGAATATCACCGGAGAAGCGATCAACGAAATGCTCATGCACATCGGATACAACCTGCGGCGACTCTCGATCTTCTATCCCATGCCAAAACTCAAAAGCAACTCTCTCGACACGGTGTTCCTCTACTGTCCGAACCTTGTTTATTTGTACATCAACATCGAGTACTTCTCCAAAGACCTGTTTCACGACGAGCTGCTGCCGCCGCTGGAAGAATACCCGCGCCCTTTGCGCACACTATGCATTGACTCCTCGGGACTGTTGGGCCAAGGGTCCAAGATCCACCCGGACGACCTCACCATTGCACTATGGGAAGAGCGATTACCCTGTTTGGCGAGTCTCAAGGTGAGCATGATGCTGGGATGGAACTACGACAGCGACTCGGTCCAGGACCTGGTGAACGAGCTCGAAGATAGAGGCGGCGCGCTATACAAAATGTAGGACACATTTACATACTAATCGATATCCGCATTGTTACAGACTCTTATTCATGAACTTGCGTCTGGTAAAGGCCAGCCAGTACTTGCTTGGTAGGTTGCTATCTTTGTAAATCCGTGCAATCAGACGGTTGGCCAGTTCCTGTCTGAATTGGGCTAGGTACTGTCTCAGGAACAGCGCCTCGTTCTTGTCTCTTGGAGGCTGGTAAAGAGAGTTCAGCGGGAAACCGACCTCGCCGGGAATTGAGAAGTTGTCCAGAGCAAGGTTGGTCAAAACGCGAACAGCCTCGTTTTGCGACGTCGAGGCATTGAGGGCGTTCAGACACTGCGAGACAAACAGAATTCCGTAGATCAGTGTCCGGTCGGCAGGGCCCTTGATCTCAAAGTTCTTGAAAAACGAGTTGGCCCTAAACAGGTCAAGAACCTCGTCGATGATGTCGTAGTCGGACGAGGCAGGATACGCTGGTCCTTTGAACCTTGTTCTCAGCGGCAGCACTGCAAAGTTGCCCACAAGTCTGGTATCTTGCGACTCGTCTGCCAAGAAGGTCGAATGATAGGCCTGTGTGTTAGATATAGCGGCTTGTTGGTACTTACTGGCATGTTCAGATGGATATATTTCTAGGGTGCCAGGTGTATCTAGACCAGCCGGAAGAACCGCGGTGGCTGGTGCTCCCTGTCTTGCGAGGCCTTGGCCGGCTTGGAATTGTGGCGCAGCTTCGGCAAGTCTTTTTTTTCCCATCGCGATGTGCACTAAGCTAGAAAAAACAAGGAACAGCCAAAACTAATTTCGTTGAATGAACGGATTATAATATATTATAGTCCCGCCCATTGCTATATCATTGTATCTCGCCTACACACCAATTTCCACAGTATTGCTTATTGGATCTTTGCTGCCAAAGAGCGACGCGCAGCGACTCAGATCAGCATAACTATACAGAGACATGTATCATTCGCAACAAAACAATGAGCAAGCTCCTCACATAAAACAGCCTCCCCAGCTCGCGATCCCTAATCAGCAACAGGCTATCTCCGTGGGGAATATTCCCCCGTTACCGCCCTCCCGGTTCCAACACCTGAACCAGGTCCCGGTCCCCCATATTCCTCATCCCGAGACCCAGCATCCCATGTCGGCAGGCCCACAACGGCGGTATTTCGATCATTCGCAGCAGACACAGCCACAACCTCATCCTTACAGAGCCAACCTGACGTTCCAGCATGACCACCAGATCGATACTCATCAGCCGGTTCCCAAGCCACAGGCAAGGGACCCTCACACCGACTATCCGCAACCAAACGGGACTCAGCAGGCAATGCGTTCATACTCGGATTCGGTGCCCCGCCCAAGACACTATCCTGTGCCGATGCAGCAGATGCCTCAAATGCATCCTATGCACCAGCAGCGAGGACCTCCGCTTCCGAAGCTCACCAACCCGAACGCTGTTCCGCAAAGATACTACGCCCCATCTCCTACGCAACAGCTGGCCCCACAATCGCCAGGAACTCTGGATCCAGCACAGAAAAGTCCCATGATGCGCCAATCCCTGAACTTTCTCAGAGGCACGAGGAATGTATCCTCTCCAATTCTGCCTTCGGAACACCCTGAAAGATTCGGAGAGCCGCAGCAAATCGACGATGGTCTGAAAAAGTACCACACCACCAACACCAAACATCAAGTCACCACTTCTGGACGAGTGATCCCGCAGAAAGCCGACATTAATCCGCCTCCGCAGGAGGCTCCCAAAAAGTCAAGAAGTTTCACTTCTTTGACCAAAAGAGTTGCGTCTTCAAGCTCACTCCGAAACTCTGCCGACAGAGACAAGCTATACCCAGCAGCCTCGCTGTGCTCCAAAACCATTGTGACCTCATCTTCAACTAAAGTCCCGTATGTGTATCCTGCTGTTCTTTCCAACGTTGCTAAGGCGTTCAGGGCGCGGATCCAGCTCGACTCAAAGTTCAAAAATGGTCTTGAGTACAGAGACTCGTTCACAGGTGCCGAGGCGGTGGATTGCATTGCCAGAATCATCAGGACGTCGGATCGGAATTTGGCGCTTCTGCTAGGTAGATCCTTGGATGCGCAGAAATTGTTCCATGATGTGACGTACGAGCATCGACTCAGGGACTCCAACAACGAGGTTTACCAGTTCTCGGAGGAGGTGTTTGATGTTTATCCCAACGAGTCTGCTGGCCTCCAGCGTCACGAGTCTGTTAGCTCGGATATACACGAGACCGAAAACAATGGCTCTCCATCAATGATGTCTTCACCAAATGGCAACCATAATTCCAAATCGAGTTCCTTCGGGGTGCCAGTGGTGGGAGTTTTCACTCTGCTGACGGAATGCTATTCGCCAACGTGTTCTAGAGATAATCTGTGCTATAGCATTGTTTGTCCGAGAAGGTTGGAGCAGCAGGCTAGATTGGGCTCGAAATCCTCTTTGACGAGGTCTGACTCGCATTTGTCGCTCACGCAAAAGGAGGAGCAGAAAGCGTTCTGGTCGTACACAGTTCCAAAGAGCATTTTGGATAGCATGGACAAGAGAGAGATCAAGCGCCAGGAGTGTATTTTTGAGATGATTTATTCCGAAAGGGATTTTGTCAAAGACTTGGAATATTTAAGAGAGTTCTGGATTAGACCTTTGTCGGAGACAAAAATCATCAAAGAGAACGAGAGAGAACATTTTGTGAACACTGTATTTTACAACATTAATGAGATCTGGGAGATCAACTCGAGGTTCGCAGAGGCATTGACCAAGAGACAGCAGGAAAAGCCGGTTGTCGACGAGATAGGGGACTTGTTTTTAGAGTTTATTCCTCGTTTTGAGCCGTTTGTCAAATACGGTGCTGGCCAAGTGAAGGGAAAATACGAGTTTGACCGCCAAAAGAGACACAATCCATTCTTTGTGAGGTTCATTGAAGACACCAGCAATAGAGCTGAATCTCGTAGACTTGATGTGTCGTCTTATCTTTCGAAACCTACAACTCGGCCGGCAAGGTACCCTCTTCTTTTGAAGAGCATTAGAGACCACACTGACCCTGAGTCCAAAGATTATGCCAACTTGAATAAGGCTATTGAGCTTCTTCAAAAAATGCTGACAAGGATCAACTACGAGACAGGAAAAGCAGCTGATAGACTGAACCTTTTCTTGTTGAAACAGAAACTGGTTTTCAGACCTGGCGAATATATCGATCTGAGATTGACATCAGAACACCGCAAACTGTTATATCAATGCGTATTGAAGAAGAGAAATTACCAGGACAAGGAAAAACAAGGAGAAGTGCAAGTGTACCTTTTCGATCATGCTTTACTATTTGTCAGAATCAAGGTCGTCAACAAGCGAGAGGTATACAGGGTTTATCAAAGGCCTATTCCTCTGCCTCTGTTGTTTGTCTCGCTAACTGAAGATAGCCCTTCCATCAAACAAATCAAAAAGTCTGCCTCTACGGGCTCGTTGACGGGATCTACATCTTCGTTACTTTTCAAGGACGCACATACTACGAGCGGACTGCATTTGGCAACGACTTCGGCCAAATGTCCAATTTCCTTCACATACTTGGGCAGAAGCGGATACGACTTGACATTGTATGCTACGCCAACGGTGCAACGAATGCTAATCGACAAGCTGGAAACGCAAACCAGAAAATTAATTGACGATAATGATGTTTTCACCTTGACCCCATTAACGTCCAATTTCTTTGACCATAATAATAAGATCAACTGTGTTGTTCCTTTCGATGGTGGCAGAAAATTGCTGTATGGTACCGATTCGGGTATCTATGTGAATGATGTTAAAGTCATTGACAACGGGTCCAGGGTTGTTTCGAGACCGGTGAAGATCATCAGCAAAATTAATATCATCCAAGTGGAGATTCTCAGCGAATACCAGACTCTGCTGGCTTTAAGCGACAAGAAGCTATTCTACTGGCCTAGTGACGTGTTAAGCGGAGGAGATGCAGTGAAGAACGGCAAGCTTGGAAAGGAGCTAATGACGCATGTGTCGTTCTTCAAAACGGGCGTGTGTGCCGGAAGAATGCTTGTTTGTGCGGCCAAGTCCTCTTCTAACCTGATCAGAATTTTTGAGCCTATCGATCCGATCAGCCAGAGAAAACAAAAGAAAAAGTTCTCGCCGGAAACGAAAGACGTCAGTTTCAACTCGGAGCCTGTCTCGATTAGTTTCCTCAAGACCAAGCTGTGTGTGGGCTGTTCGAAAGGCTTTGAGATTGTTTCGCTGGAAACTCACGAGATCAAACAGCTTCTGGATGCCGCAGACACGTCTCTTGACTTTGTGGTCGGCAAGGAAGGTCTGAAGCCCCTGGAGATCGACAGGATCAACTCCGACTTCCTGCTGAGTTACTCAAACTTCTCCTTTTTCATCAACTACAGCGGCTGGAGATCGAGACCCAAGTGGATCATCCACTGGGAAGGCGTTCCACACGCTTTTGCTCTGTGGTACCCGTATCTTCTGGCCTTTGATTCTGGTTTCATTGAGATCCGCCACGTTGAGAGCGGAGAGCTTTTGCGTGTCATCATCGCAGAAAAGATCCGCTTCTTGCACTCCAGCTCGCAAGAGATCTTGTATGCGTACGAGGACGAAAGAGGATACGACGTGGTCGCGTCACTGGATTTCTGGGATAAAAGCATGAAAAACAGAAGTCGCGGAAACACCCTTCATACACAAGCGCCAAGCAGCACGGCCAGCGCGGCTACTCTGGTTCCAAAATGACATAACGTATGATATAGTATTATAATATATTTGACTAGCACAGCCTAAATTTTATTATTTGACTTCTTTTCCACATGAGTGGTCTACGGCATGGTTTACTGAATGACCAATCGCAGCTTAGCATTTTGCAGTCTCACTACTACTCGCATTATGATCTGAAGCGCAACACGATGGGTGCCAATCCCTCTTGCGAGGACGAATCTTACAAGATACCGGATTGGAAGTCACAGTCGAATAAGAAGAAAACCACCACTGCTGCGCTTGTCATGTGCTTGAATCTCGGGATTCCTCCGCCGGATATACAGAAGCCTGCTGACTACCCTGTTTTGGAGGCCTTTGTGGACCCAACAACATACTCGGACCCGAAAAAGGCCCTTCAGGCGATAGGTAAGAATCTACAGTCAAACTACGAGTCCTGTGAAGGAGTGAGCTCGCGAATCAAGTACAAGCAGTCGCTGGACCCGTCTGTCGAGGACCTCAAACGGCTTTGCACAACTCTGCGCAGAAGCTCCAAGGACGAGAGGATCTTGTTTCACTACAACGGCCATGGTGTTCCACAGCCCACGCAGAGCGGAGAGATATGGGTGTTCAACAGAGGATACACGCAGTACATTCCGGTGAGCTTGTACGATCTTCAGAGCTGGCTGGGTGCTCCGTGCATTTTCGTGATAGATACGTGCGCAGCAGGTAACGTTATCGAAAATAACAAGAAATTCATACAAAAAAGAATAGAGGACGAGGCGAACGAGAGAGCAGAGAATATTTCACCGTCGCCTGTGAGTGCCTATATCGAGTCCATCCAGCTCGGTGCGTGTCGGTCTGACGAGATCCTTCCTCTTAATCCAGATCTGCCGGCAGATCTATTTACTTGCTGCTTGACAAGTCCTATAGAGATGAGTGTGAAATGGTTTGTGCTGTATTCGCCCTTAAGTCGCCATGGCTACTACGAGGTTTTGAAAAACAAAGAGGGCGAGATCATCATTCCAGGTAAGTTGACAGACAGAAGAACCCCGCTGGGCGAGTTGAACTGGATATTCACCGCCATCACGGACACAATTGCATGGACTTCTCTATCAAGGCCTTTATTTAAAAGACTGTTTCGTCAAGATTTGATGGTGGCGGTGCTGTTCAGGAATTTCCTCCTCGCGAAGAAAATCATGCCGTTGGTGGGATGCCATCCGATTTCCGACCCACCTCTGCCTGATATCAACCACCATCCAATGTGGGAGTCCTGGGACCTTGCCGTAGACGAGGTTTTGTCGCAGCTGGTGAAAAATAAATCTAATGACGACAATGCACAGCAGGAGCAGCTGGATATCCCGCAACTGCAGGTTCCAGAACACCAGCCGCCTCAGAGTGCAGCTCCCCCACACCCCTCTGTGATGAACTACCAGCATTCGTCGTTTTTCGAGCAGCATCTCACAGCCTTCGAGATCTGGCTTCAATATGGCTCCTCAACAAAAAAGCCTCCCCAGCAGCTGCCTGTTGTGTTGCAGGTTCTGCTCTCTCAGGCACACAGACTACGAGCCCTGATTCTGCTCTCTAAGTTCCTGGATCTTGGACCATGGGCTGTGTATCTTGCTCTGAGCATCGGTATTTTCCCGTACATCGTGAGGCTCCTACAGAGTCCTGCGCCCGAACTCAAGCCAGTGCTAACATTTATTTGGGCCCGGATCATGTCTGTGGACTACAAGAACACGCAGCAAGAGCTGTGCAAGGACCGCGGATACAACTACTTTGTGTCCATCTTCACGATGCAAACGAGACCGCACTTGAACGGAGCCCCAAACGGCGGTGTACAGCTGGAGATAAACGATGCGAATTACGACGAGCAGAAGGCCATGAGCGGGTTCATCCTGTCGATGTTTGTTCGCGACCATGAGGCCGGACAGAAACTGTGTTTCTCGATCGATCTGATCAAGACGTGCATTTTCTACGTTGAGACGTCCGAAAGCCCGCTTCTGAGACAATGGAGCGCGCTTCTGATGAGCCAGTTGCTGAAAAATAACCTAGAGGTTATTGTGGTGTTTTATCGCGGAAGCTTTGTTGAGAAGCTGCTGCAGATCATGAACGACCCGATCCCGGAGATCAGGGCCTCAATTATCAACTGCTTCTACAATTTTATCTACTTGGACACTGAAGACTCCGACGACAACACAGTCCGCGATGAGCTGAATAGACAGGAGATCAAAATCGCCATTGAGGTTCTGGACATGATCAACGATGGGTCGCCTTTGATCCGCAGAGAAGTTACCTGTTTCTACAGCAGGTTTGTGCTAAAATACCTCCAATTCTTCCTGGTCAGTGCCTTTGGACAGCTGGAGGAGGAAATCACTTTGGTGGACAACCCAAGCATGATCGACGAGGTGCGGCGCAAGTCGCCAGCCTACGGCTCGGTGTTCTCCTCCGTTTGGAAAGCCCTTTTAATTTTGAGCGAGGACCCTCAGGATGAAGTCAAGGACTATGCCGAGCAAGTTGTTGACTACATTCTCTGGAAGCTCAACGAGAGCGAGCTGGGTGATGTGGTAGGGGCTATGGAAGACTACTTGCTCCAAAAGCGCACAATGAGCAGCAGCGTTGGCAAGGAAGACTCGCCTCTCCGCCCGCTTTCAACCAACGGGTCTGCCCCCAAGCTGTGGAACGGCCACGATTCGGGAAGAAGAGTCCAGTCGGACTTTGATCCCCACAAACCGCCATCAAGGTCCAATCCTCGCCAAACATCGTCGTCCTCTGCACAGTCACTAACCGAAAAGCTATTTTCCAAGCTCACAATCAACAATCTGATGAAAAACCTGGGAATTCCGGAGTCTGACGAGTCCGAGACCTCAAGTCTGCACAAATTCAATTTACTGATTCAGCAGCCTGCCTCCCTTGCTTACGGCGTTGAGCCCAGACCGACGTCTCCAAGGTTTACGCCTCGTCCTAGAGACCACGGCAGACCCATCTTGCCATTGGTTAGCGGCTTTTTCCAGTACAGCTGTGAGTACTTTCAGGAGCCGCAGATTGGAAGCAGCGAGCCTGACGAGCCGGGGAGCGAGGAGTATATAAGAGGACTGTGGAGACGAAACAGAAACGAGGCCATCATTGCCGAGACACAGCCACAGAAGGAACTCTCGCTCACTGGCGACTGGAGAAACCTGATCAGCTCCCTGGACAACCGTACACAGCCTAAACTGCTCAAGTTCACGCAATTCGAGGACTGGATGGTAACCAGTGACGAGAAAGACAACATCACGGTTTTTGACTGGAGGAGCGAGAAACAGCTCTCGCGATTCTCGAACGGTAATCCCTTTGGCACTAAAATCACAGACCTGAAGCTGCTTAACGAAGACGACATACCACTACTTCTGACAGGGTCCAGTGACGGCGTGGTGAAGATCTATAAGTCGTTCAGCGATCCAAGCTCTTTCCACATGATTTCTGCCTGGCGGGCGCTCACCGACATTCTGCTGACCCCACGGTCCATAGGTCTGATTTCGGAATGGCAGCAGAGCAGGGGGTCTTTGCTGGTCACTGGTGATGTGAAGATTATCAAGATCTGGGACGCGCCAAGGGAAAAGTGCGTGAGCGATGTTCCGCTAAGATCGACCTCGCTGATCACCTCGCTCACCTCCGACCAGGTCGCAGGAGACATCTTCGTGGGCGGGTTCCAGGACGGAAGCATGAGAGTCTACGACCGGCGGCTGGATGCACGTGACTCCATGGTACGACTATGGAAGCCGAAGGACGTGCAGAGTCGGAGCATGATCAAGAACGTGCACATGCAGCGGGGCGGCCTTCGCGAGCTGGTCTCGGGGTGCTCTAACGGAATGGTGCAGCTTTGGGATATTCGTAAAGACGACCCGATTGTGCGTTTCCGCGCGTTCGACAAAACCATGACTACTGCGATGATCCACGAGCATGCCCCGTTTGTGGCGTGTGCCTCCAAGGAGGTCGACATTTACTCCACTGCGGGCGAAATGGTGGCAAGCATCGCCAACAGTGGGTTCATCCACTCACTCAACGGCACAGCCAGAACAAATTCCTACGTCAACGCTCTGTCGTTGCATCCACATCGGATGATGGTGGCTACTAATTACAACCAGAGCTCTGCCGTGAGCATCTACCAGTGCACCGAACATGCTGAGCATCACTGATCTGGAAGCGGCTACTGCGCAAGATTATGTATGCTGGAGCGTTAATAATACAGTATTCCAGCAACAGGTCGGGAAAGTAGGTCGAAGCAAAAACCAAGCCCTCTCGTCGCGACTAGGTATCTGTAGGTGACTGCCGTTCTGTATGCTGCAGGCTGATAATACCTGTATATGGACGGTGTCGCATCGATTCGTCGTCTTACGCAGGACTGCTTCATCTCCTCTGTGCCAGATCTCATGATCTGCGTCACGTGCAAATCCTTTTTCTCGCAGTTTGCCTGGCTACTTGTGCACAGCCGTAGATCTACTATTTAATCTTACGCCACATAGCAAAGTTCACAACACAAGCTCTTTGCAACTGAGTGAACAGCATTGCAACCTCATAAGCGCCACAGAAACTCCCCCACGCAGACATGTTAGAGTCGCTTGTCGCCAATATTCTCAACAAAGCCCTTGGGGCGTATGTTGAGAACTTTGACCCCAAGCAATTAAATATAGGCATTTGGAGCGGAGACGTGAAGCTCAAGAACCTGAAGCTGAAGCAGGAGTCGTTGGAGAAGTTCCAATTGCCTGTGGACGTGCGGTTTGGCCACATCGGCGAGCTGACGCTGCAAATTCCGTGGTCCAATCTCAAGAGCAAGCCTGTCAAGGTGCTGATAGAGGATGTGTTTCTGCTGTCGTCGCCGCGAATCCTGACCGAGTTTGATCCGGAGGAGGAGGCTGCGCGCGAGCTGCGGATTAAAAAGGAGAAGCTCGAAGCTCTAGAGATGGTGAACAAGAGCACGCCTTACTCTGCGAATTTGTCGGAAGACGAGCAGGCGAAAAACGAGAGTTTTACAGAGAGCCTGGTGACAAAGATCGTGGACAACTTGCAGGTGACAATCAAGAATATTCACTTTCGGTATGAAGACGACCACACGTTCACGGAGAATCCGTACACTCTTGGCTTTACTCTGGAAGAGCTGTCTGCGGTTTCTGCAGACGAAGACTGGGTTCCTGGGTTCAATGCCGGAATCACCAAGTTGGCGCGCAAGCTGCTTACTCTTGGCAGCTTGAGTGTGTACTGGGACACCGAGAACGAGACCACTCAGCTGACTGAGCACGGCGAGCTAATACATTTTTTCAGAGACGTGATCGAGCGCAACTCGCAGGTCAACAAGGACACACAGTATATTTTGAAGCCTGTTTCCGGATACGGCCATTTGACTGTCAACAAGCAGGGTGCCACGGAGTCGTCGCCGCATTACACGGGCAAGTTCTTCTTTGAGGAGTTTGGACTCGATCTGGATAGCCATCAGTACAGAGATATTTTGTGGACCACCTCGCATCTGAACTGGTACTTGAAAACACAAAAATTCCGCAAGTTTCGGCCGCAATTGTCAGTGGAGGAGGACCCGAAGGAGTGGCTGCGGTACGCTTTCAACTGTGTTTACAGCGAGATCCACGAAAGAAACTACAAATGGACGTGGGAGTACTTCAAGAAGAGACGCGATCAGAGAAAGGCGTACATCAAGTTGTGGAAGGCGCATCTGGGCAACGGGATGACGCCAGCACAACAAACTGAGCTGGATGAGCTGGAAAAAGCGCTTCAGTACGAAGACATCAAGTTCTACAGGTCGCTGGCCCGAATGGAGTTCCGCAAGGAGAACGAGACCATGTCGGTGATCCAGCCGGTTGCACAAAAGGCGCAGCAGGGGTGGTTTTCGTGGTGGGGCGGCGGCGGAACGGCCGAAAACGACAAGCAGGACTCTGAGCTGACGTTGTCGGACGAACAGCGAAAGGAGCTTTATGAGGCCATAGAGTTTGACGAGAAAAGGAAAGCCGCCGACTTGATTGACATGCCGCGCGACCGTGTGCTGGCAGCCGTCAGCTGCAACCTCCAAAAAGGCTCTTTTGCGATCCGCAACGCCAAGGGCGAGGCGAACCTGGCGGAGATCGTGTTTGAAGGCTGCGACGCGGATTTCTTCCAGCGCAAGGACTCGTTCTACGCGGGCTTCAAGCTGAACGAGTTCCGTGTCGAGGACGGCTCGGACAACACCCTGTACAAGCACATTGTGAGCGTGAAGCCGCTCAAGTGTGCCGTGGAGGATTCCGGGCTGCTGTCGCAGGACGACATGAAGGAGCCGTTTTTCCAGGTCTCGTTCGAGAACAACCCGCTGGACGAGTCTGCGGACTCGGCTTTGCTGGCCAAGATGAACAGCATGACGATTTTCCACAACCCTAAGTTCATCGAGTCGATTGTGCGTTTCTTCACGCCGCCAAAGGTGCACCTAGACACGATCGGGCTGCTGATGAACGCGGCCGAGTCGACGATCCAGGATTTCACGAAACAGACGCGGATCGGGCTGCAGTACGCGTTTGAAGAGCACAAGACCATGAACTGCAAGATGGACCTCCAGGCCCCGCTGATCATCGTGCCTGTGAACCCAGGCAGCTGGTCGTCGCCGGTGGCCGTTCTGGACGCGGGACACATCAGCATAGTCAGCGATCTCGTGAGCAAGGACCAGATCAACCAAATCAAGGCAGAAAACAAGGACAGCTACACGGAGGCCGACTGGGAGAAGATGAACTCGTTTCTGTACGACAAGTTTAATCTGATGCTGCAGGACGCGCAGATTCTGATTGGCTCCAACATCAAGTCGACGATCGAGCAGCTGCACCAGAACGGCAACAAGCCGGCCCTGATTCTGGAAGAGTTCAGCATGAAGTTTCTCGTGGAGCTGTCGATTATTCCGAGCTACTACAACCTGCCGCGCATCCGTGTTGGGGGCGACGTGCCGCAGTTCCGGGCGATGCTGAGCGACTTCCAGTACAAGGTCTTCATGGAGCTCATCGACACGGCGATCCCAAACTGCGGTCTAGAGCCGGAGTCTGGCGACGACGAGCCCGCTGACAGGTTCAAGTCGCTATTGGCAGAGCCGACGGCAGGCAGTCCTCTGGAGGAGCTGGACCACGACTCGAACTCTGCAGAGTCTGTGTCAAACGCGCAGTCGGCCAACGAGCTGGCCAGCCGCCAGCACCAGATCGAGTTCAACTTCAACATGGACCTGATCTATCTGTCGCTGAACCGGTGCTCGAACAGCGAGACGCTGGAGTCCGAGCGGCTGGTGGACCTCGTGGGCGAGAAGCTGCGGCTGCAGTTCTTCAAGACGGTCCAGGACATGCACGTGCACGTGTGGCTCGAGGACATGACGGTCGAGGACCACATCGAGCACTCGGAGTCGGACGAGTTCAAGGCGCTGGTGTCGTCGAAGCTCAACAAGGACGCGCAGAACAAGGACAACCTGTTTGAGGTGCACTACTCGCGCACGCAGCGTCTGGTTGCGTTCAAGGGCGAGATGATCGAGGTGTTCGACCAGAAAGTCGATCTGAACATTGCCGATTTCAAGGTGGTGGTGACGCGGAAGTCGATTTTGACTCTGCTGAACTTTGCGCTCAACACGTTCACGAATCCCGACGCGCCCGAGCTGCCGGCCGACAAACTGCGGCACAACAACGAGAACGAGGTGGCGACGGCGCCGCAGCACATCGACGTCCAGATCGCGCTGCAGAGCATCATTCTCGTGCTCAACGACGACGGCATCAAGCTGGCCACCATGACGCTGCAGCACGCCGACATCGGGTGTTTCCTGCTGCCGGAGAAGATGAAGATCAGTGCCAAGATCGGCGGTCTGTCGCTGTTTGACGAGGTCAACGAGGGCGCCGCGGCCGAGTCGCCGTTGCGGCAGCTGATCACGATCCGCGGCGACGAGCTCGCCGAGCTGTACTACGAGACTTTCGACGCGGCCACCAACACACAGCCGTACAACTCCAAGGTGTCGCTCAAGACGGGGTCTGTGGTGGTGATGTTTGTGGAGGAGCCGTTCACCAAGATCTTCACGTACCTGAACCAGTTCCAGAAGATGAAGTATATCTACGACCGTGCGCGCGAGACGGCGCTGAACCAGGCCAACAGCATTGAGGGAGCGAGCCTGATGAAGTTCGACGTCTTGGTGCGCGCGCCAATCCTCGTCTTTCCGAAACTCGTGGACCCGGAGAAGGGCGTCTACGACAACGTGACGGCGAACCTGGGAGAGATCTACGCGGTGAACGAGTTCACGCAAAAAGACGGCACCATGCTCAACATGATCTCTGCCGGTCTGCGCAACACGAGGGTCACGTCGTCCTTCTCCATCGGCGACCAGACACAGAACCTGGAGATCATCGACGACCTGGACGTTGGGTTTGACATCAACTACTGCGACGACGCGCAGCAGGAGCGGCCCGCCATGATCGTCACGGGCGGCGTCTCGGGCAAGGAGATGAAGCTGACCGAGGTGCAGACGCAGTACCTGCTGCGCATCATGAACCAGATCCCGCGGGTGTTTGCTGGCGGCGCAGAGCAGTCGATCGAGGAGATCGAGACGGCCGCGCGCGGCGCCAACAACCTGCTGCCGGCTGCCGAGCACAGGTCACGTGACGCCCCGCAGCAGGGCGGCTCGCCAGAGCGGGTCAGCTTCGACGTCGACTTCAACGTGCCGATCCTCGCTCTCACGCTGTACAACCGCACGGCCGGCTCGTGTGGGCTGGACGGAAAGTCGCTGTCGCGGTTTTCGCTCAACGACATCGGCGTCAAGATGGAGATGCGCGAGAACGGCAACTTCAAGTCGGACCTCCACGTCAAGTCGTTTGTCGTGGAGGACGTGCGCGAGCACACAGACAACAAGTTCACCAACATCATCCCGCCGATCTCGCCCACAGACTACCAGTTCATGGCGTCGGTGACGTCGGAGACGAGGGACGAGCAGAAGGTGGTCAACATCAACCTGGCGATCGACAACCCGAAGGTGATTCTGGCATTGGACTATCTGTTTTCGCTGAAGGAGTTTGCCGACTATGCTCTGGCCGGCGACGAGCCCGGGACGTTCGAGCTGGAACGTGTCGACGACTCGGACGACGAAGAAAGCTCCGAGCCGGAACAGCGGCCGCAGCCGCAGCACGAGGCCGCTGCGGCACAGCCCGAGTCTGAGCTGGTGGTGCAGTACGCGGTCAACGTTGTCGATCCGTCGCTGATTATTCTGGCAAACCCGCAGAACGCAGACTCGGAGGCCATTGTGCTGAAGGTGAGCCAGTTCCTTGTGACGAGCCAGAACATCCTGAACGTGAACGCGATTGGCATGGGCATGTTTCTGTGCAAGATGGATGCGTACGAGACGAGCCGGCTGCGGGTCGTGGACGACTTCTCTGCGAGCTTCAACCTGGACTCGCGCGGGTCGACGGCGACGCAGTTCCTCAGCGTGGTCGACATGACGATCGACCCGCTCATGATGCGGATCTCGCTCAGGGATATCCGTCTTGCACTGGAGATAATCAACAAGGCCTCGTCGATGTACGCGAAAATCCAGGAGGCTGCCAAGACAGAGGACCGCGCGGCGCCGGCCACAGCGTACGTCGCGTTCCCGGACGAGCTGGGCAAGAAGTTCAGCAAGTACGCGCCGTCGCTGCTGTCGTCGGTGTCGCGCAGCACGCGGCAGACGGACGGCGGCACGGACGAGCTCGTGGTGATTGTCAAGAACGAGCGGCTGAAGCTGAACGTTTCCGGGCTGCGGCTTGTGGTCATCGGCGACGTGCACGAGCTGCCCGTGCTGGACATGGAGGTGAAGCCGTTTGAGCTGACGGCGAAGAACTGGTCCACGGACCTGGAGGCGGACACGAGCATCAAGTCGCTCGTCAACATCTTCAACTACTCGACGTCGGCGTGGGAGCCGCTGCTGGAGCCGTGGTCGTTCAGCGTGCACGTTTCGAAAGTGAGCGAGCCGTCGCCGTCGTTCACCGTGGACGTGGCGTCGCGCGAGTCGGCCGAGATCACGGTCACGTCGCGCAGCATCGCGCTGCTCTCGCACGTGAGCGCGCTGATCACCGAGGACACCGACCTCAAGCCGCGCGGCGAGGACGCGCCATACCGGATCATCAACGAGACGGGCCACGACCTGCACATCTGGATCGACGACGGCGACCCGAGCTTGCAGGAGCGGAGGCAGCTGACGGTGCTCAGGAACAACCAGACGGTGCCGTGGTCGTTCGAGGACTGGCGCAAGGTCAGAGAGACGCTCGCGGCGGACGCCGAGTCGAACTTCATCGGCGTCGAGCTGCTGGACTCGCCGTACGCGCCGGTGCGCCGCGTCTCGCTGCGCAGCGAGGGGGAGGACGTGTTTATGCTGAACCCGAAGCTGGCGGAGGGCTATCATAACCGGATCGCGTGCGAGATCGTGCTGGGCGAGGATAAGGTCAAGAAGGTGTATTTGAAGTCGACGCTGACGATCCAGAACTTCACGCAGACGCCGATCCGTGTGGCGTCGCTGGCACGGACGGGCGCCACGGACGACGTGCTGGACGAGCTGGTGATCGCCGCTGGCGACCGGCAGGCGGTCCCCGTGGAGCACGTGTACAACGGCCGGCTCGCGGTCCGGCCCGAGGTGCACGAGCAGTCGTTTGGGTGGTCGTCGTCCAAGATCATGGGCAGCCACACGACGATCGACTTCGACTGGCGCGGCATCATGAAGAACGACATGGTGCTGGAGTGTCCGCAGCGCGAGGACGGCGTGGCGAAGCGGTACTTCTTCCGTGCACACGCCACATTCAACGAGAAAGAAGTGCTCACCCAGATATATCCGCACATGACCATCAACATCACGCCGCCGCTCGAGATCGAGAACCTGCTGCCGTTCGATATCACCTGGAAGGTGTTCCAGAAAGGGTTCAAGACGTGGACCGGGGGTCTGAAAAAGGGGGCCACCAAGTCGATCCACGTGGTGGACATGAACGCGATCCTGATGCTGCACATCAAGCCGCTGCAGTCCAAGTACCGCGAGTCGGAGGCGGGGTTCATCAACGTTCCGGACCGCTCGCGCATCCCGCTGAGCAAACGGCTCACGCTCAAGAGCGAGGACGGCCAGCGGCTGCATCTGGGACTGCACTACGTGAACAGCGGCCGGTCCGGGCTCAAGATCCTGATCTATTCGCCGTACCTCGTGCTCAACCGGACCGGCAAGGACCTCAGTCTGAGCGACCGGTTCAACAAGATGATCTGCGAGGCGCACTCGCCGGACGCGCCAGAGCAGACTGTTCCCGGGCTATTTTCGTTTGACTACGACGCTACAGACACGAAACGGTTTATGGGCGGCAACCTGGAGGAAAACCGCGCCGTTCTGCGTGTAGGCGACTCGCAGCCCAGCACCAACATTAGTCTGGACAAGATCGGGCAGTCGTTCGAGGTGAAAGTGCCGTTGAAAGACCGCGAGCTCGAAAACGACGTGGGCATCCATATCACCGAGGGCGAGGGAATCTACTCGCTGACCAAGGTGATCAGCGTTGTTCCGCGGTACGTGATCCGCAACAGTCTGGCAGACGCGGTGCAGGTGGCCAAGGTGGGTGCTTCTGGCGTGCTGCACATCGACCCCGGCCAGTTCAGTCCGTTGTACGAGATGCCGCGCACGGATGCCAAACAGCTGCAGATCGGGTTCTCGGGCAGAAAGGCCGCGCTGTCGGCGCCGTTTGGCATCAACGACATGGGCGAGGTGTTCATCCGTGTGCAGAAGCTGAACGAGAACGCGCACAAGCTGGTGCGTGTGGTGATCAGCACGGAGGCCGCGGCCATTTTTGTCGACATTCTGGACGCCAAGGACATGTGGCCGTACTCGATCCGCAACTTCAGCGACTACGAGTTCTTCATCTACCAGTCGGACCCGAACATCAACGAGGAGGGCCGGCGTGTGTCGCAGGTGCCGTTCAAGCCCATTTTCTACCGCATCCCGCCAAAGAGCGCCATGCCGTACGCGTGGGACTATCCGGCCGCGCAGTACAAGGAGCTGGTTCTGCGGAGCGGCTCCCGCGAGCGGTACGTGCATCTGGCCGAGATCGGCACGCTCATGCCGATGAAAATAGGCAAGGGCGCCGACGGCACGACCAAGATCGTCGACCTGAACGTGGTCGCCGACGGCACGATCCAGTCGCTCATCATCTCGAACTACGACCCGAAAACGAGCATGTACCAGCTCAAGCACACCAGCTCGTCGCAATCTGTCGTCGGGGGCACGGCCAACGCCGACAAGTTCGAGACCATCGAGAAGGACGAAAACTACTACACCAAGGTGCTTGTGCGGTTCGAAGGCCTCGGCGTGTCGCTGATCAACACCAAGCACCAGGAGCTCTGCTACACCACTGTGCGCGGCATGGAGCTGCGCTACAACGAGTCCGACATCTACCAGAACTTCAGCTTCAAGCTCAAGTGGATCCAGATCGACAACCAGCTGTACCCAAACATCTACCCGATCATCGTGTATCCGTCGGTTGTGCCGAAATCCACGGCCGAGATGAACGACCATCCGGCGTTCTCGATGGCGATATCGCGGCTCAAAGACGAAACGCACGGCGTCAACTACATCAAGTACGCCACGATGCTGCTGCAAGAAATGTCGATCGAGGTAGACGAGGACTTTTTGTTTGCGCTGCTCGAGTTTTCAAAGCTCCCCGGCGCCGCATGGAACAAAGACGTCCAGAACGTGCTCTGGGACGAGAACTTGCAGATCCCAGAGCCGCCAACGGTGCGCTCGGGCAACGACCTCTACTTCGAGGCTCTGCATTTGCAACCGTTGCAGTTTAACCTCTCGTTCGTGCGCACCGAGCGCGTCAACACAGAGGACGCGGCCGAGGCCCAGAACGCGCTCGCCGTCGTCTTCAACATCCTCACCATGGCCATCGGCAACATCAACGACGCGCCCGTGCGCCTCGGCTCGCTCTTCCTCGAGAACATCCGTACACCGCTCCCGTACCTCGTGCAGAACATCAGCGAGCACTACCAGCAGGCGTTCCTGTACCAGGTGTACAAGGTGCTGGGGTCTGCAGACGTGCTGGGCAACCCTGTGGGGCTGTTCAACAACATCAGCTCGGGCGTGATGGACATCTTCTATGAGCCGTACCAGGGCTTCATCATGACGGACCGGCCGCAGGAGCTGGGCATTGGGCTGGCCAAGGGCGGGCTGAGTTTTGTGAAGAAGTCTGTGTTTGGGTTCAGCGACAGCTTTGCGCGGTTCACGGGGTCTATGGCCAAAGGGCTGACTGCTGCGACGATGGACAAGAATTTCCAGGAGCGGCGCCGGCTCATGAGACAGCGCAACAAGCCGAAACACCCGATCTATGGCATCACATCGGGCGCGACGTCGCTTGTGGAGGGCATTTCGAGCGGACTAACAGGAATCGCGACGGCCCCGATCGAGGGTGCGAACCAGGAGGGTGCGTCTGGCTTTTTCAAAGGGCTGGGCAAAGGTTTAATAGGGCTGCCGACAAAGACGGCAACAGGGTTCTTTGACTTCGCTAACAACATCAGCGAGGGGATCCGCAACACGGCGACCGCGTTCGATGCCGAGGGCCTCGACAAAGTGCGGCTGCCGCGGTTCGTCAACCCGGACGGCACGCTGACGCCGTTCAGCGAGAGAGAAGCACAGGGCCAGTTCTGGCTCAAGAGCTGCGAGGGCGGGAAGTACTTTGACGAGCGGTACCTTGCGCACGTGATTCTGCCCGGCCAGGAGCACTGTGTGATTGTGAGCATGAAGCGTATCGTCATTGTGTCGATCGTCAAGATGACAGTCGAATGGGAGATCCTGTACGACCAGATCGACAGCATCACGCTGGAGAACTCGGGCATTCGCATCAGACAGAAACGGATGGCCGGCGTCGAGCGGTTCATCCCGATCCCCGACCCGGCAGACAAAAAGTTCCTCTACAGCAAGATTGCCGTTGCCGTGCAGGAGTTCAACAAGAGGTGTATTATTGCTCTATAGGAAATGACTAGATACAAGTCCGGTACGTTTTTTTAGACTGCTGATGAATTTTGCTGCTGGCTCTGCCCCATATCCCTCCAGCCTTGCCGCCACGCACTCCACCGCGCCGTCTATGGTGGCCACCACCAATTTTCCGTCCCTGAGAGAAAATTGTCCTGGCTGTGCAGACTCGCCGCGCGCGGTAGCTCGTTGCAAGCTTGGCAGGTACACGCGCTTGAGGATGGGCTGCTGCTCCTTGGAGACGGCCTGGACGTTCGCGAAGAGCGGGCCGAGCGTGCTCTGGCGCCGCAGGATGTGGCCCGTGGTGTATTTGTTCCAGTCGATGCGTTTGTCTGCGGGCGTTATTTTCGCCGCGTACGAGTAGCTTTCCTGGGGGACAATCGACGGGTAGTTCTGCGGCTCGTACAGACCGGTGTCCAAAACGTTTCTCAGCAGCCTGCCGCCGGCATCGGCCAGTTTCTCGCACAGAGAGTCGAAGGTCTCTGTTTCGGCGATGTCTTGCCTTTCCTGCGCCAGAATGCGACCACGGTCAAACCTCTTCTTATCGAGCGTCTGCAGGGAAACCCCGGTGTAGTTCTGGTGGCTGAGCAGTGCGCGTTGCAGAGGGGCTGGCCCGGAGAACGCTGGCAGCAGCGACGGGTGCACGTTGAGACCCGGGTACTTGAGCGATTCGAGGAAGGAGGCCGGTATCAGCAGCCCAAAGGACACAGCCACGCAGATGTCGAACTGGCCCCTCAGCCGGTCGAAGTCTGCGCGTTCGTCGGCGCGCACAAGCGGCAGACCTGTCTGGCTGGCGTATCCCACGATGAGCGGTTCCCTGTATTGTCTGAGCCCGCGGCCGCTCAGTTTGGCCGTCCGTGCAACCACGGTGATAGCGTCGGCGTACTTCGGAAGCAGGTGCGTCAGACACCGGATCGAAAACTTGTCTGAGCCAAAGTATGCGATTTTAAGCATAATTTTTCCAGTAGCGAATTTATATTTATTTATTCACAGGCAAACACCCACTCGTTATCTACCGATGGCTCCGTCTGCATGGGTGATTGTCACGTGCGCGTCCATTGCGAGTCTCAATTGCGGGACCCTGTACTTCTTTGGCGCGTATTCACCGCAGGTCGCGTCCCAGCTACGGTACACGGCCGCACAAACGTCGCGGATCGCGATAGCTGGACAGTCCGCCACGGTCCTGGCCGGCCCGCCATGCGGACACGTTATCGACGCGGTCGGGTTCACTGTCCCGGCGGTCTTGGGCACCCTGGCGATCTGGCTGGGGTACTTCCTGTTCTACAAGCAGTACTCGTCTGCTGCCTCAAATGTACCATATAGCTGCTTTTTATTTGCTCTGATCGGCGTGGGCAGCACTGGACTCAGCTCTGCGTGCGTGAAAAGCAGCATGCTCGCGTGGCCTGCGCGCAAGGGCCTTGCCGTGGCGCTGCCGCTGGCATGCTACGGCGCCAGCGGCATCTTCTTTTCCAGGCTGGGGAGCTGGTTCACGCCGGGCGACACAGCCGAGTTCCTCAAGATGGTGGCTAGTGTGACGTTTGGAATCGGACTGGTCACGGCGCCCGTGCTGTGCGTGTACGACTGGCGCCGGCCGCGTGCGCCTGCGGCTAGCGTGGCGGCGGCCATCGAGATGCAGGCGCTGTCGTCGCCGCGGCCTGTGCTGCGCCACACAGAGAAGCCACACGCACTCTATACTCCCGAGTTCTGGATGGTCACAGCAGCGCTGGGACTGCTTGCCGGGATCGGGCAGATGTACATCTACGGTCTCGGCATGATTGTGTGCTCGCTGTACGCGTTGCCGTCGCAGACGCAGCAGACTCTCGCCGCATACGATGTGGCGGTGCAGGAGCACCAGCACGCGCAGGTGAGTCTGCTCTCGCTGTGCTCGACGGGCGGGCGCCTGCTGGGCGGGCTGGTGGCGGACGAGTTCCACGCGCGCGTGCGGCGGTCGCGAACGTACCTGCTGCTCGTTCCCGCCACGCTGATCGGCGCAGTCCAGGTTGGTGGCATTTTTTCGCAAAACCTGCGTGCGCTCTCTTTTTTGTCTGTGGGGCTGGGGCTGGGGTACGGCTCGCTGTACACGCTGACACCGCTGGTGGTGAGCGACCTGTGGGGGATGACAAGCTTCAGCACGAACTGGGGGCTGTGCAACCTGACTCCGGTGGTGACCAACCTCGTGCTGAGCACGCTGTTCGCCCGCAACTACGACCTGCATACCGAAAATCTGGAGATATCCGGGGAAGCGAGACGGCTGTGCATGTCCGGATACAGGTGCTACAACGGCGCGTTCTGGGGCACGCTGGTGCTGGCAGTGGTCGCGTGCGGGTTCCTTTGGGCGCTGGTGAGCCGGCAGACGCACTACACTCCGCTGCAAAAAGAGGAGACCGAATAAATAATTTTTTTTAATTTTTCTCCAAATTCTCGTCGTACCTGCCTGCTGACAACGATGAGCTCGTCCTCGGCGTGGAAATTCGCGCACCAGATCTTCAACAGACAAAACCTCAAGTATGTGTTCACGACACATTTCTGGGGCCCCGTGTCGAACTTCGGGCTTCCCATCGCGGCTGTCATGGATATCAGAAACAAGTCTCCAGAGGTGATCAGCGGACCAATGACCGGTTCGCTGATTGTTTACTCTTTGGTGTTTATGCGCTACGCGCTCGCCGTCAGACCAGCCAATTACTTGCTTTTTGTGTGCCATTTGCTCAACGAGGGAGCCCAAATCGGCCAGGGAGTCAGGTATATCAAGTATCACTATGGCGACAAGGTGCAGAAATAGGCGTTCAGTTTATAAACTCGAGATTAATATAATTCCCTAATCAAACAGGCCCTTGGCAATGGGCACCTGCGTCGGGTCCAGCTGGTCAGGGTCGAAGGGCAACGGCTCGGGCTGGGGGTTCTCTTGTGCGCGGGCCGTCGCCGGCGGACTCCGAGGCCGGTCCTGCGTAGCCGTGTCGCGGTTCTCGCTGTCCCAGACGATCTGTGCGGGAGCAGTCGACTCCGCCGGCTCGGACACAAACAGTGACTCTGCGGACTGTGGCTGTTTTGCCGGCTCGGCAAACGGAGCAGACTCTGCGGCCTCGCTGTCGCTGATCATGGTGAGCGTAAACAAACACACCTCGCACCGGTCGTGTTCTCCCCTCGCGATGCGGCGCTCAAACACGATCGGAGAACCCTCGTAGCTGAACTTTATCGAGCACTCGCCGCTCTCGGCGCCCGCCAGCTGCACAAAAGTGCGGAAATCGCGTAACCTGAACGCGATAGTGTGTTTTTCGTCGCCAGGAAGAGTGTTCTCGTCCACCAGGTCGTTCAAGCTCAGCTGCATCGAGAGACTCATCGGCTGCGTCGCCAGCGACGCGTTCTTCTGGCTCAGCAGCTCCTTGCGGTTGAATCCGTGCAAGAGCATCTTGCGTGCACTGGGATACACCTCAAGCCTGAAATCCTCGAGGCCCTGGCCAAACATGCTCAGAAACTTTTTTAGAATGCGGATATCCATCACCAGATGGTGTACACGGTCTTCCTGGTCTTGTGTCCGCACCAATCGGGCATATACCCTGCTGATTTTGAGATCGTCCGAGGTGTATCCGGGTCGAAACGTCAGTGAGTAGTTCTTGGTCACTCCGTTCGTGCGCATGGCCTCCACGAACAGCTTGTTGCTGAAGATCTGGCTTGAATCGGGCACGTTCTCGTGGATCAGCAGCATTTTCAGCGACTCCGTGTTTTCGCAGTCTTTGAAGCACACGTTCATGGTTTTGCTATTGATCAGAAAGCTGAACGTCTGCGTGTTGTTCACAACCGGCAGATCGCCTTCTATGGTGAAGGTGTGGAAAAACTCCTGGCGAAAAGTGCACGTCAAAGAGCTGGTCTTGTTGATGTTCACGGCCGTCAGCAGCAACTCGTACTTGTCGCCCGCCTCCTTCAACGTGACCTTGATGGTATCCGAGATCGTCGACAATGCGTAGACGCACCGCGTCCATATGATGGCCTCTGTGAAGAGAGCCTCCAATTTGAAAGGCATACAATATTTTTTATAAAGTACAAAACAATTTTCCCACTAATCAATTAATTTAGTCGAAAGTCTTCTTCTTACCCTTGAAGGCCACAGGAACGGAATTAGCGCCGCTTCCGCTGGACCGCTCTCTGCCGAAGCCACCGCGAGCTCCTCCGCGTCCGCCGCCAAATCCTCCACGGCCGCCACGAGGGGTAGGCGTGCCGCTACGAGAGCCCCCGTTAGGGTCTCTTGGAGCACTGAAGTCAAGACGCACAGGTCTGCCAGCAATATATTCGCCGTTCAAAGCCTCCAGAGCCGCCTTGGCCTCGTCAACAGAGCCGAATTGGACGTATCCGAATCCCTTGGGTTGCTCGGACTCAGGGTGGGTAGGGATTCTGATGCCCAAGACGGTACCGTGCTGCTCAAAGTACTCTTTCAGAGTGTCTCTGTCGGCCTGGAACGAGAGGTTACCAATAAACAGGGTGTCGGACGGCTGCGATGGGGCATCGCCGTACTTCTTGGCCCTGTCCTGGAACTTCTGGTTCTGGGACGGAGTCTGGGGCTTCGAGGTCGACATGTCAAGATTGATTGGTCTGCCCTCGATCTCCTTGCCCTGGAATTGCTCCAGAGCTTTCTGTGCCTGTTCTTTGGACTCAAAGTCAACGTATCCGTACCCTCTCGAACGACCCGTCTCCCGCTCGGTCATAACTCTGGCAGACAAAACTCCGTCCAAAGATTGGAACTCCTCTAAAAGTCTCTGGTCGTCGACTGCCCACGCCAGTCTACCGACAAACAGAGTGGCAACCTCCTTAGGTTTCTTAGATGGGGTCTCTGGCTCTTCTTCGGTCTTTCTCTTGCGGGACTCTGAGGCATCAGCTGCAGACTCAGAGCTGTCGCTGTCAGAGCTGTCGCTATCGCTACTAGAGCTTTCCTTCTTCTCCTTTTCCCCCTTACTTTCCTCTTTCTCTTCCTCAGAGTCGGAGTCAGAAGAGTCAGAACTATCGGAGTCAGAGGAGTCGGAGCTATTAGAGTCGGAACTGTCAGAATCAGAACTGTCAGAATCAGAATTGTCTGAGTCAGAACTGTCAGAGTCAGAACTATCAGATTCAGAACTCTCTTTCTTCTCTTCCTTGACCTCCTTCTTCTCCTTCTTCTCCTTCTTCACCTCCTTCTTCTCTTCCTTCTCTTCCTCAGAGTCAGAATCAGAATCAGAACTGTCGGCACTCTCAGAGTCGCTCGAATCGTCAGAATCGCTAGAATCAGATGAATCGTTTGAGCCGCTCGAATCGCTCGAATCGCTAGAATCGCTAGAATCGCTAGAATCTTTCACGCCCTCAGAATCGCTTGAATCGCTCGAGTCGCTAGAGTCACTAGACTCGCTCTCACTTTCCTCCTTCTTCTTACCCTTGCCCTTGGTCTTGGTCTCCTTGACCTCCTTCTTTGAAGGAGTCTTCACTGCCTTCTCCTCTTTCTTCCCCTTCTTCACTTCCTTGGCTGGCTTAACAGCTTTCTTAACGTCTCCTTTACCCATACTGATATAATTTTTTTCTACTGAAAAAAAAATTTATTAAAATTTTTTCACCCTCCTTATCAGGAATCCGTATGAACGCCTTGGTACTGCCGGGACAACCAATTGTCCCCGTCCACACGGCCAGCCACACGTATGTGTCAGGCTCTAACACGTTGCAGATTGAGAAATCCGTTGACGGAACGGTTGTTCCCTGCATTGTCGCGACCACTTTGGGCTCTGTGCAATTTAGCACTAACGACAACACGTCCACCGTTTCAGTGCAATCGAGTGGAGCTAAAATCGCCAATTTTACGCCTTCCGAAAATGACGTGGTCATTGCCAAAGTGACAAAGATATCGTCCAACAAAGTCAACCTCGATATTCTACACGTTCAAGACGCAAGCATCCATTTATCTAATTTACTGCTGAACGATTACGGCGAGAATTTCAAGGCTGTGATTCGCTCGTCAGACATTCGCTCCACAGACAGAGACAAGGTGAAAGTCGGAGATTGTTTCCGACCAGGAGATATCGTCAAGGCGCTGGTGATTTCCCTGGGAGATGGAATAAACTACTACCTGTCCACAGCAAGAAACGATTTAGGAGTGATACACGCGCGGTCGAAATCGGGCAAGCTACTGTATCCGCTAGACTGGGAAACGATGGTGGTGCCCGAAACAGGCGAGCTGGAACCGCGTAAGTGCGCCAACATTAATTAGTAAAGCTAGTCATTGGAATATTACTCTAACGAATTTAGTCCTTGGAACAGTCGCGACCAAACATCGACACCTTGATCCAGTCGCTGATCACAAGAAGTTTGCTTCTCACTCCCAGGATCATGGAGACGTAGGCCGTTCTCCAGAAGAAGAAAGTCAGGTTTCCTCCAAGAGCAACAGTGGACCACGAGCCCCATGTGAGGTCGGCCACGGCTCTCTCGGAACCAACATAGGCCAGAGCACCTTGGTGTCTGTAGGAGAACGGTTTTATGCTGTTCTTGTATCTCTCCAGACGCTTCAGGTGTTTCTCCTTAGAAGCCTCGTCTTTCTCCAAAGAAGTAAGGTACTCGAGGTCGTCGATCTTGGCCAGCTTGTTGAAATGGTCAGCCAAAAACTCTCCCTGCTGATGGGCAACCTGGGCAGTTGGAGCGTTGGCAGTAAAAGTACAGTCTCCCAAAGCGTAGATGTGGTCGTCTCCGTCAAGCTTCATGTACTCATCCACAAGAAGTCCTCTTCTGGCCGTCTTTTGCTCGGTGATTTTATCGGCAAGCGAGCGAGTCAGCTCTCTCTGAGCGTTACCACCGGCCCAAACAAGAGTTCCGTACGGAATCACAACATCCTCGGTGGTTCCGTCTGGTTTCTTTGCAGAGGCATAGACGTTTCTGGCGTCCACCTTCTTCACTATTGTGTTGGTTCTCAGATCAACGTGTTGAGTCTTGAAAACCTCCTTCGTGTACTCAATCAGCTTAGGATGGAACATGTTCAAGACGTTAGGCAGGGCCTCCACCAAGATCACCTTCATCTCCTTGTCGATTCCTGGAATGAACTTGAGCAGGTCCTGGTCAATGTAGTCCTTCACCTCAGCAGCCAGTTCAACACCGGTAGGTCCTCCACCACAAACAACAAACGTCAGGAGACGCTTGCGCTCCTCGGAGTCTTCTGGCAACAGTCTGGATGCCTCAATGGCGTTGAAAAGCTTCTGTCTGACAGCAGTGGCATCATGGGCCTCTTTCAAGAACGAGGCGTACTCTGGAATGCCTGGAATGCCGAACGTGTTGACCTTGGCTCCAACGGCGTAGATCAAGTAGTCGTACTTCAGCGTCTTCTCGATCGGCTCATCCTTGTTCACAAACGCTTCTCCCAGCGAGAAGTTCATGTTCTTGTGAACGATCTTGACAGTCTGATTCACAGGATCCACGTCGGTTGCAGCAGCTTCATAATAGGTCACCTCGCCCGGAGTTTGCCGGGCAATAGTCCGAACAGGGTCGCAGATCGAATTGGACCCAACCGTGGAGGTTGGCACAGATGGAAGAAGTGGAGTAAACAGGAAATAGTTACGTGGAGAAACAATGGTCACGTTGTACTGTGTGGTGTCCAGCTTATGCAAGAACGAGATTGCTCCCCAGCCGGAACCCAGAATAATAACGTTCTTCTTTCTATTTCCGTTCTCTTTCAAGAGAGATTGCGGCTTCTGTGGGCCTGGATTGGTCTCCCTGTAAACAGAGTAAGTCAGGTAAGCAGTCTCGGCCAAAGCGGCAGCGATAAGCCCATAAAAAGTGTAGGTGAAAAATCCAGCCTTTTTGCGCTTCGGAGTAGAAACGGGCTGGACAGGCTCAACCGGGTTGACCGTCTGTAGGACCTTAGCGGAGTGTCCGAACAGACGACGTGGTCCGAGACGTCTACTTACTGACGCTAGTTGTCGGTGCATGATTTAGGATAATTCGAAAATTTACTGCCGACAATCACAATTCTTATACTAAAAATTGGTGAGGTCGTGTGAACGTACTAGATTTTTCATGGGGTCCAATTATTAGCAAATCATAGACTCCCCGGTATCGGTCCACAGTCACCCTCACCCCGTGGACGCTCCGTACTCCGTAAATTCCTCACAATTTATTTATCGTCATCCCCATTAACCCGCGGACACCCTGTGTTTGTCTTCCCCGCTCGACACCCCGTTGGTACGCCGTCGATCCCTAGTGGTCATTCTGGTTGACCAATAGTGGCCAGCGGAAATTTTCAAATGACCAAATTCCAGGAATTACCGTTAGGAGTTGGGGACGAAATAGTCCCACCTGGTATTGGCTATAGCCGTGTACTGTAAAACTATCAAGAGCGTTGTGAAGGACTTGTGAAGGGCCTTGTGAGGAAGGATACTGAGAAAGTGAATAACTCTCAAGTCTAGGGCTGAAATCGATTTGTAGAGTGAAATTTCACCAGGATAGACGAGAATTAACCTCTGCACTTCGTCTGGCTCTCCATTTAATTACAATAGTAAACCCTCATCAACGCACACACTTTGCACTCTGCGTTGGCTCGAAGAGATGAAACTTCGGATCTATTTTTAGCGCACGGGCATTACAGCTTAGGGGGCTGTGCGTGAATAAAGTAAGAAAATACTTTACAATGCAACGGTTCGGAACAGAGATATGCCACTAGCTGTCCCCGTGTGAAACTTCGCTGTCGACGCATGTAACCGCTAACTATACACTCCTATTGAGCAGGATTGTTCGCAGAAAATGAGCGAATTTGTTCCAGCCGAGTGGCCAAACAATTCACAAAAACTTGGAATTACCGGCTACCGGCGAATAGGAAGCACCAGCTCATCGCGGAACATAAATACGTCTGGCGGCATGAGACCAGCAGGAACGAAAAGCAAAAATTTTGCAGAGGTGAGTTGTGCATGAGCAGAATCTCATCATAGCTGTCCACTGAACAAAGAGATAATCATCGGGCCGATCCCAAAAATAGCTTGGCCGTTCAGAGCCAGCTGGAACTACCCAATGCCTTTTTTATGAGTGCTATCTGTCAAATCACAACCTAATAATATGCTATTTGATTGTTAGACAACACGAAGAAAAAGGCACAATGGAATAGAAGCTTTCAGAAGACAAATGGCTTACTTCCCAAAAAGTGGGCTACTAGGCCCGAAGGGGTCAAAAAGTGCCTAAATTTTCCTCAGGCAGCAATAAGTAAACACATATACTTCCTTCCTATTCTATCCACTATTGTCTCGCGTTTCTTTTGGCTCTTCACCTGCACAATAAGAATTTTGTACACCGATCTGCGTCTGCACACTCCACCCTTCAGGAAAGTGAGAGTCAATTCCATCGTATAAATAGGACCCGGATTCTCGGGAACCTCGCCATTCCCCCTGAAAGAATACCTAATGGACGCTGAACAACAATTGGGCTACTCGCCAGCTCTCAAGACCTCCAAATTCGGTCTCTCCAACACCATGAAGAATCACTTGGTTGCTGCCTCTGGAGAATTCATCGGTACCTTCATCTTCCTGTGGGTCGCATACATGATAGCTCAGATTGCCAACCAGGACGAGTTCTACTCCTCTGAGGGCTCTAATCCAGCCAAGCTCATCATGATCTCCTTCGGTTTCGGTTTCGGTGTCATGGTTGCCATCTTCCTCACCTGTAGAGTTTCTGGTGGTAACCTCAACCCTGCCGTCACCCTGTCCCTGGTGCTTGCTAGAGCCATTTCCCCGGTCCGTGGTCTGATCATGGTGTTGTCCCAGATGGTGGCCGGCATGGCCGCTGCTGGAGCTGCCTCTGCCATGACTCCTGGCCCTGTGGCTTTCGCTAACGGTCTTGGCGGAGGATGCTCCAAGAGCAGAGGTCTCTTTATTGAGATGTTCGGCACCACGTTGTTGTGTATCACCGTCTTGATGACTGCTGTGGAGCAATCGAACCTTTCGGACTACGCTCCGGTGTGCATTGGTCTGTCGCTGTTCCTGGGTCACTTGATTTGCGTCTACTACACCGGTGCCGGTCTGAACCCGGCCAGAAGCTTTGGTCCATGTATCGCTTCCAGATCCTTCCCTGTGTACCACTGGATCTATTGGGTGGGCCCAATTCTCGGTGCTGTTCTTGCCTTCTCCATTTGGCAATTTTGGAAATTGCTCGACTACGAGACCTGCGTTGCTGAGGAGGAAGATTAGATAACCCAACAATAATAATAATAATATTAATAAATGCCGTACTCGAATTTCCACTGCTGAAAAATAAAATACGCGTAAATAAACTATATCTGATGGTGCGTAGATCGGCCAGATTGAGAGAGCAGGAGGCCCAAGAGCCCGTTCCGGAGCCCAAGAAACAAAAGACAGAGGCCAAGAAGCCGGCAGCGGCCAAATTGAGTGAGGAGAAGAAGCCAGCAGAGAAATTGGAGACCGACAAGGTGGAGTCGAAAAAAACACTACAAGAGGGGGATGCGCTTCCTGACGATCTGGAATTGGAAAACCAGGACGGCAAAAAAGTGGCCGTTGCGCAGTACGCAAAGGACGCTAAGGTTCTGGTGGTGTTTTTGTATCCAAAAGCATCGACGCCAGGATGTACGCGTCAGGCAATAGGTTTTAGAGAGAAGGCCGAGGAGCTGATTGAACTGGGGGCTACTGTGGTGGGGCTTAGCTCGGACTCGCCCAAAGCACAGACTTCTTTCAAAACGAAGCAGCAATTACCTTACGATTTGTGGTCTGACCCGTCAAAACAGCTGATCGAGCTGCTCGGCGCTAAAAAACACCCCAACGGCATCGTCAGGTCAGACTTTATTTTCCAGGATGGGATTCTGAAGGTCAAACGAGTCGGCATCTCTCCAGAAAAGAGTTTTAATGGCGCTATCGAGCTAGTCAAGGGCCTGAGTGAGTGAGTATTATCTATGCGTCTCGCAGACTGCTCGGTTCCTGCGCAGGGAATGCCGAACTTTTCGCTATGCAAAGTGCGTGGATTGCCGACCATGACAGCGAATAAAGATCGTCGCTTGCATATTGTTGAAATTCCAGCTTGAGGCATCAAGTGAAGATCTCGGACATTGCGTTTCAATACGTATATAAACGAACAAAGAATGATCGAAATTAGCCGGCCAAGCCTAGTAGCGAGAAAAATTTTTTCATTGTGCCAGCATCACCGTTGCAGGTTCTTGTTCCATTAGTAAGAGCGGCGCTGCATACAGCAAGTTTGGTAAATTTTCGCTTCGTATGTTTCTGTGGCGCGGAGGCCGCATCGGCAGGGTCGATTGGTTAACATCATGGACAATTATGATGGTTGAACGGGACCTCGTTGCGCGCCTGTGCCCTAGCCAGATCCGCGACCTCCGCGTTGTAAAAACCGGCCAAACCGACCCCATACCACTCACCATTTTTCCGCCGTGATTCTTGCATATGCCAACACTCACCTCAGAGGTACGTCGGCGCACGCGCTGGCCCCATTGTAGTATCTACTTTTTTAACCAAGTGGTCTTCAGCAGCGTCAGTTGTTGCATCCTGAGAACATGAAACACAAATTTGCTATTGTCTCGGACGCTAAAACGTTTTCGGTGCATCTATAATGCATCGCTAATAAGTTGTTGCTGCTTCTCACCGCTAAAATAGAAGCATAGGAACAGATATCTCAAGATTATTTCAACTGCAAATTATAAAACCCTTGGACGCCAGCCATTCTAAATTTCTTCTGATTTCCCCTTTTCCGACTTCCTCTAACCATTCATGACCCACTGAATAGTTCCTCTTCTACAAGAAATGCAAACAACTCTGATCTTGCCAAATCACTATGGAAAATACTACAGATAACAACATCGACAAAAATCCCAACAAGATCACCTTACCCTCAATCCGAGATTTGGGCCCAGACTTGTCTCCATCGCCGCCGCAACTTCCGCTTCCGAGAGTGGGCCTGCCTCGAATATCAGCGCCTTCCAGATCACCCGATCAGTCGACCCTTCCTCCCCCATCTCCTTACCTGATCTCCTCGCCCTACCCGCCCCCACGGCAGTACGCGGCTTCTCCCCAGCACCCGTACCCCGTTTCTCATCCCCACTACATCTCTGCATACCAAGAGCCGATCGACTACCGTCCTCACCCTGGCCCGAACTACTACATGCCTCCGGCGCCCAATAGTCAGCCCTACGCCATGGGACACTCGCAGATGGTGCTTCCGCCTCCCGCCCAGGTCTCGTCGCGGTACGTCTCCAAATCCAGCAGCGCGTGGAGCCCTGAAGACGACAAGCTACTGAGAATGCTGAAGGAGGAAAAGAACTACGGCTGGAGAGAAATCGCCTCGTATTTTCCCAACAGAACGATCAACGCGTGCCAATTTCGCTGGCGACGGCTCGTGGTGGGCGTGGCCGGCAAGAAGAACCCGGACGGATCTGTTTCGCCCAAGAGCGCGCGCTCGAAACTGCGCTCTCGTGAGAGTGAGGACTCGGACACAGAAAGGGCCAAAGAAGACGAAAAGGACAAAGACAAGCACAAAGACATAAAGGCGGCCGACCTCAAGCGGCTGCTCAACTAATAGACTAGCATAGAATGTATAACTAGATGTACCGATGTATGTTACTGGACGATCCACACCTGAGACCTGTAAGAGAAAGACACAGGCATACTGCTCACACAATTCTCCAATATTACTGCTTCTTCTATATGCTTAACGGTTACTCTTGGCAACTCTCTCCAACTCGTCCTTCTTCTTGATGGCGTACGAGGTAGAAGAGCCCTTGGCAGCGTTAATCAGCTCCTCGGCAAGACACTCAGCAATAGTCTTGACGTTTCTGAAAGCAGCCTCTCTGGCACCGATGGTCAGCAGAGCAATGGCCTGGTTGACTCTTCTGAGTGGAGACACATCAACGGCCTGTCTTCTAACGGTACCGGCAGATCCAATTCTGGTGGAGTCTTCTCTTGGACCGGTGTTGACAATGGCGTCAACAATAACCTGGAGTGGGTTTTGCTCGGTCAACACGTTGATGATCTCCATGGCGTGCTTGACGATTCTCACAGCCTTGAGCTTCTTACCGTTGTTTCTTCCATTCATCATCAAAGAGTTGGTCAGTCTCTCGACAATAGGACACTGAGCCTTTCTGAATCTCTTGGAGGCGTATCTGCCAGCAGTGTGGGAGACGTACACTGGCTGTCTGATCTGGATGTAGTCGGTCAGCGAGATGTCCTTGACGGTAACGTCCTCGAAAGACCACTTGTTGAAGAGCTTCACCTCTTGGGTGCCGGCCTGGATGTCTTTAGGAATAGGAGTGGCAAGCTCGACGAACTTGACCTCCACCGGTTCAGAGACAATCTCCTCCTCGTATTGTTCGACTGGTTGTTGTGCTTCGACTTCAGACATGGTTGATTGGAAAGTTTTTCACGCTTGAAAATTTTCAAATCCGCAAAAAATACAGTCACAAAACTCGAGTTTTTCGCACGCGCACGCCAGGATTTTTCTTATCCCTGGAATTGACTTTCTGGCCCAATTAGGAAGTCTAAAAACTGCCGGGGTTACCCGGTCTCTTGTCCCCCCTGCCTCTCGAACCCCTCAAACTACCCCCGTACGCCCATCACCCGCTCCGTGCAGCATCACCCAATTTTGTGTCACCTCCAGATAGCACTGAAATCTAGTCACTAGAATGTTCAGCATCCTGGACTCTGATAATTTCTATGCGGGGATGTGGGGTATAAATATTTCTGCTCCCCCCTCGTCCTGCCACATACCATGTCCAGCCTAACGTTCCAGCACGAGGCCCAATTGCCCCAGCTTCCGGTCCCTGCTCTGCTGGATACCGTGGACCAGGCGCTCAAGGCGCTGAAACCGCTCGTTTCGGCAGACGAGTACCGCCATCTTGAGGAAAAGTCGTTCGAGCTGCTCAACTCAGACATCGTTCAGCTCCTCCAGCAGCACTTGCTCGAAAGCTCCAAGCTCAACCACAATTATTTGGAATCTGAGGGAATTTCTCCCACCACGGCAAACGTGTACGGCGACCTCAGAGGCCACACGCTGCCAAGGAACCCCTTCTTCATTTTTGAGGACGATCCCCTCAAATCAATGCCCCCCACACAAGCTTTTCGGGCTTCGATCTTGGTCACCTCCGCGTTGCGCTTCATTGTGGCCCTGCGCCAGGACCTGCTCGCGCCAGACACAGCCCCAAAAAGCAAACAGCCGCTTTCCATGAGCTCCTACCATAATTTGTTCGGAACCACCATCGTGCCCTTCAACAACGGTGTCACTATAAAAAGATGTACCGACTACCAGAAAAGCAGGCACATCGTTGTGATGGCCAGATCGCAGTTCTACGTGCTTGAGGTGCTTTCCGAAGACCACCAAATCTGGTTCTCCAAGCACGAGCTCAAAGAAATCCTGCTTGAGATCATGGAGGACTCGAAAAAGGAAGACCAAGCAGACGTCTCGCGGCGCGCAATTGGCTCGTTCACTACCGAGCTCAAATCCACCTGGAAGCATGCCCGCTCCTGTCTGGAACGCTCGAACCAGGACGTTTTGGATGTGCTCGATAACGCGCTCTTTGTGGTGTCTCTGGACCACGAGGCCCCAACCAACGACCTGCAGAAAGTGCAGTACGTTTCGCATGGAACATCAAGAATCGACTCCAACGGGATCCAGGTTGGCACCTGTACTAATCGCTATTACGACAAGCTGAATTTGGTCATCACAGAAAACTCTGTCGCGGCCTGTGTGTATCCTGCTGCTTGCATGGATGGAACCACCGTGCTGCGGTTTGTGAGCGATATTTACACAGACTCGGTTTTGCGGCTAGCCAGGAAGATCAACGGTACAAACTACACGCTTTGGAAGAACGTCAACACCGTTCCGATTAACAGCCAGCTGGATAAGCCAACTTTCCAGAAGCTCGAGTTTGAGCTCACTCCTGAGCTTCGGTCAGGTCTCCACCTTGCAGAAACCCGTTTGGCAGACATCATCCACCAGCACGAGTACGTCTCCAGAACAGTGACAACTCTTGGAAACAGTGTCTTTGCCAACAAACTTAACCTCCCTGGAGACTCGATCGTTCAGCTGGCTATTCAGATTACGTACTATGCCCTTTACGGAAAATCTGCGCCAACACTCGAGCCCGTCAGCACTCGCAAATTCAGAGACGCTCGAACAGAGCCAATATGCATACAAAGCGAGGCTGTGCTTGCTCTTTGCCAGGCGTTCATCTCGCAGACATCAGGCTCCCAAAAATGGAACTTGCTTCTCGATGCCGTTCACGAGCACTCGCAGAAAATTCGCAACGCCTCTAGGGGTCAGGGATTCGAGCGGCATCTCAGCGCCCTGAGATCGGCGTTCATTCAGCTTGATCTTCTTCAGAAGCTGCATCCAAACGTTCCTAAATGCCAGACGCGTCAGGTGCCGCCGTTCTTGTTTGAGCCTGCTCTGGACAATTTGTACAAGCCAGAGCTGCTTGTCGCTAATTGCGGAAACCCTGCGCTGCACCTGTTTGGAGTCACCCCTGCCATCCCCACCGGTTTTGGAATTGGCTACATCATCAAGGATGACATGATCTCGATTGTGGCTTCGTCGCAATGGAGACAGACCGACAGGTTTTTGGAAACGTTGGAAAGTGTCTTTGACGAAATCAAGTCTCTATGGAAAGAGGAGGGAAGCGTTTCTGACAAATCCACGGAGCGCAGCAGGGCCAGAGAGTTGGAGTCGTACGCCGGTGCGATACCTAAATCGATGCTTACCAGTAACTACACGTTGAAAAGCTCCAACATTTTGGGTGGTTACGATTATTTTGACGTGAACGAGCTGGCAGCAAGGTCTGGGAACAGCACGGCCATGCACAGCAGCATGAGCACACGGTCCAACAGCGCGATGAACATCGATACAACGCGCGATCAGGGCGTGGGAAAGCGCATTCGCGTGAACGAGGACTAGTTACGATGCACTATTTGCGAATCGAGATGCGGGAAGTTGTAACCTAGGATCAGGTTTGCAGCCACAAGAAGCGTAGCGTTCAGAACAAAGCATACCCACAAGGCTCCGTGTTGGGCCATGATGCCGGTGAAGTTAGGCGAGATCGCTCTAACGGCTGTTTTCGCTAGATTCACAGTGCCCATCACTTTGGGGAGCTCCTCAGAGGTAGTCACAGACGAAAGAAGAATTTGTCGCGGTATCACGTCGAATGCGGTGAAAGTCTGGTTGAAAAGCAGGAAGACAGATGCCAGTGCTAGAGTTTTGCCAAACAGCGGAATGCAGAGCAGGGCCAGCCCGCAAGGGATCTGTGTCAGGATTGACGACTTGACTGGGCCGACGTGTTTGGCGAACCAGGCGGACGGAATTGCAGCGAGTGCTTGCAAAACGTCCAGCGACGAGAAGATGGCTCCGAGAGTTGCTGCTGGAGCGTCAAACTCGTATTTGAAATAGTATATGATCCATGCCAGAGGCATGAATCCAGCTCCAAACGAGTCGATCGTAAACGTGACGAGCAGCTTGAAGAGCGTTTTTTGCGTCGATGGAGAGAGCCCCGTTATGGTCTGATGCTCGACGGTCGATACGAGGAGCGGAGTCGCATCATCAGGCTCGTTCGATTCTTGAGGAAGGTTTTTATTGGCAACAGTTTCATAGGTTGGGATATAGGAGATTTCACATTTGGGCGACAGCAGTAGCATCGAAAGCATCTTCACCGCCGAGATGCCGCAGTAGATGATGAATGTGTATCTGTAGGCGTCTTTGTAGACGAAGTTGTATTTAGAAACCATCGACTGGACGAAAAGCCCGGCTCCCAGCGCCCCCAGAGACGATCCCGCGCAGGAGAGAACGGCGTGCACGGCAAAGACCTCGGGCCGGTGATCTGGTGGGGTCAGTTTTGCGAGAACGGCTTCCTCGATGGACTTGAACGGGCCCGTCTCGCTTCCTGACGGAGAAATCACACCTAACACCGAGGCGATGAGAAGCAGGCCGAAGCTATCCGTTCCTGACGCAAACACGGCGCCCGAGGCCAGCATCAGAAAGCTTCCTAGCACCATGATGCGGCGATTACCTATTTTGTTGGAGTTCCACACCAAAACGTACGACAGCAGCGTATCTCCTATCATGGTGAGCGACATGAACAGTCCGATCAATGACTCCTTTATGTGCAGCTCCTTGAGATACAAAGTCAGCACCTGGTTGGTCAGACTAAAAGATGCCATTCGCACAAATACCGAGAACCATAGCACTTTTGCATCTGAGCCCGCATGGCCGATGCTCTCTAGGAAGTGTACCATAATATATTGATAAAAAACTAAAAAAAATCAATTTATTTATTTAATTAAAGGGAGATCCCTAGTCACACGTCTAATCCGAATGAGCACCGATGGACAGCCATTGGCGAAGACCGACAGGGAGGCGACAAGGTCAAAGAGAATTGCTTGTGTCGAATGCCGACAGCAGAAGGCCAAGTGCGATGCCCACGAGACGGCCCCCGAACCCTGTACCAGATGCAAGCGGCGGAAGCTGCCGTGTGAGCTGAAATCAGACTACAAGAGAACTTACAAGCGCGCCAAAATAGCACAGCTAGAGAAAGAGTATGAGTATCTTCGACAACGGCTTCAAGGGGACATGAGGAATGTGGAATATGCTCCGCAGATCACGACGCTTCCTCCCCTGACTGCCGTTACCGCACCTCCTCCTGCTCCCCCGCCGCCACAGGTCGTACCCCCAGTGCTGCCGTTTGTGTCTCCATCCCCATCCCCAGCTACTGCATCCTCTACGGCACCAACTGGCCCAGCAGTGATACGGAACATGACCGAGTCCACCTTTTTCGGCACCAAAGGCCCCGATCCCGTTGCTGTTCCCCGAATACATATAGACCCGTCTCTATACACGTGCTCCCCAAAATCGCTCGGAGACGTTGATCTTTCGGAGGACCAGATCAGGGCTCTTTTTTACGAGTACGTCGAGCGCTACCACCCTATCCTGCCGGTTGTTGATGTCCACAAGGGTGTGGAAAAACTGTATAAATTGTGTCCAGTGCTTTTTTGGACCATCATGTACACCGGCTTGCGCAAACACCAGTCATCGGCCATCTCCAGAGAAGAAAGCAGTAGGCTATATTTCGCACTTTCGCCCATTCTCAAGTCCGCTTTGGCAGAGCTTGCAATTGCGCCAATCACAAGATATGCGCCTGCAGAGATGGAAGAGGCCATCCTCAACGTTTCCAGTGTTTTCTCTGTTCAGGCCTTGCTAATATACACTTACTGGCCCCCTCTGAAGTCCTCGTTGAGCGCTGACGCGAGCTGGAACTCGATAGGAATGGCCATTTTCCAGGCCATCAGAATTGGACTCCACGTGCCGGGCCATTCGTCTGACGGTATGAAGACAAACAACATGGACTTGTTGCAGGAGCAGGTGAGGACATGGCTATGCTGCAACGCGGTGTCTCAGATTATCGGTACCGCGTTTGGCTTTCCCAGTTTTGTCCAGCTCGACACGTCTTTGTTGATGTCGTGCAAGCCCAACACGGCGCTGGAAATTCCTGACTCGCTGAGGCAGATGGTTGAAATCCAGCTGTTTGAGGACTGTCTTGCCAAAACACTGAACAGTAATCCTTTGGACCCGCTGCGATTAGTGGATGCCTCAGAAAGACTGCCACTGTTGCAGCTACTACACAATCAGCTGGACCAGCTAGAGATTAAACTGCTGACGGACTTCGCCCATCCTGTCGATGACATGCTACGGATGAATCTTTACGCTGCCAGACTGCACATTACAACATACTATTTTCTGGACACTGATAGAATTGCACCTTTCGAGCTCACCAAAGGCATGACTAAAGCATATAACGCTGCGTTGGCCGTTATCATGCACTGCAAAGATGCTCAGGCCAGAGACAAGGGTTTCATGAAATACATGCCGGGGGTCCATGTCTTGACAATCTGGCAGGCTGCTTTCATCATCGCCAAGCTTGTGCACTCCTCGTACTCCTCGTTTGTGGACGTTGGGGCTGGAAAGGAGGCCTACCAAAGCGCAATTCATCTCGTCTTGAAGGCTTCGGTCGTCAAGCACGATATGGCTCACAGGTCGTCGGGAATCATGCGCTCGCTCTGGCCTCTATTCAAGACACTACATGAACGTGGAGACGAGTTCCAGAAAGTCACTGTGCGTTCGCGGATGGCTGCGAGCGTGTTTTTCGATTGTCTTTGGATTTTGCGCGAGAAGAGCGGTATGATCAAGCTGGCACCGCGCGAAGGCTCCTCGAACGTCGACAGCGGAGCAGCAGACGAAGAGTCGGAATCGGAGGGCTACGAAGACGCTGTGGACTCCATCTCGGAGTCTGACGGGACACCTGATGATCAGCAGATTGCCAAAGAAGTTCAAGACACGCCCGGGTCGTCTGTCTCGTCCCAGTCGCGGAGACGGAGAAAACAGAGAAGCTTGTCAAATACGTTGCATCCTGAATCGTCTGCCCGTAAAATTATCAAAACAATCCCGTTGGATCCCCAACCGATAGCTTTGAGCGATAAGCAGGACCGCAGCAGTGCTACTCCTAGCAGCATGGCGTCGCCATTCTTGTCACAGTACAAGTCGCCTCCAGAGCAGTCTAAAGTGCAACAGAAGAGTGCAAAGAAGACGCGCAAAACGAGCACGAGCGAGAACCGGGAGTACCCGCTGGATTCGTGGGAGATGGTGACGGACATCGACTCGGACTTCTTGTTCAAGAACATCGACACGGTGATGGATGTGTTTGGGTTCCATGCCGAGTGAAGTGTCTGAAGGACGATCGACGCGCCAGACTTTCTACGTAGACGTTGAAAAAATTGGTGAAAAAAAACCTTTAAAAAAAAGTAGATACAAACTATTTCAACATGCCGACCGAACTTCAGGACGTGGTTCCCGATATCGTGATTGGCGGTAACCAGGATGAGACCCACAATGACCAGTATGCCGGCCAGGAGGGTGACGACAGCGAAAACGAACAAGAAGCACAAAAGGGGAAAAAAGTGAGTTTTGTGACATCTGATGACGAGAAGGAACACGAGGACGAGCTTGAGAGACGCAGAAAGGAGTTTGAAGAAGGAGGCGGTCTTCCAGAGCAACCGGATAACCCAGACTTTTCGTCGCTGACTCCTTTGTCGCCAGAAATCATCAACAGACAGGCCACGATCAATATCGGTACCATTGGTCACGTCGCCCATGGAAAGAGTACCGTCGTCCGCGCCATTTCCGGAGTCCAGACTGTCAGGTTCAAAAACGAGCTGGAGAGAAATATTACCATCAAGTTGGGATACGCTAACGCCAAAATCTACAGATGTGACAATGAGGAGTGTCCGGAGCCAGGATGTTACCGTTCATTTGAGAGCAGCAAGGAGATTCATCCAAAGTGTGAAAGAGAAGGCTGCACAGGTAGATACCAGCTGGTGAGACATGTCTCGTTTGTTGACTGTCCAGGTCACGATATCTTGATGAGTACCATGTTGTCTGGAGCAGCCGTGATGGACGCCGCCTTGCTACTTATTGCAGGTAACGAGTCTTGTCCACAGCCGCAAACGTCTGAGCATTTGGCGGCCATTGAGATCATGAAGCTGAAGCACGTGATCATTCTACAAAACAAGGTTGACTTGATGAAGGAAGAGGCTGCTCTGGAGCACGAGAAGTCCATTTTAAAGTTCATCAAGGGCACGATCGCTGACGGCGCTCCAATCATTCCTATCTCTGCACAACTCAAATACAATATCGACGCTGTCAACATGTGCATGGTGAATTCGATCCCAGTCCCACTGAGAGACTTCTCTGCCCAGCCTCAGCTCATTGTGATCAGATCCTTTGATGTGAACAAGCCAGGATCTGAGATTGACGAGTTGAAGGGAGGTGTTGCTGGAGGATCTATTTTGACTGGTGTGTTCAAGATCGGAGACGAGATTGAGGTCAGACCAGGTATCGTCACTAAAGACGATAACGGAAAGATCCAGTGCAAACCTATATTCTCGAGCATTGTTTCGCTGTATGCTGAGAACAACGACCTGAAGTTTGCTGTTCCGGGAGGTCTGATTGGTGTGGGTACTAACATTGACCCTACTCTTTGTAGAGCAGACCGTCTGGTGGGCCAGGTCGTCGGATCCAAGGGACATCTTCCATCGGTTTTCACCGACATTGAGATCAACTACTTCCTGCTCAGAAGATTGCTGGGTGTCAAGACGGATGGCCAGAAACAGGCCCGTGTCAGAAAGCTTGAGGTCGACGACGTGCTGATGGTGAATATCGGATCTACTGCTACAGGAGCTAGAGTCGTGGCTGTCAAAGCAGACATGGCCAGATTGACCCTCACATCGCCGGCCTGTACCGAGATTAACGAGAAGATTGCTCTGTCTAGACGTATCGACAAGCACTTCAGACTGATTGGTTGGGCTACTATCAAGAAGGGAACCACGATAGATCCAGTTAATTAAGTATGAATAAAATACCTTTTGTTTATCATGTGTATTTAAAATTAATTATACATAAAAATAAATTTGTACAATCGTGTATCATTTAGTTTGTTTGCTGATCGATACAGGGAGCTCTCTGAGGATGTCGGACTCTAGAAATTTGGGCAGTGAATCTTTAGCCATCAGCTCAAAGGCATGGCTTTTCACCTCCTCGTAAAGCGGCATGATTCCTGCCAGTGACTCCAAAATGGGGGCAATCGAGTTATCTGTTGGGGATGGCGCCGGGGGGTCCACAAGCTTAATTCTTTGCAAGTCCAAGGTGAGCTGAGACGGGTCCTTTTTGCTTGAAGGGAGGTTTGTTTTAGGTGGGGGATTTGGAGCCTGGATCTCTGCATTCATTTTCACCTCTTTGGGAGCATGCTGCTCCGACATTATCATTTTGCGGCTAATATCTGTCCGAAGCCTGGAGTTGATATTCAGCTCGAAGGGAGCACCCTGTGCCAGATAAGCGGTGTAGATATTAAACGCGTCGCTAAGACAATCGGTGGATAGCTTGATCACAGCTGCGGAAATGGTAGCTTTGCGTTTTGCACGCAGAGGCGTCAGCAGGAGGAACATTTTCTCCCGCTCTTTTAGCTTGAGCAGCTTCTTGAGCGTCTTGAACTTTTTTTCCAGCAGCTGGATGTCATTGTACACCTCCAAATTCTCCACAGAAAATTCGTCCACCAGATGCGTGCGAAACTGGTATTTCATTCCTGGGTCCTCTAACACGTCTTTCAGAGAAATCTGCAACGTTGGCGACTGTTGCATCGGAACCTCTGGCTCCGACTCCTCGTCTGACGGCGTCGACATCTTGTCTGGTAACGTCCAATGAACCAGCTTCGTGCCCTCCTTGGTCAGGAAATAATAAGCGTTTCTACGAGGGATGAATTTGGAAGCATTAGGGAAGTCCTGACCATTCAATAAGTAGAACAGTCCCATGTTCCAGAGCAGTCCAGCAACTCTAACAGCCTCCTCGTGAGAAAATACGTCGGTGCAATCCAGCAGCCACTGCACCAGCGCTTTACCCGTAAAACAGGTGCCCAAACTTTTTTTGCTACCATCTGGCTTCTCGACTACCTTATCGTGAAAAAGACGGACACCCTTTGAAGACACGTAGTATTGAACATGTGAGTCTGAGTCGGGGTTGGTGAAAAACCTGTGATGGAAAGGCGAAACAGGGTCTTTCTCGATTTCTTGGACCTGGTGCTCTAGCTCTACTGGCTGGGCAGAGGCTCTTTTTTCGTTCAGGAACGCATAAAACAAATCCTGAGATGTCATTTCAAGCGAGCCAAATCCATTTGCGGCCCCGAAAGTTTCCTCGGTGTAGCTCCTTGATAAGTCTGGCAGCTCGTCAGGCGGCATGTTGGGCGACCAAAAATTTTTGGTTGGTCCCATCAGGTGCACAAATAGCACCTTATTCCAGTATTCGCTGTGCACGATGGCGCCTGTTCTGGAATTGCGTTCGAACGAGATCAGCTCCATAGAGTTTAAGTTACTTTTAAGAATCTGGGGAACATGATTGTGGCCTCGGATGCCGTATTTCAAGCAGAACGAGTTCAAAATAGCAACTCCCTTGGGCGTGGGCTGGAGAAGCACGCCAGACTTCAGTTTTGACCGGGTCTTGTCCTCAGGTGCGTGCAGGAGCCGTGCGTTCATGAACAGCTGGAGTAGATCTCTTGCTGTTTTAGCCTTGACCTCATAGGAAATGCTGATGCAGGTGGTTGTGTTTTCGAGATGGATCCTCAACCTTTGCATCGTTGCCAGGCCTGTTTCCAAGCTGAACGAGTACGGATAGTTGGCTTTGAAAGCCAGCTTGAGCAACCTGTGGTCTTTTTCGCGCTCAGCTTTCAACTTCAGGCAGTACAGAAGACATGAATATATATCCTTCAGATCCTTGACACTGATATCTCCACAAGGGATCGTATTGAAGCTCTTATTTACCACTCCTTGGACTTTCTTTGACTGTTCAGACATCAGTCGGAGACCAGAGATTTCGTCTGTTACCGAGCACAGAAGCACACGGGGCGTTCCTGCGTATACTTGATATTTATATCGTGGAGCTAAACTTGAAACATGCCGTCATCGAGCTTCGATCCCGCTATCGAGATAGCTGATTACAGAAAATATAATGCGTCGAAAAGTTTCAGATATTTGAAACAATTGTAGCCGTGCAGAGTGCATACGACAAGAATCAGTTTGCAAGCCAGGTCTTTGGATCAGTTGTCCGTTTCGATATTCCGTTAACCTTAAACGGACAATTAGGCGGAATAAAGATCTTCAGGACATTTGGAACTTCGAAAAAGCCAATCGTGCCTCCTTTGCTATTGTTGCTACAAAAGTATCTGCCAGGTTGTTTGCGAAGATTTCAAGTGCCCGCAGATGATCAATGTGATGAGCGCCCGCATGGTATTCGTGAATTAATTTCTCTGATAAATCTTACGACCGGAAGAGAAATCCAAAACAGACGGCATTTCAAATTTCTCTCACTGGACTACGCTGTTAATATCCACAAGTTGTATTTGAGTCGATGGTCTCCTATTGAGAATTGTTCTTTTTTTGTTCCATATTGACCAGATGTCTAGCCATCATTTGCGCCTTGAGCTCGGCTAGAGACCCTGGCCGACTCACCGCGACGTCGTAAGCGCTCTCCGATCTGATCACAGATCCAATTGACATGAATAGTCCAAAGGTGGCTGCTGAACCAAGGATGTACTGGCCCAGCGTGTTCATCACTCCGTTAGGTGCACCATGCCTTAAGATGGTCATTCCACCAAACATGAGTCCGGTGACAACTCCAACGGTGCTCTTAAGGTTAGATTTCTTATGTCTAGATACATACACCCATCATAAGTCCCATCTTGAACTTGTCAAAGTTCGAGGGCTGCTGTTGTTGATACTGTATGTTCTGAACCGGTGGCATTGATGATTAAAATTTTTTGTCGTGATTGGAAAAAATACGTCGATCGGCGCGTCTAGTACTCGTTCGCCTTTATCCGATCAACCTCGGCCTGCAGGCTCTTGAGACTGTTGAGAAGTTCAGACCCTTGGCCAAATCCTCCAGTAAAGTTTGGCGTCATGTTTTCGGCACTCACGTGGTGCTGGCGCTGCATATCAGTCAAGAAAGGCTTAGGCGGCAGAGACGGCTGTTCTTGTGTGGGACCTTCGGGAGCAAGTACTGGGGGTGGTGATGAGTTTTTGCGCGATCTTGGAGGAGGTGGTGGAGGTCTGAGCAACGAGGAACCTCTGTTTCTTGAAGGAGGTGGTGGAGGAGGCGTCGCGCGTGAATGGTCTGGCCCAGGACTGCCGGGCCCTTCCGAAAGTGCAGCTTCCAAAAACGTTGCGGCGCTGTCTGCGGACGTAGTTCCATTGCGCGTAAGTGGGGAGGAGACCCTGGGTTGTGAGCTGAACGGTAATGGCGACGAGTTTCCCCGTTCTCTTGGAGGCGGCAGGTTGTAGTGATTTCTCATCGACTTTGACACACTTCCCGTCAAATTCGGAGCAAGTGGTTGCAATGGGGGTGTTCCCATATCAGGAGATCCACCATTGACCTGCAAAGTAGGGACGCTAGACGGCGTACCATGAATGGAAACACTATCAATCGTAACATTCTGGAAATGATTGATAGACTCTTGCATGTCTTTCAATTCTTCCTCCTCCTCTTCGGTGTTTTGCTGTGGTGCTTGCTGCATACTCAGAGGGGAGGCTTGATTTTTCATCCGAGCTAGCAACTGGTCCATTGGCAAGGAAAGGTCAAGGCCAGATGTCTCGGGAGGCGTATCCGCAGAGGACACGGACATGTCGTCAGAAGGTGGAGGCTCAATGATCACCTGATCCGAGAACTTGACCTTTTTGCCCGACCGGCTTTTCTTCTTCGGTGAATTCGAAGGACGCTCTCCCGTGAGAATGAACTGCGTGAACGAGTCCAGGTCCAGTTTTTGGGGCGGCTGGGAACTAACTTCCGTCAGCTGTTCGTCTATCGAGCTTGTTTCGGAGTTGTCGATGCTTTCGTTTGGATCTTTCGTTCTTTTACGAGCCATGATTGAAATGGGCTTGGGAATGGACGCCTGTTCCTTTATTAGTGATCTTTTAAGAGGTTTGCCTTCTAGTGTGTGAGCCAACAATCTCAGCAATGCGTAAAACTGGCCAATATTCAGAGAATATGCTATTTTGCCAAATAGTTCTCTCAACTTGGTTTCAATGGTTTCGGAGATGCGAAAATTGGAAAGAAACTTAAACACATCGTCCAAAGTTATAGTCCTCTCGCCATGCTTTCGGGATAGTATATTGTTGTACCACCGGAGGTACGTTTTAGCTTCTTGTATAGAGAGATCGTTTGCTGTCAAGGACAACGCGACTGTGTTGTCATCTTCAACAACCAGGGTCTCTGTGCTTTTTGCAAGTGGGTGAGGGTTTCTTTTGCTTGCTGATTCCGTTCCTGCCATATTTGTAGGCGTGTATCCCAAACTGATGTTATCGTCGCTCTGCACTCTCCGGTCCATCCCAGATATATCCAAACGATTGAAAATGTCGGACATCTTGTCGGGCTCGAACAAAGCGTCGGCCGATGCATTCAAGTGAGCACCACGGTTTTTATAGGGTGAAGAATGTACTTGTGGTTGTGTTTGAGCAGTGGTAACTGAAGAACTTGATGGTGTGGGAGAGAATCCAAAGGAAACCGACGGATGCGTAAATTTCTCCGTATTTCCTGTATCGGCATTCATCCCTGGCATCGAAAGCCAATCAAATCCTTGCGACATCGTGGTGAGACCCTTTGATTTTTGATATTCTACTATGCGCAAGTGTATCGAAGGTGGCCTGTGTTGTCCTGCAGTATCTAGGTTTCAGTTTAGATTCTATGGTGGCTCTGGCTTCTAGTTCCAATCAAACGACTTGCACTGATGGATCATAATAATTCTCCGCTGTAAGGCCAGAAAGACAACTCTCTTTTGTCTAGGGTTCTTTTTTTGATCAACTATAAAAAACGTCGCGTCGCTCGATAAGAATTTAAATGTTGTCATGAGATTGGGCAAAGTCAAGGTGAAAAACACATCTGTGTTTAGCGATGATTCCGATCAGGACATCGAAGAAAGGCCAAGAGCTTATGTAAGGAAAGAAAAGTCGACTCCCGAGTCAGAGGAATTCCAATACGATGAAGTCTACGAAACTTTAAAGAAACCTGTCCAGCAGGCTCCAAAAGAGCCTCGAAAACCAAAGTACATAGATAAATTGCTCGAGAGCAAGAAGCTGCGAGAACTTGAGCGCTTAGAGCAGCAGCAGGAGAGAATTGAACGCCAGAACGAGCTAATGAAGAAAGACATGGAAACCACAGAGATCTTCGTTTCCGAGTCATACAAAAAGCATAGACAAGAGGTTGCTGATAAACTTGGCAAGCCACTCAACTTGGATTCAATCGCTAACCATCCTAGTACTACTGATGTGGCTGGAACGCCGGAGCCGACAGTACCGGCTCCAGCAAATGAAAGATTCTCGCGGTCTCTTCAAAAGGCCATACAAGAACTTATCACCTCAAAACTAACCCCTGACGATATAGAACAGTATCGCAAACGGTACTTTGAGAGAAAACGAAATTCACAATACGCGGTCGCTTCCTAGAAACCTATATAACTTCAAACGAATTGTCACGCCTGAACAATATGGTGCTTTGATTTGTAGGACGCAATATTGTCCAAATGAAAGTTGAAGTCGCTATCAAGCAATTCATTTGATAATTCGGGGTCTGTAATCTTCCGTGATCCTTTTCGGTTTCTTGTTGTCTTCGTGGCGCTAGAAGTTTTTGATCTTGATGGCTTCGATGATTTCTCTTTCCAGGAGACATCAAAATCAAGGTCTATATCATTAATAGCTTTTTCTGTAAGGGCTTCACCCATATCACCCAGAGTTGCACCGGATATCACAAAATTTTCAAAATCTCGCTGGTATTCTTCCATGAACTTCGTGTTGTTGCGTCTCAGGTTGCTTGTAAATAGCCTCCTAATTTTTTTAAACTCGTCAAGACTCGTGGCTATCTGGAGCTTAATCATAAGAGACTTATTTGGACCTTTCAGGCCCTGGTCAAGCAGGTCACTCGGTTTCACAATTTTGGGAACAGAGTACTGGCTCAGGTCCACCTCTTCAATGGATGCCAAAAACTCTTGGATTTCGGGCTTCTCCAGAAGATCCACAATCGTCAACGCTTCTCCCGGTGGAATTGCAGTTGGGTTTGAAGGCGTACAACAATCCAGATCAACTTCTTTTCTCAGAACATGATCAATGTCCACGGCAGAGAAAAAGGCGCAACTCTGGGGAACCTCGTCGATACCTAGCTGATGACAGAACATCGCACGTGTCCACAAGTTGGCTATTTGAAGGATCATTGCACACTTATACTTCTGCTCCTCTTTCACTATGTAGCGGATTTCATCGTGCACAGTGATGCACAGCCTTGCGTCCACTTTGTATCTTTTCAGTAGGTATTCCATGGATACCACTAGTAGATGCAAATAATCAACTCCTGAGGATTGGATTGCCCAGTTGATTCTCGAAGGAAGAAATGTGTTGGAATGAAGATTCTTCTTTTGCAATGCAGAAGTGATTCCAGCTCCGAGCACCGGAGTCTTTGGATGCTCTTGTTCTGCAATAGTTTCCAGTCTATTGAAAACAATGGATTCCGACCCACCAAACCACATTTTCCTTTTGTTGACCGTCTGACTTTGTCCCTTGGTAGCGGCATAGAGTTCAGATGCTGTTTTCCTGGCGTCCGCCTCCGAAATTGCTGGGTTGAACTTTTTCAACAGAGAGGTAGCAAATTTGACTCCCGCACCGTAGATACGACCGTAATTGAAAACCTTTGCGTCGTTTCTGGATATTCCTAGAATCTTTGCTGTTTTTGAGTGAAGATCCGTACCTTCACTTTTAGTACCTTCCAAAGTCATCCATCCAATCGCAGTTCCTCCGTGTATTTTGAAAACAGAGTCTCCAACCAAAGAAGCCACCCACAACTCTTCACTGTCAACGTCTGCTCCCACGAAACAGTAGCCCGGGGGCGACTGAATCATGGCCTTCAGCTCTGATCCGAGCCTCGATTTCTTAGCATTGGAAGCTGTGAGCCATGTGTTTTCAACTGCACGTCTAGTAATCGTTCCCATTGGAATGATTTGTGGAATAATCATTCCAATCTTGGAGTCAGTCGCATCTTTGCTGTAAACAACAAACTGGTTCATGATCCTCTCCCGAGAACTGATCCAATAGCTATTTCTAACGGCCAAATTTAGTGCATCTTTTGCAAGATCATACTCCGAGGACAAAATGCCCCGCTCGAAATAGCGCAAGAACGGTTTGGACATCAGTGTCGTCGTCCGAGATTCAGGTCCTTCCTCGTGAGGAACCTTGAAAAAAGATTTGATTTGCAACAGCTCTGGGAAGTCTGGATTCGAGGCCAATCCTTCCTCCACTATCTTAGCTGGCTCCAGATACGTGTAATTTTTCTTCTTGAACTTTTCCTCCTCGCCTTTATCAACGAGGAAGCACCACCCTTTGCTATCCAGCCAGTAAACTGGTTTTCCCTCCCAGGATAGTTTCAACAATAGCGGCGTCACCCTGGATTTGGGAGTAAGAGTCATGTTATCCTTGGAGAACAGTTTTTTGTACCATTCGGGATAGCCAGGCATCTTCTGTCTCTTATACGGAGTTCCCTTTTTCGTCAATTTGGGCGGAATTATGGTCCAATCTAGTTGTGATAGCCAAGGATCATTGAGCCATGGCTGCGAGGGATCATCTTTCAAAGACACAACCTGCTCGCACATCTTTTTTAGATTATTTTCAATTCTTTCGACGCTATCCTGATACATCTGCTCTGTCCGAGAGATGTACTTCTCCCAAGCTTCGTTCGTTGGAAGGAATGATTGTGAAATGTGTCTCAATGCTGCTAAACTAACAGGATGAGGGACCAGCTTTCTAAATTCTGGATACACTTTATGGAAGACCCTGTAGGTAGTCACCACGTCAGTGGCACAGTATTCCATTAGCTTTTGGAAATCGTCAATGACTTCTTGAGGATTGGTTGTCGAGAATTGATCTCTAGTTTCTTTTGTGATGTTTATGCCACAGTGATGGTGAGCAACATACTGCAACCCGTTTAAACTGCTAGTCCGCAACCATGGGTCGTCCTCGAGAAAGGAGCTTAGAGTTTCGTCCGCGTCCAGATTTGGGTTGTCTATGAGCTCTTTGAGAGACTCGGACTCCACCTCCTCTCTGAACTTCATCAGACTTCCCTCTTTTTGTTTTTCCTCGTCCTTCATCTTGTGATACTTCATCCATTTTCCTTTCTGACGGGAGCACATTCCACTCACTGCAACGTGCAAAGACATAGTATCCAGGTAAAAAGCTTTTGACTGCGTGATATCGTATTCCTCCAGTATGCGCGCTCTGTCATACGAAACATTATGTCCAATAATGATTTTTTCCTGATTTTGGACGTTCATGGGTATTAAATGGCCATCAAGGGTATCACTCTCGCCTGTCAAATAAGGAGAGACCCATCCATACCATGCTTGGTTTGAATAGGCAGTTGCAATAACGGGATATTTACTGATTTTGTACAAGACCTCGACATCGTAGATTAGCCCTTTTTCTAAGGGATAAGGGACAGCTTCAGGTTTCTTTCCGGGTGCGTATCTTATCCATCCACTTTTGAATAGCCATTTCTTTGGCATTGGTTGTACAGCGCGTCCTATGTTCATAATCGCTTTAATGATATCTTGGTAAGGCTCCAAACTGTCCATGCCTAGACGATAAAAATGCTCCGCGAGGTTCTGGCCTTGAAGTTTCGGAAGCTCGAACTTGATAGGTTCCGAGATTGAGCATTTCTTACCAAGAAGCTGATTGGCCCTAAGATGTTCGTGGGCAAGTTTGATTAGAAGTGCATTGTGCTTCGTGAGGCGCTCAGTCCCTCGTTTGTAGGAGTCAGGAAATAGCTGTTTCTGCAATTCTTCCGAGAGATGCTGAATCCCCACGGGATTGATTCTGGGTCGCACAGACAGTAGTCTTCTCTGTTGTAATCGGAACATTAGGAGGAAAAAGCACCAGGGCGCACTGTATATAGACTAGCACAGTTTCCTGTCTTGCTTTATTATTTGACCTATATTTTTTTATGTTGTGCATATGAGCCACGCACAGGTACCGCAATTTTTGTGCTGCTGTTTTTCAGATGCTGCTTAAATTCATAGTTGTCAAGAGTAATATATACATCTAGAAAACAGCGGCAATTGAATAATCTTGCTACCATGTCGTCTACCCGTGCACTTACAGAGGATCAGGTATGTAGACGAAACTGGCTCGTATTGTGCAGGCTAACAGATTAGGTCCAAGGTGAGCTCCTAAAGATGGAAGCATTCATCACCAAGGAAGCTGAAGAAAAGGCAAAGGAGATCAAGCTGAAGGCCGACGAGGAGTACGAGATTGAAAAGGCGTCAATTGTGCGGTCGGAGATTAACGCCATTGATTCCCAATACGAATCTAAATTCAAGAAAGCATCCTTGGCACAGCAAATCACCAAATCCACCATTGCCAACAAGACGAGACTAAAGATTCTCGCCACCAAGGAAGAGGCCCTGGATACTATTTTCAAGGGGGCCGAGGTTGCGCTCGTTGAGCTGTCACACGATTCCAGTAAATACGGAAACATCTTGAAATTACTCATTGAGGAAGGATTATATGCACTTATGGAACCAAAAGTCACCGTGAGGGTGAGAAAGTCGGACGTCGAGCTGGCCACGAAGGTCGGCGAAGAGGCAGCAAAGGAATTCAAAGAAAAATCCAACATCGATGTCTCCATTTCCATCGACGAATCGTCGTACTTGAACGACGACTCTGCTGGTGGCTGCATCATCATAAACGGAACGGGAAAGATCGAGGTCAACAACACACTCGAGGAAAGGCTTGCCTTGCTATCAAAGACCGCTCTTCCGGCTCTCAGGCTCGAGCTGTTCGGTGTCTCTCCTAGCAGAAAGTTCTTCGACTGAACATGTAGACGGATAAATATTGATAGTGTAGGTCTAGGGTGTGATAAATTTTATTAAAATTAGTCTTGATGAGGAGGTGGATAAGGCCAGTTTTCGGTGCCAGCACATCACCGGTGTTGCCGGGAATGCGGCTCTTGAATTCTGTGCACGCTACATGGTTTATATCGCGCTATTTTCCTGCCCCAAGGCCGCGCTTGGTCCCGATACAATCCAGATCCCGTCATTTTCAGAAAACCCCCCGAGACTTAGCGAAAGTGCTCAGGACCATACAGCCAGACTCTTCGGATGTGAGTTGCACCATTTTCGATGCGAGCGGAAACGTCGTGGCTGTTTCGAAGAGCTTTCCAAAGGCAAAATTTCTACACGAAAACGGACTGTTCCCGAGAGATTTGCGCAAGATCGACTCTTCAAACGTCGATGTGGCGCCGATCATTGCGGTTCGGTCTAATTGCATTTTAATCAACTTGTTGCATATCAAGGCATTGGTTAAGGCCGATTCTGTGCTGGTGTTCGATACAGCCAACTCGGAAGCCGCCTCGAAGCTAAGTTTATTTATGTACGACCTAGAGGCCAAACTGAAGGTCAAGACGGTCCACGGAACAACAAACGTCAATCAGTCTTACGAGTTTAGAGCGCTAGAGAGCATTCTTATTAACGTCATGGCAGTGCTCGAAACAGAACTACAACAGCATCTGAAAGTCTGTACCAAAATCCTTAACCACCTCGACACAGAGATCGACAGAGAAAAATTGAGAGACTTGCTGGTCAACTCCAAGAAACTCACAACCTTCTATCAGAAATCCTTGCTGATCAAAAACGTTCTTGACGAGTTGCTGGACAACGATGATGACTTGGAAAGCATGTATCTGAGCGAGCGCAGTGTCTACGGCGGGCCTTTCCGCCAAGAAGAGCTGAGAATCGACGGAAACGGCAGCAAGGACCACGAGTCTGTGAATATGTCTATGGACGAGCTCGACACAGGCGAAATCGAAATGCTTCTGGAGTCTTACTACAAGCAATGTGACGAGATAGTTCAACAAGCAGAGACGCTGATCAACGACATCAAATCGACCGAGGAGATCGTTAATATCATCCTAGACGCCAACCGCAATTCCCTGATGGTCTTTGAGCTCAAAATATCGATCTACACAATGGGAGCAACAGTCGCGACGCTGGCTCCAGCTCTCTATGGAATGAACCTCAAAAACTATCTGGAGGAGTCTGAGTTTGCTTTTGGAGCAGTGGTGTTCTTTAGCGTGGTTGCAGGAGCTGCCATGGTGGTCAACTCATTCCGTCATCTAAAAAATGTGCAGAAAATGAACATCACGACCACAGAGCAGACCAAAAAATTGGACGACAAGATCAGGGGCCAGCTTTTTGCGAGATTTAGAAAGCAAAAGGCTAGAAGCACCCCTGAGCAAAAGGACCTCATATGGAAATGGCTAACGAATGGGAGCCCGAAACCCAAATAAATGTATATATAAAGTTGCGGGCTGTGTAAAAATATTGTACGCAGTATAACTAAATTATTCGCTTGTGTACTAGATGCACCTACACTTGACCATTTAACCGTGCATTTCCCCTGGAGTATCGAATTAATTCGCGTCAATTTTACTTCTCAAATACCTCCAATTCAAAATTCGCTGAATTAGCCCTTTGGTGCATCTTGTTTGCACTACACATTGGCTCATTGATAAGATAAACGCGTTGGCAATTAATGAGTACCCACTCTCCTACTCCATCGATAAATAGCCAGTCGGGCATGCCAGCTCCTGCCATCAAAGAATGTGTCCCTTTGGACTCTCTTGACGCGCGTATATTGCAATATCGCTACGCCTCGCAGAAAATACTCAAGCTGATTGAGAACGTTAAATCCCTCGTCAAGATATGCTCCCAAGAAAAGAAGATTGCGTTCACAAAGTACATCATACTGCTCAACGGATGTATATTCAATGTCAATGATAATATATACAGGAGATCTGAGATCTTGATCAACGGCAACAAATTTAATCCTGCTCAATCTATAGAGCCTTCGCCCAACACTAATGCAGTAAGCTTCGACTGCATGGACAATTCCACCAATTACGATACTACCAGGCTGAGGTTGCCCACAGTGAGGCAAAGTATGGACACTTTAAAGCTTTTAGAGCTATTGTTAATCAACACTTTTGAGATATACGACCACAAGTGGAAAACTGCCATGAACGAGCGATCTACTCAGGAGGCGAAAAGAGACAAACCCCTTTTCACACTGGATGATATTGCAGACATGCTAGAGTTTCCAGAATTGCAGTCCATGCAGCTGTTGGTTGACGATGAGCCAGAAAATACTTCTGCCGATGCTAAAGCCGACATTTCTCTCCGCTCTTTTGACCTCAAAAGCCTCAACATTAACCTGGTTAATTTTGAGCTAGCCATGGGCCTATTCCGAAACCGCATTGACGCTCTTGGCAGGTGCAAGGTTAAAGAGAATCTACTCTCGTCGCCGCGTTACAAATTCATTCTTCAGAGATCGCTTCTGCTTCTTTTACACCTTGCTGACTTTTATGGTGTGGTTCGCAAGTTTGGAAAAATGCTATATCATAACAACAGTTTTTACTTTGAAAACTATGCGCGCACAAGTGACTCCCTTAGAGTGGTGATGAAGAACCTTGAAGTCTATTTTAATCAGTCAAAAAAGAACAGTTTACTATTGGCTGCCATAACGAGAATCACGAGAAACGGAAGTTTGATGGCGGTCCGTCCCGACAATATCCATGAGCTATATAAGGTCAGCGACGATACTTACAGCTTGCTGAGTACCATGATGCTTGTCTTGAAAAGATTTCAGGCGGAGTGGCAGATTATTATCGATTCCAATCGCTCTAATGAGTTCGACAAGGAGCAATTGAGACGGAAGCTCAAAGAACAGAAAATTCGAGAGCGAAACGAGCAAAAAAGATTGCAATTTAACGCCCAGCTTGACAGAAACATGGAGGCTATGCACATATCGCCCGAGAAGTTCAAGGCAGATATGGAAAAACAGTCAAGATTCCAGAAAGAGCTTTTCGACGATGCCATAGAAGCCCGACTAATCAAAGAGGCTGGTGTAAGAGATCAGGAACAACAAAAGGCAGAAGAGATGCAGCAGAAAGTTGGAGAACGTGAAAAACAGCTGCGCGAAGAGTTGAGGTCCGCCAGATCGTCTCCAAACTCTCTCTCCCGACAATCTTCCATCTCGCGGTCGCGGTCTTCCAGTCTGCAGAGCAATCAAGACGATGGTTCTCTTCGACGTTCGAAATCCACTTCGAGTAGACGAAATTCTCTACTGGTCACTCCCGAGATTCAGCGTACGATTCCAGAGCAGAATGAAAGTATGTCAGATCCTATCTCTCCGCTAGTTGTGTTTCAAACTCCAACTATCAACGCAACCACAGCTGGGGCTGGTGCATCCTCAAACTTATCTCCTCATCCACAGACAAATGTATCAAAGCCGCAGAACTCGCCTGTTGACCATGCCAGAGCAGCGGCATTGGCCTCTAAAAAAGTGACCCAGCCACCTCTGACCGCTCAGCAGAGGCTCCAACAGCATATAATGAAATCTTCGCAGAACGGACAAGCCATTGCGAAAAGAATCGAGCCAAAACCAAGGCCAAGGTCACTTTATGCTCACATGAATGGGTCTCCTGCAAAGTTTCTGGATGGGGCAAACTCCGGAAGCAGAAGCAACTCGCTGCAAAGCGATGCCGAATTCCCCACTAGTCCCTTAAACTCTCTAAAACAGAGCAACTTTCCTGATTTCCAGGTCCAAACAAACAGATCTCGATCTGGGTCATTGCAGGGTAGCGAGAATTTGCAGTCACCAGGGAACAGCGCGGCGGGACGCGCGTCTCCATCGAATTCGGTGTCACGTAGCAGGTCTGGCAGTTTGTCGCAAAGGCCAGTGAGCTCGATTCCAGAAGGTGACGAGACTACAAAAGATTCTGAGGCTGACAATACTGCTACACGAAACTCGCCTAGCAAAACAAGCGAGAATTCCTCGATAAAGACTCGTTCGCGAGCTTCCTCTACACGCCAAAATGGCCCACCGCAGAATTTGGGAAATGTGCTTGTTGTTCCTGAGGATTCGTCGCCTGAGCTCGATGCAAACGGGGAAGTGATCAAGAAAGTGCGTTTTACAGGAGTCCCCGAATATAGCGAGGACGAAGATGCTCCGACCCCACAGCAAATGCAAAAGCAAATGCGGCAAAAATGGTCATCATATAAGCCGCAGTTCCGCAACAGAACCAAGCAACTCAACTCCCAAGAGGGTCTCGCGTTCCGTAAGTTTCAGGGCTCCATGGTTGGAGGAGAATTTGAAGGTTTCAGCAAGGTCAACGCGAATAGCATTCCTGTGGAGGTGAACGGAAAATTTTCAATGATGAGTGTGATCAACTCTCCAGAGTCTCCTGGGCCTTCTCGAAAGTTGACCAAGCTCTTCAAACGACGTTGAGTTACGGTATTCTTCCTGTCTTATCGCGATGCGGCTCTAAAAAAAAAATTTTCCAATTGAATTAAAGTATTCAAACATGTCTATTGGGGTGAAGAGAAGATTCTCTGCCAGCTCGCGCACGACAAAAGACATGTACAACGTAATATCTCACAAATCGACCAACCCTGTGGATGATTCTGGGCTGTCGAAGTGTTTCCACAAAGTGAAGGCCCGGCTTTATTTGTCTCTCGCTCCGTGCCACATAGACTCGCCAATCGATGGAATCAAACAGCAGCATCTCGACCCCATGCTTATGACGTATGTCTCTTTTGCCAAAGGTGTTCTTCTGGGATACTACAATATTCAACTTGCCTCGGAAAATGTGGTGCAGGACGAAGACGGGACGGAAATTGCCGTTGCGAAGATCGCTAACGACAACCCATTCGCATTTGTGTGGTGTACGGCCGAGCTGTTGGTTTGGAGGCCCCAAGTGGGCGACGTGGTTGAAGGCTGGTCGTACATGCAATCGCAATCTCACATCGGTCTTCTCATCAACGATACCTTTAATGCTACGATCAAAAAAGGGGGAATTCCACCACGGTGGAGATACATACCGAATCAGGTGGATGAATACAACGCCGAAGGGGATGCCGAAAAGTTCGGCAAGTCTCTTGGTCAATGGGTGGATGAAAACGATGTTCCTGTTGAGGGAAAAATTCGCTTTACGATTAAAGCCTTGCACGCTGCAGGTAAAGTCGTTTCCATGGAGGGTACCTTGGTGAAGCCTGGCTCCGATAAGGAGAGCCAACCGGTTGTTAGAGACGGAAAGCACAAGAAATTTGAGGAGCCAGAGGATGTCATCGTGGACGACGAAGACAACACCGATGACAAGACTGAAGTTCCGCAGTACGACCAGGACGACGACGACGACGAAGATGAGGACAACAAGGTTGTTGGCGGCGATTTGAGTTCTAACGAAGAGTGATGTAATATAACACTAGCATTTTGGAAAATGTACCAGCCACATTTAACTGCCACATGTAGAATATCTGTATTTCACCAAAACAAAAAAATAAACATGAGCAACGAGTCGGCAGAGATGCTTGCTTCGCAGCTCCTCACGGAGCATCTTGGGTTTCAGCCTATATCTGTGATTGATGACATTATCAATATGATCAACGAAATTATGTATCGATGTACAGAGCAGTTGGAGCTGGCTTTGATCCAAAAAAAATTCGATAAAGAGGAGGAGGAAAAACAGCAGCAAGAGCGCGTCCTGCAGTCACGGAACGATGATGATGATGTGATAGTCAACGAGGAAGAAATGCGAGAACAAATAACGACGGGATTCAGCTACACCGTGGAAGAAATACAGAAGGGAACTGCCACTCTAGAATCTTTGATGGAGCATGTGATCAACAAGAATTCTGACAAATTTGAGGTGTACGCGATGAGAAATATACTGAATATACCGGAGGACCTTGTTGCTGGGGGGTTTGTGCGCTTGAAACACCATCGTGGGATGGAAATACGCGAAAATATATCCGAGGAAGCACAAAAATTGGATTCTGAGTACGAGCGGCTTGTGCGCGAGCTGGAAACTGAAATTGTCGTCAATCGGGTTTTGAACCAAATGCTGAATAAGATCAGTCGCTTGCTGGACTACTCGAAGAAGCTCAAAGCAGAGCTATCTTTTCTTGACCTGAAATCTGAGGAGGCTTTGAACGGCGAAACCGGAGCCATCCTCGAGAAATTAGACCCTCTCAAGGAAACCTACAAGTTTCTGATTAACGAAGTGAAGTACGTGTATGACAAAGTGGAGTCCATGAAGGAAGTACTGAACGATCCAAAAATAGCGGCATTTGATCACACTGAGGAAGATAGGTACTTGAATGGACGCATCAAGGGAATCCTCGAAGAGTTGGGCTTTGCCAAAGCCGAGAAGGGTTCTGACTCCAGTTCTCAAGTGCAGCTGGATCTTGTGCAAAAACTGAACAGTATCTTGGATAAGGAGTTACAGTGACACGACAGAGAAATTGTTGTATTTTGGGGTTGATGGATTGAGAAGAAAGAAGAGTCATTTAGATGTTCTGACTGCACCTAGTGGTTGCAGAAACATCTCTGTTACAGACCTCAACCGATCTGAGAATTTGAACGCAGATGTATCATAAATGTATATTAGAATTATAATAACTACGGATAATTAATGTCAAAGACTAGTATCTGGAGCAACTATCTCAAACACGATAGCATAACACATCGCTGGCAAACAAGCAAGCAACGGCGCACGTGCACCCGAGATACTCTTTAAGTAAACGGCGATGGCAAAGACCAAACAGTCGTTAGCCACCGTCTACCGTAGCTAATTGGCAAAATCAACATTTCATTGTCAAATGTACATAATTGGAGCCTTTTTGGACAAGCAAAAACTAGACATCAACCTTTGCGAAGCGATGCAAACACACACGTAATAATAACATCATGTTGGCCATAGTCGTTGATCACCCATATATACAGATGCATCTCGCAGTTTTCTTACAAAGCCTTTCTCACGAAGTGAACAGCAGTTGGAACAAGCCACAGGCCGACAGCAATGACAGCCGCTAGCTTGAAAGTGGCCTCGTTTTGCATTTGCTTGAACTTCTTAGCGTCTTCTTCGGAAAATCCATCCATGGTGAAATAAAAGTTTTATTAAAAAATTATCTGTGCACGGTTTTCTTTAATAAAAAATATGGACGAAGGAGACGAGACCAATCAGTTAACACCTTCCGCCGGCGAGTCCCCTGTTGCTCCTGTGGAGGCCCCAGAAGGTACCAGTCAAGAGGCTCCAGATCTGGAGGAGGATATTAGCAAGCTCGAAGCGCACAAGCGCGATCGTAGTGAGGAGGCGGAAACAGAGAAGAGACCGAAAAACAAAAAGCTCAAGCGCACCAAGGGCGCACCACAAGAGGACACCGAAGTCGCCGCGCAAGAAGAAATTGAGGAGGAGGATGAACAGACAAGGAAAAGGAGAGAGTTCGAAGAGAAGTTTGCTGCTGTGCTCAGGAAACCTAACAAGCGCAAGAAGAACGACGAGGTGGATCTGGAGGCGATGCAAGACGAAGCCATTGCCCACTTAAAGAACATGATGAAAGACGCCGCAGAGTTAGACATCGACTGTGTCAACAATAAGCGTCCGGCCACGCACAAACTTAAACTGCTACCGCAAGTCAAGGATACTCTTTTAAAATCGAACTTGTACGACTCAATTCTCGATAACAACTTATTGGAGGCTGTGCGAATCTGGCTCGAACCGCTTCCTGATGCTTCGCTCCCCGCATTCGAAATCCAGAAGACTCTCTTTAGCGAGCTTACAAAGCTCCCAATCAAAACGATCCACCTCAGAGAGTCGGGTCTGGGTAAAGTGATGCTATTCTATCAACGGTCAAAAAAAGTGGACCCGTCGCTGAAACGAACGGCAGAAAAGCTCATTGGTGACTGGACCAGACCGATCATGGGCAGATCAGACAATTACAGAGCAAAGAAAGTGCAGACCGTCACTGTGGATGTGGATAGATTGCAGAGCATGTCTCCAACGCCAAAACCACAGCAACCTGTTCGCAAGTCTCTTTACCAGGAGAGTGCAGACAGAAGAAAGCGTGCTGCGGCACCAGAGGCCCGTACCAGTGTCTACACTGTGGCGCCTCAGGTGAATTTGAATTCCATCGGCCAGCAAAAAAACAGCGCTGCTGCAATGGGCGTTGGATCATCTTTGAGCAGAGACGAGAGATTCAAAAAACTGAACCAGAGACTTGTGATGATGAGCCAGAAAAAAAAGAGCACCAAGAAGGGAGGTGTCTCTATCGAAGGCCGCGGCTTGGCTATGTAACTATAATATACTGCCTCTACAATCATGTCTGTACCAGTTTTTATTATGTCTTATTGCTCTTCGTACCTAAGATCTTGGCTTTTCCTTCTTCTCCTTCCAGAGAGCCAACAAGGAGACACCAGCAACCTTGACGACCTTGAATCTGACACCTGGAATATCACCCTTGGCCTTACCTCTTCTACCGAAACCAGCAAGGAGGACTTCATCGTTCTCGTCCACGAAGTTCAAACAACCGTCGTTTGGAACGAAAGCAGTGACCTTCTTACCGTTCTTGATCAGCTGCACTCTGACACACTTTCTGATGGCGGAGTTTGGTTGCTTGGACTCAATACCCAACTTCTCAAGAACAATACCCTTGGCGTGGGAAGATCCACCGAATGGGGAGGACTTGTAAGCAGTTCCTAACAGTCTGGACTTGTATTGTTTGTCTGCCCACTTGTTGTTTCTTCTGTGCACTCTCAGCTTTCTGGCGGAGTTGAGTCCTCTAGGCTTTCCTTTTCCCATGATTGAAGTTAGTGATAGAGTTGCAAATTTTCAAAAAAATTATTTAACTGGGTTCCACGGTACTAGATCAGCCCTACCAGAAGTCACGTGTAAAAATAATCCAAAAAGTAGGCCTGTGTTACAGGTTGATGCCAGTTCACACCCTTGCACCGCAGATACGGAACGGCATAGGGCATTGACCAGTTGTAGCTTCTGCCCAGTACAGGCTCGCAATTCTCTCACCGGCTCGGCCGTCAATCACCTTGTTGCTTCAGATAACTCAGCATAGCATTAAAGGTTACGTGTGCAAGACTTCGGCTTTGGATTAATATTATCGCTTGATTCAGTCGCGTCGATCGGCCCTTTCACATTAAATCAATGTCTGCCACACAACAGTTGATAGCGCACTATCTCAAGACCAACAAGCTCACACGTACTTTGGAGGCGTTTGAGCTGGAGCTCAATAAGAAGTTCGACTGTTCAGTCGAGGAATCCTTGGAGACAATTCTGAAGGATAGACTTGCCTATCTGTCGTTGGAGAAACCAGACTCCGAGAAAACAGAATCTCTATGGACCGTGGATGCGCCAAAAAACCACGAAACGCTGGAACTGGGCACTTTAAAGTCTCTTGTGATATCCTCATCATTTACAAAGCTAAAGATTGGCTCAAAACGTGTGTCTTTGGGTCTCTTTGTCACCAATAACAAACAGGTCCACTTTTTCGATTTGGAGATGCGCAGAAACCTGTTAGTCAAGAACGATCTGCATGGATCAACGGCAACAAAACTTGTGACAGGAATAGATGGCAGTGATATCATTCTATCTTGCGGAATGGAAGGGAAACTAAGGGTCTGGAGAGCTAATTACGACAACGATCTTGAGCTGGAGCTTTTGAGTGAAGAACAAATACACAAGAGGCTTGTTCTCCAGATGAAGTTCGAGAGAATGGACGCAAAGACAGGATTCTTAGTCTCCACTGGATGGGATTCTAAACTGGTGGCCACCAAAGTCAATCTTCAGAATGGGACCACAGAGAAACTAAACGAGGTGAGTTTGCTTACGAGAGCTAGCTGTCTGCTCATCACCGCTGACCCGAGCGATTTTCCTATAATTCTCGTGGGACGCACAGATACGTCGATGGTTGGAGTGTACACCATCCACGATCGCATTTTTGAGATTGGACGATTGGCACTGAACGACTCTGAGTTTTCAAGCCATTCATTTCATCCTATGGCATTTGCAAAAATTGAGAATGGTAGCGTGGTAGCAGCTACCAATCATACCCCCTACATGAGATTGATTACTTTTAGGATGCCAACGATTGCTGACCTCATAGGGGTCGAGGAGACTCAAGTGGGGGCGAAAATTGCGGCGGCGAGCGTACTAGCTACAAATAGCCAGTCTTTCCAGACGGACGTCACGATCCAGCGAAACATCATCATTTCCAATTTTAATTCAATGTCGCCCCAAGACAAGTTTTCTGACCCCATTGTGAACACAAGACCCCACAAAGATGGGATCTGGATATTTGGAGACGACGGTGTCGTCAGAGGGTTTGACGTGGGAGCAGGGTCTGTGGTTGAGGAGCTGAAGACGCACGAGGGCCGGATCAAATCTGCCTTTGTGGCCGAGGTGTGCGACACAGAGACCATTGTAAGCTGTGGTGCCGTTGATAGGGTTGCCAGTATTTGGCAATAGTGCCCATGCGACTTACGGGTACTCGCATTTTTTTCTGTTCCCAAATCTCAATAGAACAGAAAATGATCTTAGAGATATAAATATTTATTGATAAGGAGCATTGATGTAGATCCTCATGTATTCGGGGAAGGTGTTCTCCGGTATGGAGCTGGCGATCATACGGGACATCTTCGAGAAGGAGGTGGTTGAAAACGACGCATTTCTCTCTCGGCCGGACATTTTATTAAGCCCCTTAGCTGGAGACCTGGTAGCAGTCAATCCGAGTGATATCACCAGTGATGCGTGGATCGATAACGACCAGCACACAGACATAACACTGGTGAACAGCCCGAACATACCACTGTTTGATGCGCTGTTCGACAACGATGACATGGTGGATGAGCAGCTGGAAGAACTCAATGGTGGCAGTTCGTTTCGAAACTCTTCAGAGCTGGTACATTCGCAAGCTTTGGAGGATTACATGCCGACTCCAGAGAACTCATATTCGTATACCTCCGAGAAGGCCGACATTACGGACTTGTTGCTAGAGATGCCAGACAGCTCTGAATCGCCCGAGTCAAGAAGAATGTCATTTTTGGAAAGTGATAAGCTAACCGAATCGCAACCAAAACGCAGAAGATTTAGCCAAGCAAGTACAGCGGGCCTGGAAAGCGAAATGCTAAAGAGAAGAGTCAGAAAGAGCACACTTGTGAACGATTTCATCAGCGTATTTGAAAAAGGCGGACCTGAATACACGGAAATGATCAACATGCATCTTATTCCTTATTGCTCCCTAAACGAGCTTAATCCAGAGCTGTTTGTGGGCCACCTTCAATACAAAAAAGATCATCCGTGGGCATATGAGATCAACAAGAAGTCAAATATCACCAGCAACCAGCTGGTTCGGTTTGCCAATAATGATAATGTGAATTTATATGAGCCACGGGTGTTCAGGTATCTGCGTACGAAGAACACTGGCAAAAGACACAAAAGAGAAGGACTGTGTTCATTCTGCAAGCCAACAAAACAAGACTTCCACAACGACTTTAATAGTCTATTCTTTGACCTTAACTCGTCAGGATATTTACACCATCTGACAAAGCAGCACGGCGTCTTTAGCAACGGCTCAGAAATGCCGTTACCAAAGCTGATTGGATTGCACCCAGAGCTGAAGAGCAACAAGAACTCAGCTAAAATCGGCCATGTATACGTCGCTGTGTGTCCAATATGTAACGAGAAAGTTAAGGTGCAAGATTTGAGTCCCGAGAGCCAGGTCTCGGGAAATCGGTTTTTGGCATACTTTAGACACATGCTAACGCACAATGTGAAGAAAAACAGCGGAAAGGGGAGGTGAGTCCCTAAAACACTATTTCATTGGGAAGCACATTGAACTTTCTTCCGTCGGCACGCACAGACTCTCGGTTTATATCCCGTTTCAAAGCCTTCCGCATATCAAAAGCATCAATCTCGTCGTCGATTTTGTTTCTGTTCATTTTGCTCTCGTAGTCACCATAATAGCCCACAACCCGACGGTAAACTGAGTAGCCCAGCTTTTCATAGAGCACAATTGCCAGCTTATTGTTGCACCGCACAAAGAGATCTATGAAGTATACTTCATACGGCTCGTTCTCTGTAAATCGTTCTAGCGAAGAGCATAATGTTGAGGCAAGTCCAATCCGTCTATAGTTTGGGTTGACGGTGACAGCACTGATATGAGCGTGCCAATCTTTACCCTTACCCTCTGTTTTAGCCAACATGTAGCCCTGCACGTTGTTGGTTGGGGAAACTATCTTATAGAAAAGCGAAGGCCATTCTGACAGGTATTGTAAATAGAAATAAAGATAGAAATTCTCAGTGAGTGGATCTAGGTTGATCGAATTGAGCTCAAAAAGATCAGTGGCTGAGAATGGTCTGATAGAACTCATACCGAGATCGATGAATTTTTTAGTGATTTTCCACTAATTTACTTGTACAGGTTTTATTACTTATGCCCATTCAGGGTTTTTGAACCCCCCACGGCCCCCTCTTCCTCTTCCACGACCTCTTCCGCGGCCTCTGTAGCCTCCTCTGCCTCTGTTGTGCCTAAGAGAGGATTGTCCGAACGTGTCCAAGTTGAGTTTTTTCTCTTCCTGCCATCTCATTCTATCGGAAGCTGATTGTTCCGTGGAAGACGAGATGTTATCAAAAAAGGAAGACTTCTTGTTGTAGAACGCCGATTCGGCATTTTCCAGCTCGGCCTCCTTCTCAAACTTGGCATTGTTGGACTCAAAATCAAAGTCATCTCCAATTGGAGCTGGTGGCTTTTTCGAGCTCTGGGACTGCTTGGCAGCGTTCTTTTGCTCTTCAGAGTTAGAGGATTCAGCCGACTCCTTAATCGAATTTTTGTTTCCTATAGGCTGTGGAGACTTGGGTTCTGCCAGTTTCTCAGTGGGAGCGCGATCCTGTTCTGCTGCCTGCTGGACGTGTTGTGTCTGTTGCTGCTGAGCTGCAGGCTGCAGTGATGGCTGTGCCTGCGGTGCGGCAAAATGCGAGACTGGCTGTGGAATTTGCGGCACAGGGGACTGCATTGGAGCGGGCTGCCCGGGCTGAGGACCAGGACTTTGGAATGGCATCTGGCCCTGAGGAAAGAAGTTCGCAGGATTAAACACAGGAATCGGTTCAGGAACAACCTGTTCAATTGGAACTTCCAGAATATTGAGTGTTTTGACATCGGGTCCACTTAACATGATATGCTCGTAAATTTGCGTCGAGGGATAGACAATTCTACTTGGATCAAGGATTCTACCTTCGGTTCCAAAAACCCTCACACTTTTCAAGGCAATGGTACCCTTCGTGCCATCAATACTCTCAAGAATTCCAACATATCTTATATCTGCTTGAGAAATCAGGGAGATAGTCTTTCCAATGTATTGCGACATGACGTTGGAAAAATAAGATTTGAGATTTTACATTTATTTGTTTTTCTATCGTAAATTATACATTTTACCATCTTCCGGTTCCAAAATCGTAGCTAGTTTGTCCGCCGCCAACAACATCGCCATATGTCGTACCATTGGCTCCACCGTATACTGTCTGTCCTGCGTATGCTGTGGCCCCGTTGGCTTGTGCCTGGAGCTGTTGTTGGTCTAATTTGTCAAGTTCGAAGACAATGTTGGCTATTTTCTTTTGCAACTCGATACAGCCTTTGGAAAACACTTCATTCGGTTTCAGCGGTCCAGTCGTTTCCAGGTTCACGTAGAATCGATTAGGTTTTGCGTTGTAGTCGAACCTTTCACCGGGAACAGGAGGCTCCTCCCATTCGCAGTTGGCGCTTTTAGGCCACTCATCCTCCACACTTTCTTCAAACCAATAGTCTGTATGTTTGAGCTTATTCCAAGGGTCATACTCAAATCCTATAGCAGCGCACGGAGACCATTTGGCATGCTCTTTGGCAATTCCTTTCTTGGCCACGCATCTGACATGCAGCTGTTGATGTTTCTTGAGTTTGCACAGCAAAACCCCCTTTCTTTCTGGATCCCTCACCACCGGGGCACCCAGGTTCAAACCGGTGTTCGGGCTAACGATCGTGAGATGACTCGAGTAGACATTCATGGTTTCGTCGGAGTCACAGTGGGCCCTCAACTCCAGTGTGACAGAGCACTTTTCGCAGTGATCTTCACACGTACAATCTCTTGTGTACTTCAGTTGATCAATATCCTCGCTGTCCAAAGGCACGAGACCCAGTCTGTGTGAAAGAAACTCATCTGCCAGAACACTGGTGTTCACCAAAATTTCCACCAAATCGATCGCCAACGTCGGCACCTCCGCCAGCATCGTTCTCCGCAAGGAGTTTGCCAAAGACAGATCAACATCACCTAAAATGAAGTCGACCTCGTCTCGGCCTGCCTTCCGAATAGTCACCTGTGGCTCTTCAGACATGGTGGTGAATTTAAGTTTTTTTTTTGTTTTTCGCCACAAATAAAATATCTAAAGCACACCGAAAACCCATCATCACCTCTTCATATGGCCCAGAAGATTAATATCCCAGACTTGCGCTTCGAGCAGGTCTTCAGAAGGAACCTCCTCAATTACGCCAAGCAACGCAAGGGAGCGCAGACCACAGACGCCGACCCTCTTCCCATTATCACTCCATCGCTCGTTCTCTATACGATCATTAAGGACCAGATGCTGATGCCTTTTGTCCAGGGCTTTGCTGTCGCGTTTGGTCTCATGTTGCTGCGTCCTTGGATCCGCAAAACATATGAGGCTGGCAGGCTGGTGGGTGTTCGACTAGTGACAAGCATAGGTAACGTTACAGCAACTTTAAGACCGTACAAATGATGTCTATTCTATTTATCGAGGTTCTTGTTCCAAGCGCAGCACTCTTCAAACTTCACCAAATTGCCTCCAAAGAGGTCAAGAGAGCTGCCATATGCCAAGTCCACCTTTCCGCTGCTCAGTCTGTCCACCAGGGCCAGATCTTTAATGGACTTTGCTCCACCAGCATAGACAACGGGAATAGGCGACCACTCGCCAAGTTTCTGGACCAACTGCTGATCAATTCCATTACAGAGCCCCTCCACATCAGCGGCATGCACCAAGAATTCTGAACAGTATTGGCTCAGGTCCTCAAACAGTTTCTTGGTCAGCACGGTCTTAGTCAAGGTCTGCCATTTATTCATAGCTACCACCCACGACGTTTCCCCTTGGCGCTCCACTTTGCGGCAGCTCAAGTCCACAACAAGCCTTTCAGGGCCAATAAGTGCGCTCAACTCTTTCAATCGGTTCCAGTCCAGTTCTTGATCAGGGAACAACCACGAAGTAACAATCACCTTGGACGCTCCGCTATCAATCCAATATTTAGCGTTTGAGATGTTGATTCCTCCACCAATTTGTAATTGACCGGGCCAGGCTTGAATAGCCTCCAAAGCAGCCTTATCGTTGCTTTCAAGAGATCCAAGCTTGATCACATGCGTGCGTACAATGTTGTGTTTCTTGTATATTTGGGCATAGTATGAGGTGGAATGCTCACTGATGAAGTTCGTTGAAACCAGGTCCTCATTTTCCTTATCGTCTTTCTCGAGTGTTCCGCCTACAATTTGTTTGACCTTTCCACCGTGGATATCGATGCACCCAACGTATCTAGTCATGAAAAATAAATTGAAAAAAAAATACAAAAAAATTATTTAATCATGGCTCCCTTAGTTGTTAAGTTTGAGGACAAATATACCCCAACCAAAGCCGAACCAACGAAAGAGGACAAGAAAGTTTTGAAGAGCGGTAGGCCGATTACACTAGAAGAGTTAAGACGCAAGAAAAAAGCTCAAGAGGAACAGCTTCTCAAGGGGTCAAAGTCTAAAAACGATGAAGAGGACCTAAAAAACGATATTGCACTGGAAAGATTACTGAGCGAATCACATATACTTGCAGATACAAGAGGAAGTATATACTCGGGAGCGGATCTCACACTTCAGACTCTGGACCATGAGAACCCAGTGGGGAACGCCCGTGTAAGAGCTCTAAACAGTCGAATCCAAAAAGTGGCGGAGGTCAATGGGAACGGTCGGAAGAAACTTGAGAAAATGCCGATGGAGATGCGAAAAGGAATGATTAAAGCCCACATGCGGAAGATCGAAAAGTATGAACGTGAGGCAAAGGATGCTGGAATTGTGCTAGCAAAGAAAAAGAAAGAAGAATTCAGACAGCTGGGTGATCGTGGGGTCACCTCTATCAGCACAAGAATTGGAAAGGGTGTTAAGAAGGACAAAAGGATTAGAGATCGTGGCCTGAAAATTAATACCGTGGGAAAATCGACCAGAAATGGATTGATCCTTTCGCAGAAGGACATTGACAAAATTAATAGGGGACGCTAGAACGGTTTTTATTATATTAATTTGATTACGGTTATTCATCCCAGTCCAGTCTGGCTTCTCTGAGCTTGGTGATCTTGTTGACCAGCTGAACTAGTTGCAACCGCTCGGCAATTTTGGATGCCGCATGCAAAGCTCTCTCATCACGTAGCTTACTGGCCAGATAAATAGCGTCGTGGAGGTTGCTGTCGTTACAGGACTGTCCGAACTGTTTCAGGAGCGCTGCATCGTATTTGACACTGATGTCAGCCAAACGCTCCTGTGCGGTCTCGTCGACCACGTCGTCGTTCTGTATTGCGTCATTGAGCAATTCTCCCAAGGTGATATGTCGCACCAGCTCCTCTTCCGGATCTTCTTCCTCTTCTTCCCCGGTAATTGGAAGTTTCACCGGGATTCCTAAAGGCATGGCAAGCGGGAACGAAGGGTATTCCGACCCTCTTGTGACTATGGAGTTGAAATGGTTCTTCAAGAGTCCCAATGGCCAGCATTTGATATCGTCACCAAGAGCCAGCTTTCTGACCCCTGCAGCGGTGTCCAAAAGAGGAATCCAGGAAGCCTGCAGCGGATCCCTCCATCTGGTTAGCACCAGAAGAAAATCGTCAGATCCAACGACACAAGGATCACCGTCAAGAGAGAAGAACACTCCTTTTAGGGGATAGGATGAGTACGACCCGCCAGCTAGGGCTAATGGAAGATGCTCGTTTCGTTGAAAGTATTTCCCGTCGAGGTCTTGCACATTAAAGTTCAGCGATCCCGAATTGTAAGTCACGGTAAAGAGATACTTCTCGCTGTTGACACAAGCGACCACGGGGGCTGTTTTTTCGATTCTTTCGATCCGGCCGAACAAGCTGTATTTGCGAACAAAACCAAAAGAAGTAGCCACATATATCGAGTTCTTGCTGAGTGTCACGCTGGAAACAAACTCGCCGGGCTGCAGAAGAAGCGTCCTGATCCAGGTATCCTGCTGGTCATGTGACTTGTACATTATGGTGGATTTTTTTCCTTTGGTAGCAGAAGCGAGGAGAATGCCGTCTTCGGTAATGGAAGCCACGTTGAACCCATATAGATCCTTAAAGTGATACTCGTTATGCAGCCCTTTATCGAAAAAGCTGACTGTGACTGTGTTGTAACTCTCCAATTTGACCGTCCAAGCGTATCCAACAGAGTTCATGGTCAAGTATTTCCGGTTACCGTTCCACGGCGTTCCGCCTGGGGAATAAGGCTGTATTTCAAACAGCGGCCTATAAGCAGGCTCGTCAACGACCACCTTGCGGTGCTTGATGGGCTGGTTTGTGTCTAGAGAGCGTTTCTTCTCGACGTAACCTGAGCCATCGTCATCCACAATGAAGTCGTCTTCTGGTGCCTCGTCGAACAGCCCGGTCACTTCGCTCTCAGACCCGCTTTCGGCTTCGTCGGCAACCACGTTTCCCGCCCTTGTGCTGGTTTCCTCTATTGGCACAACCGATTCGTATCTGATGATGTGACCATGATTCGTTCCAACAACAATCTCAAAGTCGTTGTCGCCACGGCCCCAGGACAATGAGCAGCCATTTTCCGGCAGACTATACACCTTAACAGATTTTCTGGAAGCTGTTTCCCAAATAATGAGTTTTCTGTCTTGATCAAGAGAAGCCAAATGGGCACCGTTGGGGGACCACTTCAAATCGACTAGCGACTTCTCGTGCACTTGTCCCTTGAACTTAAACTCCAACAAGGAGAAATCAGCGCGGTCGTACACCTCGATCTCCTTGTCCTTCGTGGGAATTGCAATCAGATCTCCATCTGGATGCCAATCACAGCCACACACGCCAGCCACGTTCTTGGGTTCCGGCGGGTGGGTCCCAAACGCGTCGTCCATATCAAGATCATCCTCGTCCTCGTCATCCAAAAGCTTGTGTTTCTCGGTAATATTGGTGTAGACATGTTTTTTCACCGGCTCGGTGGTGGAATACGCGTATATTGAAACGTCTCCGTTGGAAAGAGACACAGCTGCCAGATCGCCAATGTTGTTGTACCCAATCGCAGTAACCTGGTCGCCAGTATTGACAGATTTGATGCTTGCATCGGCACCAAGAGCCACCAGTTTCAACTCACCGTCAGAACCACCGCAGAGCACCATCGAGCCCCCGTGAGTGAACACAGCGTCTCTCAGGCTCAACGGTGATCTAACCAGCTTTCCCATCGACTGAAGAGAGTCTAGGTCATAGTATTCACATACACCACTTTTAGAGGTCACAATGCCGTACCTGTGGCCGTTTAACTCTCCCACTTCGAACGAGCTCACCTTCCCTAGAATGTCCAACACCTCCGGCTCACGCTCTGGGTTTAAGACGTCGAATACTTTCAAGATGGAATTTGTACACACGTAGAGCTTAGAGCCGTCACGCGAATGGCGTACAAGTGTTGTTCCAGCCGTGACAAAGACCTGCTTCAACGAGTCCATGTTAAATTTCGTGTAATAAATTGTACGCGTCTCTTAGATCTACAAAATCGGTGCACGGATGCGATAAAAAAATATTTTTTAAAAATATTGTGGAAAAAAATTTTAGAGGTACCATCATGTCGGATTCGTTTTTCTCGGACCCTTCAAAGAAGAGAAAACGTCCATCGCGAGGACCCGAGAGGGCCAGAAAACAGCGCGCAGCAGCCTCAAACACCCGGCAAAAAGAAAGTCACGAAAGCTCCAGCGATATAGACGAGGAAGAGGTGAAAAGTGATATATTTGATGATTCGTCTGCAGCTGAATCGAAGGAAGACGAGGAAGCCATCTCCAGTGAAGATGAGCATGCAGGTGAAAGTGCTGCAGAAAAAAGAAGACGCATGGCCAAACAGTATTTAAGCGAATTGCAGGCAGAAGCAGAGGTGTATGACTTTGATGCCAAGGATCTAGACGATGACATTATTGCCTCCAGATTGCAAAAAGACGTTTCTGAGCAACAGGGGCACGTTTACCAGTTCATTGGCGACAAATTGCAGCTCGAGGAAGCAAAGATAGCCGTTGCTAGAGTCCCCAGCATAGGGCTGACCGGGGTTGCAGTGCGGTACCCTTACGCCTACACAGTCTCCAAAGACATGGAGCTGGCAAAGTGGAACGTTGAGGACGAGGACAAAAAGCCTGTCAAACTAAAGTTTGTCAAAGGAGGACGCAAATACACAGAGATTTCAAAAGAGCAAATGAACAACGGACACTGCGATGAGATACTCACGGTGGCTGTGAGTCCCGACGGCAAGTATGTTGTCACTGGGGGTCGTGATAAGCGCATTATTATTTGGAGCAGCGAGAATTTGGCTCCGATCCGAGTTTTGGAGACCCGCGACCGTCGAGGAGAGGTCTTAGGACTGGCGTTCCGTCGAAATACTGATCAGCTGTACGCGGCATGTGCAGACCTGAAAATCAGAACCTATAGCGTCAATCAGCAGGCACAGCTGGAAACGCTATATGGGCATCAGGACCTGGTTGCTGATATCGCTGCATTGGCTCAAGAAAGATGTGTCACCGTGGGGTCTCGGGACCGGACTGCTATGCTCTGGAAAATAGCAGAAGAGACAAGACTCACATTCAGAGGCGGAGACACGCCAAAGGCGGGTATTGAGTTTTACGCGGAAGGTAGCATTGATTGTGTCTCAATGATTGACGACACTCATTTTGTCACGGGGTCAGATAATGGCAATATATGCCTATGGTCTCTGGCCAAAAAGAAACCTTTATACACAGAGAGACAGGCACACGGACTAGAACCGGAAAAGGAGCCCTGGAAGGCTAGTGCAGAGAGCAATCTAGAAGAGGCGCGGTTGCAAGTGCCGAAACCACAACCTTACTGGATCACGTCCATTTATGCTGTTCCTTATAGTGACATTTTTTTCTCTGGGTCTTGGAATGGAGAAATCAAAGTTTGGAAGCTGGAGAAAGAACTGCGCAAGTTTGTCCTGGTCGGCACATTGGAAAGGGCCAAGGGTGTCGTTACGAAGATCGGCGCTCATCTTGAAGACGAGCAAGTGCGGGTGTATGCGTCATTATCGAAAGAGCATAGGCTGGGACGCTGGATAGACGGAGCAAAAGGTGGCAGGAATGCATTGTACTCATGTCTGATAAATATAAAGGGTAATTAATAATACATAGCAAGAATTAGCCGGTATTTAACGCAGTCTTACATAAATCGAAAGCAACAAGGGTCAAATCTAAATCAGGACAGCCAGCACAATTCCCGCCACGCCGAAGGTCAGACCACTTATTGGAGCCATTCCGTTAGCTTGAGCGCTGGAAGACGAGGAAGAAGCAGCAGTGGAAGTTCCTTCGTCATCGTGGGTGGAGACTGAAGTAGAGCTTGAGCTGACTTTGGAGCTGGACTTGGTTGTCTTTGAGCTAGAGCTCGAGAGGGAAGTGCTGATGCCCGACGACTTGACGGCGGACCTGCTGTGAGCAGACGAAGGAGCCACAGAGGAGCTGAATGGAGCTCTGGAGGAGGATGGAGCTGCGGATGTCACATATGACGTTCTCAGAGTTGACGATGGCACTGTCGACTGTCTGCTGGATTGAGCAGAGCTTTGAGAAACTTCCTGGGAAGAGCTCACAGTAGCAGCCGAGGCGATGGCCAGCAGACCCTTGGCCTTCTCCAACGAAGCAGAAGACTCAGCAGCAAGGGAGGCTGCAGACGCGGCAGAAGCAGAGGCTTCAGAGGCCTCAGAAACGGAAGCAGCAGAGGCTGCGGCGACGGAGGCAGCAGAAGCGGAAGCAGCAGAGACAGAAGACGCACTAGCAGCAGACGCAGCAGACGCAGCTGAAGCAGCAGAAGCAGATGATTCACTGGCAACTGATGCTGCGGACGCAGAAGAAGCAGAGGCGGACGACAACGACAGAGCAGAGCTCTCGGATGGCGACAGCAAGGTCTCCGTCACGGTGACGGTGACCTGTGAAGTGGTGGTTTCCTCGGCCTTAGTGTAAGCTGATAGTAAAAGAAGTGGCACAAAAGTCTTGTAAAGCATTTTTGATGTTTTGGATTAACGAGTGAAGGTATCTGGTTCTTTCAAGAATGAATATAAACGTAAGCTCGGGTAGCACAAGTGAGAGTGAGTCTCTCGTTATAAGGAATGACTGTGGTAAGTTTTGGAGCTTGTTGTTCAGTTGATTAGGAAGAAAATGAAAGCAAGTTCAGAAAACAAAGTTGCGTCGTCCAAGGTGCTGACTGACCGGGCACCTCTGCAAAGTTTTAATCATGAAAACGTCCAAATGTAAACAAAAACAGTAGTGGATAAACAAACAGTATTGTTGCCGTACAATTCCTCTATTGTAGGAGAAATGGTGAAATGCCTGATTCGGATTTTTGAGTTCCAAAAAGAGCAGTCATGTGCAATGTTTGTCCGCAGGCGGTGATGGCCAATGGTGATGATGGCCAGACTTCTGTATTGACAATAACCGAAGGGCATTGGATATTGTGCCCCTTGCAATATGGGCAGGGTAAGCAAGGGTTACTCAGGCTAAAATGTAGAGCACGGCTTAGTAACAACCCCAACGTGCTGTGGCGATCTCGCCGAATCATACAATTTTTTGCGGGAATGTACAGAACGAAACACGGGAGGGGATGAGCAATTTCTCTCGAGGCAGCCAAAACTCATGTTTCCACTAAATTTGGTGCTGGGCTCGCCGATGGGGACTGAACCTTTCATATCAACCAACAGGTTCTGAAGCTAGCACGCCGGCTCGCTTGGATCTATTGGCGCAAATATACGATTATTACCCTATTGATACATGAATCTAACGGTCAGCCCTACACCCAATAAATTCGCAGACCCGTAAGCATTTTTTATTGTGCGACTATTGTAGTAGCTATTGTTGCAAAACTGAAATTCTTGCTCGTCCACTAAAATGCTTTGTTGCTCGAAAAAAAGAAAACGTTGGCGAAAAGTTTTGGTGCGAGAATAAAACAAAAGCACGAACAAAGAAACAAATAAAGGTTTTTTATCAATTCTGGTCTCACAATAAATAATATAAACAAGGTTTCTTAGACCCCAAGAGATTTCTATAAACCATCGCAAAAGATGGAACAGTATCAAGTGGACCAGGACGGCAAGAGAAGTTTGCCTCCCCTTTCTCACATCATTCCGGGCCAGACACAACCTTCAAGCCAGCAGCACTCTCCTAGTACTCACCAGTCAAATTCAGGGTCCAACTCTCCTCAACCAGAACAGGACAAGCCGGAGCCCAACGATGCGATAACCCATGTTCAGCAGCATGATCAGAAGCTTTCCCAGCAACCTCAGCATCAGATGTCAATCCCTCAACCATCTCAAATACCTGTACAATATCAGCAGATCGCAGTCCAGCAACAGTTCCCCCAGCAGGCAGCGATACAGTACCCCCAACAGCTACAGCAGCAGTATCTGATGCAGGCTCTTCAAATTCCGCCTCCGCCCCAACCGCCCCAGTTGGACTCTTCAAAACTATTTGAAAAATGTACATGTAAGCAGGAAGGAAACCGTATTCCTAGGCCTCGGAACGCTTTTATTCTGTTCAGACAAAAGCACCACCAGGCTCTGTTGGAAGAAGGGAACGTAATCAGGACCAATCCAGACGTTTCCAGAGAACTGGGTCGCAGATGGAGAAACTTACCACCAGAAGAAAAAGAATACTGGAATAAACAGGCCGAGGAAGAGAAAAAAAGACACGCAGAAAGATACCCCGGATACAAATACACTCCTAGAAGAAACAGCAAAAAGAACTGCCCTCACTGCAGCACAAAACAAGCAATAAGAAATCACAACTTAGCCATGCAGTCTTATATGGCCCAATATCCTAACCACGCGTATGCCTTCGCCTTAAACGGTAATCAATATTTTCCTCAGCCAGTGGGTGCTGCCAACGGATCTGTTTCTCAACAGCAGGCTGTTCAGGCAGTGCAACAACAAGCGGCCTCGCAAATTCCTCAGCAACAGGCCTTGTACTATCAGCCGAACATGGTTGCTATGCAACCTCAACAGTTCAAATCAGATGACATTTATCCTGCTCTCGCGAGTGCATCTACAGGGACCCAAAGCTCAATGAGCCAGCAGCCAAGCAACAAGAACTCTTCATCCCCAAACGTGGCGCAACAATCTGCCACTATGAATGACCAAACTCAATACATGACGTTCGTCAATCAGGTAAATGGACAACAAGGCGCAAGATATTCTAACGGCCAAGCTCAGCAGCAGCAGATAAAGGCTGAGGCGTCGCAGACACCGAACTACTCACAAATGTACATGTCACAGATGATGGACACTAATCAAATATACGCAACGATGAGCAGACAGCAGCAGCAGCAGCAACAGCAACAGCAACAGCAGCAACAACAAAACATGTACATGAACCCAATGTTTGGCTACGACTTCCAGCAGAGTGCCCAAGCCCAAGCCCAAGCTCAGGCTATGCAGATGTCATTGCCATCAATCAACAATCTCTCTCTGCCACCACTCAACATGAACCAAAAGAATGGAGGCTGAGTATTCCACTACGCCATAGTAATAGAGTATCTAGTTGCATGTATTTTACGTTGCGTGTTTGCTTTAAAAACTTGGCAATTTAACCGTTTGTAGAAATTTTTCCTTACAGTTTTGCTAGTGCTCAGCCTCCTTTTCAAAGAAAAAGGAGCCCTTTAACAATAATAAAAATCGATAAGTGGACCCTACCGAAAACGAGGCACAATTCAGAAGCTGCATATATGAACCAGCGTGTTTAATAGATAAGTGAAATTGAAAAAATCTTTTCAAATGTCCATCTCAAGGAAAACCACCGATCTGGAGGCCAGGGACAGGTTTAGGATCTCCGTGGATGATCTGGGCGCGCTTCATGACCCTAAATCCCTGATAAAGCTCCAGGAGCTCGGAGGCATAGACGCCCTCGTGTCAGGGCTGGCCACCGACGAGGCTAGAGGCTTGTCCAAGGATATTCCTCAGCCAGAGCTCAAACAACGGCAGCATGTTTATGGAGTCAACGTGCTTCCCAAGAAGTCTAGCAAATCGTTTTTGCGGTTGTGTTGGGAGGCTTTGAAGGACAAGATTCTGATCATGCTGACCGTTGCAGCCATTGTGTCTTTGGCACTGGGTCTCTACGAAACCTTCGGTCAACCTCCTGAATACGACGACGAGGGCAAACCCCTGCCTAAAGTCGAGTGGGTGGAAGGTGTGGCCATCATTGTGGCCATAGCCATCGTTGTGATCGTGGGATCTGTCAACGACTACAATAAAGAGAGACAATTCTCGAAGCTGAATGCCAAAAAAGACGACCGTAATGTGATCGTTTACAGGTCAGGAGAAAAGCAATTCATACCCATCGGACAGCTTCTGGTGGGAGACCTGATATATGTGGAAACGGGCGAAGTTGTTCCAGCAGACTCGGTCTTGGTTTCCGGAGAGTGTGAGTGCGATGAAAGCTCTCTTACAGGTGAAACACATGCCATTCGCAAAATTCCTGCAGCTTACGCATTAGAGCGTTACAAGGCTCTTGGCAACGCAACCAAGGACATTGGTGACAAAGGCGTTGATGATCCGATGCTGATATCGGGCGCAAAGCTGATCTCTGGCCAGGGAAAAGCCGTTGTGACTGCTGTTGGCACGAATTCCATGCACGGGAAAATTATGATGTCGCTTCGTCACGAGTCAGAAGAAACTCCACTGCAAGCAAGACTTTCGCACTTGGCAGACGGTATTGCCAGATTCGGATTCTTGGCAGCCATTATACTGTTTGTTGTGTTGTTCATCAAGTTCTGTGTGAAGCTGGGAACCGATTATAAGAATCTCACGGGTGCGCAGAAGGGCACGAAGTTTTTGAACATTCTTATCACGGCCATCACGATCATTGTTGTGGCTGTGCCGGAAGGCCTTCCTTTGGCTGTGACGTTGGCGCTTGCTTTTGCAACTACACGGATGACTAAGGACGGCAATCTGGTGCGTGTTCTGAAAAGTTGTGAAACTATGGGAGGCGCGACAGCGATCTGCTCCGACAAGACCGGAACGCTTACAGAGAACAGAATGCGCGTTGTCAAGGGTTTCATAGGCGACAGTGATTTTGATTACACTGTTTCAAGGGCAAATGGCCAGACTAACGTTGAGACTATCAGCGACAATTTGAAGATTAGCTTGCTCGACAATATCTTGCTTAACTCAACGGCTTTCGAAGCTAGCAAGGAAGAGCAAAGTTCTCATGTCCAGAAGAAAGGCTTGTTTAAGAAAGGGAGCAAGCCCCCAAAACCAAAGCTTGAAGAGCCGTTTGTTGGCTCCAAGACAGAGTGTGCTTTACTTCTTCTTGCTCAAGATCGGTTTAATGCAATCAACGAAACCACGCCGCTGGAGCTCATTAGGGAGCAATCGCAACACCGCATAGTCCAGATCATTCCTTTTGAGTCTTCGCGTAAATGGGGTGGGATTGTGGTCAAGACTAGCTCCGGCTACAGATTCTACATCAAGGGCGCTTCTGAGCTGGTTTTTTCCAGATGTACAGCTAGAACTACTTCGGACGGTAAGATAGTTCCGATTACCAGCGCCATCAAGGAGGAAATCACGTCTAAGATCACCAATCTTGCAGAGCACGCTCTTCGGACACTCTGTCTTGCTCACTGCGACTTCGAAGGATTGGAGTCGTGGCCTCCTGCCAGTATGGCCAAGTCAGATAACAGAAGAGAAGCTGATCCGAATTTGCTTTTCGGGGAGGCAGTTGAAATACTGGCCAACGATGCCAACGCTGCAGCTGCGCAAAACACCAATCTTCCAAAAATCGTTATTGGTGAGGAGACCACAGCAAAGCGCGAGGGACTGGTTTTGGACTCCCTGGTGGGTATCCAGGACCCTCTTAGAGAAGGTGTCAAGGAAGCTGTTGCCAAATGTGGAACTGCAGGTGTCCGTGTGAGGATGGTTACTGGTGACAACATTTTGACTGCTCGTGCCATTGCCAGAAATTGCGGAATTCTCAATGAAGAAACATTCAACGATCCAACAGCATGCATGGAGGGTCCTGTTTTCCGGACCTTGAGCCCACGAGAGCGCATCAATATTGTTCCCAAGCTCTGCGTGCTGGCTCGGTCCAGTCCTGAGGACAAGCGGATTTTGGTTGACACTCTGAGAAGTCAGGGAGAAGTTGTTGCGGTGACCGGAGACGGCACCAACGATGCACCTGCACTGAAACTCGCGGACGTTGGTTTTTCCATGGGTATTGCAGGTACCGAAGTCGCCAGAGAAGCTTCTGATATTATTCTGACAACGGACGATTTCTCATCCATCGTTAATGCCATCAAATGGGGAAGAACCGTCGCAACTTCTATTCGAAAGTTTGTTCAATTCCAGCTCACAGTCAACGTCACCGCTGTCGCCTTAACGTTCATATCTGCCGTCGCATCGTCGGACGACAGCTCAGTTTTGACTGCCGTCCAATTGCTATGGGTGAACCTTATCATGGATACTCTGGCTGCCTTAGCTCTCGCCACAGATAAGCCGGATGAAGATATATTGAATAGAAAGCCAGCCGGTCGCCACGCTCCTCTGATTTCCACATCTATGTGGAAGATGATTCTGGGACAGTCTGTTGTTCAGTTGGTGATCACTTTTGTGCTCCATTTTGCAGGAGCCAAAATATTCTTCCCCGACGGTCATGTGAACGATCACCAGGCGACTCAGATCGCTGCTATGACTTTCAATACTTTTGTCTGGTTACAATTCTTCAACCTCTTTCTGACACGGAAACTGGATGAGGGTGACGGAATCACAAAAGTGAGGGACCGCATTACTCGCTCAAATTTGGACTTCACACAACATTTCTTTAGCAATTGGTATTTCATCACCATTGCAGCAATCATCGGTGGATTCCAGGTCCTCATCATGTACGTGGGAGGTGCCGCTTTCAGCATTGCAAGACAAACAGGTGCGATGTGGGGGACTGCCGTTATTTGTGGTCTGCTCTCGCTTCCAGCAGGCATCATCATCAGAATAATTCCCGACATTTGGGTGGAAAGAATATTCCCTACAAGGGCTTTCAACAGAATGATCTCCTTACTGACTTTCAAGAGAAAGAAGAGGTCACATTCGGAGATAGAGTCTGAGTCCTCTGATTCTCAAGATGAAAACGAAAATATACTAAGTGTGTCCCATATCAAACATATCAGCGGTAGATCCAGGTCCTCCACGTCCACGGACACATCTGTTGTTTCGCAAACGACTGACAACACCCTATTCTCTCAAAATGATAGCAGATTCACAGCGCATTCCCAGGATTTATAGGAAGTCATGTATAATATTAGAATTCACTATTTATTAAATTTTGCAAGGTACCGTTTTTTCTCGTTCTCCAGGAACTGAGCAAAATCAGCATAGACAGGGTAGAACCTGGTGAGGCTCTTGAAGAAGGGAGTCAAATCCACAAGAACCTGGATCTTCTCCAAAAGGTCGTTGTTCGGCTCGCCTAATCCTTTTTCCTTCTGTATTTGTTCCATAATCGTCTCTTCCAAGATGTTGAGTGAGGACGAAAACGTGTCCAGTGAGACATTGGTAGCTGCCTCATCGGAGGACGCACCTGTTGGCGCCAATGAAGAAGATTGATGCGCGCCATTCAACCTTTCGTCTTCGATTGCACTCGTCAGCACCACTGCTTGAACACTCTCGAATATATTTAGCACAGCTTGTATACGGTCTTTCACCAGTTTGAGTGTTTGAATGTCTTTGATTAGCTCCTGTGACTCTGGGCGATGCTGCACGTTGTTCAATCTTGCGTTCACGTCGTCCATATCTCTGTTGAGAGAGTTGATGGAGGAAGCTAGATATTCCACGTAGTACTCCAGCCTGGTAATGCCTCCACTATTTTCCGAGGCGTATGATATTATAGACGACGAATTGTGCAAATCTTGAAGCTTCTTCTCAAATTGGCGCGTGAGCTCGTTGGTGTAATAGTCCAAATGTGTCAATAGCGAGAGACATTTACCTTGTAGTGATTTAAGAGAGTTGGGAGATGCGAATGTCACGGACTTGTTTTTTAATTGTGGACCGGTGAGATTTAGTGAAGATGTAAATAGGGCGTCAAGGTAGTCGTGAGGCACAAAGGCATCGTCAAAAAACATTGACAGGACTTCATTTTCCTTTTCCGAAGCCATAACAATAATTAGAGAAAATAAAACGATTTATTCTTCAGCTTTCTGCACAGCCGATGATAGACAACGTCATCGTCCAACATGATTTCCGGTACGTGATACAAGACGTACAAAGGGGTGTGGTGGAGAAAGAAAGATTCTGGGTCTATATCAATGACGAGCGAGCTGAATTTGAGTGTGCGGGCAGGGAGATCGTTTCCCTGGGACCATGGAAATTCGAGGAAAACCACGGCGACATCGTGCTGCGAAATGAAGTCAAGAGCATCATAGTGAAACAGCCGTTGTCGGTCATGAATGCTGATTATGAGGTCAGCTCTCTGGCCGCCACAGACGATGGCAAACGTGCTCTAGGTGGCACACAAGGACAGCTCGAGTTTATAAATTCCGACGGCAAGTGTGTTGAGGTGCACGACGCCCACTATTCAGATATTCTGCACATACAGTATTTCCCAAGCAAGCAGGTGGCAATGACAATTGGCCTCGATTACAGCATCAAGATCTGGTCTGTGCTGGACGGAAGCAACCCAAGAACGATGCGCAAGCACACTGCAACGCTCACAGCCCTCGCTGCCATAGGACGTGGAAGAAATATCGTATCTGGAGCCCGCGATGGTGCAGTTTACATATGGGAATGTGCCAGTGGAGAAGCAGTGTGGGAGTTTCGGCGAGTGAAAAATTTAACAGATCCTGTCGTGGGACTCGCAGTGATAGACATCAAGGAGCCGGGGAACGAAGCTCAGCAGGTATCAAATTCCATGTTCTACGAGACAGAAAACAAAAAATTGCTGGTTGGCTACGAAAGCGGTGTGGTGGCAACGTACGATTTGGAGACGCGTTGTTCTCTTGGTGAGTTTTCAGCGGGGGACAAAATGTCTGCATTTGCTGCTGATAAGGACATTTTGGTAACGGGCCATTCCGACGGCACTATAAGGTGTTTTCGAGGATCTGAAACGATATGGTGGGAATTGCATGGCGACGAGGAAGTTCGCAAAATACAGATATCAGACAACAAAATTTACTGCCTGCAAAGACAGGTGGCCATCATCAACTTTGATGGAAAAGTCGAATCTATATTCAGCGACTACTACGGGCTGAACGATTTCTGCGCAATTCCTGGTAGCTTGTATGTCGCCTGCAAGGACACCACTGTAAAGAAGATCAGTGTGTGAAAAACAACTCTACACCAGTATTATGGTGAGATGCGACGCGTAAATAAAAAGTGCGAAACATTTGATGGCAATTTACTTATCTTCCCTTATGTTGAAGCCCGGTGTTATTTTGAGTATTTGCAGGGACGGCGTCATGCCAGACGCGCTGTACCTGCAAGCCCATCAGGCCAAATCAATCCCTGAATCCACCGGAGAAAGATTGAGACTTATGCTGAACGATGGCCAGTACGCTATCAATGGTGTGTTCAAGCCTAGCGAGGCCCAAAACGCCATTGAGAACTTCAAAAGATACTGCATTCTGAAGATCACGCAATATGAGATCACGCCAACCAACAATGGTAAGATATTCTTGGTTGTGGATCGTGCCGAGGTGGTTGAGCAAGGAGAAAAGAGCGAGATCAAGTTCGAGAGCCTCGATGACTACCTGAAGGAACACCCAGAGGACAACAATTTGCTTAAGGGGCAACTTCCTCCCCGGGATTCTACCATGACACCGTCACCTGCAGCAACGATGCCAAAGAAGACCGTTTCCAAACCGCCGCCAAAATACCAAAACCTGTACTCGATTGACCAGCTGTCTCCATATCAGAACTCATGGACTATTAAGGCCAGAGTTTCATTCAAGAGCGATATGAAGCACTGGTCTAATCAAAGAGGCGATGGCAAGTTATTCAATGTCAATTTGCTGGATGAGACTGGAGAGATCAGAGCTACTGCTTTCAATCAAGTGGCTGAAAAGTTCTGGGATTTACTGGAAGAGAACAAGGTGTTTTACATCAGCAAAGCTTCTATGCAGATGGCCAAACCACAATTTTCCAATTTGAAGCACCAGTATGAGTTACAGTTCGACAAGGACACCATCATTGAACCATGCGATGATGACTCCGACGTGCCAAAACTCCATTTCGATTTTGTTGCGCTCGACCAAGTTCAAAAGCTTGAAAATGGTGCCGTCATTGACGTCATTGGAATCCTGAAGGATGTCAAAGATAAACAAGAGATTGTTGCCAAATCAACTGGAAAACCTTTCGACAGAAGAGATATTGTCCTAGTCGACAAATCGCAATTTGCAGTCAATATTGGCCTGTGGAACAAGCACGCTCGGGAATTCGATGTTCCAGTTGGGTCGGTGGTGGCATTCAAAGGTTGCAGAGTGCAGGATTTTGGAGGCAAGAGTCTTTCTTTGATTCCTGCCGCTACCATCGTTGTGAACCCCGATATCGAGGAAGCTTATAAAATTAAAGGATGGTATGATGCCCAAGGATCACACCAAAGCTTCAAGAGCATTGCCGTTGAATCTGGCTCGTCTGGTGCCACGAGTTTGACGTCCAAACAATCTATTTTGGAACGCAAGACCATCAAGCAGGTTCAAGACGAAAAACTGGGCTTAAAAGATAAGCCTGATTACTTCAGCTTGAAAGCCACCATTTCTTTCATTAAGACAGATAACTTTTGCTATCCAGCATGCAGAAGCGAAGGCTGTAACAAGAAATTGCTTGAACAAGATAATGGCACCTGGAGATGCGAAAAGTGCAACATCAACCATCCTGAGCCTAATTACAGATACATTTTGACTGTGTCAGTTGTGGATGAGACCGGCCAAATGTGGCTTACACTATTCGATGAGCAGGCAACCCAGCTCTTGGGATTGAGCGCCGCAGAGCTTTTGAAGCTCAAGAACGACGCCGAGGACCCAAGCATCGAGAGTGTAGGAGAAAACGCTCTTAAAAACTTCATCAATGAGAACATTTCCTTCAAAGAGGTCTTGCTCAGAGTTCGAGGAAAAGTCGATAGCTACCAGGGCCAAGACAGAGCTAGATTTACCGTTGCCAGTCTTGCCAAGGTCGATTATCTTGCCGAGTGCGAGGCTCTTGTCGAGATTCTCAGCAGCTACTCTGTGTGATAGGTATGATTTTTTCAGTGTGTTTCCGCTTATCGTTAAATGAATTAGCTATAATTGATCAGCCCGTTTACCTCCAGCCAAAAGTCTTTGATTAAGTCATTCGCGCTTCTTGTCCCTCTAGTAAGCATGATTTTTTTCACAAAAATCTCCCAGTTTTCGATCTCTTTTTCTCTTTCCACGTTGAGCTTTTGAAATGCTTCCCGTAGCCACTTGTTCATCATCAAAGGATATTTTGCCACGAGCTGTTTTATTATTTCAATGAAAGTTTCTAAATTGGATCTCTGCGTGGCAAGCATATACTTTAAAACATTGAAGGTCAACACATAGCCCAGCTCAGTCTCATTAAATAGTCTTTTAACAATCACCGTGTCCTGCCTATCTCCTTTTCTCAAAGTGATGAATCTTGTCCAAAACTTTTCTAGTGCTTTAAGAACAAATCGCTCATTCGATCCCAAGTGTCTGAACGCAAACTCTAACAGGGCCATAAGCAAGTTTTCATTTGAGAGTAGCAAGGAAGGCCTTGTGGTGAGCATCGTGCTGAAAAGATTGAGACTTGATTGAACAAGATCCGGATCGTCTTCAATGACTGGAAGCTTTGATAGGAAAATAGTGTTGATCGTGCCATGTAGGGCCTCTATGTCTAGAGTCCTATAGTGAGCTGTGACCACTGAGTTCAACAAAGAGTATAAAAGAGGATATGCATGAGACTTCTTCAATGAGTTGAACTTTGTCACAATGAATTGCAAAATGGTGGCACAGTCAAACACAAAAGGCCCAGGGAGAGACTCCGTGAGCCCACATTTGAACAGATTGACAGCTTCTTCAATTATTTGATAGTTCTCCGATAAAATCTCGTTGGTCATTGTGAAGTTTGTGATAATAGTGAGCAGTTTGGAATGTATTCCCATGGGATCTGCCGTCCAATATTCGCGCACTTTCAACTCTTGCTCCTCTGTATAGTATCCATCCACTTCGTCTGGTAGCCGCATACCTCTCCCAACGGCACTGACAGAGCTAATTAAGCTTATCAAATAGTCAACCATTTTTTCGCGCTCTTCTGCATTAGCTGTGGCCAGTTCCGCAAATACAGACACTGATTTTTTGTCCAAAAGGTCGAAAAGCTTAAAGAGGTTCTCACCCTGAATCACTGGATCTTTCACTCCTTCTATTATAGAAGCATATGCGTTGATTATACGTTGCCTAACAACGGGATCGATTGTTGTATTATTGATCATTTCCGTGATGATGGTCTCAAAACTAGGCAGAAACTCGACCAGAGAATACCTGCATTGACTGCAGATACTCGATATAGCCTTTGAGCTAGAAAGCTGATATAGGTTTGTGTCCGTCATGCAGTCAAACAAGAAGCTCAATATCTGAGGCAGGTACTTGGTTCCCGCATTTGTTTTGTAAAACCAGTCTGCACTCGAAAAGAATTGAATCGAGGTACTAACAAGATACCTAAAGCGATCGGTTCTCAATTGCAAAACGATAGGTAAAAGATTCGAATCTAAGATTGCGCTCAAATGTTGAACCAATTGAGGATCTACCTCTCCGTCCCCGAAATCTTTGGAAATACAAGTCACAAGATACAAAGATGGCTCAATGTCTTCTAGCTTCCGTGTTTGAATGCTTCTCTCGATGGTCATTAGAAGATTGATTATCAGTGGAAGTCTAACCAAAGGATACACAGACTCGAACAGATCCCCGATATCTCGTCTATAGAGGGCGAATTCTTGTTTGTACTGGGAAAAGCCTTCTTCATCTTCAGGAACATGCGCTTTTTTCCAGTATATCTGAGTAACTCTTTCGAATAAGGCTCTGATCTTTTCAGAAAGAACCTCGTGACCACCTGGCTTATCATTCAAAAGTGTCTGAAGGGTAGTATCCTCACATATACAGTAGTCAGCAAATCGAAGCCAAAAATCAGCGAATTCTCTAGAAACTGACTCCTCGTCTATGGGAATTCCGGGGTAGTCTGTGAGGACAACCAAGAAGTCGAAGATATAAGCGTTCTCATCATCATTGAGTTTTAGAACCAATGCATTGAGATCCGTGTCCAAAAATGCAATTATCAGTCTTGCAAAGTCTGCCACGCTTTTCTCGTCTTGCTGTGAACTAAAGTACCTCACATATTGGACTCCCACTTCGCCAAATAGCATTGACAGCAAATCCGATTTAAGGTGGCTATTGAAAAATGTAGCGTTTGTTTCCAAGGCCTCACTTAAAGTCTCAATGGCTTTCTGTGAAATGGCATAGTCTGTGCTGGGGACAAGCGAAATACATATTGAAAGAAGACTTGTTAGATCATAGCGTTCTGTGGAGTCAAACTCCGCCTTTGAGGCATACCCCACCCAAGAGACTAGACAGTCAAGCCATGTATCTATGAGCTTCTGTTCTGGTGATAAGTTTAGGAGAAACGTCATCAACTTTTGAACTGTTGGAAATAGATGCTGGTGGACTGAAGTATGCGTTTGTACATTGGACACGTTGGTCGCTTCTTTCTTTACCAACTCCTCTGCTAAAATTTGGGCGAAAAGCAAAAGAATATAGATTTGTGGCCATGGAAGTCCGCCCAGGGCCTCATCGATCTGGTCATCAGCGATATTAGAGTCAGAGACTTGGCCGGAGACGATGCAGTCGATCAGTGCTAATAGAGGATCGCTCCATAATCCACTGCTATTCATAAACAACAAAGAGAGGTTGGACAGCATTTTCTTGACTACAAACATACCACTTTGTAGAACAGTATCATCATTGATCAGTTGCAAGACCTGATTCAGCAGAGTAGTTCGAATCTGAATGAGTTGTTGTTCGTTTTCTTTCTTGGCTAGTTCTCCAATATGCAAATTGAGATTGACCGTGTATGTGAGGGCACCGAAAAACTTGCAATTCATTGATGGATGCTGCAGCAATCGGTGGGCCATCGTCCATCCATACTCTGATTTTTGATATTCCTGTAACTTTTTCTGGATCTCAATCACGTCGGGAGACGAGCTGTACAACCCATCGACCAACTAGAAGTTAGCTGCTTCCACAAAAGAGCATACATACCGCAACGATTTCCTCCTCCGGAAAAACATTCATAAAACAAGAAATTAATTTGATTTGCAAATAATTCTAGGATTACTTAGGTATGCCCTAGCCCTTCTCTACACTTTAACACTGTGATTTTTCACTTGAAAAGTTTTTTTTTAGTATAAAAGCTATACAGTTTTATACACGGTCGACCCAACATAGAGAGTTTCTACAAATCACATTAACAAATGTAAACAAGAGTTAATGTAACTTGTCAGACAGCCATTTGCGTCCATCCAAAACACCCCTTCCGAAGAAGTACGTGTGATGGATCGAGATCATCGCTCCTTGAAGTACAAGGCATGTCGTAGATGACCAGACCACTAAGGATCGTGGTCAAGCTAGCTTTTCTCACTCTAGGACACAAAGGTATCTACCTCATCAACCAAGTTGGATTCAGTGGCTCTTTTGAAGAGTCAAAGAGAGACGTGACCTATAGAAATGATCCTATGAAGTACGTCGACGAAGAAAAAAAAAAAATTTTGGGCGACCTTGGGGCCATATTTATAGTGCGAACCAGAGGCGAAAATTTTTTTTGCTTACATAAACATTGGCTTCCAAGAAAAGTCTCGGTATTGTTAAAGCTCATAAATGACAAAGAGAGGTGGCACTCGCCGCTAGACTATTGTTCAGCATGCAAATACCGCCGCTAATTTGTGAAACTAGGACAGACCGTCCAATAGTGTTTCAGACCCGCCACGCTGCCAGGTAGAATTGAGATGGTGTAGGGGTGTAGCCTTTGCGAGATAAAGTAAGCTGATAGAATACTCATTTGGAATTAAAATAAGAAGAATATTCTTTGACGTTTTTAAAATCAGAACAGGTTTTATTGTACACTTTATTTAAGCAGCATCAAGTTCAAAGTCACCACAATCAGCTAAAACTTCGTATCTGAAAATGTCACAGACTATGAACCCCAAGCCATCGATGTTTTCCCTTATTTCGAACAACGGAACGCCGGGCGCAACTACAATGAAACAAGTCTCTGGACAAGGGCGCTTTGGTACCTCAAACAGACCTTGTACGAATTGCACTTGCTCTCCTGGTCTTCTGAGCCGTCAAGGGAGACGCTCGTCAGTCTACCTCAAGCGAATCAACATCAACCGCACTAATAGTTTAAAGGCAAACCAGACAGCAGGCACCTCTCCAGGATTGTCTCCAAGAAGGCGCACGGGAGATTCTCTTTATACGATCGACTCAAAATGTTCCACCAAAGAGATAAATACCTCTTTGAGACTCGAGAAATTGAGGGTGGAAATGAAATTGCACGACATCGCCATTTACATCATTCCTTCTGCAGACGCCCATCAATCAGAGTATACTTCTGCACCTGACCAAAGAAGAGCTTTCATAAGCGGGTTTGGAGGCTCTTCAGGTGTGGCGGTTGTCACTAGGGACGTCACATGCATGAATGAAACGCCAGAGGGGCTTTCTGCTTTAGCGACAGATGGACGCTATTTCATCCAAGCCGCCAACGAGCTAGATTTCAACTGGCAACTTTTGAAACAGGGAGTTCCAGGAGATCCTAGTTGGGAGGAGTGGACAGTTGAACAAGCTATCCAAATGGCTCGTGATTCAGGCGAAACTATAAAAATTGGTGTTGACCCTACATTATTCACTTACTCAGAGATCAAGACTTTGGAATCGTTGGTGTCACAGAAAAACACAGATAAGGTCAAGATAGTTCCAGTGCGCGAAAACTTGATCGATAAAATCTGGTCACTATTTGAAGAAATGCCGCTGAGACAGTTCAACGAGATCATCCCATTGGGACTCGAGTACACTGGAGAGAGTACTCAGTCGAAGATGGAAAGACTGCAACTATACTTTAACAAATATGGCTCTTCTACCCTTATTCTATCGGCACTGGATCAGATCGCATGGCTACTGAACTTGAGAGGCAAGGACATTGATTTCAATCCACTATTTTACAGTTATCTGATTATTGAAAAGGACAAGCTCACGTTATACACAAACGGTTCGGCAGTCACTTCTGACACACTGAAATCTTATTTGCAATCCATCAACTGTGAAGTCAAAAACTACGAAGACATATGGTCTGACATCAGAAAGCTTGCCTCGGAGCTCAACTCCCAAGGAGCCAAAATTTTGCTTACCAAAGAGGCCTCCTGGAAAATGGTGAATTGCATCATTGCTAAGAATTTCCTAGAAATCGACTCCCCGATTGCTGAAATGAAGGAAGTGAAGAACGAAGTCGAGCTCAAAAACCAGAAGAATGCACAAATAAAAGACGGCATGGCGCTGATCAAATATTTCGCTTGGCTCGAAGATCAACTTATCAACAAGGACGAATTTGTGTCAGAATACGAAGGCGGAATGAAGCTGCTCGAGTTCAGATCTCAGCTTGACAATTTCAAGGGACTATCATTCGAGACTATTTCATCTACAGGGTCCAACGCTGCCATCATTCACTATGCACCAAAGAGAGAAACCAGCACCATTATCAACCCAAACAAAATATATCTCTGTGACTCAGGAGCCCAGTTCTTGGATGGAACCACTGACACAACGCGTACTCTCCACTTCAAAACCCCTACTGAGGAGGAGACCAGAAACTATACGCTGGTTTTGAAGGGCCACATAGCACTGGCTAAGCTGGTTTTCCCTCAAGGCTACACCGGCTACCAGGTCGACAGTATCGCAAGACAGTTTTTGTGGCAACACGGCTTGGACTACGAACACGGAACAGGTCATGGTGTCGACTCTTATGGACCTGTGCACTCGATGGGCGTTGGGATTGGCTATAGGCCACAATACAACTCTACACCTTTGACTCCTGGTCACCTTATATCCAATGAACCAGGCTACTACAAACCCGGAGAGTATGGTATTCGCATCGAAAATATGTTCTTTGTCAAGAAGAGCGACAAAATGTCTCCTGGCGGTAAACAATTCTTGGAGTTTGAAACGGTGACTACCGTTCCGTACTGCCGGAGGCTGATTGATGTCAAACTGCTTTCGCCAGAGGAAAAGCAGTACATCAACGACTATCATCAGAAGATCTGGCAACTTTACGAATCCAGACTGCCGAAGAAGAGTCTTGAGTACAACTGGCTCAAAAAAGAGTGTAAGCCACTCTGATTGGTAAATTTTAAAAGATATAATTAAAGTAATGAGTAATTGAATTTAATGCATCGAATGCTAATAAATAAATAATCCTATGTCGCAGTCTACACCATAAACGATTCTCCACACCCGCAGCTACCTTTGCTGTTTGGATTTTTAAAAACAAACTTCGAACTCAGCTTATCGTCTATCCAGTCCATTTCGGATCCGATAATGCTAAACAGCGCTTTAGAATCAATTAACACCTTTACACCGTCTTGCTCCACTTGTTCGTCGAACTTCTCCGGATGCGAAACATACTCCAAGTGATATGACAACCCTGAACACCCACGGTTCCGCACACTGATTCGTATGAGCTTTGGGTCAGGTTGTTGCATTAGTTGCTTTAGATGAAGTATAGCGTTAGGCGTAAGCGTAATCACGGATTTGAGCGGTTTGAGCTGCCTTCTTCTTCTTTTCATTGGTTTTGCGGGCTCAGGAGCTGGGGGAGGCGGTAGGCTTTTATCAGGCAAAGAATGTTTCGCCCACTTGTTGGTGGCCATAAAGTCATTATTTGAGTCGTCATCTAGCTGTGTTTGGTGCGAATTTTGTTGGTGCGTCAGTCTGTTTTGCTGTAAAAGAGAGTTCCTGGCCATCAGGGAAGCCATATGCATCCTTAATGGCGTTCTCGAGGCCATTGAAAGTCTATTGAGAATCATTGGGAAATTTTAAATTACATCATTATTTTCGAAGTGCGCAAATTTAAAGAATGACCTCCTGGGGAACATCCATGCACCAACAAATATAGGAAATATTACACTTTATCCGCATATGATTGGCTGAAACTACCAGCACTATTAAATGCTGTCAGTATCACACCAGAGGACATAAGGCCAAACTGGCTAGTTATTAACGAAGCCATTTTGCCTTCCCCATCTGCCATAATATATTTGCCGCCACTCTGGGTTTTGCGTACTTCTCCTCATTACCCCGGATTACATAAGCCTCAAACGCTCCCGTTTGCATGTGATTGCACCCGCAAGTATATAACGAGCGGAGAATTAGGCAGTCGTGAGCAATGAGTTTAGACATTACAAAGGCATCGATGAAGCAGAGCCTGTCGAGGCTCCTGTGGAATAACAGCCGAGCCCTGAAGTTCCTGAACATCAGTTTGAACTCAAAACCGGTGCTGCTCTTCCTGCTATCCATCTCCTCCAGCTCAATTTTCATGCTTATATACAATGTTGTCAAGTTGGTCAACTATTATAAGCTGAAGTCACTTCAAAGAAGTCAGCTGGATCTATCAAAACGCAATTTTTACAAAAAGGGTGCCGATTATCGGATCATCAATGTTCCCTATAAGAACAACAATTTGAAGGTGAAAATAGATCGCACGAACCCAGATAAATATGAACACGATAAATTGGTCTTCAAAAAGTTTCTTCGCGACACGGAGTTTAGCGACATAAATGACAGCGTGGTTGAGTCCAAGTTCCTCAAAAAGCTGTACATTATTTGGCGACATGTTCTTATTCCTAAAGTATTACATCCAAATAGCACGATTCTTGTGGGACAGTTACTTTGTCTGGTTGCACGCACCTGGATGAGCTTACTGGTGACAAGACTAGATGGACAAATAGTGAAAGATCTCATAGGGCTCCGAGGAAAGGCGTTTTTGCGAGGCATCATATATTGGTTCTTGTTTGCGTTTCCTGCTTCTTACATCAACTCGGGAATCAAGTATTTGACACACCGTCTTGCTCTCAACTTCCGAACTAATCTAGTCAGATATTGCCATGACTTGTACATGGACCCTAGAATGGTGTATTATAAGCTACAATTCAATCAGAACCAGTCAGATGTGTATAAGATGGATTTCAACTATGTCGATCAATATCTAACCGAAGACATCAAGAAATTTAGCGACTCGTTGACATCCATGTTCTTGAATGTTGGCAAGCCCACTGTTGATCTTATTTTCTTTGCCATCTATCTTCGTGACAACATCGGTAGCGCAGGTATATCAGGAATTTTGATGTGCTATTTTCTGACCGGATGGTTTTTGAAGCGCCACTCACCCAACTTCAGCAAGATTTGGAAAACGAAGACCCATCTAGAAGGAATCTATTACAACTACAACTTGAACCTAATCAATAACTGCGAGGAAATCTCGTTCTATAAAGGAATTAAGATTGAAAAGAGCAAGGTCCACAAAATCTTCAACAGTCTTCTATCGCATTCAAATTTAGAGATCAACGCAAAGTTTCATTATGGACTTTTAGAGGAGTATATTCTGAGATACGCTTGGCCTGCTTTCGGCTATTTCTTTTCCAGTTTCCCAATTTTGCTGAACTACAACTCGGCAGACTCAGACAGCATCAAAGGTTTCATTGTTAACAAAAGATTGATGCTCAATATGGCTGACGCTGGATCTCGTTTGATGTATTCGATCAAAGACATCAGTAGTTTGAGCGGAGTAACAGACCGCATTTTCACTTTACTACTCAATTTGCATCAAGTCCACGATCACAATTTCCAGTATGGTATTGCCCATAACGGGTTTGGCTCTCAGTTCAAACTCACGTCCTTCACCTCAAGATTGCGCGTTCCTTCCAGTTCCCAAATTGGAATTAACGGAACAATTCAGACATCGTATCCTGGTCTCCGTTTTGAACACATACCCGTGATAGTGCCGTCCGCAGAAGGAGTCAATGGCACCAAATTGCTGAATAGCTTGAACTTCAAAATAAACCTGGGAGAAACATTGTTGATATTGGGAAAAAATGGAGTTGGAAAAACGTCCATTATGCGTATAATTTCTGAGCTATGGCCGCTTTATCGTGGACTCCTGTCAAAGCCTGCACCACATGAGATAATGTATGTTTCGCAGAAATCTTACTTCATCAATGGTTCGTTACGAGATCAAATAATATATCCGCTAAACCACTTGCAAATGATTGAAAAGGGATACACAGATCTTCAACTTATAACCTATTTGAACGAAGTTGGGCTTGGGTATTTGATAGAAAGATTCGGAAGCTTGGATTACCATCCAAATGAAGCTGCAACGATTATGACAGATGAGTTGATTGTTAACGGGAAAAGTGTCAAGATATACAATTCCAATGTTGGTCTGGGAGACGGGAAGAAAAGCTGGCATACGTTGCTTAGTGGAGGCGAACGCCAAAAATTGATAATGGCGAGAGTGTTGCTTCATCAGAAGAAATTTGTGATTCTTGACGAGCCAACAAATGCAATATCCTATGACTATGAGGATGCAATTTTTGAAATGATGAAAGCTAAGAAGTTCACCTTCATCACCATCAGCCACCGTGAGACTTTGGTAAAGTACCACGATTATGTTCTTCGCTTGAATGATGTCGACAATCATGAGTTCGAGAAAGTAGATGATGGCCTGAAGACGTTTGAAAGCATGGACAAAGAGATTGCATTCCTCAAAGCAGAACTCGAACACATGGATAAAGCCAAAGAGCGGAAACAGGAACTCCTGAATCTACTGAATGGCCCAGAAGATTAAGTGTTACCAAGGAAAAGCCCCTAAATCATTGTATGCGGCTTTTGCTTCAGGAAAAGTAAGCTGATCAAAACCCAGGAATGTATTGAGGACAGGCTCTGGTTCTTGTGAATAAAACTCTTTGCCGAGACCGCGTTTCAATGGATCTCTAGAGACTTTTTTGTCGTATAATTTGGATCCAATGCAGCCAAACCAGTCCTGTTCGAACAGATCGGTTGCAAATTTCTTTTCGCTAAAGTGGAGATCATCAAAGTAGCGCTTACGTTTGGTTTCCCATTCATGCTCTGGAATCTCAAAGGTTGCAGCGTCAGGATAACTAGGACCTATTCCATAGTATTCAACATGTTTCAACCTCAGAACTTTGGCATGCAACTCCAAAAATCTGTATCTTTTGAACTCAAAACCGACGATCTTAGTTCTTTGTGGAAATGTTCCGGTTCTTTTACGGAAAAGGGCAATTGCGAGAAGCAAGTTTTCGTAGGAGTCCCGCGCATACTCATCTAGATATATTCTGTCTTCGTTTTGCTTGGTGATTAGACCTCTTAGCCGTGCAACTTGTAAATAACTGTTACTTTCGGATATGCTCACTCCCTTTTTGGTGAATCCTCCAGATATCACCAGACGTGCGTCCGGATTTGCATCCAAAAGTTCGAACGCTTTATGAATATGTTCCACAAAAGAGAGGTGGTCGTTGGCTTCGTACTGAAACGGAGCTAGGATCCAATCGCTTTGATTGAATCCCGGTCCGGCATCTCTGGGTCCCAATTTATTCTCACTTGCATTAGCGGACTCGGCTGCGGTGAACACGGAGTGACAGGGAAGTAAAATCAGTGTAGTCATATATTTTGAAAACAATCTAGTATCAACAAGTAATGGGCAGAATCCATCGACGCGACGCTGAAATAATTTTTTTTTTTTTTGATAAATTTTTAGATCTATCAGCCATGCAAGTAGATAGACCACAGACAAAACAAAGCTCCAGAAAAACCAAGAAAGCATGGAGAAAAAACATAGATCTAGATGATATTGAGTCAGGGCTTGAACAGAAGCGCGAAGAGCTGATTCAACATGGTCAGGTTCTAGATAATATTGATTCTAAAGACCTTTTTTTCATAGATGATGAAGCTGATGAGAAGGTGGTGAAGAAGATGAAACGTGAGAACGTTAAGCTACTTAAGTCGCAAGAAATCTTGAATCAACGATCCAAAGTACCAGGTCTGGAGATAGAAAGGCATAAACGGAAAATCCAGGGCGTTGAAAAGAGAGAAGTGCATAAACTGATGGAGCTGGCTGGAAAAGTTCAGGGCGTGACCAAAGCCCAAGCAGCAGTGAGCGATGAAGGGCTGGTGAAAGTTAGCAAAACTTATGATGTGTGGTCTGAACCAGAATCCCGCGAGCAGAGTCCAAGTTTAGCAAGCTATACTCCCGCTACGAAGGCCCCTAAGACCCTATCAGAGCCTCCCATCAAGGTGAGAGAAGTGGAAGTTCTTCCTCACGAAGGTAAGTCCTATAATCCGTCTTTTGAGAGGTGGCAAGAATTGATCAAGACGGAATCATTCAAGGAAAGCACCAAAGAGGAGCAAAAATTAGCTCTGCAGGAGCACCAAAAGAAAATTCAGTACATGATTGAAAACTTTGATGATGAGGAGGTTCCGGAAGACGACCAAGAAGAGGAAGAAGAGGAAGAAGATGCAAGTGATGTGACAAAACTGTCGCTAAATCCAGCTGTTAAAAACAAGGAGAAAACCAAAGCACAGAGAAATCGGGAGAAGAGACATAAAGAGAGAATGAAGCTTGAGACCGAAATGAAGGAGCTGAAACAGAAAATCAAGGAACTGGAAACGTTACCTGAGCTGCTATCAGAAGAGGCTCCTGATAAAGTCAAAACGAAACAGGACAAAGTTGCCAAGGAAAAGAAGAAGCTGGGAACGAAGCACCAACCTGTTGAAGGGTTGTTGGAAGTGAAACTGAGCGACGAACTGAGCGACAGTTTACGCAAACTGAAGCCAGAAGGCAATTTATTGTATGATCAGATGCGCGCATTACAGTCTTCGGGTAAGGTTGAGGCCAGAAAGCCTGTGAAGCAGAAGCGCAAGTACGCCCCAAAGATTACCGAAAAATGGACTTACAAGGATTTTCGCGGATAATATTAATAGCAGCCTCTCTATTTACTCGTATTCTGCCAGTAATCTTCCATTAATGCGATTGTTTCTTGAATAGCAACGACAAAGTCCGGATGTGAAAATTGCCCACTCAAACTAACGTAGCTGGGAACGTGATATTTTTTGGAGACAAGCCGTCCCATTCGTTTCCCAAGGTCCACAAGGGTTTCTGAAGAGTTGTTGAGCAGAGTCTGATATACCTGAGGCGTGGTTGTCTGTTTCCTTGTATCAACGATGGAGTATACGTAACATCCCAAATTAGCGTTTGACCCTTCGGTGCTTATGTGAATTGTGATCGGAACGGTGTTTCTGGCATTTGCAAGAGGCTTGCTGTTTGGAAACGTGATAACCGCATCAAAAGAGGGGCCAAAAGAGGGCGTCAGAGTCTTGACTATGCTTTGAGTACTCATGGTTCGCAATAAGTGCGGCTCGCTCTATTTTTTTTTTATCCTCGAGCCGCAGTGGAAAAAAATTATAGTTCAACGGCACTCTCATAAGATGTCTATTCTTCTAGTCGACTCGTACGATTCGTTCACGTACAATTTGCGCCACCTTGTTGAAAAAGCGACAGGCGCACATGTGCTGACAATTCATAACGATTCATACGATTTCCCGCGTGAGAAGGAGTCTCTCGACAAACTAGTTGGATCAGTCGATGCTATCGTGATCGGTCCAGGGCCTGGAAATCCCAATTCTGCGCAAGACGTAGGCATCATTCCCTATCTCTTTGAGGCATTTCCGAAGACCCCGATTCTTGGAATTTGCCTCGGGTTCCAATGTTTATGTCTGGCGCATGGTTGCACATTAAAGTATCTCGAGCACCCTGTCCATGGTCAGGTCAGCAAAATCACCCCGATAGATAAAAGCTCCATATTCAGTGGTTTTGATTCAGAATTCAATAGCGTGCGATACCACTCAATCTGTATTTCCACGGTAACTGACGACATTATGCCCCTCGCCTATTCGGAGGACCAATGTTTGATGGCAGCCAAACACGCACAAAATCCACATTTTGGCGTCCAGTACCATCCAGAGTCCGCCTGCTCGGAGATGGGGAGCAAACTGGTATCGAACTTTTGGGCGTTGGTTGAGAAAAGTGAGAGAGTTCCTATTAAAGACTCGCACCTTTTGCAGATAGAACCACTGATCAAGCACTTTCAAACCACCTCGGAGTTCGACTACAAATATGAAAAACTACCCAAAGTCGACATCATATCGGCATGCGAGCGATTTTCAGACTCGCTCCTGCTAAACAGTGCCGTGTCACCGGGGGAATGGTCCATAATAGGACTACCTGAGCAAGGAAGGAGCCTGGTGGTTGGCAACTCTCGCGAAGCAGGGTTGTCTATTGGAACTTGGAAGGGAGAGACAAAGTCTCATCCAGACTCGATGTGGTCCTATATTTGCAACTATATGTCCCAGCGGTACTACGAGCCCACAATCGATGACCCAGAGCTGGCGAAATGCCCGTTTGCTGGAGGTTTCATTGGGTTTTTGTCGTACGAGGAATCTCTACCGTTAACAGTGAGCAAAATCACTCTAGGACCGACTCCAAGCACCAGGCTCTGTTTCGTGGAGCGGTTCATTGTCAGCAACGACAAGCACACGTTTGTGGTGTCTATTCGGCCAGGAGACAGTCATTGGATACAGCAAGCAAAGAGTCAGCTGCAAACCAATAAAAGACCCGGCTTTTTATCCTCAGTGCAAGCCAAAGTGGAAAAGCCGGACAAAAAAAGCTACGAGAAAAGCTTTCACGACTGCCAGAAGTATCTTCACACTGGAGACTCATACGAGTTATGTCTGACTCGCCAGACCAAAATACACGTTCCGAAAACCATTGCTCCATGGGAAATATACAAATGCATGGTAAAAAACAATCCCTCCCCGTACTCATGCTATCTGGACTTCGGCGACGCAAGGCTTCTGTCGACGTCTCCCGAGCGGTTCCTTAGCTGGGACAACGAGCTGTCTCAGATGAGGCCAATAAAGGGGACTGTGAAAAAGGACTCGCAACTGACCTATGCCAGAGCCTGCGAGCTGCTGAAAATACCAAAAGAGATTGGAGAAAACCTCATGATTGTGGACCTGATTCGCCACGACCTCTACCAGATGCTGGAGAAGGTCGAAGTGACGAAGCTCATGTCCGTGGAAGAGTACCACACTGTGTACCAGCTGGTTTCAGTTATCGAGGGCCGGTTGCAAGACAGTGGCTACTCGGGAATTGATATATTGCGGCACTCTCTTCCGCCAGGATCGATGACGGGGGCGCCAAAAAAGCGCAGCGTGGAGATTCTTTGTGACCTTGAGGACAGAATCCCAAGGGGATTATATTCTGGAGTGTGCGGATACTGGTCTGTCAATAATCACGCCGACTGGAGCGTGGTTATCCGTTCGCTGTTCAACTACGAAGACGATATTTGCTCGACAGAGACCACGAGATGCTTCAGATGCGGTGCTGGCGGAGCAATCACAGTACTGAGCACGTGCGAAGGCGAATGGGATGAACTGAACTTGAAACTAGATAGTGTCTTGAAAATATTTAACTGATGCTAATTTTCTAGCTGAACTCTGTTGCGCGCAGCCAGCGACCCAGAAAACGTAAACTTGTGGCCGGCGTGCTGCTGGGCCCGTTTCGTGGACTTTTCACTAGCAGCACCGTACCCACCTCCTCCGGGTGTGAGGATCCGAATACGGTCTCCTGCTGCCACCTGGACAGAAGAGCGACCACCGATGTTGATAATCCGCTCCGAGTCCTGACCTTCAGTATCCTTCGTCTTCTTGATCCATAGGTTCACGCCCCTGGCGCCGTCCTTGCCGCCAGAAATTCCATGCGGCGCAATCACCCGTCTTTCGGAAAGAATCGAAGCCGTGACAGGAACCCTAAACTCCACATCTCTCACGACACCATCGCCTCCTCTGTGCATACCATCACCACCGGAGCCTTCTCTGATAGAGAACTCGCGCAGGATGATAGGATACCTCTTCTCGAAAACCTCAGGGTCTGTAATTCTGGTGTTGGTCATGTTCGTGTGCACTCCAGAAACACCTTCCCATTTGGCAGACGCTCCGTGGCCACCAGCAATGGTCTCGTAGTATCCGAATCCTTGAGCGTACTTTCCGTCTGGAGTATTTCCACCAGTACCAAAGGTGAAGTTGTTGCAGCATCCCTGGGAGTCCGCCATCACGTGGAAAGCTTTCAGTATCGTGTCGGTGATACGTTGCGAGGTGCACACGTTTCCACCAACGACAGCACAACCGTCATCGGGAGACAGGAGCGAGCTTTCAGGAATGACCACCTTGATAGGGTCTAGACATCCTTGGTTCATCGGGATGTCCTCGTCCACAAGACACCGCAGACAGTAGATTATGGCAGAAAAAACGATGGCTCTTGGAGCATTAAAATTATTGTAGGCCTGTGGAGACGTTCCTGTGAAATCAAACACAACCTTGCCGTCTTCGCGGTCCTTGCGAACCTGCAATTGAATAGCGCTGCCGTCGTCCATGTAGTCTGTGCAAGCGAGGTTTTCCTCGCCGTGCTCTTTGATTAGCTGGTCCAGCATGGCAGAAACTGTCTGTTTGGCATTCTCCTGAATAGCAGTCATGTATCTGATGATGGTAGGAAGTCCAAATTCGTCCACGAGACGTTCAATGAGAGAAATTCCTTTCTGGTTGGCCGCGACCTGGGCTTTCAAATCGGAGATGTTGTCGGACAATCTTCTAGTTCCGGAGCTGCCCGGGAACTTGGCAGGGTCCTCTAGCATGATCTTGGTAATCTTGTCCATTTGGAACTCTCCGTTTCTCACGAGCAGCTCAGAGTAGAAGGTAGCACCTTCTTCCCACAGCTCCTTCGAGTTTGGGGGCATGGACCCTGGCAAGATACCTCCAATGTCGGCGTGGTGTGCACGCGAGGCAACGTAAAATATGATGTTGTCACCGTCAAAGGCTGGCGTGATCACCGTGATGTCTGGAAGATGAGTTCCACCGGCAGAAGGATGATTGGAAATAAGAACGTCGCCAGGTTTCAGCTTGCCTTCCCAAAGTTTGGCCTGAGTAGCGACACAGGTAGACATCGATCCCAAGTGGACGGGAACATGGGGCGCGTTGGCAACTAGATTCCCGTGAGGATCGAACAACGCACACGAAAAATCGAGTCTCTCCTTGACGTTGACAGAAACAGAGGTCTTCTGCAAAGAAATGCCCATCTGCTCAGCAATATCCATGAACCGGTGGCCAAAAATGGACAGCAAAACAGGCTCTACGACAATTTCCTCGTCGCCAGTGGTGATAGACTTCTTCTCCTCAGTCAACTGGATAAGCAGGTGAGCGCTCAATACAGTGGCCGTGGCCTTTGGCGGAATAACGTTGGTCTGCGTACCGTCGGCAACAATGGCAGGTCCGACAATTTGAGTGCCAACATCAAGCTGCTCAAGTCTGTACACAGGAGTGTCCAGGTCCTCGTCACCCCAAAACGTTTTCTTGACAAACTGGACTTTGTCTTTGGAAACGGTAGCCAGACGGTTTTCAGACGTGAGACGCTGCAGCTGGTCGTCCACGTACTCTTCCTGTCTGTCGAGTCCTTTTCCAATGGCTCTCACACGAATATCGTCCACAATGATTTCTTTGTCGAAAATAAAGCCAAACTCGCGCTTGTGGAGTGCAAAGAAGTTCTCTTTGAAGTCCCAGCCTTTGCCTTTGACCACCATGAGTCCAGACTCTGTTCCCTGGTATCTCAGGTTCAGATACTCCTCGAACGAAATATCTTCGCTCTTAAAGCCCTGGGCCTGTAGAGACTTCGCAGCCTGCTGCTTGAGTGCCTCCAGACGGGCCTGAAGAAAAGGCTGGCTACTATCTTCTAGCAGGTACGAGGACGGCTCCTGCACCTCCTCGACAACGTCAGCCAACGCCATGCCGTATGCCGACAGAACAGAGGAGAACCTGTGCACCAGCACCACAGAGATATTGAGCAGCTTTGCCACGTCGCACGCACACTGTCCACCAGCACCACCAAAGGAAACCACTCTGTGCTTCGCGAGCACGTGACCTTTCGCTTCTGTCAGCTGGCGGACTGGACGGGCCATGGTCTCGTTGGCGACTTTGAGGAAGCCCCACGCGGCCTGCTGGACGCTCATGGCTGGGAGATGTGGGTGGGCGGCATTAATCTTGTCGGTCAACTCTTGGAATTTCTTTTCGGCGATCTCAATATCCAGCGGCTGGTCTTCGTTGGGCCCAAAAATGCTAGGAAAATACTCGGGCACGAGTCTTCCCAAAATCAAATTAGCGTCGGTGATGGTTAAAGGACCACCCTTGCGGTAGCACGCAGGGCCTGGGTGGGACGAAGCAGACTCAGGGCCGACCGTCATGAGACCGTTTTTGAAATCAAGAATGCTGCCTCCTCCAGCAGCCACCGTGTTGATATCCAGCTGTGGAGATTGAATGGTGATGCCGGCAGTGGTGGTCTCGAAAACGTGATCAAACTTGCCGTCTCCAAACCGCGAAACGTCCGTGGACGTTCCACCCATATCGAAACCAATCAGGGGGATCTTATTTTTCGGGTCGTAGCAGGTCTTGGAGTACCCAACAACGCCTCCAGCGGGACCAGACAAAATGGCCCTGAGACCAGAGAATCCGGAAGCGTCGACCAAGCCACCGTCTGACTGCATGAACTGGCATTTCACGCCAGAAGTCTTCCCGTGAGCAACGCTGGCCAAACCGTCTTTGAGGCCTGATTCAAAGCCAGACAAGTATTTCTTGATTTCTGGAGTCAAGTATGCATCTGCCACAGACGAGTTGGCTCTCGGAACAAGCTTGATCATTGGGGTGAGCTTGTGCGAGAGCGAGATATGACTGAATCCAACTTCCTCAGCAATTTTGCCAACCAGAAGCTCGTGGTCTGGGAAGGTGAAGGAATGAAGCAAACAGACGGCCAAAGACCGGACACCGGTCCCATACAGGATTGTCAGCAGACTTCGGATTTCATCCTCGTTGGGTCTCTTGAGCACGCGGACAGTTTCCCCAGAAAGACCCTTGACCAGATCAGCACCGTTTGGTGCGGTGTAATTTCTCTGAGGATCCTCTACGAAATCCTCCAAGGTGACTCTCTCGTCGATCTCCACAACACTCTCGTAGATGGCATCAGGCTTGGCGATGGATAAATCAAAGATGTGTGGCCGAGACTGATTGCCAATGCGAAGAATATCCTTGAAGCCCCGGGTGGTCACCAAAGCGCAGCGCTCGCCTTTTCTCTCCAAAAGAGCATTGGTAGCAACGGTGGTACCCAGACGCAGATGCTGAATTCTGGAGGTGTCGAGTGGCTGTCCACGGGGTATTTTCTGGCCAGTGTAAATCTCCATCAGTCTTCTGATACCTTCTAGGTTGGCATCAGGATAATTTTGAGGATCCACAGATAAGAGCTTGATGATGACGTCTTTCCTGCCGGAGTCGGAGTCCCAACTACCAACACAGTCAGTGAACGTGCCTCCTCTATCAATTGCAATTCTCACACCTGCCATTTTGTTTTGCATGTCAAGAATCCACAGAGTATTTATACTGTACGTTCAGAGAAATTCCGTTAATATAAAACGATATGGCGGAAAACTAGTCCCGATACCTAAAAAAAATATAATATTATCACCTGCACACCCTCAGGTGTGGCTATTGTTTGTGCACCTGACCAACAATATGCTTTTCTCTTTCGCTCTTGTACTGTTTGTTCTTGGAATGTCTGCGCTCGTTGTTCTCGCGGCGCTTCTGACTCTCGATCTCTATTCTCTTGATCTCTCCTGCTTTCTTGACCACTGCTGGGAGATGTCTGTGTCTCTGTATTCTTCTGATCTCAGGCATGTTGCCGTATCTCTCCTTCAGCTTTTCGTCGTATTCCAGCTTGTTTCTGAGTCTCGTGGACTTCGGGCCTGCTCTTTCGTTCGCCTTGGCACGCCAAAGTCGCACATTGCCCTCGTCAGAACCCGAAAAAATGTACTTGCTATCCATCGAGAATTTAGTGATGAAAACATGTTGCATTCTTTTCGTGTGGTAAATGTCTCTCGAGTGTCCCTTTCGGTACCCAAAAATTCGGATCGTCTTGTCGTAGGATCCTGTCACAATCTCTTGACCAGTAGGAGAAAAGTCCACGTCCATCACTGCAGAAACATGGTCTTTGAAGACATTGATAGAACGCGACATGTTTCTCATATCCCATAAGTATGCGTTGTGGTCCTCACTAGCGGACGCAAAAACGTACGCCTGCATCGGGTTCCAACAGAGCGCGTTGGAGCGCATGCTGGTTTTGATCTTTTGCGTAGGCGAATTTGTGCGGATATCGTACAGAATTAAGGAGTTGTCTGAGCCAGCACTGGCAAACACAGAGGTCTCTGTCTGATTGAATCTGACCGTGGTGATATTGTCTGCTCCCCAGGACAAATCGGACACTGGGCGACTTCTATTCACATCCCACAAATTGATAGTGGCTCCACCGGTGACAAACAAAGTGTCATTGTAGTGATGGTCTAGAGACTGGAACGCATGCTCGCCCAAGAAAGTCTTTTCTAGGCCCTGGGTACTGGACTCAGATTCGTACTCCTCTTTCTCAAAATTCTCGTCGTACACTTTCCACAATTTGATTGTCTTGTCGTGGCCACAAGATAGAAGCTTGTGGGTTGGAGTGACAACTAGCCCAGAACACATACCATAGTGCGCCTTGAAACTGTACAGTTCATCCCTTGTCGTTAAGTCCCAATATTTGATGACGCCATCTCCGGAACCAGTAGCAATCCTGTTAACAGTGCGGAAGTTCTTGGCGATTGAATACACACCGTCACGATGTCCGTTGCCTAGTTGTCCTATGAATGGTTGTGCAAACATGCGCTCGAGTTTGGTGGCCGTCAACGCCTTTGTGTACTCTCGCGCGCGCTCAAATGGATGAAGAGAGGGATCCAAGTTACGCGGGAGCGAGCTTTCCTGGGTATTTCGAACGGGCACATAAGTGTCCGACGATCTTGAGATGGTCTTGATCTTCATTAAAGTTAAAAAAATTTATTAGCACAGCCGGCCTATATAATTTAATTTTTTCGTGAAACGAGGTCCGATTATCTAATCCATTTGGACCTTGTGGTCTCCAACAGGAGGTGGCGAAACAGAATATTTGATGGCGTCACTGTAGCTAGGAGGCTGCGAGGAGGATTCTTGCGGAACCTCCTCATGAGGAGTGTCTGGACCAGAGTCTTCGTAATAAAACTGGGCGGCTGGACGCTGTGGAGTAGGAGAGACAACGTTCTGAGGCTGAGGCTGAGCTTCTGTATCCTCGTTGAGGGCCTGGTACTCCCCATTGCCGTTTGCATGGGCCCTGATTCTTGACTCAACGCCCTGGTCTGATCCAGTCACCAAGCTCGTGTCATAAACAATATATATTGCGTAGAGGAGGCCCGGAAGATGTGCCAAGATGGTGAGCAGCACGACAATTAGCAACTCGCTGCTGAAAAAACCCTTCCGGAGGAAAACTGGAACTGGCGGGAAGATGAAAGCCAGGAAATACAGAAGTACGTCCGTAGGGTCCACCACGTAGCCAAGGACGTGGAAAGAGTTTGGATGCTGGTCCCTGTTCATTGACTGGTATTGCTAGATATTTTTAGTGTAGTCCGTGGCTGTGTTAATTAATATCAGCCACTTGCTAGATAATTAGATTGACTTAGCATATTATATTTCGGGAACAGTCCTTCTATTTTGAAACACCCATCAGAACAATTACATGGAAGTTGTGCCATCTTTACAACCACGAACGAGCTTGTCCAGTGCACAAAAAGTGCCACGAGAGACGGCCCAGGCCGAACCCCGCCACCGCGGCTCTTTCGATCATAGGCGGAAAAGCTCAAACAGTGAACCTTTCAGAAGTGGCCGTTTTTCGTGGGTGAAGCGGCTGATGAATAATAACAAGCCGGTTGCACCTCAGCTTTCTCACGGCTCCAGCAGCTCCAGCAGGGACACAAGGAAGACAGAACCTGTCAGACAGGAGGCAAATTCGGTGACAGGAATACGAACACCAGACGAAAGAAGCAGTTTCTGTAGCACCGAGGCCTCGACAGGTGATAATGCCAGCACGAGACCCATCCTGTCGAATTCCTCAGACGAAAGCGACAACGAAGATGACGAAATCGATTCGAGCTACAAATATTACGATTCTTCAATCAAGTCCACGGCAATGACCTCTATCGCGCCAACAGCATTGACTTCTGCCAGCAGCTCTGTGCCGAGCAACATGATCATCGTGCCCGGCGGTTCAAGCAGCACACACGGTCACGGCACAAGCATTTTAAGCTATACTGGGAGCACCACTCCGACAGCCGTTTCATTTTCTCACCAAACGGCTCACGGCGCAGACTCATCCTCTGTGATTACGATTGCAAGCTCAACTCGAAACAAGAGACGTCGCAGCATCGACACCAATGCTTCTACATCTGCAATTCCTCCAGCAAGTATTTTTGAGCGTATCATCACCGCAAACACCAGTACGTCGAAGCTTGCAGCCTCCGAGGCTCCTTCGCGTGCTGCTGTCAGTGAACAGGATTCTGTGGCATCAGGAGATTACTGTTCTGCGGCTTCTCACTGAGCTATCAAGGTCGTGCTACCAGATCAATTTTATGTAAAAAATGTAAACAAATGGCGTACAGGTTTTTAATTTCTAATTAAAGTGACTAGTTTCAGTATCCTGGCCGTCTGCTTGGCAAGATTATATCCCTACTTCCCGTGAAGAAGTGGTTAAGGGGACGCTAGATACCCCATTAGTGTCTGGAATTTTTTTCACTTCCTAATATGGGTGCCAACACCTGCGATGGAGACGTGTATATCCATAACTTGGCCACGTTCATAAAATCTCACGAGCGCCAGCTAGCCAATGCTCTAGTGGCGTACAAGAAGAATGCTCCTAAGACAAACACAAATGGCAAGTCCAACTCTATGCCGAGACAACAGCAGCAGACGACAAAGCCCGTCAGACTGTCTCTTTCTCTTCACCATCTGTATTTTTTATTGGGTAAATTTCAGGAACTGGGCATCAGCGTAGGCCCGATGAACATTCGACTGGACAATATTGATACTGAGAGCTCTAACAATTATGTTTCGTTTCTGAGTGAATTTCAAAGAAACAAGGCTATACAATCGGACGCTCAATCGATTCACTCAATGTCTAGTGTCAAGTCAGTTATGTCTAGTGTGTCAGCACTGTGGACTACACTAAGCTCAAGTGGCCAAAAGGGAGACAATATCATCAATGATCTCAAATACCTATATTCTGCATTTACAAAACTCCCTTGTCTTAGGCTGGCGACAGATCCCAATGCCAAACTTATCGAAGGTCACGAGGAATATCCTTTCGATACGTCAACACCTATAAAGATATTCAAGAACCTTTCTGTTCTAGAGATCTCAGACATGGATCCGAAGGAGATTTATGGCTGGCATATACTGAGCGAAAACATTAGATTTTTGGTTGTCAAACGTACGAATATCACAGATCCTTACGACATTCTTGTTACATTGGTCAGCGACGACATAAACAAGCGTGGATCAATGTACTCCGAAGATTCAGAGCCTTCGCCTTCATCCACTTCGTCTCTCGCGATTCCAATGACCAAACGAGGCTCTTTTTCTTCCCCGTCTGTTCACAACTCTTCAACTTTATCTAATTCATATGTATCATCTCACCATCACTACCTCAGCGGATCACTCCCGGAAACCACGTCACCACCGTCATCGTATCACGCCTCACGACTTCCCACTGACGACAAATATGCATTAATTCCTAGAAGACAGTATCAATACCAGCACAAATCAAGGTTTACCCCGAAAGATGCACTACCTACCATTGACCAGATCCCTACTTCTTCAAACCCGCATGAGTTCTCTAAAATCCATTGGAGATTACTAAAACATCTGTCGCTCACAGAAAACAAATTAACTAGAATTAGTGAAGAAGCGTTCACCAATCTGGAGAATCTATCGTCTCTTGACTTGTCGTACAACAATCTGACAGAGATCCCACACAGTGCACTAGCCAAACTTCGTAATCTTAAGTCATTGAACCTCTCGTACAACAAGCTGGTCAGCACAAAAACGTTCCCAAAAACATTGAACAAATTGACCATCCTCAACTTGCGCGGTAATCTATTATCAAACTTGGACACTCTGGAGAATGCCACATCATTGGAGAAAATCGATCTGCGACAGAACAAGCTGACCAAAATTGCTGAAATGAAGCCGCTTCTTTTGTTGAATAATGACGTTGTGAAGCTTAACATCTTGTACTTGGTTGGTAATCCTGTGGCCAGCAACAGAGGTTACAGAATTGAGCTATTCAATTTGTTTAATGGAGTTGACTACTCAAACGATCTACGCATCGATGGCTCAAAGCCTGGAATATTTGAGTCGAGATTACTGCTTGATGCAAAATCTGCTCAACTGAAGCTAAATAAGTTTTTGGACGCCAGCATAATTTCAAAAATGGCCGAAAGCGTTTCCACGATGAACATCAACAAGATAATTACTACCACGACTACGGGAGATAATTCGATGTCATCGGATATGCTAAATAATCGTATGAGCTCTCAGTCACGAGTGAGCATGTCCTCCAAAGAAAAACTCGAGGACGCACGGGATTCAATCGATTCAAGGGCCTCACAGCGGTCGAAGCCTCCGCCTTTGAATTTGGACAGCCATAAAACACAGTTCACAGCCCCTCAAGCTCAGATATTGACGCCAAATAAAAATCTCTTGAACTCTTCTGATCAGATGCTACCACCGCAGAAACCTTTTTCCCAGAAAGCATCGTCTGTACAATCCCCAGCTACAGGAAACATGCGGGAGCAATATGGATCAGCGGCCCCGATATCTGAGACTACCAAGAATACAACGCTGGCTACCCCAGCTAGTGCGAACTACACCTTTGAAAAGCCTCAGCTGGATCAAGGATCACAGCTTCCTTCGCCAGGCGCTTCAAGCCAGCCGTCGAGGGCGGTGTCGATTGATGAGAATATTTACCCTTCAGGGATGATTTTGACACGGCAGGTCAACGCTTCAAATTCATCACTAGCCACATCTTCCTCGAGAAAGCCCTCTCAAGAAGCCAACCCAATCAACAAGATTAGCCTGGCTGCGCCAGCACTTCCGGTGATTACGCAAGCCACTACAATGACCACAGTCTCTTCAGATCCTCCCACGCCTCATAGCCAGCGTCGCAGCGCAGACAACGATTACTTTGCCGGTGCTGTAGCTTTGCAAAGTCCGATCAAAGCTCATACTTTCCGTCATTCTGATGCTAGAATCGAGCCTAACCCCGAACCAGCATCAGCCATAGACGTTTCCATAATGAACATGATACGCGAAACCAAGGACGAGGCCGGCCAGCCCGAGCCCAATTCCAAAGAGGAGCTTTCGCAGGGACATAGGATATCCGTCAGCTGATTTTCAATTCCAGGGCCTCTGTATAACATATGTAATTTAGTGCATTACAATCATGGCACCGTTATCTGCGTAGTGTTCCTTCCTTGGGCTAATAATCCAGCAACGGTAGCACCGGCTAATGAAGAAGTCTCCATGGTGCTGATCAACTGTTCCATACCATTGAGGTAGTAGAGGTTTTCTGCAAGCTTGAACTCGCTGAACTTGCTTATTGGACTCAAATATGGATAGCTGTACCAGGTTTTCTCGTACTTGTTTGAGTATTTTCCGAACAATCCTTGTAATAGCTGTTCATTCAGACTCTGGTAGCTGAACACTTTATACACGTACTCCTGGTACTTATCACTATATCCCACCAAGCCAATCGAGTTGAACTTATCACCACCAGTGGTCAAGACTGTTTGTGGGGTCTTTTTGTTATTGAAGTACGAGCTTTCCGACAACAAATGTGGTGTTCTCACCAGAGTAACGTAAAGATGGACATATTGAACGTTGGTCAGAGACACAGAAATGTTAGTTTTGATCTCTAGTTGGTCATACGGCCCTGCAAGGACAACAATATCGTAGTCTTCGGTGTGCGAGCCATACGAGACAGCGTATCCTGAAGATGTTTTAGAGATTGCCGTTATTGCGGTATTGAGTCGCAGATCAGCATCGGAGGCTTGTATCCATTTCTCGAATATTTGGTTATTTCCTCCATCGACATGCAACGACGACTCTCCCGAGAGCAGCACCAAACTTCCCAGCGAATGTATTGTAGTTAGATCCTGAGCATAATTATTTCGGGTTAGTGATTGCACAAAGTTTTGGTAGTTAGTGCTCACCCATATAGAACTGAAGAGGTCCTTGGCTGCCACCGTAGTATATTTTAGCAGACCGGTGACCGAATTGAGCGAAGATAGAGGATAGTATTTTTCATAGTATTCGTTAAGAAACGTCTTCATAGCAGTTTGCTGCTGATACTTCACAACCGCAATGGAGTATAGACCAAACCTCCACACAAGTTTGAGGTAGGTAGCCACAGAGTTTGAGGAGGGCTCCAGTATATAGTCCATGGACTCTCCGTTCCAAAGTGCGAACGAGGTGGAGTCAGAAGAGCTGTTTGCGAAACTCAAGTTAAACTCTTCAACAGCATTGTAGAGAATTTTATTGTCCTCAATAAACATGCTCGCTCCCAATTCTACTTCGACCCCATCAAAGTCAATATTGGTGGCCCGGCCCCCCACATAGCTATTTTTCTCAAATACTGTGATGTTGAATTGATAATCGGTGAACTTCTGGAGGTAGTAAGCACACGAAGCACCGCCAGCGCCAGCACCCACAATAGCCACACGAGAGCTCGAAATGGGTATCGGCTGCTGTGCGAAACAAGAAACGACAAAACAGAGAATAAGGAGCATTTGGTACCTGCTGCTCGGTAAAAAAAATAATGTGGAAATTAGATACTCCAAGGATTAGATGTAGTCTATATAGCAAGAGCTGAATCAAGACGTTGCCGTTTCCAAGAAAGGCACCACGTCAGACTAATACAGGCAGTAATGGGGATCCTGAAACGTGTGAAACTCTACATGAGATCATTTGACACAAGGCTGTGCATCCAGAGTCAAGAAGTCGCCAATATATTGCAAAATGATGAGACGTGCTAAAGCGTTTTCGTAGTAGAAAATACTTGACGCCTGTGTCATTCTAGGAGAGCTACATAGGAAATGTGTGCTTGCGAATTGAATAAGATACGATGATCAATGGAAGTCTCCACCTGACAAGCTTTCCCGAGCGGCAGCTAAGCAAGACAAAATCATGTGGGGACATCTCCGACTAATGAAGGTCAGCAAAGTCAGCCTACAAAGTAGCCATCAAGAGCAATGGCACGGTGCTCAGTCAAATGCTCATTGTAATAGAGTGCACTGAGACTTACAATGGAAACCACTCGGGGCCCTGTGGCTCGCTTCGACGCTCAGTCAACACTCTGATGGCGCTAATGTTAGCTCAGATAACTCCGACAAAGGAGAAAACTGCTGCGCAGGTGCGGTACGCTACCGATGTGGCACCCGATCCTTGGCCATCTCCATATTAGTCAGAACACTTATCGATTTCCTTATCGGGAACAGATAGATAGCAAGTCACGTGAGTCCTATGTAATTTATCCACAGTTGTTCTCTGCCACCACCACAGCTTTGCTGAGAAAGAAACTATAAATACAGTTGTAGTTTGCTGGAATTTCCACATACAATCATGGTCGTTCCACTCACTGTCTACAGCAACAGCGATATTCACTTCAGAAAGGGAGAAGACACCATCCGGAATGGTGTCTACTCTATCTCTGATGAGAACTACAAGCGTCTCAAGTATCCAGCCTGGACTCCTACTTGGGATCCTAAGCACCAAATGGCATTCTCCAACCCTAAGCCATTTAGACACACCGACAGAGGATACTTTGGCGACCCTACTTTCCAGAACTTGTTTTCTGGAGATAAGGTTCAAACCAGAAAGCTGTCTCCTAAGCTTGGAACCGAGGTCACTGGCGTGCAGTTGAGTGCCCTCACCCCAAGACAGAAGGACGATCTCGCTCTGCTTGTGGAGCAGAGAGGTGTCGTCGTTTTCAGAGACCAAGACTTCAAGGACCAATCGTTTGACTTCATCAAGGACTGGGGCAGACATTTCGGTCCTTTGCATGTCCATCCTACCTCTGGAGCACCTCTGGGACAGCCGGAGTTCCACATCACCTTCAGAAGAGGAAGCAAGGATGAGGCCAGAAAGACCTTTGCCAACAAGCTGAACAACATCTCGTGGCACTCAGATGTTACCTACGAGACCCAGCCACCTGGAATCACTCTGTTTGGTATGTTGCAGACCGATGTTGGTGGAGACACACAGTTCCTCGATACCGTCGAGGCCTACGAAAGACTCTCGCCAACCATGAAGAAGCTGTTGGACGGCCTCAAGGTTCTACACACATCGAAGGACCAGGCTTTCAATGCCAGACAACAGGGAGGTATTGAAAGAAAGACTCCAATCGACTCGATCCACCCACTGGTCAGATACCACCCTGTCCTGAAGAAGAAGTGTCTGTTTGTGAACAGAGGCTTCTCGAGAAGAATTCTGGGCCTCAAAGAGGAGGAGAGTCAGGCCCTGCTGAACTTCTTGTTCAGACACCTGGACACCTGTTTGGACGCTCATATCCGTGCCCAATGGGATGAAAGAACCATCACCATCTGGGACAACCGTCGCCTGCTGCACACCGCCACCCTGGACTGGGACTCCGACAACCTGAGACACGCTTTCCGCTTAACCACCATAGCCGAGAGACCAATTGGCAGTGAGGAGGAATTCAACGAGTGGACCGAGGAACTGGAGGAGGAGAAAATCAAGCGCACGGAGGAGGACAGTCTCATTCCACCATACGAGTTTTACGAGAGATACTACAAATAGATGTTTGTGAAAATTACATGAAAAGTTTACCGTGAATTGCGTAAAAAAATCTATAAAACGTGCTAAGCCACGCAGTAGCCACCGTCAACTAAAATATCGCTGCCTGTGCAATAGCTGGCGGCGTCGCTGGCAAGGAAGACGTAGGCACCTGCGACTTCTTTTGGAAGAGCCAGTCTACCAAGCGGGATCAGCCCAAGCCATTTGTTCATCAGGCCTGCTGGCAGCTGTGCAACAAGCTCAGTTTTGACGTATCCGGGAGACACTGTGTTGACTCGGGCAAAACCTGCCCATTCGACAGCTAAACTGCGAGCGTAATGTGTGACAGCAGCTTTGGCGGCGTTGTATGGAGCCTGCAGTTGTGGGAAGTTCACAATGTGCGCAGACATGGAGGAGGTGATGATAAACGAGCCGGACCCCTGCTTCTTGAAATACTTGCCAACAGCTCTTGCGCAGTAATGAATGGCATCGACGTCCACGCTGAACAGTTTCTTCCACTCATTGATGGCCTCGTCGTCGTCCTCGATGGATAAAATCTCGCCTTTATCCCACGCTACACCTGCATTTGCCACGAAAATATCCAGCTTGCCAAAATCAGAAACGATCTTATCGACAGTGTCGTTCACTGCGTGGAAGTCAGTAACGGGACACTTGTATCCGCGACATTCCACGCCGTACTTGTCAGCGAACTCCTTGACGATCTCGTCGATGGGTGTCCGATTATAGAGAAGAGCCACCTTGGCACCTGCGCTGGCATAGGCTTCGGCCACAGCCAAACCAATGCCTTTTGAGGCACCAGTCACGACAGCTACCTTGCCTTTCAGGGAAAAAAGCTGAAAAGGAGTTCCATCGAGCTTTGGCTCTGGCCTTGGCAATTCGCCGATATCGAGCAATTGTGATTTCACCATTGGGAATCAAATGACTGGCAAAGAAATATATATATATATGCATGCATTGGTAGCAACTCTTTCTGGAATGACGTAATCGCTCTCTTGGAAAAACCCAGAATGGACTTCACTGCCGCACTCTGATTCACCGTCGAAGAGCGGTAAAACTGATCTTCAGATAACGTGGCCAAGCCATAAGGTCGTGTTAAAGGTGGAGTTTGATGTTTCAGCCTTTCAACACCCACTGAAATAAGTGCCCGATGCAGATTATTTACTCCGAGACCAGCCCGGTGCTGGTTTTTCAAGGCTGTGAAAATACGTAAATTTACCTTGTCACAATTGTAAACAAATGACGGATACTGCGAAAAGTCCTTATTGGCCCACAAAGTCTCCAGTGCGCAGATCGATGGACGCTCGCAACTCCGTGTTCAACCGTCTGTCACTGCGCAAGTCGACTCCCATGGAATCTTTACCCAAACAGCTCCACAAGAACTGGAAGATCACTGATTTCGAGCTCGGTCGTAAGTTGGGAAAAGGTAAGTTTGGAAAAGTCTACTGTGTGCGGGAGATCGAGACAGGGTTTGTGTGTGCGTTGAAGGTTATGGACAAACGCGAGCTGCTAAACTACAAGGTTGAAAAACAATTTGTCAGAGAGATCGAGATACAGGCGAATGTGCGCCACGTGAACTGTTTACGTCTATACGGGTGGTTTCACGATCACAGAAACGTGTACTTGATTCTCGAATACGCGGCTGAGGGAGAGCTTTACAAATTACTCAAATCCAAGCGGCGTTTTGACGACATCACCGCATCCTACTACACGTTCCAGGTCGCCAGTGCGCTCAGCTACCTACACAAAAAACATATCGTCCACAGAGACCTTAAACCGGAAAATATATTGCTTCATTTCAACAACCAGATCAAACTGTCGGACTTTGGATGGAGCGTTTACGCACCTGGGCACTCAAAAAGAACGACAATGTGCGGCACGTTGGATTATCTTCCGCCAGAAATGGTGGAAGCCAAAACTCACGACGAGAAAGTGGACGTGTGGGCACTAGGCATCCTGCTATATGAGTTTCTGGTTGGCAGGCCTCCATTCGAAGAACAGAACTCAAGCACCACGTACAAACGCATCGCCAAAGTGGATCTACGCATTCCCTCTTTTGTGTCACCAGATGCCGCCGACCTTATCCGCAAGCTACTAAAATACGAGCCAGAGAAGCGCTTCAGACTCTCAGAAATTGGCAAACACCCCTGGATACTCAAAAATCGGCTCCATTGGCCATCCACCTTCATGGGTCTCGAAAATACCTAATATATGTACAAGTATCGTTCATGCTAAACGTCTGTTATTACGCAACACCTTTGCAAGTCCCTTGGTGTTAGGAGCGCTTTTATCTTCCAGGATCAAGAACGCTCTTCCCGATTGGTTCATCCTTCCTGTCCGTCCCATTCTATGGACCAAGTCCGAGGTCATGTTTGGAATATTGTACAATACCACGTTACGCACACCGCGGAAATTTATACCCCTGGACATCAGGTCTGTGCAAACAAGCACTTTGAGTGTTGGCTTGGAAGGATCTTTCAATGGCTGTGGTGGACTGATGAAAGGCTCCAAGATCCGTCTCCGGTCCTCTGGTGTGTCGTCAGCCGTCATACTCTCCACATCATGTTTGTACCTCTCCCTGAGCTGCTGAGCTAGAATAGGAGCCTGTTTTTTCTCATTAACAAAGACAACAACTCGCTTTTCATATCCTGGCTCTGTTCCGTCACAGTGAATAGCATACAGAACTTGAGCTAGTGCTTTGAGTCGTGAACCGTTGTATGGTTTAGGTTTTGCGTCTATCACACGGATCTCAATTGCCTTAGGAATTTTATGAAGCGAAGGAGTGGTGATCGGAACAAAGTCGGGAAACAACGACTTCACCACTTTCCGCAGTGAGGAGGAGATGGTAGCCGTGACAAACACCAGATGCCGCAGACCGTTCATTTTCTTAAGCAGGTCATAGGTATCCTCGATGAAAGATTCGTCCATGAGCGTATCCGCCTCGTCAACCACGCAGAAACTAACATTTTTCAACAGCTGTCTGAGGTTTTGGATATCACTATATTTGGCCAAAGACGCCAATTTTCCTGGAGTGGTCACCAGAACGTCGATTCCCTGTCTATAACTATCCATAAAATTTTTGAAGTTCGAGTCCAGGTCCCACAGAACTGCTTTTGTACCTAGTGAAGTACTGGTATGCTCCACAGTTTTGAAGACCTGATCAACCAGTTCGTGGGTTGGAAGCAAGATAACGCTTCGTATCCCTGGTTTATTGGACTGCTCGAAGCCCTCTGCAAGATAAAACTCGCGCAATCTGTGCAAGAGTGGTGCCAAATATGCCCATGTTTTCCCCGATCCCGTTTCTCCTGCTAAAATGTAAGAATTAAGAAGCTTGGGAGTTTTTGGGGTGCCATTTATAATTTTGATAGCAGCTTTCTGGATATTAGTAGGCCGTATCACGAGGCCATTGAGCTCAGACTCTGACAATTTTTTTCTGTTGGGACTCATGTAGTTCTGGGACTTGAGAACGGTATTCTCTTTTAATTCTTCTATCATTGCTGACCTCACTTCGGGAAGTAGCTTGAGTTCATAAAACTCGTGCACGCGTTCGTAGAGCCCAGATAGGCCCCGAAGGTCCTCTTTGTCGAAGCTCTTGAGAGCTGGGCCGTTTCCGAATTTGTATGCCTTTTCTTCACTCGAGCCCATCTTTGGCTTGCCCGAGGACTTAGCAGGCGATCTCGCATATGATGCAAACCAGGCAACAGAATAAGAAAAAGGCCTCCTTCCGGAGACGTGCTGGGCTCTCTTGAGAGTGTGTGGTAACGTCTCAATGAACCGTGGCATAGATCAAGAGAATTTTATATATGTATATTTTTCATAAATTACCCTGCTATAAATTTTTCATCATCAAAACTCATCGACCAACGTCAACACCATGTCGCTGTCAGATTTGGTCTCACAATTGCAGATCTTCTCGAAATCTGACTCCCATAGGCAAGTTCTTGATTTGGGATCCAAGATCCTGAGTCAGGAGCCAACCAATGTTGCAGCTTTTAAGCAATGTCTGGTGGCCCTCATCAACCTTGACAATTACAAGACCGCCCGCGAAATGCTTGACAAACACAGTGACCTAATTGCTAAGAATCGCGAGATCCTCACCGTTGAGCTGGCATACATCTACTACAAACTGGATGACGAAAAGTCGTTAGCAGAACTTGTATCTCAGGGATCGAATAATCGCGGGCTAAAACATGTCTTAGCTCAACACTACTATCGTGTTGGTAAAAATGACAAGGCTTTGGAAATCTACAGAGACCTTTTGAATGACACCCCGCCAGAAGAAGTGCTGGATCTGAGTGTTAATGAGCGCGCTGTGCTTTCGCAGATGAAAGTGTACTCTGAGAACAGCAACCTACAGCCCGTTTCTGCCCCACACCCCAACTCATACGACCAGATATTCAATTCTGCTCTAATTCTTCTAAGAGATGGTGACTATGAGGGCTCGCTGGAGCTTTTGCGAGAGGCTAGACAGCAGTGTTTGGTGTCTCTTGCGGATTACGAAGAAGAGGAACAGCTGGAGGAACTTGCTCCTATAGACATTGAGATAGCATTTCTTACTCAACTGTTAAGCGGCAAAGATGCTGCCAAGCCGGTCTACGACGAAATAGATGTGTCGAAGTTGAAGAACCAAGTCTTGAAAGTTCTTATCACCACCAATCTGGCCTCCTTCGAAAATCAGCCATCTAATGCAGCTTCCTTGTACAAGGATCTTGGGCTACCCCAGTCCCTCACCAAAATTCTCGATAGATTGGCGATAAGGCAAATAAGAGATCTGCAGCGCAACGAAATTCTGTTAGCATTCAAAACTGGAAAATCCGTTACCAAATCTGCAGCCAAGCATGAACAGCAGTTTCCAGAGTCTTTACTGCCACAGGCGCTGGCTGGTATATCTAAAATAACAGATTTCGACTCCAAGAATCTTAAATCATCAAGCAATGAAAAGCTAGTATTTAGAGAGGCGATCAAAAATCCACAGAAGTTGGGCTTGTGTTTGTTTGCCGCCCAATTAAGTGTGAGTGCCGGAAAACATCAAAATGCCGTTCGCGTTTTAGAGACTGCGGTTCGAGCCGACTCGTCCGTGCTTCTCAGGCCGGCAGTTGCCTGCTTGCTTTTTGCAGTTTACGACAAGCTCGACAGAGAAAACGACAAAATTAAGCTACTTCTTAGCCTTTATCAGCATCTAATTTCCGCAGAGCTCAAGACGTCCGACCAGCTGAAACTACTCAAATTTGTGGCTTTCCAGATGATAACATTCGACGAAACAAAGTCCCAAGAATTATTTCAAAAGCTCCAGTCCGCAGTGTCTTCAGATCCCCTGGTTTCCGTCGTTTTGGGCAGACAAACAGAAACCAGCTTGGGCGATGTGTATCCGCTGATTTCCGAAGTCGACGCAGACTCGCTACTTGAACAAGGCCTGCAGCCATTGCTATCGAAAACATCCACCACCAAGACCGGTAAGGGAATCATCAAAGTGGAAAAAAGAAAGCGAAGCAAACCCAAAAAGCTTCCTAAGGACCTCTCTAAGAAACTGGACGAGGAAAGGTGGTTACCAATGAAGGATAGGTCCTATTACAAACCAAAGAAGGGCAAGAAGAGCAAGGACACCCAAGGAGGTGTTGTCGACCAAGCCGCAGAGGAATCCCTCAACATCGGTTCCAGTTCATCGTCTCCTGCCACCAGCAAAAAGCAGGCCGGCAAGAAGAAGAAGGGAAAGAAATAGCTCATGTACCAGCAAACATCATTAAGATCTATGTAAACAACGTATCCTCGTCTCTGAGATATTCTCCAATGTCTCCTTGACGGAAGACCACAATACCTGTTGGTTGCAAGTTTTTAGCTTCGATGGTCGACTTTGCGCTCACACCAAATCCTAAAGGCACGTCTGCCATGGAGAAGACTATCACTCCGGCGTGTTCTGGAATATCCTCGCTCATTTTTCCAACGTGTGCTTTGAGAACATGATTTCCGTATAAAAATGGCATCTCTCCATTTTGCTTGATCCAGACCTTGTATTTTGCGTATTGAGCAAGGTACTTCAGGGATGTAATGTGCAGCCTAAATTTTCCGGTTTTCGTGAACTTTCCAAAACACACGCCTAGAGACATGAGATTTGGTCTTGCGACAGAAGTTGCAACTTTCGCTATGCGATCACTGACATAATAGACTCTATCTTTTTGTAGTCTGAAAACATGAGGGTCTTCTTTGTTATCCACTAGGTATGCAATATTACGACCAATGTAGTTAGCCAGCTTCTCGAAAACCACCTTGGTTTCCTCCTCGGTGAGCGGTCTCATTGATTAAAAATATATCAAGTATTTTTTTGAAATTTTTTTTATCTTCAAGCACTGCCTTTTTAAAATTTTTCAGTATCTAGCATAGATGTCAGAGCCTGTCAATGAACGTACTGAGGAACCTGATCAAGTTGCTGAAGCCTACGACGACGACGAGCAGGGCAGCAGAAAAGACCCTAGCAACAAATGGCTCCGCACTCGGAAAGGAGACGTCGTTGGTGACACAGCCAAGAGACAGAGAGTCCTCAAGAAAGTCCAGGACACGTGGGTATGTTTTCGCAGACAGAGCATCTGGAGGTAAACTTCTGAAGACTTTGTCTACGAACGGTGAATCACTAACATTGCAGACGGATTTTGAATGAGGATGGTACCCCTAAATACGAGGATGAGGAAAGAAAACCCAAGAAGAAGGTAGCATGTTATTTGAGCTACTGTGGAACCGGCTACCACGGCATGCAGATGAACCCTCCCGCTAAAACTATCGAGGGTGACTTGTTTGACGCTTTTGTGAAAGCAGGGGCAATTTCTAAGAATAATTCCAACGATCTGAAAAAGAGCAGCTTCATGAGAGCTGCGCGTACCGATAAAGGTGTGCACGCCGCTGGAAATGTGATCTCGCTGAAGCTTATCATTGAGGATCCAGATCTGGTTGAGAAGATTAACAGCTACCTTCCCGAACAAATCAGATTCTGGGGCTATGAGAGAGTGAATAAGTCTTTTGACTGTCGCAAAGTGTGTTCGTCAAGAATCTATGAGTATCTAATGCCAACGTACTCATTCTTGCCTCCAAAGCCAAGCAGTCCGTTGGCAGCTCAAATCCTTGAGGCTGAGAAGGAGTTCCCTGGAACAACGAGGAAAGACCCAGAAGGAGAGAAGTTTTGGGAGGACGTGAACGTCGAGCTTGAAAAGGCTGGTATCACAGAAGACCAAATGGCGCAGATCAGAGAGGCGAATAGAGAAGGAATTCAGTTGACCATTCCACTCGAACTTGCCGACAAGAAATCTAGAGAAATCATGAACGCAGCCCGCAAGCGGTACAAAATTTCAGCCGAAAAGCTGAATCTACTGCGAGAGGCTCTGAAAATCTATCTTGGACCGCACAATTTCCATAACTTCACCAACGGGAAGGATTACAAGGATCCTTCTGCCATCAGATTCATGAAAAATATCACTGTGAGCGACCCAATTGTGGTGAACGACCAGGAATGGGTGTCTATCAAGATCCACGGACAATCTTTCATGCTCCATCAGATTCGTAAGATGATTGCTATGGCCACGCTTGTTGTGAGAACAGGCTGTCCGTTGGCCAGAATTGAGGAAGCCTTCGGACCCGAGAAGGTCAACATTCCTAAGGCGCCAGCTTTGGGACTCTTGCTCGAACAGCCAGTGTACGAGAGCTACAATGCAAAGCTCGAGAAGTTTGGATACAATCCGCTTTCTTTTGATAAGTTTGCTGCAGAAATTGATGAATTCAAGCGCAAACATATCTATGATAAAATATACGCCGAAGAGGAGCGCGACAACGTCTTTTACGGGTTTTTTGGCTTTATCGATGGATTTGCTGGATACGACGATCAGAGCGGCACTCCGATCTTCAATTTCTTAACTGCAAGAGGTATCCCAAAAGAGGAACCGAAAAAGGAAGAAGTGGAGTGATTTTGATGTCTGTACGACTCAACTTCCGGGTGGTGACCAAATCACTCCACTTTATTGGTATATATAAAGAGCAAATAGAAGATGAATTATCTGTGAGCAACTATCATCTTTCTATCGAATACCATTACTACAATGTCAGCTATCGCCAACGTCGCATTGAATTCAGCCAAAGCCGCAAGCAAAAGCATAGGTCCAAATCCTCTCTTCAGAGAACTTGGTGTCCACGCCCGACAGCTAGCAATCTGGGGCGCTGGGCTGGGAACCTTCCTCTCCTGGCCCATCATGGTGGGAAACGCTAACAAAAAAGGTTACTGGCACTTGTAACCGAGAAAAGATTCTGGTGTGATTTTCCACGAAATAATTTTGCATATATAGATAAATCTAATAAACGGACAATATTCTTGATGTTGATAATAACAAGCGCTTTGGCGCTGCTCGTTCTGCTATTTGCTTTTAGAGCTCGATTAGCTGAGTATGCAATTAGTTGGGACAGAAAGTATCGGCTTCGAGAAGATCTCTACCTGGCACCTATCATTATCTATCAGTTCATCCGGCACTTTTATCACTGTTATATCACAAAACAAGTTTCCCTATGGTACTTTCTAGAGGCATCAATGAAGCGGCATGCACAGAAGACCGCTCTCATATATATACGGCCAGCAGCTGCGAAGGGTGAATTTGACATCGAGAAATTTACCTATGACGAGCTTTATGAGCTCGTTCTGCGCTTGTCTCATATTTTGAAGACGAAGTACGGAGTCAAGAAAAATGACATCGTGTCTCTATATATGAACAACAGTCCCATATTCATCATCATGTGGCTAGCGTTGTGGAATCTAGGCGCAATTCCATGTTTCCAGAATAATAATCTGACCCATAAACCACTGGTGCATTCGCTTTCTGTCGTTGACTCTAAACTCGTCTTTGTGGACGAGGAGTGTCAAGCCCTCTTTGATGGAACCAAAGACGAGATCCTTGCTACAATTCCTGATCTGAGATGTGTCTACGTTGATCAAAAGCAGTGGCTCAAAGATATTCGGAATCCTTCGTCCCCTGGCTTTAGACTCGATGACGCAGAACGGGATAGAGATCTGCTATACTATAAGCCTGCAGTACTTATATTTACCAGCGGAACGTCCGGATTACCAAAGTCTGCAGTGAACTCGTGGCGAAAAGTGTTCTTTGCTTCTTTTTTCTTCCCCCATGCTATGAGACTGAGCAGCTCCACCAACATGTACACCGCCATGCCACTATACCACGGCACTGCATCTATACTTGGTGTGCTCCCTATTTTTGCTCACGGCGGCACGCTCTCGTTGGGCACCAAATTTTCTCTCTCTTCCTATTGGACTCAGGTCAGACTTGCTGGAGCAAACACTATCCAGTACGTGGGTGAGGTGTGCCGCTACCTGCTTAATGGGCCAGCTACAGACGACGAGAAATGGTGTCGTGGAAAAATTAGACTTGCTGTTGGAAACGGGCTGCGTGCTGATATATGGACCAAGTTCAAGGAAAGATTTGGGATCCCTGCTATAGGAGAGTTCTACGCCAGTAGTGAGGGTCCTTTTGCGACGACGTGCTACGAGCAATCAGGAGTTGGCATTGGCTGCATCAGAAACCAGGGATGGCTGGCAGATAAAGCTCTGAGTTTGATGTACTGCCTGGTCAAGACGGAAAAGGACGACGACGCTACGCTATACAGAAACGAGCAGGGGTTTTGCGAGAAGCCTCGGGCTGGAGAAAACGCCGAACTCTTGATGCACGTCCTGAACCCAAGAAACATCAAGGCCACATTCCCTGGGTATGTGAATAACGAGGATGCAACGTACTCGAAAATTGTGCGCAACGTGTTTCGCAAAGGTGACGCTTGGATCAGAACTGATGACCTTTTCCAGTACGACGAGTACGGGTGCATCAAGTTCGTGGATAGACTTGGCGATACATACAGGTGGAAATCTGAGAATGTGAGCACCACCCAGGTGGAAAACAGCTTACAATCGCATCCTTCAATTGACGTCAGCGTCGTCGTGGGAGCAAGGGTTCCCAATCATGAGGGCCGCTGTGGTTTCGCGATTTTACAGACCAAATCCAGAAACGAAGAATCTGAAGACGAGAAGAGCAAGCTGCTTACGGAGTTGGCGGCACTAGTGTGTTCACAATTACCTCATTTTGCACGCCCGTGTTTTATCAGATTTGACATCATTGAGCACACTCACAACCACAAGGTGTCCAAGAAAAGATTCAGAGACCCCGTCCTGCCGTTTGGCCCAAGCAATAAAGATTCGGTCTACTACCTCAACCTCAGCACTAAAAAGTATGAGCCGCTCACCGAGGAAATATACAGGGGCATTGCATCCGGATCAATACGAATTTGAAAGATCATGTGCGGCGTTGCGTCATATCTCCATGCACCCGTGCACGGCAAATTTTTTTCAAGTTTAATAGAACAGAATTTAGTCATACATTTTGATATATATAAGTTGAATTACAAATCCGCAACTTAGTATTCGAACCAAAGTACGATGCCAGTAAGTGTATAGCGTGGAGGAAATTTTTGGACAGTTCTGATGGGACATCACGTTGTGCGATGTATCACTCGTGACCTGTCTGAAAATTTTGGGCTCCTTTTTTCAACGTCATGCTGACCAACCAGGCGCCAACTTCATCCCACAGCAGAATGTTCATGGAAAATCCACATGTCGGAGATAGATCCCGCTTGGAAGACTGGAGAATCAGAGGTTACAATCCACTGACTCCTCCGGATCTTCTTCAGCATGAATACCCACTGACCAGCAAATCTGAAAAGAACATCTTGGAAGGAAGAGAGGATGCCTGCAATATCCTCAACGGAAAGGACGACAGACTTTTGGTAGTCATCGGACCATGTTCCCTGCACGATCCTGAGGCTGCTCTTGATTACTGCAACAGACTGGCAGCTTTCAAAGAGAAAGTCAAAGGAGAACTTCACATCGTCATGAGAGCATACCTCGAAAAGCCTCGTACTACTGTTGGCTGGAAAGGTCTTATCAACGACCCGGACATTGATGGATCTTTCAACATCAACAAGGGACTGAGAATTGCCAGAGAATTGTTTGTTAGACTCACCGAGAAGCTTCCGATTGCTGGTGAGATGTTGGACACTATCTCTCCTCAATTCTTGAGCGATTTGTTCTCTGTTGGTGCCATCGGAGCTCGTACTACAGAGTCCCAACTACACAGAGAACTGGCCTCCGGTTTGTCTTTCCCTGTTGGTTTCAAAAATGGAACAGACGGCTCGCTCGGCGTGGCTGTCGACGCTATGCGTGCTGCCGCACACCCCCACCACTTCCTATCGGTTACGAAGCCAGGTGTCGTTGCTATTGTTGGTACCGAAGGAAACAAAGATACTTTCATCATCCTGCGTGGTGGAAAGAAGGGTACCAACTACGACGAACAAAGCGTAAAAGAAGCAGAGCAAGCATTGGGCAAGGCTGGTATTCTTAATGAGGGAGAAGCCAGAATTATGGTGGATTGCTCTCACGGTAACTCTTGCAAAGACCACCGCAATCAGCCAAAGGTCGCTGCTGAGATTTCTCGCCAGCTCAAAAATGGTAACACCACTATCTGCGGTGTCATGATCGAGAGCAACATCAACGAAGGAAGACAGGACGTGCCACCGCTTGAGGAAGGAGGAAAAGACGCCCTGAAATATGGCTGCTCCATTACTGACGCCTGTATTGGTTGGGAAAGCACCGAGGAGGTGCTGGAGATGCTATCCGAGGCCGTGAAAGAACGCAGATCGCACAAGAACAAAATTTAGGGGGTACTGGGAACGTTTATCTGTTTATATGGTCTAAAAAAGGTTTTATACAAGAGTAGATTACGTAGTTTATAGCATCTTGCTGAGAATCGTGGTTGCTATTTTCACGCCTGGGCTTATTTGTCGGTGGCTAAAATCTGTGAGTTGAGTCGTGTGGCTGGTCAGGTTATCCAGTTCCTTGGCCATCTGGTCCTTAACCGAATTGTTTTTAGTGATCACCACTGCATTCGTTTCGAGGTCCAAAGCGTATGCTCTTCGGGTGTAGTTCGAGGAGCCGACGACCGTTATGCTGGGTTCATTCTCCCCGGAGAGTGACAGCCAGAGTCCCTTAGCGTGGTAAGACCATCCAGTGGGCGTATTCACAATGCCATTCTGCCATTCGAGCAGCTTGACACAGTCTTTGCGACGGACTTGGTCCAAAAACAATTGCGCTTTGTAGAGGTATGCGTCAGGAAGATACTTGGAAACACCTTTCGATTTATAGAACGAGTTTGCTTCTGGAGCTGCTGTGATGACAGTTCCTGTTGCGTGCGACTCAATAAACCTGGAGCTGATTTCAGGGTGGATGTTGAAATATCCCGCAGTAAAGGCCCACTTCACGTCAGGGTCATTCAGGAGTGTCAGTAGACGCAGAATTGCAGGCTTTTCAGTAGACCTATCGGGGTTCATGATTGGCTTGAGCGAGGAAACAGGGTACACAATAATTTCAGGGTCAGCCAGGTATTCAGGTTTGGTAACCGGACATCTCAGAAGCGGGAGCATGAGCCTGGTGGACTCCTTGATGAACCGTTCAACGTTGAGACGAGGCTCCGATGCAAAGTTGGACGATGGCCATTCTAGTTTATATTTCTCAACGGTCATGGAAGGTATTAGCTGGTAACTTATAGAGCTGACTGCTTTTTGCAGGCCAAAATAGTAGTCCGCCAAAGGTCCATTTTTGAACAGATAGTACCTATCTTGACGATTGGTAAAGTAGTCCTCCGAGAGGTTTGCGCCTGTGAGTATCACTTCTTTGTCAAAGCCACATATTTTCATATGTTGCAATCCCCATCCCTCGTTTATTCTTTTCGGAAGCAGTGCTTTTTTGATGCCTGAAAGATGCGGAGTGTGATAGAAACGAATGTTGACTCTCTCCTTGCCAAACTTTTCCACTAGTGGTGCTAGGAGCGATGCTGGGCTGGGATTAGGAGACTCTCGCGTGGAACGAAGATAGTCGACCAAGATGTCGACTTTGAGCTCAGGCTTCCGAGACAAAGAGTCTTGCAAACACTCAACAAGCTCGTGCTGGGTCTTTCCAATGTAAAGGGACGACAGAAATATACGGTTTTCGGCGGATTGGATTTTCTGCTTGATGAGACTGTAAAAGTCGGCGGGATGGTAGAGTATTTCTAGTTGATTTTTGGCGAGCTCGAAGCGTGGACTTATGGCGTCCAGCTGCTGGATGGTAGCTCTTAGGGTGGGATTGAAAGATTCATAGTTCCGCAATCGTGGATTTTCCACCTTGGTAGAGTATGTTCGGATCTTCTGAAAAAGACTCGAGAGCAGAAGCATGAGAACTGACTAAAAATTTGGCGGAAATTTTTCATGTTCAGAGCGATCAAGACGATGGTTTCTGAACAGCCTAATAAGCTCCGCAAAGTTGACGGCAAGGGATTCCGAGTCCGCCAGGTGTACCAGGATGCAGCACAGAAGTCTGCATACGAAAAGCTGGGAGGAGATAAGAACGCCGAGAACTTGACGGACATACCCCTGAATAAAACCATAAAAGAAGAGGAAGACGATGCAGTGTACAGCATAGACGGCCCTGTTCGAAGGCTGAGGCCATACTACTTTACTTACATGACCCACTGCAAGCAGCGATGGATAGATCGAAATATTCTGGACGTGTTTGCACACGAATTTCGGTTGCATCCGAAAAGCTATTATCAAAATGCATTAGAGAAGGGCAGAGTGACAATCAATGAAAAAGTTGCCAATACAGATACAATATTGAAAAACGGAGATTTGATCTCGCACAGAATGCATCGCCACGAGCCTCCAGTGACCTCAAGACCCGTGAAAATTGTCCACGAGGATGATGAATTGGTGGTGATCGACAAGCCTTCTGGAATACCTGTCCATCCTACAGGACGGTATCGTCATAACACCGTTACTTTTATTCTCGAGAGGGAAATGGGTATCAAGGCTCATCCATGTAATAGATTAGACAGACTGACGAGCGGGCTGATGTTTTTAGGCAAGACTGCTGCTGGGGCAGAGAAAATGGTCAAACAGATGCGCGAACGAGAAGTTTCCAAAGAATATATTGCCAAGGTAGTTGGCGAATTTCCTGCACACCAGGAAATTGTCTGCGGGCAACCTCTCAGAACAGTGGACCCTAGAATCGCATTCAACATTGTTGATCGTGAAAATGGAAAAGAAGCCAAAACGGTGTTCAAAAGACTCTCGTACGACGGAACCACAAGCTTGGTGATCTGCAAGCCGCTAACTGGGCGCACGCACCAGATTAGAGTTCATCTACAATATCTTGGACACCCCATAGTCAATGATCCGTTATACTCTTCTCCCAAGATTTGGGGGCCGAGCTTGGGAAAAGGGGCCGATTTTGACATAGATGCCATTGCGGAAAAATTATCCAAAATCGGCAAAACCGAGCCTGCTACCAGCTGGCTACACCCTAATGATGACGGAGAAATACAGTCCACTGGCCAGTTCTGCAGTGATTGCGGTGGCGAGCTGTACTCCGACCCTGGCCCGAACGACCTGGACCTCTACCTGCATGCTTATAAATACAGCTCATCACAAGAGAATGGGTGGTCTTACCAAACAGAGCTTCCGGAATGGGCCGTTGAGACACAGAAAAAATACATGGCTCTTGCCTTGGAGCAGGCAGAGAAATGCCCGCAGATCGATAGCGCATTCCGCGTGGGAGCAGTTATAACCTGTGGCGGGCAGGTAATCTCCACCGGCCACACGAGAGAGTTAGAAGGTAATACACATGCAGAACAGTGTGCCATGGAAAAGTATTTCGAAAAAGCAGGTTCTCGAACTTTGCCGTCGGGCTGTGAGATCTACACCACGATGGAGCCGTGCAGCGAGCGCTTGAGCGGTAATAAGCCCTGTTTGGAACGGATTCTCGATCACAAAGACTCTTTCACGACCTGCTACGTCGGAGTTATGGAGCCAAATACTTTTATCTCCGTTAATGTTTCTCGCAAGAAACTGCAGGAGGCAGGCATATCGTACATCCAGGTGCCCGGGTTTGCCGAAAAGAGTCTAGAGGTTGCAAAGCGGGGCCATAAGGAGACTAAACAGTGTATGTAGCGACTGCCAAATAACTCCGCAACTTCTTGCCCCACAGAAAAACTACGTAGCCGAAAAAATTGTTTCTGGAAAACATAAATACGCTTAGTCTCCTAAAGAGATACTTTATTCTCAAATTACAAAATGCCTTCGGCAATAGTGGATATCTGTCGCGAGTGCCACTCATTGGTGACTGATTTTCTTGCGCTGAAAGTGCCTTACCCTAAAGCCAGCAAACGTTCGAGGATCCTAAACCCTTATCCTGATTTCCATAATGACGATAAGCTTCATCAAAAGACTCAAGAACAGGTGGTGAAAAGTATGAAAATTTTTGCGCAGGCGCTAGACAAGTACACTTTGGAGGAGCTGTCAATCAGCTATAATGGAGGGAAGGACTGTCTGGTGATGCTGGTAATCTATCTGGCTGCCATCTATGAGAAATATGAAAACCAACTGCTCGAGCTGAAAAGCAGTAAATTATCAAGCGTCTACATAAACAACGAAATCGGCTTTCCAGAGCAAGACGATTTTCTCTACTATTCGGTCATGAAATACCAACTCTCGCTTACAAAAATCAAGGACCAAATGAAAAGTGGATTTCAAAGATACCTCGACCAAAATCCGAAAATCAAAGCCATTGCCGTCGGAATCCGGCGAATAGACCCATACGGAGAAAACCTGGCCTACGTTCAGCATACGGATCATGGATGGCCCGCATTTTACAGAATCAACCCGGTGCTTGATTGGACGTACTGCGAAATATGGTATTTCATCAAAGCAACCAACATTGAATACTGCTCACTATATGATCAAGGATACACCTCCATAGGTGGAATAGACAACACGGTAAAAAACCCTCTTCTTAGGCTGGGGGACAAGTACTTGCCGGCTTACATGCTTGACGACGATTGTCATGAGCGACTAAGTCGATGCGACAAGAAAGAAGTAGATTCACGGGAAAATAGACCCGAAGAGAAGTTATAGCTAATGAATGGTTAACGATTGTAACGCACCATATAGTGCTGAAAAATTATTTCAGTAAATTAATGTCCGTCTTTGTAAATATTACAGATAAGCCGTTGGACTCGGCTGAGGTGCTCAATCATGTTCGGGATCCTCACGCGGGAGCAATTGTGTATTTTGGAGGCACAACAAGAAATACATTCGAAGGCAAGGAGGTGGTGTCTCTCGCATATGAGGCGCATCCAAGGCTGGCTATCAGAACTCTAGAGTCTATAGCCAACGAGGCAAAAGCCAAATTTCCGAGCGTCCATAAAATTGCAATTGTACACCGCACAGGCGTGGTTCCTGTAGCTACAGAATCGGTCATGATTGCAGTCAGTTCCACTCATCGAAAAGAAGGGTGGCTTTGTGGAGAGTGGGTATTGGAGAAAGTTAAGGAAAGGGCAGAGATCTGGAAGATAGAGAAATACGCGGACGGAGATAGTGTCTACAAAGAGAATGAGGTTTCTAACGTGCTTGGTCGCACCTGATAGTTATTTATGTACAGTTATGGTAAGAACGCCTCCTTCGGACGGTACACAGTTTCGATCCTGCGTGTGTCATAGTTGATTTTCGTGATAGCAACGGCTTTCTTGTCTGGCTTGTCCAGCACCAGTCCATCCACCTCAGGCAGCACAGGCTTCAAATATTTGCGTTTCAAGGCTAGTTGTTGCGAAAGAGTGAAGCAGTTGTCCTGGCTTTTGAGAATAGCAAATACCTGTTCTTTCAATTCTTTAGTGCGAGGTTGGTTAGGGATCACTAATTTATCGAGTTCAGCAATGGCAGCCTCCTGATTAGATTTGATTGTTTCTGGAGTTTTGTACGCACAGAGGTCAAAAAATGCATCAAACATGATGTTGGAGTCCACTGACTCGGCTAATGACTTGTATTGGCTGGACAGATTGTCGTGCTGCTCTTGTGAAATCTCGTTTCTGCGTAGTTGCAATTTCAAGTCATAAAGGTGATTGTATGTTGTGTGGAATCGAGCGTCTTCCTGCGACTTTCCACCTCTCAAGAATCTGTCGATTTGAAGCAATCTACCAGCAGCCAGGTTCTTCAATTCCTCCGACTCGAGCTCAATAAACTGTGATAGTTGTTCTTTTAGCTCGAAAAGTCTAGCTTCGCGTTTCTGCTGACGTTCTTCAGCACCTTTCAACAATTCGGGAAGGGTTTGAGACTCTTTACGGCTCTGAAACTCGAGCTCGGCTTCGGCTGCCTCTGGCTTCTTTATGAGGAACCGGCCGAATCTTCTCTTTCTTGGGTCAAAGTGAGGGTATGGGAGTTTGTCACCTTCACGCAATACGACTCCAATGAATTTGCGTTTCGGGTGGAAAGGATCTAGGTAATATCTAACGAAACCTGGCTCTAGTGCGAATATCGTGTGGTCCTTTCCAATGCCAGCGTTTTCCCCCGGATACCATTTTGTTCCACGTTGTCTCATGATGATCTCTCCAACCTCAACGGATTCTCCCTCGTGTTTCTTGGGGCCAAGACGTCTACCAGCGGAGTCCTTCATATGCGTTCTGGAACCACCTGCTCTTTTCGTGGCAGTTCTGACCTGAAAAATGGACTGGTGTCCAACAGAAAGTGAAGTTTTCACTCTGTTGCACACCAGGGAGACTATCCTGGATGAGAACATTATGCAGTGATTTTGAAAGTTGAATATCGTTGACTAAAATTTTTCAACCCAATTGAGAGAGGCCGATCGGCGCGACTGAGAATGCGGAACTCAAATAAGATTAAATAAACAGTAAAACCGCTTTTAATGGAGGGGTATTGGGACGTTGTGGTGTCGTCGCTTCAAGACACTTGCAATGCAAATGAGGCCAACTCTTTTGATCCCCTAGAGCTGGCGCCAGCTGAGGGAAAGGATGCGAAATTGCAAAATCGAGATATCGTGGTAAAGCATAAGGAGAACTTGGAGAAAACGAAACGCATTTTGGATACCGCCTTGATCAATGTGAACGGCTTACTATCGCAGGCTAAAGTGGGCGGGCACGAGGCTGATGATGGATCAGTTGGGAGACGCAACAAGCTCAAATCACAGAAATTTGGTCGATCGTATTACCAGTCGCCGTATAATCCTTCAGAGCCTGTTGTTGTAGGGTCGGAGGTCGCCTTCAAGCCAAAACAGAAAGGAGCAGAGTGGATTCAGTGTGAGGTCCTGAAGGTTCTGAACGAAATTAAGTTTGAGGTCAAAGACCCAGAACCTGATGAAAACAACCCAAATGGACAGATCTTCAAGTGTACCTGGAAAGAAATCATCCTTATGCCCACCACGGAAGATCTGGCGTCTCTCAAAAACTACCCGGTTGGCTATAGAGTTCTTGCACGATATCCGGAAACGACGACATTCTATCCTGCTGAGGTTATTGGATTTAAGAAGGACGGAACTTGTCGTTTGAAGTTTGAGGGAGAAGAAGAGGTCGGTAAAGAAACAGAAGTTGAGAGAAAGTTGGTGCTGCCTTTCCCGGGCTAGATAACTTTAAAGTAAGTGTTAATAATAATTATACATCAAATTAGAAATGATATGCTCATTTTCTCCTTGTCTTTCTTGACATCATCGGAAGACGGTTGAGGAAGAACAGAACTGGCTGAAGTGTTGTTAAGCGCGGGTTTTCCGAAGTCAAATTCTTTCTTGAATATATCCTTCTTTGCTGGCGGGCCACAGGACGACGTTAGCGGCAAACTTGGTGAGTGGTAGCTGCCACTGTTGGCAGTAGTGAAAAATTGTGGTGAGGAGGTTCCGGACGCAGACTTCCTAGGAGCCAACGATGGACTCTTAAACTGGGGAGCTGCCGTCATCATCTCAACGTTGGCGAACATTGACGACCTTCTCGAAGTGATGGAGTTGCCGTCACTCACGTGTGTCAGCGGTGTACAATCCGCCGACACGATGGATGAGTTTCTCGAGGAAAGTCGGGACATCGGGGAAGATGGGTATGGTGATGAGTTTCCCGATAGCGAAGGTATATGATTAAAATGGTGGATGCTCGAAGTACCAGAGTGCTCTGATAGTCCTATCGATGCGGCCGAGTGTCTGCGGATTGGCTCTGATGAGGAATCATCTATTAGTTTCCGTTTTCGGATTGGAGGCAGGTGTTCGTAGTTGTAAGCTCTTGTGTCCATGGAGGCACTTCTTCCAGCCCTGATAGACTGAAATGCGGGTGCAGGGACTTCGTCGGATGCACTTCCAAATATGCCGACGTTGAAATTTACGCTTGGCTTTGGAAGAGGCAAAATAGCTTCAGATGAAGGAACTTGCTCCATAGGCTTCTCGTCTGCGGAATTTGGCTCTTGTTTTTCGTAAGAGCTGGAATCGAGTCCTTGGATGGATGCTCGCTTTCTTCTGTTTGCACCACCGTTCCACCAGTTTTTTACCGCATTATCACTGCGGCCATTGAGGTGTCTGGCTATTTCGGCCCACCGTTTGCCATATTTTTGGACCAGCTCCTCGATATATTTGCCTTCTTCTGGGGTGATGGGCGTGCGGTTGAGTGAGGGCTTGAGGTTTTGATGATACCTCTCTCTTGCTTGTTTCGCAGTCCGGGTTTGTAGAACCTGTGATATCTTGACCCAGTTTAGGTTCTTCTCGCCACCATATAATCGCACCAACTCTAGCAGCTTGCTGTCTTCTTCTGGAGACCACGGCCCACGCCGGAGTCGCACCCCTCCGTTCTTGCCATTTGCGTCACCTAGATCCTTTTCCACATGCTGATTTTCCTGAGGCATCTTGGTATTAAGTCAACAAAACACCAAAACAAACTGTGAACAAATGTCTTCAAGTACCTCTTTAGCAAGACAAGATGCGTAGTTGTCTTCCTAGGCTGAATAGTGTCGATACCTCAATTTGAGCTGCTTAGGTGAAAGAAGATAAATTAAAATAGTAATAGCTATGCAAAATTTTTATTGCTCAGGCTGAGGACGCAAAATAGAGACGGAAGAAGGCTACACATTTTACGGCCGACCGGTTCTACCTCGGTTTATAACGCATGGCTCTGGAGCCTAGCCTCACGAAACACACGTTCATTCTACACCGCAAAAACCAAATATAGCCGTTGTGTTTGACAACGGTCAGATTGCTAAAATTACCCCATACTCAGACATGTTTATGGAAAAATGCCTGTTCATCTCAAATTTCGCGGGAAAAAAATAACAATAATGATTTCTTGAAATTTACACGAATTGCCTTACCCTTCCGGTCGTAAATGGATCTTTTCCTGCAAAAGCCCCCGGCATGCTACTTGCCAAGCTTTTGCTGTCTTTTTCAAATGACTCTTGCTTGCTTCTGATTTGTTTCCCCAGTCCCACAGAAGTGCAGACCAGTGAAACTACATAAAAGCTGAAACTGCACCATATCATGGCTGCGGCTCTGTGGCCAACTGAAGCTTCAATGATCGTCATTGATGCCGTGGCTCCAAAAACGGCTCCTGATTTGGCAGCGACGTCAACCCACATCCCGCCGATGCCCCAAAGAATGCATAAGATGGAACTCAAGGCAAAACTCGTATACGAAGCCACCCATTTCCAAGGTAGTAGAGGTATGCACCCATAGAGCAAACTTGCAAGCAAGAACAGAGTCAGTACCAAGCTAGCCATCAGAATGTAAGGCTGTGTCACTTTGGTGTTGAAATCAACGGCCATGTCCACCAGGCTCAGTGAAGACGAGGTGGAATTTGCGTTTGTGTCGTAGAGCGAGACTCCCGGATAAGCCTCTTTGTAGTTTGTATTTTCTAGATTCGTTGAGCACGATGTCGCATTGTCAGTCTTGACACAGATGCCGCGATAACCGACGAGTACTCTCATTGAAGTCAGATCGTTATTGTTTGATTTTGAATACGCGTTTTCGATCTTGCTGTAAAAGGCAGACGACTGATTGAATTTGTACTCGATCAGGTAGACATTAGAATACTGCGAGCTGGAACTGGTGCATCCCACCAGCAGAAAGGCAAGTAGGAAGACGTTGACAACAAGAAGCAGTAGCACCAGGAGTTTAGGCCCTTTCCGTAACAGAAAGACGATCATGTTATATTTCGGGTGGCATTCGAATTACGGTCTATGCTGGTCATATATAGTGGCAGGGTGTGTCCAGTTAGTCGTAGATACTGTCTCAGAACCATGATATAGGTCAACTATCAGTTTGCCAAACACCTTTTAAATTCTCTTGATACATGTTTGACGCAAATCGGGCTCGAAATAAATTTTGGAAAAATATGCGTGGCATTGTGAAGAATACATTCATTCCCGCAAGAGGAGAATGGAAACTGGCGTACGATTTCTTTTGTCCCACGAAGATTGGCTCCAACCCTCCATTGGTTTTGCTGCACGGCTTGCTAGGAAATCGGAAACAGAATCGCCATGTTGCAAAGATTCTAGCACACAATCTGCAGACACCAGTCCTTATTCCCGATCTAACCAACCACGGAGATTCTTTTCATCGTAGTGCCCACAGTAATAAGCTCATGTCTGATGACATATCCAGTTTGCTGAAATCTCCCGAGATCAATCCGCAGTATTCCGGTGGCTACGTTATGATTGGACATTCAATGGGAGGAAAAGCAGCGATGCTTCACGCACTGAATCACCCTAACGATGTATTGGGGGTAGCTTCTGTCGACAACGTGCCATACAGGAATCCGAGCGCGGCGGACCCAGAGTTTGCTCGATTTGATAGATTTTTCAGCTACGCTAAACAGTACTTAACGAATTCTACGTTTTCAAGCTTGACAGAGGTGGACCAGAAGTTGAAGGAAATTGAACAGGATAAACTTTTCAGACAGCTTCTCGTTAGCAACTTCAGAAGAAGCAAGGTTTCAAAATCCATGGAATGTAAAGTCCCAGTCGAAGTTTTACAGCGGTCATTAGAGGGCCTGAAGGTCCTAGAAGTCGATAACTCTGTCAAATATTATGGACCCCTACTGATTATCAGAGCCTTGAAAAGTCCTTTTGTCGGCGTAATAGACCACGAGAAAGTCTCCTGTCACTTTCCAAATTATTCCATAAGTGATATCAATACCGGTCATTGGGTCATTACCGAAGATTGTCCCGGATTCGTAACGATTATTGATGAATGGATCAAGAATCAAAATTTCGGAAATCATCAGCAATAATCCCGAAGCATCTTTACAAATCAGGCAATTTTTTGATCGATAAAAAAATTACTCACGAAATATGGCATTTTACCGTTGAGAAAAGAAATATTAGACTCTTCTTTTACACTATGAGTGATCGACACTCTTCTGATTCCGTATCTATAGACTCGGAAGTATCGAGAGATCATGACAAGCCTGTAGGTTTGACCGAAGACAATCAGGAAAAACAGCAGAATGAGGGCAGCGGTGCTTCACTAGCAGAGTCTCTGACAAAGCTCTCGTCCTACAAACTTGACAAGTCGAAGATAGTCCCCAGAGAAAAACGGCGAGGACTCTTCGATCCTGCTCTTAATTCCTGAATATGACAACCCTCGAGACTTGCCCCTGATGATCAAGTATATAATCGTGTTCAACGTCGCGTTCTGCGCGATGATAGGACCGATGGGCACTTCTATCCTTCTTCCAGCCACAGAAAACATTTGCGACGAGCTGCATACTTCTGTTACAATCGTTAACATCAGTATCGGTATCTATTTAATCACTTTGGGAGTTTTTCCGCTTTGGTGGTCGAGCTTCAGCGAGAGACACGGGAGACGTTCTATTTATTTGATTAGTTTCATTCTCTATTTTGCATTTACCATTGGGTGTGCCTTGTCAAAGTCAATAGGCATGCTTATAGGATTCAGAGTTCTATCAGGAGCTTGTGCTGCCAGTGTGCAAGCAGTTGGGGCAGGAAGTATATCAGACTTGTACCCGATTCATCAGAGGGGAGCTGCCATGGGTATTTTCTACCTTGGTCCATTGGCTGCTCCACTGTTGTCACCGATCGTTGGTGGTGCCATCACTTCGAGAGAGAGTTTTGGCTGGAGAGGTACTCAGTGGTTTTTGGTTATTTTGTCGGGGGTTTGCATCGTCCTTTTACTTCTTGCGCAGCCGGAGACACTTCGATTACAAGATAATAGGGAAGCTGTTCGAAAGATTCTGAGAGAACGCTTGAAGAAAAATGTTGACGAAGAACAAGGGGCTTCGGACGATAATCAGGAATCAGATGAACATGTGGATCGAATATTGTCGCGGCTTTCCAGACAGCCCTCGAGACTAGAAGACTCAGACCCAGTGGATACAGTCACACCAATTGGGCGTATATCCACTCATGTCTCTCAAACCCAGCGCCAAGAAGATTTAGAAAGGCTCAAAATGGAAGTTGAAAATTTGGATCAGCCAGATAAGCAGAAGAAGCTTGCAATTATCAGGCGCAGTTTATATATCCACGGTTTCTTGCCATTAAAGTCTCTGCATTTTTTGAGATATCCACCCGTTTTCCTAGCTATTTGCTACTCTGCTCCATGTTTTGCCGTGTTATACTTTGTCAATATGACGCTTTCATATTGCTATTCTCGGCCTCCTTACAATTTCAACTCCCTCCTGGTTGGTCTTGTCTACATTCCAAACTCAGTGACTTACATTATAGCCTCGATCTGGGGAGGCCGATTCACAGACTATTTACTTGAGAAAAAGCGCCAAAAGTATGGCATTGTTGCCCCCGAGGCACGTTTCGGTATCAATGTCTACTTGGCCGCTGGCATATTTCCTTGTTCGCTTCTGATTACCGGATGGTGTTTAGACAAGAAGGAGCATTGGGTTACACCATTGGTTGGAACAGCTCTTTTTGGGTTTGCTCAGATGATCGTTATTGGAACTACAGTCACGTATATTGCTGATTCTTTACCTGGCAGAGGTGCCACGGGAATTGCATTGTCCAATTTCGTCCGAATGCTTTTGGCAGCAGGTGCTTCATTTGCCACAGAGCCTTTAATCAAAGCTATCGGCACCGGTATCCTGTTCTCTATCCTAGCAGGGTGCACTATCGCTCTCTCCAGCATTTTGGCTATACTTAAGTTACGTGCTGACTATTGGCGAGAAACGTACAATCTAGAGAGACTCTATGATATAGTGGACGATTCATAATAAATAGACTAAAAAATTACTGAAGTGTAAAGTGAATAAAATATGGTTACGAAATTAACATTCAAAGGAGAAAAGCGGCGCAAGCCAAGGCAGGATGATGAACGAAAGAGACGCAAAAAAGACACCAAGACTGATTGTCAAGAGGCACCTGTGACTTTGACCTCAGTCAATGGAGTTCCCACCAATATCTATGATGTTCCTAGAGATTATCTAGAGTATGGCTGGACGCTGGCGACCTCGCACAAAGATCTAAATGGGCCAATAATGATTTGTTTTGACCGTTCTGATCATTTTGGGTGTCTTCAATATGACGAGAAATTCGGCCTCATTGCAGCAGAGGAGAAGAAGGTGGATATAGCGGAAGATGCCATTAATTTCGTGGATTTCGAACCCAAATCACCGCTGTTTAAACTTGAGCCTCGGGAAGTGACTCAGGTGTTAAGTGTGGTGAACATCGAAAACTTCCTTAGGTTAACACAGCAAACTGAGACTGTCTCTGACGATACACTAAAACTCGCGCTGAAGAACAGCGAGGGGAAGTATCTATCCTACGATGACGACGCCAATACTTTAGTTCAGACTGATGTTTTGACAGAGAATGCTATATTCAATTTACGGGCCAATACTGACAACCTTGGATTCTTTATTTCCGTGGGGAAAATGGACTCCAAGAACAAACTAATAGTTACAAAGGATCTTAAGTTTAGAGTAATTCAAGACACCGACGATCTGCTTGATGACATGAACATCTATCACATTCGCGTACAGACAAGAAATTCAGATACCGGCAGGAAGATCATTGCTTCATTGGATCTCAAAAATGAGAGTCGAGATCAATTTTTCAACGACCCAAAACATAACGAAATGCTCAACAGGGCGGTCAAGGAACTTGCCAAAAACGGGATGAAAATCACAAACTCGCTACTGTCCCAGATCAAGCGCGCAGTTGAGGAAGGAAACCTTAACGAATTTCTTATCACAGTTAAGGAAAAGATCAAGTCTGATCGCAGGGCATAACCTGGTGTTGGGTGTATAGTACGCGTAATTATTATGACAAAAATATTAAGTAGCCGTGTATGAGCTCGTTACTACAATTCAACTTCTCATCCTCGCTGCTTGCTGCTGATCCAGCACCTGCATATCTGGATACAGAGACGATACCAGTGGACGGCAAAAGGATTGTGCTTTCATCCGGTAAACGTATCACGCTCAAACCTCGCAAACCAAGACACGTCAACTTGGGTGATGAGAAAGATCATTCAGAGCTGATAAACATTCACACACTCCTATCCAAACTAGAAATAGAAGAAAAGGCTGCTGGACAGACAACTCGCGAGAAATCAAGGCCTCCACGAAACCGGTCTACAACACCCACCTATAAATTATGGACAGAGAAATATAGGCCTTCCGGCTTTCTGGACCTTGTAGGAAACGAAAGAACAAATCGGCAAATTCTCCAGTGGCTAAATCAGTGGAATCAGGTTGTTTTCGGGAAACCGTGCACAGAAACGACCGACTTTTACAACCGTCCAGATAAACGAATTTTACTCATCCATGGGCCGCCTGGTATTGGAAAGACTTCTATTGCACATGTGATCTCAAAGCAACTGGGATACGAGGCACGTGAGATAAATGCTAGTGATGAGCGTGCTGGAGCAACGGTCCAGGATAAAATCAAAAATGCCATGAAGAATAACTCGCTGACAGGGAGCCCTGTATGCCTAATTCTGGATGAAATAGATGGAGCCACGGAGCACGGATTCATAAACATACTGGTGGACCTTATCAACAAGGACCGCCGTGACACAGCTTCTCTGGGTCTTGATACGAAGGGCAAACCAGCAAGACAGATTTTAAAACGTCCTATCATTGCCCTATGTAATGATGTCTACTCGCCGGTGTTAGAGAAGCTGAGGCCACACTGTGAAACTATTGCTTTCCGCAAATCTCATCCACGTCTGGTCAAATCAAAACTGAAGAAAATCTGTCAACGAGAAGCCATCACTGCGGATGACCGTGTCTTGGACGCGATAATAGAATCTACGGAAGGCGATTTGAGGAACTGCATTAACTTTTTACAGTTCAACTCGTCGGCTTCTACTTTGAATCTCGAGTCAAGCTCAAAGGACACCCAAATAGGATGGTTTGTTCAGTTGGACAATATTTTTGTCAGAAGCGCAAAAGTCAGCAAGCAAGAACAATTTCAAAAAGTGTTCCGGTCCCTTTCGTCCTCAGCGCAGGTGGACAGGGTGACTACAGGATGTTTCAATGTGATGCTTGACACGGACACCGAGATCAGTAGATTAAGCGAGATCTCGGACTGGTTGTACTTCCAAGACGCACTTGGCACAAAGTTCTCCTCTTTTGATGCCCAAGATCTCACTTTCTATCAGTCGGCAGTGCCGATGAAATTTTACCAAAAGTTTAACGAAATCAGCCATCTGTCGGAAAAGAGGTACAATTATCGAACTCGCGACCGCTTTTTTGATTTAAGAAAACAGACAGCTGAAGCTCTCCAAAGAATTAAGCATTTGAACAATCAAGCAGACAGTTTCAAACTTGCCAATCGTGTACAATTGGTGGGCTACGAACTTAGTCTAATCAGCGCGATACTCGTTCCTGACGTTCCGTTCAGACAGATCGAGATGGTAGGTGGAGGCGGCAAACTATCCAGAATAATAGAGCTCATGGAAGCTTACTCGCTGCGCATCGACCTATCGAAAAACGAGTACGGGAACGCGACTGCCCAAATACGACCTGCAATTCATCTTTTTGGCAACTTTTCAGCGAAGCAGCAGCAAATATTGGTGAGACTACACAAGGAACTGCTCACAAAATATATCCAAGGACAGGAGTTCAAGACAATAGATCGCAAGCGGAAGGCACCACGCGACAACGATCAGACAGCCAAAAAAAGTAATTGCAGCTCAAGTGTGGAATATTTCAAGAGTAAGTACGCGGCTTTAACAGATCAGTTAAGACACGCGAAAAGCAGCAAAGAATTTTCTGCAGCAGTGATGGGTCAAAATGAGTACAGAATTTGGGTCAAGTACCATGAAGGCTTCTCGAACGCGGTCCGTCGAGATATCACATGGGAGCACCTTTTCGCCGGACAATGCGGGCCTTTATAGGAGATGCTGCATACACCCAAGTCGGGCTTTCCAGCGGAGAAAATATGTAATACTGCATAACGGAAGAATACTGTAGCTAATCGCAAAAAAACAAAAAAATTTGCTTTGTCACGCCGGCGGAACGCCGACTCAAAATTTACCTGTGGGCGATGATTTCAAATACTCTGAATTTTACTTTTTCCTTGATATGCATCAAAAAAGGATGATGTATTTCTAGTATATGCAGAGTGTTGAAGATTTGCCACTGGATTTCATGTGGACATCGATTTCACATAGCAATTATCAGCTGACCTGTAAATTTACCACGATTCGAGTTTTCTGAGATTTCAAAAGATTGCAAGATCAGCTCCTGTACCGCACGGACATGATTAAACTCGCAAACGAGGATGAAAAGTTCACTGGCACATGGAACAAACGAAATGTCGTTTGTTTTTCCTATGGCATTAAGTAATCAGTCTCCTTTTTTTTTTTTTTTGCCCTTTGGTAAAAGAAACGGGGCGTGCGTAGTCCCGCCTTTCCGTCGGCTGGCCCACCCGCCTTTGGGAAATTTTATAATTTCTACATGGGAAACTTTTACTGATATATATGGTTTTTTTCCTAATATTAATGGTTGTATTTGTCTACTAATTGAAATTTTTTCTCAATCCTCCACTTTGAAACAGCCATCACTATACCCCATCGAAGAGCATTTACACTAGACAGAGTCACATATTGCCAAATTCGTACTTTAGAGGTTTCTGATATTGAATATTCACCGGCCTTTTAGATACGCATACGATCATGAACTCCCACTTAAATAACACGGGTGACAATCAAGAACTGAAACACCCTCCACATTTCAAGAACGTATTTTCAAGTAAGGACTCCAGCCCTGTTAATGCTCCTGAACAAAATACGGATGCGATGGAGGTCGTCGAGAACAGAAGGCCGTCGGTCGTGGTGCCCACTAACTTGGATGCCTCTATGCTGAACACACCTTCAACGACCGCACAATCTCACAATGAATCTAATGTCACTTTCACATCTCAGATGCCCTCAACATCAGAGATGAGTTCCTCATCGACCGAGAACCTTCTTTCGCCGCCATCTTCCATTGACATTCCTCACCGGTCAAGATCATCCCCCAAGACTTCAAAGCGACTCAGAAGAAAAAGAACCAAGTTTTACAAAGGAGCAGCTTCCCAACGATCCACCTCACCTTCTTTGCTGACAAATAGCTTGCCTATAGCGAAAAGGTTTAGATCTCGGTCTCTCCCGAATATCTGGATTCCCTCACACAAACAAACCAAGCTCCTCATTGATGATTTACAGCAAAGACAACCTTCCGAAAGGGTTCCTGTGCCTCCGGTCAATCTCCAGTCGATGCACGAGATCGATCTTCACGAGATTTTGAAAAACCCTCAACTGCGGCATGATATCTTATTTGAGCCCCAGTTACAATTCAGACCTAACCTCGACGGCGAGCGTGGCAAACGGAAACGGATGCAAGGCGACAGATATTGGTCAGCCGTCAAAGCCGAAATTCGTTTCTTGATGACCTCAGAAAAAGTGATCACTGATAATTCAATCATCGTTGTTATGTTCCAGACACTGAAGGATATCCTGTTGAGTTTGTTGCCTTCTAAAGACAAGGCAAATGTCGAAGAGATCATGGATATATCTCTCTTGGTTCAAGAACTAAACTCCAAATGTTTCAACTTCATCAAGTTCTCGAATTGGATCTCCGCCATTTTCAAGATGCATTGTGCGCCAATGAGAGACTCTTGGGTGGACGAAATGAATTGCATATTCGAAAAGGCTTGTTCCACTTCCCCAATCAACGTGGACAAAGTCGTCGAAGGGCTTCATGTTCTTTTTTCCATCTTGGAGGCCATGAAACTTGATGTCGCCAATCATCAGATTCGCATTCTTAGACCGCTACTTTGCTCGACTGCAGTGGCTTTCGAAAAAGAATATTTCCAAACCATCATTAGAAAAAACAAGATCAACCTAAACGGCAGTTTGGACTGGTACAGAAAGTCCAAACAACGTTGCAATGGCGCCGAAGGCATTCAGCAAGTTCTCAGTTACGGTATTTTGAACTTGCTATCTTGCTCCCACATGTGTTCAGAGTTCCCCGACACACTTACCTTCGACCACTCGAGATTGGTAATCTTGAGAGCCGACATTCGTCAACTAATTTGCATCAAGGTTTGTTTAATCCTATACCAAAATCTTGTGAGCTCATACAGGTTGTCCACCGCTGAATACTGCTCCGCAGACAAGTTGCAGCAGCTGAAGAAGGAAATTTTAAGCATAATCGTGGACGAGAACGGGAACTCCAAGTGGACAAGAAACCTGAACAATCTTGCTGTACATCTGGTGAGTAAGGTCAGCCAGGATACAAGTCCTTCGAGAGTGAAGTTCTGCTTTAATTGGCTTCTCAACCAGACTCAACCAATCTCACAAATATATTCCATGCTAGAACAAAAACTGTTAGATAATGTCTGGAGGAGCCTTAATACTGGTGATAAGAGCGGGCTCGAACAAGAAATCGTTATTCGGGAAGAGTTGAAGGGAGTGGCCGAAAGACTCAACCGCATCGTTGAGTTCCACGTGAGTGTTTTCGGCGACGTCTACAATTAAATGACTGTTTTATTGCTTTTGGTTTATAGAATAGGCTAGGGATATTAGGTTATGCATATTTACAAACAATCTAAGCTTATCTAGAATGACATACTCTGGCTAATGAGCTTGTGGGCTGGAATGGAGTCCGTGGATCCTAGAGCTGCCATCCCGACTGGCTTATCGCGCAAATAGCGCTGACACCAATCAACGACGTCGTCCTTAGTAATATTATTCACAATCTCGAAAATCTCCTCGGGAGAGAGTCTGCGGCCAGTAGTGACTAGTTGACGGCCTATATCTTCAGCAATAGCCGTGGTTCCGTCCAATGACAAAAGCAAAGAGCCCTTTAATTGAGACTTTGCTGTTTCAACTTCTTCCACCGAAAAATTTCCATTTCTCAACCGGCTCCATTCTCTCAAAATACAGTCTATCACTGGATAACATGTCTGTGATTTGTCAACCACAACATATGTTCCCCAGAGACCTGTGTCAGAGTATGATGTGGAGAAGGACATGAAAGAATTGCACAAAGGCTCTCCCTGGCCGGAAGCAACAGCTCTTGCTAGAGGCGAAGGAGCGACATTTGTGGCTCTATCCCAGTTACCCACGATAGCTTGTGCAACAAGTGCTTTGAAGTAGTCATCGGAAGACCACGAGCAGCCTTCCACGCAAATAGCGAAGTACGTATTTGGTAATGACTCATCCTTGACCTTGATTTCTTCACCATAAAACTTGGGAAGGGCTCCGCGGGGAGTTCCGAGTGGCAACGGTCTTTCCGACAAAGGCACATGTCCAAATGATTTTTCCGCAAGCTCCACGAGTTGCTCATGTTCCACTGCACCAGTTCCTACCAACACCATCCGATCGCCCTTGTAGTTGGTTTGAATGTAGTTTTTCAGATCATATTGGGTGATAGACTTGATATTTTCAATCGGACCCAAAATGGTTCTTCCCAGAGGCTGGCCCTTGAACACAACTTCGTGAAGTCTGTCGAAAACAACCTCATCGTACATCTTATCAACTTCCTCGCTTTCTCTGATGATCACAGGCCTTTCCTTTTCAATAGCTGTTTTTTCCAGCTTCGAGCGCGTGAGAATGTCTGAGAGGATGTCCACAGCTCTTGGAATATCCTCTTTCAATGACTTAGCATAGTAAACAGTATTTTCTCTGGATGTGTACGCATTTAGGTGGGAGCCGCATTTCTCCACTTCAAGCTCCAGGTTAAGCTGCGTTCTGTTATTGGTTCCCTTGAAAGCCAAGTGCTCAAGAAAATGGGCCGTTCCAGAAGTTGAGTCGCTCACATCTGCTCGAGAGCCGGCATCGATCCAGACTCCCACAGTGGCGGTCAACGAGTTTGGAATTTTCTCTGTCGCCACCGTTAGTCCATTTGGCAAAACTGTGGTTCTTGTTGTAGGCAAAGCCGTTGCAAGACCGCGAATACTCGCGGTGCGAATCACTTTACCAGCAAATTTCAACATTAATAATCTAGATAACGAAATTTCTTATTTCTAGGCTTTCCTTATTGAACCAGGTTTTTTAGTGTGCAGATCAAATAAGTTCCAAGAATATTTGCCACTACAATTACACCTTATGACAGTAAGTAACATGTCTTTTGCCGAAGATAAGCTGACTTTTAAGGACCAGAAAATGCAAGTCGACTCTCCTCAGGAAGAGAATATTGATGAGGGACTCTACTCGCGTCAATTGTACGTTCTGGGAAAAGAGGCCATGCTCAAGATGGCCTCGTCCAATGTTCTGATCATAGGTCTGAAAGGCCTGGGAATTGAGATTGCAAAAAATGTTGCCCTGGCAGGTGTGAAGTCGTTGTCCATTTACGACCCTACTCCTGTCTCGTTGACTGACTTGTCTGCCCAATTCTTCTTAACTGAGAACGATATCGGCAAGTCTCGCGCCGAAGCGTCGTTGCCTAGACTGGCCGAGCTTAATGCCTATGTGCCAATCTCGATCGTGAGCGATCTGACGGCAGAAACTATTTCCAGCTTTCAAGTTGTGGTTACCACAGAGACTCCATTAGAGAAACAACTGGAGATCAATGAGCTTACCCATGCTAAAGGGATCAGATACATAAATGCAGATATCAAAGGACTCGTTGGTCAGCTGTTTGTGGACTTCGGCGATGCTTTTACGATTTTCGATCCAAACGGAGAAGATCCGCACATGGGTATCGTCTCGGATATTGAAAAGGATGGCACTGTCACCATGTTGGACGACAATAGACATGGATTGGAAGATGGAGATTACGTCAAATTCTCTGAGGTGCAAGGTATCGATAAGTTGAACGATGGCTCTGCTTATAAAATTAAAGTGTTGGGACCATACGCCTACCAATTGGTAGATTTTGATCCAAGTTGGGGAACCTACGTCAAGGGAGGAATCTACACGCAAGTCAAAATGCCAAAGCAAATTTCCTTCCAAAAGTTATCTACTCAGCTAGAAAACCCTGAGTTTTTCTACTCAGACTTCGCGAAGATGGAAAGACCGCCTCTCTTCCACCTTGGATTCCAAGCTTTAGATGAGTTTGCAAAAACCCATGGCCGGCTTCCAAAACCCCATTCTGAGAATGATGCATCAGAGGTTTTGGATTTGGTGAGGCAGCTCAACTCCAAATACCCAGGCATACTAGGCGGTGCTGACATTGACGAAGATTTGATAAAGGAACTCTCCTATGGGGCCAGAGGTGAATTGCCAGCAATGGTGGCTTTCTATGGTGGTCTAGTTGCTCAAGAAGTTTTGAAGGCTTGCTCAGGTAAGTTCGGACCAGTGAAACAATGGCTCTATTTCGATTCTTTTGAATCCCTTCCGGAGAGTAAAGAGTACCCTCGTACTGAGGAGACCTGCAAACCAATAAATTCCAGATACGATAATCAAATCGCTGTGCTTGGATTGGATTTCCAAAGAAGGATCGCCAATTTGAAAGTGTTTTTGGTTGGCTCTGGTGCTATTGGATGTGAAATGCTGAAGAATTGGGCCATGATGGGTCTGGGAAGCGGCCCGGAGGGAAAGATCTACTTGACCGACAATGACTCTATTGAAAAGTCAAACCTCAACAGACAATTCTTATTCAGGTCAAAGGATGTGGGTAAAAATAAGTCCGAGGTTTCGTCTCAAGCAGTGTGTGCCATGAACCCAGACTTGACGGGCAAAATAGAGCCTAGAACTGATAAGGTTGGTCCAGAAACTGAGCACATATTCGACAACGAATTTTGGGAAAGTCTCGATTTTGTGACTAACGCCCTGGACAATGTTGAGGCCAGAACCTATGTCGACAGGAGATGTGTGTTCTTCAAAAAACCACTCTTGGAGTCTGGTACCTTGGGGACAAAGGGTAACACGCAGGTTATCATCCCACACCTTACTGAGTCATATTCTTCTTCCCAGGATCCACCAGAGAAGTCAATTCCACTTTGTACATTAAGATCTTTCCCAAACAAGATTGATCACACCATTGCTTGGGCCAAGTCGCTTTTCCAAGGGTACTTTACTGACGCTCCAGAGAATGTCAACCTTTATTTGTCACAGCCTAACTTTGTTGAAAGTACCTTGAAACAAAGTGGTGATGTGAAGGGAATTCTAGAGTCTATTAGCGCTTACCTGACCAAAGACAGACCCTACACTTTCGATGATTGCATCAAATGGGCCAGACGCAAGTTTGAGGAAACCTTCAACCATGACATACAGCAGCTACTTTACAATTTCCCTAAGGATGCTGTTACGTCAACTGGTGCCCCATTCTGGTCTGGACCGAAAAGGGCACCGGATCCTTTAGTGTTTGATATCAACAATGATGACCACTTCCATTACATCGTCGCCGGTGCCAACTTGTTGGCTTATGTGTATGGTCTCAAAGGAGACCAGGGAGATCCTGACAGGGCCTACTATGATCGCATTTTGTCCTCTGTCACTATAGAGCCATTCAGTCCTAAGTCCGATGTCAAAATTCAAGCCAATGACAATGACCCAGATCCTAATGCTGATATGGTGATGGACCAAGGGGCCATCGAGAAGCTTGCTGCTTCGCTGCCAACTGCTTCCTCCTTGGCAGGATATAGACTGAATGCTGTGGAGTTTGAGAAGGATGATGACACCAATCATCACATTGAATTTATCACTGCGGCCTCAAATTGCAGAGCCTTGAACTACCACATTGCTACTGCAGACAGATCTAAGACCAAATTTATTGCTGGCAAGATTATTCCAGCTATTGCTACCACGACTGCCTTGGTCACCGGCCTGGTGTGTTTGGAGCTCTACAAGGTGGTTGACAATAAAGTTAATATTGAGAAGTATAAGAATGGTTTCGTCAATTTGGCCCTGCCCTTCATTGGCTTCTCCGAGCCTATCCAGTCTCCATCCGGCAAATACAATGATAAAACGTTCGACAAAATTTGGGATAGATTTGACTTGTACGGAGACATGACTTTGCAAGAGCTTCTCGATTACTTCAAAGAGAAAGAAGGTCTTGAAATCACTATGCTGTCGCATGGAGTTTCTTTGTTGTATGGATCATTCCACCCTCCAAGCAAACTGAACACAAGGTTGCCACTGAAGTTAACCGAGCTTATAGAAACAGTGTCCAAGAAGCCAGTTCCTGAACACGAGAAGACTTTGATTTTTGAGATCTGCTGCGATGATCAAGAAGGCGAGGATGTTGAGGTTCCTTACATCTGTGTCCATCTCCATAAATAATCACCCTAGTTAGTTAATGAGTTGATAAAAAAGATTTCTTCTGTTCGAAAGCGTATTGTAGTTTCCTTTCTCCTTGATGATTCCGTCCTCCATGTACGCCACTGTATCTGCTATCTGCATCAGTTCTCTCTGATGGCTTATCACAATAATGGTCACGTGTTTTTTTAGTCCCAAAAGAATTTTTGCTACCCGCTTGGTATTTTGAGGGTCCAACGATGCAGTACACTCATCGAGAACTAGAATTTTAGGCGACCTGATAAAAGCTCTAGCAATGCAAAGCCTCTGTAGCTGTCCCCCAGAAATCAGGAGGTTAGAAGAGCCACCGATGCGCGAAAACAAATTGTCCGGAAGGCTGTGAACAAAATTTGCCATATCCACCAGATCGAGAGCTTCATATATTTGTGCATTTGTAACGGTTTTATGCAAATTGTACGTCAAGTTCTCCAAAATGGTTCCATCAAAAAAGTAGTGTTTTTGAGTGACAACAGCAACTTCCTTTTTGAGCTCACACATATCAAGCTGATCAATGTTTGCACCGCAAAATTTGATTAATCCTTTCTGAGGACTGTAGAGCCGTAATAGGAGATTTAAAAGTGTCGATTTCCCGCAGCCAGATCTCCCCACAACGCAAGTAATCTCGTTCATGTTGAGAGAGAAATTGAAATTGCTCAACACTGGAGATGCGCCCGGATCGTAACTAAATTGCACATTTTGAAATCTGAGCAATGGCTTATTTGGGTTCATTCTCGGCTTGGCTGTTCCATAAGACTCCTGGAGATTTTTCGGAAGCTGGATCAAAGACAGGATCTTCGTAAAGACTAGCACACCTTTGTTCACGTTGGGCATCGAGGAAAGCACAGCAGAAACGTAACCTACAGTAAACATGATCAAAGCTACCACCTGCATCATCTGGACCAGTGTGATCAAGCCCTCAGACACTAGTCTGATTCCATAGTACAGCATGATTGCTTGTGAGAGATAGATTGCAATGTTTTGTGAAGCCATGGCCATGGAAATAATTAGTGCCCGCTGCTTTCCTGCAGTTTTCAATTGATTCGTGTGGTCGTTAAATCTGGCCTGAAAATAGTTCTGAAGATTGAGTGAGATCACTGTTTTCATTCCCAGCACACTCTCATGAACAACTCCTTCCACGTCATTGGATGCTTGCTTGTAGTTTGCCTCATATTTTTGCAAGACAATTGAAAATATTGTCGAGAATATGACGAAAAGGGGAGCAAAACTGAGGCCAACTAGTGCTAATTTCCAACAAACAATTAGAGACCAAACTAGAGCAATTAGTACCAGGGCAATAATAGAGATGAGCTGACTTGGTGCATCTGAAATCATGGTTCTGAGGTCCCTTATATCATTGATAAGCAGCGACGAAAGAGCGCTTGGATTTATATTCTGAAACCAACACACAGGCTGAGCGAAAATATTATCAACAGCCCTGTTTCGTAATTGATCGACCAATGTTTCTGAGCTCTTGCTCAATGCCATCTTAGAAATAAATAATGAGAGTCCATCCATCGTTGCCACGCCCAAAAGAACCAGAGACCATTTCACCATATAAAAACTGGACACCTGCTGTCCGACTGACACTATCCCAAGGATTAGTTTGGAAAGAAAATAGGTGAACAAAGGCGTCATGGATGCATTCACAACGGAAAGTATAATGCCGAGCAGGAAACAGACCCTGGAACCAAATGTAAGAACATGCCACAGCTGGCGAACGAGTTGCAACGCGCTCACTTTTTTGGGAGTTTGGCTTTCCAGTTCGTTTGATTGATCTGATTTCTCCCCGGCATCCTCTTCCTCATTCCCATGCTCAAAAGGATCATCTGGGGTCTCCAGCTCGTACTGGAGGGAGGCGAACCTGGTCTCCCCTTTTAGGAGGTCAATCTTAAAGCCTTGCTCCCTAATCTTGCCATCTTCCATAAGAACAACGTAATCAGAATCTGCAATCTCCGTGTAGTCGTGTGTCATTATGACTGTGGTCCTTCTTCTTCTGTGTCTTTTGAGCTTTCTCAGAATCGTAATTCGCTGATTATAGTCTACCGCTGACAAAGCTTCGTCCAAGATCAACACCGGAGTATCTCTCATGATTGCCCTAGACAAAGCAACTTTCTGCCGCTGACCTCCACTCAGTGTCACGGAGCCAGGACCTCGCCCAATTCTCGTATTGAATCCTGCAGGTAGAGAAGCTATTAGTTGATCCAGGCCAGAAATTTGCAAGGCCTCGTTCAGTAACTTGGGAGCAACGGGAGTAGGAGAAGCTAGAGACAGGTTTTCAATGATGGTACCATCGAAAAGAGTGCATTGCTGCTGGACCAAAGTGATCTGCGAAGCCAGCCAACTTGGATCCAGTCTCGAAATATCATAGTCATCACAGGTAATTCTGCCATCAAAGTGATACAACCTGAGGATTAGGGACGCAAGAGTGGATTTCCCTGAGCCTGATTTTCCAACTATGTACAACAGTTGGTTTGCAGGGATTTGCAAGGTGATGTTTCTGAGCCCCCAATCGTCTCTAACGGGATATTTGAAGAAGACATTGGCGATCCTGATATCACCCTTTATATCATGTTTGGGCTGAAACCCTCCTTCGTAAATGCCTTTTGAGCAGTCCACACTTTCAAACACAAACTTGAGTGAACTATGTGCGGTCTTCAGACTCACAATCTGAGAGGAGATGGTTGAGAATATCCGTGAAATGGTCAGACAAGAATAGAAACAAGAAATAATGTCGCCTGAAGAATTGAGGTGATTGCGCACTAAAAACGATCCATACCAGAAGCTCTGCACAAACATCATGAGCGCCAAAAACTTGATCATGCCCGTGTTTAAGTTGAGGAAGAGCTTCATTTTCAAAAAGCTCTGAGTGGTCAGTTTAGTAGCAGCATCCAGTTTCCTTTTTTCCAGGGACGAGGAATCAACGATTTTGACCCACACATAATTGAGCAGATTCCATTCTAGGACCTTGATTGTGTCTTCCGAGTGTTTGTTTTCCAAAGTGGTATATTTTTCGACCAAAAATCCCCAAACTCCAGTAACCAGTACAATTATGGGGATGGTGGTCATGACGAGCAATGTTAACCTCCATGAATAATAAAAGCTAAGTACTAGTAAGGCACAAAGCATAGCAACTGATTTGATGAGCATCTCAAGACACTCGGAGATACCCATCCTGAACTCCTCAATGCATCTGTTCACTTGCATTAGATTAGAATTAAGATCCGACTTTTTGTCAAACCATTCTAGTCCCTTTCGAAGCAATGATTGGTACACTTCCTGTCGACAGCGATTTTGTTGTCTCTCCCCAGCAAGAAGAAAGCCAGTCAGCCCCAACCAGTTGAAAAATGTAGCACCAAGTCCGACGAAAGCGATTGCGAAACAAAACCATTGCACATCTGCCACGAAATCATAGCTGTGTGAATATTCGTTTCGACCAAAACTCTCCAGCTTATTAAACACCCTTGCTAGCAGCACTGCAACTATAGCAGGCACCATAGCAGAAAGGGTGGTAAAACCTATTGCAGGCAGTAGCAGCCAGCAGTCTTTGGCCTCGATAAACGTAAATAGCCAAGGTTTGCGGCACACGTCCGTGACTCTTGAGGTATCCAGAACCGATGTTATGGTCACAGGAGACCCAGAGAAGTCCTTTTCATCCATTTGGTGGCATTGTGATTGGGTTCACATCGATATATATTGGGATCAAAAGATTCAGTTTGATTTCTTTAAATTTCCGAATTGGGAAGATCAATGGAGACTGTGATGAAGTGCTAAAGAAAATGCTCCAAGAAAAATTTTGTGTAAAAAATTCAACTCCTTCCTAACCATTATTGTACTTTTTTGCTCACGCTAACGTGTGTATCGGAGGACCGATACAACCGTCAGCAGCCATCTAATGATGAAAAATCTGATAGGGACAACTGACTAATATGATGATAGTTGTTGGAATATAGATAGATAGTAAATTTTCTGACAGATGGTTCGAGCTAGCTAAATAAGTACGAGTAAGTGTTAGCCCTGAACAAGTTGCGTACCTGTACTCATAGAATCTCCAATGCCTGAAATAGGCAGCTTGCATATCGATAGAAATTTACAGATCAAGCTGTCTAAATTTGAGGGCAACTAAATTAAAAAAACTTGTTTTTTAAAATAGATAGATAGATGACTGATCAGGGTTGGGTGTTGGTGCTGCTTACGGCAGTGACCACTATCGCCGGCTGTCTAGTGGTGTACACAGACACTGTGTATCGTGTGTTGTTCCCCAGACTTTACGAGAAGCATCCATTTAACATTCAGAAAAATACACCCTTCCTCGTGGCCACATTGTCACTGAGTTCCGGTAGCTTACTATTCACCTCGCTCAACAGACTGCTTCCTGAAGCAGATAAATACTTGGAAAAGCTCAAATCTGTTGAAGGAAAGCCAGAATTGCGCAAGGCCCTGCTGGTTACCTTCTTCTTCATAGGTATCTTCTGTTGCACCTTGCTCAATCTGGCGATCCACTTTTTCACCAACGAGAGCATCGTCCATTGCGTTCATGACGACGAGTATGGCCGTTCAGATTCGGAGACGTCCGATTTGGAGTCCGCCTCAGAGGAAAGTCCTTTGCTGAATCATGGACATAAACCTCACGACTACCTTTCACATAATGCTCACAATCAATCTTCAGTCGGCGCAGATGCCCAGCGAGATTACGCAACAGTCCCTAAAAAGATGTCCCTAGTGGACCTATCGTTGAAAACCCTGAAGGGTGCCGAAGTCCAGGGTGAGTGTTTGGGCACGATAGATTCTTGTCAAGAAGAACTTATTGCACGCCATCATCTACATGCTGGCAGAAAATTGTCCCATAACGAGTTACACTTCTGCACCTTACCGAGCGAAGAGAATCTCATGTTTTTCGACAAGGACAAAGAACTCATTGTCAACAAGAGTGAGATTTGCTCAAAATTCCCAGAGTTGGAAGTTAATTCCCCTTTGCTGGTCAATGTCCACGACAGCCCATCGATTCATAGACATAATGATCGCTTCCAGCTTGGCCATTCCAAAAATAGTGAGGAACACCGCGGCCATGAACATATACACAACTCTGACTCACGTTCGCTTGAACACCATCATCACCACATTCAAACGCCCTTGTCTCGTCTGCTTTCCATTGGACTGCAGACGGTTCTTGCAATCACCATTCATAAACTTCCAGAAGGGTTCATTATGTATTCTACAGCCCAGGCAGATCCTAGCCTGGGACTTTCAATATTTCTCTCGATGTTCATCCACAACATAGTGGAAGGATTTACAATGACGCTACCGCTTTCCATTGCGCTGAACAGCAAGACGCGTGCATTTTTCATATCAAGCATACTAGGAGCTAGCGCTCAGCCTATAGGAGCAGTGCTGGGATGGATAATATTCAGAGGAAATCTCGATTTGGATCAGGACATTAATTTGCTACTATTTGGCTCTTTGATAGCAGTGACATCTGGGTTCCTCACATACGTTGGTGTTCAGATGATAACAAGTGCTGTTGGATTTGGAGGAAAGCAGGAGAGGGTGCTAGGGTTTGCCTTCATTGGCATGTTTTTGATTTGTCTTAGTAATATCCTAATTAACAAGGATTAATCGACGCGTCGACTTCAAAGAAATTTGTCTTTGACCTTTATTTTGTAGTACATGCTTGTTCACTGATGGGGCAAAAGACAAGTAAACTAAACAAAGAGGATATCTCAACTCTGAGACAAGAAACGAAATTTTCTGCGCGAGAGCTCCAGCAATGGTACAAAGGGTTTCGTAGGGACGTCCCAAACGGCCAACTGACAAAAGAGGAATTTACCAAGATTCATAAACAATTCTACCCGTTTGGCGACCCTACCGAGTTCTCTTCATATGCATTTGAGGCCTTTGACACAAATGGGAAGGGTTACATTGACTTTCATAGCTTCATTATTTCTTTGAGCTTGGCATCGCGAGGCTCAATAGAAGACAAGCTTAAATGGTCATTCAACGTGTATGATCGTGATAGAGATGGCTTCATCAGCTATGATGACCTCCTCACAGTAATAAAAAGCATATACAGAATGGTGGGCACCAGCACATTGCATCTATCTGAAGACGAAGCTACTCCAGAGCTGAAAGCGGGCAAAATATGGCAAGGTTTTGGCAAACAGCTACACGACTCCCAAGATCTCATATCCATCGAAGAATTCATTAATCATAGAAATTTGAGTTCCGAGGTGCTTGAAGCACTGAACATATACAATGATCTGGTGTGATCCAAGCTTTCAGATTCTCTCCGCTGTCCAGACGGCAACTTTGCATGTGAGCTTAATGGTTTCTGTCAGCAACCAGTATGGCCTAGCATTTTTCGAGTCGTGCTCAATTGCTGTGTCCAGATGCTCCAGCTCCTCGTCTCTAAACACCTTTATAGTTTCCTTCAGGCTCTTAATATCCGCTGAATCCGATGTCGTATCGCTCCCAATCTCTTCGACGTCTTGAAATCCATTGGACAGCACACGCAGTTGCTGGTTGTAATGGTTCCCGATGACAGTTTCCACAGCTTCGGTGCAAGCCATTGCTCCTTCCTTACCCAACATACCGGTGAAGAGTCCCATTGCAAATGCACCTGCTTTCCAAGCTGGGGTCAGCAATGACGGACGCACTCTGTGGTCGACCTGCAAACGATTGAAAGTATTATGATGATGTATTTCCTGGTCCCACATATGTTTCAGGACGGGCTTGAGTGCAGGCTTGTGCGACAGCGCCATATACTGACCTGCGTAAATCAGGTCCGCTCCAAGTTCTCCAGCCTGGTCGACGCGGATCACTCTATCCAGATATGCTTTCTGAGCTGGTGAAAGAGCTTTGTGCGTACTTTGGAATCGCTTGAATAGGAGCCTGTTCATGGATTTATAGAGTTTTGGTGGTACCATAAATTAATTATATTTTGTAGTCTGTCAGCAGCGAACGCGTGCAAGATCTATAAATTTACCTTCGGGAAGACTTGAATACAGGGATATCGTCATCGTCGTCAATAGCGGGCTGCTGCACCCTGGCAGCTGATCGTAGTGAAATTGGTCGTTTGCGTCGTGGGAAATCGAATTCTTGGTCAAGCTCGGGAATTTGTTCTTCTTCAAGATGGATTCCTTCTCGTGTGAGAGCAGAGTTATAGCTTGACGGTTTGAGCCGGATATAAGAGGCCATGGCATCGAATACAACATCTCTCAGCTCACCGCTGTCGGATTTACGGAAATTGGAGTAATCCTTGCGGCCATTCCATTTGGGGTTTGCACCCATATACTGGTGCGGCTGGAATTCTTTGACGGCAACACTAAATTTTGTCACTTTTGGTTGCAAAGTCTCCGCATCCACCTCCCGATCCTGGCTTTCTTCTTTCACCTTTTTTGCCTCTTTCAGAACTTCGACCAGAGGCAGCTCATGACGAACTTCGTCTTTAGGTGCATAAGTAGGTGTAGGAATAGACTCAATTGTGCCATTATTTGGCTCGTTCTTGTCATTTAGTTTTTCATGATTAGTAGACTTTAGCAATGCTTGAAATTTTGCAACCGCTTCTTTACCTGGAGAAGCTTTGATTTCATTTGATGCTGAAGTGGGGGTCGCGTCTTTTTCTGGAGAACGTCGCAGGTCGCTTTTTATAACTTCAAAATCGTCAATATTTGGGAGGAACATCTGCGAAGACCCTAAAGAGCCGGGTATTCTCTTAGACCGCCTCTGGCTTGGTTGAGAATCCAATGAAGAGTGAGTTTCCCTATCACCAGGATTAGCAGACGGAAGCTCTTCAGCAGCAAACATTTCGATCTCCTCCACTTCAGCAACTGATGGATTAAAGTCGAGAACCACCTTGATTGGTGTGTTTTCGTCGACAACCTTTCTGAATCCACTGACATTCTCCTGATAACGATTTAAACGAAAAACCAGCATGTCCGAAGGCCCTGGTTTTCTGAAGCGAATACCACTCAAGCCTTTCAAGTCAGTATAAGTTTCTCCAATAGTAGCCAGGCAAATTGGATCATCTTTCCAATATTTCTCGAAATCTGATTCCAGTCCCGACAAATTAATTTGTTGTAGCCATTGCTTGTCCATGATTTTGATCTCAGGGTTGGAACGACATAGCTCGATTAACTGACCAATTGTCTCTTCGCCAGAGACGATGTAGTGAGTTTTATGGCGATCATCGGTTTGAGCCACATTTTGCAGCTCAGGGAAGACTCCATTTGTAACCATATCCTTCCAAATAGCTGTCATGAGAAAACCTTTTCCGCGGATGCTAAGACCTCCAGTACCTGAACTAAATCGCAAAACCTCTTCATGTCCCAAAGGGACACCATTGATCTCCACAGCACCTATCTTTGGTCTAGGACACACATTTGCAATCTCAAGGGTGTCGCCTTTAGCCTTGAACGAAAATTCGAGCCTCGACACCGACTTATGCGGTATGTGGAATTCTGCATCTTTTTTGCGTCCAACTAAATACACTTTGTCGGGCAGCAGAAGATGCAATATGCCATCGTCCGGGGACTCGACAAGCCACATTGAAGCGGAGAAGATATATTTTATGATTATTTATGATTATTTATTTTTGAATTACAGCCGTAACAAATGGACTGAAAATAAATATGGTAGTATACACAATTCAGAGATTGCCACACCATGTTCACTTGAGCTGCTTCAGATTCTCATAAAACTGGACAACATCCTCACTGACCCTGATGCGCCTTTCATCAAAGTTCACAATCTCGAGATTTCTTGTATCCACACATCTACTTAGAGCAACGTAAACCTGACCTTTTTCGAAGATCTTGGTCAGGTCGACCTTCACGCGCTCCAATGTTTGTCCTTGAGACTTGTGAATGGACAAGGCCCACGAAAGCAGGATTGGGAGTTGTTCACGACTTAGGTCGCTATTAGATTCGGGGGAAAATGGTACTGGTTCTATAAGTTTCAGTGAACTATGGGAGAATTTGACCAGAGGCAAAACTTCTGAAAGCTTAGAGTTCTTGGCAGTCCGAATCATTTGCTTGGCAAGTTCTACTTGCGAAGGACTATTATAATTTGTGGCCAGAAACTCGTTGTACAATGCTTCGTCCTGGGCAGTCGGCTCATTTCCAGTGAATCTCGATGCCATTACCAGGAGGTCGGTGTGCATTGGCCTTTCATACTCCTTGAACGTGTTGGTGAATAAAGTCCAAAGTGCTATACTGCAGAAGCAGACTATTTTCCCGATCGATCCATTCACCAATTGAGGATCTTCCAGGTCGTTCTTCAGATACATTATTTGCGCACCTTCCTTGAGTTGCAAAACCTTGGCACACATGAGACCATCCAGTTGCTTGACGAACATTGCAGGGTTTCCATTGGGAGGGAAATTGTCGCGACTTTGAAAAGTGTAGACACGTCCTGGAAGCGAGTTCAGTCGCTCCAAGTTAGCACGATCCACCTCTTCCCTTGTAGGGTAGAGCTCTGTAGGGTAAATACCGTCATCGTATTGGAGGGGACGTTCCAGCCGTTTGAATTTTTGCTTGATTTCATTGGAGATTTTTCCAATTCTCAGGGCATTCAACATCTCGATCAAGTCAGAGTCGTTCTTTTGTCTGAAAACTTTAGTCAGCAGAATGGTCTCATCAATACACTCTTTCCAGCTGACCGCGTCAAAACAAAACCTAGCTGCGCCCGTTTTGCTCAGTGAAACAGGCGGGAGTTGGAAGAAGTCTCCTGTCAGAACCAGCTGAATGCCGCCAAATGGTTTGTTGCTACCTCGAATTTGCTTTGCAATGTCGTTCAGCTTGTCGAAAAAGTTGGAATCGATCATAGATAACTCATCGATAATTAACACTTTGGTTCCTTTCCACCTTTCAACAATGCTTCTTCTGCTTTTTATCATGCTCACTAATTTGTTCACTGGCCCAGAGCCCAGACCTATACCGGAAAATCGATTGATTGTGGTGCCCTCAATATTAGTCGCCGCCAACCCAGTCGAAGCGGTCACCGCAATGGAACTGGAACCATATCTGTTCCTCAATCGTTTGATTATTTCACGTAAGAGGAAAGACTTACCAGTACCTGCAGAGCCTGTATAAAAAATGTTCTTGCGCTCGTACAGAACCATTTCAATGACTTTACGCTGTTCCTCCGAAAGAGACCCGCTAATGCTGTTGCCGTTTTGAGACGACTGTTTGTTTTGGTTGCGAGGATTTGAAATCTTCTTCACATTCAAATTCGACCACGGCACTGACCTTTGGCGTGAAGCTGACACCGGCTTGCGTGCGGGCAGCTTCACAGATCTCCCAATGTTTACCTCTGGTCTTGTCGATACGTCGATCTCTGTCTGTTCAAATTGTATCTTTTCAATTGGTTTTGAGTGTTTGAAGCTGGATGGTTGAGAGGTAGACACGTCTAAAGCAGGTGTCTCCAACTGGCCAAATCCAACACAGGAAACCGATCGGTCCAGTTTTGCGCGTTTGTGCGCGTTTTCTTTATTTTGCAGGAACTCTTCATCGTTAGACACGCTTCTCTTGTCTAATTTGAGTGCAGAGAACGGCTGACTGGGCTTGATATCCCGATTAGGTTTCGAGGAGCTTATGAACGACGCAAGGGTGGACTGCTTGGAAGTCCTTGGCTTCTTGGAATTGGTCGTGTTTAGCGACACATTGAACATCTGATCAAATGCCTGTCGGATTGTTTTGATTTAAAATACGCGAATTGATCGATCTGCGCGACGATCGACGCTTTGGACCGAGTCGAGGTTTAAGATTTTCTTTGTGGCTTTTACGCGCCAAAGTTTTCACACACAGGAATACGAGATTGTTCATGCGCATTTCTCTTGCATTTTGGAAGAAATCCCAGCCTTCAACCCGGCCTAAAATAATAATATGCATGTGAATATAGGAAATGTTTACAAAATAGGCAAGTGAATGTTCATTCCAGCAGAAATGAATCAGCGCCAATGAAACAGAGTCAGTATAATTGAGACTCTGCATATTCGATTCTGCATAGTTTGTTTGAGAGCTGGGGAAGTTAATAATAGTCTTGTGTGAAATAAGTGTTTGCACCTGCATGAAATGACCTCTCATGGTTTGCTCGACTGGTGACTTTTTTAAACTGGAAATTTCCCATAACTTGTCTTCCTCAATCATGACTGAAAAGCCCTGGGTCGACATCGAAAAAGGCGGAGGTTGGATTCCGCAACGCAAATTGTGTACTTTGAACCGGATTCTTCTGTACATTCTCATTTGCCTCTGTATCCTGACCGCCATTGTGACGGTCAGAAAGTCCTCGGTCCACTCTCACTATCTCATGATGCCTGATCCTCACGCAAACCAGGAACCCTTCATTATTGACAGCCGCTTGCACAGGGCTCGCAGCTCACAGAGGATGCCGTATGATACAGAATACAGTGTTCTGGTTAACGCTGCCAATGCAAGAATAAAGAAGCCAGAAAGATCGGTAGCCGTGCCTGTCAAGAAAAACCCAGTTGTTTTACAGAAAGAGGTCGAGGCAATTACGCTTGTGTCCAAACTGGTTTTGGTCGTCGATTCGTTGAACCGCAAATACGAGGACCTCGCTCGAAACTTGTGGGGGGAGCCTTTGCTGATGAACCTGAGCAAGCACCCTTACGACGAGGCACTCAAAGACTACATGGTAGACTACTTCAAGGTCGAGAAGCTGCCCATTCTGCTTGTGAATGGAAAACCGATGGTGAGTGGAGACGACTTGAATGAGGCGAAGTTTGCTCGCATCAATAGACTCATCAAAGAGAACCTGGATTAATTAGATACCCGCCTGGCAAGTTCTCCCACGCTGGTCCTTATTTTCGGAAAGCCATATTTTGCTCTTAGGATTATGATAGAAACGAATATTTATGATGCATAATTATTTCTAAATTTAAAATTGCGGAAAATGGGTGTACGTACGGCAATTCGGCAACTTACTAACAGCTAGAACGATGGAGGCTCCATTCCGTCCAGGAAGCTTATTGTGAACTTCTATGCCTCGGAGAATGGGAAGGAAAAAGGCAAACCGCTGAACGCTTTTGCTGTTTGTGCCCTATCCAATGAAAAGCTAATCCCTCCCGTTGTCTCAGACTACAGAGGCCAGCTATTCAATAAGGATGCGCTTCTTGAATTCCTACTCAATAAGGAGTATCTAAAGAATGATAAGCTAAGTCATATCACTTCGCTCAAAGACGTCGTGGAGCTCAACATCAAGTTGGATCAAACTACACTAAAGTGCGAGCTTACTTCTTCAGAGTACGACATTACATCAACAGTCGTGCCCAAATTCGCGTACGTGGTACCCTGTGGATGTGTGATGTCAAAGAACGCTCTAGTTTCTCTTCTTTCTTCTACAAAGATCAGAGAATACGCTACAACGCGATGCCCGCTTTGCAATACCGAGTTTTGTACCCGCGACCTGATCGAAATAGACCCAGACGAGGAGGAGTCACGAGTTCTGGAAAAGCGCATGAATTTGCTCAAGGAGGAAGGGCTACACCACTCACTCAACGCCCGGAAGAAACGAAAGTCTGTGTCCGGGGAGAAAAGCGCTAAAAGGAGCAAAATTAAAAGCGCAAAGCCTTGACCGCTTTGTATGGGATTCCCAAAACTATGTACATTATTGCCGATTCTGTTCGGCCTGTTTGGCCTGCATCTCCTTTTGTAGGGCGAGTCTTCTCTCGTTTTCTTTGCCAGTCAGGTATAAAGTGTATCCGACATTGGCGCTCATGTAGAGCGATAACCCAACAAGTCCCAAAACAGTGATACGGTGCGCCACATCAGTAACTCTGGTATACCACGGATAAGCCTTAGACATGGTAGTGGTGTGCAATAAAATTGAATTTATTTGATGAAGGAAAAAATTTGGGTTACGAGCGTGTATCTATTAAATCAAGCCATAGACTTGCGTTTGAAAAGCTTTTTGAAGGTGCTCTTTGGAGAAGACAGACTGGCGGACGATATGCTATTGCGGAGCGTAGAAACTGACTGGACGCTGCCAGACTTGCTGATTTGGTCCTTTGAGTGTTTAGATTTCACACGAGGGCTGTCTCGGGACTGTCTTCGGTTCTTGAGGAACGATTCCAGGCTACCATTATCATTGCCTATCAGATCGTACACCACACAATGATCCTGATCTATTCTGGCGGCCTTTAGGATAGAATTCACAAATCTTATGAACGAGTCCGGTGTGAAATCAGACGGAAGCTCTGTTCTAGAGATGGCTTGCTCCAGAGCTTTAGTTTTGGCTACCACGGCCGACGCCTGGCGCTTCAAATCGTCCAGATTTATGCTCTGTTTCTCCAATATCAGCTGGTTGAGTTCGTCGTCTCCGTCTTCCAGCAACGCCTTGATGAAATCTCTGGATCCGAAATCTGTGTCATCCAGCCCCAGCAGTTCTAGCTTCAGCTCGCTCATGACAGACTTCCTTTTGGACTCCTTTGAAACTACATTTTCCGCATTCTTTGAGTCGAGAAGCGAAGCAAACTCAGCAAGTCTTAGGTACTTGTCAATCAGGAATGATCTGGACGGAAGTTCGCTCAAAATTTCCTCAGAAGCGTTCAGCGAGGGTTTCCCCATCGTATTGGTCATTTCAAGTTTCTTCTCGGTAAAATCCATTTTACGCCCGCTTATTCGGTCACAGTACAAGCGCAGCTCATCGTTCCGTTTGCTGAGGAAGTCCTCATTCAGGCGAAGAAGTTCTGGGTCTTTATGCGGAGCAAACTGTGATCTGTTTGCAAGCGTCATAAGAACTTTAGCGATCAACGTCAGAGTCTTGGAAACCCTTCCCAGTTGGTGATTCTTCGACAAGTTGAACAGTTTTGGATTCAAAATTGCCGGACACAAAAACCGGAGGAAGATAAACGAGCACAGAGCGTTCAGAGGAGTCTCCGTATCGCATGGATCCACGGAATGCTCGACCTTGCTTCTCAAACGGCCCCACTCCTGCTTGAGTTCTTTGGGAAGATCATTGGACGTGGTAAAAATTCTGTTCCACAGTTCCTCGACGTAGTTGAGAAGATTTTGGTAGTGTTCCTCATGGGTATTTGGATATGCTTTCGGGTTCGGATCGCAAATCAGATTTTCGGCGCAGATTTGGGCTATGAAGTCTCCCAACAGCTTTTCAAGGTATTCTTGACCGATCCTGATCTGATACTTCTCCAAAGAAGTCGAGAGGAGCGATCTTCCGCGGAACAGAGTGTTGAGATTATTAGTGAGCGAGGTTGAATGTCGTTTTGATCCAGAGTTTTTCAGAGTCTCCAGCTCGAACGACTCCAGCTGCTCAAAATACTCGTGCTCCATATTGGCGCTTTGGTAAATATCCAGCAGCATTTGCGACAACTCGTCCACATTCTGAGGCTCAATCAATGGGGTGACAAATTGCAAAAGGTCCCGCACATCAATACCTTTCATCATTCCCTCAAACATTCTATAGTTTTGGTATGACATGATATGGACTTCTTTAAGACTCAAGTTGATTGTGATGGATCCAATTTCGTGGCTCTGTTCGCCATAAAGCGGTAGTTTCTTCATCGTTTGCGGCTCGCTCATAAAGTCGGGTGTTACGAATGCTCCTGCAATCACTGGATCTTCCTCCATCAGATTGTAGACTGAGCTGTTGTTAGATGACTTCAAAACGAGCTTGAAGAACTCTGCAGACGGAGGAAGGTCCAGATCAAACAATTCCTTCCAAAATGGATTCTGATTCGAATTCTTAACGATAGCAGTTCTGTACCATGGTCCTCCCCACATATGCAGCTCGACATAAAGATGAAGATTTTCGTTCAGAGAAGGATTGTTGAATTTGGCTTCAACAACTTCCAGCTTGTAATTTTTAACTAGCCTCATTCTTTCCTCAGTAAATCTGTTTCCGATATATTCCATCTTGGTGAAAGTCTTGAGAGCAACAATCCAGTCTCTCAGATCTATGCCTAAATCAAATTGAACAAGAATCCTGTGGCTATTTGAGAAGGACTTTCCGTTCTTCAGGATGAACGCAGAGTCGTCCTCGCTATCAATTTCGTTCGCATACCGATGGTTTCGACGGAGCTCGTTTATTTGCCCAACAAAGAGGATGTTTGGCTGCTGGAACACAGAATGATGCAGAGGCCTAATTTCAGAGCAGTAAATTTTTGTAATATCAACAGAGTACAATAATGTGCCATCACTCTCGCACAGCAAATCCAAAATACCATCGTGCTTCAGATATCCCATAGCTGTAAACCATCCTTCCGTTTGTTTGTCTTCAGAAGGATACAATGGAGTTTTTGGCAATTCACTGAGCTGGACTTTCTTGTAGTTAGGAGCTGGTCCGTAAATACGAAATCTACAGACCAGTAAGTCATTGGTTCGAAGATTCTCGTCATGAACAATAGACCTGTTAAAAGAGTATTTGTTGTAATATCCTTGTGGTTTCAAGTTCTGCCATACCATAAGACATGCAAGCAAAGGTTCGAATTCAGATTGTTGGGCTTTAATAAACACAGTTTTCAGATCCAGGCTTTTCACTTTCAGCACCCGAGGCTCAGAGAACAACTGGACTTCGCATTTCTGAAGACTAGGGATCATCACAGCATCCCCATCCATTATTAGCTCACCTTTTGGTGTTATCTCCAACGATGCTTCACTCCATCCCTGCGAGTCACCATTGAGGGCGTCAAACTTATAGGACCATTTGACACAGTCCAGAGTCACACAGCCCCCATTGCGGAGCATATAGTCCTTCAGCTCACTCTTCGCCATTGAATTGCAGCCAATATATTGCAAGCCCTAGAGATCTCAATGATCGAAAAGCTTAAATGCGAAAAATGCTGAAAGGTTGCATGAAAAAAAAGAGCTTTCCAAAAGCGGAAATTGAGTTAGGAGAGTAGTTGTACGGATAATAGTGAGTTTACTGCTACGGCACAGACAGATGACAATTACGCAGTATGTATGACCTCTGAGGTATGGAATTACGCCCTGAATGTCAGATATTGAATGCTCTAGGTGCCTCACCTTCAGGGCCGATGTATTCAGGTTCTCTCCATGGTCCAACGTCAGACAACAGTAGTCCACCCTCAGCCTCGCTGACTTCACTTTTTCCTCCAAACTTGACTGGCAAGTTTTCGGCCGGGATCTGTTTGAGCAACTCCTTTTGGTAGCTGGCACCCAAAATGAAAATCTTGGAAACAGTAACAGGGTCCAAAAACGGCTTGAAGAGCTTGAACACGGTGGAGAATCCAAATGGAGAGTTAATCAGATAGAACTTGCCCATTCTTTCGGGGTAGTAATCTTGACCAATTTTAGACGCTTCTCTCACGTATGAGAGCACCTGGGATGCAGCAGAGATCGATATTCCTTTCAAATCCAAAATTGTGCACGAAGTTTCAACTAGAACACCAGCTTTTCTCGAGCATGCAGGAAGTCTATATCTGACAAACGATTCATATTCCCAAACGAGATTTTTCAACATGCGTTCTTGAGTGGTAATTTTGTACATTTCAGTGAGATTCACAGACCCTAGCTCCTCAATGTAAAGTGGGCGTCCATCCTTGTCAGTCTTGTGGTAGTACTGTGGGTAATACTTGGCAACCAGTGGCTTTTCCTCGTACTTGAAGTCCTCCAAAATGGTATCCGTTCCAAATTCCTTTCTCCAATTCTCGCAATTGATAAACATCTCCTTTGCCTTCATCACATCAAACTTCCTGGCCCTCAAAAATCTAAGCAAGCTTGGCTCATCGAGTCTAAGCGTGTAACCCTCAGCCTCGAGTAAAGTTTTGAGCTGTTCGAGAGCCGATTTCTCACTGTCAGTCAGATAACCAGGGAATCCTGTCTGGCCGAGTGGAGGCTCTGCCACCTTGTCAGGAAGAGTTGCCAAAATTTCCTCGTCTGAAACCATCCTAATCACTAAGGGAACTATCTGTTAGGCACAATGTAAAATACTGGTAAGTAATTTGCTATAAACATTGCAGGTAGGGTAACCGGGCCAAGGCGCGGCCACCTGGTCCCAAGGTTGAAAAGAGAAAACAAAGAAACGTTTCACCGCTTAGGTAAGCCAACGAAGAAGCAATTCTATCATGTCTGGAAACCCTTGCATGTGAAAAAAATCCAAGAGTTGAAGCATCAGTTATCGACGACCATAAGTGGAAGTCGTTAAGCACATGCGCCACGATGATGTTCCTGCAAGTTGAAGGCCAATGGTGTGGCAGCATGTCAGCCTAAATCCACTCTAGGCTGGCTGCACGAGTGATCTTATTGTTTTTTTTATAGTTCGGCATTTACTCGGTATGAGGTTTTTTCGATCAATTTCCTGAGTACAAATAGCTACCGAGTACTGACAAACTTTCTTGCAAGAAAATCTCATATCAACGTTCCTCTGATTAATCGTGATCTTCAAATCAAAGGATGGCCTCTTCACAATCACTAGCCTCTGGCCTGACCGAGGATAAATACGAGTCTGCGGCCGAATCTCTGAATGAGAGCCAAAGGTACTCTGCGAATTACGATGCCGAGGATTCTGAAATTCCTTACTCCACTGCACAACAAGAGGACACCGAGCAAGAGGAGGTGGAGCATTACGTCAACGATACAGCTTCGCAACAAAACACTCTCCATAAAGAAGAGAGCAATGACGACTATGCTGGTGAACTGGATAGAGAGATAAGCAGGGTGGCCACGAACTTGTCGCGTTTTTCAAGCAGAATTTTACACCGCAGCCAAGAAGAGTCCACCAGCGCAGAGAAAAGCACGGAAGAGGAGGAAGGCTATGATCCTCGTACCATGGCTTGGGATGGGCCTGATGATCCTGATAACCCTTTCAACTGGCCAAACTGGAAAAAATGGTCAGTCACCATGACGATCGCGTTTCTGTGTCTTGTGATTTCACTTGGATCCTCCATTTACGTGGACGCTGTTCCAGAAATGATGGCCAAATGGGGCATTTCGCAAACACTGGGCCTGGCAGGTCTGACACTCTATTTGGTCGGTTTGGCCTTTGGTCCAGCGATTGCTGCTCCATTGTCCGAGGTGTTTGGACGTAAGATCATTTACTGTTCGACTCTTCCGATTAGTATGCTTTTCATCATGGGTGTCGGTCTTTCAAAAAACATTGGCCAGGTTTTGGTTCTTAGATTCTTCGCTGGTTTCACTGCCTCCGCTGCTCTGGCAATTGGTGGAGGTACTGTCACCGATATTTGGAAGCCTCACGAGCTTGGAATAGCCATGACCTTGTTTTGTATGGCTCCCTTGTGCGGTCCTGTGGTCGGTCCGATCATTGGTGGTTTTGTTGCCGAGAATAAATTCTCAACTGATATGAACAAAGTTGGTGGCCTCAGATGGACAATGTGGGTCGACCTTTTTTTTGCTGCTGCTGTTTTCATTCCTCTTTTTTTGGCTCCAGAAACTTATAGACCTATTATCATGAGACAGAGGATCAAGAAGAGAAATCTCAAGCGCAAAAAGACCATGCCGCTGGCCAAATTTATCATGATTTTGGTGTTCATTACATTGCTGAAACCTATGGAAATGCTGGTGGTGGAGCCGATTGTGCTTGTGTTCTCTATCTACACTGCTTTCATTTTCGCTGTGCTTTTCGGCTTCTTCGAAGCTTTCCCAGTCATTTTCAGAGGTCAGTATGGCATGTCGCTTGGCATTTCTGGCCTTCCATTTTTGGGTGTTGGCCTAGGTATCGTCTTTGGTGCTATTACTTATGTTTACATTGACAAGAGGATATTCTTCAGACGCTACCCAGATGGTTACATCGGTCTCAGAGACAAAAACGGCAACAACCTGCCTCCGTCACCAGAGTCTAGACTTCTGCCATGTAAGCTGGGAGCAGTGGCAATGCCACCAGCTCTGTTCTGGCTTGCATGGACGGGAAGACGCTCTGTTCACTGGATGGCTCCAATTGCTGCGGGTGTGCCATTTGGATTTTCCCTGATTTTGATCTTTTTCTCTATCTTGACCTATTTCAGCATGTCATACCCTCCAATCTCTGTTGCGTCGGCTTTGGCTGCCAACAATTTACTGAGATATATTGTGTCATCGGTTTTTCCATTGTTCACGGTCCAGATGATGGAAAACCTCCACATATACTGGGGTGTCTCCGTTTTTGCATTTATCGCGCTTGCCCTGGCCCCAGTTCCATGGTTGTTCACCAAATGGGGTCCTCCTCTTAGAGAAAGGTCCAAATATGGATTTGCTGCGGAGGAAAAACAGAAAGAGGCAGCTGCCACGAAAGAAACTGAAGTCTAGAAATAATATTTTACAGATTAATGTCCACTTTAATTCGAGTTTTGCTAAATGTCTTCTTGACGTAGACCAAAGTACCCGTCAGGGGCTGTAGATGGATCTTTTAGAGACGTTTGTCCCATACTCGCGTCTGTTCCAGAATAAGAAACCAAGTTTCCCCACCAATTGATGTCCTTTTCGTGGTATTGAACTGCGAAGAAGATAATGATGCCTCCGAAGGCAACACCGGCGTCCAGCGCAGAAGCAAGAATATAATTATATTTCTCCCACCAGCCAGAATATCGTTTTTTGATAACGTGGTTGAACGCAAAACACACGTACAAGCCAGGAAGAAAATAACTCAAGTTGTATGGAGCGTAGTTGAGGAAACCTCCAATGATAACGGCTGGTTCAAACCACTTGGTTTGTTTGCGGTTAAATCTTCTGATAGCTAGACAGACGAGAGCCAATAGGAAACCAATTAGGAAACACCATGGAAGCACAGGATACATTTTGTTGAACACTCTCTTTGGCCCGATTACACCCCAGAACACAGACGAAGAATAATAGGACGTTTCGCTTGGACAAGTAAAGTTGTTGGACTGGTCTGGAGAACAGATGTTTTCGACGTAGTTGATTTCCCAATTAATGACCACTAACGAAATAATGATCTGGAAAATAGTCCCCGTGAACTGGCCACGGAAAACTGCTCTTGGCGGGACTTTGGCATAGTGTGCAATCTTTTGATCGTAAAGATACTGCTGTGCCTGGCCCGTGATGTTGAATCCCAGCGCCTGTAAAAACATCAAGGCATCACCATTCCCTGGAATAGCGTAACCCACTATGAGCTCAACAAAAACTTGCAACGTGAAGTAATAACCGGTGACAGCGTAAATCACGTTCAAAGGAACGACAAAAACCAAATTGATAGCCAACACTAGGAAAATTCCCCAAACTGGGGTGTTGGCCGGATAAACTTTGACACAGACAATAGCAAACACCAATGCCATGAGCATGACAACAATGAAGAGCCATTGGGGCACCTCTTTGTATTTGGCCATCATTCTAGAATGTGGGTCCTTCAGGACGGTGTTTGTGTTTGTCCTGATATCGTTCCATATCGCCTTGAACGACTGGATCAATGTCTTGCTCTCAGAAATTAGAACGTATGGAATAAGGAATGTATAAAGTGCACAGTTAGCTCCCCAGCTAACCAGCATTCCCGCGGAAAGATACGGTGGACCATACGATTTGTATTTGTCTTCGTCGAGCCTTCCATTTGTGAGAACGCTACCAACTTCATATAGTTCTCCAGTATTAGTGTAAATGTTATTATCATTGATCGGCAAGTATGCAGTCCACCTGTAGTTGCTGTAGTAGAGTCCCAGAATGACGAAAAAGCCAATAAACATGCCAATCATCATGTTCATATAGGTGTAAAAAGGGAAAGCGAGTGGCAGCCAGTAACCCACGATATTCCAATCGAAGGACGCAATTGGGTTTAGTCCAAGCCCCAGCATCGAACCTGTGACCACAGCGAGGTTGAAGTTGTCTGGCTTGATCCATGTCATCCAATTGAAGTAAGAAAGGGCCTGGAATAAGTAATCTGGCACCCACATGTAAAGGAAGGAACAGATGAAGACCACGAAAAAGAACTTATAACGAGTGATGACCCAACCGTGTATTTTTTCCTTCTTGTCTTTCTTCAGCAACGCCTGATTCAATGCGAGTGTGGGCAGTATAGTTGGCCAGACGGCTCTGACTGGATAAATCACAATTTTTCTCAACACCCCTGCAAAACCAAAACCGAACAGCTGGGTAGCAAGAGATATTAGAATTTGGTAGCCGATCGTGATCCACTTATTGCCATAGAATATGTCAAGCTTCTCAACATAGAAGTTGGAACCAACATACATACCACCAATGGCAATATCAAACATCACTGTTGCGAACATCTGCTCCTTGTAAGTCCAAGGTCCAGGGTTGAGTGAGTGTTTGGTACCGAAAACTGTAAGTCCCCAATCTGGCAATATTTTCTGCAACACAAGCCCGCTCGGATACATCAGCATTTGACACACAGATGACGATATGTAGAGGGACGGTTGTCTACGAGAGAAAATCTCGTTGACACCAGTCCCTACAATACACCACAAGAAGCCCAAAAAATATGCACGGATTGTCTCACATGGAATTTCGGGGTCATCTCTTGGAGACGTGACAGCACGGACTTCGGGATACGGTGAATGATATTCGTTCAAGGTGGCATGCAAGCGCACTTGGAAGTCCCAGTCTTGGTAAGGAACCCCCAGAGACTCGTCGTAACCCTTTACAAGTCTCTCCATCTCTTCATAGTCTTCTTCAGGGAAGTTGGGGTCACCTTCGTGGTCGTCAAGGACACGAGCCAAGATCTTGAGACCCTCGTCGGTTGACATTTCGGTAGCTTTCTCGTAAAGATACTCGACATCCGGCAATGACGCATCCTCGGTCATCACATCTGCGTGTCCAAGCTTGGCATAAAGCGCATGCTTGTAGTGGGAGTTATCCAGAAAAGCAGTCTTTTCCTGCAAACCATCCTTTTCCTTGTATTCTAAATCAGCCATGACGGTTCAAGTACAATTCGATAGGCATAGCCTTTCTTATATGGCAACAGAATACGAGCTTCGCATTTAGCCTGAATCCCGGTCTTAACTCCTAACAGCGAGAGGCTTGTGGCTGGGGCTTGCATCAGAAGTAAGCAAACAATAAGATACCCAGCAATAAGCTCCTAGCTTTATTATTCATTGGCTATTCGGCCCTATCGGTACTCTTTACGGAATCAAACATGTACGGCTATTACTTTGAATTATGTTGCTTTCTATGCATTCATTCTTCCCGAAACAAATACCGGCACATGTAGCACACAATGCAATACCTTTTGTGATTTCTTTTGCAACTGCAATGATTGGTGATAATGACCTGAAAAGGCCTATATCATGCACCTACGCGATGAGTCCCAATGACGACGAATCTTTCATGATGTTGCCACTGATTTTATTTCTCGCAGAGTGCGCATAATGACTTGCATTCATTTTCGGCGACTCTCATGGTAGTTTTCGGTATGTCAACGACAGATTTGGCCGTTGTTTTTACAAATAGATAGAAAAAAATTTCTATTTATTAGAGTTAATTGAAACCATGAATGATCCCAAAAACTTGGCTGCAACCCCGTTGCATGGCATATATATTCCAACAGCGCTAATCATTGTGGGAATTTGTATCTTGAATTATGATTATCTCCCTCACACAATTGCAATTTTAGCGGTGTTTTTTACCGTTCAATTTACAATTGCCTGGTTCAAAAAGCCTGTTTTGAGCAGCACCGATTTCCAAAAGTATGAGCTACTAGACAAAACAGTGATATCCAGAAATTCTGCCATATACAGATTCAAGCTGCCAAACGAGACCGACACCCTAGACATCCCGATTGGCCACCACTTGGCTTGCAGATTTGTCATCGACGAAAAGGAGTACGTTCGCTACTACACACCTATTTCAAACCAGTTTGACGAAGGCTTTTTTGACTTGCTGGTGAAATCGTATCCGAATGGCACAGTGTCGAGGAAATTTGCAGGTCTGTTCCCTGGTCAGCAGGTGGAATTCAAGGGTCCTGTCGGCCGTATGTCGTATAAAACAAACATGGCCAGCCATATCACCATGATTGCCGGAGGATCCGGAATCACTCCTATGTTGCAAGTAATTGGATCTATCATTACTACACCTGCAGATGTGACCCGTGTGAAACTGATCTACGCCAATGAAACAGAAAATGACATCTTGCTGAAAGAAGAACTCGATGAGTTCGCAGAGAAGTATCCGAACTTTGAAGTAGTCTATCTGCTTAACAAGCCCCAGAAGCAATGGAATGGTCTGACGGGCTATGTCACGAAAGAACTTCTTGAAAGAGAGCTCCCGGCCCCAGAAGCCGATAAACGCATATTTGTTTGTGGTCCACTGGAAATGAGACAAAGAATCCTCGAGTATACGGAAGAGCTTGGATGGCCAAAAGGCGTCATCAGTTCCAAACAAGACGATCAGGTGTTCTGCTTCTGAATTCATCATATACACTCTATACATTAGGCTAATGTCTATTTACTCGATATCAGATTTCGAGGTTTTCAGCTCTTCAATCTTTTCGATCTCGTCCTCTTCCACAATGCCGTTCATTTTGAGCCAATCCAAACCGCTCAAAAACACTCCTTCTGGATCCACTTCACGTCTGACTTTCCTAAAAGTTTCGAGGTCTTCTCCAAACCACTCTTCCATCTTGTCTCTAAATCCAATCATCTCTCCATCTTTGTTGAATTTGCTAGCATCAGTGCCAATGAAGTTTTTGGCCCAGTGTGGCTTTCCACCAGCAGCTTCCATGGTCTCTTCGAAAGTGGCGTACCACTTACCAATAGGAACAGAAGTGTAGAATGGTCTGTACATGGTAGCGTTGATGTAAAGAGTCAGCTGACTATTTGTAACATTCTCTTGTGGAACCCAGTTCAATCTAGGGGTGTTGTCCAGCAATGGGCGCAAATTGTTTCCGTAGATAGGACCCGGCGATGTCGTCGTTCTGGTAGAAAGGTCTTGCTCAGCGGTGGAATTCGAGCATGTAGTGTTGGAACACCTCACCTCAATAGGCGCATGGACATAGAAATTGTTAGTCTTTGCTGCCTCGTTGATGGTGGCAGCTAGAGAGCGGAGAATCTCTGGGCCATTGGTAAGAGGAGCAGCCCACTCGTTGACGTACTGCGAAAATAAGCAGTCCATGTTCAACCCTTCGACGGATTCCTGAACAGCGATATCACCTTTTCCATAGGTTTCAGTAAGACCGTACTGTCTGGAGAACACAAATCTCTCAACATATGGAGTCAGGCGAGGCATGATATGAACGGAAATCCAAAGCAAAGACTCGTAAAAGAGTCTTCCAAACTTGGTTCCGTACCAGGATGGACGCGGCTTCGATATCGGCTCTGTAGATTTGGATGCTCTCCATAGAATACATCTCTGGGTGTATGGGAACCACCAAACTCTGACAAACTCGTCGCTTGTCCAGATGGAATCGAATCTTTCCAACAGAGTGTCAAAAGTTATCACCTCCTGTCTAGACTTGATTTGGTAGCGAGGAACAGTACGAATGGTCACATAGGCAATCAAACCAATCTTTCCAAGAGACAGACAAGCAGCACGGAATAATTCCGGTTTTTCAGTTGCAGAACACTTGACAAGTTCGCCAAGTCCATTGACGATAGTGATATCCACAACTTGCTGCGAGACTAGACCGTGGAAAGGAGACGATCCGTGTGTACCTGTGGAAATAATACCGGCAATTGATTGCTCACTGATGGATCCTAGATTCTGGATTGCAAGACCTTTGGTGGCTAATATTTGGTTCAGCTGATAAATGCGAATTCCGGCTTCCACAGTGAAATCGGTGTACATCCCATTTGGTCCAACTTTTTCCTCAACCACTTTATTGAATTTGTCCAAGTTGACGATCCAGTCTCTGCACATGGTTAAGTTCGAAGGAGAGTGTCCTGATCCAACAGTCATCACGGTGCGCCTATTCTTTCGTGCACAATTGACTATCTCTTTGATTTCGTCAATGCTCTGGGGCTGGAAATAGTATTCGGGCTTACAGTAGAAAGTCTTAGCCCAAGTACGGTGTATAAACCTTGGTACCACGCGTCCTTGAAGGCTAGCAGGCAGGGCCGGATTGCTCATAGCTAGAGATATGGAGTTACAGGTTTTAAACGTTATTGGAAAAAAAAACTTTGAAAATTTCGACGCGTCGAGGTGATGCGATTTGGCAGGAAGCGCAGGAAGCTCGATTTAAAGACTTCAAGCAATGATATAACATTCGGAAGGCTAAAGCACCATCAAATAGGGGCGCACGATCTTACCTTTGAGGACCAGGAACTGAAGCAAACTTACAACCACAGAAAAGTGCTACCTGGTAGACAGTCCCCGGTCAAGGAAACTGGATCATTAAAGAGGATCTGCTCCAGTCGAATTGCTCATGCGGCCGAACTAATCACGAGCTACCACATAGAGACGACAGACTCCAATTGGAATATTTGGCGGCCTGTGTGGAATTTCATTCTCAAATACGAAAAAGACACTCCTGCTATTTTTGAGCTGTTTGCGGATTATTTTGCGCAAAAAGACGACTTCTACTGCCATCGAATACCTGCAAACTGGCGGAACCTCGACAATTATAAACGTGGGACGTTTGTTGAACTGAATTCAATCAATCGCAAACATAGATTTGAGACATTCTACCAGCATGTATCGTTAGGTACGCTTTTTACTGATCTACAACGCTTAAAATTTGAGAACTTGGTTGTGTTATCGTTACAAGGCATAGATTTGACAAAAAGAAACCTTTGTCTAAATGTCCTTTCAAGCATGAGATATTTGAACGTTTCGCACGCAAATGTTAACGACCAGATGCTCAAAAGCTGGAGCATTAGCATGAAAAACGGAAATTTGAAAAGCCTCTGCTGCCTAATCTTGAACCACAATAACCTGGAAAAAGTCGATTGCATCCTGGACTCTCCCTTACAGTATCTTGAGATTGACATTGTGATCGAACATCCGCACTGGAGATCAAATACAAATTCCAAGCTAACTGTTCTTCCGGATGGACTAAAATTTGCGCAGATCATGGGCAAGGATTACTGCAATTCTCAGATCATTTTCGATTGTAAGGTATCGAGCACTGAAGGTAGCGAGTCGCTCGAGAAATTGTGGAAAAGCAGGTTTCAGTCATCAAATCCCAGCCGTCGAGTATTTCAGTATACCCGTATTGCCGACTCGAAGCCAAGTATTTTGTCAAGGCAGACCAAGTCCCGTCCAAAAGCGCGCGCAAAGAAACTCGATCTGAAGACATTTTTCGACATATAGCTCATTTATAAATAAACGGATCATTGATGACCTTGAGTAGTCGCTCAATCTTGTTGTGGCCCATACCTGAGATCTCTTCCAAGTTGTACTCGTTCGCCTCCTCGCACAGACTCTTGAAATTCTTGAAGCGGGAGATGAGTTTGACGGAATCTGTTTTGTTGATAGATCGTATGCTACTCATCATATCCACAATTCGTTGGTAGTAGTCTGCATCGCTAGCAATACTGTCTGTTTTTGCGGCTCCTTTGATCAGCTGGTTACCCACATTTAACTCGCACTGTTTCAAAAATGTCAAGTAATCGGCACATTGCTGAAATGACCACGCAAGCACTAGATTGAGCTCATTGAATAGGCATAGTTTATTCAACTCACGAATACTATCGTTCGAGTTGTCAACATCAACCAGAACCATTAATATGCGGTTGAGCCTTCTGTTGCTCCCATTATATGTGATCTTTTTTATCTTGTTGTAAATGTATTCCGGATGAAGTTTGTGATAACGTAGTGACAAAAACACAACAACACAATGCGAATTAATCAGGTAGTCTACGTCCTTTACCTTAGCGTTAAACTCGTATGCAACCTGTTTCAGTGATTGTAATAGAGGATTGCCGGTCTGATTTTGGTTGATTTGAATGGCACTGAATGTCTGCTTCTTAAGCGTCGTGTATTTGGCTGAATCCACGAGCTTATCCTCCTGATTGGAACCACGAATGATAATCTGTGGCGATGAAGCTCTCGTAGGACGCACTCTGACCGAGGCCTCGTACTGGGCAGGACGAAGAGAAGGCGCATCTATCACTCTGTCAAAGGTCGACTTGGATTTTTCAGGCCTTGGCAAGATAGAGGGAACGGCGTTATCCTGATCCGGATTCTCATCTCCCTCCTTCTGCCGCATTTTTGCGACATTTGCGAGAATACTGGCGAACGAGCTTGAGTCAGTATCCATGTTTGTAGTAAAGTTTTGAACTTGCACGACAGATATTTTTCAAGAAAATCCAAATCTTGTCATGAGCCAGAAGAGTACGTATTTCGAAATTGTATGCTAACGTTAAAGTTGATCTTACAAAACTTGAGCCCGAGCAGATACTTGAATTCAAACGCCAGCTGAACGGAGAGCTCGAGCACTTAGAAACTTCTTACCAAGCTTTGAAAACAGCACAGGCTAAATACCAGGACTGTGGAGATAATGTGCAACGGATCAATGCAAACGATAAGAAGGAACTGCTTGTACCTCTAACATCATCACTTTACGTTCCTGGAAAAGTGAAAGATAACGATAAATTTCTAATTGATGTTGGTACTGGCTACTATATCGAGAAAACCACTGAACAAGCTCTGACTTTTTTCCAAAACAGATTGACCAAGTTGACGGAAGATGCCAAAAAACTATCACAGCTAATCAATGAGAAGCTCCAGGCCTTGGAACGGGTGGATAGCATACTTAGAACGAAAATCATGGAAAGAGAGAAGAAGCAATAATATATATTAATAATCTAGTTTTTGAAGCGCTTCGTGGATGTAAGGCAGTAGCTTAGGAACCTTCAACACACTGTCTAGTAGGCTCTGTTTCTGTCCAATAAACAGCTCCTGGCCCTTTTTGGTTGCCATGAGCTCAGTAATCAGCAAGCTAGCGGAGGTGTTTATTTCCGTCAAGGCCAGGCTGTCGTTGAAACTGTATTGTACCGGATGGTACGGTTCTTGCATGTTGTTCTTGGAGTTTCCGCCACGGTCCGAGGCAGCAGCTCTATCCGTGAGTGCCTCGACCTTGCCCTGGTCGATATCCACAGGCACAGCTCTTGGTTCGATTCCTTTGATAATAAATTTTCGAGTTCCGTCAGGTAAAGTCAACACCATTGCGTTGGAATTTGGGAATGCGTGTTGTACATTCTTGATGAAATCAACGGCGGGAAGCAAGCGCAAGTTCGATCCTGCCGAAGAATATTTTTGGAACTGTGCTTCATATGATCTCCATAAGGAAATTTGTGTCACATCTCCTTCCTCAGTCGCCTTGTATGAGCATCTCATCCAGGCTGTGGCCCTGTTAGGTTCTGGAAGGTTATTCAGAGCAGTAATAAGGTTTTCTGGTAGAAGAGGAGGATTTGTCGGACTTTCCTCTTTCGATCTTTTTGCGAGCTTCAACATAGGCATTTCCTGCGTGAATTCAGTCTTGTACTTTTGCTTGTAGGTTAGCAGTCTTGGGAGGAATGTCTGAAAGACAAAGCAGTTAGTTGAATTCTTTAGGAGTTTCGCCGAGCGTCCTGGCAGGATAAATTGATATAAGAAATCCAAAGCCGTAATGAGCAACTCATCGTTGTCATTGTCCTCATTCACGGCAAAGGCAAGATAGGAGACCACGCGGTCCACAAGTTCGTCGTCTAGATGGTCAGCGGCGTCACCTTCCTTTCTGGTGTTGTACATGAGTCTACTCAATGATCTGAGTGCGGTGATTATCACAGATCGATCTTGCACGGTTTGTAGAAGATTTGTGAGAGACAAAAACAACGGATCGTCAAGTGGGGCTGGTGCCAAATATGATGAAATGGCCTCTATGATATCCATCGAATACCTAAGAAGCTCTTTGAGTTGCTCGTATGATTCACTAGTGAAATTGTTGTCCAAAATCACTCGATGGTTCACAACTTTCATGAGAACCTCTTTGATCTTGAAGTTCATAGAAATGACCTGCGAGTTGTCAATGTCTTGGACAGTGTTACGGATTATCAATGCGGCATCAAGGGCTCTATTGATGTCCCCATTTTCTGCCTGGGGATCAAAGGCTTTGCAATCAAAAAAATGTGATAGAGGCTCAATTAAAAACGCAAAACCGCTTTTGAACTTCAAAAGTTCAGGATTGTCCTTGGAAATGAAAACAAGGTGTCCAAGATAATGATCTATTTCTTCGTCAATACCAGATTCGAATGCCAATTGGATTCGCTCAACCTCAGGAGGTCCCTTGTAGTTCGTGCCAGACACATTGTAGTAGTTGTATACATCGTTTTTGAGCTGTCTATTGCTCTCTAAAAAGCGCATCTCCTGGTCTCTGGAGGCCACGGGCTCTAGAGGCATGACACGCACTGGTGTCACAATTGGCATTTCACTGCCATTACGCGACTCGTGCGAAGGCGGCGTGTAGGATTTGATATTATACATGATTTGAAAGTTTGTTTTTTGTGGAAATATTTTCAGTGCGTAATAGTGACGTAAGCACTTCACTTTTAATACCACAGAAGACGCTGAGCATTCATCAAGAAAGAGCAATCTGAGAGATCTCAATTCAGACTTGCGGTATCTTTCATCTCTAGAGATCCAAACCTTAGAGTCTTCAGATTTTTGATTTTTACGATACCGCTACTATTATGGTTGCTGCTGGATCAGAACTAGATAATGAACTATTAGAGTACGCTCGTAACAACTTGCGTCATGTTCCCGACACTCCAGAGTACGCCAAAATGATTTCTGGAATGTTGTATGACCCGATGAATCCCTTGCTAGAGGATGGAAGGGCACTATCCTCCGATTTGTCTGTCGATTTTGCCAATATTCGTCGAAGAGATTACAGTTCTCTCGAGGAGTGGAAAAAAGCAAAGGCCAGCTTTATCCAGAGATTCTTTGGCAAAGCTGGGGCAAACTGCTTTGTGGAGCCTCCGTTCAGCTGTGATTACGGCTATAACATTGCTGTGGGAGACAATTTCTACGCCAACTACAACGCTTCATTTTTGGACGTGTCTTTGATTTTAATTGGGGATGATTGTCTGCTTGGTCCCAACGTTACGTTATGCACAGCTGGCCACCCATTAGATGTCAATTATCGGGCTAAAGGCCAAGAGTTCGGCTTGCCAATAAGGATCGGAGACAATTGCTGGCTAGGGGCCAATTGTGTTATTTTGCCAGGTGTTACTCTAGGCGATAATGTTGTTGTGGGTGCAGGAGCTGTTGTGACGAAAGATGTGGAAAGCAACACGCTAGTTTTAGGGGTTCCTGCCAAAGTGGTGAAGAAGCTCGATCCACTCAAAGAAGGCCAAATATAAAGGCCGTTGGCTGCAGAGATGGTCAATTTCAAAAACTTTATATGAGCATAGTAGCTTAAGACTTTCTTTGAAAATATTACTTCCGTATTGTATCTACCAGCCAAGTATGCACATAGGTGACTAATGATCTATGCCTACAACAAACAGTGGGTTTGGCCGAGTGGTTAAGGCGTCACGTTCAGGTCGTGATTTCGTTAAGAAGCAAGAGTTCGAACCTCTTAGCCCACATTTTTTTTCCTCCATGTTTTTCACTTGATCAAAAATATACATCAATACGAAAAATAGCACCTAAAATGGAATGTCAAGCAAATCGTCAGCCTTGACAAACCTACCATTGCTTTGTTCTCCCAGAACATCAATTGCGACAAGAACTTGCTCTGCAGCTAATGCAGGCAACACAGTTTTGAATTGTATCTTATTCTTGACATCGATGTCTCCAAACTTGAGTTTTTCCTTCACATTTTCTGTCAGGATAGTTCCTGGATGGATAGCCACAATTGTGAAATGGTTGCTGTGCTGCTCCTCGCTGAGTTTTTTGACGGCGTAGTTCAAAGCTGCTTTGGATTGTCCATATGCACCAAAAGGAATAGACAGCAGTGTTTGAGCAGAACCTGCAGCGCATGAAATGAAGAATACCTTTCTGGTGAACTTTGTCAGCATAAATGGATGAATCTTTTGGTAGACCAAAATGGGACCTAGCGCATTGGTGGTATAATGCTCAAGCCAGGCCTCTCTGCTGCATTCTAAAACGCTACCAAACGACTCTGCTATTCCAGCGCTGATTATGGCAATATCAATTGCATCTGTGAAATTCTTGATTTCGTGAGGTAAATTATCGATTGAGTGTTGTGCTGCAATGTCAAGCTGTATAGCTTCAACATTTGGCTTTTCTGCCAGACTAAGCAATTGGCCCGAAGTTTCCACTGATCTGTAGGTAGTAATCACATAGTTTGAATCCTTTGTGCTCAGTTGGTTAGCAATCTCGTATCCAAGGCCCCTAGAAGCGCCAACAACTAAGTATACAGTTTTGTCCATTTTTTAGGCTGATAGAGAAAAGGGCAAGAAACTACTCTATTATATACTAGGGCAGCCGCAATAAGATCCATAGGCCACGCCGCATTAAATTCACCTGTCTCTTTACCAGCTAGCTGCCTTAAACAGTGTGAGATGTTTGCTCTTAAGCGAGCCGCATAGCTACAATTGTTAATTGCTTGGACCCCCTACTAAGAAAAAGCAACGAAGTGTAGGAGATAGCAATAACCTGGATACTAAGGCGGGTCACAATATTGCACACAATTTAAACTCCTTCGATTCGGGAGCAATGTGAACTCATACTATCTCCGAAATGGTTGGCTTCCAAACCAGTTATTCTCCTGATTACTTCTACTAAAACTCTGATGATTCCAGGACGCCAAAATTAAATGTGAAAAATTAAAAATGGTTTAATTCAATACATCCATCTATAGCTAGGATTGGATGGGCCTTCTGCCAGTAAATATGTTGGAACGTCTCTAAAGGTCAATTTTGTACCCTGAGCCTTATCCCGACGCTTGTTATCGATCACCATGTAGATGGTTATCAAAATAATTGTGATAAGAGCCGCACCACCAAAAGCTGCGGTGATTCCTAGTGCAGGAATATATTTTGGAGCATCCTTAGCTCTGAAAATATTACTTGCAATCAGCCCAGAGGCGTTGGCAAGAGGAATACCAATAGCCGATATCACCATTCTTCTGTTTTCATTTGGCGTGTTATTGTTATACCAGGTGGATGTCAAAACTGAAGAAGCGGAGACACCAGTGGTCATGAGAAAGCAAGAGAAATAAGCAATCCCCGTGTGGGTTGCCGAGTCGATAGTTCCAAAAACTACAAACCCAATGAGGGTGGACGCAACAGCAATTCCAACAAACAAAGAACGAGTTCTAGTGTAGTCGGAAGCAAAGCATAATATCATTAGGGAAATAGCACCCCAGACATTTGGGGCAACTGTGTAGAGGTTGGTGATGACCGTTCCGTGACCAAGTGACTGCACAATTTGAGGGAACCAGTTGCTGTAGGAGTTCAATGGAACTCCTATGCAAATTTCTTGGAACATCCACATGACTGCGACAGGGTGTTTGAACACCTTCAGAGAGTCTTTAATTGATAGTTTGTCTCCAACCATGGAACTTGAATCTGTCGATATTCTCCACACAGCACATTCTCTCTCCTCTTCTGTGAGGAACTTCACCTGTTGAACGGATCTTGGCAGGTACAAAAACGCAACCACAGAAAATGCGACCGTCAACGCTCCCTCAATGAGGAACAAAATTTGCCAACCGTGCAGACGAGAACTTTCAATTTGAAAAACACCGTAGGATAACAGTCCGGAGAATGCGTTAGCAATGTTGAAGGCACCATAGAAAATAGAAAGTCTTCTGGCCAATTCTGCTCTACGGTAGAATGTACTCAAGTAATAGACGATTCCCGGGAAAAAGGCCGACTCACACATTCCGAGAAACCATCTTCCGGCAACCAGCGAGCCGTAATCAAAAGCTGAAACAAGGAGCAATGTAATGCTTCCAAAGCTGAACATCATGATTGGAATCACATTGGCTGCATTATATTTTTTGATCAGTAACGAAAGTGGAAAGGCACAGAGGACGAAAGGTATATAGAAGATAGAGAGCATCGTATTCCACTGCTGTCCCACAATATTGAGGTCACTATCAATACCGTCCGTTTTGGCATTGGATATATTGGATTTGTCCAAGGAATTGAAAAGGTACATCAAGGCTGTCAAAGGTAGAATCCGGTAATCGAATTTTCGGCAGATTCTTCTTTCGAGCTTATGATCGAGCACTCTGGCTCCCTCACGCACCTCGACAATTTCCCCTTCCTGAACAATTGACTTGACCTCTTCGACTGTGTCGTCCTTGACAGTTGACATTCCAAAAATTGGCACAATCCAGTTTTTCGTCGAAATTTATATTATCTCTCCTGACACGGCAGTGTTTATGCACGGCTTATCTGAACTTTTGGATATGCACGTCTTCAAAATTTCTGCACTGATTGTGAAATGTTTCAATGGCCATCAGAAATGAAATGCCTGACGGTGTATAGGGGTTTTCTAAAGTAAATTTTTTATTATTATGGTATGCAAGATAATGCAATTCTCGGGCGGATCTTTTGCTTATATTTGATTAATTTTCGCTCAGTCCTTGTCAAGTACACATCGACCGTTAACGTACACCTTTCTCACGTTTCTATCATCTCCGTTGAAAACCCACTTATCAATGAGATCCTGGAACCTGGAACAATGTAATGGGTCTCCAGAGAGTAATCCCTCAACAGATGGGTTTAGGAAGTCAAATAGGTCAACAGGAGACCCTTCGGTGTCTAGGTCTATCAGCTGACACTCCCACTTTTTTCCCACAGCAAATGATCCAACCTCTTGCTCCATACCCATCACCTTTGCTCCACCGAGGGTCGCTAGATAAAGCGACTCGTTGACCGATATCTTATCGTGGTCAGATTTGGTCTTCATGGCAACATGTCGAGAAACAAGGACTGCATGTCTTGCCGTGGTGAGCATTGACGGGGAAAATCCACCTGACACGTCGGTTCCAAGACCAACTTTTGATCCGCTGTCAATTATCCATCTCAGCCTTGCTTCTCCTGAGGTAAGACAGCTATTAGACGTTGGACAATGCGAAACAGAGCTCTTTCGCTCATTAATCAGCTTCAGATCTTCATTGCTCAAAAAAATACAGTGTCCCAGAATGGTGTTCTCGGTAAGAAGTTTGTGCGAGTCGTAGATCTCGCTGTAGGTTTTGCAGCGAGGAAACATTTTTAAAATTTGCTCAACTTCGTCCTCAGTCTCACTAAGATGTGCTTGAATTGGAAGGCTCTGTTCACAGCTTTGTTTTGCAAGCCACAGCATAAAGTCTGGTGAGCACTTATTAGCGTTCCGCGGACTTAATATTGGTTTAAGAAGTGTGTAGTGTGGGTCTATGCTTTTCACGTGCTCAATCACGGTCTTGGTAGACTGTATTCCGTCACTTAGGCCATGGTCTGTGTATTCCTTCTTTGCACAGTCCATACAGCTTCTCCCAATATATGCACGCTGGCCATGTTTGAAAGCACAGTCAGCGAGGATATTAGTAGCAGTTGTATGGATAGTGGCATAGTACGCACAAAAAGTAGTCCCGTTAGAGAGTGTCTTTTGAACAACTCTATCGTAAACGTCCTTTGCTTTTATGGGGTCCTCTAATGCCATTTCGACTGGATATGTGTACTTGGTCAGCCAGGAGAACAGGGTAGAGCTACCAAATACTCCACAGTTGGGAAATTGAGGAGCGTGAATATGGGTGTCTATGAAGCCAGGAATGAAAAATTTCTTGAATCCGGAGGTGGTCATATCAACAATCTTAATGTTCTGGACGGCTGGATTGTAACTTCGGGCTTCACTTTCGATAGTTGTCAGCAAAGGTCCTGTTCCTATGTATGTGATGATTCCGCGGCTATCTACGCCTATCCTTGCGTTTGGAATCACCTCGAGGTCTCCTAATTTAGGAGTGTGAACAAGCATCCCATAGTAGACTGTGAATCCGATTGTCTCCAAAGCTTTTGATTGCAACATCTCGTGGAAGAAGCCTATGGTCACCGAGGTGAATTTTTATCGCTTTATCAGTTTTGTCGGATTTTTTTTTTTGGCTTCCATATCTCGCAGGGTGCATAAAATTTTTCTTATCAGTGTCGGCGGCCCGAGTCGGCACGAGTCGGTGATGGAATCAAGACTTAAATATCAAACTCTTTCATTATATATCTCGGCACAAAACCTTAAACTTTCTGACCTTGGATCTTGTCTCCAGATGTCTGATTCAAAAAGCTCACATGCGTTGGAGATCACTGATCTTGAGCAAAATAGGCTGAAAAATCTTTACAGAAAATTTACCACACGCGACGGATGGTTAGGTGATTACGATTACGGCTTCCTCTTCACTCCTGCAGTTTGGCCTTTCAACAAGAAGTTCAAACACTACGATCAACCTTATTTTGGAATCAACGATGACATTCCGATATTGCTGGCTGTTATACTTGGCCTTCAGCATTGTCTAACATTGATCTGCAGTCTCGTCGCTGTTCCCCTTTTGATGGGCGATGCGCTGTATTTCAATGCCCAGCAAACACAGCACCTTGTTTCCTGCACGCTGATCACTGCCGGAGTTGCTACGTTTGCACAAATCACTAGGTTCCATATTTATAAAACGCCTTATTTCGTCGGGACGGGGCTTCTGTCAGTGGTGGGGCCCACTTTTGATATCATTGGTATCGCTTACTCATATTCTTCAATTCGTTACTCAAAAGGGACTTGTCCTATAGCTTCCGATGGAACTTACCTTCCTTGCCCGGAAGCCTTTGGAGCATTTCTTGGCTCGATGTTATGCACTGTGTGGATTCAGGTTCTTTTAGCGTTTGTTCCACCGAGAATCCTCAAAAGAATATTCCCAAGTATGGTCACGGGTACACTGCTTCTCCTGCTTGCTGTGTACCTTTCTGGAAATGGTATGAAAAACTGGGGTGGAGGTAGTAACTGTTTGCAATATGGTGGAGGATGCAGCACTGGCTCTCACGATTTTACGTGGGGATCCCGGGCATACATTGGGCTGGGATTTTGCACTTTCATATCCATCGTTATTATCAACCTTGTTGGATCGCCAATTATGAAAAGCTCGTCAATTATTTTGGGACTTATCATAGGATGCATCATATCAGCAGCCTGTGGCTACTGGGATGCGTCAGGTATCCACGCTGCTCCTGCGGCAGACTTCCTTTGGACCAAAAATTATACTTACTCGGTGGACGGATCTTTGATCCTTGCGCTTTTGCTTATGTTTGTTGTTGAAGGTATCAGTTGTATACCGGATATTCTTGCCACAGCAGAGGCAAGTCACCAAAAAACTTCTGGAGTCGAATTCCAGTCTCGTATCCAAGGAGGAATAATGTGCGATGCATTAGGCAGTCTACTTGCTGCTGTCGGCGGAGGAATTCCTATGGTCTCTCAAGCGGCTAATAACGGAGTTATCCTGCTCACGGGATGCGCTTCGAGAAAGGCTGGATGGGTTGCAGCTGTCTTGCTAATTCTGATGGGCGTTTTCTCCAAAATCTCTGCTACTTTTGCGGCTTTGCCTCTACCAGTGTTTGGTGGAATGCAAGTGTTTCTTTTCGGAACTATTGGCGTTGCGGGTATAAAAGTCCTTTCAGTAGTTCCATGGACCAGACGAAATCGGTTCATTCTGTCATGTGGACTTGGATGGGGATTCGCCGGAACGGTAGTCTCCTCTTGGTTTGACCAAATTTTAGCTTACAGTGGTTCAAACCAAGCTTTGGCAGGATTCCTAGAAGGAATTGACCTCATTGTCGAGACTCCGTTTATTTTTGGCGCTATAATCGTCTGCTTCTTGAACCTGATTATACCCGACGGCAGCAAGGAACCAGATGACACTGCTGGTGTGGTATAGTTATAGATATTTAATTATTTCTTAATTTGACAGATTTATTTGTTAGCACCATTTGAAACGGCAGATCTAACTTCGGCATTTTAGTGAGATGAAAGTGTTCTATGCAAAATGCCATGCTTTTGCATAAAATCAACTTCAGCATCGATACTTGCCCAGAACTCGCTATCTGACGATTTTGTAGGTTTCCAGCCAATAGATTTTCCGAGATCGGGAATTGTCTTCACATTGGAACCCCAAAACAGTGCAGGTAAGCCAAACTGCTTCTCAACTTCTTCAGGAGACAACTTGTCAATTCTTGGATCGGATATCAGCTTTCTGGCCACCAGCAATTTAGTAACGGCCATTGCCACATCTTTCCATAGGTGCGGTGTTCCGTCTGCAGCAAAGTAATACCCCTTATAACCTGAAGGAAACGACTCCTTTGCAACGAACTTCTGTACAATCAAAATGTAAAGTGCCGCCACATCCTCGATGTGGACATGACTCCAGGCCGTGTTCCCTTCATAAACGGTAAAGTTATGGCCAACCCTCACTACTGATTTCACCAGGTATGGGATCTGAGCAGAGATCTTGTTGTCGAATCCATACCCAATTCCGAAAATGGTCGGAGGAGACACAATGGCTGTTTTGACGTAGTCTGGATTTGAGTCCTGAATTGTTTGAACCAGCTTATCAGCTGGACGATGTGGCTGAGTATCTGGCAGTGAATTGATTTCATCGATATCTTTGACATCGGAGTACTCCTTAGAAGGATTGTAATGGGCAGGATCTACGGAGTCAGCAAGCACACCTGCCCCAGAGGTGTGAATAAACAAGGTAGACGTTTTTTTGGAGGCGAGAGCCTTTTTAATGGACTGTAGGCTAGGTAGGTGACTATTCGAGGCGGCATTGATAATAATGTCTGCGTTTTTCGTAGCATTCTCAATTAGGTCAAGGTCATCGAGATCCCCCAAAATTGTGAGTATACGCCCATTCGATGCGGTTTTGAGTAGATCAGCTTTTTCTTGAGTTCTCACTAAAGCTGTGACTTCAAAGTCAGGGTACACCTTGAGAATATCGCTCAACACAGACCCCCCAACGTATCCGGTGGCACCAATAGCAAATAGTCTAGTCATGTGGGATCTAATATAATGAGATTGAACGAATTGAAATGGTGGCTATTTATGTATTGCAGATATCTGCTTGGGGTCAAACACTACATTGGCTGACTTATGGCTGTGCTGGGGCCCGAAAATTTGTATTATAAAACTGAATCCGAACTCCGGTGGAAAAGCTAGTGTGGCAAATTTGCAGTCGGGCCGAAGCTCCGCGCCTCCTGTCCCTGAAAGATACATACTAATTTTTGACTCTGAGTTAGCATTTACCATGTGAATTGTAACCATCGTTGCAGACTTTCTCGTCAAGACCAATATGCATCAAGGTGTTTGACTTTACAAGTACCATTCAATCATGACATTTATATTCCTCCGAGTTGTACATTTGTGAACAAATCCCACACTCAGCTTCTATCTCTGATAGTCCGGCTACGCACGTTCAGATTAAAAGATGTTGAAGCGACCTAAATTGGCTAAAAAAAGAATTTATCAACGAAAGAAATGAAGCATTTAGTAAACAGGGATCTTGAAAGCTGGGAACTCATAAGTCCAGCTTTCGTAAGAAGCCTGGTCAAACACACAGTCAAATGTGGAAAGATTGCCAGACCTCCAGAGTGGACGAGTTGGCCACTTACACAGTTCCTGGTTTTCTGAGGCATATTCACCCTCGGAAACTGTAGCATTCAGACCCGTTGGCTTGACGCCATTCTCAACCCAATTGATCATAATTTCCATGTTGGTTTCTGGGTAAGGACCTGGCTGCAACTCATTTGTGCCGCAATGTGCAGCTCCTGGGACGAGATAGAATTGGTACCATTCATCAAGCTCTTTCAGACTCTCTTCAAAGGTCAAGTTACCATACAATGTGTCTCTCACACTTTGCCAGTAGTGAACCGAAGATGCTGGAGGAATGCTTGGATCGGACTCTCCGTGGTAGTGAATCAGCTTCCCCCCAGCGTTTCTGAAGGGAGTGAGGTCAGTGACCGTTGTCTGCAAACTGTCAAAGTATCTGTACATACCAATTTTCATCCAGTCAATCAGGGTATCGTAAGTGACTCCATCAAGGTTATCCAAGTTGTCCAGATCAAGAAGCTTGATGAATTTCTGGACATAAAGTCCACCCGTGGAAGGAATATTTAGCTCCCATTTGTCGTCATCAGAATTGTATGTGGTATCAGCGTCGTCGAGAGATGATCCGATTCTGAAGGAGAGGTAGGCTCTTTCTCCATCACTGTTGAAAAGACCGTCGTAAATCTGCTTTGCAACCGCGATACCCTCTTTCGTGATGTTTCCGCTTTGCTCTGGCGTATCGCTAGTCTGACTTTGGTCATCTCTCTTACTGAAACCGAACCCTAGGGACGAGCTAGTTGTAGCAGCACAGTAGTATGGCTGACCAACCAGGCTTTCAAGATCGAACTGCAGCGCACACAAATCAGTTCTTGAAATGACTCCATCGACACGGCCATCCAAGCCATCGCATGCCTCAATGGTAGCATTAACAATCTTTTCCAATTCACAAGTTGGTGGATAGTAGCCAAGTGTGTGCTCAACTGTGGCCGGGAAGACATGGAGAACTTGTTGCTGAGCATACCTGAATGCAGGAGCACCGGCAATAACACCATCGTACTCCTCACCCCATCTTTGAACCTGAGACATTGCTTCACGACCTCCGTCAGAACATCCTTCGAAATAGGTGTAGAGTTTTTCTTCTTGGGCAAGACCATAGAATTCTCTGGTGAGGTATTTACCAACCACAGTTAGCTCACCAAGAGCCTGGTAGCTAAACATGTACGCTGCGTCCCAATTGATGGAGCCATTACCATACAAGAAGACTTCATCCATGCTATAGTCAAAGGCATCATAGCCAGCACTGGTAGCTCCACTGACAGCACCATAAGTGAGTCCGCCTGTAGCATCCGAGTTCAGAGTGTAGCCACCACCTCCAGCAAGGTAAAACCGGTTGGAGAACTCATCAGGGCTTGGGAAAGCGTATTTGACGGTGACATTGTCTCCCTTTCCCGTGTGAGTGTATTCAAGGGTGACACTGCAGTACTTGGAAGTATACGTACTGGTTGAGCTAGCTCCCGAAGAAGATGAACCTTGAGCTGAGGGGTCGACAATGGTTGCCTGAACGGAAGAAGGGATCAAGTCAATTCCTAACAACGTACCGTTGGAAGGAATAAGACTCTGGATGTAAGACGAGTCACACATTTCAGTTAACGAGGTCGAGTTCGAGGAGCTCGAAACGGTGTCTGAAACAGGGGCAGCAATTGAGCTTGCCAGACTCAAATATAGTGAAAGGATAGAGTTTCTGCTCAACATCGCACAAAATTTCTGGCTTGTACTCTAGTTACTCTCCACATGGTTGAGATATATTTATAGTTGTTGACCAACGCAGTCGGCTTCGGTTTAGTGAGCTAAGCAATTCGGCATTTCATTAATGGTACCGCTAAGCCCGTGGCTTAAAAGACTCGATGACTTTTTCGTGTGGGCAGTTCTACCAGAAAGTTCAACGGTAATCATTATTATGTCAAATTAGGTAATTTCGATCCCGAAGAATTTTTGTTCCTCAAAGCCACTACAAAAGCGGAAACCGGTTGTAGATCTTTATTCGTCGATGAAGTCATGCTTGGGAGATTTATAGAGTTTCAGGATTTATGAAGCGCATTATGTCATTGCCTGCATACTGGACCTGAATACTCACTGACTGGGCTTCATCGTTGATCAAGGCCATAACCTCAAGAGGTTCGCGAGAATACACTAAATTAGACGACTCAGATGATCCAGCCAGTTACATGATGCAGCAAGCCTGATCGTCGTGCATCTATATGACTCAGGGAAGCCTCTGGTTACTGACAACACAGCTAAGCACAAAAGCCATAAAGTATAATCCTATAAGCGAAAAAGTATAAACTTCGCCTCGGTTGCAAATTTTAATGAATGGTGTAGCCTCCGTCAACAACTAAGTCCGATCCAGTGGCGTATGTAGATGCGTCCGAAGCAAAATAGAGGTAGGCACCGATCAATTCCCGGGGATATCCTTCTCTTCTGAGAAGAATCTCTTTCTGCCATGTTTGACGTAAAGCGGGGTCCACATGGTTATTGATCCCAGAATCAATATATCCGGGAGAAACTGTATTGACTCGGGCAAAATCTTTGAATTCCATTGCGAGGCACTTGGCAAAGTGAATTACCCCCGCCTTGCTTGTGTTGTAAGCTGCATGATGAATTGGAATATTCACTATATGACCTGACATGGATCCGGTAAAAATCAATGATCCCGACCCCCGTTCTTTGAATACTCTACCAACTGCTTTCGAACAATGGTAGACACCATTGAGGTTAACGTTCATGACTCTACACCATCTTGACCCATCCTCATCCAGAGAATCAATGACCCCGTCTGTAACGATATGGATACCAGCATTCGCAACAAATACATCAATGGTTCCAAAATCTTTGACTATTTGGTTGACTGTTTCTTTAACTTTCTGTTGATTGCCGACATCACACCCATAGGCTTTTGTCTCTGCGCCAGTGCTTTCGGATATCTTGGCTGCAGCCTTCACTGGCTCCACGTAATCCCAAACAGCTATACGTCCACCGGCCTGCGCGAAAGCCTCTGCGATGTGGTAGCCAATTCCCCGACCAGCCCCGGTCACCACACAGACTTTGTTCTTCAGTGAAAAAAGGTCCAGGACATTCGGCGCCAAAGCTGGTCCAGGAGGATTCACGAACTTTCTTTCAAAAGTATCTGGGGTCTCTACAGTAGGTATCGTCATCTGGCACTTTTAAGAAATCGTCAAATGGATTCGCATTTATAATCAGTTTATGGATTTCTAACGTGATCAAGGAGGTGCCATTTTGAGCACCCTGATGCCAAAGGGGCTATAATTGCTCAATTAATTTGGCCAAGGTTCTTCCAAGGATGGTCAACAGAGTCACTGTTTTAGCCGATAAAATCATCCTGCCCCACAACTTAGCTTAGATTACTGTTCTTGGAAGGGCCGCAGCATTTGGAAGGAACTCCGCAGCTAAGACTGTGTATGTGAGATCAGGCAAAGTAGTAGGGTACATAAAATTGTGGTGCAGCTGTTTCAAGCTGGAGTCTAGGGTGCCCAGTGTGTATAAATCTTGAATAGTCCCAAAATTCAACAAGAACTCTTTACCAGACACAAATGTTATAGCCCAACTGATCAATAACGCTCTGCCAATCTAGGTGCCTATTTCCATCCGGATTCAGTTTCCACAATTCCTCAATTATCGTCCAGATCCGCTGTATGTTCGTTTCCCCGCTGCGGCTCAAAATTCCCAGATATAACATTTTCACTGTTAATCGGTCGTGGCGTTCCGCAGCAACCACTCCAGCTATCAACAAAGGAAAGGATAAATAAGGATTTAGGCTCGAGTTTAGTAAAACTCTCATAGCACTGAACAAATGAAGCATAAGGCCTTTAACTTCATAATCAAGAGAAGACATGCGACGGATTTTAGAGAGAAGAAATAGCTGCAATGTGACCTGTGTTGCTTCAAAGTATGTCAACAAAATCTCATTCTGTTGAACGTCTTCCAGGCTGGCAATGTTTGGTAGGTTTGGCTTTGCGGATGTGATCTTGTCCATCAGAGTCCTGCTTTGATTATCAAGCCAATCATGAAACTCTATACGCGCACTTTCATATTCGAGATACTCAGGACCTGTGATAATCTCATACTGTGCATTTGTATCATTTGTATCAAGCAGGGGATTCAGCCGATTGTAGTATTCAAAGACTGCCTCGACTCGCCTGCTGTATTCGTCGTAAAAGTTGTTAAGCTCTGCTAAAAGCAAGAATAGTTCCACGCAACAGCCCATCAAAGGGTTGTACTGGTCCATTGAAACTTCTCCTTTGAGGCTGTTCTCGTGATCCAAAATTCTTTTATATTCTGACAACGGAAACGCAGTTTTGAAGTTTCTCCTTGAAGTGAGCTTCAGCACATCATGGTAAAAGAAAGAGCGAAGTAGCCAGGTAGTAAAGTCAGTATTTGTAGGATTTTCCTTGAGCGCACGAAGCCCAAACTTCTTGTAAACTATGCACAGTTTAAAGAAGTTTGAGCCCCAGGCAAAAGAGCTTCCTATAGAAGACCCAACTATAACGTGACTGGTCAGGCTCGCAACTAGCTCAAGAAGCTTTTGCTGTGAAACGTTGACTTCCGATTTTACAACTTCTCCATAAAGCTGATTGCATAAGCGCATCGACTTCATTAGCAAGGAAGATCCTTTGGAAAAATCTTCCGGACGTAGTGATGCGCCCCATGAACATAAAGCGTATAGTACCGGCTTGTTATCGTGAGCCAGTGGGAGTAGAAACTTCAAAGCTTGATGATGTTTAACGGAAGATAATACATATTGTTTCACATTATGAAGATATTGTCTCTCGACATCATTCAGCATTGTATTTAGAGGGTCAAGCGGTCTCTGTGGTAGTAGTTGGCTGTTGATGACCTCGCACATACTGCGCGATGCCACCGACGATCGAGCATGAGTTCTTTTGTCCGGATAGACACATTCAATGTTCCGCTGAACACAAGAGCTGCATCGAGGCGTTTGTTTATCACAGCTCTTTTTCCGTCTTCGACAATTATGGCACCTGCCAAAACTTCTTGCGGACTTGATAGCCACGAATTTAATCATCCACGAGTTAGGATATTATTTCAAACTTATCTTTTGAAACTTTTTGGCACAGCATATCACATGACAGAAAAGTTTAGATCTGCTACGTTGGGAGCAGATTACCAGCTGTGGTCCATCCAACCATATTCAAGGTATCTCTAGGTCACCTTCCGGAGAACTCTGAATCGAAAAGTCGGGCTATTTGCGCAACTGCCGATGGTGGGTTTACCCTTATCGCTAGGCGCGCAACTTCCTATTTCAGATAATTTGATAGTTTTTATCGCTCATATGATAAGCTATCCTAAGTTGGGATCGCTTGTATGGCTCTTTAAAATGTCACAGCCGCGCCTCTGGTAGCCACCTAATGTTTGCGCAGCTAACGAAAAAGGACAACGCTAACACAGAGCTCCACCATGTTCAAACTCCAAGGGATTTCATCGACTATACTTCCGAGGAAAAACGCAGGGTGGTTCGCAAAATAGATTTATATGTTCTTCCCTTCATGTGCTTAGTGTTCTTCTCTCAGTCAGTATCTTGATCAAACATCATTGTCCTATGCAGCTGTTTTTGGAGTCAAAACGGACTTGAATCTGGACGGAAATCAGTACAGTTGGTTAACATCTGGATTCTATCTGGCACAGCTAGTTTCTCAGTTTTTTTACATGTATCTTTTGAGTATGCTCCCAATTAAACTTGTCATAGGAGGGTGTTCGGTTTTATGGGCAGCCGTGTGCATGCAACATGCTGCTCCTCATAACTTTGGGGGATTCTTAGCTATGCGAGTGCTTCTTGGCTTTTTTGAAGGCTGTGTGTCGCCTTCCTTTGTAGTTGTCACGTCTATGTACTACAAAAAATTGGAGCACAGTCTGAGAACGGCAATATGGATTTCTTGCAACGCTATCACCCAAGTCTCGGTAACCTTTTGGTTTTATGGAATTGGAAAAGGTGAAACACATTTAAATATGGCCGTCTGGAGAATTGGATACCTTGTTTGTGGAGCAGTTACCATTGTCGCTGGTCTTCTGTTCTGTGTCATGGTTCCTCTAAAACCATCAGGTGCTTGGTTCTTGAACGAGAGGGAGCGTCAAGTGGCTGTGCACTGAATTCTTGCTGAATCCGACAGAGGAGAAAAAATAGCTGGGACTGGGGTCAGGCCAAAGAATGCTTGACTGATTGGACTACATGGAGCTCTTTTCTATTTGGCTTCTGCGTGACTGTTACATCGGGTCCTGTAATATTCGCTAGTTTGATGATCAACAATTTCGGATACGACGAGTTTAAGACCATGGAATATTCATCTCCTTCCGGCGCGGTCCAGTTTTGGCTATTTGGGTTGGAGTCGCAATGTGGTGGAAGTTCCCTAATCAGCGATGCATCACAATAATGATCCTGACTCTTGTCCCAATCATTGGAAATATCATGCTGATTTGCATGCGCAAGGATAACGGGTGGGGTCTAATTGTTGGGGCTTGGCTTGGTGCCTGTATCACGTCTTTCTATTCGATATGTTTGAGTCTGAATGCGTCGAACGTCCGTGGGAACACCAAAAAATCTATTGTTAACAACGCATTCTACGTGGGCTACTCGCTTGCCGGCATTGTCTATCCGCAGTGGTGGAACTACAGCAAAGACCCCACTTATGACAGGTCTGATTACAGACTTAGCATTCTGGGCGTTGTCCGAGGTTCTCGTGGTCGCTTAAAGATGGAAACGCATCAAGGAGAATAGAAGACGAGACGATTTGCTCAAAAAAGGTGATATGCCCGAATATGATCCTGATTTGGATCTCACTGATAAACAGGATCTTTACCATAGGTATAGCTATTAGTCAAGATAATTCTTGATCAGAATATATTTAGTTCACTTTATATAAATGTACCTCGCACTAGGCTTTTACCTCGCACTTCAGTCCATCCCAGTTACTTTTGTAGACTATTCCATCTTTCATGACAACACGCAGGTTTTCTTCGTAGTGGTCCAAAACGCTGATGTCATCTAGCGGGTTGCGTTCGAGGACGAGAAGATCAGCGTAAAAGCCCGGCTTGATCTGCCCAATGAGATGGTCAACCTTGAGGGCCTCAGCTGGCGTGATAGTCGCAGACTTGAGGATATCGGCTGCAGGTAGCACCTCTCCTCTGAGCGAAAATTCGGACGTCTGGTAAGCTGAAAGACTTCCAAGCAGGTCGGACCCGTAGCAGATCTTGATACCATATTTTTTGGCACGCGTGAGAAACTCCAGACCACTTTTGAGCACAACTTTGTTCTTCTCCTGGGAGTCGGCACTCAAGAAGCGGCTGAATTGTTTGGAGCTCATAATTTTGTAGGTAACAAGAGTCGGAGTGACATAGACACCCTTGGAAGCAACTAGCTGGGCCGTCTCGTCGTCCATCAGATTGCCGTGTTCAATTCCCATACATCCATTGAGCACGCATGCGCGCACAGATCGAGTAGTGTATGCATGGGCAGTGACGAATGTGTCGTAGGAATCGGCGACCTGGACTATGGCACGGATTTCTTCTTCGGTGTACTGCATATTAGTGAGCTTATCTGTTGGAGAAGCAACGCCACCACCGCCCATTATTTTAAGGAAGTGTGCGCCCTGACGAAGATTGTCTCTGGCAACTCTCATGCACTCAGTAACACCGTCGGCAATGACACCTAGAGAGCGCATGTGGCAGTTGCAGTGGTCAGAAGGAATTTCGCGTCCACGGAAGTCTCCGTGGCCACCAGTCTGAGAGATGGCCGGGCCAGAATAAAAAAGACGTGGTCCTTTAATGACTCCCTCCTCAATGGCCTGAAGCATAGCATATTCGGCACCTCCAGTGTCACGAATAGATGTAAAACCTCTGGCCAACATCGACTCGATATTCTTTGCAGCACGAAACATGGCAGTGTCACGCTGGAGCTGGAACAGATCTTTCAAGTTGTCCTCTCCAGGAGAGGCAAGCACGTGAACGTGATTGTCAAAAAGTCCAGGACACAAATATTTACCAGTACAGTCAACAATTGTGTAGTCTGGCGGAGCTGCTCCTTTGAAGACGTCTGCGATCTTGCCGTCTCCTGTGAGCACGGTTAAGCCTTCGATTGCGACACCGTTAGCAGAGTCGATAACGGTAGCATTAACAAAGGCGTATTTCTGAGGAGCAGGGAGTTTCCAAGGAAGAAGATCTTTCATGTTGTTCGGTGAAATCTGCTCGGACCGAAGTACTTATAGGATTCGGCTAGGGAATTAAGAAAATCGCAACTTCCTAATTAGGAAGCTTTTTCAAAAGAGGCTCTGAGTGAGCTGTTAGCCGAAGCCGAGCGCAAAATACCGTATTCACCATCTGGAGGCAGGTCTTACAGAGGAGTATTACCTTGGAAAATAAAACGCGCCTGAGAGAAGCACGGTGATAAGCAAAAATTTTATTTAGAGCTCGTATCTAAAATCGGGATTTTGCTTGTCCGTCAGATCTGCAAAAGCGAGGTCTCCACTCTCGGCTGGTGGTTCGCCCCGTTCTCGGTTTCTCGCGTAGTATATCAAGTACATTGCTGCCATAGCGGCTGCCCCAACACAATAACACACCAGCATCGCGGTCTTAGCACCAATATAAGTAGGAGCCTGCGCCTCAACAAATGTTTGGGGCCCAATCATATTTCCAGCACAGTATCCAATGAGAAAGACTGTGCTGACGGCAACCTTTTTCGAGTGGCCAGCCACATTGGATGAAACGATAGACGCTATGCCCGCCATACACGTTGTTGATGTGTAGATGATATAGTATCCTGCGAGCCTGGATCCTTTAGGGCCTGTAAAGATAAGAAGACAGGTGCCAAGCACGCAAAGAAGGTTGACCAGTATCATAGAAATGAGTCATTTGTCCTTTAAAAACTTGTGATTGATGATAGCGACTACAGGAGGGATCACCACATCAATGGCACCACCAGGCATATTCATCAGCATTGAGTCGGTGGTACTGAAACCAAAGTCTGAGTTGAGTAAAATTGTTCCAAAATTGTTGAGGCCACCATTGGGAATAGCGTAACTCATCGCATAGATGAAAATTAGGTAGGTGGTCGGATCAAGAGCGGCTTCTTTTAGTTGAGGTAATTTCAGCCGATGATTTCCAAAGCCTTGCTGATTGTGCCGAGCTCTTTCAACACAGCAACGCTTGTCTTCTTCATTCAAAAACCAGGCTTTCACGGGAAGATCTGGAATATGAAGCATGGAGACAACTCCAAGGAAGATTGTGATCACGCCTGTAATTATGTAGAACAGTCTCCACGAGGCAAACGAGTGTTCTCCGTCTCTGTGAACTTTCAGCCCGTACGCTATTGCCGCGCCCAATAAAGTACCCAATCCTTGAGAGCCGTACCAGAAGCAAGTTCTCATAAATTGTTCTTCCTTTTTGTACCACTGGGAAGTTAGCAGGATATATGCTGGGTTCATAAACCCTTCAAATACTCCTAATAAGGTACGACAGAGAAGGAATGTTGGTGCAGACTGACAAGCCGCGTGACACATTAGCACGACGCCCCAAATAACCACTGCCGCAGATAATGTCTTCGACAAGGGTAGCTTCTGCAAGGCCAGCCCAGCAGGGTACTCGAAAACCAGATAGCCCAGATAAAAAGATGACCCGACCCAACTATACTCTTCTGAGCTCATATTAAGATCTGTTCGGAGTCCCATGAGAGCGGCATATGAGTTTGTCGTCTTGTCCATCAGCTGGCATGACATCAATGCTGCGACCATTGGTAAAATATACCAATCGATCTTTTTCACAAGCTTCTTTTCATAATCAGGATCTAGCGTATAGTCTTCTGCGAGTCCTGTGTACTTTGCCGCATCGTCAAGATCCTTCTCGTTCACGTGAATACCTTTCTCCTTTAGCGAGACCACAGTCGAAAGAACCGGGTCTGGTCCATCTTTCAACCAGTCCTTCGACATTAATGAAATGAATCGGAGCTAAGATTCACGATACCCCAAGCGTGGAATTTTTCATTATCGCTGGCGGGAACAAGATGCGCGCGGATGAAATTTCCCTTTGCAAAGATAAGATTTTTCCAAAATAGGCAGATTTCAGGGTGATAATCGCTGAAAAAATTAAGTTGGAGGTCTGCCAAGTCTCATCAACCAGCAAATAATGAAGCTACCAAGGAACACTAGAGGCATCAGCCAAAACGTATAGCCGCTAAGCAACATACTGGCCGGGTTGACCAGCAGGGCTAGCAAGACAAGAATGTATCTAAACCTGCAGTGCTCTGAGGCCATGATCGAAGCTGGACAAGTCCCGCTCCGAGTCTTGCACTGCATGTTCAATCTGATTATGAAACACTCACATGGGAGTCCCATGCACTGAAAAATAGTGTTAGACTGCAGATGAAGCTAAGTAGCAGCTACGAGTGGACATTGAATTACCAGGGTATGCATGCATAGTAAGCTGTCACCATGTGGGCTAAAGTGTAGAACTTTCTGAAGACGTGGCGGTGACCACGGGCAGGTGAGCAGGCCGGGTGGAAACAAAATGGTCTGAAAGGCGACGTGGACCGCCTCCGCTCAGAGGTCTCCCTTGGTCAAGACTGCACATTTGTCCTCTGGTCGCTGATCCTGAAGCAGGGGGTACGGACGCCTGGATCTGGCTGATAAACGGTATCGGTTATGCCATGGTACGCGAATTCATACTGGAGACTGAACTTAGGAACCAGCAAGGACTGGTATGGGGTGTCCTCGACATTCCGCCGAACCTGCCCTCAGGCAGTCCGTTGTGTGGAACTGCCGTAAGTCAAGATTCAACGGTGAAAGAAATCTTAAGGGTTATTTACAGCCACATTCAGCGAGTCCAAGTATGGCGTTTCCATGCTCATTCGCTCGATTGATAGCATGAATGGTGCGGGAATACTTGTAGTGGGCTCCTTGCCCACTATCAGCTCGCTCAAGTATTTTGAGCAGCTAAAGATACGAGGCATACCATGACCGGTAAATCCTGCAGATATGAACATGTTTGGGCGCCCGTAAGCCGTCAAGTCACCAACAAAAGGAAACCCGTCTTCTGTGAAGCCCATACACCCAGTCCACGTGTAGTCGTTGACAAATCTAGCGTCTGCCAGACTTGTTCCGAAAAGTGTTGCCTAGTCTCTTCTGGAAAGTAAGAGTCGTCTGCATTGTCAACCATCATTTCTCGGTTTGGAGATGTTTTGTATGTTTGGCCGCCGCCTCCAACTATCAGCGACCCATCGTCTTGAACGCTGATGTAGTCGATCTCGACGGGTATTGTGTGAACCATGTTGGTCTCAAGAGTCTTGTTTGATTCTGTTTGGAGATGAGAGACCACGCCTTTGACAGGCGTGATCTTGCCCCAGAAGTCCGGCAAAAGAGCTCTCGTGTAAGCATTGGTGGCGATCACAACTTTCTTCGCATGCACGTGTCCACGTGGCGTCTTCGCCAGCCAAGTATTGTCCTCAAGACATTCCAGCTCCTCGACAGCAGTGTTTGTTTGTAGGTTCAACCCTTTGGAAAGAGCAATTTCGAGAAGACCGCAGACTAGCTTGTACGGCCACACAGAGGATGTAGGTGTGTAGACCCCAAACGAAGTGTTTTCATGCTCTTTTCTGGCTTGCTCATCAAACACTATCCTCACTCCATCTTTGACCTTCTGATAATAGGGGTTTACAAACGAATAGTAATCCCTTAATCCAAATTTTTCTAAGGATCGTAAGTCACGAACGAGGTTCTAACAAAGTTGCAATTATTACTTCCTGACCAGTCCAACCACATTGAGCTCTTCGTGCTCATACATGGCAATGTGTGCGGCAACCTTTTGCCCGTAGTTTTTCGAGAATTCGTACTGATCGTGATGATAGTAGCTCCGCATGTGTCCACCATTCCTTCCCGTAGCCCCAGAGCAGACATCACGAGCTTCTAGCAGCAATACCTTCTCATCTGTCTGCTCAAGCAGATTGAATGCCACCGAAGCTCCGCTGAGGCCAGATCCGATGATCAGCACATCAGACTGTTCGGGTAGTTCTTCCGTTGTTCGATGCTTAGCAAGCTTAGCTTCGGCCTCTCCAATCCAGTAAGAGAGAGTCGTTTCTTTGGAAGGAAATGCTTTTTGCTTTCTGGCACTATAGTCCATGGTCGGGAAAGCTTATCGAGGGTTGTTTTATTTATTTCCCTTTAGGGAAAGCTCAGGCGGTGAAATTACCTAGCAATTCAAAAAACGTCGCGAGCTCGAATAGTCAGATCCAACATAATCACTTCACAATGGCTACGCTCAAGCTGTACCTGTTAAGTTCAAGAATACGCTGTACGCAATTTATACTCTCCGGTGCGGCGGATTTGTTTGTTAAGACCTAGACCTAGCAGAACCAAGGACAAGCTGGCTGTACAGAGTTTTTAGGATAGGTCACTGACGGATTGTCAATGCCCAAGATCGTTTCCGTCAGGCATGCTGAGGTTTGGCATAGGTTCATAAGGGCGCTGGGTGGTTCTAGCAACCACAGGAGACTTGAAGAGTGAAGTTTGATTCGAACTCAGCGCTTAAGGATAGCACTAGTCAGGGAGAATGCTATGTTACAAAGCCCAACGCTAGCCCAATAGTTACGGTTATTTGTTGTGCTACACAGCAGTACTCAGGTCACAGAGGCTCGTGCGTGACGTGTTTCAACCAAAAAAGATTCGCGTATGCAGCCAGAAGAATCTCCAACGAGAGTGTTTCAGATGCGTTTCCTTAACATCCACTGGGCTCCTAAGCACCCGGCCCGGTAGGAAATCTTGAATGTGGAGAGTGGAACGCTGTTTTGGTACCAGTGAGCAAGTGAGAAGTTGCCAAAGAAACTTACCTACGTGAAATCGGTTGCACCTCGTGTGCTGACCTTAACGACCCAGCTTTAACAGTGCGTGTGGACTGCTAAGACCTATACCGAGCGTTTGCCGGCCCGGGGGACGTGGGGGTGGCGGGTGGGTGTTTTCGGTGGGCGCAAAAACGCGGAGCGTTCTGCGGGTGTTTTCTGCGGCGGGTTTCCACGGCGGGCGCGCCGCTGGCGGGTTTGGTGGCGGGTCTTAACTATGAGAGCGGTGGGTGTTTTCGCCGGGAGCAGAGGTGGCGGGTTTGGTGGGTGTTGTTTACATGGCGGGTCCGGTGGCGGGTCCTCCCATACAAAGTAGTGGGTGTTGTTTACGTGGCGGGTTTGGTGGCGGGTTTCTATTGTTCGGACGTGGTGTTTACATGGCGGGTCCAGCGGCGGGTTTGAGCGGCGGGTATGAACGGCGGGTTTGCATGGCGGGTTTCAGTGGCGGGTTTCAGTGGCGGGTTTTCATGGCGGGTCCGATATCTCAGCAGCCAGTGGTTGTAGCCAGCTCAAACCTAGACAGCCATGCAGAGACGTCTCTCATCATCGCCGGTGCACCTTGGAGAGCAGCAGTAGAGAGAGTGTGTAGATGAAGAGGGCAATATGGTGTCCCATTGGCGATTTTAGTCGCGGTTTAGTGGCGGTTTAGTGGCGGGTCAAGATAGGCGGGTTTTCATGGCGGGTTTTGGTGGCGGGTTTTCATGGCGGGTTTTCACGGCGGGTCTGATGGTGGCGGGTGTCATATCTCAGCAACCAGTGGCCGTAGCCAGCTCAAACCTAGACACCCAGAAAGGTCTTCCTCGAGACAATCCATAGCACACAAAAAAAGAACTACATGAGCCAACTGCTCTATCCGCAATTACTAAAACCCTATATTTAAAGTAGAAACTTCCCAAACGAGAAGCGCCAGTGGCCGAATGGTATAGTGCCCCCACCAAGTCGGCGAGCGGCTGCTTATCGGCTGCCCTTAGCGGCTGCGCACCGACATATAAGAGGCCCAGTTTGTCCTCCCTTGAAGGCAGATGAGCGACTTTTACCTTGTGGACCGCCTTGACTCGGAGTCCTCCGACAGCGAGGTGGAGATGCCGCCAGGGGCCAACGAAGCGTTTTCGGAGGCGACGAAGAAGCGGCTGCGGGAGTGCCGGTGCCTGCCGGCGCTGCCACGGTACAACACCGACGGGGAGCACACGGCAGAGATGTTCATCAAGGTGGTGGAGATGTCTGGGGCGCGGTACATGACGACGGCGGTGCTGGCGGACTACTCGCTGGCGCTGAACCACGAGGTGGGGTTTCTGATGCACGTGTACTCGCTGCGGCAGCCGAAGTGGAACAAGGTGATCAAGTTTGGGTCTCTGACCAGAAACATGCTGAAGCAGATTGTGCAGCAGACGCACCCGAACCGGAACATTCCACGAGAGGTGGCGGCGCTGTTCCACGCGTGCGGGCGGCTGGCGCTGAGCGTGGGGCTGAACCTGAGGTACGACAGCAGGCACACGCGGTACGCGTTCCCGATCACGGTGCACCAGAGCTCGCGGACGACGCTGCAGAACCGGCCGGCGAACGTGTACCCGATGAACCTGCCGGACTTTTTCCTGCCCATCCAGAGAGGCTGGGCGTGCCGGGAGTGCCACCTGTGTGGGCCGCAGGTGAGCAGCGCGAAGGCGTGCCCCATGCACAGCGACAGCAGCGTGGAGGAGTGCTGCTACCAGCAGTACGCGACGGACCGTGTGCGGGTGCTGATTCCGGACGAGTTTCTGGCGGAGGAGGACCACGCGCGGTCGCACCAGATCACGGCGCGCGGGTTCTCGCGGGAGGACAACCCGGGGACGATCTACGAGCGGCCGTTCCTCACGACGTTTCCTGCGGATGACGTGCGGTACCTGCAGCGGCTGCGGGAGCGGGCGCTGGCGGTGCGGCAGCTGCTGACGGCGGTGCTCGCGTTCCACTACTGCGAGGCGATCCGGGCGTACCGGCGGCTGGTGCAGACGGGCCCGTCGGACGCGATGAACGCGGTGATGATGGTGGAGACGCGGTCGGCGGAGTTTGTGCCGCTGCGGCAGGGCGCGTCGGCCACCGAGTACGCGCGTGCGACGGCGGGCGCGCTGGTGTGTGTGCTGGCGCAGCTGACGCAGCCGCCGGCGGGGCTGCCGTGCTTTGCCGACGAGTTCCGCACCGCGGGCGTGGCGTCGTACTTCCGGATCGCGGACGCGGAGGACCTGGCGCTGCGGCGGCTGGCGGCGACGCTGGCGGCGGTGTCTTTCGAGGACGTGGAGGGCCTGCGCCAGCTGAGCAACGACGACGCGGAGTACATGCTGCGGTACTACGCGCGCGGGATGGAGCACTCGGAGAGCGCGCTGGACCCGCAGCTGCGCTACGACCGGTACCGGGAGCTGCAGCTGAACACGCGGGTGCCCAACCACCGCGAGATCTACGGTGCGGCGCGCAAGGTGCTGCAGCAGCTGGCGCTGACGCCGCTGGCGCGCGCGCAGCCCGCAGCCGGGGCCCGCGAGGGCTTCGGCGGGCAGCTGCTGCTTGTCGGGTTCTACCTGATGCCGATGGTGGTGGTGGGCGACGACCCGGAGGCCACGCAGCTGGACCCCAGCATGGAGCGGCGCATGCGCAACCTGTCTGCGCTGTCGCACTTCCTGCGCATGGCGGTCGTGGAGCTGTGGGACGCGCAGCACGAGCACGAGGAGGCGCGCATCCGCGAGGCCAGCGGGCAGGTCATGGGCCGCTTCTTCAAGGACACGATCCGCAACCTGCGCCAGCAGCTCAAGCGCAACCCGACCGAGAGCAGCCTGCTGAACGGCACCATGGAGCAGGACGCGGCCGGCGTGTGGTACGTGGACGTGCCGAAGGCGGCGGCGCGGCCCGGCGTCGCGATGGCCACGGTCGAGCTCACGGCCAACAGCCGTCTGCGCGTGGGCGCGCACTCGTACGGCCGGTGGGTCGCGCAGATCGAGCAGCGCCTCCTCGAGTCGCTGGACGAGGTGCTCGGCGGGGCCGACTCGCCGTGCTCGCAGATGGTCAGCGCGCTCGCGCACCGCGTCATCACGTCGACGGTCGACCGCTTCGACAACAGCGGGCCCAACTTCTACGAGCGCATCGCCGCGCAGACCCGCGAGTACAGCAACTTCGGCGAGCACCTGCTGGCCACGGCCGCCGCCGCCGGGCGCACGCGCGCCGCGCTCGTGACCAGCCTCTACACGCTGATGCAGCTGCTGATGATGTACCTGACGCTCTCGAACGGGTGCGCGCGCGCGACGGAGATCGCCAACCAGCGGTTCCGCGCCAGCGAGTTCGAGCGCGGCTCCTTCTTCTGGGACCGCACGCTGCAGGCGCTGGTGTTTGCATGCAAGGTCCAGAAGTCGAGCGTCATGCGCGACACAGGCATCCCGCGCTGGATCTCCGGCGCACGCATGATCCGCGCCGCGCTGGCCGTCCTGGGCCCGCTGCGCACGGCGCTGCTCGACCTCACGCTCGGGTCGGCCATCAGCCCGTTCCTGTTCGTGCTGCCC